CACCTCCCTGGTCATCGTTTTTGATGGCCACCTCCCTGGTCATCGTTTTTGATGGTCACCTCCCTGGTCATCGTTTTTGATGGCCACCTTCCTACGCATCGTGCTTTTATTGCCACCTTCCTACGCATCGTGCTTTTATTGCCACCTTCCTACGCATCGTGCTTTTATTGCCACCTTCCCGGTCACCTTTTGTGATGGTCACTTTTCTTAATCCTTCACCTTTCCTTAATCTTTAACCTACCTTTCCCCCACCTGTTCAACTTTCCTACCTTGCTTTGACCCTTGTAAATCTTACCTTTTTGTGAGCTTTTTGTGAGCACCCTGCCGTTTGTGAGCACTCTGCCTTTCGCGAGCACCCTACCCTTCCGCGCAAATCCTATCTCCGTTTTGTGGACCTATCTTTCCCTCAGGAACTACCCCTTCCTCGACCACATTTTTCGCAAGCCCATATTTCTTCCGCGAATCTCAGCACCCTGTCGTAGCATGCTGTATCGTATCATCAAAGCCCACGCTGTTCACAAATAGCAATGCACAGACAAAGCTGGAGCACCATGCTCCCCTGGCCGATGGCAATGAATACATATCCACTCTGAAAGATTTATTCAGACAGCCTCACGATAGCAATTAAACTCTTACTGTGGATGTTTGGATTTCAAAGATAGGACAGCCACCAACCCCTAGTTAGTTAGGCCACTAGGCTCTAGGAGGTTAGTGGACAAGCCGGCTCCGCCGTCGGGATTGATAAATATCACTTTTCTATCCAGACGCAACATACTTGTTGCCAGTCCATTGTGCCGAGTGTTTAAATACGGTGGAAGTAATCCGTGTCTCGATGACTTTCTCTACTTCCTCAGTCCAGAGGATTTGTGGATGGATCTTCTGTGCCATCCTCATTGTTCCCCGTACTCGTACCTGCTCTACGAAGAGCCCTCGATCAGGCTGAATTATTGCAGGTCGTCTTTAAGCAGCGCCACAACCACGATTCCTAGGTATCAAACCACAACGTCGGAATAATGACCAGTCGATTCACGTCAAGGGGGGCATACGAGACCACACTTCCAAGGCCAGAAGCGACACATCGTGGTACTCGAGGAAGGCTCTTGAATGGCCATGGTATTGTAGACAGTGTGAGTGCGGCTCTTCAGACCGGAGAACTGCCCAGGTTGAGGCTATCTTGGGTGCAATAATAATCAAGCCTATTACAGCAGCAGCCTAGTCAACGAAGGAATCTGTATCCCGCAACAGCTCCCATCCACCACCAACATCAAGAACGACGACCATTCAAGCGCTTGTGGTTTCTTCAGGCAATCTTCATCGCACATCTGATCATCACGCCCTGGATACTGTGCCCTCAGGGAACCGACAAGACACTCCTGGCTAGCGTGACGGTGCTCTTCATCTGCCATGTCTTTTGGCTGGCTCTCATATCCTTCTCCATCACCAGGCACGATGGCTTCGTCCAGAATGTGATCGGGTACGTGCTGTGTGCATTGTATGCATAGACCTCACAACTGACAAGTATCGAAAAGTGTCTTTGCTGCCCTCTGTTTCTTCATTCAGCTTGCTCAAGCACCGCCTGGCCATTAATAGGTAACTACCATAGACTTTGACCTCGACTTCAGAGTGTGGTGGCGGCGGATTGACGTTGTGATCCGAGCCTCGGCTGGTGTAGACCCAAGAGTACCTATGTTGGACTTTGCAAGGAAGAATCGACCCAAAAGACGTCAGTATGTACCTGCTACGGCTTACAAGTTATTTCTGAGGGCCTGGCTCTCAACAATTCCCATGCAACAAGATGCAAGCTTGAATGCTCATGTACCAGACCCTGCCATTGTTAGACCCGAGTTAATGTTGACGCATTGGCTTCATTGCATCCCGTTCTTTAAAGTCGATTTAGCGGGGAGTCTGGTCAATGCGGGGTGCCTGCGTGTCCAAGCATGGACATGTTGACTTGTAACGGGCCCTGACTTGGATGAAGAGATTTGTGGGGGGTTAAGGCTGAGGAAGAGCACCGCGAACGGCCTAAAGAGGGCCCTTACGGGGACCACCTTAAGTGGTTCTTCAGGCGAGAACGTACGAAAGAGGGGTACGAAAGTCAGGTACGAGTAGTTAACTAGTTAACTTAGTGCAACGTCCCGGCGTTGTACCTAACTAGAGCGGACCGCAGAGTCGACATCGATCAGCACGAGGCGGATCTTGAGCGGATGAGCTTGACCATAGTCCGTACCTGGCTTCCCCATGCGTCTAAGTCTCTATCTGATGATGCGGTGATCAGCAATCTTTATCCACTATACACTGCCTGGACTTTCCTTTGTGTCTCAGGCCGTGTCTTTGTGAGTAATGCTTTGGGCTTGTTCTCGATAGAGGGGAGATGGATGGCTGTTTCGTTGCCATTCACAGATTGGTCGGATTCGACAGTCATACGGTGGACTCGTAGAACTCGGTAGACGATAGACCGAGAACGAACTCACCATCACCTCCTGTGTATCGATTGGGTCCTGTCCACGGGTCTGGTATGGGTGCTCCAACCTCAATTGACAATCGTGCCGGCGTGGCTATTGCTCTTACGCCCCGACGCGGCCATCCTTCACTGCCTGATTGGGCCTCTGTCCCGGCAAGAGCCTGGTGCTTTTAGTTCTTGTAGACGCGGTGAGCACACGAACTCACGTGCCGGCGCGGTATGGCTTCTGCAGCGACTGGTAGAGTGCGAAACCTTCCAGGCCTCCCTTTCCCGTCCCGTGCGTGTTACGCGGGGTAGGCCGCAATGCGTCGATTTAAATGCGGTCGCTAGCAATGCGTTCACAGGTGGCGCTATTGCCGAAAACGTTGACCAACGCTAGCAATCGGTACGCGTTGACCGTCGCTAGCAACGCATCCCAGCGCCACCAAAGATGTGATTGGCGTTTCATTCACGAGGGACGGGCCTGGTAGGTGCAGCGGCACCTCCTGGTAGGTTCATGGGGCACTCCACTACCCTTTTGATGAAGGAATAAACTCTCTCAGAACGGGATTGCAAGGGCCATCGATCCTGTAGACCAATGGACCCGCAGATATGCTTCCTCTCCATCCCAGTGGATGATACCGAGCACAAGACTCAAACTATAATCATGCACCTGCACTTCAACATACCCCACACTGTTAGACATCTCTCCATATCAGGCTCAGGTTCTTGATCGATCTCTCCAAAGAGTTCTTATAAGAGGTCTCGATGGCCAGCTCCTTCTTACGATGGTCTCTCTCTCTATACTCCCTAGCTTCGTTGTTTCAATAGTTTCAGCCCAAGAACAATTAAACATACAAGCATACATACACAGACATTCCAGGTCACTGAGCCTTGTCGACGTCTCTCGCCATCCTTTCCACTTACCAAATAGTTGCAGTTCAGGCCCTCAGGCAATACACCAAACCTAACCCCAAGGGCTCAGTTTCCCGAAGCGTTTGATAACCTTCTGAAATATCAAACATCAACCACCTTTACCATACACAACGGTCACCTGCTTACCATTATAAACTGCACCCGGAGCCGCGATCCATCACGGTCGACCGCAATTTGCTAGCCCTCCTGTCATATCGTCTCTACTTCATCACAAACCACGACGGACCTCCGGTTCTTCTGGATTCGGAGTCGGACGAACAGACAAAGGTCGCGACAATGAGTAGTCATCCCCCGATGGGGGAAGAACATGGCACCGTGGTACCACGGCCTGAATCAACATATCAGGGTAACCTGCCAATGCACGCGAGTCGTGCAGAAATGGCAGACAATGTGAGAACGGTTATAGCCATCTGTCCAGAGGCCGCAGCTGACTAGTCCCATAGTTGCCTCGGTGGGAAAGATTTGCTGCGCCGGATCCCAATCCCCAGCGACATCAAGCCAGCTTTCTGTGGCTGTTCCAAGCAGCCTTTATTGTGCTGCTGGTCGTCGCACCGTGGGTACTATGCCCCCAAGGTACCGACAAGGTACTCCTGGCGAGTGTGACGGTGGTATTCATCACCGGGGTTGTTTTGTTGACTCTCATCGCGGTCGCTCGGCCAGAGGGCTTCCTTCAGAACGTCATGGGGTACGTGCCTCCATTTGCGATTGTGCAAGATTGCTCGCTGACTCGGGATCGAAAGTGTTTTTGCAGGGCTTTGCTTTTTCATCCAGCTGGCTCAGGCGCCTCCCGATCGGCAAAACCAAGGGTGATGTTGAGTAAGAAAGGTTAATGCTGTTACGGTCGAAAAGTCAACACTTTGCCTACCGTTTATAAATCTGTCAAAGGTTGTTAAGGGCCCGCCTGGGGCGGCCAAAGCATCGCATCCCAACTCATCATGGTTCATGGCTCGATTGACAAGTTGTAGAATAGAATGAAGGAAAGGCACGTGATGGGCGAGAGGAACCCGGACAATGAGCGTATGCGCGTGCCGTGTGCGACAGAAAAATACCTACAGGTGTGTTGATAAGGTGTGTAGGAAAGAGAGATGCCATGGGAAGGACGGAGCGTGGTGTTACGGAGTACAACTCCCAACAGTTCCCGCTTTGTCGAGCCTACGGTGTAAAACCTACAGCTCTACGGTCAAGCACAGCCCTTGGAGCGACGAAGCGTAAGAGCCCAGCGCCATGGATGGTGGGATTAGGCTAGTCAGACCGAGTAGGCTAAGCAGCTCTCCCCCAAAACCCTGAGTTTGACGAGATCGGGTAGGCAGGTTCAGCCTCGAGATACCTAACTAAGATTTGACAACGCCACTGAACATTCCCCAGACGGCGCTTGGAATTGAATGTCATCTGGTGTCGTCTCCACATGTTTCAAGACGAGAGAAAGCCATCATATCATTCAGGCACAATTATGTATGTATGTATGCATGCATGCCCATCATCAACCACTCCTGAACTCTCTTTCGGCACGGAGCATTTCTTCACAACTCTGTTGAGCTCTGAATCTCGACCAGCTGTTCCCAAGTGACGTGCAATCTATCTCGTATCGACTTGTGTCTTAAAGTATGTATGTACTCATTTTGCCAGTCAAGACAGGATATGCACTTCATAGAACGTGTTGTGCTTGCTGCACCACATCAGGATGCTGCATGACGGGATCCATTCACGTGCGCCACCTCCGTTTCCTGACGCGCTTTCTGAAGTATAAGGCACCGTTCTGAGAGGCGGGATTTCTATGTACTTCTCGGCGCCGATTCTGCCATTGTTGGGATCCGGATGGTTGTCTCGGTACTGCCTGGAGTGTGGTGGGACCTGCCAGCTGTTGCTGCTGTTCTGGGTAATGAAGCACCGCGTAGACATACTCTGGTAGGTGCTGTAGGGGACAGTCTCTTGGTCTATCGACATCTTGCTATCTTCACATTCCAGAGGAGGGGTGATGTTGTCGACGGCCGATTTGCAAAGTGGCGAAGCGAGTCGATTCCACTGTTCTTGAGCCTGGACGCCGCGTGGCAAGGTGGCTAGGTCGTTGCAGAGAGCGCGCGTGGTGACTTCAACCATGTGAGAGACTTCGCATTTGTGGAAGGTGTAATCGTCGTCATCCGCACACTCGAGGAATGTTCTGAGCTGTTGGTTCATGAGGTGTCGGCCGGGATTGACGAAACTGCGAGGCAGGTGATGCTGAGAGGACTCTGCCACTGGACAGCAGAAGAGTTTTGGACGGCATGTCAGAGGGGGATTTGCAAAGCGGGAATAAGGTTGGTCTCTGCGGTGCTGGTGGTGGTAGTAGTCGTCACCGTCCTTGTCCAGAAACTTGTAATCTCTGCCTGACGGAGCCATGGCCCTGCGTTGTCAGATGGACAAAGCAAGCGGACGCTTTCGAGCTTCAGTTTCGGTCAGCCAAAGAGCCAGGACTGAAGAACACGCAGTGCACATACCGTGTTGCGGGATGCGGGTGATAGAAGGTGATGGAGAGAGCGGAGAGTGAGTTAACGCCTTGTGAGCGCGACTGAGATGGAGGTGTGAAGGTGACAGTCACGGGCTGAGGGTTTAATATCGCATCTGCAACTGAGATGGCGATGCCCTCCTCAACTACAAGCGGCAGACCACAGCTTGCTTATCGGCTCTGTCGTTTCTCATCATCTTGCTCGTCTTCCTTCCACGCAACCGCCGGCCAGGCTAAACAGATAAACGCCCAACACCGCCACCAGATGGTCCTGGTCCACTGCGAGAAAGTAACTATGCTACAAGAGACCAGGTCAATCAACTTCGTATGGAAATGCCGCGCTACAACAGTTTAAAGATCAATTCTGAACGACCTGGATGTTGTTCTTCTTCTGTGCACGCTGTTAGCAAATGCGCTGTCCGCCGTGTCGACTGCACAGGAAGACTGCATACCTTCCACTTGTCCATCTCATCTTGCCGGCTCTTGTACTGCTTCACCAACTCTTCCAGCACCTGCTTCAACCCATCCGAATTTGTTTTGAGCGCAGGTAGCACATCCTTGACTGTTCTCTCGACGAGAACGCCATTGATCAACCGGAAGCATTTGCGATCATCTGGTAGTGGCTGCAATGTGTCTGTGACCAGCCTTTGCTAGGTTAGGCTTCGTTCCCAAGTGCTGATGGTTTGAATCGGTAGAAGGCTTCGGAAAACCGAGCGGTGTGGTGACCTACTTGTGTTCTTCAATCTCTTGTTCAATCTCGCCGACTTTCTGTGCCAGGGTTTGAAGGGCGGTTTTGTGGTTGTTGTACTGGGCCTGGAGATCTGCTGTGGAATCAGCATCCTATCAAGACTCAAGGGAAGCTCTCTTACCCTGCTGCTTGCGCACGGCAGCTTCCTGATTAGCAGCCATGTTGATCACAGCACTTCAGGACAATTCTATCGCAATTCTAAGAAGTTCTGAGGTTGCTGAAGAAGAAGGCTTCAGGATGGTGGGCGAGGCTGTCGCGTAAACTGCGGCAAAACTTTTTCCATCGCATCGCATGCCCGCCTCGATTTCTCGACCATCTCACCACAACCACACATAGCTCTACGTACATCTGTCTCAGCGACTGTAGAGAGGTCGCATCCCTCCACTTTTACTACAGGAACGCCATTTTTCGCAATGGAACGTCCCTTTAGCCCCAAGCGTCGGAAACTCGACGGAGCTTTCCGATCTACTGCCGTCGACTCTGGCGACGACCTGGGCCCGTCCCTCAAACCACAATCTTCCTTCAAGCCGCGCTCTCAAAGACCGCCTGATCGCAGCCAGAGTCGTGCGCCACGTTCAAAACCGCATCAGGAAGAGTTCGACGGGCCCGAACCGTTCTTGCAAGATGAAGATACCACGGCTATGGATCGAGACTGGTACGCGGGGGACGAATTCGGGCATACATTCGGGGATGAAAGCCACAATCCATTTGGTGGCGCTGACGTGTCGTGGGCGGACAAACAACGAGAGCAGGCACTGGCTGATAAGAAACTCGGGAAACGCATAACTGCCAAAGCAGCTCAGAAGCAGAAAGAGGTAGATGCCTGGGAGGCGAACCGTATGATCACGTCGGGCGTGGCCCAACGCCGCGACACAGGGAACGACTTCGACGATGAAGAGTCTGTCCGGGTACATCTCCTGGTACATGACCTCAAACCCCCATTCCTGGACGGCAAGACAATTTTCACAAAACAACTGGAGCCTGTGCCTGCGGTCCGCGATTCTCAAAGTGATATGGCAGTATTTGCCCGCAAGGGTAGTAAGGTCGTCCGGGAGAAGCGGCAACAGAAAGAAAGACAAAAACAGGCACAGGAAGCGACCAATGTTGCGGGCACCGCTTTGGGAAACATTATGGGAGTCAAGGAGGACGAAGGCGATAGTGCAGCCGCGGTTCCTGGAGAAGACAGTGGAAAGAGTAAATTCGCAACACATCTCAAGAAGAGCACCGGCGGCTCAGCCTTCAGTAAAAGCAAGACGCTGAAAGAGCAGAGGGAATACCTGCCTGCCTTCGCAGTGAGGGAGGAACTTATGCGTGTGATACGAGACAATCAGGTCATTATTGTCGTTGGTCAAACTGGATCTGGCAAGACCACGCAGCTCACCCAATTCTTGTATGAGGAAGGATATGGTCAACATGGGTTGATAGGTTGCACCCAACCCAGAAGAGTTGCTGCAATGAGTGTAGCGAAGCGAGTCAGTGAGGAGATGGAGGTCGAGCTGGGCGGACTAGTAGGCTATGCTATCCGTTTTGAAGACTGTACGAGCGACGAGACTGTCATCAAATGTAAGTGAACCCTAGCACTTTGATGAGCTGCAGGACTGACTTTAGTACAGACATGACGGATGGTGTGTTGCTCAGAGAGTCTCTGACACAGCGAGATCTAGACAAGTACTCATGCATCATTATGGACGAAGCTCATGAACGAGCTCTCAATACCGATGTGCTTATGGGTCTGATCAAGAAAGTGCTTGCGCGCCGCCGAGATCTGAAACTAATTGTCACCTCTGCCACCATGAACTCAGAACGATTCTCCAGGTTCTACGGAGGCGCCCCCGAGTTCATCATTCCTGGTCGGACATTCCCCGTTGATATACAATACTCACGTTCGCCGTGCGAAGACTATGTCGACAGTGCTGTCAAGCAAGTTCTTGCCATCCACGTCTCGCAGGGGGCTGGTGACATCCTCGTTTTCATGACGGGACAGGAAGATATTGAGGTCACCTGCGAACTGATCGAAGAACGACTGCAGTTGTTGGTCAATCCGCCCAAGTTGATGGTTTTGCCAATCTACTCTCAGATGCCTGCGGATCTCCAGGCTAAGATCTTTGACCCTGCCCCTCCGGGAGTTCGAAAAGTCATTGTTGCCACCAATATTGCTGAAACCTCGCTCACCGTTGACGGCATCATGTACGTTGTAGACGCTGGCTTTTCCAAGCTAAAGGTGTACAATCCACGAATGGGCATGGACACCCTGCAGATCACCCCAATCTCCCAAGCAAATGCCTCACAACGAGCCGGTCGAGCAGGCCGTACAGGGCCTGGCAAAGCCTTCCACCTCTATACTGAACAGGCTTTCAAGAACGAATTCTATATCCAAACCATTCCTGAGATTCAACGAACAAATCTGGCCAATACTGTCCTACTTCTCAAGTCTCTCGGGGTCAAAGATCTCCTAGATTTTGACTTTATGGATCCGCCTCCACAAGATACTATCACGACCTCTTTGTTCGACCTTTGGGCTTTGGGGGCTCTTGACCATGTTGGTGAGCTCACCACCATCGGTCGAACGATGACAGCCTTCCCGATGGATCCCTCGCTCGCGAAAATGCTCATCACCGCTTCCACCGAGTACGAATGCAGTGAAGAAATGCTAACAATTGTCAGCATGCTTTCTGTACCGTCGGTCTTTTACAGGCCGAAAGAAAGACAAGAGGAATCCGATGCTGCACGAGAAAAGTTCTTCGTTCATGAATCAGACCACCTCACTCTCCTCCACGTATATACCCAGTGGAAAAGCAATGGTTACAGTGACGCGTGGTGTATCAGACACTTCCTCCACCCAAAAGCGCTGCGCAGGGCAAAGGAGATTCGTGAACAGTTGCATGACATCATGGTTGGGCAGCAAAAGATGGAACTCGTGTCCTGTGGAACGGACTGGGATGTCATTCGCGAATGCATTTGTTCGGGTTATTACCATCAAGCTGCTCGTCGTCGTGGTGTCGGCGAGTACATCAACCTGCGAACGAGCGTGACAGTCCAACTACATCCTACTTCTGCTTTATATGGCCTCGGCGATCCACCCGATTATGTTGTCTACCATGAGCTTATCTTGACCAGCAAGGAATATATGAGCTGCGTCACTGCTGTCGATCCACACTGGTTGGCCGATCTTGGTGGGGTCTTCTACAGCTTGAAGTCGAAGGAGTACAGCGCGAAGGACAGGCGCATTGTTGAAAGCGAATTCAATCGTAAAATGGAGATTGAGAGGCAAATGATGGAGGATCGAGTCAAAGACGAGAAGAGACGTCAAGAGGAGGAGGAAAAAGAGAAGATCCTGGCTGGACGAGTCAAGGGCAATGGAGTGGTGGTTAAGAAGATGGGCAGTCAAGGAGTGGTGAAGAAGCCTGTCGTTCCCAGACGGCGGATGGGGTTTTAGGGTCTGGGTAACGTGAATCTAGCTTGCATTAGGCCATTGTATGATCCGTATAGTCTCAGTGCGTAACAGAGGTGTCCAAGGTATCATCTCCTGAATCCATTCTGCAACAAAGATCAGTAGTACTTAGTACCTACAGATACTAAGTACTACTGGCCCTCTGCACCTGCAGCCTCGTGCCTGAAGTGAACAAGGCTGGCTCTCTAGCTGTTTAGGGACTAGTGCAGCCTTTCGCCAAGGAACAGTGCCTATCCCTTTCCAGTGATCTCTGTTTGTCGCTTCAAAGATCTCGTCAATCCCTTCACTACATCAGAGTTAAACCTGTCGCCGTCTTCCCCGCTGCTCACACGGTATAACAAGAACCTTACTGAAAGATGCGCGCGGTTCCTCTCGTGCGATCAAAGACAGAGGCGGTCGACAACTACCTCCGCATAACAGGAGGCTCCATCGACCATTCTCCCAACTCCAAAATCACAACATCTACAAGTCTGGGAGTTGTATAATCCGGTGGTTGGGTTGTGGAAGCTGTTGTCAGAACCTCCAGAGTGCAGCGTGAAGCATTCCTGGGCAATGTTACTATATGTAACTATTGGACTTTGAACAACACCGCACCATCACTTTGCGGTACATCCTCTAGCAAGGTAAGTCATGATCACTAGCAGCTACATGCAGGGCATGACTCGCACTGTCCTTGCACTTCACGTACCCTTGTATTTGCACTCTCTCTCTCTCACTCCCATCCCCGTTTCGCAACAAACAACTGACCACCATGGCTCCGCTAGACAAGAAGAGGCCTTCAGGCGAGGATAAGGGGCTTGGGCCGCCTTGTAAGTTTCTTTATGGCCATTGTGGGCCCTCTTGGACGCCGCGCTCGCTGTCGAAATTGCTCGCGGCGGCTTCAAGAGTGACGTCCACCTCAAGGAGCCATCAGTGACTGCTCCGCGACAGGTAACCTGGACTGACAAGGAAACAGCATCTCCAGGAACACCTCTCCAGCGCCATTTCTCGGCCGAAGCGAATCCTTTCGCGTCGAGTGCTGAAGTAGTATCTCCACCACCGCTTCAGAGAAGCAGGACTTCTAGTGGCACTGCGCTCAAAACTCCGGCCCGGGTTATTCGACCAGACGATTCCTGGCAGAAGCACCCAACTCGAAGAAGTTCTGCATCATACACACCTCAGGCGACCACAAGATCACCTTCGTTCAAAGTCTGGCACAGAAGAGACTCTCTCGCGAAGCTCGAATCGGCTGGCCCAGAACTTCCGCAGACCTTTAATCCTGATTCCTTACCCGACTTCCTCAAGAGCTTCTCACGGAGACTGTCGAAATCTCGGGGGCCGGGAAATCCTAACCCGCTTCATACCCCTCCTCACTCAGTCAAGATGGATCGCCTTCGGCCTGTGTCTGTCGCGATGACGGCACATTACAGAGAGGCCGTGCGACTTGCAGAGCAACAGCAGCGGGCCGTGACTGAGAAGTGCAAGCGAGCAAGGCAGCCTGAGCCAGATTACACTTTTGACGAGCTTATCGGGAAGGGCAGCTTTGGAAGAGTGTACAAAGGCCGACAGACCTCATCAAACAGAGTTGTTGCCATCAAAGTTCTCGACATTGACGAAGCAGATTTCCGTGCGTTTGGCGAGTCAAAAGATGAACAGATCCGGGACTTTCAACGAGAAATCCGCATCCTGCGGCAGGCGCAAGAAAGCGGTGCCGAAAACCTCAACCATCTCATTGAAGCTTTGCCGGTTCATAGTCAATTGTGGATGATTTGTGAACACTGTCCTGGTGGCAGTGTCAAAACCTTGGTAAGCATTTCCCGCATCTTGTTCGTCCTTGAGTGCTTCATAGATGGCGTGGCTTATATGCTGACCATTGCCTTTTTCAGATGAGAGCCACAAAGGACCGGCTTCCCGAAGAGAAATATCTCATTGTTGTGGCAAGAGAGCTCGCCAAAGCGTTGAAAGGTCTCCATGAAGCTGGCATCATCCACAGAGATGTCAAAGGTATGAGATATATTGCCACCTCCGATCATTTTCTTTCACCGGCTGACTTGGTTCACTGCTCAAAGCGGCCAATGTGCTCATTCATGAACGGGGCCATCTCCAACTTTGTGATTTTGGCGTTGCCAACATCTTAGAGACCAGCACAGACAAGCGAAAAACATTCATAGGAACGCTGCACTGGATGGCACCAGAAGCCTGGTCTGAGAACCCAGAATATTCGGACGAAGTAAGTCATGCTTTGCGGGATACACCCTGAGAAATATTCCATGTCAGCTAATTTGCGTTAACAGGTGGACGTCTGGGGATACGGCTGTACCTTGTATGAATGCGCCGTTGGCCGTCCTCCAAACAGTGACTTGCGTGAGCACCAAAAACTCAAAGTCCGAATGAGAAGGCTCAAAGAATCAATTGCACTTCCAAAAGACCAAAATTTCAGTGAAGACCTCCGTTCTCTGGTCTCCTCGACTCTCACTCCGGATGTTGCTTCACGACCTAACATGGTAAAAGTGTTACAGCACGAGTACCTCAAAGACACTGAAGAAACATACCCAACTGCAATTCTTTCCGAACTTGTTCTCACCTACTACAGATGGGCCAATCTTGGCGGTCAGCGAGTCTCTCTCTTTATGCCTGGTGGCGCAGCCGCCGCTTCGACTGAAGACCTCGACAACGACCTCGAGTCTGCCGATGAATGGAATTTCAGCATGACTGAAGATTTTGAACGACGCGCCTCCGCAATACTCGAGATACCAGACTTTTCAAGTGAAACAATGGAAGGAGAAGAAACACCTCGAGGCCCCTCGAAAGCCAGCGCCAGTTCGCCTCTGATGACTGCCGCTCAGAAGGCGAATTTTGAAGCTCGCGTCCAACGCGGTGCAGACTTATCCAACCTCTTCGATCCGAACAAACCCGCCTACGAGTACAAGACCAAGACAGATTTCATCCCCATTCCTGAACAGTCGAGACGGATATCCGATCTTCCTTTCCGAGCCATGGCAGAAGATAGACCAAGCTCAATTGCATCCAATGTTATCGACCTAGGCGACTTTGACGAATCCGACTACGCGGTCATCCCTGCGCCAAAAACCGATGACAACATTCAAACCGCATACGCCGGTACACCCATGAAAGAAGAGACCATCAGGCTTGCGGACGCAGCTACACTTAGAGAGAAGCGTGCGAATTCCAAAGGCCCTCGCGACCCCGTCAGCCAATCTCTCACCGCACGACGAACCTCATCGGCCGAGAAAATGCCTCCCACGACCGCCACTTATGACTTTGCCGCATCTCAGGAAGAATGGACGGTCAAGAACAGAGGCAAAGCCCCTGAACTCCAAGAGCCCGCTGAAATCACATCATCTCGTCCTGGCCATGCTACAATGGACTGGTCTTTCGCGTCCGCCATGTCTGAAGCATCAATCCCACAAATCAATGAGCCAGAAACGTCCATGGGAGACAGCACTCCGAGTCGCGACGACACAGATAATACCAACACGGCTGAATCTGAGCGAAGAGCTAGAAAACACGCAACTATGGAATGGTCATTCTCCTCGGCCATGGCGGAAGCAAACAATACAACGTCAAACGACGACTACAGCAGCGACATTAACAGCAACATCGGCTCGTCTCCCCCGATCGCTCCTCGCAGTGCGACTCAAGCAGCACCATCGGCACTTCCATTACCCACATCACGCGCCACACCGACACGTGCTCCGCTCATGAGACAAATGACCATGCCCGTCACGTACGGTGACTTTGCGCAGGCCGAAGAACAAGAAATTCCCCGTCCATCGACGGCCTTGTCGGAGGCGTACAGCGACGTGAGCGCGTCGAGCACCGACGTCGACCCGTTTGGCCTGGAGCGTGAAGACGACGAAGACGACCACCCTGGTCCTGAGACGCTCGATGAAGATGTCGAAATGGGTCGCCATTACCACCTCCGCGGCCGAAGCATGTACTCTGACAGAGGTTTTGACTCGAAGAAGTCACACAATTCTAATGGCAATAACAATCCGAATGCCGCCGCGAGAAGTTCGACGTCACACTATACCTCATCATCCACAACCATTACTGCTACTACTAGAAATCCTGCCTCGACAGGAGCGGGAGCAATGCCAATGGATAGTAGCAGCGCAACAACGACCCCAATGACCGCCAATGGTCCGGGTTTCGGTCTTGGTTTGGGTATGGGGGTTGGAATGGGCGGGGGCATGAGTACAATCCGCCAACGCACGTCGGTCGGCTCGGCCTCGGGTGCAGCGACGGCGACAACAGGCGGCGCCGGTGGCCGTCTGGTCGTCGACGTCCCCCCGGCCTCTCCGCCCAGCTTGGGCGCGATGGGGCTGGGGGCCTCGCAAGAACAGATGGAGGCCGAGTTTATTCGGCTCCTGGAGGGCATGCAGGGCACGTTGAATGCTGCCCGCGAGGTCGTCGGCGGGCTGGAGAGGCGTGCCCGGCAACAAGGGCAGGTGGAGAGTGAGTGGGAGGATGAGGAGTGAGGGGGGGTGGGTTGTGTAGGGTGGGAGGCAGAGAGGCAGGGAGGGAGGAAGGGAGTGCTTCGCAAGTTTTGTTTTTTTGTTTTCTTTTCTTTTCTTTTTTTATTAGTGAAATGCAATGTTTATATGAATAGATACATTTGCCCGAGCTGAATATTGAATGAAGGAACGAACGAGGAGAACGTGAGTCCACGACCACGAGCATGCTCCGTTTCCATCGCCGTCGTCTCCGCCACCGCCGCTAACTAGGTATCGCTCTGTCTCCCACTTTCAGTTTTAGGTGTGGGTATTCATTCATTCATACTGACAACTCTCACCGTCGTCCATCCCCATCATGACGACCTCCTGCCACTCAACAAGCGAAGAAGTCAACATGAGAGAGAACTGATATGTGAAATGTTATGCAACATGACACAACACAAGACAAACACCAGTTGTTCCCCCTGTCACACCTAACCTACCTACCTACCTCATTCTACCATCTGTAAATACACCCCGAGAGGTCGTCATGTACAAAGCGTGACTTTGTCCCCCCCAAAGAAAAGAAATGAAATGATACACCCAGCGGAATACACTGCTGCAAAACGACAGGAAAAAAACACACAACTTTCGAATCGAGTGTACTACTCATTGATTCTATTTGAAAGAGTTCCCTTCAGTGTACTCATATATTAATATCCATTATACTCGCTTGCTTTGCTGGATTATTCCCATAATGTTGCATTGCATCAGCCGTTGGTTCTTGATACTCAACACGTCAGTACGGATCCTAGTCAAAAGTCAAATTCTAATCTGCCCATCCTGTAGTAGGCCCACTACTCTTCTGCGGCCGGTGTCTAAATATCTCCCTGTTCACCGTTGGCTCCGTTCATAAGAGGGGGAATCTTTTCATTCTCGGCTCCCTGAAGATTGGGCGACTTGGTGGAACGGGCAAAATAGCTGTGAACCTCACTAGGGTGTTCGTCGTCATCATCCTGGACCTGTTCGTGAGCGGCCTTCTCTGAAATCCTCTCTGCCATGCGAGCCTCCCATTCGGCACGCATTTCTTCGACACGTTGCTTATAGTCGAGGTCTGCATCGTACTGCTTGCCAACACCGCGAATGCGTTCCCACAAACTCAGGTGCTTGGGGTGAATCGCAATGCCATGATACTCGTGTTCACGACCAGCGCGAATGAAGGCCCAACGTCTTTCCTGCTCCTTGAGATCGAGACCAGTTGTGTCGGGGAGGAAAATGACACTCAAGACAACACCGGCCAAGCCGAACCACGGGACAACATAGAACTTGGTCTGCGTGTCGATGTAGTTGTAGAGAATAGCCGCCGTCAAGGCACCTAGCTTGCCGCAGGCGGCAGAGAAACCGTGCGCGGTTGCACGGATGGCGACGGGGTACACCTCGGCGGCAGTGATGAAGGTGACGGAATTCGGTCCGAACTGGTTGAAGAAAGATGACAAAAAGTACATGGTTTGGAACTCTTTGATGTGCTCCGGAGAGGTGTAGTACTTAAAGTGGAAAGCGGGCACAACGAACAGGACGAAGTCGAGCAAGAAACCCACGGACTGCATGTGCTTGCGTCCGTAGAGCTTGTTGTCGATCAGGAAGCTGGCCATGTAGTAGCCAACGAGCGAGACTCCGACATTGATCAGGTTGTAAAGCCACCCTGGCATGATGGAAGTACTTCCTGGCATGATGACGCTGATGAATTCACTTTGGAAGAGCTTGTTGCCGTAGAAGAAGACATCGTTGGCATACCAGGTACCCGCGGTGGCCAGTATACGGCCGCCAAAGTAACGGAAGGTCAAAGAGAGGGACTCGGTGTCATAGCCAGTGACGCTGCTCTTAGCCTTGGCGAGTCGCAGTTGTTTGTTGGCTGTGGACTTGACCTTGTACGTACGCCAGTACACCAGCCACAGGGTACCGACTGCTGGGATGGCAAACGACACACGGAAGGTGTATTGGGCGGCGACTTTGGAGTAAGGCGCATTCCCACTGCCATGGTGGAAGATCAAAAGAAGAAGGATAAGGAAGACTTGGTTGAAGAACTGGCCCCAACCTTGCATCAAAAAGGCGCTGGTGACTTTGCGGCCACGGTGGAGACGATCATCTCGGGTCGAAACCTTTCCTGATCCTATGGCGTTTTCCATGCCGGAAGTGGCGGTCATGGGGTATTCTCCACCGACACCGATACCGTAGAAGAAGAGCGCCCAGGTATAGCAGATAACCCACCCATTCTGAGTAACACCCCAAGACGCGGTCAACATGATCAGGCCGATGAACATGATGGTAGCATCTTGAATCAAACCGTAGCGACGACCAATCCAGTCACCGATGACGCCAACCAGGATCTGACCGACGATGATGCCGCAAATCTCCAGGTAGTCGACAGACTGGATCCAGGTTTCGTTACAGATTTCGTTCTTCTTCCAGCATTCGGGAAATGCCTTTTGGAAAAGCGGCTTGAGATTGCCGATGGAAAACAGGACATAGCCTTCTAGACCGAGACCGGCGCCGGGTAGCACCATGTTGCGGAAGTAAAAGCCGATAGGCGCCAGGGGGTCCTCTTTGAACATCTTCCAGAAAGCACCAAATTCTCGGCGAGTCTCCTCTCGGTCGACCTTGGAGACGAACTTGATCCGTTTCATCAGAGGGAGGTCGGCCCAGTAGACGCCGTTCTCGTCGTAACTATCGTCGGGCTTCAAGAGAAGGTTGAATACCTCCTTCTCATTTTGCGTCATGTCAATGTCGGTGTAGTCGATGCCGATTGGGTGTGTACCCGTGACATCGGGTCCATGGGGGGCATTCGGACCATAGTCGAAGACTCTATCGTTTGAAGACATGGTGGCGAGTGCCGTGTCTCGAGACCCAAGACCTGAGACTGTGTTGCGAAGATAAACTCGAGAGAGGGGAACTAAGGAAGAGGGACGGAAGAAGCCCTTTTAACACCGAAGGGAGTCTGTCCAAGGTTGAAGAGAAAGTAAAAAGCAATCTTGACGGCAGCCAAGGCGATTGGATGACACCGGATCTGACGGGAGCACAACTAAGCAACAGCCACTTCCAAGGCTAAAGAGCTTGATAATCTGACGAGGCGGATGATGAGTGGGAAGCGAAACTCTGCAGTAGAGGACCAGAGGCTGAAGACAAGAAATGCCAAACAAAGCTTGAGTCCAGCCACGAGTTTAAACGGGCTGTTGTGATTTGTTGACGAGCTACGACCCTGGTCGACCCCTGTGGGAGCGTGCTGAGATGGTTGGTGGTCGGAATTGACTCTAATCGCCGTTCAGGGTTACACAAACGGAGATGTGGAGGTTAGATTGTTGCGAAAGCGACGTAGCGTGACGGGCTGCGTGATAGTGGTTGTCGTTGGCGTCGTCGTGGTCGGCAGTGGCGGCAACAAGCTACGTCGGCCTCGTGGCAGACACGAGCAAGATCGAGATGAGGTTTGATGGCGGGTGAGCTACCGTGTGGAGATACTCGGTTGACCACCTCAAATCAAGCTGGCTTGGGCGCTCAACAGAATGATGAGGCAGGATATGAAGTACTGATGGAAGGAGATTTGTACCAGAAAATGGGAGGGTGCATGAAGTATTCGTAGGGTCACCGAGTAAATAGGAAAATGATTTTTTCAATGAGAGGCTAGAAAGATGGCAAGCTCAGAAAATTGAGGATTGGCGGGAGGAAAGTGGCCGAGCGAGGAAGAAGGTGCCGAAAGCTAAAGAACGGTTCAAGCTGCTCGTGATGTCTGGCTGAATGCTTCGTGTGCCCGAAAGGCACGAGACAAAGCGAGAGATGGAGAAGTGTCCACTGTCTTCGACGGTACGGGACACGGTACTCGCCCTCGTACAGAGACCTGTGGCTCGAGAAGGAAGGCGAGGATGCAGGAGAGACGAAGGAAATGGACGAGGCAGGAATGGGCTGCGAGGGTCTCGCCTGCACTTACTGGAAGCGGTGGAACCATGACATTCACAGCTCCCCATGTCGTCCGGGGCTGCAGCGAGTAGCAGGCCGAGCATCGTCAAATCTCGTCTTGATCAGCGCTGCAACAGTCGAAAAAAGTGGCCTGTGTTTCTCTTCGCGTTGGAACTAGAAAACTTCGATGCGGGCGGCAAAAGGCAAAAGGCAAAAAATGAAAAATTGATGTCGAGTTTGACGTTCGTCGCTCACCCACGTGCATGTTTGATTGGCCACGAATTGACGACACGCCGGGTGACGAGCGCCAAGATCACCTGACTGGCTCCGGCTACTAACGCGAACAAGCGGAGAGTGGCCGAGCTTGGCAATGGTTAGTTACGGATGCCCTTAGGCTTGTGGTTCACAGTTAGTGAGAGTTAGCCTGGCCTAGTCGGGTTTAGTCGGAGCTTTTCGACAGTTGGTCCTATGGTTAATTAGACTTAGCGACTGCTAGCCGCATTAGAAACCTTGTTGCCCAAGAGAGACGCAGAGCACGAGAGCATTTACCGTCCAGGGAAAGGTAACAAAGGTAACAGAGATGGCCACAGTGACTGTGTTACGTACTTGCACTTTGTCATGCAAGAGAAGTCACACAAAATGCACAAGGCTCAGAAAACACGATGCTGAATACGACCAACGTTCAGATTTCCTTGTTCGCCTACTGCGCAGTAGTACATGTACAGTAAGATTTAATAATTCCCCGTCCTGATGCCACTGGTACGAACACATACATTCGAGCTGAACGGGAGGACCGGATGTCACGGACCAACCCAACCTACAGGAGCACCCAACAGTGCACAATCCTCCTCCCAGTAGATGGACGGCATTGCAGTAATTCCCACGTGTTCATACAAACCGATTACCATTCGTCCCAGTCCTGGACAGGTACTCCTCTACAAATGCCTCTTGTAGACCGGAAGTACACGTATTCAGCAAGAGACTGGAATGCCCACCTCAGAGGTAGCTTATGTACCTGAGAAATACGCTAGAGAACAAGATGACCCGGGTTCGAAGTTTTTCCTTTTCCGTGCTCCCAAAGCTTACATACCACGAGGGGCACGCAATAATACTACTGTAGCCTTGACGAGTATCTGCGAGGCTGAAAGCGGAGTATACAACACAAGCCCACCCACAGCCCATGAAAATTTTTCGATTCGTACCCATTTCATGTATCCGAGACCTCGATTTTCCCTCAAGAATCACACACAGAGATTGCTGGCGCCTTGCTAGCTCAATCGGTAGAGCGTAAGACTCTTAAACAAGAGATACAATCTTAAGGCTGTGGGTTCGACCCCCACGTAGGGCTCAATTCCCTCTCTCAACCCAGTTGAGGGTGATTCACTTCTTTTTTTGTTCTTTTTTTTTCGGTGCCAGAACTTGGTTCGAAAGCATCGGGTGGCTGATCGTATGCAATACTTCGTATGCTGCAATCTCGGCGGCACCGCTTCGTTTATACCTGATACTGCTGGCTATCTAGGTCCTTCATCGAGAGTATCTCTTGATGATACATTGTCAGGTGAGCCTTCCTTGAATCTCATGGATAACACCGGGCTGTTTCACCAAAGCCGGAAGTCGTTCTCCCCCCATACGTGATGAGTTTGTGGTTTCGGGGCTAGAAATCGACGCGCGAGGAATTTTTGCTTCCATCTAGTGCAATGTAGGATGACATAGTTTGGACAACCACGGCGTTTTTCACATTCAATCGCATTGTGAGTTCTTGGAACATCTTGAATATGTTTCGCTCGAAAGCGGCGACGGAATGGGCACCTCCTGGGTCTTAATATCTCATGACATACTTCAACATGTCGTAGCAATCATTCACAAGTCTCCAGCATCTTCTTTATGAAGCTCTGCAACGTCGGATTCCACAGAGCCGCAGCCACCCGTTCCTTGTCGGCTAATTGCTTATTGACCTCGTCAGCAGTTGAATGCGTCCCTTCTTTTATCCTCACGTCCACTCGGAACCGGGCTGGTAATGACTCTTCCAGCCGCACTCGAACTCCCAGACCGATCACGGTGGCCAGGCTGCAATGCTGAATGGTGGGAGTGATCAACACAGTAACGGTCTGTAAATTCGAGGCCGGGCGGCTCGGTATTGTGGGTTTGATCGATATATCTGGTAGTGACACCACTGCCAATGACCCAAGGGTTATGGGATGCTCAGGGTCCGACATTGTGGCAATGAGATCGTAGATCTCTTGAGCATCGATGGGTTCATTTTCGGCATCGCTATCACTGTCTTCGAACGAGGAGGGACTGGATGAGCGTGCGAATGGATCATTCATGAAGGAGGGGGCCGGATAGGCAAACGTTATAGCGCCGTCGGACTGTTCGTTTTGTGCAGATGTCCGCCGCCTTCGTGTGGGCAGGTCTGAGGGGTTGATTATGAGCGGATTGGCGTTTTTCCCGTCTTCCATGGCGGCGATAGTTTGGAGCGGACGCAATTTTTCTGAGAGACTTGTTCAGCACGACAGTCTGAGGTAGACTGATGACAACAGTGCGGTGAGGGTTGTTTCGTCGTGTTGATGGAAGAAACAGACTTGGGTCGACGAGAATTGGCCCAGTATCGGCATTCCCGGGCTTGGACATATTGAGACTAGTTCCACTCGTTGTCCTTATCAGAGGGCTAATCACGTGCAAATCAATACTCGCTTTGTCATTCTCCCTGTCACGTGCTAGAAAACACTCAGCGGCTCTCTCCGCTTGTCCTAATCTGATACTGTGTCCCAGTCAACAAGGCACAATGGATGGGCGGTTATCCATCGTCCTCTTACTCGATCCCCGTTGCGCAACTCACCTTGCATCGCGTCGACAGTGCACCAATTCCAAGCTCAGACAGACCACAATGTTGCACCCTTAACATCCAGCGCTTGGCGTGCGTCCGGGCAACCTCTATGACTATACTCATTACCAGTCAAGCAAAATAGAACATGAGTGCCAGCTAGTCATGTCATCTTCCCTCTCAGCCTCGACGAGTACAGTATGACGTCCCGGCTGCAGAGAGGGCTGAGGTACTTAGTAAGGTCACGAAATAGGCGTTACCTTATGCCTACAGTACAAATAATTGGCTTGAGGCTTGTGCCTATCACCCCCGGGGAAGGGGACCCGCAAACTCCTGCAGGGTTAGCCATACAAGTACAGTACGGTAGCAGCCATGGCCTACAACTTCCAAGTGTTGGCATCCCTAGCGGGGAAGATCGAGACCCGAGAAAACGGCGTGGAACGGTAGAAGCAGCGGTGGAAGCTTCGGTGGGTGGCTGCGACAGCGGGTCACTTCAGTGCTCGGACATGCCTGATGAGCCTAGCCCACACCCTTTGGGGCCTCCCGCAGGCTCACTAGGCTGAGCGCCAGGCTTCAGGAAAATTCCTTTCGCAAGGGCCTGGGCGTGTCCCAGAGGTCGATTCGTATACGATCAATGCCGGACACCTGTTCAGAGTACTCCGCAGAGTACGAGATGCCAGCGTGTGACAAAGCTTGAGGCGACGGTCCTTGGAAACTCAACGCAGCGCGAATCAACCGTCGTCGATCCCGTAGCGCCATTCTACCGTACTGATCAATGGACCCCTTAGCCTGGGAATCTGACTGCATGTGCCTTGAATTGGGGGCGAAACTGTTGCGAAGATCAGTAATGGAGTCGAGTCGATGACAAAACAGTGCGAGTATTGGGGGTTCCTCGTACTCCGTACTCGCAATCTTCTCCCGCTACTACTATTGCTACCAAACTTGCCCCTAGAACGTACAGTTTCTAGGCACGGAGCAAGACTCACAAAGGTTGTAGAATGTGCCTGGCTGTGCCCGATGCTTTGCCACCGAATGAGCCAACCCAACACCCTCTCTTAAGGATTTGTACCACGCACAGTCAAGTCACTCCTCTTGCCGCGGCGTAGTCAGCCTTCTCGCGTCAAGGTGGAGGGGAGAGCAGGATCTTAAAACGCCATCCTCTGACGTTGCAGCGCTGACGGGAATCGAGCCAACGACCTGCCGCTGTGCCTGGCCTAAGCACTTAGCACCCTGGTCTCTGTTACGGAGTAGCTGACCAGCTGCAACATTAGCTGAGACCTCAGACTCACTAGGCCTGGTGAGCGTGAGAGGAACAACTGTGGGACAGTGCGACTCTTCGCCGCACCACCACATGGCACAAACCGCTCGATCCTCACTCCCTCTCCTCCTCGTCCTGATTTGCCGAGCCCAAGTTTTTAATCAACCGCGGCGAAGCTGACGATTTAGCGAGACACATCAATCTGCCCCTGTCGGCGCACAGCCCATTTCTCCTCTGTCTGTGTGCAAAATGCACAGTCCATGGGCGTGCAGGTGAATTCGACGGATCCTCAAGGAGTCAGGGACATGGACAGGAGCATCTAGGCCACATAGAACGACAAAATTATTGGCATTTGCAGCCGGCGCCCAGGCCTTGGGCTACAGCATTATAGGCTACAAGCTACAGGCTTACAGCCACGGCGAAGATTTCAACCAGCCTGTGAGGTTTGGCGGCTCACTGGCTCCTACGTCGCCCTCGCATAAGCGGAACGATCTCCTGTCGAGTCACGCCCCTGCACCCACTTGTTTCCTCTATCACGACTGGGCAAAGCGCGGGGTGGTCGCTATTCACCTCAAACCTCGCGCATCTTCCTGTGTTTGAGAAATTCAATGCCATTGTTTGAACGCATCGTCCAGCCTGCCGCCCTCGGCCAATTCTTTTCCTGACTACTATTGGTAAATTGGTAAACCGCGCATGTGTCCTCCACAGGCCGAGGTTGGAGTTTGAGATTGCGCCACCAGAAAAGCAACGTCGCTGGTACGACTCCGTACTGACTAGTTGGCAACTCGAGAGTTTCATCAATTCTCTCGTCAGGATATCCCATTGTGATATATACGCTCTCTCGATCATCTTGCGCCACTGCGCTTGCCATCCCTCCACAGCGCGACCTCGTGCAGATCGGTCATCCGCATACGACAACGTTGACTGGATGTTTCCCGCCCCCTCCACGACAACGGGCCTTGATCTGGATTGAGCTACAGTCGCCGCGCTCTGCACTTACCCAATGTGGTGTCATCCGACACGAATGGTATTGCACCATGCAAAACTTCTCGATAACCTCCGGCCCTCCATCGGGCCCGAAGAACTATGTCTTTGTCGATGAACATAACCGACACAAGCGTCTCAAGGTAATGAGAGCCTGCGAAGGTTGTCGCCGCCGCAAGATCAAATGTGACTCGGCGACTACCAACACCTGGCCTTGCGCCGCCTGCGTCCGACTCAAGCTGCATTGTGTACCACCAGCTGGCGGTCTTGAAGGCGAGACCGGCGACTCAGGCCCCGACAGTGCTGTGGAACAGAGCATAGAGTCGCAACCCTTTGTCCAAAACCCAACACCGTCGCTTCAGCAAGCACCAAGCTATGGACTGGCAACGCCGCCGTTTCCGGCGACACAAGCCGGCAACTTCGCGTATGATGCCTACGTCGCCAACTATTCAAAGCCGCCCTACGACATAACAGAGAATGGCTACTATCCCAACCCTCAGCAATACCCTGGTGCCCTTGACGATCAATATCAAGCCGGCGCTCATGCTTTTCCCCAGTATCAAGGCGATCCTGACTCGCAGAGGGAGGAAAGGGCAGCATCCACCCCGATGGATCAGATGACAGCTGAAGAACTCATGGAGTATCTCGGTCAGCTTAAAATCGGCGAAAATGGCATTGCGCCTTACTTGAGGCCTGAGAAAACTCAAGGCAAAGATTCGGTCGCTCCAGTTAATGAGCCGGAGGCCGAAGCCAAGATTGCCGCAGCATTCAGTACCGATGCTGGCTCGCACATTCGAATACCTCCGGCGCTGATGCCTTCGGACGAGGAGGCTTCCCAAGCCTTCCAGACCTTTTTCAGAGATGTACATCCGTATGTTCCTGTCCTAAACCGAAGGCAGTTCTACGATCAGTGGCGCAACGATCGAGCGTCAATATCTCCTTTGATCCTCGAGGCAATTTTTGCGAATGCAGGTCGACTATCTGATGACCCAGCGCAAGGTGCCCAGTGGCTAGCCCTGGCCAACAGTAAGCTTGGCATGTGCTAATTATTTCGAACTCTGATTGACAAAGAGCAGAACATGAAGCGTGCTTCCTCGACAGTCCTCGTCTCAGTACGATACAAGCACTTCTGCTGCTTCTCAAAGCGCGGGAGAGCGCCCCTAAACGTGGATATTACTATCGATCATGGATGACTTGCAAAACAGCAGTCACTATGGCAAAGGACTTGGAGCTGGACGAGCACTACGAAGTTCATACCAGTGGAGAGTCGTGCGGTTCTACCAAGATCGAATGCTTGACCAAGACTCGATTATGGCAGACACTACTTGTCTGTGAGACAATGGTCGGCGGTCCACAAGGTACCTAAGAAGCAGCTGTGCCTCTGTATATAAAGGGCTTAGCTAACTGTATCAGGTCGCACGGATCTCGGCGTGGATCCAAAATCAGTCGATACCAGCGTCAATCCTCCTTCTTCTGATGTGGATGACTTTGAGAAGGCAATCTCAAGACAATTTGCCTATTTCGTTCGAAACGCTCGTAACATTCGTCTCATAACCGATGTCTCCATCAAGCTCAAGAAGAAGAAAGACTGGGGGCTAGATCAAGAATTCGTGGCGCATAATGTGGCGTTCAAGAAATGGCCTGATGAATTACCCAAGGATCTTCAGGTGACCTTTCCACAGGACGGGGGCGTACCGACACTGCCATCCCATTTCGTTGGAAATATGCATTCACATTACCATCTCGCCATTGTCATGCTTCATCGGCCGCAGCTCAAAGCTTCCGAGTCATTCGGAGCCGACACTCAGTGGAGACATCATATGAGTACTTGTTATCAATCGGCAAAGGCGCTTTGTCGCCTCCAGGAAGCGGTCCTGGCTCAGTACGATCTCACAGGGTTGCTGTACATGCAGAGGGGCATCAACTTTACGATCTACGCCATCTTGACGTGTGTCATGATCCACCTGATTGCCCTGTCGTCGCCGGACCCAGAATACAATCTAGAAGCCAAAGACTATTTCGTCCGACACATGCGCATCTTGGAACGATGTATAGCCGCTTGGCCCATGCCAGAGACTGAAGCGCAAATCAATTCCCTCCGATCAGCGTTTTCGGCAGACGTGAACAAACCTTTTGAATTGAAAGAGTCTTTCCCTCTTGGGTCGCCTTCCGACCAGTCGCGCCCGTCGCCGGCATCTCAAGGCCCTTACGAGAAGCAGCAGCAGCAGCAGCAACAGCAGTCAACGCCACAAGTGTCTGTTAAAACCGAAATCCAACAACCTCAACCCAATTATTTCCCCTCGCATATCCAGCAGATGCGTGGGCCAGCTGGTTATCTTGCCACCCCTCCCGTGTCTGCTTACTCTAGTGACTCTCAACCTCAGACACCCCTGTACGCCCAACAGTACGACGTTGACCAGGCCCATTACACCAGCATGCCAACGAGCGCGTACTATCACCAGCAGGGTACCTCGGCGCCCGAACTTCAGTGGAACCCGACTCCCATCATCGACCAGTTCGACACGGCGTTCGCCATCCCGCCGTCCCAACTTGCGCCTCCCCCATCGTCGTTGTACGGAGGCAGCAGTTCGTCACCGCCAGGTGGCAGCATGCAAAATATGCAGGCCAGTTTCACCTCGACAGGTTCGCCGACATACGGAGGAATCAACTCGCAGAATTACCCCCAGCAGCAGCAGCAGCAGCAACAACAACAACAACAACACTACTTTGCGTCGCAGCCTCAGTCTTTTCCGGACCTGTCGTCCCCCGTGGCCGGCCACATGGGTCAGCTTCCGGCCGCGTCGTCATCTTCTTCGACCGCCTACCCGGCGTCCGGTGTGGGAGCGGGCATGTTTGTCACGTCTCGACAATGGCAGCAGAGCGTGGCAAATGTCATGGATACTGGTGGTTTGAAGAGGAGAGGGGACTTTGATCAGCAACGGCATGGGTGAATGCTCCGAAATCATCCTTTATAGGAGGAGTATGGATGGCGATCTACTGGTTTGCTTTGGAAATCCGTCTTGTTGGTCTAGCAAAGCCTCGCATGGCAAAGAGAGACTCGACTCGACTCCATCACCCCCCGCCCGCTCTCCGTCTCTCCACCTCTATCTCTCGCCCCTCCCTCTTCTTGATTTTCCCGGGCGTTTCCTTTTTTTTTCTCTCTCTTTGCGGGCGAGGACAAAAGAGACGCCGTTGATGAAGAAACGAGACGATAATGACGATGACGATGACTATTATTAGTGCTATTATTATTACTGGTTGGGTTGATATCCCCAGTCCAAATTGGGACATGTACATATGCGTCTGTCTATCTCTCTGTCTCTCTCTTTGTGTGTGTGTGTGTGTGTGTGTGTTCGAGACAACTACGAATAAAATCATCGTAGTGAAAGTACGAGAGAGAGAGTACAGGACCTCAAGTAGGACGGACAAAACGCTCAAGCACCTCATGTAGATAGATACGCACAAAGTAGGACATTGGCGTTCGAGCCATGAGGTGTGTGATACTTGGGTCATGAGACTAGTTACTACCTATGTATCATAGGTACGGCCTTTAAAAATTATAACAGGTAACGCGCTGACGTCCTCCAAATAGACTGTCATCGGTAGCAGTGGCAGTATCAATGCCAACACCGTCATTGGTATTGATACTGATATCGAGATGGTATGACGATGTAAGGACTCTGGAAGTATGAGTATCGCTCAATGGTACAAGCACTATCTGTCTCTTTCTTTGTGTGAGGTTTGAGTTTGTTTCTTGAATCTGCCCCCGCGTCGCCAATTGTCAAACAGGAGTGAGTAATAGTGCGACGTCGAGGTTGGATTTATCGGTAGGGTCGCCTAGTTATAGTGACATGACTGAGACAGCGTTGTTGCTCGGTTCTGTGAGACTTTTTGCATCTCTCTTTCCGGCATACGGCTTCTGCACCTTTCCTTTGGGGACCTTTCTCTAATCAGTTGACTCTCGAAGCAGTTTCTATCCTAGGACTAAAGCCAAGGCCGTCCGGCTTTCGTCCTTTGCAGCATGGCGAGCGCGGCGCTGTGTGCTCGCATCGAGAGATATTTGGACAAGGTGGCCAGTGTATGTTTGTGCAATTTCTTTTTTCAACCACAAGCACTAGCACGCTTGAGTTTAGTGGTATTTGGTCACCTTCTGGTCACCTCCTGGTCAACCATTGCATCAAACTGCGGTCCCAAGCCTCTATGCGAATGGGCATCTCCATCTGCCAAAATGGGTTCTTGCACACGAAATCCGCGTAGCGCTCATATATGCCCTTCATGAGAACGTCCGTGTTCGGCATGCTCGGGTCCGTGAACAACAGAAACTTTGTGCCCGTCAGGGTTTGGAAGACGGTCAATCGGAAAAAGGACGACTCGAGCGTTTCGATCCCTGTCGGCGCGACCGTGGGATCGGGGTACGTCCAGTTCTTCTTCCCGGCAGAGCTCGCGGACGAGGTGACAGGTAGCTTCGGCGTTATGGAGCGTGTGATGGCGTGTACACCGTGGAATGTACCCGCTAGGACGAGGTAGTCGTTTGTAGTGAGCGTGCTGGTCCCAGGGAGACCTAGTGTGCCGCCTGTAGATTGACCTCCTCCTCCGCCGGATTGGTTTGGGTTCGCGGTGGCCGCGCCACCAGGAGGAGACGTAGGGAATGTGCGGTGGTACACTAGCGAGCCCGCTTTGGATATGATCATGAGAGCGAAGACGGGCCTGAGTGTTCCCAAGGAAAAAGAGGTATTAGCACAGACATCTGATGGTAGTGAACTATTGTAGTGGACTTACATGGCGATGAGATGGCGGGGACCGCTGTGCGGTCGAGGGGGTCGTTTCAACAGGTTAGTATCATCTTTCTGGACAGCTGGAAACAGACGCGGCTACTCGAAACGCCTACGAAAGGCGTCGTTCGTTTGGAGGCTGGTGGTCAACATCGATCTCTGAAACCATTTCCTCAGGGACAAGTATACAGTACATGGAGATCACCATCAAGGAGTCACTGCCAAGGTTTCGTCAAACCGCATGCGTCCCAGCCTCGATTTGGGAATATAATGATGCCGCTTTTGAGCAGCCTCGGCCGGTTGTAAAGACGTGTTTGACAGGGTATCCCCTAACTCAGCCTGTCTAGCACTTGATCTTTCAATGATCTTAAATCTAGCGTCGCTCTACCCTTGCAGGTCAGTAGGGAGGCTTGGAATATGGTTGACGCGGCTACTGGATGGAAGAGCCTTCTGTTTGAGCTCCTCGTTATACGCTCGTAGGGCGTACGAGGAGTAGTTGCCGCTCCAAAGCTCCGTCATCATCGCCCTTTCATGGCTCCAAGACGTCAACTGGATCGTCTTCAAATTCCTAACCCAAGTTCAAGCGATATGTCAAACCGAGTTGATGAAGCAATCGCCACAAGAATTTATTGGATTCGACGAAAAAGCGAAAACAGAGACACAGATTGGCTTCCACGGATCTCTGATAGACGCCTTCAAATAGAGGAACCCCTGGGCGCGTTGGGCTGTGCTTCAACTCAACCAAGTTGCCGACATTCACCAGAGGTCGCGAGTCTGTCTGCCGCTGGTGGAGTCTGGCCACTCTATTGCGCTCTTCAGATCAAGGCCCCATTATGCAACTTTATCTTGAGATGGGGCGTATTAAGGCTTACAGCAGAAATGAGACCGTCGCTGCCAGGGTGCGTGAGAGGATGAGTAAGAGAGTGACAAGGTACTCGTAGAACTTCTAGTTATATGTACCTATTCAATATACTGTACGCGCTTCACGCCGCTATAACGACGTCAGCCTCGGGGCAGTTTGACCGTGTTGCCAAGGCTGCGAGGCTACTGACGTGTATTTGGAGTCGCCTTGACTTGCGGCATCTCAAACAAGCAACCAAGCAACCACCACTATTACCAGCTCAATCTCCTCAACCTCGTATCCCCTCGTTCGCCTCATCGCTTTCCAGTCACCTCATCCCTCCAGCTCCGTTTTCTTGCAAGCCTTTTCATTCTCTAAGTTCGCTTTCGAATAGAAGCCTCGATCGTCTCGCAACTACTCAACGCTTCAACACCGCCATCATGGTGCTCGAGGCGACGATGATTGTGGTGGACAATAGCGAGGCCAGTCGGAATGGTGATTACCCGTACGTGCTACGATGCTAATGTCATTCCTGTTGCTTACAAGGCCTCAGGCCAAACCGATTCGCAGCACAATCCGAGGCCACGCAACTCATCTTCAACGCAAAGACAGGGTCGAACCCCGAATCCGCAGTTGGACTCATGACCATGGCCGGAACTGGTCCCACCGTCCTGAACACTCCCACCACAAATTTTGGCGCGATTCTAGGAGGTCTACACGAGACCAAGATCAAGGGACACATCAGACTAGGCACCGCGATCAGCGTTGCGATGCTAGCACTCAAACACAGAGCGAACAAAAGTCAACGGCAACGGATTGTTGTCCTGATCTGTAGCGAATTGGACCCGAAGTTTGGAGACAAGAACGACACAGAGAAGGAACTGGTCAAACTGGCTAAGAAGTGCAAAAAGAACAACGTCTCGGTCGACTTCGTGGCATTTGGCGATGCGGTCGAGTCTTCTACAAAAGCAGTACTGGAGAAGTTCGTGGAAGCCGTGGGTGGTTCTTCAGGCGAGGGTAACTACCTTGCCGTTATTCCTCCCGGCCCTGGTCTGCTCGGCGACAGCCTCATCACGACGCCTATTGTCAACGTGGGTGGAGATGCAGGTCCCAGCGGAGGTGGCATGGAAGGAGTCGAGACCGGCGGGGGTAGCGGTGGAGGGTTCGAGTTTGGAGTCGACCCTGCCGCAGACCCCGAACTGGCTATGGCGCTGCGCATGAGTATGGAAGAGGAACAGAACCGACTTGAGCGAGAACGAAGAGCCCGAGAGGAGCAAGAACGACAGAGCGGCGACAGAATGGAGACAATCACCGAGGAGGGTCAAGGACAGCAGCAGTCATCAACGAATGGAGATGGAACTGACTCGAAGCAGCCTCGAGTGGAAGACGACAAGAAAGAGTGAAAGCGGCTTGCACTGTACCAATATCTGATAGAGTTCTTATTACGTTCTGAATAAGAAAGAATGGGCCCAGGCCTTCTATGGCTGGCGTGCTATCATATCAAGATACAAGCTGAAATCCAAGTGCTTGTTCTAGTCTCCCCGATCTCCCTGACATGATCACATCCAATGCTCAATTAGCCTCTGGACATTCTTCTGTCTTTGCCCGGATACCAAAAATGATTGGCCGTAGCGCCACGTAAGGTCCTGTGATGGTTCCAACATTACACCCGGCATTTGTTTCAGCCTCTAAAGTCGTTACCTGCCATTCATATGGTCATCGAAGCTGAGGCATGACATGGCTATGGTCATCCCTCAAACCGGCCCTTCACTTCCCCATCCATGAATCAATCAATGTCATCGGGCATGCTTCAATTCAAGCCTTGATATTACTCCAAAAAGCTGAGTACCAGACCGTCAACAATCATAGGGACGAAATGGCATGATATGCAGGAAACGGACACAATCTGCTTCCGTGACGTTGAAAGCGGAGGGTGCGCGGATGCCTAGTAGGTCGATCGATGTCGTTGGTTTGTGTCCATTTGCGCGTACCATTGTGTGCGCGGACCATTGTGTGTGTGCGTAGGTACATATCGTGTACATACTGTTTGTGTGTCTTTCATCTTGGATTTCCCATACCCATTATTCTGTCCTCGCGACTCCTCACTATCCGCGCCTTGTCTCCCGGTAACGGCTTGAGTTCGTCATTGGGATCAATCGTACCGCCAGTTGCATTGGATGAGGCGTCACGTCGGGCGCCGCCGCCCATCTGCATCTGCGCATCGTGATCGTGATCGTGACCGGGCTGCCGGTGCTGGTGACCTGCGGTTCCGTTGCGAAAGTAGCCCTCGGGGTCTTCGCCGGTCTTGAGGTAGCGCGCGTAGGCGACTTTGCGGGCGAGTTGTTCCTCGAACGCGGCAATGTCTTCGCTGGTTATTGTGAGCGCCGTGGGTTTGCGGCGAAGCATTTTTGTTTGTTTATTGACGATCGTTTGGTCTCCCGTCTGGTCTTTGGTATGGTCTGGCGCGGCTGGTGTGCCCCAGATACAAGTAGGAAGTGTGGTCTACAAAGTAACGAACGTGCGGGAGAGAATGTCGTAGGACGCTAATACTGATACTACTATTTCACATGTGAAGTGATTGTGTGTATCGTGACAAGGTTGTTGACAGCCGACGTGAATATTATACAAGTAGTACAGCAAGTCAACCTAAGGTAAACAATATAAATATTCGGAACCACAAAAATGCGGAGGGACCGGCGATCGCACGTAGAACACCACCGTAAATATCGTCTCCCCATGTGTTAATAGTATGCACCTTCTTTTGTTCCCAGCATGTGCGATACTCCAAACTGGCTGTGTCACTTGTGTCGTTCTTTTTGGAACATTCAACTCCTCCTACAAAATGACGCAGGTGTGTGTTGAAATGGTAAGTAAACTTGTCGAGATCGGATCCCGGATCCCAGATTCTCGAGTGCATGACCAGCCACAGGTCTCCAATTCTCGCCTCACAGAAAAACCAGCATCGTATGGGCCACTGCGGTAGGTATAGTGCCCTGCACGGTGCGGAAGCATTTTCAGCCTGATCGATGACTATCCTAAAGAACTGGCGACCGAAGAAAGATGTCGACCTGCCTGTACATGCAGAAAAGCCGTTTGCGCAGAACTACGACAAGGTCCAGGAACAACAAGAACTCGGTGCTGTTATGAGATACTATTCCCTGCAACCCAGAGATGTTCGAGTGCTGGAGATTCTTCAGCCTGATGATGGGCAACTTCACCAGGACAACGATGGATAGTATCCTCGCACGTGCATCAATGGTGACCCATCCAAAGACGAAACGAGAGCACGAACCTAGATGCCCTCTGGTCGAATCAGTCACATTGCACTACACCATGCTGGCCCATACGCTGAGACCTTGCGCTAGGATGAAGCCGTCGACCCTTTATCGCCCTTAACTAAGACTGGGACGACGAAACCGACCTTGGGAGTATCACAATGGATGGCTATGGTCACGTTGTACAAAAGAACTTGAACAAGCCTGTATTTGCTTTGAGAGACATAAATATGGTGTATCAGGCTGTAGAAGATGCGCGAACGCCTTGCGTATCGTTCAGAGAAACGCCGCTGAAGTCAAACGATGAAGCACATTTACAGGGAACCCATTACGAAATACAGCAGATGGCAGCCACCTGGCTCTCGACTCTATCACTACCGTCAGTCACAAGAAGTACAAGTCTGTGTCCGAAGTACTCAAGATGTGGCTCACGCAAGACTTGAACACATATGGGCCGGAGATATAGCCTGCGCCGTCAAGATGGATGCTCCGAGAATCCCGTTCGCACTTCTGGATCATCCAAGAAGTGGCAATCGGCGAGCCGACTGCTGTGACTGTGCGGAAAGAGCGCGACGACGTTTGCAAAGATGATCAGGTTCACGACGCTTTCCACCTCCACGAAGTAACCCGCAGATACCGCGTCCTGATGCCCAGCAATCCAGCAGTGTACGATTCCTATCGTAACATCTTGCACTGTCAGTGGGAACAGTGCGAGGAATTTCAGACGCTCCAAGATGCACTGATACACTCGTCTCAAGGTAACTTCAAAGGAAACTTACTTACCCGCGGTCGTATGGCGACGTCCCGGAAACCAGCTGACAAGTTGTATGGGATCTTGGCTCTTTTGGACGACGCCATTTTGGCGCAGATTGTGCTCGGTTATTGAAATTCCCTGCGTGAAGTCAACATGTCTTTGCAAGCATGTGGATGCGTTCGAAGGAAATATGTGCATGCTCGTCCAGTGTGGCGAAAACAGCAGAAAGGACCAGAGGTGGACATTAGGTCTTCTGCCTTGGACTCCGAATCTCCTGATGAAAGAGATCAAGCTGCAGCTGAACAACGTGGACCCTGAATTCAACAGTAGCGGTGGGAGGCCTGCAACTAATGTAAAGTTCCTGGACGACGACGATTCATTCTTGTCGCTCGAAGGAGTGCTTCTTGACACCCTGGACGGTTGGAGCAAGACTCGACTTCGATGTGACGATTTCAATTCGGTACAAGACATTCGGAACTCGGCGTCGTCTGCCAATGCGTACATTCCAATTGACGAAGAGCTGAAAATGGCGTTGTGGAAAGAGCTGGTTTGTAACCGAGCAGGCATAGCAACGCTGCTGGACCTCATCATGAATGCATTCTGGACGCCGCTATTCTGGATGTTCAATGCGCTCCGCCTCACCTATGTTCGGCTATACGGCGTACTGACGACTCGTTGCGCTGGAACTTACACCTTTGGCTTAAGGGGCAGCCGATCATTCCAAGTCGGTGGTAAATGCCTCGCAGAACTTTTCCAAGATCTTGGGGTCATGAGGAGTGAGCCATGGGCTTACTATCAGAGTATCGGAAGAGCGGTCACTTGAACGTGACCAAGAGATTCGACATTGTGACAGAGTCATGTTCAAGGCCTGATGAACGCTGAGATGGTGAGATTGTTGGAACATCTATTTTGTCAGATGAAGCGAATACTCATCGGTTGAGAGATTTCCAGCAAGGCTCTCGCGGTTGATTTGCGAAGCTGATCTGTCCGAATGTGACCGCTTTAAGCATCTAGCCACCTTCAAATAGCACAGCTGCGATCTTAGAGTAATAACCAGGTTGGATCGAGTGATTGATTGTTGGAGAGGGTCTGAAACTAGTCAGGATTGGACCTCCTAAGGGCCGTGTTTTCCCAAGCAACTGCCCTGACCGATACGCCGATACGGTTATGCCCACCGCAATCAGTAGCCGCTGTCACCCAGGCGGGGAGAAGATAGTATGAAGGGTGTCAAAGATTGCGACGTTGATGGGCCGCTGACACTCGCTTCTGTCGATACAATAGTACGAGTATGACGTTTGGGCATGAAAATCGCCCGTGCTCCGTACGGAGCACTCGTACACGTGGGCCCCTTGCTCGCGATTGTTCTCATTGCACCTGCTGGTCGGGGTACTCGGCTCCTGCATACTGTAACCAAGACGAAAGCAGACTTTCCGATCTTGAAATTGCGCGCATGATGGGCAGACTCAGGGGGGAGGACGAAGGATGCTTAAGCGAGAGCAAAACAGTTCCACTAGAGCCGTTTTAATCAAGGAAGTTCAACCAGGAGATTCCCGAATTGCACTGAGGCGCAAGGCGTTCGGTGGTTCCTGAACCTGGTGTACCGTTTGGTTGGTGGCTCGTTTCAAAAGAGCCGTATAAAGTTGGAACGCGACGCGATGGCAGAAGCTCTTTGCCTAGTCCGTTTCTGGACTAGCCTGGTGGTTAAGCCCACTTGCCTTAAGATTGCGTGCTTGGCACTGCAGCCTCCCGCCTTGTCACTTTGACTTCTCCCCTACCGACCCTCCCCCCCTGGATGCTCATCCGCCCAACGCTGATTGTAACGCTCCCTCCGTTGAGTCAGCTACCTCGGTCATTCATCACGCAGGCATGAACTGTGCGCTCAGAAGGTTGCTGTCAACGGAATTGTCCTCGACAATTCTATCGAGGTCCCCGTATTGTCCAACCCGGTTCGCCTCAGCTCGACTCCTGCAACCAAGGATGCACACTCTGTGCCAACAAAGCCTCCTCGTAGCTTGGGGTAAGACAACCGTGACAGACGAGAGGCTGATGATCCCGCCCTCCTGTAACAGGGAACTAAAAGGTAAAAGGACAGTGTTTAAGCACGTCTTAGCTGGTTCTGGACCCGTTGTTCCAATTTCTTTTATGCTGTCCATTAACACTAGCTCCCAATCCTGGGGCTGAGCTTGGCTTTCCTCCAGCCTGTCACAATCGAGATTTCATCAGCCTTGTGTGAGGAGAGAGAGTGGTCAGGGGGTGTTGTCACCTCATCAACTCAAGTTTTCTGTGGTTTTCCGCCCGGCCAATTTACCAGAACTCTGCGCCCCTACCACGTTGGCTCCATGATCCCATCGAATTGGATCTTTGTGACCAGCGAGTGGGACCTTCTGGACCAGGTCAACAATATCGCTGCCCACACATGTCCATCGGCTGTCTAGCCCACTAGCCCCTATCAAGCGCGCGAATCGACGCCGTCATGAAGGAAATGAACCGCTATGGCCATAAATAACACCTCCACAGTGTTATATACTATTCCTCGCCTGGTCCTCGTCTCTTGTTTTTCTTCTCTCCTCCCCGACAATCGTTCCAAAATCACGGCCACTTGACCTTTGTGTCCTCACGCTCTTTACACACCCAACGGTTCTTCCAGAGTCTCCCCCACGAGCTCTAGTCACTCTTTGAACCTCTCAAAACAAACCCTCAAATAATAATCACCATGGTCAAATACACCAGCACGATCTTGGCTTCGGCCGCCCTGGCAACCACCGTTGTCGCCAGCGACCCGGTCTGCAGCGTCGTCACCGAGGTCATCACCGGTGAATGGGAATGGATTGCCGACCCAACATGGGCCGACTGGACCACCGCGACCACCACGACCACCAAGAAGCCCGCGGTCACAACCACCACCACGTTTGACCCAGCTTGGTTGGACTGGACCACCACGACCACGACCACGACCCCCGTCGACCCAACCTGGCTCGACTGGACTACCACCACGACCACCACCAAGAAGCCCGCAGTCACCACCACGACCACCTATGTTGACCCAACTTGGTTGGACTGGACCACCACTACCACTACCACCACGACCACCTACGTTGACCCCACCTGGTTGGACTGGACCTCGAGCTCGGCGGCCACGACCACCACGACACCCGCACCAGTTTACACCACCACCACCACTACCCCCGGTGTCGTGACCACCACCACCACGACCACTGTGGCCCCTCCCCCGTCTGCCACCTGCCCTGCAGACAACGGCGCGACCGTCCCCGGCGCCGGGTCGTGCGAATGCGAGTACCAGGTCAACTGCAACGTCCATGCCGACACCTCGACCAACCCTACATTCTGGCAAACCACTGGCACCGTTGATACGCTCCAGGCCTGCTTGGACATTTGCGACAACAACAGCCTCTGCACTGCCACCATCTGGTGCGACGACAGCTCCCAGTGCGGCAGCGACTACCACGTTTGCTGGCAGACAAGCGGCCTCGGTGGCGTTGCCGGCGCTGGTTATGGCCAGGTCTCGTACAAGAGCTCTTGCAAGGGCAGCTGCTCTTCGTCTTACAACTCTTAAGTCTTCCTTGAGGAGAATTGAGAGGTGGCAGGGGATGATGGGAGAGAAGTGAAGAGAGACAAGGGAGAAAGGTAGTTGGGAATGTGCTTCGTAGATTTGTTTTACGTTGTATGTATTGTGTGAGTGTGTGAGTGTGAGGAGGAGAATACCCTCTCTCAGGTAGTGAGTGGGTGAGTGGTATGGACATCGCATGTATGTATGTATTTTGAACGCCATGCGCTTGTTATTTTTTGTTTTGTGAAATTCCAATCATGTTCTCTTCTTTTCCTTTTTTTCCTACTTTCCATACCATGTCGCTGTCTTTGACATCATGATTATGGGTATGAATATCAATATGAAGATGGTGCGAATGTGGATGTGGGGTGAGTAGCAATTTGTCCTTGATGGTACTCCGTATGTACCCCGTAGCTCCCAGTCCCCATCTAGGTACCGTGTGTGCATACTCGACTTGACTTATCGGGGACGGAGTATAGGTGTGGGTAATCTACCTAACTACTTAGTATGCGTATGCTGACTCCGTCGAGGTAAGTATTGTATGTACTACAGTACCTGTCCACCAGCAACGGGGTGCCAGGCAGGCTCCTCCGTACTCCGCAGACAGGTCAGTCATACCTTCCAGTAGGTTACCGACATGCACACGCCAACTTCTGGTCTGGTTTGCACTGGACTCTGAACGACAAACTAGGTTTATGTTACCCGGGACAAAATACTCCGTTTTCATTGTCGAAGCTCTATGCTCTATGATTTCCTTGCACGTAACACTCGACAACTCTAGCACCCGTGCGCCCATATCGCTCATTTTTCTATGTATATTTTGATTCTCCCGCCATCAATCTGTATGCCCCTTTTTCTCAAGAAAGAGAGGAAAGCCCATGTTTGTTGAAGTAGGGTGGCAGGGCAGGGCAGGTATATATAGTGTTAACCGTCGTTTAGTTTTGTCTGACTTTTGCTGGTGTTGTATTGTCTTGTTTTCGCGTCCTTCGGTTGACTTTTCTGTTTTCGTTCGTGTCTCGTTCTTGTTTAAATAACGTCATGTATAGGGGGAACGGAAGCACAGTTAAAAAAAAAAGGGGGGGAAACCCTCCTCTTTTGTCTATTCTCCACGCGTATACTTTGTCCACTGTCTCCATTTCGCGCCGTACTTGAAAATCAAGACGGGGATGGGAGCAAAACACAAACTCACACCGGCCAGAGCAGTGAATCCCCAGCCCCAACCGAAAGCGTGGACGAGCGGTTCGGCCATAAGCGGTAGAAAGGTGGCCACGAGGCACCGCATGACGATGACGGCCGTCATGGCCGAGGCCGAGTACAATTTGAACGCGTCGACAATGTAGGCCATCAATGGGACCAGCCCGAGAATGAGAGCCGCCCCCAGTGCGCCGACCCCTGTCAGCATAACGGCGAGAGGCAGGTGAAGTTGCGGGATCCAGCCGTAGATTGCAATCACCACGGGCATGATGAATGCGCCAAGGATCACCAGCGGTAAACGGAACTCGGGCTGTTCGTTGCCGTGGTGGGATTTGCGTAGCCGGATGTAGATTCGATCGAGGAGGAGGTTACATAAGATAACGCTGAAAAGGGCGCCGATGCCTGCAGAAAGAGGTAGATTGTCAGTATGTATACGTATCAGGTGTCCATGGTATACGATGTTGTGGGTGGGTCGTGGGCTGTGGACACAAAGGGGCAGATGGGTAGAAAACGTACTGTTACACACAAAGCTAGACCCCGTAAGAGCAGGGGAGAGATGATATATATCCTGAAGAATATCGGGGAGTGTCGTGGTCATGATGTAAAAATACGAAAAGTTCAAGCTGCCGTAGATCGAAATCAACTGAAGCACCGAACTATCGGCAAACACCACCAGTGGACGCAGAATGGACTCCCAGAATTTCCGGCTGGTGCTATCATTCTTGTTCTCGCCGACGTCGAACGCCGTGCGGAGGTTGAGATTGCCCGTCTCGTGGCGGAGGCGAGCTGCTTTCCGTCTCAGGATTGCCACTTTGTAAGTCTCGCGGAAGCACGTGAGGAACAAGACCTCAGCGACACCGGCAAGGATAACAGACATCCAGAGAACTTGACGCCAGCCTAGAGATTGGGCGATGGCGCCGGCTATGGCAGGTCCGATGGCGCCTCCGAGCAAGGGTGCAAGCATGATGTACGACATGGCGGTGCCTCTTTGGTCAGACACGAACATGTCTCCTACGATCGCCGGGTTGAGGACGTTGGACGCCACGGCCACACCGGTCAGGCACCGCGCGGCGATGAAGAGGGGAGTGCTTTGACATAGTGCGGCCAGGACGGTGGCTGAGATGAAGAGGATATTCGCGGTGTTGACGACTGGGTACCGTCCGAAGAGTTCAGAGAGTGGTGCAATGAGGAGGGGACCGCCGGCCTCGCCCAGCTCCCAGATAGTGACCAGGAGGACGCTGGATGATTTGCTGGAGTGACCGCCGGACAGATCGTCGACGATCCTGTTGGCGACGGGGACCACGGATGAACATGTGAATGTCCTAAAATGAGGTTTTAAATCAGACAATGAAGAAGAGAAGGGGTGTGGGTGAGACGGGTAAGAACGCACACTGTGAATGCCATGAAGGCGAGAAGGGCTACAATGCTCCATTTGTATGTCTGCGGCCAGTCTTCTGGGTTCTCAGGGTCGCCATCGACGTCGAAGGTGACAATGTCTTTGTCGAGGTCGGCCGGAATGGGCTCTGGTGGGACATCGGGGAGGAGAGGCTGAGTTTCGTCCATGGTTGGGTTAACTTGAACCTAATCTCTGATGTTGTAGGTAGGCTCCTCAAATCTCTGTATCCTCAGAACTGGATTACTGCATATTTTGTTTCCGTAGATCTCCAAGCTAAAATATGTCGTGATTTCGACAGACTCTTAGTCTACCAAAATTTGTATATCAGGTACCCCTCTTTGGGCCGGTCAAGTCAAGAGAGCCTGCTGGATTAATGCGGTACAGGTACCAAGCCGATACACAGAAGTTGTGATAGTCTTTGATCGATATGTAGGGGTTATATCCCAGATCGATATGAGGCCGGAGAGATGTGAGGAGTGTTTGTCGGTGTTTGTCAGCAAAGGCACTCAAAAACCAGGATCATGTGATCTGGCAAGAGTGGGAGGACAATCTCAGAGCAGCAACAGAGAGGGACTCGCTGTTCTATGCCTCCTCGTCTCATCAACTCGCCATGTGCACTCCAGTCAGAAAAAAGAAGGAAAACAAAGAAAAATCTTTGCTGACGACGACCGGAAGCAACCTCCAGCGTCAATCGCCGCACAGGTCCGCAGGATCAGCCGTTCCGTCAGCCACCCAGCTCACCACACAGCGGCATGCTACGAAAAGAGTCACAGCCAGAAGCTTCGCTGCAACGGTGGGAGTCATCTTTATTACTCGTTCTCCCAGAAGAGGATCCCTGCAGAACCCGGCGATCATCATCCCTGGGGCCACCCACCGTTCGAACCGAATGACTTATCGCCTACCAAGCTTTACCGGGCCCTGGAAACCCCTTTGAAAGTGCCCTGAAGAAGCTCATCACTACAGGCTGCAGATGCTAATGAGAATAATGATCTGCTCCCGTCGTGTCTTGTTGCTTCGCGTCCGCATCGCAGCTCGCCAACAAAAGCCGCGCCTCATGCATCATCTCGTCGACCAATCATCTTCGGCTTCCGCACTTCGCTTCGCTTATCTTGTCCTGACTGCTATTGTAGTCACACTGATAACTTATTGATAGGGACATAAATTTTTTTGAGACAGTTGAATGTAGGTACGCCTTGTCTCTTTTCGACAAGAATTAGGATTTAAGCCTTCGGACCGACTACAGAAATGGTTTCAACAACATGTACCTAGGCTATATGGATGTCGTGTCTCGACACAATTCTGATGCCTAACAAGTTGTGATACGTCGCGTGCCAGCGGTGGGAAATGGCCTCGCCTGCTGCGGTTTCAAGCGACATCGGGCCCGCCAGGAAATACCGGTCCAGGAAACAAAAGCCCTGCGACAACTGTCGGCGACGTCGGGTCTGCTGTGTTCGAGACGCAGAGGGAGCTTGCGCCTTGTGCAGTCGACGCTCAATACCATGCACCTTCAGCTCCAATCCCTCTCCACGCAAACGGCCTGCGCGAACCACGACGACGGCCACGGACCCATTTCCACGGGCAGAACCTGGCTCAATACCGGACGAGTCACCGCAGAGGATTGCTAACCCACGTTTCGTCGGCAATCCGTCCCAGCCAACCTCTTCAACTACGCACTCCGGCCACAAAGGTGGCGTGGAAGGGAAGTACATCGGATTGACTGGAACGGAGGATGTCTACTTTGTAGCGGATCGTTTGCAGGGTTTGGGTAATGACCCTGCGCGCGAGGCCTACTTCAGGGTATGTACTTGACTTTTTACCAGAACTTCCAAGTCGTCGAATCAATCAGGCTGATCAGCTTTGAATTTGCAGGAACGATCTGCTTCTGCTCAGTCGTATTCGTCTGGGACTTCTAATCATCATCACGTCGGCTCGATCGAACCCAGTTTGCCTTTGGTCCGGTCAATTTTCTTCGAGCGGTCCCATCCAGCGTATCCGTTGCTGGAAGCACGCCTGGCTCAGAGCGAGAAACAGTCTCGCCTCTTGGCCATAGCAATAGCCATCATCACGAAATACACGTCACCAGAGTTGGCTGGCTTAGACAACAACGTGCTGATAGAAGAGTTCACATCAAGTTTGCTTCTCGAAGCACGCTCGCCGACTCTTGAAACCGTGGAGGCTGCGATCCTCTTCACCCAGAGAGCGCTCAGGGGTAAAATGTAAGTCGATCAAACCACGTACTCGCCGTCATGGATTGAGACTGTTACAGGAGCACCAGCGCGCCAGGGATGTGGGCCGTCATTGGCACGATTGTCGGTATGAGCCACGATTTAGGTCTCAACATCGATTGTTCAATGTGGAGCATCCCAGCAGCCGCTAAGCGAAGGCGAAGACGAATCTGGTGGGCAGTGTATATGCAAGACAAGTGGTGCGAAACTTGCTTCATGCTCGACCTCTGTTCTGACGATGCTGATTTTCTATTTGTTCCAGGTTCGCTCTGGCTCTAGGACGGCCTTCGTATTTGGACGACGCGAACACGACGACACTCATGCTCACAGCCGCCGACTTCGAGGATTGCAAACCAGACTCGGCCGAAGATCAGCTTGAGAGGCCTGAGCTGGTTACGGGCATCCACTGTTTCGTTGCTATGGCCGAGTTAACAGTCATCCTCAAAGAGGTCCTTGCCGTTTTCTTCACCCTCAGCTCCGTGGTTCGCCTTCGAGAAGCTACTGGGGAACATATCTGTGACATCGCGGATAGGATCGAAGCGAAATTAGAAAACTGGCGTGCAACCTTTCTCGACCAGGTTCTCACACAACGCACTTTCCCTGACGTAACTGGTAAGCGACATAACTTGAAATACTTCATACCTGCTGCCTCAGCTGACCAGGATCTCGTAGGCAGCTTGGAAATCGCGTTCTTAACCGTTCGTGTGATGCTGCTCCGAGGCATCTTTCCAAAGCTGTACCGGCGAAACCTTCCTCTGGATGTCCAGGTCAACCGTGGCGTCGATATCACCTCGCGTGCCATCACGTTAGTAGAGACCTTGCAGATAAACCGCCTCAGCGCATTCTGGTGGTCCTGTGAGTTTTTTCCCGGTTCTCTTCTGGACCAAGCGTTCAGCATTTGCTTTGATGCAAGACAGCTAATCGGCCAATCTAGACTCTGGTTTCAACTTTACATTAATTGGTACCTGTATGGCAAGTCTCAAAAGACTCTCCGCCGACACAATACGTGCAAGGTACTGGGATGAGAGGCTAGCATACTATCATAAGCTTCTTGCCGCCCATGGGGTGAGTTTTTGGCCTGCCAAATTTGCCGCAACCGCTTTGGGTTTGATGGCGAAGAATTTGAGGAAATCCACCGACGTTGCGCCTGAAGACGCCCACGAAGACGGTCCTAGTCTGATCGATGAGTCAACTGATGGGCTCATGAATGCATTCACTTCTCCCGAAACCTCATGGTCGGGTTTCTCATACGATTTCTTCCCTCATAACCTCACAGAGCACCTTAATGATGCCGACTTCTCCACGGACTGGACTTCCATCGGTAAACCTGATGGTTTTCAATGGCAATGAGTGGTCGTTGGTTGATCCGCTTGTACAGACCAGTATGGGGTTCTTGGATCTCGTCTCAAGGGGGTTGGCACGAACGCTGGCTTCGTCATTCCGCGGTGCTAAATGTCATCTCACGGCCTCTTCTCAAGCGGGGCAATTTGATGGGAAGAATCAGGACGATCATCACTGCAGAAGCTGCTATTGCACACAAAAACGATGTTCTCAGGGAGAAAGCGTAAGCGTCCGTCACTGGGCATCGTTAGTAAATGGGCCCCAAAGTGTAAGCGTGCAAGGGGAAATGCCAACTCACCTTGGTCTCTCAAGGGAAGCGGGAGAAGCTTGATGGACTGGACAGATGAACGCGCCCTCTCAATTAGCTCGTCGTTTCCCCCTTCCTTTACGATTCGTCTCAGATTAACAGTCAGACTGTTCTGGAAGACCAGACTCGAGACGGCGACGCCCAGTACGATTCCTAAATTCCTCCACAGTCCGATGGTCGTCGTCACCACTGCTTGTTGCGCTTGCTCGGAGACAGCGAGAGCACTCATCATGGTATTCGGGAAAACAAACCCCTGTCCCAATGGTACTCCCGCGATAAGAATAAGGGTCATGACAGGCGACGTGTGCTTACTAATCGAGCAAGTTGCTACAGACCCAAGCATATACACAACTGCTCCAGCGACCAGCGTCGGCTTCAGTTGTCTAGTATAAGTGATGATGTATCCTGTCGAGATACCCGCGAATGAGCCAACCAGACTGGGCAGCGCAAGCCGAAAACCTGAGTCTGATGCAGACGTGAGCAAGACAGCCTGGAAGAACAGTGGCAAATTGAACAAGATAGTGTTGGATGCGACGCCTCCCAGAAGATTCGCGAAGACCAGATTTGCGACCGGCGCTTTGCACAGTAAGTGTAACGGCATTAGTGGATGTGGGGTGCGCGTCTCGATGACAACGAAGAGACATCCCATCATGGCGAACCCAACGAAGCAGGACAATACCACGGGAGAGCTCCAGGGAAGAAGGTTGCCTCCGAGATTCAGAGCGAGGATCAGGGACGTGACTGTCAAAGAGAGTGTGACGGAGCCAAGATAATCGAAGCTCTTCAGGGCGGACCAGGCACCGCCTTCAGTGGTTACCAGTAGCATTGGGCCCATGTGCGATGGTGTGAACACGAAAGCCATGATCAGACAAAGACCGATGACGGGAACCTGAATTCCAAACGCCCATCTCCAGCCCAGACTGTCGCACAGCCACCCACCCAGAGCTGCCCCGGATGCAGAACCCAGCCCAAAAGCTAGATTGATGTGGGACTGGAACACTCCACGATGCTCGATGTGGACAAGATCACTGAGGATGATCAAACTCAGAGACATGGTTCCTCCGGCCCCGAGGCCACAGACCGCTCTTGCCGCAATGAAGCTCTCAATGCTGTTTGCAACTGCACACCAGGCCGTCGTCACGCCGAAAATGAAAAGTGACAGCAAATACACGGGCTTCCTGCCAATCGTGTCAGACAGCCGGCCAAACAGTGGCTGACAGGCTGTGCTTGTGATCAAAAAGACAGTGCTCAGCCACGACGCAGCTTGCGAGGCTCCAAAGAAAGATGTGATGACCGGGTGGCTGGAAGCCATGAGTGTGGAGTCGAAGCAAGCAATGAAATAACCCAACGCGATCACCAGGAAGAGCAGCCAGAACCGGGGTGGACTTATTCCGATGAACCTGTCGTCCTCGTCGATATCGTCCGCGTCCTTAAGCACACCGGACTCTTCGTCCTCGTCGCCGAATGTGCCGTACACTTGTGTCGCGGTTATGGAAGTGCTCGGGTGCTTCAGGACTGTCTTTGGCCGTTGTTCGCTGAGGCCATATCTTCCCACGCCGGTATCCAAAAATGATCCTGAACCGAACGAACCGACTTGAGCGAAACTCAGACTGAGTTGTTGAATATCCACATCGCTGGAGTGTGAGGAGTTCGAGGATCGGCGACTAAGGGTTGGAAACCGTCCGCCGAGCGAGAATGGGTGCTGCTCGTTGATCTCAGCCAACTGCGTCTGGCCAGGAGTCTGGCCAAATGCTGATTGAAGGCCGTCGAAGGGTTCTGAGCTGCGGCGCACGCTTTCTGATAGCAAGGGAGCCGACATGTGGGTGCTTATGCTGGTCGAAGCCGACGAAGTATGGGTAGAAGGGCGGCTTTACTGTCGTCAATCGTGAGACTAGGTGGCATGGGTGTTTTGAGCGAGTATTCAAATACAGAAATCCTCAGCGCACAGTCGGGCGTTCCCAAGTACAAACTCATGCTATATGACGGTGGTTGGAAAATTTGCAATACCATCATGGTTAGACCGCGCCGTATCATTTTGACAGTTGTCGATTTTTCAGCGATTTTACCATGGGCGAAGAATGCTCACTATACGAGGCTTTTGGCAATCCGGGCACCATTGGCCGTTACACCTAAATGCCCCCCCTCCTTGGCCAGGGTTATCTTCCGCATTGGATGCCCAAGGTTGGCCTTGTAGGGGAAGCCAGGTGAGCCACAGCGGGCACTAATAAGTAACGGGCAGCCGGCGGGAAACATTATTCCGCAGTGGCAGTCTCTGCTGTCGCTGCTAGCTGGCCGCTGGCCGCTGACATGTCACTGCTGGCCGCTGGCGAAGAGGGCAACATCCACCAGGTATTCCTTGCGCGTCTCCACTTTTGTTGCCCTCTGTCCCGGGCAGCCTCGCGATCCTGGGCCCAACAGTTTAACTCTCAAGTTACAACGGCAAATCTTGACGATGATAAGAAGATCTACACTACGGTACCCAGTTGATATATTTAAGATGTCGCCCTCGTTCGAGCTTGAGATGTTGCGACACGAACAAGTCTCAGCAACACTCGACTCATCAGTTCAAGTGGTTCATCTCATACTGCATCTGTCCACCTTCGACCGAAACCCACTGTCCACCTCAACAACTGCTTTCTAAAGCCTTCAGTCCTCCCATCACTGCGGCAACATGACGATCGAACAGAGCCCTGAAGTCGAAGCTGGCGCTGTCGCAGCTGACAGCAAAGACATCAAGGCGTTGGATGATGATGGAGTGATGGTAGTATCTGCAGGCGACGAGGCTCGCCGGGTGTCTGCCAGTATCGCCATCGATCCCGTGGCGGAAAGACGACTGGTGTGGAAGTTCGACCTCCGCATCTTGCCGACGCTCGCGGTCATGTATCTGTTCAACTCTCTGGACAAGTCGAATCTCGGGAATGCGAAAACGGCCGGCCTCGAAAAAGACCTGGGACTCAAAGGACATGAATACAACCTGGTTCTCTCCATCTTTTTCATCCCCTACGTTCTCACGGCTCCTTTCCTCGGCATCGCAGGGAAAAAATTTGGTCCGAGCCGAGTGCTGCCCATCATGATGCTCTGCTTCGGCTTCGTCACCCTGATGGTGGTTGCGGCAAAGAACTTTGGCGGGATCCTGGCTCTTCGTTGGTTCCTCGGCATGTCTGAATCAGCGTTTTTCCCTCTGGTCATCTACTACCAGACGACCTTCTACCGACGTGGAGAGCTGGCTCGTCGACTTGCGATCTTCTACGCCGCTCAGTCCATCGCGTCGGCCTTTGGTGGGCTTTTATCCTACGGAGTCTTCCAGATCAAGTCGGGTAGCCTGGCCAACTGGCGCTACCTCTTCATCATCGAGGGGAGCTGCTCGATGCTCTTTGCTGTTTTCGCCTTCTGGTACCTTCCCTACAACGCACAGAGCGCCAAATTTCTCACGCCCGAAGAAAAGCAGCTCGCCTTTTACCGGATCCAGGTGGACTCGTCCTCGGTCGTCGGCGAGAAGTTCAACTTCCGATCTGCCATTGGCATCCTGAAGCACCCGACGAGCTGGATCATTCTCGCCATCGAGGTCTGTCTGGGTGTTCCTCTCCAGTCGGTGTCGCTGTTCTTGCCCGTCATCGTCAAGCGCCTGGGTTATTCGACGGTGAAGACCAATCTGTACACGGTCGCCCCCAACGTGTCCGGTGCATGCATGCTGCTCATCTTGTCGTTTGCTTCGGACCTGACGCGACTGCGGTTCCCGTTTGTCGCTCTGGGCTTCGCGTTCACGTGCATCGGCTTCATCATCTACGCCACCGTCAACGTCACTTCGCAACTGCACGTCGCGTACTTTGCGTGCTTCATGATGACCTGGGGCACGAGCGCTCCCAGCGTGATTTTGGATGTGTGGTACAACAACAACATCGCCGACGAGAACAAACGGATGATGCTCACGAGTATCGGTGTACCCGTCGCCAATCTCATGGGTGTCGTGTCGAGCAACATCTTCCAGAACAAGGACGCGCCAAAGTACTTCCCGGCATTGATCACGACGGCCGTGTTTGGCGCCTGTGGTTGCTTCTTGACTTTGCTTTTGGGAGCGTGGATGATCGTTGACAACAAGAGACGTGACAGGAGGGACGGGAGGACGATCAAAGCCGTTGACATCCCCAGTGAGTTACTTGCAGAAGGTCCTGCGAGTGCACATTATCGCTGGTTTTATTGAATGATGGAGGATGATGGATCATGATACGGATGACGAGGAAAATCGCTGATTTTATTGAGGACGATGGTGGTAAGGAGTGTACCAAGGTGGGAAGAAAGTCTCACGGTCTCTGCTGGTTTTATTGATGGTAAGGGGGGTTTTGAAAACTGGAAAAGGAGCAGTTTCTTGAGAAGCGGTGGCAGTGGACAGGGTGACCTAAAAGTCTTCGTGGTTAAAGCAAGCCTGGTTCGTTATCGTGTGGCACTTGAAGCGATAGATTTTTGTCTGGGATTCTTTTATGGGATCCTCCGTGGTAGATAGATAGATGGCTTTCATGCTCACAGGCAGTTCACGGAACAAGAGTGACCACCGTACAGTTGGTATCTCTCTGGTCTTACCATCGATAGCTTAGTTTGCTGTAAGAGAGAGAGGGTTTTTTCTTCTATTGTTCACCGGCCAGTCTTGCCAGCAAATTACTGGGTGAGAGAGTGAGAGGCCGTACGTACTGTACTGGTATGGACGTCTCTGCTCTCGCCGGCAAACTCTCGGTGTAATGAGTTTCTCCTTTTTTTTTGGTTTGGCCGGCCGCTGGCTGTGAGTCTGTCTGTGACTGGGGAACAGTTGGCCGTTGGCCGTTTTGTGTCTGTTCGAGTTTCGCTGGCCGCCGGGTCCAAGGTCCAGGTGCGGGGGGGATGAGGAGAAAGAAGAAATAATTATAAATCATCCCGAGCAGACATCATCACGTCGGCTTTGCAGCCGCGGCTGTGGGAGGGACTTGCCAACCAAGGTCTGTCTCCCAGGGTCGTTCAAGAGGAGACACCTGAGAGAAACGTGAGGAAACATCGTGTCGGAGTGAGACGGAATGAATCCCTTCTTCTTTCATCTCTCACAGGGGGGTCATCTACCGTTCGAAAGTGCGCCTGAAACACGTGCTGCTTTACACAGATTTCCCCGTGAATATCAGACACCTAAACTTGTGCTAATTTGCCTGGATCATTGCGTTATAAAACACCCTGTGGCCTGATATACCGCGGTTTACGGCCTTTTTTTTTCCCGTGCGATTTGATCCCAGCACTTCTAGCTTTCCTACCTACTCACAACACCACACCACAAGCGCAGCACGCAGGTCGCGCAATGAGGTCCGCACACGTCTACGTCAAGGACGGAGGGGCGCTGGAGGTCAAGGTGCTCGACGACGTCCCCGTCCCTTCGCCGGCGCCGGACCAGGTCCTGATCAAGGTCGCCGTGGCCGGCACGAACCCCAAGGATTGGAAAGTGCCGCTGTTCATGAAGGACCAGAACGGCACCAACACGGGCGACGACGTGGCCGGCCACGTCGAGGCCGTGGGGTCGGACGTGACCGAGTTCAAGGTCGGCGATCGCGTCGCGGCGTTCCACAAGATGAGGACCCCCCACGGGGCCTTTGCCGAGTACGCGATTGCGCCGGCCAAGACGACGTTCCACCTGCCGGACAAGACCTCGTTCGAGGAGGCGGCCACGATCCCGTTGGCCGCCATGACGGCTGCGGTGGGATTGTTTTCCCGCCTGGGACTCCCGGAGCCCTGGGTCGGGCAGCAGGTCTCGCAGGCCCGCAAGGATGCCACTGCCGGTGGAGTCGTTGTCTACGGCGCCTCGTCCGCCGTGGGCGCCTTCGCCGTCAAGCTACTCACCCGTGCCCAGATCCATCCCATCATTTGCGTCGCCGGTCGAGCCCGGTCGTTTGTCGAGGGGCTGATCGACAAGTCCAAGGGCGACGTCGTGATTGATTATCGACCGGGGGCTGACCATGTCGTTTCTGCCATAAAGAATGCTGTCCCCAAGGGCGGGAGATTGTTGTACGCCTTTGACGCCGTCAGTGAGAAGGGGAGTTATCAACAAATAGTTCAGGTTCTGGACCCAAAGGGCCACATCACACTCGTCCTGCCCGGGCGAAAGTATGAAGACATCCCAGAGACGGTCCATCAGAGCCTGACTGCGGTTGGCGCTGTGCACGGTGTCCCCGACGATCTCACCGACTTCGGATATGCGTGGTTCCGACTGTTCGCCTTGGGCCTCCAAGAAGGCTGGTTCAGTGGACACCCATATGAGCTTCTCCCAGGGGGCCTTCACGCCGTCCAAAAAGGGTTGGAGAATTTGAGAGAAGGCAAAGCCAGTGCCGTGAAGTATGTCTATCGCATCGACGATACCGGCCCGCCCGACAAGAGTATGATTTGAACACAAAACGTAGTGCAATAGCTTGCGACGGGAAAACAAGGAAGCGGAATGCTCCGCGAGCAGCTGACATGATGGAAGGAAATGGCATGTCATGTCGCTTCGTCTCAGGATGCCGTCTTTCGTATTTCTGGATTTGCCTCGGTTTAGACACCTACCTAGCTATATCACATGCCGATGTGACTGACGGCAATAGTATTCATACAATATCCTCTTACCCGAGTATCAATTGCCCTAGCTGAAGAATGTATCACTTACCATCTCAATAGCAATTAAATATTCATAATAATTGCGTCGTGGTTTTGGTGTAGCCCTTCACTTACGTAGCAATGCCCATGGAAGTCACGGGTAGTCGATTTCGCCCAAGATATCGCGTAGCCCTCAATGCACCACGCTCAATGTAGCATGGAAGCGCTTTGCCCGAAACTGGTATTTCACGAAAGCGTCTCGTCTTCAAAGATGGAGAGGACGGGACATCCGACGATAGAATGCCGCGCAAGTCTGGGGATGAAAGAGTCTCTCTCAGTCGAAGGATTGATAACGGGGTCGTCGATCACCAACCGGGATACCCTTGCTTCGGTTAGCCTCTGCGAGAGGCATTGAGCAAGTAGCAATCCAGCATCTTGTGAATCAGCTGTAAACAATACAAGCATGAGGTGACGTGCTTTTGTTGCCACCCAGAGTATGTCGACTCCCTTCACAAACCGACAGCGATAACCTTCTATTGTATTATAGAATGCCCCGTGACTGGCTGCAAGGTCTCTCTTCGAACGAGATGTCGTGCACACTGCCCTTTTTTGTACAACGAAGATGAAAACGAAGCATGCACATGATCAAGATTTCTGATAGCGCGCAGACAGGAGACAGGTCGGTTTCCACCACTATGTCTCCGCTGAAGGAATAGCGTTGAGTAGCTTGAGGGGACAGTATACCCCTTTAGGATAGAGGATGTAACCGGGCTCTAACAGATAGGTACAGTAAACAATGATGATGTGCTGAAAAGCATAGTTCGTCTCACCTTTCTCCGCATCCTGCACAGGACCTTTTCTAGGTGTTCACAAATCCACTGTGAGGAAGTCAAAACTGGCAGGGAGGTGAAGAGAGTGGGGTCGACTGACGCCTCGTATTCCATTCCCTATCAGCGTAATCGCACTCCCTAGAGGTAAATTGCCGGGCGAGGGGAAAGCCCAGCAAATGCCGTCAATGATCGACGATTAGCGCCCTATTTCGGGAGGTTGCAGAGGCTCAGAGCCTAGAGGCTAGAGAGCACATCACGAACGTCAAAGGCGCGGGGGCGGTCGGTATCCGTATCGAGGCCGTTCGAACTCGCTAGGCTTGTTTTCACAGCAGGAAAGGTGCATAGTGCTGCAGCTAAGGGAAGGCTTGATGCCGAGGGTGCCGCCTGTTAGCAGCTTTATTGGAGGCGAACAACCACCCGCTCGTCTGTAAGCGGTGGCCTTTGCAGAGTAGTCGCTTGGTACTCCATCCTCCGCTCTCCACGTCGCCAGTAATGACCACCTAGCACAATAACGTTGATTTGCCGGAGCCTTGGTGGAGTAGTCTGCTTTCGTGTTTCAGAAATTTTTCTCCCTCACCACCGGCGACGTTTTTTATTGCGCATGACACCCGAGGCTTCACCGGGTGCTGGAAGTAGCCTTGATCCGGATGACGCCGCCAAACAACGCAACAAGTCAGAACAGGGGTTGACATTTTGACGTTATTGCGTAGTCTCCTCGGTATATTGCAGTGGATTGAAAGGTTCTTGGCCTGATACTTTCATCGTCGCTCGATAGCATCGGTCAGGCAGACAAGGGTATGCCTCTGGATGCGCACAGGTAAAGGATTCAAGGCTAAGCAGAATTTTGCTCTACGAAAAGCCCTGTTTCGGAGGGGATCGCTGGTGAGAAGCGGTGCGATTGGAGGTAGTGTCGGCTGGCTGGGGAATAAAGGAAAAACTGCTGTAGAAGGCTCCACAGAATCGTGTTTTGTTGCAGTGAGTGATGACCTGTCAGTGTAAGTGAGTGGTGACTTGGACCTGTATGTTACCTTGGTGGTACGAGTAGATGAATGAAGATTCTTCGAAGCATCAATCGGCAGTATTTCCATTCCTTTACCCAGGAGCCTCTTTTGGCCAGTTTCGTTGAACGCAGTGTTGCAGATCCATACTTGAGGACTCTTACGCGGATGACTGGCAAGGAAAAGGGTGGTCGATGATGAGTACCCCCAGAAGTGAGATGAGTAATGAGTACAGTTTCCCGGGATGCGATGGTGAGGGCTTATTAGGGAAGCGAGGCGTACCAATCACGTAGCGGTGGTTCAGCTAGGACGCCTGTGCAACTTCCTAGGTAGTTGGTGTAGGCTGCTGTTGTTAGGCGTCTTAGGTAAGGCTGGTGGCTGTCTCTCTTAGGCTTGCAGCCACTAGGTGCGGGTAGTGTTTTCGTGCCTGACCGGCAGCCTGCATCAGCCTACACCCCCCAATTGGCAGTCCGTAATACATCTCAATTGCACTGATGAATTCACAGCACTTCCACCCACTTGGCAATCTGCAATTCGGTTTCTCATTATTCCACCACCACGTCTCATCTGTCCACTTGAACCATTACTCATACTCGGCAGCCATAGCTTTCACACCTTTTCTTCATTTGCATCCCTATATACGATCTCTAGTAGCTGGGATCCCTGTTCGCCGACCGCGTCCACCCCCGAATCTTTTGCCAGTCCTTTCGCAGATTCGCCCTGGATCCCATCAGTCCGCATCGAACCTCCGAGACCTCGTCCAGTTGGCTTGCTGACCTGAGAAGAGTCGCCGGGCTGACTGGTTTTGGTTCCGACCCTCGCTTTCCACATCTTCATGCCGCGAAACCCTGCGGCGAAAAAGCACCAGCATAACAACCGCCACGAGAATGGCCTTGTAGGTCCCGGAAAACGTGTCACCAAGCAGAAATCGAATGGTCACCTCAATGGAGCTGCGAAGGGCCCTGTTCCCTCCGAGCCTCTACCGCATCAAACCCTTACTGAACACTCTGTGACCGGCTCAACCAACGCTCCGTCAAGCACTGCTTCCTCAGAAACGGCGTACCCTTCAAAGGCCTTCGCACCCAAATCCGGGGATTCGGAAGGCAGTGATAGCAAAGAGAGGGATCCTGTGAAAGAGTCGAATGGATCGGCGATGCAGCAGCAGAGACGCGGTGATATGACTGGGACCAGGTCCAAAGCGGCGCACGACGTGAGCGTTCTGCAGATCGCCTCAACTATCCTAAGGTCTCGCCCTGCCTGTGACACGGTCTCTCTCCTCATCGTTCTTCTGGCGCTGCCTTCCATGATATTGACAATGGTGCAAGCATTCTTTGCTTCTTTGACTATCTGGCCCGGTGGTGGTCCTTCGTTTCGCACAGCCGCCGACATGTTCTATGGATCAGCTGGTGCGCCAAGCCCTACCACCAGGATGGTCGTGGATGTTATATGCTTTGGAATTTGGATGTGTCTTTGGCCTTGGGCTCAAAATTTCACCCTGGATCTTGCCCAAATACAGATCGCTATGACTTTGGGAAATGGGAGTTCCGGACGAAACGGCCGGGTGAATGTGTTTTGTGTTGCAGGGGTTCTGGCGCTCCATTTGTTAAGGAGTCAGGGTGTCCGTCGATTTCTTCTCACCAATCTGATACCTACAGACTTGCGTCTTCAATTGGGTCTGGCTGACTATCTGAAGTATCTGCCGTCGGATACCGATTTTGGAGAGAGTCCGCGGCCACCGTCGCAGATTCGAAGTCTCTTCGCCATTCACATCATCAGTCAGGCTGTATTGGCTGTTATCAGGCGGTGGCTACATAGCCTGCAGTCTCCAACGCCTACGAAGACAAAGCGGGTAGACATGGAAGCCTCCGCAGGCTCGGTGTCGGATTTCTCGGCCCCTGACGGCTCTTCATCAACTGCCATATCCTCGTCCGTTGATTATCAGCCACCTACACCTGGTCTACGTGAGGGCAAAGAGAAGGGGATCACTGCAAAGAAGAGACGGCGCCAAGCGAACCATGTTAGAAGCAAGCAACCATTTTGGGCTGCCTTGGCGAGCACCAAGGTGCAAATCGGAAGGGAAATTCAGCACAACAAAGCTCTACCTTCAGTTGCCAACAACCAAGGAACACCTTTTGAAGCTGCACACCAGGATCTAGTATGGGTGACCCATGTGGACCCCTCCTCTATATCCTTCGAGTCAAATTTTGTTGCAACACAGGAGGAATCAGGGGATTCGGATGAGCCTAGGCCGTTTTATGTGCGGATTAATGGCGCAAAGTGGCATTCTGTGAGTCTCGAAGCTGCAGAAAATCCACTACCAGAAGGCTTAAGCACTCGCTGGTCAGGAACAATCTCTGGCCTGGCCCCCAACTGTACCTACACCTGCACCTTTATTTCCACCGACGGTGACGAAGAATATGCATCAGTCATGGTGAAGACACCTGCGTTGCTCGACAAAGACTTACCAGGATCCCTGACACCCGTACCTGTACGTCAGTCTACACGGCCATCATCCCCAACTACCACCCTCAAAAACTCAATCTCCACTACGGAAGCGAAGCTGAACGAAGCCCGTAATCGCCTTACCAAGGTCAGACGCCAGCATCGTGCCACTCTTGCTAAGGTTGAAAAGGAGGTCGACAGCTTCAACACCCGTCTCAAAACAGCTAGTGACGACACCAAGCAAAAACAAAAGCTCCTCCAGGCAGAGCGCACGATCCGCCAGACCGAAGACGCCAATCAAGAACTTGAGGCTGCTCTTGAAAGTCTGACGGCCACACCCGACGATGACATCGAAGATCACAGCACCTCTCAAAAAGCCTTCGAGGGACAGTCCAAGCTTCTGACCGACGCGACTAAGAGTCTGAAAAAGGCGAAGAATGCGGCAGAATCTGATAAGACCTGCGCTGAGAACGAACTGAATGCCATGATCTCTCGCAAGGAGCGGTTAACTACTCGCAACACGAAGTTGACTGAGCAATATGATCGCATCACTCAAGCTAATGTGCAGGGTCTCAACGAGCGAGAGAGAAGGGCTGCTGAATCGAGTGCCAAGGACATTGACCAGCAGAGGCGAGAGGCCGAGGTGTTACAGCAGATTCACTATATGGAGGTTGAGATTCGAAATGCGAGGTTGAAGTTCGATTCCCAGCAGCAAGAACTGAGGATGCTTCAAGACGAGGACGCTCGACAGATGATGCTCAATACCAGCGGGCCTCTGACGCCGGAAGGTGAACTCCCTGGAACTCGGCCAATGCCGCAACATGCTCGACCATACGCCTTTGGCAGTTTTCAAGCATTTCCCAACAGCCCTGTCATTCCTGAGGCACAAAGTTCGCCTTTTCTTGCGTATGCCAAAACTTTGCCGAATACCGACCAGCGACGACCCAGATCTGACACGAACCGATCGGCAGGCGGACTTAGTAACTTCTCCGCCGATTTTGAGGATGCCGACCCGATTCCTCCGGTCGAGTATGAGGTGATCGGACGCAAGGGTAGTGGCAGCAGCCGAGGCCAGAACAGTGGTAGTCCAGCGGCGGGTATCATTGGCGAGTTGCGCAGCCCACAACGAGGCAGCTATAGTCCAGGACATGTGCCAGGGTCAACGACTTGGTGATTTGATTGCAAAAGAAGATCGAGGTTGCGTTGGTTGAATCAGCTCACAGCGACTGGTTGTACGGGAATGGCCATTTCCGAGAGAGATAGTACTCAAAAGGTGTAGCCAAATATGACGCTGTACTTGCTTCTAGAGAATGACTCGCTTCCTTTAGGGTTCCGACTATTTTCATTGTAGTTCAACTCAAAGCTCTTGATGATTCCCTTTGGTACAGCATCTGGAGACCTGTGAGAGGCCCAACGCCCAGTCTTGGCAGCTTGCCTCTGCCAATTGCCGTTTTGAGCGAGATAAGTGCGCTGTGACTCCAAATCTCGAGACCTGAATTTATTACTCGTCTCCTTGGGCGCTATACATTTCCCGACTGCCTCGCCCCTCCTGCTGCGTTCTCTCGCATGCGGCCACTCCTTCGTCTCACTGTACGCTACAGCAAAAGATCCTTCCTCCATACGCCTCAATTCGCAAAACCTTCCCACTGCGCTGTCCCGATCTACCAACCCTACTCGATCATGGCGAAAGACAAGGATAAAAAGCAAGAGCTGATCAAAAACCCGAAGGGCACCAGGGACTGGTCCGGCGAAGATGTCGATCTCCTAGAAGATATCCTTGCACAGATTTCCAGAGTTTTTCGTCGCCATGCAGGAAAGAAGCTCGATACACCCGTCTTTGAGCGAGAAGAGGTTCTCAAGGGTAAATACGGAGAGGACTCTAAGCTCATATACGACCTGAAAGACCAAGGCGGTGAATTACTTTCCCTGCGTTATGACCTCACTGTGCCGTTCGCTCGGTGGTTGGCCATGAACTCAAACATCAAAAACTACAAACGATTTGCGATCAGTAAAGTCTACCGGAGAGATCAACCTGCCATTGCCAAAGGACGTATGAGAGAGTTCTACCAATGCGACATCGATTTTGCTGGAGCAAGTGACCCAATGATGGCCGACAGCGAGGTCATAGCCATCATTGTAGAGGTTTTTGAGTCGCTTGAATGGACTGGCCGATACACGATTAAACTAAACGACCGGCGAATTCTCGATGGGCTCTTTGAAGTGTGCGGTGTGCCGGACGACAAGATTAGAGCGATCTCGAGTGCAGTTGACAAGTTGGATAAGCTACCTTGGGAGGAAGTCAAGAAAGAAATGGTTGAGACGAAAGGACTTGACGAGGCTGTTGCAGACAAGATCAAAACTTATGTGACGAGGAAAGGTGGCAGAGACCTCCTCGAAGAGTTAAAGAAGGATGCCGACATGATGGCCAATGCCAAAGCCAAGCAGGGCATTGAAGAAATGGACACTTTGATGGAGTATTTGGAGGCATGGGGCGCACTCGACAAGATCTCTTTTGACCTGTCCTTGGCTCGTGGTCTCGATTATTACACGGGTGTTATCTACGAAGTTGTAACTGAGGGCTCAGCCCCGGTTATTGCAGATGGTAGTGCCGTGGCCAAAGAAGCTCAGAAACAGGGCAAGAAAGAGAAGAAAGTGCTCGGCGAGGATGAGGACCGGTCGAACGATCCATCAGTCGGCATCGGCTCAGTCGCTGCTGGTGGTCGATATGACCATCTTGTGGAACGCTTCAGACCAAACGCTGATATCCCATGTGTGGGCATCAGTTTCGGTGTTGATCGAATATTCAGCATTACCAAGGCGCGGATATCCAAGGGCGAAACTTTCAGCTATGTCTCCTCCAATGCTCCCGACGTGTATGTCATGGCGTTTGGAGGCGGTGGATTTGACGGAATGCCCAAACAGCGTATACAAATCACAAAGATTTTGCTGGACGCTGGGCTAAAGGTCGAATTCACCTATAAAAAGAAACCAAAGCCACAGGTGCAGTTCAAGAATGCGGAGACCGCTGGCGCGCCCTTTGCAGTGATTCTCGGTGAGGACGAGCAAGCCAAAGGAGAGGTACGAGTGAAGGAGATGGGGTTGCCTGATGGCCATCCGTAAGTTTTCAACCCTCATTTTGCTCCTTGTGGCACATTGGCTGACTCGATCGTAGTGAGAAAGAAGGTGTCCTTGTCAAGATATCAGATTTAGGTGCTGAAGTGTCCAGACGCGTGAACGCGAAGAGCATGGTTGCGAAGACCGGAAGTATGACTGTGAGCTAGAAGCACAAAGCTACATCACCAGCATTTGAGTTCCAGAACTGCTCACTGGGGTCATCGTCTGTACGATCGCTGCCCTCCTAGGCCAGGCACGTGGGTGAGAATGGCGTCGAAGCGGAAGCTTCTCGGAGGACCAAGTCCTACGCCGTTGTTCCAGACCGGAACAGCTCCCAAGCACTCGTGATGGTCAATACTCCTGCTACTGGCGAATGTATTGGAGGGGCTACCAACGGAGAAGTCTTCAAGGCTCTTGAGATCTCTCGGCAATGTGCTGAGTGAGATCGTCCAAGCAAGATAGACCACTTAGATTCTCGGGTAGTTGTCTCCCGACAGATTTGCTTCGGCTCAGGCGAACCCAATCTTCTCTCAAACAGACAAGATCTCTCGCTGTTCCAGAGTCAATGTAGTCTTAGAAAATCCCTACTGTTTACGCTCAGTCCCCCTATTTTACGTTGGACAGCAGGTCTGGGGGGAGGCCTCGCCTACGCCACAGGGGCTGAGCGAGAGCCTCGTCGTCGAACTCGCATAGAACGCCAAGATCTGGACCAACCTAAGGAGGTTAGGTCGGTTAGGTTGGCTAACCGCTTTTGTCCCCCAGTGGCTCTGTGGTCGGGGCCGCTTCTTCCTCCTTCTCATCTTCTCTCTTCCTCATCAAGGAAATATAATGCCAAATAATGGCATGGTCTTTCTCAAGCGAGATCTCTTCGCTTCAAGACCCGGCACCTATCACGGTTACCACAGTCCGCCCTTGGCGGAGATTCTCCCTGATCCATCTTAGATCTGGGTCTGACCCGCCAGACTCAGCCTAAGCGCTGAGGGTGAAACGTCCCGCGTATCAACCACCAGCTTCTGTCACAGTTGTCCTCAACATGATACTCCCCAGCCACACAAGGGCCAAGCTTCGAGACCGCGATGAAGACCTCCGCGTCGCATCTCACGTTTGAGAATCATGCGTCCTCCAATCGCGACCGAAAGGCCAGGCCTGCAAACACTTCAGTCCATGTCGTCGCTTACACTCCCTGACGGCTGTTCTGCACTCGTCGTCTGAAGCCGCTGTCCGGATGTGCCTCGCACCGAAAACGGCGCTCGCCCTCCAATCTGGAAATCTATGATGGCCACCCTCTTTCGGATGTTCCAAATGTGCATTTAGAACCTCGTCTTTCTCGCTACAAATCTCTGCACCTCGACCTTTCTCTTTTTCCTTTCCCCATCTCCAAAGTCATTCGTTCGTTGTTGCAGGCCATCACCCTAATTTCTTCTCTACCACTTTTCACTCCTTTATTTGTTTGTTCTCTAGAAGAAGAACCTCAAGTTCGAATCAAGATGCCGGCAATCCGTTCCTTTTACGCCCTCACGGTGTTGGCAGCTTGCCTGGCGCAAGTATGAGATACCGGCATCCTTTAATGCCCTGGGGATCTTGCTGATTTGTTTAACACTCAACAGGTATATGCCGGCGACTATTCAGGTGGTGGTGACCAAGGCTCTTGGGGTGGAGGCGGCAACAGCGGTAATAGCGGTGGCAGCTGGGGGGGCCAGCCTAGCCAGGGCGGAGGTTATGGCGGAGGCTACGGCGGTGGAGGCAAGGGTGGCTCACCGCCAGCTGCTTATACTCCTGCGATGCCTGCACAGACATGCCCACCACAACAGAGCTGTCCCGCGTGCCCTGCACCAAGCTGTCCGGAGAAGATGTGTCCGCCAGCTGGAACCATGACGGAGACGGTAAGTCGGACATGGTTACCGGCCGCCGGGATCTACGACTAACCCTGTGTTCCAGGTGACCGTGACCCTGGCCTCTGCGTGCTCCTCAGCGGTGACCGCCTACGTGACCCAGTGGATGAACGCACCACCAGGCTGCTTCTGCGGTTCTGGAAGTCCCCCATCTTGGATGACAGCAGCGGCTGCCGCTGCCGGAGGGGCCAACCAGCCTCTGGGTAACGCACCAGTCGTCACGACTGCTGTCGGTGCCTTGACTCCAGGTCTCTCATCCATCCCGGCCGCCGAGGCCGTGCAGACTGGAGTGACGGTAGCAGGTGGCGCTGCAGCTCCCGCAGCTCCAGCACCAACTCCCGCTGCGGCGGTTTCTCCCGGTGGTTTCTTTGGTTCAGCAAACGGTACGCGGCTCATGGCCCCTTTCTAGTGTTTGTCCAAAGATTCTGACTTTGACATTGTAGCTCCCGCTTCTTCGGCGACAGTCTCTGGTACGGAAACTTCTGGCTCTAGCAGCGTCCCTTCATCTAACACTTCCGAGGCTAAAGCAGGGGAAGCTACTAAACCAGAAGCGGCGACGACGACGACGACGACGACGACGTCGGCGACCAGCAGCACAACTACCAAAGCAACCGCAGCCGCCGCCGACAAGACTTCTAAAGCATCAGCGTCGTCGTCAACAACTACTACAACGTCAACAACAACAACTATATCCAGAACTGATGCGACTTTTGACACCGCCAAAGCCATTTCACCACCTGTTTCTTCATCATCTTCGACAACCACGACTGCTTCTGATTCTTCTTCAATAACGACATCTTCGACAGTTTCAGCTGCTGCCCAGCAAAATGGTGCCGGGTCTTTCAGCACAATCGACACGGCAAGCTTGACCCTCAAAAACGCCCTTACACTGGGCATCGGGAGACGAGAGCCCGCGCCGACGGCATCATGATAAAAGGAAAAAAAAATCAAAGGAGGGGAGAAAGAGGAGATCTAGAGCAGTGTCAAACATTTACGAACGGGGATTGTCGAGATGTATATTTTCTTCTACTTGTTTTTAACCAACAAAATACACGACGCCCGCCCCCTTTTGTACGGGGGGCCTGGGCCATGGGACACTCGAGGGGAACGTGTATGTATCCCGGAATACCCGGGTGGGTCGGGACGATACCAAAGATACCAAATATTCGATTTTCTCCTCCGTACTAGTTGGCTAGACGTATACCTCGGCCAAGTACCTCGAGGAATATACCCAAGAAACCCTTTTGACACCTCTCCGTACCGCCTCTTGTATTGCCCTGCGTAGGGAAGGCCGTCGTCCCACTTCAACATTCAATGGTCCGAAAACGCGTCGATATAATGCTGACCTTGGAGAGCCTTGGGGAAAGAATGGAATTACGAGATATAGACTCACTCGATCCTCCCCCCGGGGGGGGGAGGGGGGGGGAACAGTGAGAGAGACGATCGATAGCACACTAATCAAGAGACTTGGATAGTTCTGAAGAGACAAGTCCTCAGAGATACTAACTGAGAGCTGCTTATAACCCACAAGCCGCGTAGCTAGCATTTTTGCGTGACTACACATCTGTAGAATCGACTAATACTAGAGCCGTCCAAGGTTGCAAAATCATTCAGAGGGAAAAACTTCAACCACCTACTTGGACTGTTTGTTGCACAGCGCTTCGTGTTTGATAGGGAATGCAGAGGGAGCAGAAGTCTTCTTGATTCCGTCTTTCTTGGTATTCACCGAACGGGGATCGTCGGACCCTACTTTGCCTTCAATTCTGGCTTGTTTCGCGCGTCTCTTCTTTTCGCGGTTTGATAGTGCCGGTGGCTTGTCACCTGCTTGATCCTGGGGAGAAGACATAGAGGCTTTACGCTTGAGACTGTTCAACCCCAGGCTCTCGCTGGTGTCTTTTTGCGCCCGAAGTTCGGTTGAGGTTGGCTTCTGTCTCTGTTGACCTTTTGAAGCATTTTGTGTTTGTGTTTGTGTTTGTGCAGGCGCCTCTACCCTGATTTGTTGCTGATTCTGCTGCGCTGCAGCATTTGTCGCCACTGCCGGCTCGGCAATAGGACCTCCTCCGTCAACAACATCGACTACAAGGCGGAAGCTTGTTCTTTTCACGCTAGCTAGCCTGACCACTTTGCCTGCTTCCTCGCATAGAGCTTCCTTTCCTCTTTCCTGGCCCAGTCCCCAGATTGAGGCAAGATTGATCACGTCGTTTGGGCCCCTGAGACCAAGGGCGTTTCTCGCCTCGCTGCTGAATATGATGCCCCGTCCTCTTGTTGCACGGATGAGCGCTGTCGCGCCGCCGATCAGGTTCCGACGGGCATCGGATGCGGAGGAGGATATCCCGGGGGAATAACATATCTCGAAGCGCAAACCACGCTGCAGCGCCGATGAAACAGTCTTGAATTTGAGTGGAAACTGTAGGCGTTGTGAGAAGTCGAGAGATATCAGATCGCATTCAAGGCTGCTGCAGCACAGCTGGAGGTTCTTTTCATTTGTTGGACGCAGGGCAAGAATATTGTAAGCTGGAGAGTAGGAGGCTAGGCGGTGGTTCTGGGAGGCATCGGATATCGTTATCGTAAGGCGTGTAAGGATAGTGAGTGTTCGTGGAATACTAAGCGTCGAAATGGGGATTGACGGAGGAGACGGCGGGAGTTTGCCAGGTAGACTCAGGTTGAGAGCGAGTGTGCTGTATCCCAATTCGGAGGCAAACGAAAGCGTGTGATTGATCTCTGAAGTCGGCTGGGACGGAGTGTAGGGAATATTGAGATCGTGGAAAGGCATGGTGGTGTTAAGTATTGGGAGTTTGTGTTGGTTTCGGTCACCAAGGAGCAGTCCAGGAATTCCAACGTAATGGAGGATGGAAGGGAGAACGCACTACAGCGTCAGGAGAAGGGGCTACGCGCCAGACAAGCATTGTGAGTAAGGGGATATAAAGTAAACAGAACTGAGCCGTCTGAACGTCGTTTATCGAGTCATCCTTGTTGACTTCAATTCGAAATCTGGGGAAGGATCTTTTTTTGTTTTGCGCGTACAGCGACAATGACGGCAGATGTGGCTGCTTTAGCAGGAGGAGGACGAGGGGGAGCTAATTTAGGCGGCGTTCTAAGTGCTGGCGCGCGGTCTTCCCCATCACGATCTCGCTGCTTTAGACAAACCGGTACCTCTTCCCTCAACAACAACATCTATCTGGTGTACACCGTTCAGGGCAACAAGGATCCAAGACGGTGTTGTATTGTCCTTGCCATGTGCCCCATCATCCTGGGCGTTTGTAACCAGCATAATGGCCTCGGATGAAGGTTTCCAACGGCCGCACACCGTGCCTGTATGCCAGCGATGTAGACATCGCAAACAGAAATGCGACTCAGACCAAAGTGGCTGCAAGCCTTGTGTGGTAAGAGCAAAATCAACCTCGATATCAAGGGCTCGGCCTTCATCGTGCTAATCCGCCCAAAGCAGTCGGGCAACGAGTGCTATGTTGAGGATCCCGATACAGGAAGAACAGTACCCCGGGCGTGAGTCTACCCAATTCGCAAGTTCATGCTTACGAACACCAATGGCTGATCAGGGGTGCAGATATATCCAGCGACTGGAGGATCATGCTCACAACCTTCGTCAAGCTATGAAGAACCTGTCGAGTGATCCCCAAGCTGAAGGTGCTTCACCGAAATTGAAACCCTCGCGACAAAAGAAACAAAGAATCCAAGCCTCAAGCAGACGCTATCTCGGTCCCTCCTCTGGAATCGCGTTCATTGAATATGCCATTACGTTCGCCAAAACGCGCAATATTCTTGACGGCTCGCAAGATCTCGCCTCACAACGTAACACTCAAGCAAACACGGATGCGAAACGTCTGATAGCTGTTCTGTCTCCAGCGCCCACCCACGCAAATTTAGATCGCGAGACAGTATCAAGACTGTTCGACTACTTTTCTGTTACACAATGGTTTTACAGAATCCTGACGCGGGACCAGTTTGACGTCCATCTCTCCCGGTTTTTCTCGGACGCACCAAACGACTATCCCGAATCTGGTATCGTCGTTCATATGATCACGGCCATCTCTTCGTTCTATCTGGGTTCCATGGAAGGAAATGCCATGGCATCAAATTTAGCGGAGATGCAGTATGAACGAGCATTACATTTACTTCCTAACATTCTGCCATACAGGACAATTGAGACACTGCAGATCATCTTACTTGTCCTCCTCTATTCGTTGGTGAATCCTCAGAAATCTGTCACTTGGCATCTGCTTGGTTCCGCCCTACGCCTTGCCACTTTCCTCCGTCTTCATGAAGACAACGTCACGGCACCATCGACCTACAGTGCTAAAGAGATCAATGCTCGACGAGACCTGTTCTGGTCTCTGTACAGTATCGATCGTGCTGTTGGAAATACGTTAGGCCGTCCAACGGCGCTGCAGGATAGAGATATCGAGACATCATTTCCCGACATCAATCCGGTTGATCCACATGACTCTTCTTCGACACATGATGCTGCGGCTGTCAACCATTGCTTTCTCCTTCGAAGACTACAAAGTGAGGTCGCTGATATACTTTACCAGAAAGTAAGACCCTCACCAGCTGAATGGCACAAAGACATCCAAAGGCGGCTAGATGAGTGGTTGGTCCAGGCACCCTTGGCGCAAGCCTCGCCTCAAATGCAGGAATGGATCAATCATGCGTATCATAACTTGACTATGTTCATTTACCGGCCATCATTGACCAGTCCAAGTCCTTATGAAGGAACTTACGAGCGATCCTTCACGTCGGCCTCGAATGTGCTGAAGCTGTACGCTAAAATGCATTCACGCAACGCTATTGATTGCACATGGATGGCATTCCACTGGCTATTCCTCGCTGCGGTTACGCATCTCTTCTGCATATGGACCAGTCCCGAGATTCGGGCCGTGGCTGACTGGAAAGAAATCAATGAGGATTTGCAGCGGACGCGCATGGTTCTGTCAGCAATGGCGGAACACTGGCGGTATGGGAAAAGAATCCTTGACATATATTGTCAATTATGCGGCGGAACCATTCGCCATTTTGTCCAACTGATACCGGTCAACGGAGAAGACTATGACCAACGACTTACTCGCGGAGTAAGCTGGCCCAATGGCTCTGCGGAAGATCCTGCAGTCGATACAAGCCCACCGCCCATAGCTGCCTCTTTCGACCATGTCAGCGCCTTCCACTTTGAAGATACGCTCATGGACGACGATCCGGAGCATTGGCTCGAACAACCTTTGGGGGGGAATGGCGCAGAAAACCCTGGTGCCATGCTTTACTCGAGCTTCGATGCGATGGGTAATGAGCTAGACCCATGGTTCTACCGAATGTGAAAGACCCTTCACTGACAAATCAAAATTGATCAGAAGCTCTCATTGCTTTATTAAATCTACCATTGACTCAAGACTCTTACTCCACAATCCCGAGGTTGCACTGCACCTTGTCTTGCAGCTTATGCGTTTTGACTAGCAGACTTGCTAGGAGAGCCACCGACAATACAGCTATCAGTTGTTTCATATTTTTTGGACTCTGTCATCCTCATCTCCGGCCCCACGGCCTTTTTCTGTCTTCCAGGCCAGCTCCCAAAATGTTCAGCTTATCTCTCTCATCATCTTGTCCTCAGACCTCGACCTGGGAGCCGACTATCACCAAGATCTCGGTGTTCGGACCTACCACCCCGTGCATCCTTCCTCCGGGTCCTTAAAACCAAAAGATCTTAAGACGACTGTCTCGTCTTCTGAGCTGCTTCCCCCAGATAAACACAATTATCCAGCCACAGTCGACTGCGAAGACTAGTGCTGCAAGGGTGCAAAACACGGTGATATCTCCATCAAGGTTGAGCCAAGGCCCGACGCCGAAGCTGACACCAGTCACGATGATCTGCTTCAATCCATTGAAGATCTGCCAAAATCGTCAGGGGTGGGTCTGTGAATGAGAGTGATTGATCTCATGAAGACTTACGATCAGGGATTCATTGACCACTGCCGGATAGCTGTCCATTAAATAAGGCTGAAGAACAGAACCGGTCCCCGCAATCCCGCTGCCGATGAAGGCGTCTCCGATAAGGGGGACAATCCAGTGGTAGTGATTGTGGAAACCGACGCCGTATATCACCAGGCCGATAGTCACCAGGACTTGTGGTACAATCATAAAAGGTAATCGCATTTCTGGTTCGAAGACGCCCTTGTTGCGCTTTGCCCAGAACCTGGCCAGCCAGTCGTTGGGCTTACCGCAAATCAGCGCGCCCAGTATTGTGCCAATAGTAGTCGACAGGAAGGTTAAACCTTGCGCGGAGCTGGAAAAATTGTACGGAGGTGCGCCTGTGTACAAAGGGATAGTCTCGGTGATAATCACCAAGCTTGCAAATGTCAATCAGACAAGCCCAAGGAAAGAAGAAAGATCAGGCCAAGCTCACCAGGTGACGTGCAGGGCGAAGGCCACAACTCCCCATGAGACCATGAAGAAGCTTAGGAGAGCCCATACCCGGGAGTTCGCAGCCAGAACGCTGTCCTGCTTGTTGATAGGGGACCATGGCTTCAATGAACTGAGCCATGACGGTGCAGGTTTGATTTCGTTTCTGCTGACGTGTGTGGCCAGCGTGTCTGGAGACTCTTTGTCTCCCACCGTTTCAACCTGAACCTTTGTGTCTTCCTGAAATTCTTCCTCTGTCTGTGCATGCGTTGAGTCCAGGGCGTCGTGGTAGTTGCGCTGGTACCTAGTCTCAGGTGAGAGCAGGAAAATGAGGATGAGGTCAAATCCGGCTAGAATGGCTGTGAGCCAATGGAACCAACGCCATCCCTTGGCCTGGATCAAAAAGCCACTGATGACAGGAGCCAATGTTGCTCCTAGGGTCAGCCATTGAGTCTGGATGCTGGCCTGTGTTCCTCTTTCGTGCAAGAAGAAAAGGTCGTGAAGGGTAATGACGCCGAGTGGCTCAGGTGCGCCTCCTATTTATCGTCAGCTAATTGGGATCAATCATCGCATCCGCTGGAGAGCGCGAAACCCTTCGGAGGAGTGGGACTTGCCAGCGGCAGCTGTGACAATGCGAGCAACCATCAGAGAGCCATATGACTTTGCCGAGGCAGCCCAGATGTTGCCCACCAAGAATATCAGAGCACATCCCAGCCAAATAGGGCGCCTTCCGACTATATTTGCCAGAGGAGCAAAAGCAAAGCAGCCGATGAATTGACCGATGTTTGGAGCAGAGATCAACCATGTCAGCTCGTTGCTGTTGAGGTGGAACTGCTCTGCAAGTGATCCAAAGCCCGGGGAGAGTCCAATGACACTGAAGTTGACAAAGCTGGTGAACATAAGAACCGAATGCAGCGCACCCAGTCTCTTCCACAGGGGCCAATTCTGTTTCAACCAGTCAAACGGCCAAGTCTTGAACCACAGGCGGGGCCAGTCCTCACCAATGGGTCATTTGGATCATTCAACTTGGGTTGCGGAACAAGCACAATCGAAGTTCCTTTCTTGTACTGCAGGTGTCCATTATCTGTGTACAGGGCTGGTAAGCCAGCTGGACCGCTAGCAAGGATGAGATGAGGGATGGCGACGACTTACGAGCAATGAGCTGGTACGTTCCATGGACATGCTCGATATCGTCCAAAGCTTTCAGTTCAGGCATGCTGTCGTCGAATCAGTCGATTAAGCTCTACACTTTCCTTGGTCCTTTTCCAGGTTGACTTTGTCCAAGCATTTTGACCAAGCCTTCTATTCTGCTTGGCGGCCGGTACTTATGAATCAGAATGATCTGTGGCTCTGGCTGTCTCCACTTCCTCCACGCGCGTGCCCCGAGCCTGCTCCAGCCCCCCAGGTTCCCCGGATCTCGGCCTAAAGCAACCATTTGTTGGAGAAAAGTGCGACATGAATGCACGATATGGTCATGGATCGAGCACTAGCACGTTGCCTTTCGCTCCAAATCAATAGAGACGACGAATCAATTCTTCGTTGAGCTCGGTGAATGCGTGGTGGCACTCTCCCACCGATAATCCGACATTTATCGGCCGAGGTCATCTTGATTTCAATTCTGTGGTATACGCCAGAAATCCACCAGTATCCAGGAGATAGATACGAGGGCCGACTTAAGTTCTGCCCACAAAATGAGTCATAACGATGACTGTAAGCACTTGTGTGGTCGTAACAAGATCAGACTCTTCTATCCATCACGACGATCGTGATAGTACAGAATAAGACTTTAGCCTTGGTCTGGGACGTGCCAGAGTCTTGTCTTCCTGGAGACTAGGTCCTCGTAAAACAGTGGCTGTCGCGCTGAATTCAACAGACTGGGAACTTGCGTCGTATTGACTCGCAGAGGATTGGGGAATCGTTTAGGCTGTGACTTCTTAGGCTTTATCGAGCAGGTGGGTTCAGTGGTCAGCAAATCAGTCCAGAATTGTGATGAGTGATCATGGACTCAACTCCGAACAACCGGAGGATGGTCCTTTTGCTGAGCACCTGGTCGCCAAAGGAGATACACAATTGAAGAAGCATCGACTGTTAGTGTCGGCGCCATACCATGGGGACGACGCTCGCTCAGGCTTAAACTGCCAGGTCAATCCTTTGCAACAGAAGACCACTGTCTCGACATAAGAGGGTAGCACTATCACACGTTCACTGGCCATTCAATTCGCAACCCTGTAAGCCATTCCTGAAGCTTCAATCGACCTCAAGTGGTTTATCTGGTGTTTGTCTCGATTTGTTCTTCTTCGGGCACCGTACTGGAATTAGACACTGAGCAAATGAAGCTCAAGCCGAATATGGGGGACTAACCGGATTATCGGTCACACAGTACCACCATGTACTCCGTATCCGTCAACACTATTAATTTGTCCGCGACATTGAGGACGTCTCGATGTGGACCATGACGGGATTGGGCCAATTAACGTGATTACCGACATCTCCGATGGCGCTCGGGATTGAATTGTGGCAGATCCGGGGCTCATCGGCGCAACGACATTTTAGCACGTCGACGCGGTCGCAGTGGTAAGCGTGCTGCCGATTGCTCTTCGTGATCTGAGCATTCCAGGGAGCGAGAAACTGCTTTCGCTTGCTGGCCTGGACTTTGGAACCAGCAGCACCAGAGACTAAGGATGGCCAGGACTGTCAAAGCAGACAGAGACTTCCACCGAGTCTCAGCCTCAGCACCATAGTACTTGGACTGAGCTCAGCTCTTGGGCGCTAGTGAGGCTGAGTCCTCAACACCTCGCTAGACGCTCGAAGGACCCGGGAAATTGGCCAAACTTTGCCTTCCCCCGCATTGAAAACCCACATCTCGATTCTCCAGGTTCCATCTCCAGCCCACCTGGAGTCGACTACGCATGAGAAGCTCCTTCTTGATAACATCTCTTTGCAAGGGTAATTGGCGATTGTTGAGTGAACACGCCCGGCCAGTAAATTATCAGTGGTTGTAAGATTATCAGACTACCGACTCTGGTCCTTACGACGGATTCAGCTGATCGGTCATTCCATCATGCCGTTCGAGTTGGACCGGAAAATCTGTCCTCAATGTCTCCGATCATTCGAGCGTCGGTGAGTATCGTGCGGGCCTACGAGCACAGTGTACCATGCTCACTAGCAACGCTTCCATGGCAGTGACAGCTTACTTCGCCACATGCGTGTTCACAATGAGCACCGGATCCTGAAAAGAAGGAAGAGAACAGCTTGTCTGAGCTGCAGCAAGTAAGGGAAGCTTCCGTAGGTGCGCCTCATTATTGACCATCCATCAGATCCAAAATCAAGTGCACTGGCGAGCAGCCATCTTGCAGATCCTGCTCCAAACGTCAGATCCCTTGTGTCTATGGAGCCAACAACGGCCCTCCTTTTGCAGCGCAACAAAAACTAGACGCCAGCGAGGACTCGTTGATTGGATCTGAGCAGCAAAGACCACAGGCGCATGTTCCATCTGCCCAGCCTGTTATTGTGCAGCCCTCTCGCGAGTCGCTGGATCGCCAAAATGAGTCACTCCCAGACGCCAGCCTTGTACTTGACGATGTGCTGGTGGCAAAGTCGGTTGATAACGCGCTTCCTACTGATAATGTGATGGCCAGCATGCCTGGGGTATTTGAGAGTGGCTTTGGCAATCTCTTCGACGCCACTGATTTCCACTCCAACCTCGATTGGCTGTTCGAGACTATGTCCGGCGACGACTCCGCCGGAGTGGCAGATTTTTACATGCCCAACGACGTTGTCAACAATTTCAACCAGACGCAGGTACCAGATGACAGGTCTCCGGCTTCACCAAGCTCACAAGAACCACATCAAAATGACAACGAGACGTTGAACGATAGGACAAGTCCATCCGAGGGAGATCAGGCCATTCCCGATCTCCCATCTATTCCCCACTGCGAGGACAGCTGTGGACCGGATGATCCGTGGCCGATGGAGTATCATGCTGTACACTCACAACGATCCCTGGAGCTGCCAGAACTAGGTGCCGATGGCGAAGAGACTAGCCAATTCTTCTCGCACTTCTTTTCGAGCTGGGCGTTACAACCCTCCACCGTCGATGCGTTGACGCACTACATGCAACTGCCAACTCAACGGAGTCCTTGGCAGGCAGTGAATTTGAAAAACTTTCCCAGCAAAGAGAAACTGGAGTACTGTATCGAGCTCTACTTTGGCAATTTCCATCAAGCAAGCCTCTCCTCTCTATCTTCGTGGGCGATTGTTCTAACACGATGCAGGTTTGGCCGCTTATCCACCAGCCGAGTTTTGATCCAGACCAAGACCCGACCGTCACGCTGGCTGTCGCCAGCGTTGGTGCCCTCTACAGCCCGTGGTCAGCGGCAAAGGCGTTTTCAAACGCAATGTCCGAAATCAATCGCCGCCTGCTTCTCTTTCTTGTAAGATAACCTGATATTCGAAGGATGGACTCGACGATGACTAACTCTCAGAAATCGCAGGCGGAATACGACTGTCGATATACAAGGACAGAATCCTATCTCACGGCACAACTGTTGCAGGGACTGCATGGGTATTGCAGTGGTAACAAGCGTCTCTTCGAGCTAAGCGAATCCTTCCGCAACAATTTAATTCACCATGCAAAGTGTATGGGACTCTTCCGTCAGCGGCCCGACAACGATCCTGGGGGAACCCTCGGTCGGTCGGCGGAAGAAAGATGGAGTGATTGGATCCATCAGGAAAGACTGTGCCGTCTAGGCTGGGCAGTATACGTAAGAAAGACTCTTTTCCTTGCCGAGCAGCTCTCCCATGCTAACGCTTTCTCTACGTGTCTAGAAATATGATGCTTCGGTAGCATACCTGCACAACAACCGGCCCTTCCTCAGCATTGGGGATATGCACTTGGATCTGCCCTGTGAAGCGGATCTATGGAAAGCAGAATCCGCTCATTGCTGGTTATCAATGCTACCCCCGTCGCAAATGGTTCCGAAATCACCACGACTGCGCCCGCTTATGCGGACGTTGTTCGACAAGACACCCAAGCCAACCGCCAAGATCAGGGAAGAGGAGCACCGATACACCCTAGTCTTGACGCTCGTGCGGATGATTTGGACTTGTAAGGAGATCAAGTCGTCCCCGGTCACCGATTTAATTGAGGACGGGCCCACCTACTACGTGCAACCGCTGCTGGATGCCATTGACGGCTTCACCCAATCCGCTCGGAGACTCGCGTCGCGCCTGACAACCACGGAGCTCGCACGAGCCATGCACACACAGCAGGTCATCCATGTCGCGCATCTCTACGGGGCTGGGGGCCTAATGACTTGGCTCTACCCGCTTCTTCGAGGCGGAAACGAAGCAACCTTGGCCCTGGCGCAGTTGGACCACTGGGCCACCGAATCACCGGACGTCGTGAGGGACGCGGCGTATCACGCTGCCCAGATCCTCTCCCTTGCAAGGGCATATCCCAGCAACTCTCCCAACGAGTCCTTTCTCATTTTTCAGGCAGGTACCGCGCTCTTCTACCTGGGGAAGCTGCTCGTCGAGCACGACTACGCCGCGGGTGGGCTCGAGACGCCGAGAATAGTCAGGCTTGATTATATCGAGCGGGATGAGGATGACGACGAGTTGGTCAGGACAAAGACCTGGTTGCGAACCGGCCAGGCTCACCAGATCAGCTTGCAGGGCATCCCGTCACTGTCTTGCGACGAAGGCCGGCGCAAGGTACTCGACGAGACAGTCGTGCTCTTGAGACGCCGACATACCTCGGGGATTTCTGAGAGTTTCGTCAAGGTTGTGCTGAGGTTGCGCGATACTTTAAGACCCTGAGACTGCCATGCACCGGACAGAGATTGCAGCTCTTGATACGAATAACGAGAAAAGCGGAAGATCATTGCAGTCAATGGCCTGCAATTAGTACTAGCGGGTGACCAAAATTGAGGCACGACCCTCAACAACCTCCTTCAGAGCCATGGTGAATTTACTCATCAATGAAAGGCCATGCGCCAAGCGAAAGTCGAGTTTGACGTATTCCAACTCACCAATCCCTCTTCTGTGGGATGAGTTCTATGATGTATCCGTCCTAAGAAAGGTTCACCAATCACGTCAGCCGACAAGTCCATCATCAAGCCTCCGCGGGAGCATCTGCAACCTTGTTGGGTCTAGGGCAACTGCACTGGAATTGACAACTCGTGGAATTCGAAGCGCAGGAGACGGACTCTGACTTACCGGGTCATGAACAAAGGCTATCCTCCTCAGAATCTGTTTGTATCCGTCGTGGATGCTGTCCTCGTCTCCTACGCCGACCCCCCTCTCCGCCTCCCAGTCACTCAGCGGGATCGACGCGCGATTCGCGACCCCCAAAGGCTTGAAAACTTTGATCCCGGCCGCCTCGAGGCGCTGCACCGTCTCAGGCACGTTGGCAACAGTAAACCCCAGGTGCCCGAATCCCAAGCTCGGCGGCGTGTTCCCGTTGGAGTAGTAGTCTTCTGGCATCTTCTCGGCACCGTGGATGTGTTTCAGCTCCAGGAGTCCCGGGGTAAACGGTAGATTCTTGGCCGTCTCTGCGCTGAAGGCTCCAAGGTCCTTGCGGTGTTCGGCTGTGTGTGGGAACCCGAGGTAGTAGTTCGTAAAGGGTCCGCCGTTGATGGTGAATATCGTCCGCATGCCCATGAGGTCTCTGTAGAAGTGCAGGGATTTCGTCGGGTCGCGAATCCTGAGCATGGTGTGGTTGAATTTGTTCCCGACCGTGACGTCGTCCTCCGGCAATGGGGGATTGGGATAGTGGCCTCCTATGACCAGTTTGCCCGCTTCAGGCTCTGTGCTGGACGTACACGTTGTTTCCGTCATGTTGGTCACACGGATCTTGAACTGCTGGCAATCCAATATCTCTTGCTGCTGCTGCTGCTGCTGCTGTTGTCGTCGTCCTCTGGCTGGAGTGCTAGAGTAGTGATCTTTCGAGATTGAAGATGTCAGTTTATCTAAATTTGTGTACGAAAAGTGAAAACGGTGAGATCAGTGGACCAATGCTCGCCGGATAGGAGTAATACTGACTGTTCCTTCGACCGAGTATATGTTTGTCGCCCTCAGTTGCCTCTCGGGATAGATTTGGTTCGGCATACGGCGTGGGCCCCCGTGGAGCAAAAAGGATCGCAGCAACTGCGAGAATTAGTCAGGATCTACTGTAAGATGGTGGGTGTTCGGGAATCCGAGGTGGGCGGGGGCGTCGATTCTGTAACCCGGGGCATACAGATCTGCTGGCCACTTTGAAGTCACAGTCTGAAAGTCGCTTTCTCCGAGACGGTGTGGGCTGGGTGGCTGAATTCGAGCCCAACGAGTCCACAGAGGTGCCGCCTGGGTACCGGAAAACCTCGAGGCATCACGTATCGCAGTGTGCCTGGGTCAAAAGATGCACCGTCGAAAACACGATCCAGCAAACGACACACATAGGTGATCATTGACGGTCCATGGCACAAAGGTGACAATGAATCTTAGGAGTTGACGTCTTGTTCATATTGCCTCGTGTGATTTATGTAACCAGAGTGGCCAATGTATCAGTGACCTTGGAATGGTCCTAGGCGTTTCACTCGGCACTCCGGTAGACGTACGGGTCCTTTCTCGACTATACCCCAGTGAGTTATCCATCGAGGAGCAATCAGATGCCCGTGTTCTATTCTTCATGCACAGTGACCGACCGTAGCAAATGCAATTCACCACCACAACGTTCATAATGTTTTCCAATCGAACGCCTTCTCCCATGCCGCAGCAACCCGGTAGATCATTTCTTCCTGGAACATGCCTCCGACTATTTGCATGCCCACGGGCAGTTTGACGCTCTCGTCGTCTTCGGCGGGACAGAAGCCGACAGGCAAGCTCATGGCCGGATGACCGCTGGCGTTGAAACAGACCGTGTTGACGGCCACACCGCGGCTCTTGGCCATCTGCTCTGCCGGCCCGGCGTCCTTTGGCGCGTGCCGGTTTGCGACGTACGGGGTGGTGGGCGTGACGAGGACGTCAACCTGGCTCAGCGCCGCGTCGTACTCGTCCTTCAACCTCCGGTACAGGTTCATGGCCTTGCCGTACAGAGTGGGGTGGCGCGACCAGATGTAGAGGCCCGACATGAGCGTGAACTTGGACGTCGAGAACATCTTGTCAAACTTGTCCTGGGTCAGCGGAGTCATCTTCTCCGTCAGCCCCGTCATGTACAACCCCCTCCGCCCACAGGCTTTGCCGAGGTAGCCCTGTTGCGAGGCCGTCGGCCGCAACGCGCAATTCACGATATGGCCCGCCTGGGTATGCAGAGGTACGCTGATCGGCACCACCTCGGCCCCAAGGCTCTTGAACCGCTCCGCGGCTTCCAGCACCTTCTCCTTCACTCTCGGGTCTATCACAGGGAACTCGAAGCCTTCTTGCAGGATGCCGATTTTGAGCCCCGAGACGCCTTTGTCCAGGGAAGCCGAGTAGTCGGGCAGATCTGCAGGCGGTGGTGAGGCGTACTGTCGGTCGTCGATGTCGTCTCTGCCGGCGATGGCCTGGAGGACTCTGGCATTCAGCGCGACTGTCCGTGTCATGGGCCCGGCTGTGTCGTGGACCGGGTCATGCGTCACGATGCCCGTCCACGGCACGAGACCCCAGGTGGGTTTCATGCCTACGATGCCGCAGTAACTGGCTGGAAACCGGATCGACCCTCCCTGGTCTCCGCCGATGCCAGCGTCCACCTTGCCGGCTCCCACCAGGTGCCCGCATCCGCTCGACGAGCCACCGGTCGTGTAGCCTTCTGCGTAGGGGTTCTCCACGTTGCCCGTCGCCGCAGAGAACGACGACGCGCACAGCGACAAGTTCTCGCAGACGGCCTTCCCTTCGATGGTGCCACCGGCTTGCAAAATCCGCCGGACCACGGTGGCGTCGGTGTCTGGAACGTAGTCGGTAAAGACGTCAGTTCCTACAAGCATGGGCACGTTCTTGACCGCGATATTGTCTTTGAGAGCGAAGGTGACGTCCGACAAGAGAGCTCCTTCGTCCTTGTCGCCCTCGATCCTTACTTTCCACGCCCACGCGTTTCCTGGATTGTCCTCTGGAGGTGGCCGGTGGATGTTGCTTCGCGGATATTGTTCTGTGTCGGCATGGGGTAGGTAGTCCGGGAGAGAACTGACCACGTCGATGGACTCCTGCACAGAGGCAATAATGTCGTGCCACTGGGCGATATCCCTCTCGGGCAGTGAAAGGTTGAGGGATCCAACCACGTCGACTACGTCTTGAGCTGTGATGGTCGCCTTGTTGGCTTCAGACGCTGCTGCTAGTGTTGCCATCGACGTGAGGTCTGAGATGTATGTTGTTACCGCCTGGTGAGCTTGGTGTTGGGCTCTTTTTGGAAATACTTCAGGTGCTTTCTATGCTGTGCGTGAGCCTGGTGGCTTATCTGACTGTGTTTGTCGAAGGAGAGACAGACAGAGCGAGCATAGTACAGTATCCAGGCCTGACGCAGAGGACCCACGGGGAGATAGATTCACTGGTGGTGTCTGCAGCCATGGCGGTAGAAGCGCGAGGCCAGACCAAATGCACCGTGGGTGTTCACACCGCGTGAATAGCGATTGATTCTGACTGTCGACTCGTCGCAAGCCACAGATCTCTAATTTCCAGGACCAGATCATCCCAATGCAGGGAGGGTTGATTGGTGTGTGTGGTGTTGCGCTATTCTCCGACGCCATCGCGTTGTCTCCGATGATTGACTCAAAGCGCCGATAGATTAGTCTTGACGGGGCCGTGGACAATCAACCTACACTAAGTGATGGACGTAGCTGGCCAAGGCGACGTCCAGGCTGCAAGCAAGAAAAGCCTCAGCAGTTGGTCGAAGCCATGGGGTCGACCTCGGCGTCTCAGTCGGCGACGGTCAAGATTGTTGCTCTCGAGGCCCAATTTGGCCCGATCCCAGAGTTTGACGACTTCAACGGCAAATACGAGATCACCATCTACGATGTGACGCCACGCAACGACGTCAAAGTTCTCAACGAGAGAATTGGCGACGCTGACGTCGCCATTATTACCACCATGCCCATGACGGCGGCCACGTTGGCGCCCGAGGTGACACCCAATCTGCGTGCCATCATGGTCATGGCAGCAGGGACGGATCATATCGACTTGGAATACTGTCGGAAACGAGGCATCCGAGTGCTGAACAGTCCCAGGGCAAACACGACCACTGTCGCCGAGCACGCTGTCGCCTTGTACTTTGCCGTGAGGAGGTGTGTCGTGCAGACCCATGTACGGACAGTTCAAGATCAGTGGCCGAAGCATAGGACGCTGCTCAGCTCACTGCGAGATAAAGACAACAGGCTACCGCTTGGACTCAAGGATGAGGTTGCGGGTATCATAGGTTATGGGGGTGTTGGTAGGCTGAGCTTCCTTTCATGATAACCACCAGTCGTTAGTTCTGACCAATTTGGGCACCACATACAGGCAAACACATAGCAAAACTCTGCAGTGCACTCGGCATGAGCGTGATGATTGCCGATCGCAAAGCCAACAGTACACAAAAGCATCATGCCTCTCCCCCGGCGAGTACAAATGGGTCGGAGGTGACACGTGCGTCCTTTGCAGATGTCCTCGCCAAGTGCACTGCTATATTTGTCGCGGTGCCTCGACTGCCGACGACTCTCGACATGATCTCGGCGACAGAGCTCGCTACGATGAATGGGCGCGCAGTGCTCATCAATGTCAGTCGTGGAGGCATAGTCAACGAAGCCGATCTTGTGAGTGCGTTAAGGTGCCGCCAAATCGCCGGGGCCGCTACAGACGTCTTTCTGACGGAGCCGGCGTCGACGGAGAACTCGGTTCTGCTCAAAGCCCTTGCGGAGGAAGATGTCAAGAAGGACGAAGAGAAGCTCCCGTTGGTGGTGACGCCGCACACAGCGTGGTACAGTGAAGTGACCATGGAGAATCTCGTTGAAGATGTGAGGACGAATGTTGTTGGATGGAGTCGTGGTGTCTTGCCGCCTGAGAATCTTATTGTGTGAACGTCGATTCTGTGCATGACTATATTCACTTCGCTGTTCCTGGAGGGATTTAGATTGTTTGTGCTTCAATAGATCGGGCCCGACGAGTACCGGCTCGTTCCCGGCGTAATGACAGTTTCTACGTTCCTGAAAGACTACCGGTTCATATAGCTGCAAACCCTAGAAGCACAGTTACAGTGATGTAGGCTATTTATATATCAATCAATTGCCCACGCTGTTAGGCATGTAAGGGTTCGTGAACGCTGAAAAGCCGAAGAACACGAGTCGCGACGTTCAGGGGGAATAGCCTTGCATAGCCTTGGATTTGATCGCACGATCCGGTCCTCCCAAGATGATTGGCGGCTGACTGTGAGAGACAAATACGAATATCCCGTGCAGTGTATTGGTTTAACTATACTCGTCCCTGGATTGCTTCAATATCGTGCCGTCTGTGGTACCTAGGCACAATACGGTAGCAATCGAAATGACTAACTCTAGGATCTCAGTATTTTTCGCAATCATGTTTGAGATGTTCGGAGTTCATCGCAACAACCTGCAGAGGAGTAATCAGATCAAAGTTATTAGTCAACAGGTTTGTTATTTGTCAAATGCGAGGTCAATCTATCTTCATCGGCCAAGGAGCGATCCTACATATCGAGCTACCATATCTGTGTATCTACCCGCGTTAACGTTAGTACGGAGTCCGGAGCTCGACCCTGGGACTCAGTCTAGAGATCTGATCGGATCCACAGGCCCACACCGTCGACCACGAACAATAATCGCTCTAAGATGGCGCATGGCACCGCAGCCTCGTCGTAGTCCGCTACACGCATCCCCATTGTCAAAGTAGCTTGCCCTGATAATCAGAGACTAATGTCCTCGTGGGTTTTTTTGATAGCGATCCACTTGACTTAGCTAAGCGTTTTCAATTGCCTTTTCATTTTTGTTCTGTGCCTGGCTGAATTACAACCAAGTCCGGGACATTGTCACGACCAAATACTACTGCTGGAGATAGAAATCGGGGTGATTGACCACGACGGTAAGTAATCCAACAACAATGGCAACATCAGCAATGGGGAAACGCCTCGCAGGCAAAACCATCCTCATCACCGGTGCATCGTCAGGAATCGGACGCAGCACCGCGTTTGAGTTCGCGCGCACATCGCCTGAAGACCTCAAACTCATCTTAACGGCGCGACGGATCGACCAGCTCAAAACCATCGCAGCAGAGATTGAAAAGGAAGTCGGCCGTGGCGTCAAGGTACTCCCTGTGCAACTCGACGTCAGCAAGGGTAGTGAAGTCGCGAGCTTCGTCGACATGCTACCCGCCGAGTTTCGACAGATCGATATCCTTGTTAACAATGCGTACGTCTAGTATTTACCACTCTCACTCCCACCTCCCAACTCTCCCCCTGCGTCTTTGGTCTCTACATTCCTCAGTCATCGGGTTTGAGAGACCCAGAACTCTTCTCGCGCGGCGATGCTTGGACATGAACGGTCTTTTATTCTCTCTTCATTGACACCCAACTGGCTGACACGTAGTGCTCATGGCATTGTACAGAGGTCTCGTCAAAGGCATAGCCAGAGCCCCCGAGATCGCAGAAGACGACATGAACATCATGTTCGCGACCAACGTCACCGGCTTGATCAATATGACCCAGGCCGTCTTGTCGATAATGTTGGCTCGTGGAGAGAGCGGCGCAGGCGACATCATCAACATCGGCAGTATCGCTGGACGCGAACCATACGTCGGGGGAAGCATCTACTGTGCCACGAAAGCCGCCATCAGAACATTTACCGAGTCTTTGCGAAAGGAGTTGATTGCGACCAGAATCAGAGTCATTGAAGTTGATCCAGGACAGGTTGAGACGGTGAGCGAGCCAGCACACGCTCCTGTTCCACAATCCCCTTCCTGGTTCCCTCCCTTTGCTTTGTCGTTCATTCCCTACTCCCCCCGTTATCATTTACGCTTTGTACCCCTTCCAGGCTCGTCATATAACCTGACCGCGTTGTTTTCAACAGGAGTTCTCAGTCGTTCGATTCTACGGCGACAAGTCCAAGGCTGATGCCGTCTATGCGTGAGTATGACCTGTCAATATTGACCTTGCAGTGGTCTGGAAAGACCTGCGTAAGGGCGGTGCTAACTAGTTATCGTGAACTTGCAGTGGCTGTGAGCCTTTGACACCCGACGACATAGCGGAAGTAGTTGTCTTTACAGCTGGTCGCCGTGAGAATGTTGTTATTGCGGACACATTGATCTTCCCCAACCATCAGGTACGTTAGAAATTAACAACACGCTGCTGATTATGTATAGAAGGAAGCCCATCTGACACAGACACGCACAGGCTTCAGCAACGATCATGCATCGCAAGTCATAGACGAACGGGGGCTTGATGGCATGAAAGAAATGTTAAAAGTCGAATCTCACAGGATTAAGTAGCGAGTTGTTATTAGACAGCTGTTCAAGAATGTGCTTTGCAAAGACACAGTGTTCTAGACCACGGAGCAGAAGAAGGGTTTCCATGACCTCAAGGGAATGGATGCTTTCAGACATAAAAGTCAGGCCCATAGACAGACTACAATTGGCAAAAAGGCAGACCTATCTAGTCCCGAACATAGAGATCTGACATTGGTTCACAACGAAGAATCCTAGAGCCTCGGAAATAAGAAATGATCTTCGATCCATGCAGTAGAACAATTAGGAATGAATTCAAATGACTGATATCACTCAAGAACGAATGGGCTAATCTATTCATACCGGCAATCGACCTCATGACCTGCTTCGCACTCAAGGAAGCAGGGAGGCGTTGAAAACGCATCATCAATGACTGTCCGCCATCGCATAGATACACAGACATAGGTACACAAAAAGTCAAAGAGGCATAAAGTCTAAATCTGCTTCTCTTCTGCTTCGGCCGACTTGGTAAAGACCTCATCACCTTCGCTGCTCTTCTCCCTGCTAAGACCATCGAGGTACTCGACGGGATCTGTGCCGTTGATTCCTGATCCCTTGGCTTCGACCTCCTTCCACTGCGTGGCAAGACCACTGGGAGGCGGCGAGAGCAAGTTGAATCCCCAGTACGCCATGGCACCAAATACAATGCCGACCGGGAAGGAAAAGTAGTACAGGTGTTTGCCACCGGCAGAAACGCCCTCGACTCCGCAAACGTCCAAAAATCCAGGGAAGGCGGGGATCATGCCAATCACATACGCCGCGTACGCGCGCCAGTTGAAGCCGTACTTGAAGTAATACAGGCCCTTCTTGTCGGTGGTGAAGAGCGCGGGCAGGTCAAGGTCTCCCTTGCGGACCAAGAAGTAGTCGCCGATCAGGACGCCGACAATCGAGGCGAGGAAGATGGAGTAAGCCGAAAGGTACGACGTGAAGGAGAAGGACGTTTTGGTCAAGTTCCATGGCGTGATGGCATATCCCAGAACCAGCGCCAGGATCATGCCGCGACGGATGTTGAGGTATCTGGAGAAACGCAGAGAACGAGAGGCGATTAGCATCTTGCTCTAAACCATAGAGGGGTTAAAACTTTTTTCCGTGCATGAGAGTAACTTACTTCGGAGCCAAGGCGGCCGCGTCGTTGCCAGATTGAATCAAGTTGGCCAGAACCACGGTGATGATCTGAGCAAAGGCGAAACCGGCTGAGATGAAAAAGACACCGGCGCGGTTGGACGACGAGTAATCGTCAAGGTAGCTGGCGAGGATGCCAAGAGGATCCCAGTTTGGCTGAGAAGGACGACCAAGTTAGCAACGAACAAAATCCCACCAAAACTCGATTCGAATGACAGAATAACAGCTTGTCGCTTAAGGGGGGGGAAGGGCGACTTTTACCTTTCCAGACTTGAGGGTGATACCAGACGAGCTGGTAATGAGAATGCCGAAGAATGCAATCATGCCAAACGAAGCGGTGAAGCCGATCAATTGGGTCCAGAGGGCATCTTTCGGTCGACGTGCATATCTGCTCAAATCCGCGTTGTTGGTCACAAAGGTGACCACATTGGCAGCCTGGACGAAGAGTTGTTGGATAAAGACCTGAGGAGAAAGCGACAGGTTAGGTTCACTCATTCAGTATTGAGGATGTGAAGGGTTTTGCTCACCCATCCATGAGATTTGCCTTCCGGGATGTTGGCTCCCTGTTTGACGACTTTTCCAACACCGCCTGCGCGATGGATGGACCAGCCAAAGAAGGCGAGCAGACAGATGGACATGACGATCGACTTGTAGTAGATGACCTTGCGGAATTTGTGGACCGGGACGGCAGTGCATGCCAAACAGATGACCCAAGCAATAGAGAATCCAATCAGCCGACCGCCGGTCATGGTGACATCAGATCCAAAAGGATCGTGAACCTTAGAAATTCCCTTGGTCCAAGACAGGATCATGGTATAGATACAGTTGCCACTGTATTTGGAGCAAGATGTCAGATTTTGGTTTGTGTTGTACCTCATGTCGCACAGGACAAACAGCGGAGGGTGACTCACGTTTGCACCATTTGTACACCAGTCCAGATAATTGTCATGGCCTCACGGTTGAAGATTGGCCAGAATGCACCAAGGACACCGAAGCTGGATCGAGCAAGGACAGGGAAGGGAACATGATAGACGGCGCCGCCACGACCCGTCATCACCATGGGCACGGCTGCGATGAAGTGACCTAGGATAACACATATCCATGCCTCCCACCAGGACTGTATTTCAGGCATCGTTAGCCAGCATGTTCTTGAAAGGGAGACAGAGATGTCCTCAGGGGCTCCACGTACGAGACCATTGGAAACACCTGTCGCAGCGACAGTCCATGAGGTGACGCTAAAGCATTCAGCGAACCAAAACAATGAGTCTGCCAGAAAGTTCAAGAGTCAGCCTGCCTTCTTCTCAGAAAGCACGAGGGCCGAGAAGACTGCTGGTTATGCTCACAGGTCCACTTGGTCCACGTGCGGTTCTCCTTAGGAACTGGAAGCAAGTCATGGTTGACCAAGAGTGAATGTTCTGGGTCTATGCCCGGCCTGTCGACCTCAAGTTTTCGGAGTAGGCCCGATACAGCCATGGGTACAGGTTGACTCGATGCAGCCTGATGAAAATGTGAATCAGAACAGGCGAAAGCTCGAGAAAAGTGGTCTGTCGGCTTACCGACGAATACAGCTTGGACCCAGACGCATCTATATAGTCCTGATATGTAATAGAGGGAGCTCAAGACGACTATCTTACGCTATCTTAGCAGGATGTCTGGGGGCACTTTGACCCAAGCCGGCGCTCAGCGCAATATCAGCATTGTCGAGATATGAGAGACACTCTAGTGGCACTGTGTTGGTATAGAGATAGGCGAGCGTGGCGGATATGCGCTTTCTACACTGCCTTCTTCAGCTGGAAGATGAGGTCGTGGACGTCTGGAGTAGGTGGTTTAGACTTTCATTGTGTCGGTCGATGAGCGATCACCTACTGCCAAAGGGTATTGGCTGCCCTCTACGATCAGTGGAAAGTCTTTTTGTCCTTATCTGTGCCGTGTCTAGCGAGCCGCACCAGGTCAAGGGTCAAAAGGGGAGCCAATTAGGTCGAGCCAGCCACTGCTAGCGAAGGGTCCACTTTCTTCCCGCCTGGGAAACCTTCGAGGCTCCAGTCGGCCAGAGCGCGATCCTGCTTATCTTCGTCTGCGGAGTTGGTCTATTGGGCTCGAAATGCGTCGCTGGACCTCCGGTTTGCCAAAAGCACAGGCAACGGACACCATCGGTCGATAGTCGACCCCAGCATCGGTATCTCTGCCACGCCCGGAGTATGTAGGATTGCATTTCCAGGAGTCATCTGTCGTCCACAATAATGGTACGACCCCGATGCATCGGGTTTAATATCGATATATATAACGACTGGAGGTAATTTAGTTAAGACTGAAGTAAAGCTTGATAACCTGATATATATCTCAACCGCGAGACGTGTCTCGATTAGCCAAGCCATCAAGAAATACCGATAACCACCGCAGCAGTCATGGGATCCATAGCCCCAGCAGATGATACACCCCAGACAGGGACCGAGTTCCCGTTCCCTATTGTGTCCTTCCAACCCTTCCTGGACGCGACTCCAGAAGGCAAGAAGGAGGTGGCAGATCGTCTATACGATGCCTTCCACAACTTCGGATGGGTCTACCTGAAGGACTTTGGTATCTCCCAGGCCGAGATCGATGAGATGTTCCGCAGGGTATGTTTTGTTCTTTGACAACACCAGTCGTCGAATCAGGGCTAATGATCGCGGTAGAGCAAGCAATTCCACGACCAATCGATCGAGTGGAAGGAAAAATTCAGACTGAATGATCCTTCAGTAAGCCAAGGGTACACCGCCGACGGCGCTGAGTCCAGCGACCCTCACGGCGGTCGAAGCCACAAAGAATGCTATGAGCACCGCAAGGTGAACAAGCTCTGTCCTGCTGCTGGTGAGCTGGACGAGTGGACTCACTGGGCCGATTCCTTCTACAAGGTACGTGCTCGTCTCTTTTCTTTACCTCATCTATGACTGGTCCCCGGCTGACCATTGCCCTCTGCTAAATAGAAACTGCTCGACTTGGCGGGTCAAGTCGCCTCCGCCCTCGCCATGGTCCTGGGGGAAGACGTAGACGAATTCCGAAGCAAACTCGGCCAGCTCGACGGCCAGCTACGACTGCTCCACTACATGCCCGTGGCACGCAAGACTCTCGAGTCCGGGCGCAACTTCCGCATCAACCCGCACTGCGACTATGGTCTCTTTACCCTCCTCTTCCAGGATACGGTGGGCGGTCTCGAAGTCGACCGGTTCCACGATGGCAAGTTCGTATCAGCCACGCCTATTCAGGGAACCTGCGTCATCAACGTCGCCGACATCCTCCAGCGTCTTTCCAACGACGGTCTTCGCTCCACGCGCCACCGTGTCATGGCACCAAAGCTGTCTCAGAAGCAGCTGGACGCCCTTGGCCCCGATGGATACCTACCCGCTCGGTATTCCACGGCGGTCTTTGTCCATCCGAACCGTGGCTTCCTGATCGATCCTATCGTCAAAGAGGGTGACGAGGCTCACTACGAGCCTTGCGTGGCTGGCTTGTGGAGAGACGCCATAACCGCGAAGAACTACAGACTGCCTATCCCGATGGACACCCCTGAGCAGATCCAGGCGGCCAAGTGTGTGGAAAATCGTTACATGATGGCCGCGAATATTGAGAAGAAGCCTCGTGTTATTTGAACGGGGAGGCTCGACCTGAGATTCACAATATCACGATGATTTAATAGTATTGTTACTTTTGAACACATAACTTGATGATCCGATCAACATTTCGTTATTTCCCTTGATGCAGTTCCCCGGCTCTAGACTGAGGATTTCAGATCCAGTACAAGTAGACTGCCAAAGAAGTAAAACGTACCAGTTTCGACAACGGTCGCCTCTTAAAACACGCATAATACTGCGTGTTGAGGCTCGCAGACGATAATCAAGACCGAAACAAAACCTTGAACGTGATATTGTAACACATGGTTTTCAAATATGATCCTCATCTTCTATGCCCATGTCCAAGCACGGAAGTACAACTACAGTAACTACGTATGCAACCCCTATCCTCGCTTAATGAATATACGCACACCTATACTCTCCAGGCCCGGGATCATAAATTGGCTTGTACAGGACTGGGGTTTGCTTCACCTTCCGATTCCTTGGGCTCAAAATACGGCGCACCTCGTCGGTACAGATCATCCAGCACATCAGCCTCCATGATCCACTTCATTCTTTCCTTGAGGAGTTCGGGCTTGAAGGTGTCGGTAAATCCTTCAGGCAAATCAGCGGATGCTAACAGCCCAGCTTCGTAGCTTGTCTTTGTGACTTTGTCAGTCCGTGGTTTGCGAATGTCCTGATATAACTGGAATGCTGGCCTCAGATCATCACCCGCTTTCCAGCTCTTCAGGATAGTGGCGAGGGTGATGCCAGACTCAATGGCCATGCCTGTACCTTGACCTAAGTGCACAGTAAGTATACACAGTCCCTGGCTCCGATGAAGGGAAGTTTCAGGGCTTACCTTGGTGCGGCAATGTCGAGTGAACGGAGTCACCACATAGAACGATACCATGCGAATGGTTGGATTGTTCGACATGGAACCAAGTATCTATCGGCGCTCGGACATAGAGGGCTTGCTTCAACATCCTGCCATCTGGAGATGATTTCCGAAGTCCCTGGATGAGTTCCTGAATTGGTCCGGCCCAGCCTTCACAGTGCTTTTGTAGTTCATCAATCGGCGCCGTCGCCATCCAGCTCTCGGATTTCCAATCGCTGAGTGATTCGCTCATGAAGCCGATAACGCCGATTCTGGCAGTGTTTGACTCGTCATTCCCAATGGGAAGTGTCAGAATGTGCTTACGGTGACCACGGAAAACCACAGTTTTGCGAAATATCTCGGCGGCTTCCGGCGACAAATCGCTATACTGTACGTAGCCCCGGTAGACCACCTGGCCGGAGTAGATTGGGGAGTCAGTGATACCAAGATGCTGTCTGATCACCGATTTGATCCCGTCGCAGCCAATAACAACGGTAGCCGTGGCTGTAGAGCCGTCTTCGAAGCTCAGCTCATACTCGGATCCTGTGTATTTGAGAGACACGAGCTTTTTGCCGGTATTGAGGACTGAGTCTGGAATCCGTTCCTTCAGTGCATCTAGTAGATGTGCTCGATGAATTTGCCGAGACGCCGGTTGACCAAACTCGTCGATTTGGCCCAGGTATTGACCCGTCTTGTATTGACGATATTCCATGTAACACGGTGGGTTACGCGAGGACTTCCACAGCATAGAGTCTTTAAGGCCATACGCATCCAGGATCCGGTTGGCATTTCGGGTGATATTGACGCCGGCCCCGACCTCGGTGAACTGTGGTGCTTGCTCATATAGCTCGACATTCGTGAGCCCAACGTGAAGAGCAGCGTTGGCGAAGGACATGCCACCAAGGCCTCCGCCAACGATGGCGATTCTTGCATCTTCGAAGCCCATGGTGCCGTGAGGTTCAGGGATGGCCGGATTGAGTAACTTGCGTGTGGAAGGCAAGCTTGGCCAACATAATGCGCACCGAGAAAGCCATGTATGTATGCATCGCAATGGTGTAGTGCGATCCGTGCTCGGCTGGACGGGCTGGATTGGTAGCGCTCTCCTCCGCAAAGGGATCTCGGTTCCATGCGAGCGCTCCGCCGCTCATCGCAACGGTAGAATTAACCTCCTCCGGGTGCGTCAAATGGTTATCGGGCCCCGGGAGCCGGTAGAGGCTGGATCGCGGCGGAACATCTGCTTCCATGAACGGCAAGTGCGGCGAGATGCCGACTGAGATGCTTTGTCGCTGTAGATGTGGACAACAGTAGCGTGGCTTCAGTTGTACAAGTCCGCTAGACACCAGGTCCTTATCTGAGATGAGGCTGCGCAGTCTGATTGCGAGAGTGAGACAAACGGAGCAAACACAACAAACAACTCGAACAACTTAAGTGGCTAAATACCTGCAGCTTACATAAACAACTCTAGCCGCTTTTCCTGGTCATTATGTATGACACGGTGACTTGAGATCATGTATATTTAGCCTCTCAATGTTTAATTTAAGCACTTCAACAGCATCCTGACTTCGTATTCGCAGGGTCGAAACGACATGAATGACTCCATCCGATAGGCTATGACCGAGAACCATTCTCTGAATGAGAAACGAAATCCATGCCTGGAAAAATGGACTATTTGGAGCTACACCAACTTGCGCTTCATCTCCTGCTCGCCGTGCAACTGGACATCGATGGCAGTCGCTACGGCTTCAGCTAGGGATTGCACTGCTGGCTCACCAATCAACTTGTTGTCCCATTCATCATACAAGGTGCCCCCAGTGGCCCAGATTCGCCTGAGGGTGATCAGAGTGGCCAGATGATTACCCGTTGTCCAAGCCTCCTTTTCCAGCCGCTTCAACTCGTCGATGCTGGCATACGACACCTGCCATTTCTCCCCTCCCGTCTGTTTTTCGAACTCCTCAAAGATATCACCATCTGTTGTGGTAAATGACTTGACCTTCACAGCTTTGTTTCGGCTCGCTTCCGGATGAAGAAGGGCCGCCAGGAGTAATTTTCCTACACTTTTAGGTGCATATGCGAAATTGTCAGTCACACTTTGTCCCAAATATATCAAACGGGAAGTAGTAGATGAGGAACTTTCAGAGGCATCACTCACTCGGCCATAGTCGTAAAGGCTATGTTCAGGTCTCCTGACCCAAGTAGGACTGCAGACTTGCTCCTGACGTCGAAACTACCAGTATGTGTTGCGCCGTGGTTGGGACTAAGATAGAGTCCCGGGTCTCCGTCGGCATACGGACCAGTCACCAAGAAGGTGTAGTCGAGATTCTTGCAGGATTGGATGAATGAGCGGACCTTGAGCTTGTTTTGATGTGGCTTCTCTGTTGATGATTCCGGACCATGTTCAATGTCGGTGCCGTATTCAGATGGGAAGAAGCGGTGGATGGTGGGTGTTTCATCAGCAAGACGGATCAACTCGATCTGGTGCTGAATCATGTTCCTTCCCACTGCCGACACGACCGTATCGATTCCTGTTTGTTGCCATCAGTCATGAGTCTTTAACCCTTCCGGAGATCTGACAAGCAACGCCTTCGTAAGCCTACCTTCATATGCATTCCTGACGTCCGCCTCGTTCATCAAGCTGCCGACAAGGATCTCGACCCCTTCAGTCTCTAATTCTTTGATCTCGCTGGCTTTTGATTTGACTGTATCGGGCGAGGTGAATATAGCGATGCGATCAAAGTCGCCCTTCCGAGTAAGTATTTGTCTGACGATATGACGACCAATGAGACCCGTAGCTCCGAAGATGAGAATCCGGTTACAGGCAGACATGTTGAGGTCTTGGGTCGCTGATGCTGATGAAACCTATGACCACAAGAGGCACTAGGTCTAGTTGGCAGTCATCTGGAGGTCCTTCACGTACAGGAAGCCTCAGTCCCTTCTGAACAAGGGATAGAACACCTTGTCACGTGCCAGACAATATATGGAATCTTTTCGTGAGGCCACGGCCACGGCCACGTTCGACCTGCACGGATGTCTGTCCGCCTCGCCTCGTATTCTCCTCAATCCAGATCGGATTCACCGAAGATATCCGTACAACCAACATGCTTGAACGCCTTTATGGAAGTGGAGGTCGAGTCAAAACGACCGTCGCTGTTCAGCCGGTGCGCTGTGATTGGTCACACACACCCCTTATCATGAAGCCTCACCAGCGCCTGCACGGGGATAACAAACAGGATCCACCAATCTCTCCCGCAATTGCGCAGAGCTCCGTCTCCAAATGCTTCGTTTGAGCTCAGACCTGAGTCTCATCCCAGCGCGCCCACAGTCCTCTGTACAGCTGTTCACGGGCACTGGGCCTTGCCCGCTCGCCTGGGTCACCGCAAGGACTTTGCAGATCCAAGCATCGGGGCTCTCTTAGTTCGAGCTGGGCCGCTGAGAGAGATGTGTGTGTGTGCGTTGATGGTGTGACCCCATTGTAGATGGATTTTGGTGACAACGCCGGTTGACTTTCTTATATCGCTTACATCTAGGAATTGATATATTCGATATCTTTGTGTTCTGTCACAACATCCTTTCCCATCCATCATCACTTTCTCGCCTCCCGCCGTCTTCTTCCTTCAGGGCTTCTTTTCGTTCTTCCCGAAACTTGGCTATCATCCTTTTCACACATACACACACACAGACACACAAATACTCTCTCCTCAAAAACTACCGGACTTGATAAGAGACAGCCAGCCATGGGCAAGGTCGTCGCGGCAGTGGGATTGTCCCACGCACCTGGAGCACTCGCGTTCCCTGAGACAGCCCAACCAGAGGTCCGCAAGCGGACAGAGGACGCAACGCGGTCGCTGGGCATCTCTCTCGAGTCCTCGCAACCGGACGTCATCGTCGCATTTCTAGACGACCACTTTGAGAACTTTTTCCGCGACCTCTGTCCGTCGGTGGTCATGGGCATCGCCGACCAGCACGTCGGGCCGGCCGACCAATGGATGGAGACTTTGCGCATCGACAAAAAGACCATCTTCCCCGGTGCGCCGGCGCTGGCCGAAAAGCTCCTGGGGTCGCTCGTGTCGCAGGGCTACGACGTCGCGCGCGCCGGGCCATGCGAGTACGGCAACAACCTCCTCATGCCGTGGAAGCTGATGGGGGTCGAACAGTCTCTGGCGGGGGTGCCCGTCATCCCGATCTTCATCAACGTCTTCACGCCGCCGCTGATCCCGTACCGGCGCGCGTACACGCTCGGCGAGGCGGTGCGGCACGGCATCGAGACGGCGTGGCCCGCCGACACCAAGGTCGCCTTCATCGCCACGGGCGGCCTGTCGCACTGGCCCCCGTACTGGAACCCGATCCAGGGCGGCGACCCGCCCAGCGACCCGTTCCTGCAGCGCATCAAGCGCTACCAGACCGAGGGCAAGGCGTACCTCAAGCAGGACCCGAGGCTGTTTGTCGACTTTGACGACTACGAGGTCGAAATGGCAAAGAAGAACGAGTACCCCCTAAACTCCAAGCATCCGCTCGTCAACTGGGACTGGGACCGCATGTTCATGCAAAAGTACTCGGCCGGCGACATTGAGTGGATGAAGAACCTGACGTACGAGGAGGTCGAGGAGGAAGCCGGCCACGGTGGTCACGAGGTCTTGAACTGGGTCGCCATGCTGGGCGCAATGAAGGGCGCGCAGAGTAAAATGCTGCTGTACGAGCCCGTCGTCGAGTGGATCTGTGGTATGGTTTATCAGGATTTTTGTGTCACGGAGAAATTGAATTAATTCGAGGGGTACGACTTCTTACTTGCCTCTATGCATTTCTGCCTCTCTGCATCAAAGAGCCCGTCTAGCGGGTAGCGTGAGAAGAAGGTAGTGGTGGACATGATGGAAAGGGATATGCGAGGTCTTGAATGACTTTGGAAGAGTTTTGATGACGATTTGATTTGTTGAATCATGATGATCATTATATGGAAGTATATACAAAATGGATATCAAGCAGCTATCCGCAGAGTCCCTAGTGATACCGGGAAGTCCGTTCTTGATCGAGGGATAACACGCTTCACAGTTGAAGACCGTAGTCATGATGACTGTCTCCATACGTAACGCTCGATCATTCTGGAATCGGCCATTACCCATCCGACTTGACAATCAATGTTGAGAGGTTGAACTCTGTCTGTATGGCTCTCGGCTGTCGGTGAATTGGTAGAAGGTAGTAGTATAGCACGATGCATTGATCCCTCACTCTTGCCATCTTGCCGCTTTGCCTCTTGACATGAAATGAAAACTCAAGCCTCTGTTCATTTCGTACACGATGCCGATCGCTTGACTGAGGATCATCCGAATGGAATTGGCCACGTACATCATCTCTCGCGTGTCCGTGGCGTTGACGCGTCGTCTCAATGCACAAGAATGCCGAGATCAAGCTACCATCCTAGATACAGTCGTCACACCGGTTCGTATCAGTTGACTGTCAAGAGTGTGGTGTCGCTCGCCGTTCAGTGATTCTCGATATCTCTGTAGCTGTCCTCTGTGTTGGACCCAGTCAGAGGCTCTTCTCGCATGACTTTGCACGACTGTATCGATGTCCCTTCCTCTTTACAGTCGGTTGTTCATCATGTTGTATCGTGTCGTGTCGCGCCGTGTTCTTGTCCATCAGGCATCAGGTATAAGACGATAATCTGAGCCGTCACCCCGTCGTGGACGCTTCCCGTGTACCTGGACGGCATCGATGCCAACACTCCGATATCGATCTTGGTGTCGTCCATGTCGCACCATTCGGAGATTCGTGCAAAGGTGTGCAATCCTCTGCCTTATATTCGATCCCTTTGCACCCGAGGCATTCGTCTTCTTGTTCCTCCACTCCGTCGTGCTGAGGTAGGGGCTTGTAACGCAGTATTCTAAAGGCATGGTTTCGAACTGGTACACCTCAAAACATGAGACACATGGAAGGCCACGAATGTTCACAAAAGACGTTCATGAAATCCATTTAACGAATCTTCGCCCTCGCTTCTTGATCCGTGCAAGTCTTATTAGCATCAAGAAAACATACATCTGTCCAAGTCACGGTGTCGGACTTATGCGGGATCTATGAGGGTTGCGCTGTGCTCCGATCGAACCCCAGTGAGATCGGAAGGAAGACCTAATTAAGCTGGGACGATAGTTTGTACCCTTCCGCATATGTCCTCTACGATTGTGACGACTAGCTAGAAAACCATTGAGGGCTCAAGCTCAAGTTGGCATGGGAATGTACCAATCAGAACGGTCATGGTTGTCCCGAGTCTTGTATGATAGACACTAGGTGCTGTATCAATCTATTCATCCTCAGAGAAGGAAAAGGAACAGCGATGTGCACAGAAATTGCTCAGAAATCAAGCAGTTGTCCCGAGCCTTCTGGTGTGTTCGAGGTCAGAGGTCAATGATCAAGCCTGTCTCAGTCGTAAAATTGAGAGCCCCTAATTCGTCTCGTATTTCTTTCTGATAATCTCGTCGTATTGTAGATAAGCTCCAAGCATAACTTCTGCACTCGCGGCACAGCTGCAATATCTGTTAGTAAAGTCCTCAACTCCGTGTTCGACAGTGTTACATACTCTTCCGGCCGACTGTACTCGGCGGGATTGTGGCTTACACCATCTCTGCAACGGGCAAAGATCATGGCAGTGGGGACCTTTTTAGCCGTGTATACACTATTGTGAGAAAATGATCACTCGTCAGCCACCTCAAACATCGCTATGGACAGGAAATGTCATTCTCACCTGTCATGTCCTGCTCCGCTGACGATTTCGTGCGAGCAATCATATTGCTTCATAGCGGTGCGGATACAGTCCTTCATCTCTTCGTTGAAATACGTGGCAGGAGATTCCCAAAATGCGTTCATGTCCAGAGCGACTCCGTGCTCCTTGGATATCTTCTCGAACCTCTGCCTGCACAATCGTTCTAGCTCCTCGACACCTTCATCTGTTGGAGATCGAAGGTCGAGATTCATGCTCACATCACCCGCGATGGTGTTCGTGCTCTGGGGAAGTGAGTTGATGACGGCAATGGTACCTCGAGCTCCGCGTGCGGCGAGTTCAGGCAGTGTCGCAACCTCATTGACAGCCACGATCATCTTGGCAGCTGCTAGTAGGGTGTCGTTTCGTCGATCCATGGGAGTGCTGCCGGTGTGCGCTGACCGACCTTTCAAGTTCAGTTGATACCATCTCATCGACTGCACCGATCTGACCAGGCCGACGGGCTTCTCAGCTTCGTCCAAAATAGGCCCTTGTTCGATGTGGACTTCAAAATGTGCCAGGAGAGGATTCGCTTCGTACGAGCAGGGGACGTCGCCCACGTACCCGATGCGTTCAATCTCCTGCTTTAGGGTGATTCCATCCGGATCAGATACGCCTTGAGCATACTCCGTGGTGTAAACCCCGCCCCAGACGCCGGACCCTAGCATAGCTGGGGCCCAGCGCGCTCCTTCTTCGTCGGTCCAGTTGATCACGGCCAACGGAGCGTATGTCGTGATGTTGTTTTCATGAATCACCTTGAGAACTTCTATGGCACAGCAAACCCCCAAGATACCATCATACTTTCCGCCGGTAGGTTGCGTGTCGAGATGTGATCCTAAACCAATTGGAGGAATGTCATTGTTCTGGCCTGGGCGAATGGCGAAGATATTGCCCATCACGTCGATCTTATGAGTGCATCCGTACTTTGCCGTCTCGGCGATGAACCAGTCACGTACTTTCTTGTCGTCGTCGTTGCCAGACAGTCGGTTCATTCCTCCGTCCTCCGTACTTCCCCATTGGCAAGAGAATTGTAGAGTATCATTCATGCGCTCCGCATTCGTGCGGAGGTTGGCGTACGTCGAGCTCACGGACTTGGCGATCATGGTTGTAGCGTTTGTGTCTATTCAATGATGCAGTGAAGCTTTAGGTATTGTCAACTGCTGAGACAAAGACGATAAACCATCATTTCCTCCGCCAAATGCATCTTGGAGAAGAGATGAGGTCGGTAGAGTGCCGAGTGGATTGACGCTAGCGTTGTCCTCCGACGGTGGCCATGCGTCTATGCGGGCAACGGGAGCGGGCAGCTGTTATCAGCGCGATTCCCCTCTAATGGTGCTGCCGAGGACAATCAGGGTAAGGAGGGTCTAAGAGGTGGTGAATCGTGTCAATGGTGACCTCAGAATCCAGGACATGGCCCCCAGCGTTAGGCTGTTTGACTGCTGTATTTACATTCATTATGTTTCGAGGCACTCAACAACAGGATCGCAGCAGAGTACTGCCTTGATTGATTGACGCACAAATTTGATACGTCCTTAGGAGGAGGATTGTAGAACCTAAAGTCGTGTCCGGTGCCATGATCCACATGAAAGTTGAAATCAATAGTGAAGGGACGATGATTTGTACGTTGTTGAAGTCCTTACAGTACAAGGAAATGTGGCTGTTTGAGGCGGTGCGTGGCTGACCCATAAAATATATACAAAAGCACCTCTTGTCGCGTAGTCCTTAGCAACTCATATATCTCGCACCATGGGAAATACCGGTGTAGAAATTTCATGTTGACGGTGACAATGACAAGGGACTCCTCATTGCTCTCGACTTTCTTTCTTTTAAGAGAAAGTATGTACTGTCGGGTTCGCTAGGTACACGAGAAACCCAGTGACCTCAACACTGATAAGACCGCTAAGCGACAATGACCGATCCTGGAGCGGCGCCAGCGTGCACCAAATGCAGGTCACACAGAGTCAAGGTATGTACTCCGTTTATTAAGATACGCACTTGAAAATCCATTATATCTAACAGTATCTCAATAGTGCGATCGTCAGCGCCCGACATGTTCAAGATGCCTGAGGATCGGGCATGATTGTCACTATCCTGTGCGCAACCCAGCAAGGGCGTATATGAAGTAAGACAAACGCTTTCTGGCACGCACTTGGAACTTCAAGTTGACTGGAGCGGCACAGCTATGTTCTCGATTTAGAAGCCGAAGTCGCACGCCTCGAACAGGAGCTGAGAGCAGCAGAGTCTGGCGGATATTCCACATCATCCATTATATCGCCTAAGCGGGATGCCGGTGAGACCTTCCCGGCCCGGGCGCAAGACGGCGACGCCATACACCAACCTGAAGCCACAGGGCCGACGGATGATCCTGTGCTCATGGAACTACTCATGGGGAATGCCTCTCCGCTCTCAGCACATTCCGACAGCTTGATCGAGAACCTCTTCTCATCCACAGACACGAACGAGAAGGATTCCGTGCAGTCCCTCGTCGACGATATCAGGGATGCTTCGCTATCCGCCATGGTGGTCCCCGAGACAACCTCCTCCCAGGACTTCTACCTCCGGCCTCTGATACTGAGCGCCACTCTTCCAGTGAACACGACTTCTCCCAAGCTCCTTCCGAAACCACTCCACCTACCACAGAAAGGAATTGCCGAGAAGGTCTTTTCGAAATACCGCCATTCTGTTCTCCCGGACCTTCCTTTCATGAGCGAGTACGCTGCTCACGACCATCTCCAAGCGACATATCAGCCCGAGCCACCGCCATATTCCATTTTCATAACCGCACTCATGCTTGCGACGACGGCCGTTCACATCTCGCCTGGCTCCGTTATCCAGGCATCAAGCCTCCAGCGGACTGCCATCGTACACCTGGAGATGGCGTTCGCCTCTGCAGCTCACCCACAGCCGCTTCGAGACCTTGAGGCATTAGTTGGACTGGCATACTATGCGGCCCTGGTTGGCGATGACTACTCGGACCCGTGGGCTTTGAGTGGCATCGCGATGCGCGTCTGCGTCGATCTGGGCTTACATAAATTCGCCGAAACCGATCAGAAGCGACGACTCTTCTGGTCTGCCTTTGCCCTTGACAGGAAGATTGCAGTTGCCCGTAGCCTCCCGTTTGGGATTCCAGATAAAAGCATCTCTGCAGAGGTAAGCTTGCCACTGACGACCGGGCCGCGGCCTTTTTCGAGCGACGCTGAAACCCCTTTTATGGCAGTTACCGTTGTCGACATCTCGGCCTTTTAAGCTCTATATGATCTTATCAGAACTCTCATGTATGCAGAAAAACCCAAACCCCGACCGATGTCGCGAGATTCGCGTTGAACTGGCCGAATGTGTGCACGGCTACCGACAGCAGCAGCAATTGACGCATCATCTTGAGCGTGATATTGCGCTCACTACGAGGCTGCTGGCACGACTGACGACTGGTGATTTTCTGAGCTAAGTAAGTCTAGGAATCTGCTTATTCATCGCAGCGGGCACAGTGAGCTGTTGTAACGGCTTCAATTGGTTGCATCTTGAAGCTGAGTCCGGATTAGTCCAGTGCTATGTACTTGAGTCGCCTTCTCATCGGCGGCTTAATACCATCCTTCCAACCTTCTCTCAGCCAGCACGGTCATACGTCTGCCAGGTTTTCAGTTCCTCTCGTAGTTACACGGCCAGGTTGCTCTCCGTACATGTAGCTTGGTGATCGGATTCAGAGCCACCATTGGCTGGTGTGCGTCGGCCACACAGGATTCCGGTCAGTGTGAGGTCCAAAGCCGACATCCTTTGTCAGCATAGGTTAGTCGGTATGGGTGCCAATAGGTCAAGATATGGGCGAAGTAAGCCGAGGTCGGTAAGTCTTGGACTATGAGGAGATCCAAGCCGTTCGGTTTGTGGGCTATCGATGGGCGCTTCGCTTATTCGCATGCGGGGAATTCAATTGTGGTGGCCATGGCAGACGCCAATGTCTTTCAGATACGTCGTAGCAACCAGTCTTTCCGACTGTGTGCAGAACAGATTGTGCCTGTCTGTAAGGACAGCTCGGACATATCTCATCGTTCCTCGGGGCGGACAATTAGTACAACGGATCCTCAAAAAGTAAACGCGAAGATGTACGGTCGAAGAGTAGACTTCAGGCAACTTTCCGGTGAATATCATGTCCAAAAGGATTAAGCGGCCTTTTGAGCAATTCATATCGGCGAGTGAAAGGGGATATCTCATCTCCGAGTCGATCGAGAGACTTCCAATCAGACTTACTGCGTCCACCCTTTGGTTTGACTTTGACTCTCCATAGTAGGATCTTCCTTGCGCCCTCCTCTTTTGCTGTATCGGCGCCTAGGCCTGCTTCTGCATGTATACATAGTCTAGCTTGTGAAGGTCGTCAAGGGGAGGCGTGACAGTTGGTAGGCGCTCCGAGCTCGCCCTGCGGGTAACAATTGTTGAGGGAGGCACCGCTCTGCAAATGGGACACGTCAGGAGAGATCACCAGATCCTCTGTATTGGCGAGAAGCCCCAATACCCGTGCCCCTTTGTTCCTTCATATCTCGGTTGGCAAAACAAAAGAAAAGTACGATTGCAAGCCGACTGAAGGATCAGCTATTGTTCACTTGACAGGGAAGAAACTCGAAGAAGGAGGTAGGAAGGGCACTGTAGGAACCGAAAGAATTACCTCGGGATATTGGGGCCACAAGGAGTTCAGAGACAAATTTTAAATGGTGGCTGAGAGTCTGAGTCACTCGACGGCCGCGCTATACTGTACCTGTAGCAGCTGATGAGGCTTGCGAGAGTTGACTAATTGTCCCTCCACCTCTGCGCCGAGAGAAGGTTAAACGAAGCCATTCCTCATCAGACAGCCCACGAAGAAGATAATACGGAGCTATACTTTGGCAATTCCCCCACTTCGGTCACAACATCAATGAGTAGAGGGCAGCTGATCAATGGACAGTGACCAAGAACTGTAAATATGATGATATGATGATTTGATGATTTAAGGTATTGACAAGGATAGTCTACCATCAGGGGTTTCGACAAACACTGAATCGTAGGGCCACCAACATGGAGGCCTCCTGGTTGTGGTTCAGAATAACACCCATCTCGAGACGAGGCGCATAATAAGAAACTGCACAAGAAGTCAGCTCGATACTGACGAGGCGAGAGTGAGCCAGAGGGAGTCATAGCAGAGAGAGGAGGGGAGAAGGAGGTTGTTCTTGTTGTCTTCATCGAGCCCTTGCTGGTGATGCCAAGCCTCCGGGGATCTTATCCGCTGGCAACGCAATTGCATGCCACCCATTTCAACGGGAGCGCAGGCCGCAGAAGGGAAACGCTGCCCAACACCCGGATCACAGACACTTTTTGCGTCCATTTACTACATCTATTGCTGCTGCATATACCTACCGGCAAGTGGCAGCCCCAGCAACACAACAGTAACTTCTAGACCTCGTGCTCCTCGTGCACTCCCCAGAGCTCAGTGAACCCTTCTGTGTCCTAGCCTTACGTCGCATGAGAACAACCCCACGATCCCGCCCACCTCTGCAACCATGGCGCGCGTTTACGCCGATGTCAATGCGAACATGCCGCGGTCCTACTGGGATTACGACTCCGTGTCCATCTCTTGGGGTATTCTGGAAAACTACGAGATCGTGAGAAAGATCGGTAGGATGACGCGGCGGTCCCCATTTGCACAGGGATGTGACTAACTTGATTGCGCGCAGGACGAGGAAAGTACTCTGAAGTTTTCGAGGGCATTAATGTTGCCAACTACCAGAAATGCGTCATCAAAGTGCTCAAGCCTGTGAAGAAGAAGAAGATAAAGCGTGAAATCAAGATCCTACAGAACCTGTCCGGCGGGCCAAACATCGTAGCCCTCCTAGACGTAGTACGCGACAGTCAGAGCAAGACACCGAGCTTAATATTCGAAAATGTGGACAACACCGACTTCAGGACGCTGTATCCGCGCTTTGTTGACTACGATGTGCGATACTACATCTTCGAACTGCTCAAGGCATTGGACTTCTGTCACAGTAAAGGCATCATGCACCGAGACGTCAAGCCGCACAACGTTATGATCGACCATGCGAAACGAAAGGTGCGTTATCACCTCAACGGACAGGACGGGATACTAATATTTTCTGTAGCTGAGACTGATTGATTGGGGCCTGGCTGAATTCTACCACCAGGGAACAGAGTATAATGTCAGGGTGGCATCGCGATACTTCAAGGGTCCTGAGTTGCTGGTTGACTTCCAGGAATACGATTACTCCCTCGACATGTGGTCTCTGGGTGCCATGTTTGCCTCGATGATCTTCCGCAAAGAACCCTTCTTCCATGGCAACAGCAATTCAGATCAACTCGTAAAGATTGCAAAGGTTCTCGGCACTGACGAGCTCTTCGAATACCTCGACAAGTATGACATCGAACTCGACGCGCAGTACGACGACATTCTCGGCAGATTCCCCAAGAAACCGTGGCAGAGCTTTGTAAACGCCGAGAACCAGCGGTTCGTCAGTCCAGAAGCCATCGACTTCCTCGATAAGTTGTTGAGATATGATCATCAGGTTTGTCTCTCGAACCACGTTTCGCAACTGTGCTGACACTTGTTAGGAACGACTAACCGCCCAAGAAGCCATGGCACATCCCTATTTCGCACCAGTAAGGAATGCAGCATCACAACAGAATTCTCAAAACCACGTTTCTTGAGAGATATATGATGGCCAAAGAGACTCTTCTTTCCTACGATTGCACAGCCAGTCGCAACGATCTACAGGGCCGAGACCGGGGACCTGGATGAAGGTTTTGTAATGAGCGGAGAGATACCAGGTCGCAGTATCTCAGAAACTGTCATTACACGGCGGGCCAGTTGAAAATAGGCGCATGGCGACCACCCAGGCCATTTCCTAAGTATGCGAGGCTGTCGAAGCGGCCTTCAAGCGGCAATCCTGTCCCAAGGAATGGAGGTGCGGATTAGGATAGTGTGCGTTGCCACAGGCAGAAATTCGACTCATTCGTCACACTACCGTTATCACTAATCATCATAGAAGCTACTAGGTATTTATAGTCGAGTAGTCACCATATCCATCGTGTCTTTTGCGCATCCTAGGTACCTACCTGAGGTATAGACATAGCTGTGGCGTAGGGAGGACACTCGAAGCGGTTTGGCCCTTATCGTGTGATGTCAGTCTTGGCATTGGCGAGTTGCGGTTTCAAGAGGCCCTGCGACTCATAATTTCCTACGGCGCAGTCACCATTACATTCCATACACCAATTCTACACCAGGGACACTGTTGTGACTCACTCGAACTCTTGGGCGTGGTGTATGTACTAGTACTTCTCTTACTGCCTCAAACGAAGCCATAGGGCTTTCGATCAAAATACTTTGCAGGTCTCTCCGTCTGCGCCCACCTCCTGCTTGGAGAAGGCTGTATCGTTCCAACATGGCTCTCAACGCTGCATCTCACAACGTCAGTAAGTACAGACGCTTCCCCGCCAGCTCAATGCCTCATAGCTGACCATTCCCAAGCTGGCGACCCAACAGGCTCCCCTTCAGGCCCTCCTCCACCAGTCTCCGCAGACATCGTTTCCACCGCTCAAGATGCAGCCAAGAAGGATGCGCTGGGCAACAATGTGCCCGGTCAGGATCAACAGAATAATGAAAACGGGCAGACCGTGATGGGTGCTGCAGGAAAGCCAAAAACTGCCAAAGAAAGTATGAATGAGAACGCCGAAGGACCACATTGACGTTAACTGCCCATTCCCCTTGCGCCAGACTGCATCACTAGCTTTGACTCGTTTGGAGACAAGTACCGGATCGCCAAAGACTCATGGTGTATGACTGGGAAAGCGTCTATAGAGTTAAACGCGACGTGTAGTCACGCGTCCACCTGCAATAAACACAGTCCCTACCTCGATACTCAATCCTCCCATATTCTAAGAATCACAGTCTGACATAACTACGTGACGCAGTCGAGAAAGAGCGTAAGAAGGCCGAAAAACTCGCCAAATTCCTAGAAAAGCAATCCAAACAGCAAGCACCCGCAGCAGACGCAGCCTCGAAAGCCCCGAAGAAAGAAAAGGTCAAAAAAGCCGCCGCCGCCGACGCCTACGAGCCGCAAAAGATTGAGTCTGGCCGCTACGAGTGGTGGGAAAGTCGGGGTTACTTCAAACCTGAATTTACGAAAGATGGCAAAGTCAAACCAGAAGGCAAATTCGTCATCCCAATCCCCCCTCCCAACGTCACGGGCTCGTTGCACATGGGACATGCTCTCACCAACTCACTGCAAGATACCATGATCCGGCATGCAAGAATGAAAGGGAAGACTACCGCGTGGATTCCGGGATGCGACCACGCCGGCATTGCAACACAAACTGTTGTAGAGAAGATGCTGTATAAGCTGGAAGGCAAGACTCGACATGATATCGGCCGAGACGCCTTGCTTGAGAAGATCTGGACCTGGAAGGAGAAGTACCATCAGAATATCACCAATCAGCTGAAGCGTCTTGGCGGTTCAATGGATTGGACTCGAGAGGCTTTCACCATGGACGAAAACCTTTCGCTTGCGGTGCGCAAGACGTTCATCGATCTCTTTGAGGAAGGCATCATCTACAGGGCCAACCGCTTGGTGAACTGGTGCTCTGCATTGAGCACCTCTCTTTCCAATCTCGAAGTCGACAACAAAGAATTAAAAGGTCGGACGAAGCTGAAGGTTCCAGGCTATGACAAGATGATCGAGTTTGGTGTCCTGACATACTTCAAATACCCCATCAGTAAAGAAGGCGATGACTCTCATAAGATGTCCACTTCGTCTGACAGATTCAAGGGTTACGAATTCATTGAGATTGCAACAACTCGTCCCGAGACCATGCTCGGTGATACGGGCATCGCTGTACATCCTAACGACAAGAGGTATCAGCATCTCGTGGGCAAGACTGTGATCCACCCCTTCCTTCCTGACCGAAAGATTGTGATCTTTGCAGATGAGGAAGTGGAGATGGATTTCGGTACTGGGGCTGTGAAGATTACACCTGCACACGACCCCAACGATTTTCTTAAAGGCAATAAGCACAACCTCGAGTTCATCAACATCCTCAATGACGATGGTACGCTGAACGACAATGCCGGCCCCTTTGCAGGACAAAAGAGATTTGACGTCCGTTACGGCGTAATCAACGCTCTGAAGGAGCTTGACCTCTACACCAAACAAGAGGACAACGCCATGACGATTCCGATGTGTTCGAGGAGCAAGGATGTGGTTGAGCCCGTAATGAAACCCCAATGGTGGATGAAGATGACGGATCTTGCCAAAGCCGCGGACGAGGCCGTTCTGGACGGACAGATTCTCATCAAACCCGAGTCCGAGTCTCGACGATTCCACCAATGGATGCAAAATATCCAGGATTGGTGTATCTCTCGACAGCTGTGGTGGGGACACCGTGCACCGGCATATTTCATTGAGCTCGAAGGGGAAGACAGTGATGAAGGCGACGACAATTTCTGGGTTTGTGCTTACGATGAGCAAGAGGCACGTGCCAAAGCAGAGAAGAAATTTCCAGGCAAGAAGTTCACTCTCAGATGGGACGAAGATGTGCTGGACACCTGGTTCTCGTCTGCTCTCTGGCCTTTCTCGACACTGGGCTGGCCAAAGGAGACCCTGGATATGAGAGAGTTATATCCCACATCCATGCTCGAAACTGGCTGGGACATTCTCTTTTTCTGGGTGGCCCGTATGGTCATGCTGGGGTTGAAGCTGACTGGCAAAGTTCCATTTACTGAAGTCTACTGCCACTCATTGATCCGAGACGCTGAAGGACGAAAGATGTCGAAGTCGTTGGGCAACGTCATTGACCCCCTGGACATTATTAGAGGCATTACATTGGAAGACCTCCACAAAACTCTCTATGCCGGCAATCTGGACACAGCTGAGATTGAACGGGCTAAAGCGTATCAAAAGTCGGCTTTCCCCAAGGGCATCGAGGAATGTGGTGCTGACGCACTGCGGTTCACCCTAGTCAATTATACCACTGGCGGAGGTGACATTGCTTTCGATATCAGAGAAATTGAAGCCAAGCGACGATTCTGCAACAAGATCTATCAAGCCACCAACTTTGCCCTCGGTAGACTAGGTGGGGACTTCGTACCGGATGTCAAGTCGACAGACAACGAACCGAAATCGCTGTCCGAGAAATGGATCCTACACAGACTCAATGCTGCGGCTAAAGAGGTCAACGAGGCCATCGAGGGGCGCGAATTCTCCGTGGCTGCCGGTACTCTGTATCAGTATTGGTTCACTCAGCTCTGCGATACGTTCATCGAGAACTCCAAATTCATCTTGACTCCTGAAGCATCAGACGATGTGCGGAAGTCAGCACAGCAAACCCTCTACACCGCTCTTGAAGGAGGTCTATTGCTGATGCATCCACTGATGCCCTTCTTGACCGAACACCTGTGGCAGAAATTACCTCGGCGCAAGTATGACAAGACCGAGAGTATAATGGTTGCTAAATACCCCGAGTATACCGAGAAGCTCGACAACCCCAAGCAAGCCGAGGAGTATGAGTTCGTCATGGCCATTGCTACTGGCATTCGAAGCTTGCTATCACAGTATGGATTCAAGGAGCCGGGAGACCTGATCATTCAGACCTACTCGGAGACGGCTTTCCGGACTGTCTCTGACGAACGGACATCACTCAAGTCCCTAGGTGGAAAGTACGCCGGCGAAATTGAGGTTCTCCCTCCTAGTGCAGCTTCCCTCCCCCCTGCTGGCTGTGCACTTCAGAGCATCAATGCAGATGCAGCGGTGTATTTGAAGGTGGCTGGCAAGGTTGATCTCTCCGAGGAGCTCCAGAAGCGTGCCAAGGGTGTTGAAGACGCCAAAGCACGACTAGAGAAGAGCAAGAAAATCATGAGTGCCGCCGGATGGGAAAAGGCTAGCCCAGAAACGAAGAGAAAGGAACAGGAGAAGCTCGAGGATGCCGAGAGCGAGGTGACGAGGTTACAAGAAGCCATCAAAGACCTGGAGCGGTTGCAGCTGGAGGGCTAGAACTTCTGCTGCATTGTGCTGTTTGACGCTCCTTTAGGAAGGGGGGCTCAAAAAGTATGCATGGGTGTATTTCCTGGGTACTTCACTGTGTCATCTATATTGTAGAAATTCCGAGCAAGATTTCACTTCCCGTATCTGTCTGTACACTGCATGCCTAGAGTTCGCCATAGAACGAGAGAGACCATTGCCCGATTTCACTGAGGCCAGGGGGTGATGATCACGGATGGCCAGAGGGCAGAATCTACTTTATAGGGGAGGTAAGGTCAGGTACTGTAGGTAGACATCGTCCTACTACCGTAGGTATGTACCTGGGACGCCCGGGTATCTTACCCAGCAATGTGCGTCCATTATGGCGATAGGCATCAGGCAGCCTAACTAACTAGTAGCCCGGCCATTGCCGACCGGAGTAAAAAATCAAAAACGGGCATCACCATTACAGCGGGCTGAGCTGCAACTCGGTTGTGTCTTGAACGGTTCTAAAATGCACAATCCATAGACTTCTACAGAATATTTAGAGCTACAGTCTCGGGCATCGGTTGTTTCTACCTGGCCACCTCCATTATGGGTTGAAGGAGACAGAGTAACCCATCTTGATCCTGTCCGAGTTCGCTTGTGTGTTCGGCGGCCGTTCCATTCCTTTCCCTTCCCCCCTGCGCCTCGACTCTCAGCCGCAGCAGCAAATGCCGCTGACGCAGGTCCTCCGCGTCGAAACGCGACATGTGTCCCCTTGCCCAAGACAGCTATATTCCAAACTCAGTCAGAGAACTTTCACACGAACTGCGAGCAGGTCCTTGCTGCGGAAATATTCATCCAGTCTGCCTCTGTCGGTGCGAACCACACTGCCTGCGCTCTCCCCTCTGGCCGCTCGTTCTCGCTCCTTTCCGATGTCCTTTACGCAAACCCTCACCCAGGCGAGGAGCCACGCCGGCCACTCGCACGGCCACGGTCATTCCCACGATACGGCCTACCTGACATCCAAGAACAAAAATGACGCTGGCGTCAGAATCACAAGGATAGGCTTGTTTGTCAACCTGGCCATGGCCATTGGGAAGGGAATAGGGGGCTATGTCTTCCACTCCCAGGCACTGGTTGCAGACGGATTCCATGCTTTGACCGACTTGGTATCCGACTTCATGACATTGGCTACTATTTCTTGGTCACTCCGACCTGCGACATCTCGCTTTCCAAGCGGCTACGGCAAGATTGAGAGTTTGGGAGCTCTGGGAGTCAGTAGCCTGCTATTATTCGGTGGCATGGGAATCGGACTCAACGCCCTGGACGCTTTGTATTCCCAGTTTTTTCTGGATGCCGCTGCACATGCTCACGAGCACGCCGAACACTCTCATGGTCTGTTCTCGTTACTCGGGCACAGCCACAGCCACGGAGGTGTTCCCGATCTGAATGCTGCATGGCTGGCTGGAGGCTCGATCTTGGTGAAAGAGTGGCTATACCGAGCTAGTAAGTTCGAGCTCTGCTACAACCTATCCCTAACTATACACTGACACTGGCCAGCTATTAAAATAGCCCGTGAACGCAAGTCTGCTGTTCTAGCTTCGAATGCTGTGCATCACCGGGTCGACTCCTTGACGAGCATCGTCGCCCTTGCTACGATCGGCGGAGCTCATGTCTTCACAGACGCGTCATGGTTGGATCCGGTCGGAGGACTACTGATCTCTGCCATGGTCATCCGAGCTGGCTGGGGCAATACTAAATCGGCCTTGCTCGAGCTGGCGGATGTGACTGTGGACAACGAGGTGAAGTCTTCTGTCCGTCGCGCCGCCACAATGGCCCTCAAAGGTGACGCAGCGAAGGGTATCACGGCGCTCCCTTTTGGAGATCAGGTTGAAATCAGAGACGTTCAGGGCACCAAGTCCGGTCAAAATTACCTCATCGATATCGAGCTGGCCGTACCCCAAGGGTTCACTCTCCAGCAGATGGAGGATATAGAGCATGCGGTCCGCGAGAGGACAGGGTCAAAGGTTCGAGGTGTCCGACGAGTCCGGGTCAAGTTCGTACCCACTGAAGACACTCGGTCTACGCTCGCAGGTGACTTCATTCCTGCAGACGTCAGTCCCCGGAGCAGTCCTGAGCCAGAGGACGAACACCATCACGATCACGACCACGGCCACGACCATAACCACCACCATGCCAACGGACACGCCCATAACACGAGTAAGACAAAGAAGGACATCTGAACTCTTACGAATTAAAAGATTTGGTTTTTGGCACGCACCTTTTTTTCGCTGGTTCGGTGCAAAACTCCGGCGGCAGCTCCACCAAAATTCGATGTGATTTCAGGCTGATATCATTCCCCCAATGCCGCCAAGATGCCCACCGGCGTGTAGAGAACGCCGGCCCTGACCACCAGTTCACCCGTACTCGACCCCGCGCGTCATTCCACCACACCCAAAAAAACATTTCATTAGGTACAGATGGTGATTTTGACCCGTGCTGTTCTGTACAAAAATATAACATAGACTTTTGGGCCGAGCGATCAAACGACCTTTCTGAGATTGCTCGTCGTTGTCGCCAATCTTGAGAATGACGTCTACCGGGCCTCTATACCTGGGCTTTGACCTGTCAACCCAACAATTGAAAGGACTCGTGGTAGACGGCAGTCTGAAAAAGGTCCACGAGGCTAAGTTTGACTTCGATGCCGACGCCAAGGGGTTCAACATCACCAAAGGGGTACTTGTCAACGAAGCCGAGCATGAAGTGTTTGCACCTGTGGCGATGTGGCTGCAGGCCATTGATACTTTGTTAGCCAGACTGAAGGACGACGGCCTCGACTTCAAGAGAGTCAAAGGTATCAGCGGCTCGGGGATGCAGCATGGTAGTGTGTTTTGGAATGCCGATGCAGAGCGACTGTTGGCTCAGCTCGACCCTCAGAAGACACTACAGTCACAGCTCGACGGCGCTTTTGCTCACCCATTCAGTCCGAACTGGCAGGACGCCAGCACCCAAAAGGAGTGCGACGAATTTGATGCGGTACTGGGGAATGAGCAACAGCTGGCAAACGTCACGGGAAGCAAAGCACACCACCGCTTTACCGGTCCCCAGATTCTACGGTTTCAGAGAAAGTACCCTGACAAATACATCAAAACTTACAGAATCACACTTGTGTCGTCGTGGATTGCTACCGTGTTCCTGGGAAAGTTCGCCCCCTTTGACATCTCCGACGTATGCGGCATGAATCTCTGGGACATTAAGGCTGGGAAGTGGCATGAAAAACTTCTCGAGCTCGCTGCTGGTCCATCCGGCGTGGAAGCGCTCAAGAAAAAACTGGGCGACGTCCCCGACGACGGCGGTATTCATCTAGGCAGCGTATCGGACTACTTTGTGCGCCGCCACGGCTTCAGCTCGGACTGCACCATCATCGCGTCCACGGGGGATAACCCGTCGACGATCCTCGCTTTGCCGCTGAAGAAGAACGACGCCATCGTGTCGCTGGGCACGTCGACCACGTTCCTCATGAGCACGGCAGAGTACAGACCTGATCCCGCGACGCACTTTTTCAACTCTCCCACCACCCCCGGGCTGTACATGTTTATGCTGTGCTACAAGAACGGCGGGCTGGCGCGGGAGAAGGTGCGGAACGCAATCAACACGGCGCGAACTGGCGAGGGAGACGCAAACTCGTGGACGGCGTTTGACGAGAACCTACTCTCGACGCCGCCGTTGGCCCAGGCCGACCCGAGCAAGCCGATGAACCTGGGCTTGTACTTCCCCCGGCCTGAGATCATCCCGAGCCTGCCTGTGGGCGAGTGGCATTTCGAGTACGACGCGGCTTCGGGCGATCTGAGAAAGTCCGAGGGTGTTCCGCGGTCGCCAGAACAGGACGCCCGGGTCATCGTCGAGAGCCAGTTCCTCTCGCTGCGGCTGCGGTCGAGAGACCTCGTCCATTCGCCTGCGCCGGGCCTCCCGCCGCAGCCGAGGCGCGTGTACATGGTCGGAGGCGGCAGCCGGAACAAGGCCATCGCGCGAGTCGCGGGAGAAGTGCTGGGCGGGTCCGAGGGCGTGTTCAAGCTCGACGTCGGCGAGAACGCCTGTGCGCTGGGTGCGGCGTACAAGGCCGTGTGGGCCATCGAACGCGCCGAGGGGGAGACGTTTGAAGATCTGGTCGGCAAGCGCTGGAGGGAGGAGGAGTTTGTCGAGAAGATCGCCGACGGGTACCAGCCCGAGGTGTTTGAGAGGTACGGGAAGGCATTGAAGGGCTTTGAGATGATGGAGTTGAAGTTGCTGGAGGAGAGGAAGGAAGGGAAGCTGGATTGAGAAGAAGAAAAAAATTGAAAAAGAAAAAAAAAGAATACTTAATCATTCGATATGGTCCTGTCCTGACCTGTCCTGTCTTGTCCTATACTAAGAAAAAAGGTGAGGAATGTGTGGACTGTCCTCCCAATCACTTTCCTATCCTAGGGGTGGGCAATGAAATGTATGAATACCGAAGAAACTGCCACCTACTTTACCCCCTGTTGTACGCAGTCGCAGGATAACATCATCCGGTACCTGTCATGTCCACAAGAAAAGTGTGAAGGCTGATATCAGATAGATCAGACGTAAAGACGTACTTCGCACATCACGAATGGGTTTTGGATATTTTGATCGTGAAAATCTCATTGAAATATCATACATATTAGGCGCAAACACACTACATTACTGTATATACGGCTGGCCACTCTAGACAATGACGCCCTGTCTCATGAAGCACGAGGGCACTCGAAGTGACATACACTTTCGGACGTGTGGCATCCTTTGTGCCCCCGGATGTTCTCCATCCAGCTAGATGGCATAGCCCCCACACATATTGCCGTACAAATGGCTTGCTTCACGGGCCATGATGTATTCTGCGTGGATGAAATGTATATTCAATTTTCGAATGGCTTGCTAGAGTCACCGCCTGCCTCGCAGATATGTCTCTTGCATCAGGTGGGTACGGCATCTGGCACGCTCAGCACGGACATTGCATGGGCCCAGCCATAGGCACCTTGGTGTACTGCTCGACTTGTCGCTATAGGGATAGTGTGTACGGACAGCGTTATCACTTGAAGAAGCGTCCCACCATGTTCCCAGCCAGGTTTCTCGCAATTCCGGAGCCCAGGAATGCTGTGCCGGCGAAACTCGACGCCTGGCTGAACTTGTCACATCTCGAAAAGGCCACCGTGTTGGTTATGGTGAGGATCAGTGCGATGGCTGTTTGAAAGTCAGCGGCGACTCAACGAGCAACGTCGAGGCGGTGGTGCGGGTTCCCATTATGCGAAGAGAGACCAAAAGGCAACAAAAGCTTACCAATCGTAACCAGCCAGATCAGATTCTGTAACCTCACGATAGCCAGTATAGCCAATGCCACCCACAGCGCCGGTCCAATGTACATGCTCAGCCAGAAGAAGCGCTTGTCCGTCTTGTTCTGGTCACGGGTCCCTTCTGGAGCCGACTCAAAGACCCAGTGGCTGTCGCCGGTCGAGGTGTTGACCTCGTTCCACCATCGCAGGCCCACGAGGCGGCGGCCCGCGATGTTCTTGAGGTAGTAGAAGTCGATCGACAGGAGGAGGAGCGTGAGGATGAAGACCAGCACGAAGTTGGGGATGAAGAGGACCCCGAAGAGGTACATCAACAGGCTGCCTTTTGCATATTTGTCAGTATGAGGGGGTTCCGAGGGTTCGAGGGGGGCATAATAAGAGAAGTATAGAAGTAGTTACCTATTCGGAAGCCCAAGTATGTGAGGAGGGTAACGGGGTGCGCGCTCAGGCGCCAGTTGAGCGAGCCCGGTTCGTCTGCCATTGTCGAAGAGTAAGGAGCTTGGAATATGAGTGAATGTTATACAGGTGGCAAGACAGCAAGCATGGCGTAGCGGTTCGAGGCGTTTGAAGTCGAGGTCACTGAGAGTGAGGTAGGTAGTACAGGTATGTATCGCAAAAGGTGTCCCCCCGGAGACAGAGACACAGACACGTGTGTCAAAGCGCAGAGAGACCACATGCACGCTTTGGGGGTGATAAGATATGGTCACGTGATTGAGTATCTCAGTACATCATCAATCTCCCCCCTCCCTCTCTCTGTCTCCTACATCTTTCTCCCAAGGCCTTTTTGTCATGCATAGGTAACCTCGACCTGCAATGCTGTCGCCATATCTGCGGGATGGGATCTCTGGACGTTGCCATGTATTCCTTCCTTTTTATAAGCTCAGGCTCTGGCTTAAGCTACCCGAACTTGCAAAGAACCCTTGCCGATTATTTCCTTCTCCTGTTCCATTGTGATTCAGCCTCGCTCCATGCACATATCGCGCTTGCCTTTTGTTGGGGCCAAGAGAGGCGGTGCGAGCAAAGCCTGCGAGTGAGAGTCGCAGCCAGGTGCTTTGGTGGACAGGGTAAGGCGGATTAGTGGGATGCGTACATTGCAGAATCCCTGTCGCAGATGGCCAGGCTGTGCTTTTCACCAAATAGCCATCTGCGGCGTCAAGCCAGGCTCAGCCTCAACCTACACATATCAAGCTAGGTATCTGTTCACGGCCATCCAATCATCATGAATGCCACAGCACCTCACAGTTCTCCCATGCAGAGGCTTGTCACGAGAGCAAGTCCAGAATCCCGGTACGAGAGTATTCAAAAGACACACTGTCCCGGCAGATAATGAATCGCCCTCAGTCTCTCCGTTCCCTATGTGGTAGGTCTTCGTTCTTGTTTACTCCTAATTCTTGAAGGACTCATACAGAGCCGAAACACAATCTGGAAATAGTTACTCCAGCCCTTACTTTCAACGTCATCGAAACCGGGTGTGAAGACGTCATTGTGCTACTCCGTCGACATGCAGCAGCTTTCGGAGAACAATAAAGAAAGTGAACTGGACAAGGAATGGATTCCAGTGGATTTACTAGAGGTCAAGAGCGTGCTTGCTATAGGAGGCCTATATTGGATGACGGAACAGGCCAAGGAGGCTTTGAGAAAGGCTTTGAACCAGGCCAAGAAAAGGAAGGAAGAGGATAGTGACTTGATCAAGAGATATGAATCGAAATACAAGTTCCGCTGGCTGCCTCCCAATTATTGCCATTCTTATGGTAATATGGACACGCTTGACCGAGCTAAAAGAGCCAACTGGGACAATTTCAGAGCTAAAATAGCCGACTGGAACAATTTCAGAACCCTGTGAGTCGTTAGATGTGTTGGGTCACAATAAGCCTGTCCGTTTGGAGTTGAAGATTGCTGACCGTGGTGTAGCCTTCCTCTTCCACCCGACACGTTCACCTATATCAGAAATACCGCCACAACAGCAAAGACTCTAGGCGAGGGCGCATTTGGTTGCGTCTACCCAGTCACAATAGACCCTGCCCACCAACAATTCCAAGATGGTAGCCGCACCTCATACGCTGTCAAGCAATTCTATCATGACTCGGAGAGCCGTCAGGCCTTTCAGAGAGAAGTGATCAACAATAAGCAGATTGCGAGATTCCCACATAAAGGAATTACTGCTTCCATCTTAAGCTGGACCATGGATGGGGAATGTTACATTCTCTACCCTGCAGCAGAGTGCGATTTGGGTACTTTCATGTCTTCTAGGGCACCCCCACGGGTCATTGACGAAAGCACGACGTTGTGGTTCTTCAGACGATTGAAGGATCTTTCTGATGCAATCTCCCACATCCATATGCCTAGGTCGCTACAACCAAAGGCGGAGTCGCCGGCAATAGACTCTAACAACGAGCTATTCATCGGATGTCACCATGACCTCAAACCAGAGAATATATTGGTCTTTGCGGATGAGGTCAGTGGCAACTTGACGTTCAAGCTCAGTGATTTTGGATCTGCATCCTTTGTACCGTGGTCAGACGATGACGATCATTCGACTTCGCCCCATCGTGGCACGGTAATGTACGAAGCGCCAGAAGTCCTATCCAGGGGGAAGGATTCTAGACCATACGATCTATGGTCATTGGGCTGCATTATGCTGGAGCTTCTTTTGTGGCTTGTTGGAACCAATGAGGAAGATGGTCAAGTGGCATTTAGTACCAGAAGGGAGCATGATATTTCCGATCAACTTCCGACTGATGACGCCTTCTGGTATAAGAAGGGATCAAATATTCTCCTCAAACCAGCTGTGCATGCCCACCTCGATGAGCTCGAACAGGTTCACTGCTCAAGATACCCCCTGCTGAGGCCAATACCGTCCGTAATTCGGGCTTTATTGGTCATTGATCCGACCAAAAGACTCAGTGCATCCGAGTTAAGTGACCAGCTTCACGACGCCATTGAAGAAATCGAATCGCTTTTGTCGAATGGGTCTGCCTCAAGCCTTGGTCCATCTCTGACTGACCTCACACTGATGCCACCGCCTGATGATCCAGATAAGGATGGACATCAGAACAGGTTGCCGACAGAGTCACGACTGGTCGTGCCTACGGAGTTTCACCTGAGTAGCACCAATTCGGCCGAGACACAAATCGGCATTCCTAATACCAAGCACTCACGCCGGGGCAGTGATCGGAATAGCCTTCGCAGAAGTCGCCGCAGCCGCAACAGCCGCCGAACTCGCAAGTGCGAAGAATCAGCTGTAGCCGGAGCAATCTCAACAGAAGGTCACAATATACACGTCCAAGACGACAGTGCTAGATACAAGACCGTAACTGAGAGCAAGCTAGCCGCGGATGAGTTAGGACCACACGCCTCTGATGCTCAAGAAGAGTCTACTTGCCACCCTCAAGAAGCCCATCTTATGGACATGACGAGCTCTACGCTTCTACCAATCTCCGCTTTCCCTCAGATTCAATCAGCGTCTCGGGAGCCAGAAGCCCATCAACGCCGGCTTGACGAGATGGAGCGAAAGATCTACCTGGATTTGGACGGTGTAGGGGCCTTCACGATTAGTCAGTATAACAGCCTTCAGTCTCACGAGCACCTTGTAACGAGCCCATGGTTGAGTTTCGACACACTCTATGAGATGGTCCTTATTCTTAAAAGGCAGATGAGGGTGGCCAGGGCAATCAGAAAGAACACGTTATTCTTTTACGAAACTCGGTCTGACGCGCGCTTCAGCCTCATCGTCCGAGAAACAAATCGGGCCAAGGTTGCGCGAGTTATTCCCGTGAGTGAGGAGATGCTCAAACTATATCTAGGCCTCCTGAGAAGCGTCTTTGCTGCTGCAAAGCTCTTGAAGACCACGAATACGACTTTCCTGGACAACAATGCTGTCGAAGCTATATTCGCACCACTCCGGGGATTCTGTTTCACCTTTGCGGAATACTTACATTTGGATACTAAACATGTGGTCTTCCCGAAAGACTGCGATTCAGTCGCGCATGTATCGCTTCACCTCAGTGCAGCCTTGCTGCAGATTCTGGCACTGGGCGTAACTTCAAGTGTGAAATCACATACTTCAAGTTTTGTCCGGTCTGCAAGTCCACGTCTCCAAGAAGCTTGTTCAATACAAGTTGGATCTAATATCAAGATTGCGCTGAAAAAACAGAGGCTGGCCTGTCTCGACACATTTGTGGGTGGTCCGATTTGGGTTTTCCAAGGTATCGATCAGACCGATCCAGGCGCAGGGCTTTATATATCAACCTACCTCAGCGATTTTGCAGAGCTTTGGGGACTGGCTCGTGTGAGGTACGCCACACCTCAAAAGGCCGCCGCAATAGAGATTGATACTCTGGGTGGGACGATCAGGTCAATAGGAGATGTCAGAACTCCTTCGTCAGCCCCAGAGTGCTTGGAGGATGAGGTTCTATGCCATTGGTTTGGGTGGGATAGCGAAGCTGGTCCTGCAATGCCCTTCGACCCCTTGAAGCGACTTGTTATCGGCTTCCCATTGCCTGAGAACACCTCATGTGACATCAAAAGACAGTACTATGTCCGCACACTTCCTGATAGGGACCTGGGAACGTCATCTGCCGGATATAAGACTGACGCCAGAACATTTACTTCTGGATTCATGCAATATGTGGGTTTATCTGTCGGTCTGACACAGAAATTCACTGCAAGTTGCAGCACCAAGAATGTGATCTTGGACTCATGGCTCAAGGGGCGTGCAAACAATCCTAACTTCATTCCAGAAATTGCGGCCCTCGATCAACTGGTTGGTCTAGAAATCAGCAAATGTAATGGTAACGCAGTGCGGGTGACATTGTGGGATATCCTCCGACACCCCGAGGTTATGGCGTACGCTCAACGCCTGGAGGGCGATCTTTCTTGCTGCTCAAAATGGACCTCATTTGAGACTTTTCAAAGCTTGTACGACTCCATCACTACCAAAGTAGCTAGGTGGCATTTGTTTGACACAGTAACAAACCTGATCGATCGACTGAAGTGCACTGGCGTGAATGATAGGGGTGAGCTTCTGGCCTGGAATGTGACATGCAATGGTGGATGCTGCGGGAAGGTTCTGGTGCCAGGATGGGTAACAATGGTCAAAGAGAGCAGGGTATGTTCCACATTTGCGATCTTGTCCAATCGATGCTTGACTGTGGAAGGCAGAAGAACTTGCCTCAACGACTGTTCTGATGAAGACCTCCCTGAGCAAGCCGCATCCTTGGTTACAAAGCTCGAAATTGCGGCTGAGATCGATCTTGTGAAGTATACCAAAGCAAGAAAGAGACGACCAGGGCTCGTTCTGAATACGCCAAAGAAGCGGCATCGCGGGAATGAGAGCTCCGAAAAAGATACCGACAGTTTGCGGAAGTACCACAGTAGACGTCAACGAGGACGACCCTCGTCCGGAACAGGAGGAATTTATGAGTTCATCAGCACATCAGAAGAGCAACTTCGAAAGACCAATGGCCTTCTCCCTCAAAACAGTCAGCACGACCGGCCACGTCCATCGTCATTTGTGCCACCAGCAGACTCGTGGTTCTCAGAAGATCGTCCAGACATAAAGGCTGTTGAGGCGAGTCTAGCTCGATTCAAAGTATCTGAAGACTTGGGGCAGTCAGAAAACGATCGGCCATCAAAGGTGGAATCTGTGCTGCCGAGAAGCCAAGTTCCAACAATTGGACAAAGACACAACGGCTCTTCTAGCCCGCATAAACGCAGGAGGAGAACTGGAAGCATGCTCTCCGTCAAAGGAACACGGACAGGCCATTCCGAAGCCTCCGAACACAGAAGCTACAAGCATGTGTTACGCCGTGTGGACCTGGCAGCGTTGAAATGGAAACTCGAAGAGAATCATGGAATCCTGACCCTCACACATGATTCGCGCAGTCGGGGGGTCGTTTTCAGGAGCCGACAGGGTGATATACCAGTCGAAACGACTCTGAAGAAATACAATGTGTTGGTTCAAAAAGGAGACGAGATGATCAACAGATTCGATGTCAAGCTGGAAGAGGCCAAGGACATATTGATATTCGGATACCCTCGGGCGAGATTCAAGTTTCGCTTTCAGGAAGTGAAATATCCCTGGAAGCCCCTTCGCCCGTGCGAAACGGTGAAATCAATACGAGTCCTGGACAGCAGGTATTGCCAGCCTCAAACGTATATTTAACTCTGTGCAGAGCCGTCTCGGGATGAACACACTGGGAAAGTGATGGCATATGATTCAGAAGGCAATACATGTACCGCGCGGAATATGTCAATACCCAAGTAGGAGCGAAACATATCGAAATTGGCTGTGAAGTACTCCGTATAGCATGCAAAAGTTAGTGAGCCTAGTTATTAGTTAAAAGACAACCCGTCTCGCTTAACCTGCCCTGACCCTATACAAATAAATTGTTTAATCTACTGCGACCACTTGACGCAACAACCAAGAACCCATAGTCGACATTACACGTCTACCACGAAGCAGAGCACATATTATTTGTGCACAACAACCCTCGATCCATGGCACCGTCTCTACGATAACACTGTCCCCGACATGCCTCCGCCCTCAAACCTCCCGCCCCCACCAACTCCCCATCCACTCCGATATGCCCAAGATGCTGCCCGCAGCATACCCGGCAACAATCGTAAGTCGAGACCGCTGACCTACGCGCTCGGCATCGCCGGTATAGCTGGGTCTGGAGCTTTGATTGGTGCCATTCTGAACATGAGCTCTCAACGTCAAAGTCAGCAGGTAAGTGGTTCACATTTTGATCACTCCCCCCAGCTTACATCGGGGATCGGGCACTTTGTGTAGAGATGAGCTGCTAATGGATGAAATAGAATCAAACTCCGTTACAGCCACTACCACAAGCACAGTCAGAAGGACAGGCGGAATCTTCGCAGTTGCACTTACAGCCACAGTCGCAACCACGGGCACACTTAGCACCGGGAGTAGATTACTCCCAGGCCCTCCAGACGTTGGAAACGAAGAGGGGCCACCTCATGGCGCAAAAGATGCAGTTGGAGCGGAGGATCAACGACTTGCATGAAACTCGCCGACGACGACAACAACAACAGGCGGAGGAGGAACACGAGAAAGAAAGGGACAGCGGTCAAGAGGTGAAGTAGGCTATCATTCTACTACTCGAAGCCTACGGAAGTCCTCCATCCCGGGTTAGCTTGCCTGTCCTGGTAGCCTCTGGATATTGTGTTGGTGCTCGGATGAAGGTACCGAAGCCCGCGACCCAAGGTGATGCGCGTCAGAGGAGTCTACGAGACATGGGAGGAGCGAGATCCAAGAAATGGATTCGTCGACTCCTCGAAGTCTACCTGCAACAGCACAAAACACACACGACACTCGCTGTGTATATGGCATCTCGAGCACCCCCGAGACGTCTGATTTCGCATGACTTCGCCGCCCGGGACCAGTGGAAGAGGCATCCTGGCTCGAGCACTGGAATCACAAGAAGCTGTGATTGATACAATCGTATTCGAACTCTGCGGGCGGCGCCGTCGCTGGGAAAATGTCTCCAAGACAGCTTCAGAAAGGTCAATTCTATTTGCTCCTCATTCTTCTTGCATCATGTCGACGGCACACGTCAAATATTATGGCGCATAGAGTGATCGCGAAATCTCCGTGCTACCAGAAGATACGCAAACGTCTTCGAAACGACGACCAAGATGCACCTCATGCCTCTCTCCACCTTGGCGGACAAGAACACCAAGGCATGATATCGACCAAGACTGCCTTTGTTCCAAGGCCTTCTGTTTTTGTATAATGAGCGGATGGATAGGCGGATATGAAAGATATCGAAGCACGTTGGTGACTCGGTCGAGGGGCTTCTCACATCCCCATCCATGATGCATATAACCATCTACTCCGTACCACGATGATTACCCAGGCGGTTTACGGTTTACGGTTTAGGGGGTTTGAACCGGTCTACTTGTTGCACATAACACATCTTCAAACAACGTACACAGTTAACATATGAGCAAGCAAGCAAACAAGCCAGCAAGTAGGTGGCAGGAGTAAGAGTAATAGCAGCAGCGACAGTAGTAGTCAATGTTTCATCCAATTGACAACTCTCTCTTTCTCTCACAAAAAGACCCGCGTAGCATGGCATGGCATAGCTCTACATACAAAAGACACACAAATGACTCCCGTCCACTCCCCGTCCGGCCCCGGCGAGGAGAAGCTAAGGGCATACCGAATACAACACAAACAAGGAAAAAGACAAAAGACAAAGGGAAAGGCATGACATGGGAGGAACAGAGCATGCATTTTTGGTTTTGGTTTGTTTCCATTTCTTGTTCTCCTACTGCGGTGCCCTGCTCTGCCCTGCCCTGCCCTGCCCTACCCGCCCTTCGTATTTCTCGGTTCTTGCTGTTGTTGCTGATGCTGATAAAAGCCCGCATCGCCGAACCACCGTCATGCATAGGTAGACACACACACACACAGACGCACCCATACCCCTTCTTTCCCGTTGTTGCCTTGCCGAATCGCGTTTCCAATACCACAAACAGAAATGCACCGAGATCTCGTACTCCCCGAAGACGAAGGCCAGAGCGCCCATCCCCACCAAGCTCGCCAATTATGGTGTTTGAAGTCTTTTTTCTCAAAACAATAGGACCAGGTACGTATTTGTTTTTCTCGTCCCACTGTCCCTGCCTGCGTTGTGAAAACGGACAAGAGAAAAGTAAGGCAGAGACCCGAATTGTAGCGCGGCCAGCAAAAGAAGAATCTGCCGGATCAAGTGCTGCATTAGGGTGCCATCTGGTCATGTCCAATTCTAGGGCCCGAAAATCCAATTCTTCCTTCCCCCGTCGTTCTATGCTTCCAATCTCTGCGCTGGCGACATGGTTGCGATGGCTTTCTGGACGACATCCGAATTCTACTTCTGTTTGCTCGACGAGGGCCCGAAGTCGGCCTCGACCGCTTTCTGGGCCGTCCGTTGCTTTTCGACTTTGAATTCCGCCACAATCGCGATATGATCACTAGGGAAGTGGAAGTTTGGAAATCCGGGGACGCGTTTCAGATACTCCGGGTCGATGGCGCCCAGAAGACCAATCACTCTCAAAGTGTTGCTAGAGTACCAGATGTAATCCAAGACGTCGACGAAGCTAGGAGTGTAATTCGTAAAAGGCATCTCGTCCTCGATGGCGGCGTATGAAGACTTCAAGGTGAACTGATGTTGCAGCCCGTTGTCGGTGAGACTACCGTAGTCTCTGCCCGCAAGGTCGTTGTGTCTGGCGCTCATTCCCTTTTGCGTAAAGAGCTCGTACACGGCCGAGTTGGCCCCTGAGTTGAAGTCACCACAGATGATCATCGGGATTTGCGTGCCGGAATTGTATGACAGTGATGGTCCAGGCTCGGGAAGCTGCTCATCCTCAACTTCGGAGAATCGGAAAGCTTGCTTGTTCGTTGCTGGAGGCATCTTCGCATACTTGTCGGCAAGCTTACCGACTTCCTCCATGAGAACGGCGGTTTGAATAAGCTTCACGTCCTTGAAGGCAGGGTCCCAATAGACATGAGCATTCGCGACAATGACTCGAGAGCCCGTGACACGATTCTCCAAGAACACTACTGTTGCAATGTCGTCTCGTTGCCAAACGCGGTTGAGCATATCGGCGGACACGCTGGCGCCAGCTCGCTCGACTGCCTTTCGCCCGAGGACAAGATGTTGACTGTCCAGCTGCATGTACTTCTTGTCCTTCCAGAAGGTACCGCAGCCGTCGACGAATTTGGCGTTCTCACCCAATGTCTCGGCACGGCTCTTCTGAGCGTAGTACCCCTTGTACCCTGATCTCGAGAGCTCGGCGCGGAAGAAATCGTCGTAGCTGGTCCTATCCAGTTCTTGCAAACACACTATGTCGGCGTTGATCTCCCGGATCTCTTCGAGAATCAGCGTTTTACGGTACGCCCAGGTCAGAACTCGCTCTGGCACGTATCCGTATTGTGACGAAGTTGCGTATCGAGCACACAAAATGTTGTAATTCAAGGCCTTTATTGTGTCGGTACCGGGCTCGGGCGCCTCTTCGAGCTGATGCCATTCTCTTTCTCGTGGAGGGGGTGGTTCTGTATTCACGTCAGTATTTCCGCGACCGCGAACGATTGGTCAGAGTGACAAACCTGGCATGCTCTCCCGGAGGTACTCGATGAGCTTCTTTGTGCCACCTTCGCTGATCTTTTCGCGTTGGCCAGGCTCAAGCGGATTGCCATACACTCCAAGCACCTCCAGGTTGAACAAAAACCCGAGCTCATAACAAAGGGTGTGAATTTGGTTGCTGAAAAGTAGGAGCTTCCTCAAGTTTGTCAACATTCCAATCTCTTCAGGAAGTTCGGTGAGTGCGTTAAAAGAAACGTCCAGGTATTCCAGGTTCTTCAATTGTCCGATCTGTGGTGGGAGGGTCTCTAGTTGATTATATACAAGGTCGAGTCTTTTGAGGAAGTGGTAGGCAGGATTGAAGAGCACGGGAGAAATTGCGCAAAGACCTTGACCTCCCAGATCGAGCTCGTCCCAGGTTTGTTTGCTGGGAACGACAGCGCTTGACGTATGTGAATTGCGTGTATTGTCGGTGTGCATCTCTTCCGCAGCGGCGCCGAGAGGCACGAAGTTCACACCTTTGGACTGGTGGGCGACGGAACGCGCACGGGAGTTGGGCTGATTGAGCTCTTTACTCTCTTCAAATGCCTCCTTTTGTTCACGCCAATGTGGGTTGTCTGGTTCGTCCATATCATCATGCGGAAGGCTATTGCCGTTGCCGTTCTGTAGGTGATCGTGTCCGTACGTCTGAAGGTGAGGGGTTGAAGTCTGGTACCCTCCGGAGGAAATATTGTGCTGATGGCCCAATTGTCCGCCATGGTGGTGTTGCGCATGATGTTGGTTGACATTGTGATGGGTGTGGTACGGAGGTTGGTACTTCGGGATGTGTATGTTCTGGTGGCGCTGATGATTTTGTGCACCATTCATCAATCCATGTTGAGTTTGGTATCCATTCTGCGAGAACATGTTGAAGCTGTGGGCGAGAGCAGGATTAACTGGCGATCGTGTCGGAGAAGGGGTATCGTTGGCGAAGGGTCGCCGTCCGGAAGGTGAGGAGGCTCGATTCTGATTCCGATGTGCTGTGTGTTGCGCAGGGTAAAACTGCCCGGCTCCAGGCTGATGGAACCGGAACCCACCATCTGCCATCTAACGAGGCAAGCTTGTCTGGATTGTCTTCGGGGGAACGGACACGCCTCGATCGTCGAAGGATGGGGTTGCAGTAATGGTTAAGACTTTGCGCGAGGGCGAGGAGTGGGCGGAGGGTAGACCAAGTCTTCGTTTCTTCCACATGAGACCCGTGGAAGAGGTCAACGTCGGCAGAGGGAACAGCTGCAGAGCTCGAGATCGGCTGGCCAGGCGCCTTCGCTGTCCGCGGGTTGGATGGGATGGCTGGTAGGCTGGCGACAGGTGTTCGAACCGATGCAAGCTTGACGATGGATCCGGGTGACAGGGAAAGGGGCAGTGACAGGTCGCTGGAGGCCAGGTGGACGATGGAGAGACTGTCAGAATATTGTTGTGAGATACACAGAGATACGAATGGAGATGTAGTCAATGGGCGTAAGTGAGTGACTGTGAAGAATGAGTTTCTGCTCTGCTTTGCGCAGTAGAAGGTCAAGGCGCAGTCCATGAGACCGTGACTTGTTAGTGGGATGAACAGCCGCATCGATTGGCGGCCGCAGTGTCACTGGCGCCATTTCTTGGCACAGCGAGGCAACGTCTTCTGTGTACCAAGGGCAAAGGTCAAAGGTACTTATGTATCTCCCTCTACATGGTCTACGAGTACATGTGTTCGCTTCAGCATCCGACAAGGTCTGTCTCTATCTGACTTTCGCCTCTTCCTTGGGCCGATTCCACACAATCAGCCGGTCAATATCTACAGTCTTCCCACCGCGTCCTTTCCCCTTTGCAGTGATCGATATCGTCAAAGAGAGTCCATTGATGCGGCGTAAGATCGTCTGAAACACTCTTGGGCGTCTGCGCACCAAGGACTATTTCGCGCGGATGGGCAGTATGATACCCCTGTGCTGTAGTGTGAGCTTTAAAGCTTGCTGTGATGCATCTAGTCCGCTTAGGCTCGGGGGAGGCTTGGACGAGCTGTCCTTGTTTGTTTCAACCATCATTCTGCAGGCTGGCCTCGGTCTCGCCTTATTTCCCTCTGATGCCTATAACTCTAGCGACAGGCATATTGGATTCAGGAATATCGATGTTTCATTGACCGGTACTTTTTCAAAAAGTACAATGCCTCGATTTCCTTCTTCACGAACTCGGCTCGCTTGATGCCTTGGCGTATTTGTTCTTCGTCTCTCAAATCTGCCTTGGACATGAATGCCTTGTGCAGCCGCGTGCGGAAATAATTATAGCCCAGGGGATAATGTCTGCCCATTTCCAAGAGCTCTACCGACGACTGATCAGTGCCCGAGACTACCACAGCGGCAAACACTTGGAAAGCTAACCCTTGTACACATTGATAACTTGTCTGCGGAGTTCGGAGGCCATCATGGATGGACTGGGCTTCAGGGGCTAAGGAGACAGGCAATCAAGGCCATTGCCATGGGCATCAGGAGGTATGGCCAGAGAGGGTGTTTTCGTGTTCTGCCATGTCCCTGTAGCAATGACGTGAGCCACAAAACAGCGGCTGCTTGACGCCAAGACCACTAACTACCTAGTGTAGACCTCGGCTATTTTATCCGCCCTGCGCCGACGAGGTTATGCATAATCCTCAACCCTCTGCTGCCCCTTGCTTTTGTCTCTATGGTCCCCTGGACAGACAGTAGTTCTATAGGCTACTCGTATCAAAAATCCCATCCGCATCATTGGCGTGCTCCCCGCAAGTAAGCCTAATAATGTCGCTGCTTGTCGACTTTGTTTACAAAGTTCCCCTTGTTGCCGGCGAGCACCCCAAGGTTATGTTCAAAAATCGCATACACTCGACTCCAGTGGTTTGTTGACGACCAGCTAACGTGAGGTGTTATCAAAAGATTTGGTGCTTTCCACAGTGGGTGCTCTTTGGGAAGCGGCTCTGGATTAGTCACATCCACAGCTGCTCCTCTGATCATGCCTTTCTCCAGTGCCTCGATCAGGTCCTCGGTGTTCACATGGCCGCCTCTGGCAATGTTACTCAAAAAGGTCTTCTTCTTCGCCAGGATCTCAAACTGCTGTCTGGAAATCATGTTTCTCGTCGATGCCGTCAGCGGGAGGCAGATTACCACGATGTCAAGATCTTGGTCTAGGAAGTGGTTGACGCTTTCTTGAGTTGTGCCATGAAACCATTTTGATGGGATCAGCCCGTCGGGGTCGCCAGTACCGGGCACACAGTAGCTGTCATCCTTTCTCGACTCTGGCGTGGGTCTCTCCCGTGCTGTGTAGGCTACTACGTCCATGCCTAAAGCTTTTGCCAGGTTGGCACACTGCCTTCCGATCGCACCATATCCGAGGATTCCCCTAGCAAGGTCAGACACGTCAACCCCAGGGCCAGAGCGCCTACATTCGAAGACCCCAGGAGTCTTGGAAGGTGGTCTGGAAGAGCGGCTCCCAATAGCCTTCTTTCATATAGTTGCTGTACTTCAAGAACTGGTGTTGATGAGAAAGCCAGCTTCCGATCACCCATTCAGCTATCTGTGGTCTGGCGGGGTGATCATCAGCCTTTGGTAGTGCAACTCATCGCGTAGTACTCACGGATGGGCGCCATTGGAGGTGCAAAACACGGTATTTGGATCTTGATAATGGGGATTTGACGCCCAGTGATCAGCGCCAGCCGAGCTCAATTGCACAAAGCGAAGGTTTGGCATCACAGCGTCTGCGGGTACGTGGAATCCCCATAATATCGTGACTGTATCCCAAATGTTTTGAGGTATGTCTTCCACAGTGAGTGGTGTTTCTTTCATCGAGTTCCAATGGATCTTTACTCCAGGGTGTCGTGACTGGATGCCATCGATAATCTCTTGTCTTGGGTCTCCTGGGGAAATGATCAGAATCGTGTCTTGGGCCAAACCGTTGGCCTTTTCAATTGATCCCATCGTGAGCCACGGTCGCCGGATTCCGCAGATTTCCCCTGCAAGGTAAACTCAGTCGTCTTGGAGAGCTATGAACCTTCAGAAATTGCTCTCGAGCAGATAATTTTCCACGACAGCCTCCTCGTAAGCAAAAGATAGGCTATCTCAAGCACGCCACTGTGGCGCGCACATCCCCGCCCTTTGGCATGCTCTGCTCTCCGCTTACCAAATCATTTGTGCCAATAAGCCAAGTTTGAAACAAATGATATATATTATTGATGTTGACGAAGGTACAAGTACTGAACATACTCACTCTCTAGTGTCAAAGTCACCGGCTGGTTCGTGACCTCATCGAGTCTTGAGCTTGAGAGACTAAACTTCGACATGGAGCTTTGTCCTTCCGAATACGGTCTGCGAGCCCAAGAGCTTATGAGGGGTTTCGTGAATATGAATAGATTGACGATTGGGTTTGATATTTAATATCGAAGTCAACGCCACGCTAGTCCAACAAAACACAAGAAGCGCCCATATCGTTTGACCTGTGTCTTGCCTTCGGTACTCCGTACCGCTGAAACCACGGCTGCGTGCCTCATGTAGGGGAAGATTGAATGCGTATGGGCTCGTCTTTACTGGACGGATGGTATTTGAAATGTGGTAACTAGGGACCCCCTTAGGACTGTTTGAGATTCTGAGTCGGCGTCTTCCACTTTATCTAGTCAACACCCGCATATTCAGATATTAGCAGGCATCCCGCGTCAGGCAACCGGTTGAACCCACCACTATCGATCCTTCGGCGGTCCAACTACCACGTATTGATAAGATCATCTGAGATCGAACCACCCTCGTGAAATGGCCACTCCCGGAACAGCTGGAATTTTTCACGACGAAAGCGAACTGGCGTGGGAAATGTCGTGCTTTCCGCGACGGTTGTGGATGAGCCCGGCATCATGAGACGTTACGATGACTCGCTCCTTACAGAGGCCGACGCATAAACATCTCTTACCAGACAAAATCTAGAAGGCGTCAGACGACTGTCCACTATCGCGTAATGCTTTGAGCAGTCGTGGTTACATTCGCGAGAATGCGGAAACATAATATGCAACTGGGGACGTGGAGCGATACGTCGTCGATACGATGAGAATTCGAGATTTCGTCGCAGATTGACGGCGGAGATAGGATGGACCGGAAGCTCTGCTGGAGTCTACGCTGGCACGGCGAACCACAGTAAGCTCGCCTACTGATCGACTGATGTATCCCTGGGCTCTCTCAGGCCCCGCGCCTCGTCCGTAGCGCCCAGACGAGGCGTTTGCTTGGTCAAAGCTTGTCAAGGCTTGTGGTGGGTGGGGTGGCCTAACTGGCGATTTTCCCAGCTATCTCCTCGCCATTGACGACATGCAAGGGTCCTTTTGCAACGACCAAGTATCGTGCCCATTCGAACACCCAGAGGAGCCATGGTTACATCGATCGCTGCTTTCTGCTTCCCAAATGGCGCATCCCTACCAGACCTTGGTCAGGCCAGAGTCAGGTGGTCGCGACGGATGCATGGATGGGATGGCCTCTGGGACACGCATTCTCATTAAAGCTTCGAGTCTTTCCCCCTCTACGCTTCCTCACTCTGGAGCCTCTCGCTCGCATTAGTGTGTTTATCATCTTGCCCTCTCAATCACTTCGCCTCACGGCCTTACGCCATCTGCCACCGAGCTCTTCTGGCGTGTCTCAACCTCACGCATGTCTTTGGCAGATGCTCTCGACGGCGGGAAGCCGAGCAACCCAGACCGCCCAACAACCTGGATCCACCCCATGAACAGAAAGCTGTATGACAGCAACGTTACGTTCGAAGAGTACCTCCATTATGCGAAACGCACACGGGCCGAAGAGGAAGCAGAGCAGCATATCCCCCAAGCTAGCATTCTGCAACAGGTGTTCCGCAGGTCATCAGCCACACCACAACCACCTGGAGCATCTCACCATGCGGGAGTGAGCCCTGAAGAAGGAAGTCCAGGGGAAAAGTCCAACAAAGAGGTTGCTGCAGCGCCAGGCACCAATCAGGACGCCAGTCAACCACGTCGAAGGAGTATTTTGTCAAGACACTCTCTGGTCACTGAAGAGGAGTGGCGCAATGCCGCCCGAGCCTTGCGCACCGCGACCTGGGGTGCGGGCTTTTACTTGATCACGACGGACATCTTGGGTCCGTACGGCGTCGGGTTTGCTCTCGGAACCCTGGGCTGGGGACCAGGTGTCGCTCTCTATACCGTCTTTGCTTTCATGGCTGGTTACTCAGGCTACCTGATTTGGTCCGTCTACATGGGTCTTGACTCGTACGAATTCCCGCTGCGCAACTACGGGGACCTTGCATATCGTACGATGGGCAATGGCGCTCGGTATGCCATCAATTTTTTGCAGTCGATCCAGTTGCTCCTCATCTGCGGCCAGGTCATCATCCAGAATGGACAGGGTATCTCACAGACGTCCAAATTCCGACTATGCTACGCAGTCTGCATCATTCTCTTCGTCATTGCAGGGTTCCTCATGGGTCAAGTCCGCACTTTGCGCAATTTTGGCATCTTCTCTATGATTGCTGTAGGTTTCAACCTCCTGGTCATCTTCATCTCGATGGGCGTGATGGCACACTCGCCTCCCAACTATAGTATCAGTGTGCTCGGTTCCGCTGGTTCGGCCGTGGATCCAGATTCAATCACTCCAGACGCAAACGGTAACTACCCTCCTATCAAGCATTACGGAGGAATGCCAGACTCGTGAGTGGTCCAACCCTACAGAGTAGGCCCACACGCATACTGACCGTTTATGCAGTTCAAATTTTGTCGGTGCAATCAACGGGCTGATGTCCGGAGTCTTTGCGTACGGTGGTGCTCAGATCTTTGTTGAGATCATGGCCGAAATGAGACGACCATGGGACTTCATCAAGGCCATGTGGCTTGCCCAGTTCTTCATTTACGCCGTTTACCTGATATATGGTTGTTACGTGTACCATTACCAGGGACAGTACTCATTCACCATCTCATACATGGGTTTGAGTGTTTATGGTTTCCAAGCTGCTTGCGACATGCTGGTGGTCATTTCGGGATTGATTGCGGCTGGGTTGTATGGCAACATTGGTATCAAGGTGCTGTACAACCAGGTACTCCAAGAGATCTTCAACGCACCACCTCTCACATCCAAGACTGGCAAATGGCTCTTTGGCTCGATCGTCCCGATCTACTGGAGTATTGCCTTTGTCGTCGCCGCTGCCATTCCGGATTACTTCGGCTTCGTCTCGGTCATCGCGGCATTTTGCATCGTGCAGTTCAGCTACTCCTTCCCTCCAATCATCCATCTTGCCTACACCATGCAAAAGAATGCGATCCGAGAAGGCGAAGGGTTCGACGAGACAACAGGGGAGACGAGGCGGGACGACCACGGTATCAAGCGTCTGATTCGAGGCTTCTTTGCCGACAAGTGGTACATCAACGTATGGCATGTCATTCATGCTGGCGGAGCGCTTGCAACTGCTGGGCTCGGTGCCTATGCAGCCATCAAGGGCATGATCGACGCCTTCAAGATCCCACAAGTCAACGCTTTTACGTGCACAAGCCCCCTCAACCTCAATGCTTGAAGGCTGCTCTTTTGGTTACCTGCACGACGACCTCATTTTGCTCATTGGTGGCATTGAGGTCAGTACAGTTTTGGGGGTTTAATCCAGCAACGGTGGTGAGTGGAGGGAAAGGGATCCGTCGTAATGGAAGTGAGAGAAGGGCCCGTGGTCTTCGGCAAGTGTTCTGGCACGTACAGCAGAGTATCCAAGACGTAACGGTGGTTTTGTGTGAGAAGTGCACTTAGGGCAGATGCCTCCATAAGCACAGGTGAAATGCGGGTTATTTAGTATGCACTCGGGTCTCCAACAAAGTTGCCTTGTGTCTTGTCAATCGAGGAAGTTGTGTGAGAGAGTTCTTTGTCGAAGGAACCTCGCGGACCGGTAGAGATGGGGATTGCATACTAGGGCACTTCCTTGGGGTTAGGACTAATTAAGCGACGCCTAGTCCGAGATTTTAGTTTAAGGGTTTGCCTACTCCGTAGGTACATAGGTATGTCAATGCGCCCAAAAGAGTGAACATCAGGTAGGTACCTAGGTAGCTAAGGTAGGTAGTTCAAAGTTATACCTATAGTTTTGCACCTATAAGAGACGCCATAGTGAAAAGTAGTACCTATACAGAATACATCAGTACGTAGAAAAATGTTCACAGGAGTACTAACTTAGTTAGGGGTGCTTAGGGGGTGATAGGGTTATGGTGGGGGCCCCAGGGCGTTGTTTATAAGCTACAGTGGCGTTGTATGAGGCTCTCAATTAAGGGGCATCGTGAGCTCCGGACGCCAACGACCTTGGTTGTTAGCGCGGGCCCTAACAAATTGCACCGCGAGTCCATGTCTCCAGGCGGTGTAAGCATTCCCCAGTAATTTGTATGGAATGTATTGAATCCTCACCAGATTGATTCATGCATTGGGTTCATCAGTCGACTGCGTTATCACATATTTCATCCACATGACTGCGGCCATTTGACTACCTCAGTGTTGAGTCGGAGCCTTCCAATTATCGACAAGCGCAGTGGTTGCGCTCGTCACGGAACGTCGCAATATGGATATCAATGAGGCATCTTCCCCTTCAAGCCCGGCCAAAGGTCAGCCATTATTGTCTATGGGCTCTTCTCTTTCTAATCTCGCTCTGTGCAGAGCCGGCCGCTCAAAAGGGAAAATCTCAGCCGCCTAGACAAAAGAATTCTCCTGCGGTTCGTCCTTTACCTCGAGAGAAAGCATCGAACGACCATGGGACCCGATACTCCCTTGCTCAACGTGCTCAGGCACTCACCCTCTTCTCACTTGGATATAAGCCTTGCAATATTGCGTCGTGGCTGAAAATGACAGAAAGATCGGTCTACAGTATCATTCGGAAGGCGAAGGAAAGAGGCTACAATCCGCAGGAAGATCCGCGCATCCTCGATCATTACATCGTGAACGGATATAAATCAGGAAGGCCGAAGGCCATTCAAAAGACGGTTGAGAAAGAGTCTTCTTCATGAATGTTCGTCCGCGATAGAGCCAGTCGTGGGAAAACAATCGAGGTTCTCGACCTATGACCATGGTGTTAGTACAACAACAACTCGGTTTATGGGAGCGAGTCAAATGAACTTTAAGCGCCTATGAGTCTGTGACTGAGCCTGCTGTGCTGCTGCCTGCAGTCCTTGCATTGAGGTCGAGTTACAGGAGCGACACGACCAAACACATTTCGTCAGATCATACCCCAGGAGATGAGCTGGCGAGGTTCACATCTGCTGCAGTATAGCAGGGCTATCTAGCATACTATGTATCCTCGCCTTAAGAAGAGAGACCGAGCAACATCTGTTGTGGCGCTTGTCGCATCTGTGGTGTTTGCCCACACAGAAACTATGCTTGGTCAATACAACTCCAACTTCATGCACCTCACCAGCGGCCTGGATATTCTGAGTACTAAGCCCGATGCAATCTGCCATGCACGTCAGCACAAACCGACACCATGTCATTGAAGTCATGGACTAAACTCACGAATGATTGAATCATCTAAGTGTTCACCTTTCAAAAGCTGTTGGCTGAAGTTCTGGCAAAAATCCATCCGCGTGTGGAAGGCTGGAAGCTCGTGGTCCATGGGGAAGGTCGACCAAGCAAAGCCGGTCCGATTCGAGTCGGTTTGAAGACAAGCAGCTATCTCTTTCAGTATTGATTCTGCACGCAAGCTATAATCCTTAGGTATCTACCTTGGATACGCACATGCATATCAGGATATCGTAGCTACCTATGAATTGTAGTACATAGTACGGAGTGCATTCAGAGGATATATGTACATGTACAATGTAGCTTCGTGGAGCGGAATATAATTATCGAATACTCCGTACATGTCATTCACACACTTTTCAACGTCAACGATCCCGCCCTAAAGTACTTACACAGCACTTTGTTCTACACAACATCGTAATACGAATCACTCTAGATTGTTCTTGAACATACCAGGAAAGCTAACTTAGTTGTCAAGCCTCAGCCTCTTCCCTTGATGATCGAGCAATCATGCCACTCGCATTACTCGGACTACTGCACTGTACTCCACATCCTCCAGGTCAAGGATCATTACGAGGACCCATAAGTAAGGTCCCCCTCCAGTACCTAGGTGGTCGGCTCAGGCAATTAATCAGTAACTACTCCGCAATGGGAAATTCGAATAGCACATACTTGAGTTTGAAGAGCGGGTCGAGGTTGAAAACCGCAATACCCTATTGTGCCGAATTAGGGCAAAGACTCAGATACCACCATCACCCATCACCCATCGTCTCCCTCGATCTGCAAGAGCATCATGTTGAAACATCACATCCATAGTGAGGTGATGGTATTACGTAGGCTATGAGTGGTCTTGTTGGACATATTCAAGCGTTGAGGGTATATTTTGAGGGAAAGTCCAAGTCAAAGATCAGCACTCAATGTGTACATCCAAATATAAATATTCACGATTTAAAGATAGCAGATGGCAGATGGCACGATCATCCTAATGATCTCGAGATTACTTGCTACAGACATCCCGTTCTAATAGATCCTTGAGACTCGCCTACAATCTCCACACCATAATATTGACTGACTAAATAGAAGAACCTCCTTTGCCTGGATATCTCTCTTTCTTCGAATACTCGCCGCCTTGCAAGTTGAGCGAGAGACGAGCCCAACCGACGACAAGGCTGAGATCTGCCCGCGTGTTTCAGCCTCGCCCCGCCAAACCTGCCCCAACGCGGATTTCACTCCCGAATGTGGAGATGCGATCGACGTCGATTCTCCCGGCGACACATCGCTTTGTTTCCACTTCACTCGTCTTCTGACCTTTCATATCCAGCTTCAACACGAGGTATTTGTCTGTAGATCTCACTCCACAGACAGAAAAATGTAAGTTGATAACTCTGCCAAATGACTTCCCGGTAAGTGAGTCCTCTCGTTATCCCGATGTTTCCCCCTGCACGCTCCGTATTTCCTGCCGATGTGATCTACTGCTCGAGTCTTTAACCTCAAACGAAACACATTGGCATACGCAATGCAACGCGGCGCTACACATCATCTAGTGTTACACATGCCTGCATGTATCATGCGTAGCTGGAATGATGAGGCATGAGTATGGTCAGTAGCCTCGCCAATCCCAGAAGCAAGAATGGGAGGGGCCATCATATTCGACATCCTTGAGCTTTCGAGGAGCCCAGAGGCTGGATGGATGATATGCAGGACAACAGGCAACCAACGAGCTCCACGTAATTTCGACGACAGGAGCAGAAATACTGCACATTTGTCTTTCCATACTTGAATTCGAGATGCACTTCTTGCTCTTGCCTCCTTTGTCCGGAATCGTTGCAAAGTGAGGGAAAAGATCTACCTGAGGACCTGATGCCAAGCGAGTTGAATGGAGATGAACCATGAGTGCCGTCAAGAGAAGGTTTCGAGCGTGGACATGCATACGCTCCGAGAGCGTGTCACACGTACATTGATCTCCGCATCCGTTCTCAATCGTCCTCCACTCGCACACGACACAACGCTACGATATCATCATCCGCGACTCCTCTCTCAACTTTCAACCCGACCGATCTGCAACACTCTCCCAATCTCAATGAGTTACTTTCCCCGTTTGCTGATCGGATCCAAACTTGACGAACAGGCAGCACAGTCTGCAGATCCGCCCTACGGCCAAATGCTCTCGTCTGGAATCCTACAAGTACCTGGCCTCCCCCCAAAATTCTTTCAGAATTTTCTTTTTTTTCTTTTTTCTTCAGACTCACTCGCATAACCAGCATACGACTATACCATTTCTACTGAAAACCTCACTCCACTTTCAAAATGGGTTGTATGTTCAGCAGACGCTCATCTTACGCTGACGATGAACCAGCAGCTCCTCCTCGTCCGGTCGTCGTCGCCCAGACCACCCCGGCGTCGGAGACCACAATCAAGGGTGTCGTGATCGGGGGTGACGACCTTCGCCTCAAAGCGTCGGTCCATCCCCGTCCTCGATACCCGAGTAGCATCTACTCACCCCCCAACACGCTCAACCAGCGTATGTTGGACGACGCCTGCAGGTATCGTTCGCCATCAGACGCTGATTCTTCAAAATACAATCTCCCTGAATGGGCAGCAACCTATCGTAGCTGCCAGGGCAACCCGTTTGACACAAAGGGCAAAAAGCCCCTCAGACGTGGTAAGCTTGCACTCACCGGCAGCTGCGATGGGGGAGGGCCGTCTTCAGGAGAGGAGAAGCGTTCTGCTCTGGCTGCACCGGATGGCGCCGTCTCTCATGCGTTGGGAGATGTCGTGGGACGGAGGTTGTAGTTGGGTGTTGCTTGTTTGTCGGTGTTCTGGCGTTCGGGGGTTCGGAAAGGGCGTTCGGCGGCTTGTGGCGTTTGGGGGGGTCTGCAATTGGGGACTCTGACTGCGTTTTGGTGTTTCGTTCTGACTGGCTGATGGTTGCGAAGCGGCTTGCTGTGGGATTTTGGAAAAGAAGATGACGCGCTCAGTACTCTATCTTCATCCAGCCGCTGGGGTCAGGAGTTAGGGGTGTGTTGATTGTTTTTACGAGGGCTGCATCTTCCGGACAAGAAAAGAAGATGGCGCGCTCAGTACTCGATGGTGGTTGCAGCTCTTGGGGAAGATCTCTACTCATTGTTTGGTGTTTGGTTGTTGATGGTGTTGGTGAGGGTGGCTTCGGCCACCACCTCGCACAAAAGAGGCCCCTTGGTCCTTGGTTCATTTGAGTCTTCGCTAACATTGTCGCGATAGGAGTGTCCGTGGACAAGTAGTCTTGGTTACGAAAGGCCACGGATTGTCTCTGAGAGGCATTGTTGGCAAGCTCTTTGCGCCAAACAATTTTTTGTTGATCTCAAGTCTCGTCTAACGAGCACCCTTTTTTTCATCACTGTCTTTTGCCTTGTGCAAGACCTTGGGGAAGAAATTGGTGTAGATGGGTGTCGGTGTCGGTGTTGGTGTTGGTATAGACATAGGTGTTGATGTTGGTGTTGGTATAGGCATAGTTGGCGTTGTTGGTGTTGGTGGTTGTCGTCAACATCTTCGAAGTGTAGTTGTCGATACTCCTACAGGGGACCCTAACTAGTATCGTCGGAGCCATACATCACCGGAGTATGTCGTCGTTGTCGATGTATATTGCCTTGCTGCTTCCCATCACTGCCACGTATCATCGACGGTGCATATCGTCGTCCACACATGTCACTGCCACTGCACTTGTTCTCGTCCCCCACATGTCGTCGTCACCAAGTCAATGCATACTGCCACCATCGTGTACCGTCGGTGCCACCATCGTGTACTGTCGGTGCCACCATCGTGTACCGTCGGTACCCCCATGTCGTCGACAACCCGTGTTGCTCACCAGAGCATACATCCACTACTCACTCCACATCGTCGACAACCCATGCTGGTTCACCAGAGTCCATCGCCGTTTGCCCATCTCGTCTCGCCATCAATACACAGACACACCCCTTGTCGTCGTCGTCGTCGTCGTCGTCATCATCATCATCGTCGTCGTCGTCAGACATTATCATCGTCGTCTGCTGAATTGGTCAGCATTCTCCCCTGCCTTCTCATATCGTGGATGCCTGTCTCTCGAGCTCTCGTCGACTCCAACTCCGTGATGTGCACTACCACAGTGCCACTCACTCACGCATCGACCCCCGGTGAACAACATCAAACGCCACGATCACCATTCTTCCTTCTCCAACAACACCCAAACTCACCCGACACTCCAATCCACCAACAACTCTCAATCCTCTGGTCTCACCATAGGCACTCCCTAGAGACAATCACGTCGCTGCAAGCGTCCACACCCCCTAATTTATTTCAGGGACGCCCGACTTCCTTCCACTCGACAGCCAAAGAAAACAAAAACTCTTCGACATTTCCACAGACGCAAACAAAACTCGCCATGGCCGCGGTCACGGTCACGAGCAAAATCAAAACAGTGGGCAACGCTGACGAACCACAAGTGCAACATATACACAGAGCAAAAAACAAAACAAAGACAAAAACACGTCCTGCCTTGTCACTAGAATTCAAGAGTTTCATTATTTACGGACTCATCAATTCACAGTCTGTCAGAACGTTGCTCCAGACACTCTCTCCCTCTCTATTGCACAAACTCGTTATGACCACCTCCTCCTAGCTTGTACGCTTACCTCATTGCTTATGTGTACATTGTTACTTCCAAGCACTGAGTCCTGCCCAAGGATCCGGCTCTTGACCCCCACCCTGACCTTGCGGCGGCTGATGACCTTGTGGTGGTGGTGCTTGCTGTTGTTGAGGATATCGAGTCGGCTGCGAGTAGCTTGCATAGCCCCCAGGTCCGCTGGGCCATGCCCCCGAGGGATTCGGAGGGTACTGTGTGCTCGATCCTCCGCCAGGTGGTCCTGGGGGCGGTGGAGGAGGAACGTAATTCTGCGGTATGTTGTAAGGTGAAGGTTGGTAGTTCTGATAATGTGATTGCGGTTGAGGCATTTGTGGATGCGGTGAAGGCGACTGGTAAGGGATACCTGGTGTGTTCGTTTGTGGAGGATAGTTGAATTGGGGGTGTTGCGGATATTGGTGCCCGCCCGGAGCATTGAAATTCATCGTCTGAATAGGAGTATGAGATTGCGGCGGAGGATGTTGCGACTGAGGAGAAATGTATGTGTTCAGCGAGCCCACAGGCGGGGAAGTCACTGGTGAATAGCCATATGACTGCTGGGTTGGTGGGTGCTGACCTGTAGAGGTAGTTGACCGCTCAGGATAGGCCATCGGATTGTAGCCAGTCGAAAGGGGTGTTGCCGCACCTTGGGCAAATGCATGCTGAGAGTCAATAGGTGATGGGTTCGAAGGCTTTGCAGGTGGCTGAGGTTGGCTCGAGTAACCGTTGGGTACGACGGGCGCAGGTGAATGTCGAGGGGGGATGGTAAAGCGAGGATCTGCATTGGGCGTAGGATACGACGGTGAAATGGCTGCTGAGGATCTGGATGCGTTCAAAGACGGTAATGGAGGCAGCGCAGGAGCTTCTGTTTGCGATGGTGAGGCTGACTTTGGCTCCATGGACAACCTGTTCATCAACTCTTGCATACGCCTCTGTTCGGCAGCTGCCTGACCACTGGCTGAACTGTTCTTGGTCTGCTCAATCTGGTGAAGTAGCTGGGCACCTTCGGCCCTTCGATTGCTGACGAAAGATTCAACATTCTTCTCCAAACTGTCGACACTGTCCTTCATTTCCTTGTAGAAGCTCTGAGCTCGTACAAGTCCCTGTATGAGGTCCTCGTGAGCATTGAACACCCTGCGGTACCTACTGAGGACGCTGTTTCTGCTCTTCTGTATTACATCGTATTTCTGCTGGTCCGAACGAACTCTCTTGTCCTGCAAGAGATCACCGTAGCTCTTCGTCAGATCCTTTAGGAGAGAAGATTGCTTGTGTACAGTCGAGATCAGGCGGTTTTGGTGAGAGCGGAACTTTTCCAATTCAGCCTGGAACAGTTGAGTTTCCTGGTTCGCTATCGCTTTCTTGTTCAGAATGAGAACATTCGAGATGTCGTCCGTATGAACTTTCTCTTTGAGATCTTTTAGGACCTGCATTCTCTCACGCTTTACCAGACTGAGTTTCCGCAAGAGATCTTCCACCTTCGCAATCTGTTCTGCGACCGACGGGCCGCCTTCACCGTAATCCTCATCGAGCAGAGAGCCTTCCTGGGATTCTTTGCCTTTGCCCTTGGATGAACTCCCGGCTTTGATCAAAGCTTGTTGGTAGAGTACATCGACTTCACCCTGCTCCGCCGCTCTTCTCATCTCCTCAAAATCACTCTCGTACTGCCGAGCCGTGGCGAATAATTGCGAGTCACTTGAGCCGGCCTCATCAATCGTGTCGCGGTAGCTTCTGATATCGGCTCTCAGCGTCGAGGTCAGTCTGGAACTGGGCTGCTGTGTCCATTCACCTCCATATTTTGACCTCATCTTCTCGCAAACGCCCTCCTCCATGTCGAGCTGTTTCGTGCTCTTGGAAAGACTATCCAGGACCATTTGCTTGTCTCTATGGAGATGCTCAAAAGCACTGTTAAAAGGCTGCTGCTGCGAGACCTCCTGACACCAGCGTTCAAACTCTTTGTCGATGCCCATTTCTTGATCCAACCCGCCTTTCAGGATATTCAAGCTGTCCGGAAGCTTGAGATAGTCCAAGCTTGCAGCCATTTCCCCATTTGCTTGCTCTACCTTTTCAGCTTCTGATCGGATTAATTTGGCCTTTTCCTCGTCGTACATGCTGGCCGACTCTGTTACCGACATAGGCACGATCTTCTGAAAAAGGTCTGGCCCAATGATTCTTTGTATATCTTGTCCCTGATATAATTCCGAGAGTGGAATCGCTTTGGCTGCTGGGACTTTTGTAACGGGCGACAATGAAGCTTCTGCCGGTACTGTCTGGTGGTAGATGAAATCGTTGTCTTTGACTAGAGATGACAACTTTTCCTGTACCGTTTCTAGCTGTCTTCGCGTGATTCCCTGCAGGGTTGTGGCAGTATCCGCACCCAATTGTGATGACGTTGAAGGGGTTGAAGGGAAGGCTTTGGCGTACGAAAGCGCCTGCTTGCTCGCCTTCTCAGCGACTTGTAATCGAGCAATTGCGGAGCCGTGGAGATTGGTCTCGTCTTCTGTTAGTGCCTGGTAGTATTCGGCCAAGGATGATAGATGTAGAGCCTTGATCTGAATGAACTTCAACCACGTATAGTCGAACACACCACGGACACTTTCTGCTTCGAGTCCTTCCTTGGCCTGACCGAAGAGGAATTGAGCCTGTGCAGAAAGCTTTGCTAACAGAGCCGGCTTTTTTGCATCGCGAACTTGTTTCTCTAGAAAGACTTCCTGGGCTTGACCCAACATGATATTTATCAGTGTCTTGACAGTATCCCTATTGAGGTCGGTGGACGGCGCATGCAGGAAATTTTCGTTGATATAAGTGAACATGCCTGCGGACGCCTGGAATGAGTGATAGGCAGTCTTAAGATCTTTGTCCTCCGACCGGTTTTGCGCGGCTGCATGGCAAGATAGAACAGCTGATATGTTGAAGATGACGGAGGCCTTCTCAAAAGCAAGCGAGTATTGGGAGGTTGTGGTATGCGTGAAGGCATCGTACCAGGTGAAAGAGATCTTGATGTGGTTCTCGTCAACGGGGAAGCGCAGGTCCAACAGCTCGAGTTGTCCGTAATATCTGTAGAGCAGGTCTCTCCCCGATGCCGAGTCATTTCCTGCCCCTCTCATGTCCTGCCTGAGCCTGTTGAGGGTTGCCGTCTCTTCAGAGTACTTCTCAGGGTCATCTCCATACGAGGTACGGATATAATTCTTCAACGGGGTGACCCAGTCTATCTCTTGTGTCTGCTTGAGCGGACATGATAACATCGGCGCCTGCACCATCTTGGTTGTCGAGGTTCGCAAGAGTAGGTGGTGGGATGGAAGATCGGACGGGAGGCGCAAACACGACAGATGGATGTCGGATGCTAGATGGCAAGTGGAATCATGGTTTAATGAACTATGGTGAAGGCTGGCAGATTTGCAGGTAACCGCCAAAGTCGAGTGATCGAGAGTTACAAGTGATGGCAGAGTGGGGGATTGAGTGAGACGAAGCGCAGAGGCGAGTGCGTCGACCCCCATACATCACCACAGTAAACAACACGAAGGACTCGCAGAATCCGCAACATCTTCAGCCTGATCTTCTCTTTCAACATTTATGTCCATGTTAATCTGTCTATTATCGTCCAGTATGTAATGGTACACTGAGTTGATGGGTATTCTGTCTCTTTTACAGTCAGGTCAATACTACAGTATGTAAGTATACACTTTTCAAGAACCTCAAGTACCAAAGGCACGCATAGACACGCAAATGCCAAAACCCGCTCTAGATGGCATACACCCCTGGAGGTCATCATCATCGCCGTCGCTATGAAGTATAAATTCAAGACTGAGAAACGGTGGACACGAAGAAAGGAGGAATCTACCCAGATCCTGACGCCTTCTTCGGCTCGTCATCGTCCTTCGAGTCCGCCTTGTCCGCCTTGCCCTGAGAGCCTTTCTCGTCAGCTTCCAGGTTGTCATGTTGATGGGTGAGTCTATGCCATGCAGATTTGAGGAAGCCCTCGTTCTTGTGATCTGCAGCCTTGTTGGATGGTTTCGAGTTGGTGTCCGAGGATGTCTCCCTGAACGAACGGTAAGCACTTTTCAACAACCAACCAAGCGGACTTACTTTTTGAAAGAGTCGATGTTCATAATCCTCTTTGCGGTCTTGTCGCCCATCTCGTCCGCCAACATTTCCAAAAGAGTTCGCTGGTTGGCGGATAGATATTTGGGCATGTTGACCTTGAACTCGACCCTCAGATCACCTGAAGCATCCCGCCGCCCACCAAGGCGCTTCATGCCCTTGCCAGGTAATGTTATCTTGTCACCAGTACCAGTTCCGGTTGCGATCTTCACCTTGACCTCCCCATCTAATGTCGGTACCGTGACTTCGCCTCCGAGAAGAGCGGTAGTAAGAGGTATTGCAGCGGTATAAAGCACGTCCGCTCCATTCCGACTGAATCTTGCATCCGGTGCTACACGGATGAAGACGTAGAGATCTCCGCGGACACTTCGAACATTCGCTCCCACGGCCGCACCAGTTGGGGCCGCATCACCTTCTCCGGAAACTCGGAGTCTCATACCATCTTCAACTCCTCCCGGAATGTCGACTTGAACCGTCTTCCTTTGTCGTATTACTCCATTGCCAGCACAAGTATCGCACTCTGAACCCCTGGGAATGGTCACGCCGCTTCCTCCACAAGTGGAGCACGTACTCGACATGTGAAACCCTTGTTGCATCACATGTACGCGAGTCCCAGTGCCGTTACATGATTTACATTGTTGCTTCTGGGCTCCTTTTTTCATTCCACTGCCTTTGCAGGTGCCGCATTCAACAAGAGGCGTAATGGTGATGTTCTTAGTTACGCCCTTCGCAGCGTCCATAAACGATATGTTGGTCTGAACTTCAATATTGTCTCCTTGTAATATCTCTTCTTGGAAAGGGGATCTTCCTCTTCGGCCACGACGACTACCCCCAGTAAAGGCACCAAAAAGGTCTTCGAAATTGAACTCGGCTCCGAATCCTCCACCAAAACCACCAAAAGGATTTCCCCCTGCGGCGCCTCCGAAGGGGTTTCCGCCGCCTGCAGCACCGGGGTCGAAACCAGCGCCCTGATCGAAAGCTGCTGCTCCAAATTGATCATAAGCAGCCTTCTTCTGGGGGTCGTTTAACAGCTCATAGGCTGACTGAGCATCTGTAAACTTCTCCTTTGCGCCAGGGTCTTTGTTCGTGTCCGGATGATACTTCTTAGCCATAGCATAATAGGCCTTCTTGATCTCTGATGCAGTCGCGCTCTTCCCGACACCTAGAGTTGCGTAGGGATCTTTTGTCGCTTGAAATGCCGAGGTAGCGGAGAAGAGTCGTACGTGTGGTGAAGAACATCGTGGAGAACGAGAGCACGGAGGAAGGCGTGATGAAGGTCTCTTAGGGACTGCTGAGTTGTAGAATGCCCTTGTCTGAGCTTTGCGTGTGAGGCTTGCGCTTGGTTGCGGGCATGGTATTGAAGACCTGATTAATCGAGGAGCCGAGTTGGCCCAGGCGGCGCCGGCCGCACTCATCTGGATGGGGTTGCTTTCAACCAAGAGTCGTCTTCACGTTAAGGTATCGTGTATCACAGGGATCCAAATTGTACAAATGCAGGACATCAAAATAGTTCGTCAGAGGAGATGCTTCCCGCTTTGAGCATCGGGAACATTCTCGTCGCTTTTCGCGGCTCTCCGAAATTTTGCTCGGCGCAGTTTCCTTCTTTGCCAACGCCGCCTCTAGTGAGAGAGCATGATCTATTACGCATGCGAAGTGGCACCTGGGTCGAGCAGTGAGGTCCTCCTGCACTCAAACACGATTAGACACCTTCTCTTCCTCTCGGGCAACAGCTGTCCTACCGTCTAAGATCTCCAGCTAGGACCAGGACGACCTTGGAACGAATTGAGCTGTTGGACACCTGCGAGCTCTCTCCCTTTATCTCCGGACTGCTCATTTGCCGCAGAGTATGCTCCGCGGTCAAGCAGTATCATGGCGAACAGCCCTCCGGACGGGCCAACGCACCATATGTAGAGATTGTCGGCGCCAACTCCTCCAGAGAGGAGGTCTATATGCTTCCGCGACCCCTCCAAATCCCTCACCGCGACCTTTTCTGAGCACCCGATCTGGATTACAAATACGAGAGTTCTCCTCCCATCCAGTCCGTCGAAAAGAGAAACCCCCGGAGGACGAGACATCACCTCAGCCGGAAGGTGCAGACGCGAAATCAAAAAAGATCGAGAATGAGTTAGACGAAGCACCGCAAACCGAGGACAGTGCCGAAGCGAAAAGATCGCCTTCCGAGCCTCAACCTATACCCCAACCTTCTAGCGATGGGAAGCCTGCAGCAGGCGGAAATGGCGGAGAGTCTTCAGGAGGCGGACAAGGCTCCGGAAGCGGTGGTGACGGCGGCAAGCGAGGACGAAAGACCACTCAAATATCGAAGCCTACTGTGCCGGAGATATACCCTCAAGTGATGGCAATTCCTATTGCCAAACGACCTCTTTTTCCAGGCTTTTACAAGGCAATCACGATCAGGGATCCAAATGTGGTGGCGGCTATTACAGAAATGATGAAACGAGGCCAACCGTACGTGGGAGCGTTTCTGTTCAAGGACGACACTGCGGATAAGGACATTATTGAGAAGATCGACGACGTCCACGATGTCGGAGTATTCGCCCAGATTACCAGTGCATTTCCTGTGCATGGAGATGACCAGAGTTTGACTGCCGTACTATATCCCCATCGTCGGATCAAGATGACCGCCCTTCTACCTCCGTCCACACCGGGAGAACAAGCTCCGTCAACTGTTGAAGTCCAACCTGTTAAGGAGGGCAAACCGAAGGCAGAGGCTGCCGAGAGCAAAGGCGATGTGGTGGCGAGCTTCGAGGAGCCCAACAAAGAGCAAGCACAAGCAACACAACTGAGCGTCTACGAGCCAACTGCATTCCTCCGAAAGTTCCCTGTGTCTTTAGTCAACGTCGAGAATCTCGCCGAGCAGCCGTATGAGAAAAAGAGTGACGTTATCAAAGCTCTTACGGCAGAGATTGTCAATGTCTTCAAAGAAGTTGCTACCCTCAATCAGCTTTTCAGGGATCAGATATCTGACTTCAGCATGTCTCAGTCCGCAGGCAATGTTCTTGAAGAGCCTGCGAAGCTGGCCGATTTTGCTGCTGCCGTTTCTGCCGGCGAGATCGATGAGTTGCAGGACGTTTTACAGACAATGAATGTTGAAGAGCGCCTGCACAAAGCACTTGTTGTCCTGAAAAAGGAGCTCATGAACGCCAAACTTCAGAACAAGATCACCAAGGATGTGGAGAGCAAGATTCAAAAGAGGCAAAGGGAGTACTGGCTCATGGAGCAGATGAAGGGTATTCGGCGAGAGCTGGGTATTGAATCTGATGGCAAAGACAAGTTGGTCGAAAAGTTTAAGGAGAAGGCACAGAAGCTTGCCATGCCGGAAGCCGTCAAGAAGGTGTTCGAAGAGGAGCTTAACAAGCTGGCCCATCTCGAGCCTGCAGCTTCAGAATTCAATGTCACGAGAAATTACCTTGATTGGATTACCCAGATCCCATGGGGCCAAAGAAGTGCTGAGAATTTCGGTATCAAAAACGCCATGACCGTACTTGATGAAGATCACTATGGACTGAAGGACGTCAAGGACCGGATTCTTGAATTCATTGCGGTGGGCAAGCTTCGCGGCACGGTCGAAGGCAAGATCTTGTGCTTCGTTGGGCCACCTGGTGTCGGCAAAACCTCAATTGGAAAATCGATTGCTCGAGCTCTGAACAGGCAATACTACCGCTTCAGCGTTGGTGGTCTTACTGACGTTGCTGAGATCAAAGGCCATCGTCGAACTTATGTGGGTGCCTTGCCTGGTAGAATAATACAGGCCTTGAAGAAATGCCAAACGGAGAATCCTCTGATCCTCATCGATGAAGTCGACAAGATCGGTCGTGGCCACCAAGGAGATCCATCGTCTGCCCTACTCGAATTGCTCGACCCTGAACAGAACTCAAGCTTTTTGGATCACTACATGGATGTGCCCGTTGACCTCTCCAAAGTTCTGTTTGTCTGCACAGCTAACATGACGGACACCATCCCACGCCCTCTCCTTGACCGTATGGAACTGATTGAGCTCAGCGGCTACGTTGCTGATGAGAAAAAGGCCATCGCCGATCGATACCTGGCGCCGCAAGCGAAGGAGATTTCCGGGTTGAAGGAGGTGGACATTAAACTCGACGAATCTGCCATTGAAGAGTTGATTAACAAATACTGCCGCGAGTCAGGGGTGCGCAACCTCAAGAAACAAATTGAGAAAGTATACCGCAAATCTGCGCTCAAGATCATTCAAGACCTGGGTGAAGATGTCCTTCCAGAGTCAAAAGCGCTCACTGAAGAAGGCAAAGCTGCGCTCGAAGAGAGCAAAAAGGACGACTCCGATGTCAAGGACACCCCCGAGAATATTGAAAAGGAGACAACAGAGCAACCGCGTGTTGCGCTGAAAGTCCCTGATTCAGTACATGTGACGATCACAAAAGACAATCTGAAGGACTTCGTCGGACCACCGGTCTTCACATCAGACCGTCTGTATGAGAAGACGCCACCCGGTGTCGCTATGGGCCTGGCTTGGACTAGTATGGGTGGTGCTGCACTGTATGTTGAATCGATCCTGGAATCTGCGCTGTCACACTCCAGCCGTCCTGGACTCGAGCGTACGGGCAATCTGAAACCAGTCATGAAGGAGTCAACGTCGATTGCGTATTCATTTGCTAAGCACGTCATGGCAACCCAATTCCCCGAGAATCTCTTCTTTGACCACGCCAAGATTCATCTCCATTGTCCCGAAGGTGCTGTTCAGAAGGACGGCCCGTCCGCCGGTATCACCATGGCTACGTCTCTGCTCAGCCTGGCAATGAAGCAGCAGGTCGATCCAGCGCTCGCCATGACAGGTGAACTCACCGTTACCGGAAAAGTGCTCCGGATAGGTGGACTACGTGAGAAGACAGTGGCAGCAAGACGTGCGGGATGTTCGAAGATTTTGTTCCCCAAGGACAACTGGGGTGATTGGTGTGAACTGCCCGAGGTGAGTTAGAGTTACCTTCTTCTTTGCCCTTTCAATTTTCTTTTGTTGTTTGTCGAAGCACTCGCATGCTGACCATTGGTTTGAATAGAACATCAAAGAAGGCATCGAAGGCCACGCGGTCGACTGGTATAGCGACGTTTTCGACATTGTTTTCCCCGACGCCAAAACCGAAGTGATCAACAATTTGTGGAAGGATGCCTTAAAAAAGTCCAAGGACGATAAAGAGAAGGATAACGATGAAGAAGATGGTTGATTGAGTGCCTCTCTAACCCTACGCACTCTGAAAACGCACGGCACCAGTTGATACTGCTGAAGAGAACATCCAATTCGAACAGAGGCATGCTAGAAGCGGATTTGGCATGTGCCTTGACGCCCAGAGGATTTACGTTTAGAGCGGGCGTTTGGTACTGGTGTTCCGAGTCATCAACGGCATTCTTACGCGGGAGTATTTACCATCTGGCCGCCGATCTCACCTTGACCCGGCGCCGTGGCACTTTTATACCTGGATATGCTCGATTCGATACACGCCTTTAGCATCTAAGAGAACAGTCGCCTCAAGTTCTAAGATTTTAGTCGTGGCCCATGCATATTTGGAGTCGAGTGCGGATGAGTTTGGTGTGTTCTTTTCGCATCTTTCCTAGCTCTCCATCTGTGGACGATGTGGGAGTACGTGTGTCTGTGTGTGTGGCAATGTATATCATGTTTCAACAAAAGGTTGGGATTAGAATCTTCGCTCTGCCACCTCCCAACAATTTGGGGGAGTGGTTGTAGAATATGATGTGGTCTTGGAGAATGAAAGGCATTCGATTGTTAGATATGGAAATATGCATCATGGCATGTAGCTAGGTATCTACTGCCTCTAGGGAGTAGGTATGTTTGCTTGTCAGACGTAGAACACGACTACTCATCTATGCCTTTGATTCGGCTTCTATGCTAAAACTTGATAGACCTCCAAGTTAGAGACTGTGGGCTCCATGCATTTCGCCTCTGTACTCCTGTCTCTGCTCCCGTACCTAGTAATTCGTATCGCGTAGTTCATCCTTATGCTGCCTGGCACTCATCCGTAACCGCCTTCATCTTCATCATCATCATCACCTTCTTCTTCTTCTTCGTCGGACGATATAGGAATTGCATCCTCTGAGCCTCTAATGATGGCGTGTCTATAGCTTCTCAGCAATGCCGCTTCGTGTGCGTCGAGAATCATTTCGTCGTCGTCGTCATTATCTTCTTCCTCTTCCTTCTTTATAATGATTTCTTTCTCGAGCGTCGGAAGTGTCGGCAGTTTGGGTTCGGCGTGGACCGACGCGTCGGCCTTACCGTTCCTCTCGTCGCCGTCGCCGTCGCCGTCGTCGGTTTCCTCCTCGTCTTCGCTGTCGGCTATCTCTGTGGCCTTGCGCTTCTTCGGCTGAGGAGGCTGTGATATTTCGTCGGGCAGGAGAGGGAGATGGATCTGTGGAGGGCGACGCTGTTCCTCGGTGCCGTGGAATGCGTTGAAGATGTCCTCTTCCTCTTGATCGTGCGGTTCGGGGGGATGCAATTGTCGCAGACCGTCTGCCAGAATGACAAAAGCCACCGGAGGCCCGCGGGTTTCCTTCCGGCCCAGGCGCTGCACTTCGGCATACCGAAGCGCTCGCGTTTCAAGCTTGGACAGTTGGGGCTCCTGGTCTTTGTCTGGGAAATCGCGGTAGAGCATGATTCGCGTGTTGATGGCCGTATCCCATGCTTGGCTGGACAGCGCTGGCTTGAGCATGGCCTTCTGTCCCGTCTTCAGGCTGATGGTCGAGTTCGTCAGCGCCAGTATTGCGAGACGTCCGAGGGTTGCCATTTTGGACATGGCCGCCCCGAGGCTCTCGATGATCTGGAATCTCCGCCCGGCGGCTCGTTTCTCGAACTTCTCCTTGACCACAGCTGGCGCCCCGGGCTTCAGGTGTTTTGCGCTTCGGGAGAACGAGCCAAGGATCAGATTCGACAGGTCGTCCACTACGATCAAGCTTGTCTTGCTACCGGGGAGCGTCTGGCTCGGGTGTAGGAAAATAGTAAGAAGCCTTGGTAGAGAGTGTGCTTCCAGGTACGTGAATCTCTCGCTGACCAGAGTTGCGGTGTCTGGAGGATTAAGAGCGCCCGGAGGAGACAACTTGGGGTCCTGGGTTTGCCGGTGACCAGCCATCAACTGGCGAAGCCTGTTCGGCGTGAGTGGCGAGCCACAGTTGATCCACAGGACATGAGATTCGTCGTGGGTGGAAGTCATCGCGTTGGTGGCAACTTGAAGCCCGAAGGCCGTCTTGCCCACTCCTGGAGGGCCGAAGATCTCGGTGACACATCCTCGTTGGAGCCCTGGTGTAGCCAGAGACAGTTCGTTGGGTAAGAGCAATCCATCCAGGGTTGGGAGGCCGGTTGAGATGCTTTTCGCCTTCTCGGACGCAAGCTTGAGAGCTTCGACTCCTGATACAGTGGGCAACCGATGCTGAGTCGGCGAGAAGTTGTGGACATCAGGTCCGGGATCGTCCATATTGAAGGGGATTCAATGCTGTCCATGGCATGTTGGGCATCAGCTCAGTTCTTTCTGCAGGTCTATCAGATAGATGGGTATAGGAAGCAACAGCGCCTTGGAAGCAGCTGTGGCAAGCGATCTCTGTTTCTCACAGTCAAGTGTAGTCGCGTATGACTTTACTCGATCATACTGGGGAATACTTTTTCCTTCTCGGCGACAATTCACCATCAAAACGAACGAAGCACGAGCAACGACGCGTCGATTTCAAATGACACTAATCGAGGTTGAATGACATGAAGCTAACCCACTTGGGCAAGCCTCGTATGCTTTTGTCGATTTGCGCTTCATTTGCCATACTATGATGCAGGTACCTCGGGCGGTTCTTCTGCCTCTGCCACCCAGTGTCAATCGTGGATGTGTTGTTTAATGAGCGCATTCTCTTCTACCGTGTTTGTTAACGATCAGGACAGCGTTGCGCTTGTCATGGCACGCTGATTCAGGGGACCAAGGTCAAGTGCAGGCATGCCTCGCCGTGCCCACGCACAGACTCGTCGATTTCGGACGCTGGCGAACAGCGGACAGCGGTAGCAATGTGGAGGGTACAAGCTCATAATGCCGTCTACAGTCTGGACCATACATTGTACCTCTCAACCTCACAGCGGTCGATGTCCACCTCGAACACGAGTGTGCGTACCATTAATATGCCGGCACCTAGCCGAACGGACAAGTCCTTCTCCAGTTCTCCCCTCGCAATATGTACCGCTTCTTCCATTATCATGTTCAAGTGTTAGTAACGGCGGGTCTCGACAACCTTGCTGCTGGATGTTACCTGACGCTGATGCTGTAGCGTGGGCATCCTCTTCAAGTCGTCTGACAGCAGCTTCAAGCTTCCCACCCCAGAAGAAGCGTCCCAGGATTTCTCGCAGGTCATCCCACGATTGCACCTCGGGGAAAGCGTCCCAGAACTGAGCCATCAGCTGCGTCCCCTTCTCTGTCGGCTTGTCCTCCTCGTTCCAACTATCGATAAGAACCCACCAGATCCACATCCAGCAGTGTCTCTGAGATTCCGTGAGGGTCTGGCGGTCCAGTAGCACGATTTCCCCCGCCATCAGCGCACGCGGCCCACTGTACAGTGCCAGGCCCTTGTGGCAGACTCTCTGCGGAGCGAACTCGTTCGCCGTGTACAGCATGAGCGCGAGGCAGAGGTACTTCTCCAGGTCCAGACCGGCGCGGGAAATTGCCGGACAACATTCCCAAAAGTCGCTGTATCGGCCAACCTGCCAAACTCTGCCGGTGGTGTTGTCATTATTGTTATTGTTATTTTTATTCCTTTTGCCATGGTGCTGCTCGCTGTTGTGGGCCAGTGACGATTGTTCCGTCCGTGCGTCGTCGATACGGAGGAGGAGCTGGATCGTGTTGGAGTATAATCGTGTCTGAACAATCAGATTCTGAAACCCACGCGGCAATCTCTGGAGATCGATACTGAGATTGGCCTGGAATTGACCGGGGCTAGTAAGAGGTGGTGCCTCGGGTAGAAACTGTCGAGTGTTGTAGAAGAAAGGGTCGGCGGTAGCGGCGGCTGCTGCGAGGGCGGCAACAGTGGTCGTACTCGTCGTCGGGTCGGAGAGCGGGCAGGGGTAGAAACATAATGAGAGGGGGATAGAGCAGGGAGGAGCGAATTGCAGGGTCAGTGCTTTGACGAAGCCTTGAGAGCCGGTATTTTGAAGACCGCCGCGAGTCTTCATCATTTCTATGATTCTCTGTCGGTGGATCTGGTATCCTGCATAGTCACCTACGGCACGCTATAACGATCAGTCGTTAGTTCAGTGCTGCAAAAACTTCGGTCCGATGAGCCTTGTAAAATGGGGAGGCACATACTGCATAGGATGCTAGGCAGACGATGGCTACAAATGTAGCATCGTCGTTCTGGTCGGGGTGCTCGGATAGGAGTTTCCGCAACAGTACTATTGCGGCCACCGTGTGCTGAAGCGCATTTTGAGAGGAATTGGTCTGTGGAATCACGTTTCCCACCACCAAATGCAACAAGGCAAATGCAGCATGGTATAGATATTGAGCTGAGGAGCTTGCAACGATTTCGAGAAAGTACTACCAGAAATGCAGGTTGAGCAAAAACCTTGTCTCCGAGGCAGAAAGGCGGCACTTACCAGGCAGTTGACATTGCTGACTTGGAAGATGTTGTAGACTGGAAGGTTGTTTGGGACAAGGACTCGTATGACTGGTTTGGTGATTAGTTTACGTTCCGAGTTTGAAAGGATTCATTTGTGATGCGAGAGCCGTACAGTATTCCATAGCCCGATAGAAATTCGGTGGATGCCGCTGGCCATCGATCGATAGCTTTGCAGGAATACTGAATTGTTTGACCTGGACAACAGCGGCCTTCAAAAGCGCTATAACGGTCCGGGGACTTTCAGCGTCTTCAACTTCATAGCCTTTTTCGACGGGTGATTGTTCAGGGCCATGAGGAAATGGGTCTAGACGGACTTTGGCAGACTGCAGAACACGGGCCTCTCGTCGAAGATTCCTCAGTCTTTCTGACTTTGCCCACTTTCTGTAGACACTCGATGTGTGGGAGCCCACGGCGAATGCTTCTGCTCGGGTGCGGCTGAGGTTCGTCGCATCTCTGTTGACAAACAGAAGCGGAGGTCCTGGATCGGTTTGGCTGTCTTGACCCATTGCCTTCGTGTTCCTTCATACCTCAAGATGCGGATTTGGCGGTCGCTGGTCTGGTAGGATCTTATCGAGGGCTGCAATCATGTTTCCGGCTCATGAGATGAGTAGTGGCGTTTGGGGTTTGCTGCTGACCAAGAAACGCGCAGAGAATTAGGCACAGCCCCCAAGGGCCAAGGAATATTAATAATACAACAGCGTTGCGTCCTCGTAGATGCTCGAAAGCGGCCGAAGTAAGAGGAGCCCAGCAAAGTGCTTGTGAAGCGGACTTGTAACTCTGTTCTGGAAATGGAACCCCATCCCTGATTCGCCGAGAGTGTTCGGAAACGCAGCATGTTTTTTCCGGTGAGACGCAGACGAATTATTCAGCGAATCAGCTGATAACTCAGCAACGACACGGGGGGTGGTGGTGGAGAGATACCGCGCGATCGGGGGCGATTCCCGGGAGATCAGGGGCCAAAGGGGCCACTGGTATTACTTCCTGGTATGCTCCGTATAGACGTTTCGTTCTCTTCCCTCGCAAAGGCCACCTGGATCCGGAAATACGGAGTCGCTGAGTGCCATGTCCCGCTGATGCATCTGCTTCGTAAAGACACCAGCACCACTGGTACCACTGGATCCTATAGCTAAGGCAAGGAGAAGCCGCTAAGGCAAGGAGAAGCTTTGGCGGGTCCCAACCATCCCTAGGTACTTTGGCTCATTTGATGTTTTTCGCTGCACATTCTCACTTCACTTTCACTATCCTGTTCATTCATTGCTGTAATATTTTGTATCGCTGGAAGAGTCTGCGCCACTGTATCAGTGTCCTCGACGACGTCAACCTGGGATGGCTGCCGTACACTCCAGTACGCCAAGGTACTGCGCATGGCATTACCCTTGCTACCTCCCCCTGGAGGGGCTCGCTGCCTTTTTGAGGGAACACGAGAGCGGCCCTGCTTACGGACCATAACTTTCAGAACTTGACCACAAGTGTGATGGGCCCCCGCCATGGCATTACAGAACGCCTTCCTACGTGACGAGCGAGATGGCGAGATGGGTCGTCGATGGAAAGCTGCTTCTTCGAACAGTGAACAGTTTGGAAGTGTCTTTGCAGCAACCCTTGCCGGACCAGCTCGACCAGCTGGCTTACATTGGGTGTCTTCATTGTATTCATGTTCCAGCTCTCGTCATGGACGCCATCGGGCACTTTGTCCGGCGCATGTTCGGCTATATTTTGCTCGCGAGGGCGAAGGCGGGATGAGATTCTATTGTCGTACTTCTACAAGCCGAGATCTCGAAGTTCTGTATAATAAGGGCCTTGGTAACATCGGCAGGCTTAACAACGTACTTCCACAGCGACACAGATGGCTACATTGTTGGGACTGGAGTTATCCCAAGGACCCGAAATATCGGTCTGTTTGCGACTATATCGGTCCTGACCACAAGCGTAGTCCTATCCAATCTCTTGTCACTGACGTCCCCCTGCAGCCACACTGTACCATTTCAGATCGAAGTCACAGCAGTCGCTGACACGTATTCTCTGGGATCCCGTTCATTCTCGGCGGTCATCTTGGTCACGAACAAGACAGAGAAGTCGAGAATACACAGGAGTGCTGCCTTTCGTGTCAGCAAGTTGACCTTGATGTACCCCGATAGTCTTCATCAACGCCCATTATTGAAGGAGTCAAGACCCTTGGGCCGAAAGCAATATTGTCTCTGGTGCCCCTAGAGAGTGAATCTTGATACTGCCTTCGGCAACGAGTATCGTCCTGAAGAGCCGCCCGTCAGGAATTGATGTGAGAGATGCGGAGCGATAGTCTCAATTCACAATCTGACGGTTTGTTCTGTGAATTGGATTGGTCGTTTTAGGTTTGCAGGAGTTATCGTCACACACAAAGTGCCACTTCACAAGTCTTTATTGGCTCGAGCTATAACGAGCTGTTGACTCGGCCCGGAAGCAGCTGCAGACTTCAAGGACCTGGATATGCGTGTCAGGTCATATGGTAAGAGACTGACAGTGACCCGAACATGGCGAGCTCGCTTCGGTCACAGCATGCGATCAGGTGCGGATTCTCAGCCTGCATTGGACGTTTACCGTTTATGCATTGTCGACTCGGTATTCACGACATCGTAGTCACAAATCTGAACTGCGGATCCTTGTCCATCACCCAAGAAATCGTGGAACGACTCTTACATGATGCGCATCTCTCAGCTTGATAAGACAGGCCCTCCTCGTACCAATACTGATGGAGCTGCTTATCAGGAGTCTTGTCATATCAACTTGGCATCGAAAAACTTCGACTGGCCCATTCGCGTAAGAAGAGGCGACGGCCAATCATGTTCAAGCTCGGCATGACGATGAGGCTCTGGGCAACAACTTGACATCGGCAAATCTCAGGGTTCATGAGCTTCTTGCAAGAATCAACCCTGGGCACACGACCATTCAAGAGTCCAGGGCCATGGCGCCGAGACTCTTCACGGAGGCCTCCTACGCCTTGGAGGCATCACTCTCGTGTGGGAGCGGCCGTGATTCCTATCGATACATCTAGCTTTTCATCGAGGAGCTCAAGCCATGTCGAAGTATTTATAGAGGGCGCTTCCAGCCTCTCGTCACGAAGGCGACCATGCGACGTCAGCAGATCGAGATCAATCTTGACGATATCTTGAGCTTGGTGAAGGCGACCTTGATATACAGCAGATCTTTCCCCATCTCGACAAACCGGGGACTTATCTAGGAGCATCTCTCAGCGATCTACAGTCGATAAGCGAGAGCATATTTTTCCCTTCTGACGTTGGTTGATACCTACGAGAAGGGATATAGAGGTGGCTTTGCCAGCGCTTGACTTTGCTTCCATACTGGAATATCCTCACAAGCTCTTCACAACTCCATCGCCTTCAGTTGTCTCATCCTCACCATGGAGCCTGACCGTATCGGACCCGACACCACGCCCAAACGTCCTTTCATGGACAGGGCCAAGGATGTCCCACGCCGTATTGTTCGAGGGCTTACCACAAGGGACGGTCTCATCGGTGACTACGACTATGCATTCCTTTTCAAACCGAGCCTGCCGTTTATGAAGAAATCGAAGCAAATGGCGCCATTCTTCGCCTTGAACGACAAGATGCCCATCATGCTGGCTCTCCTCCTTGGATTTCAGCATGCCCTGTCCATGTTGGCTGGCCTGATTACTCCACCTATCATCCTGTCGGGAACTGGCGGCGCAAACCTGCCAACCGAGACCGCACAGTACCTTGTATCAACGTCATTGATTGTCTGTGGTATTCTCTCCTCGATCCAGATCACACGATTTCACATCTTCAAGACCCCTTACTTTATCGGCACTGGCATCATCAGTGTGGTCGGTACCTCATTTGCTACTATCCCAGTTGCGCTGGGAGGTTTGGCCCAGATGTACGAGTCAGGTTACTGTCCTACCGACAGTGACGGGAATCGTCTTGCATGCCCAAGAGGCTACGGTGCCATCCTTGGAACAGCTTGCATCTGTGCCCTCCTCGAAATCTGCCTTTCATTTGCACCTGCCAAGGTGCTGAAGAGGGCTTTCCCTCCACTTGTGACGGGACCTACTGTGGTTCTCATTGGTATCAAATTGATCGAATCTGGCTTTGCGAACTGGTGCGTATACTCGACTTGCCCATTCGAAAGTGGTTATACTGATGGCAAAAAGGGCCGGAGGCTCCGGTACCTGCAGATCACGGCCAGAAGAAGGCCTCTTTCAGAACTGTCCTAATAACAATGCGCCGCACCCCTTACCTTGGGGCTCAGCGGAATTCATTGGTTTGGGGTTCAGCGTCTTTGTCACCATTATACTGTGCGAAAGATTCGGCAGTCCGATCATGTATGTCGGCTTTAGTTCACGCTCGAACCACCAAACGCTCATACTAACGATCACAGGAAATCATGCGCCGTCGTCGTCGGTCTGCTTGTTGGATGCATCATTGCTGCAGCTACGAACTATTTTGACGACTCTGGGATTAAGAGCGCGAAGGCTGCGTCCTTCATCTGGGTCGAGACCTTCCCGTTGTCACTTTACGGGTGAGTCCATCTGCCCTTGCGGCGATTGGTTCTATGCTAATCCATACTTAGTCCTATGGTGTTACCATTCTTAGCAGTATTTCTCGTACTCATGATGGAAGCCATAGGAGATATCACTGCCAGTTGCGATGTGTCTCGCCTTGAAGTCGAAGGGCCGCTCTTCGATTCTCGTATCCAAGGTGGTGTCCTCGCCGACGGATTGAATGGAATGCTCGCCTGCCTTTGCACCATCACACCAATGTCAACTTTTGCTCAGAACAACGGAGTCATCGCCCTCACGCGGTGTGCCAACAGGAAATCCGGATACTGCTGTTGCTTCTGGCTTATTGTCATGGGCATTTTCTCGAAGTTTGCTGCTGCTCTCGTGGCCATTCCGTCGTCGGTCCTCGGCGGCATGACTACGTTCCTATTCTCTGCGGTCGCCATCTCCGGTGTTCGTATCATCTCGACTGTACCTTTCACAAGACGCAACCGATTCATCCTGACAGCAGCCATGTCGGTGGGTTTTGGCGCCACATTGGTCCCTGAATGGTAGGCATATCCTCCCTTCAATGACAACGCCGGAGTACTTACTTGACATGTGCAGGTTCAATTATGTCTTCACCTACGAAGGTGACAATTCCGCTCTGCGAGGCTTCGTAAGTTTTTTCCCCAACCAATCTAATTGACATGAAAAACTCGTGCATGTGCTGATTTGGTCTCCAGATGAACGCCATAGAACTCGTCTGTGAGACCGGCTTTGCTGTCACTGCATTCTTGTCTCTGTTCCTGAACCTATTCATACCGGAAGAGGTTGATGACGACGTCGTCGATACCACGGCAAATCGAGTGGACGCAGCAGATGACAGCAAGGAATGGGAACGCATCCGAGGCCCGGGCCACGCAAAGTCTCTACGTCAGAGCGACGACCACACGTCAGCCAGTCCTGACGTCGAATCGAATCTAGGGCTGCAGCAGGGCCGAGTCGACAAGATGCAAACCAGCAAAGATGAGTAGAAAAGACAAGCTGGGGTCCTAGCACAATATGTTGATGCCTGCTTGTGTGGAGACTTCATGCAAGGTCTTGAAGACAAAGCATTGATGAGAGGGACCTGTCATGAGAATGATCCAGACCGCAGCCAAGAAATGCGCCATGAAATTCGAGCATTAGCGGTCTTCGTAATATAGGGGTAGCAGTGCCAGCAAGAGAGCCGCGGCCTCCATACGGTCTCCTTGGGTCGGGTGGAACGAGGCTGCCAAGGGTGATAGTAAAGGAAGAAACACTTCTTCAGCATAGTTAGTACATGATGATATCAAAGTCGTTGGAATGTACGGACTTCGTTGGATGTCTCATGCCGCGCGTATCAAACCCCTTGTTGCGTCAGCCTTATTCTCACGTACATGAAGGAGATCGACAACCAGATCACACCGGCCTTCGTTCTGCAAGCTGTCCTGAGTATTTATTCGTCAACTCCCGGCTTCCCGTCAGATGCATAAATTGTAGCAGCCTATAGAAGGGCATCGAGCACTGATCGCTGTGGCTCAGAAGAGCGCCGTACGTATGTGCTTCGTTTTGAGTGCGCCCACCAGCCTTGGCTGTGTCCCCTGAGGCCCGACTCGACCCCTGTGCACCACACAGGTGGATTGATCCAAGTGATACGAGATCTTGCCAATGTAGATCGCGAGCCAGGATGAGCACAGCATAGACATACCAAGGCATTCCAAGCATTGAACAATCTGGAGAGACAACCTTGGCACCGGCAGAGAAAGGTGGTTTGAGGGCTTGGTAGTTGTGCTATGCCCAAACAAGGCCCCCCAGAGGGGCACTTGGCGCCTCTAAGCACCGCCTAGAAAATGCCACTAGAGCCCCAGAGCGCCGGCTCTCTGCGGGTCCCGGGAGCTGCAGCTTTACCGAGCTTCAGGCGGGTCCAAGTGGACTCACTAGGCGGCAAATTCCTCTCTCCGCCGCCGTCACCACGACCCATCACATCGTTTCTCTCTTCACCACCACCACCAGACAATCCCCAAGTTTTCCCGTGCTCCAGGTCGTTTTTAGTTCCAGCCTTGGCTGCATTCCCCTCCGAACGCCGACCTCCCGTCGTCCCTCGATCACAACACCCAGACAAGAAACCGATCCTTACGTTCGCAGTCTCTTCCTGTCCTCCCTCCCTCCTCTCTGAACGCTCCCATCCCAAATGCCCATTGTCCCGACATGAATCCTGTCGCGAGTGAGCTTGGCTCTATCTCGAACCGTTACTGCAGCTTGTGCCTTTTCCCTACCGGCGCCTCAACAGACGCCCTACAATCGGCGCGGAGAGAAGCAGCACCGCGCTCTGCAATGGTCCATTGGCATATTTCTCGGTGACCAAGCCTCGAATCCGATGTAACGACATAGCCGACGCTTTTGCTCTCCCTTGTGCTTGAGTAGAGCCCTCCGGCGACCCCCTCCCCCCACCTGCGAAGGTGCTGGACATCCTCCCGCAGTCATGTTCGAATGTTTCAGTAGCAATGACATCGAACCTGTAGACGAGTACGATCAGATTCCATTTGGCCTCAAATGGCGCATGCACTGGGGCAAGAAAGAGACGGATCCCGCTACAGGCGAGGCGGTGCTCAGGCTGAGCAACACCAAGATTCTCAAGACACACTGCATAAACACCGAGTACCAGGCTCTCAAGCTCATAGATCGCCACACGTCAGTTCCCTGTTACAAAGTGCTCGCCGTGTACAATAGACCCGAGGGCAAGGTGGTCGAATATGAGGCATACCCGGGAAAACCTCTAGAACAAGCGTGGCCTGGGATGTCGGCACATCAGAAGAACAAAGTCATAGCCGACCTAGGTCGATTCGTCGAGCAGCTGCGGAAAATGCAACCACCCAAACAATGCGTGGTCGGGGATGCTACGTTGGGCGCTGCACTCGATCATCGATTTGGCTCGGGCAGGATAGGTCCCTTTTTCTCCATCGCAGCGTTTCAAGAGTTTGAGAGAAGAGGGCACAAGCCGCAAGATTTCCCCGAAAGTGAGGTGCAGAAGGTGCATGTGCCCCCGAAGCCCTACTCGCTCAAGTTCACGCATGCCAATCTCTGCCCCAAGAACATCCTGGTCGACGAGGCTGGAAGAATAGTGGCGCTGATCGGTTGGGAGTCGTCTGGGTGGTATCCGGAATATTGGGAGTACACGCAGATGTGTCACGCTACGCCGAAGACGATGGGCGATTGGCTCGATGCCATGTGTCAAGTCGTGCCTCGATATGACCAAGAATTGATTTGCGAGGAAGCTTTACGGGCGAGATATAGTGGATCAGTCTATGACTTACCACGGAGTATACGAGCCCCAAGTCCATCGCCAAGTGAATTGAATGCCGAACAACGGGAAATCGACGATAAGAACACCGAATCTACAAGCGGATGAGTATAGAGAGGCGAATGGCAGGGGGGTTATCGCCGGGTTTATTATTTGTTGGGGAGACTTTGTTGGTGTGGCTGAGAATTATCAGGGCTTGGGATTCTGATCGAAGATGAAATTCTCTGATCTCGAACACAGCTCGTCACTTTCAGCTTTGGTGGTACAGATGTCTTCGGATAGGTGGTTTGCGAATGCCCGGACAGGACGAGAAAGGTCTGAGATTTTGGCAGTTGCTGTCAGAGTGTTGCGGCGACTTTGAGGCATTGCAGATCAGATGTCTGCCTTACCAAGGCATGCCACGCAACGATTTATTCAACGACACCACACCATCCGTCCTACAAATAGGTACCTGGTCTAGACTCGTGGGACTCTCGGGACGAGTACCCTTAGACATTCTGAATACCTACCCAGGTATTACTGAACACATGGAACGAATGGATTTTTTTGGTTCTTGGTATGCACGAAAAAGTGCAACTGTGAGGACGGCAATCAGCATCTAGTCTAGATAGTTGTATTCGAACGTCTAACTAGAGTATGAGTTATGTCCAGAACTCACAGCCAAAATGGTAACCTTGAATGCTTGCAAAGTCTGTTTGCGAGTAAGATGATGTTTCCTAGAAGTACTTTTCGTGTGTGTGTGTGTGTGTGTGTGTGTGTGTTTTAGTTTACATGTGAAGAATGAATGCGACGTGGGTGTGAGAGAAAAACAATGTTGTGGGAGGGGGGGGGGGGGGGGGGGGGGGGGGGGGGGGGGTTACCGGGGCAAGGTACGCTTTTAGTATATAGCCGTATGTTTCAGCAAGGTATACTTTAACTAGTACATCTAGGTACTTGTACGTTTCAGAAGTCGACGAAAGGATGGAAAACTTCAAAAGGTGGTGTGGTATTTACTTATTAGCATGATACCTACATGCGGAATGCCAAGGTAGGTGGTGCTGAGGTGAAGAAAGGGTCTATCTGTGTATACTTGATGTAATACCACGAGTTGGCGTTGTTCAAGCAAAAGGCAAAGCATGCGTGCCAAACCGCGTCTTTCCTTCCCTCTAGTCTCTTTTCTTGTTTCGTTGGGTTCTGGTCTATATAACACTTGGTCTCTGGTCTCTGGTCTCTGGAAGAATGAATGGATGGAATTGAAATTCCTCGGAACCGTGACACCGAAATCTTGGGGCCTGAGGTCCTCTCGATTCCGCTCTCGTTCGTACACATACACACATACAACTTTCATCATTCATCCTGTGCGGGTTCACGATGTGGTGGTGGTGGTGGGCCAGAATGAAGGACTGAACTGGACTGAACTGAACTGGATGGACTGGACTGGATGGGCAAGGGTGGGTGCCGGAGTGATAGACAAGTCGATGTCTGTAACGAGGGAGGAAGCCCTGGGGGTTAGATATCATTCCCGCGCAAGCACAACGTGCTCAGTGAGTGAGTGAGTGACAGGTCACAGTGTCGACTTTTGACCTCTTTTCGTCCCTCTTTCTTTCATTACTCGTCGTATACCTCGCAGAAGAGCATGAAGCGAATGCATTCGTCAGGGGTGGTCTTCGTACGTCGCATCGTCGTGGCGCGACCATTGAGCAAAGTCCTCCGTTCTGGCCTTTGACTTCTAACCAAACCACCAACGCCCCCAATGTAGGGGTACCGGGCAGTGTTACCAAGTAGTAGAGAAACTCGTGACGGTAGGTAAGAGTAAGCCGAGGGTTGTGAAAATAACAACATCATTCTCTCCAGCAGATGCTTCGTTTTCCTTCAAGTATGCATGCGTGCGCGCCTGTGTGTGGGCGTGGCGGAATGACCCAATCAAATCTTGACCGACGTGGTTCTTGCGGTCGCTGTCCCAGAGAACCTCGAGACTGGGTTCCAGAACTCTTCGCGTGGAGACTCGGCGAGCCATCTCTTCATGCAGGCTGTTCTGTCGCCGTTGACGTTGACGTTTTTGGTGTGGGACGTCGAACCAATGTGACGAGGAGCGGCGATCTGCTTCTGGATGTCCATTTCTGCACCGTGACCGTTGCGACCTGCACGACCGCTTGTGCTTCCGCTCTTGACGCTTGCGGTGCTGGATGATGGCAGCTCTCCTGTTCTTGTTTGGGGTCGCGCGGCGCTAGTCACTCCGTAGAAGGCCAAGGTCGATGATGGGCTGTTGTTCAGTACGCCGACGACGGCAAAAGTAAAACAGTAGCCAAAAGTTCTTTGCAAAAACAGAGACGACTTTCTCGAAGAGCAATTGAAACGTGTCGAAGTGTCAAGGCGCGTTTTCCGTGGCGATAGATAGTTCTTGGTGATCGATTACCTCTCAAAACGCACGCCCACCCTCCAAAGAGAGGGCGGATGGCGGTTTATGTATATTCGCATTTTGTAGCGGTTCGACAAAAGTTCGTCTCGGTGGAAAAAGTCTATCCCTTTTGTATCGTCATCTCGTTCACTTACCTATCTAAGTAAAAGACACCGTTGGGTTTTTTTCTGGTTCTGCCCAAAATACGTAAGCAGAACTTGACCAGGGGAAGGTCAGAAAGAGAACTGCCCGTCTCGTCAGTCTCAACAGCACGATGTCTCCGTAACCCGAATCCGGGACTTTGCGTTGGACGTTCGGAGGCTGGATGTTTGATTTGACCCAGGTGATACGTGGTGACCCTCTACCTTGGACCTAGGGTTGACAAAGGTCCCCCGTGCACGAGCCAGCGCGTTTATTACTTACTATTGTTCAACCTGCCGTGCGGAGGGGGTGGGCAGGGACCACGGGAGGAAGAGGGTGTGTGAGTGGGCATGAGTGTTAGTGGTGCCTCATAAAGTCGGTGGGCTGAAAAACAGCGATGATGCCAAAAAGCTAGCTTTTGAGAAACAAGATACAGAGGTGAATGAGGGAGGTGCGAGACCGAGTATCAGAAAGTCTGAATACCAAAACATGTCCGGACACAGTGGCCGTTTAATGATTCTCGGTGCGTTCGGGAAGCGAAAGTCCCTGCGGGCAAGTCAGACTTTCGTTCGTCGCAGCGAGTTCGACTGCCCAAAGCAGCCGAGTGGGGCCGACCGAGGTTGAATATGTGGATACGCAAGGCACCTTGAGTAATGGATTTTTTGGGTCACCACAACGGTTTGAATAATATCTTGCTTAAATGGGTGTGGCCTCGCTTAGTGATGGCTCTACGCGATACCGTAATGTACAGGTCTTGCAGCTCGCCAGGAGGGACGACGGAGAAGGGATTTTTGACCCTGCAAGAGCCTCGTCGAGTCTATTTCCGCCGGTACAACTTTATCCATCACTCAGGCATGCAATACTCCGCACAGTTAGGTACTGTAGCTGTACTAAAGTGAGCCCCCAGGGTGTTTCCAGGGCTCTTTCAAAGTGAGGCTGTTAGCTTCGCCAGGGAATGGTTCGGTAAGCCTATCTGGTTTCTGCTCGCTTGCTCGGAGCCCATCCAGAGCCCAAGGAGCCTGAGGGAATTTTGACCAGGGCCTGATTCTGCAAGGGACGCGAGATCAACTGACTTTGGCATTATGCTCATCATTCTTTCACACATTACGGATCATCGTGTATCACCAGCGATCGCTCAAGCAAAGACCGGTCTAGAACCATCTCCGTCCTCCAAATGGCAAAGATGAATCGTTGTCGTACGGTCTGATCTTCCCAGGCCGAACGAACCACTTTCCCTCCTGGCGACTACTACGAGTACGCTCGCCATGTTTACCCTTGTGGCCTTGTGGACCTTTGATTCTTCGGGGCATTTGTCAAAGTGGACCACGCGGACCATATGTGATATGTCATGCAAAGTTCCTCCATGTGAACGGAAAACTGTCGATGCGCTTTTGGACCCATTACAATATGCCTTAGTAATTAATACTGGACCTTGATCGGCGGGTGTCAAACGACGGGGCGATCCATATGTCAGGATCACATGGCGGTACTCGGTACTTCAGCTATGCCCTTTCAAGTTATGTGATCTACCCCGGGGGCTACCCAGGATGTCTGTGCACTCTCTAACCAAAGTACAACGCCGTTCAAGACCCAAGAATACAGTACGAAACTATGGCGTTAAGTGGCTTCAAAAGATCTCAGCGTGCCACGACCATTCGATTTAAATGCCTCACCTACATTATCTTCCTGACGCGCGTCCTCCTTGCCCACCTCCAATACCGGCCGTGGAAAAGTGTTGGCTCTCGGTGTCCGCCTCGACGCCTTTTTGGCCCCAATATCTTTTCTTTTTTCTCCCCTTCCCTGTGGCGGACTCAGTGGGCCGCGGACCACACCAACAATCTTCCCAACCACCGAGGATTCGGATTGCGAGTTCCTCTGAATGACCGAGCCCCGTGCAGAGTAAGTAGGATTGTGTACGATTATGTCTACGCAGATCAAAGCTGTATCCCGACATGACAAGAGAGGAAATCGTTCCGCTTCACTCGGCACCCTTGAGATACTATCCTCACTGACGAAAGTGGTGGCTGTGCAGTGGTGTTCCATGCAATGGCTAATGCGATGCAAGACGGCGGTCTTGATATTCGTGCTTTGCACTCCGTCCTCCACAAGGGTACAACGCCCTCGCCACCCCTCTTGTTTGTTCACGTCCATGGAATTCCTGATAGAGAATACTGAGTGAACAAGTATTACATTGGGTCCTTACAGCAAATCCCGGGAACGCGCCAGCGCGTTTTTCAAATGCTAAAGTTGCCTGACAAGGACGAACACAAAACTCGGTCCTTCGTCCCTGACTTCTGCTTTTGTCCCCTTTCTTCTCTTCTGGGTGAGCTTTTGGGCACCCCTACGGCCTCTAACTAGTCTCTTTGACCATTTGGCCGACGCATTCGATTGGCATTATTTCCAAGTCTAATCCGGTCCCTCGCCCCGTCTTCTTTGCTTCTCCAATAAATGTACATATGCCTTGCTGTACCCAAAAGATCACACATTCTTCTCGCTTGGATCTCGAAGCGTGCTAGATTGTGCCCTCGCCCCTCAAGATCGGCTATTATGTCATTGATATTTTCAGTCGACTGATCTATACATTGTGTGAGATGGTTCTCAACCCCATCTTCCCGGTTGTTGAAGGCGGTCACTATGTCTTCAGTAATTGTAGTTCTCGTTCCTCGGAGTGAATCGGTCATCGCTTGAGTAATAGTATTTTCAGTCCTTCGGAGTGAGTTGTTCATCGCTTGAGTAATGGTATTTTCTGTTTCTCGGAGCGAATTGTTCATTCCTTCAGTGATTGTGGCTCGGGTCTCCTGGATCGAATTGGTAGTTGCAGCTCTTGCCTCCTGGATTGAGTTGTTGATCTCCTCAGTGATCCCGTTTCTTGCCACGCGGATCGAATTGTTCATCTCCTGAGTAAGTTCATTTCTTGTTTCCCGAACTGCATTGTTGATCTCTTGAGTAACCTCATCTCTTGCCGCCTGGATTGAATCGTTCACCTCCTGCGTGATTGCATTTCTTGTCTCCTGGATTGAATGGTTGATGTCCTGAGTAAGTGCATTTCTTGTCTCCCCAAGTGCGTCCCTCATCTCTTGAGTAATCCCATTCCTTGCCACCTGGATTGAATCGTTCACCTCCTGCATAAGTGCATGTCGGGTCTCTTGAAGAGCATTGTTGACCACTTCAGCAATCTCATTTCTTGCCGCCACCTGGACCAAATTGTTCACCTCCTCAGTAATTGTAGTCATCATGTTCTGCATCTCCGTTGTGCGGAGCAGCCTACTCAGAGCATCAAGGATTCTCTCTTCCGAAACAGAAAGAGAATTGCCACCCATGCTTGGGGCTCTTCCTTTGCCCTTGGGTACGTCGGGCCGAGAAGGTCCATAATCTGACGGACCTGAGTTGGACTCGGGCATGACTTGGGAGTCCCGATATGGAGATGCTCCTGCTTTAATCCGCGACGCCAGTCAATCCATCGACCTAATGCTGGAGACCTGATTTAATTACCATGAGACGAGGCAGTGGTACGTCCACGCTTTGGGGAACCGCGAGGGTTGATAGACGCTTGTTCACCTGCAGCCGAACGGGCGGCTCTGTTGGAGCTGGATGAAGTTTGCCGCATGTAACTTCGCTCCCTGAGAGCCGGGGATGAAGAAGGGCCAGCCATAGCATGCGATGAACCAAAGGACGAGAGACACGAACGAAAAGGATAACAATAATATGCCACAGAAAAGTACAAAAGTCACCCAGAGATGGCCAGGATGATCTCTGCCTTTTGCACACTCTGCTTGCATTGTTCACCACCCACCCCACCATTCAACGCAGACATGATTTGTTGATTAGCGAGGCATGCTGCAGCCGGTGAAGGCAGAGAACGCAGAACCTCGAGAAATGAGCACAGCAAACGTCGTGTAGTTTATGGTGGTACCCTGGGTGTTCGGTGGTTTGGTGAAGCAGTTCGAGGAATTAACTTAGTGTTGTATATCATTCTGGCAGCGGCAGCACCCGCAGCGTCCCCAATGCAAGTATCCACAATAGGTACCCCAGAGGAGAAAAGTATAGGTATAGGTACCCACTGAGCACATGGCACGGAGGGTCGACCTGGGTATTGTACTCGTCCCTCGGCGGACTCAGGTATCACATCAGGAACAATAAAGGTACTGGGAGTCTTGTAATCTTTCTGACAGAATATCACGTATGCCAGTAGCTGTCAATATAGGTACCCAGACTCTCTTCCACTGCCTTCTCCCTCCGTTCTGCTTTCGACTCCGCGAGACTCGCCACGCTCTGGATCTTTTGTTTCTTTGTTATTGCATTGAACCGCCCGTCCTAAGGTGCAGTCAGTCGTTCCCCAGCACCGCCGATCCATCCTCACCCTTTGCAATGTACGTCTCTGGGTGCTCGTACGGTATGTCTTACCCTTGGCAATTCGAACTTTTGTACCCTCCATCCTCTTTCTCCCTCTTGTAATATCCACATCCTGCGTCATCCGTCTGGACGCCCAAGCGCTTCGTTCCTCGTCCACGACCAACCAAGCCCCCGTCCCAGGGCGACGGATCGAGTAAGCACAGCCTCTTCTGCCATCCTGCCAAAGAACCAGGCGTCCACGCGTTCTTCACACGCCGAACCCAATGTGCAATGCCCAATCCTTAATGCCTCAGCACCTGTTCCCCCACTGTCTGAGTCTGCCTTGTCTCACTCCCACCCCCCTGTGCTCCTCCTACTTGCCTACCTACTCACACTCGTAGAGCAGTCGTCATTGCTTCTTTTTGCCACTGGAATCAACAAGAAAAGCTGCACCCGCCCACCCCTGTCCAGCTCGTCGGTTAAGTGCCTGGCGTCCCTTTCTCATTTTCTCTCGCCCACATCCTCTTCCCAGACCTATACCTGCCTAAAAGCAAACGCCGCACGACCACTTGAATTTGTTTTGTCTACACTATCCCATTTACCAAGGCCCCTGCCTCAGCCGCACGCAGGTCGATTCGATACAACCAACAGTAGAAGCGCCAAAGTTGGAACTTTTACACTTCCTCTCCCTCTGGCGCTTCTTGCATACGGACTACTGCCGAACTGACTTGTTTTCCCCCATTCGATAGGGGATACTTCACATAACCCCCCATCTGGGGGAAAGGGGAACCCATCAGGCTGGCTGACTCAAGGTCAGGCCTGGCCTGCAAGCATTCAGCCATGGCCCATGTTAGTTTCTCCGTGGCTAAGAAACGCCCCGGGCAACAAAAGAGAACCTACACCCGCCTCAAGTCCCCCCTGAATGCTTGTCGCCATGAAATCGAGAGGCTCTACATGGTCGATGGGTGGGAATTACGAAGGATCATACATCATATCACGATCAACTATGGTATAACTCAGTCGTAAGGCGCCAGCTCCCAACTCCTGCCTACCTTTCCCATCCCTTCTTGCCCTCTTTCCCAATATCCCCCCTCCCGTGGAGACCAGTCTTTCACCAGCTAATGTCTGGTTGCAATTCACAGAGTCAAGCAGTACAAGGACCAGCTCAAGAGCTGGGACGTCAGAAAAAACCACACCTGCACGGACGCTGCCTTTATCTTGCGACTCTTGAACCAAGCCAGGTCAGAAGGACGTCCTCGTGAAGAACAGGTCGTTCTCTTCTCGTCCTTCCCCCGTCGCAGGGAGGACATAGCAAAGTACATCAAGAGATCCAAATTGAAGGACGAAGACGACCTACTCTCCAAAATCTCAGATGCAGATGAAACTCCTCCTCATATCAAACTACTGGGATCCCCAATTGAGCCAAATTTCCCTCAGGTACTGCTTACACCTCCGTCTGAGCTTCTGTGTTATCCGTCAGCTCCAGTCGGCTATTCTGACTTACTCAACCTTGGCATGCCAACGCCAGACATTACTCCCCAATCAACACCGCAACGATCAGAACAAGGAAACGAATCCAAGAGATCGTCCCTGGCGACTTCGGAAGAAGGATCTTATATCATGGACCTGGATCCAGACTCCTTTTACATTCCAGTGGGGCATACCTCTCTACCACCGCAGCCAGCCATAGGTAGCATAATCAGGCCGTTCAAGCTTGAGCCTCAACAGGAATACTTTAAGGATTGTGAGATTCCCGATTGGTCAGTGGAGGTCACACACGCTCTGCTTTCCTCAACGCCACCCAACATCAAGGACCTAGGCTTTGATGCAGCCAGGTTTGGGATATACACCCAGAGTCCCCAACTGAATGATGGCACTGATACAGCCTGGTTCGTGACCAACTGCTTATACTGGTTGATCTGCGTTGGACAAGAAGACCCCAGCTGCACAGCCAATGCACCATATTATCTGGATCAGGCCAAATTTTTCTTTTTGTGCATGATCAGTGATCCGATCGCACCAGGAGAATCATGCATTGTCGCCTTGACAGTAGCAAATGTACTGTTCAATTGCCTTGGTCATACAGAGAGGCTGCTGGAGCTGCTGACGGAAATGGACGAGGTTACCAAAATGCACCTCGGAGGGAATAATCCACTGCGATTGACCATAGCGTTTGAAAAGAATATTCTCCATCCCAACACGCGTGGCAGCTGCATTCACGACCTGGAACAGCTCAGATACGTCCACTCCCGAATGCGGAAAGAGTACCCAAACTCTCATGGTCCAGCACTGATGGCGAAATATCACATCGCCTGGGCGATGCTGGAAAATGAACTGAAGGCGGACAAGAGGAAGCGGAATTTCCTTCCAGTGAAAGGCATGCTAGAGGGCCTTCTCCAAGATTTCAAGTCTCATTTCGGTCCACATCGCATTGAGATCACAATGGCAGCGGCAACGTTGGCCAGAGCCACCTTCCGGTCTGGCGATGCCGAAAAGGCCGAAGGGATTATTGCTGACGAAGTGCTGCCACGTTTACGCCAGAATTTCCCCGAGGACCACCCGTACACGTGGGAAGCAAAGCACCGCCATGCATACTTTCTCTATCAGCTGGCCAAGTATGAGCCAGGGTTGACCGGCAAACGACGACTTCAACATGGCGAGCAAATACTCCGAGAAGTTGTCCGTGAACGTCGACGAGTCCTGGGCGAAGGCAATGTGAAATCCATCAAGTCATTTGAACTGTTGAAGACCATTCTGGAGAAACAAGGCAAGACTCACGAAGCAAGTTCGCTCTGGCAATGGTGCGAACGTCAGCTCTGAACATTATACAACGTCAAACTTTCGGGAGAATGCATCGCACTCACACATCAGTAGTGGCCAGGCCATGCATCACACGCACGACGCGAGAGCTTGCTGCCCCATTGGCCGACTTTACCTCCTGTCATGATGCGAGCGAGACGAACGATGATGATCACGTCTGCCGGAACCATGGCCATCTCTTCGGCGGGCGTCACGAGCGTCCCTCTTCTCGAACCCAAGAATGCCATCGATCCCATAATCACTCGACTCGCTCGAAGACGAGTCGGCCCGATTGAGGACATGCTCATCCAAGGACGCCATGGCATCTGACGGACGTCTTGAACTGGTATAGTTCGTGGAGTATGAATAGCTTCGACCGCTCCTTGATGGGGGACTGCCAAAGGTCGAGCTGGGCGAACCCGATACTGACTCCATGACCGAACTGCTGTTGGAGCTGTACCTCGGCATCATGTTGGGTCTTTGAGGGATGGCAATGGCAGGTATAGCGTATGAGGTGCCGGACCTCGACACGTTGGAATCACGTCTGGCCGCCGAGTATCGGTGAGAGCCACCGCTGTCTTGGCTAAACGATTGCCTGCGCTCTCTGTGAACACTGCTCTCTGCATAGCCTGTCCAGGAACTAAGTACGATTCAAACGACGGACATTCAGAGGGTCATACTATTTCGCCTGCGGTAGCCATTGCTCTCATACCATCGCGCACTGTCGTCACGGAGTGAAGGAATCATTGTCTGGGACATCATCAGCGTTTGCGCGCGACGTGGGGCGCCATTCTTGGATCCTTACACTCGGCGGCGAGAGCGAAGCCTCAATGACATAACGATCAGAGTCCTAATGGATCGTCAGCATATCCCTGGACGGCGCAAACTTGTGTACCACGTACATGAGTATTCACTACCCGAGCATCACGACCCAGATACAACGGCAGATCAGTCTCCAGAACTTCCCTGGAGATACCGTGCTTGGAGATTGAAAACGTGGGCATAATGGGGATTGAGGATAAGGTGGGGTCGGAGGGGGGGGGGAACTTGAAAGTGTCAAAGTCACGCTGGATACTCTGACAAAAAGGTAAGATCTCGGCAGGGTTGTTCTGATCCTACCTGAAGAGAGTCATGCAAAGTGTGATCAGAGTTTACTGATGACTGAGTGCAGAGATGATAACACAAGAGGTTGGACGGACGGTCGACGGAGATGTTCAATTAAGTATATCACCATTTCGCCGAAAGAAAGTGTGCCGGATGGGCGAGGTCTGGGGTCTCAGGGTTGGGCACGACTACAGGCCATGTGGAAAGCTGAGGTCCAAGCGAGCAAGAGCGGGGTCAGGACGGAGGGACAATCATGTCCATGGAACGCAGAGCCTCATGAGAGGGAGAGAGGGACTGGGATTGGGCGAAACCGGTGAACAATCTGAGCTGATGAATGGTCATGCTCGGGGATCGCAAAGAAGTATTTGTTGGCTGTCGTGGTCTGATATGAAGGAGGGGACCCCGGTCTTTCTGGGTCTGGTCTGGTCTGGTCTGGTTCTGGCCGACAGACAACGAAGAAGGTGGTCCCGGAGAAGCAACTGAAAGTAGGGTCGAAAAGCAGCTGAAAAGGAACCACGGCCGAGATATGTGGCTGCATATCGCTCCTGCAGGGATCCTGCTCCGGGAGGTCCAGAGGCGAACGTTGTGTGCATGGAGACTCGTGAGCCTACTGCCAGAAGCTCTAGGTCGTTCGTTGTTTCAATGTTTCCCGAAGAGATGGACGATAAGAAGGTTGATATATACTCAAGGAGGTGCTTTGCGATGGATTGATCGATAATCTGATGAATCGAAGTGTTAGAACTTCTTCTCGATAGGAGACAAAGGAGATAGGCAGACGAGGTACTTGTGTACCTTACCCGTAAGTGTCAGTGGTTGTAATACTTGTATATGTCGATTCCGGCCAAAGACAGCCGACCGACCGACCGACCGACCGACCAAACCAACCAACGGAAAAGAGAGAGCACCCCAATCTCACGTCCTCTGTTCCGTAGCTCGTACTCTTAAGCGGTAGAGACCAGGGGGGTCCCGCGACTGAATTAGGGACCGACTTGGCGATTGGTCGACCTGCCCTGACTGTGCTGTAGGGACCGATGACTGACTGTCTGACTGACCGACTGGGAGTGATTGACCGACCTGGGTAAGGAAAAGTGAACAGCTGGCACCGTTCCTCTGGGTTGGTTGGAAGAGCGAAAACCAAAAAAAAAGTAAAATAAACTCGTGTTTAACTTATACGAACAGTCGAATGAAGACACGCCGGGTCTGGCTTGCTTTCTGCACCGTTTTCTTGCACTGCACTGTGCTGCACGGCCCCTGGAACAGAGGCGGTCGACCCCGTCCCGATCCCATCTTCACCGCACCATAATGCTGAGATTTTCTTTTTTTCGCCGGGCTTGCGGTTTCGTTGTGTCCGTCTGGAGTAAACTACCTCGTACGTACGTATGTACGGATGGAGGGTTATATGCCGTATTATCTGTTGTGTCAGGTACAGGTAGTAGTAGTAGTGGTGGTGTTAGGTGCCTAGGTACAAGTAGATAGAAGGAAAAAGCAGCCCAAGGGGAGGTGGGCCAGGGTCAGGGTTAGGGTCAGAGGGAGGAGGTAAATCTAACTAGGTAGCTAAACACCGAAACAAAGTACAATTTGGATCGTGTCCGACTTGGGGATCTTTACTGAATAGCCTGTACAGAGTACCCAGGTAGTACCTAGGTTGGGAGATTCACTGGAGCCCGTATCATGTACAAGCCAGCGCATCGATCATCGTTATCATCATCATCGCCACCGCCAACAAAACCACTGTACGTATAACGTAGGTCGTGCCAAATGAATTTCCACATCAACATCCACACCACACAACCACCTCCGACAAACACATACACATACAAATGCACATACATGTACACACGTAGACATCTCGGTATACAAATCGTAAACATCGTAAATGCAGTGACCTGCCAGGTATTCACCCTAGGTAGGTCGGTGATAAATACCTAGGTATAATATAGTGCGGTTGTGGTGGTATGTACTCCGTATCAGGTAGGTATATAATGTATATGCCGTTTAGAAACCAAGAAGAGAGTTTAGGAATATAGCCCCGAATCGTTCTTTTGGAACACAAAACAAAAGTATGTGTGTTGGTGCGTGTCACCAGGACAAAGTCGTATGTGCTATTGTCTGCCTTCCTCACGTCATGTCCCAGCTACCCAGCTATCGAAGCTGGTCTGGACTGGACTAGCGAATCGCCCGAATATCAAGGCTTTACCTGTGTGGCTGTCGCCGGCCTGTGCGGAAGTTTCGACAGCGAGCATCAAATGAGTGGTTCGTACGACGAGTTCTGTTTTGTTTCGGAAAAAGGGTGAAAAGTGTTAGTCTTCTTCGTGTGACTTTTGACCTTTTTAAAGTTGACAAAATGAACAAAACAATTATGTGTATGTCATGTCAATGCAGTGTGGTGCCGTCTAGGGGTGTGGCAGCAGCGCAGGAGAGCAATGATGTTCAACAAGAACCGCCAGACCACTCAAGTGGGCAGCAATACAAGCTTTATCAAAAAAAAAAGAGGGGGGGGGGGGGGGGCGCGCGTTTCGCTTTTGGCTTTGCTTACCTTGAATCTCAATACAGAAACTCATAGGCATATCCTCATATTCGGAGGGGTCATGCGTATAACACGTCCCTTCCCGATCTCGGATAGCCACTCTCAAGCCAACATTCTTTCTGTAGTCTGTCCATAAAATGTTCTTGTCCAGGCCAATGTTTGGACAGTTGTTTTGAGCGGAACGTGATGTCGATGATGACTGAGATGCCGGATCTTGTTCTAGACACCACAATTCCTGGGCCCGGTCTTGGAGCCACTGTTTCCACACTCTCATGACCCCTTGGCCTGGCTGCACGATGTGGACATTACTTAGAAAGACTCCGCGGTGGGGACCCAGCCGAACTAGACTTGCGTAGGCGCAGAACTGGCAAAAGAGCTCGTCGGCGTCGAGGTAGAGATTGTGTACTACTTTCTCCAACCCGTCGTCGCCGTCGCTGCCGTAGATGGGTTGTGACGGAGAGGGGGTGGCGGTGCTTGAGGAGGAGGCGGAGGAGGAGGAGGACGAAGAGGATGAAGATGAAGATGACTCTCGGTGTTGCTGCTGGCTTTGTTGTGGTGTTGCAACCATCACTGGAGTGCCCGCTATTCGACGTAGAGGCATCAGACCCTGGACGCCTGGACGTTCGGGTCGGAAGCGGCTGTACAGAGCGCCTAGTTTGGCGAACCTCCCTTCTTCACCTACGCAGTCTTCGTAGAGGGACCCTTCGCCTTCGTGTTTTGAACTCAGGCCGTCGGTTCCCAGGTATGTGCAGAATAGGTATGGGTCGGAGTATCTCTTGCTCGGCCGGTAGGCCTCGAGGATGAGTTTGTAGTCGGGGAGCGCCGCGGCGAGGAGGAGGCGGAAGTGGATGATGCGTAGAATTATAGAATGGAATTGTCGCGACACGATTATCAGAGGGAGGAGGGATTGGGTTTCGAAGCGGGATAGGATTGAGACGAGGATCTGAACGAATTCGTAAAGTCAGACTTGTGTTTTGGGCGATGCGATCGAGGCCTCCGACAGTGGTCGCGTGTGTCACCGCGAGGAACTGATGTGCATAGAGATTGGACGTACCTCGGTCGGAAGATTGTAGAGTTGCAGACTTCGACCACGACCACGAAACTGGCCATGACCTTCTACGGCCATGACGGCTACTCAATGTGTTCCGGAATCAACTATTCAGTCGACCATGCGCCGGGAATCATTCGGGAGGGAGAGTGGTGTGAGATGACGGTTCTGCAAGGACAAGCGCATAGATCAGTATTGGGAGCGTTGCTAAAGCGTCGTATGTGCAGCGGGTAGAAATCAATTGTCACAGAAGAGCCAGAGATACCGTCATCGACGACGCGAGAACCACAGCCGTCGGAGAGGAGGTAAAAGGTGTTCGCATGAGAAGGAGACGGATGCATTGATGATCATTGATGAGGATGGCGGTCACCGTCATGTCATCCCGCAGCCGATAAACGGAGCGCCAGTTGAGCAGATCGCATCCGGACTTCACACCCCATCCCGGGATCCTACAAGCCGTGCATTTTGTATAGGCGGCTTATCGATAAGCATCCTTCACCGAGGGAGTGACATGCTTGTTCGGGTCCACACCTGCTTACCACACGACGAAACTGCTTTACAGTACATACCTAACTTTGTACAGATCCAGAACTGCGGAACTTTTGGGATTGAAAGTCCCTCACGTCTCTTCAAACACAAACACTCCCTTGCCTGGTCTGAAACCACCCAGGGTGCCTTGAACGGCCGCCTTGAGCGTATCGACCTCGGTCTTCCATCCCCATTTGCACTCTTGCACTGGTATATCCTTGAACTTGCCTTCTCTGGTGAGCCGCAGCACATCGTCCACCGTCTGCTTCTTCTGATCGGGATGTCGGTCGCTCCACTTGCTCACCCAAAACCCGGTGAAGGCGATCTCCTTGAATATCAACAGCGAGGCAGGGAGCGTGAGTGGTTGTTTGCTCATGGCCCCGTACGTGACCATTGTCGATCCCGGGCTCAAAAACTTGGCCAGGGCGGTGGCTGGCTTCCCTCCGACACAGTTCAGTCCGACCTTGATCTGTTCGCGGCCACCGTGCGTCCACTCCTTGATCTGGTCTCTGATTTCGCGGCTCATCAGCTCTTCTTCCGTGATGACCTTTGTAGCTCCGATATCGTACAGGTCTTGCTTGAGCTTCGCCTCCTCCTCTTTGTTCTCTCGACCTCGGATGACGTTGATGCTCTTGAATCCCCATTCCTTGCCCAGCTGGATCGCAGCCCGTCCAACGCCGCTGTTTGCTCCGTTCTGGATAAACCACTCGTCGCCTCGGAATCCCCATTTCGCCGAATCCAGCAGCATGCGGTATGCCGTGCAGGGGTTAACCGAGACAGTGCCAACCTGCAGCGGCGTCAGGCCTTGCTTGTCATCAATCTTTAACAGCTTGCTCTCGTCGATAGCCATGTGTGTCCGCCATGTGCCTAGTCCGGTGCTCTTCATGATGACCCAGTCACCTTTGCTGAGAGTCTTGACGCCAGAGCCGGTGCTGATGACTTCGGCCACTCCTTCATTGCCGGCAACTGCAGCAGGTTCCGAAGTCCCCAGGGCGGTGGTCATTTCTCCTTTCGCAGGGTAGACGCCCTGGATCTGGTTCACATCCGCGGGATTAATTGGGGCCACAAGCATGCGCACCACGACGTTCGTTCCGGAGACTGGCGAAATCGAGTGGCCGTGGAGGGAGAGGACGTCTTGAGGTTCGCCGTACTTGGAATATACAAGAGCCTTGGCTTGCTCGTAGCCGTAGCTGCTAATTGCTCGTCGCTGGCAAAGCCGTGGCTCTGCCCGTCTTAATGACGAGCGGCAGCATATTGGCCGCGTGTGTGAAATTAACGTGCGTGGGGGAGCCTTGAAAGGCTGCTGAACTCGAATAGTGCTTGCCATATCACGGAAAAGTCAGAATCAACCATGAAGTACGTTTACAGAGGATCAAACAGTACGTCTGAGTAGCTGTCGCAGTTCCCAGTTTGTTTGCGCCCGGATATTTTACTCCGCAGCACTTGACGGCGTGAGGAGATAGATCACTTCGTCATTCTTCGTCGGCACATTCTCGGTTCTGCTGATGCTCCTCCACATATCTATCGCGTCCATCTGTTGTCTCTCGTAAGACCTCGTCTGCTACTTCGAGAGGAACCTGCGCACAAAATCACGGTGTGCTTGAAGGTACAGCCGACGCGCTTCCTGGTCTCGTTCGTAGGTGGCACGTTGCTCCTCCTTGAAGATCTTCTCCAGTCTGGGACGTCCTTCAACCTGAGGTCCCAGGCATAGCTGATCCATCATTCCCGCCAGAGCTATGAAGCCTACCCCCGCAAACACCGCTTGTCCAAATTTGCTGAACGCCTTCTGAAACATTCCCTGGCAGCCTGCGTCATCAATCTCCTCCAGAAATCCGCATAGCTCTCTCATATCGGCATGGTACGGCATGTGGCGGCTCACTTCTTGCGTGAGAATGTGCAGGCTTGTATGTTGGTTTCCAGCAATATACCGACATTCGTCCGGCCCTCTGGTATCCACGATCGAGCGCACTGTCACGACCAGGTCATTGGCCAAAGTCCCAAAGTCAACCAATTCACGCGAGGGCTCCCTGTGTCGAATTTCAGCGCAACCGTAGATGGCGAGACCAAGAACATGTTCCGGCCGAAATGGAACCGTTGCAAAGGTCAGGATGTCATGAAGGATATGCATGTCTGCGGCGTTGTATACCTCGGAAAATCCCGAGAGTTTGGAGTCGATCTCCCTCAAAACTCTGCGTGCATCGTCCACACCGAAACGTGGGTCGTAGTTGTTACAACAGAACTTGTGAATGCCAGGAAAGCGTGCTGCCGGATGCCATGTTGTGTCCAGACAGATTCGCTCCAAGTGGCTTGCCAATGCTCCTATGTGGGACGGCTCTCTCACCTGCTCCCAGAGCATTGCCAACAGAGCGATCTTTGACATCTGATACTTCTCGGCCAGACGAGTCTGCGCAGCCGACGTTGAAGTTTGCTCAGGGCTCTCCATCCTGGGTGGTATTGGAGGAGTGAGCGTCGTGCTGTGCTTGGTCAGTTGTTTCCGCTTCTTGTGAAGATCGCCACTCACTCTGCGACTGGACGAGTGCTCATGATATGCTTTGATTGACAAGGAGGATTTCCTCGACCGTGACGTGCTACACTCTGACTGACTACTAAGTAGAAATGGCCAGGTTGGAAAGAAAAGTGTGATGCAAGTGTCACTTGCGTGTGACCAGAAAGAACATTCGCGTGGCGTGGTCGGAAGAGAGGACGAAGGACCTTCTGAAGTGAAATACCATTTGGTGTTTTGGTTGGACTTCACTTCGATCTGATACTCATTGGCTAAGGTCCAGTGCTCCGTAACCGCAAGCATATTAGAAGTGACAGGTATGCCTTGGTCTACCGATTTTGGTCTAGAGGTTGGTCTCTTGATGGACAACCTATAATGACGCTTTGGTCAGCAACCTCTGATACATTACAGGAGGCCATTGACCCAGGCATCCTTTGGCATTGCAAAAGCAGACATATCTGGCAAGTTTGAGAAATCTGCCATGTCGAACGCCAATGCTGGATCGTCCCAGAAATTCGGGGGGAAAGGCTCTGAGCTATTGTTGGATATCGGGATCGTTCTAACAGTCGACGGAGCTGTGGTTTGGTCCACTGGCAGGAGAAACTGGGTGTTGACGCTTAACTCGACATCATCCACTGGGCCCCCGCCGCTGCTCATAGTCGGCGATGAGGATACAGCATAGTCAAGCAAATCCCAGAGTAAGGCTGTCTCAACTTTGGGCGGTTGTACTGCTCGAGTAGCATCGTTGTATGGGGCGGCCAGTTGTGCAAGTTTGGACAGCTTAGCTTTCTGGAGACCAATGTCAGTCATTCGATTCCTCGCTGTCGGAGAAATGTATCATTTGGAGCTCCAGAGTTTTCCCATCAGGCAAAGATCCTGCTTAAGCAAGAGAGGACTTACGGTGTAAAGGAGATGTGGATGGTCACTCGCTGACTTGGTCACAAAGTCTTGTAGCCTCTCGAAATCCCGGGTAGCTCTTAATCCAAGAGCTTCGTCCTTGGAAAATCTCAGAAAGAACTGAGCGGTTGCTATCATTGCGGCCATATGGGCTACAAATGGATCATAGATCTTGAAATCCCTTTCTTCACATAGGGCGAGCAGTTGGATAACCCAATTAGAATGCAGGATAGTCTGATCTATCGCATGCTGTAAGAAAGATGGAGAACGAAGCTTTTGCTCGCCATGAATGCGAGCGACGTGGAGGAAAGGGTGATTCAAAGTGCAGTGGATGGTATGATAGATACACTGTGTGAAGATCCAAGGGGCCCAGTATGCTCTATCGTTGCAAAGTTCGGCGCTTGTCTTCTCATGGAATTTCGTGTTCGTAAAGCGATGTGCTTCGGGAAAGATTGTCTCAAATTCGGACATTCGGGCCTTTATTTGAGCGTACCCAGAGTTGGCTTCCCATCCATATTCACGATTGCCTTGTTTGATGCTTTTCAGGTACTGCATCAGACGACCCCAGGTGATCAACAACTGTAGAGAATACGACCTGATGCCCTCGTCTTTCTCTTCATTGTAACGTGTAGGTTCTGCCACGCGGACACGGTCGAACACGTGCGCAATGGATGTCGGCATCTCCGGTAGTATTCCCTCGTCAGATATGGCGGGTATGGTTCTCAGACTGCTGCCATGAATCCGATCAAGGACGAGCAAACTCCAGCAACACCTTGACAGGTCTGATTTTCGTGCCGTCGGCCTACCAGCCTCCAATATTGCCAGGTTTGAACAAATTATCACTCTGGCAGCTACCCCGGAAGCCATCCAAGCACTGACCATTCTGCCATCGTAGATTTCAGCGAGGCAGAGTAAGCATAAGGCTTGCAATGCAGCAATTGAGCCTGTCGGTTCTGAAGCGTATCGGAACAACTCATTCCGAGCAGCGGATTTGTAGTACTCTACTGCTTTGGACTGGGCGTCGTCGAAAAATGAAGCACGAGAAAACCGTACAGTGAGTGCCAGGAAACTATTGAGCAAGGCACCTGAAAGCTCGGTGGAACGGAGGGAAGAGGTGTCGAAGAGAGGTAATGGCTGATCGGATATGCGTTCAATGTAGATCTGGAGGAGAGATTGAAGAACTTCGGGAGGAGGATATGGTCTGATGAAGGTCAGAATCTGAGGAGGTGCTATGCAATTTCTGCATTGTAACAACATTTCATGGAGGGAAGATCGGACATGAGAGACTTCACCTTTGAGACACATCGAAAGCACCACTGTGATCTCCATGTCCACGAGCCGAGTTAGATGGAGGGCCTTGGTGGTATGGTGGTGAGGCGTGTAGAAGCGAATGTGATGGGCCTTCGTCCGGCTGTCTTTCGACGAGAGTACTGTGCAGGATTAGGGACATGATATCAAAGGAAGCACCGCATTTTCTGCGCAGCTAAAAGAAAGTATCATCTCGATAAATCCTCTCAGGTCACAAGAGTTGCTCCGAGTGGTCATCGGGCGATAGGTCCATCAAGGCATATCAAACGCGAGGAAGGTTTCGACTGACTTGAGAGCCCCGAGAATCTGCTCGACCGTTGCTTCCAACCTGTCAACTCGGTCTCCAGCATGGCGACGGTCCTGTAAAATGACTTTAACCTTGATCCTAGAATCAAGAAGGGCACAATTACCCTGAGCCTGGGAGCGCGATGTGGTTTTTCAACCCTGTCAACGGGTGGACCAGCGTTTGGTATCGGGTACGTGCATGATTGATTCAGCCTGCTGCAAAAGGAGCATATGGGTCGTTCACCAGGGCATTTGGTCTTCTTTTTCCTGTTGAGCGGGCACAATCTCAGCGACTTGAACACAAGACCAGTATGGACAGAGTGACCACCACCCGGAGGTAGCCTTACCGGCAAGGCTCGCAAGCTTGTTTCACACGCGATGACAATGGTGTTGTGTCACTCATCCTGACACGGTAGGTCCAGCTATTCGGATATAATGCATGCTGGGAATGGAGATGTTCTCTGGATGGGAAGGGATAGCCCTATCAAAAGGTCGAAGAAAGGTAGGCTGGTGGTACAGGAAGATCAGAAGCGATCAATTAAAGGGACCACCCGCACACTCTTCAAGCGGGGTGGACGGGCCGCCAACGAGCTCACTGCGGTAGGTAGGCCTACTGGGCGACTAACTAGGCATGCTCATCAACTAAAAACAGCCATTTTAGGTGCTGTTGTCCCTATAAGGTGTCTATGTAGATGCCTAGCGTATACCTGCCAAGCATCAGCGTACTAAGTTAGTTAGCCGCCCTCACCCTCGTTTCTTTTTCCTTTGCACCTCACTCTCAAGTTAAGCCTCTTCGTCAGGCACTCTTCTCGTCGCTTATCTCTCTACCTACATTCCGGCATGGATCTGGTCCGTTACAGATGGCCATTTCCGGGGTGAATCACGCTTTCGCTCCTCCTTTTGCAGTGGGTAATAATGGACCTGTTGATCTCCGAACAGCTTTCGAGGGAAAATTCATTCGCTAGCTAAAATCATGATCCAAGAAACGCTTCCAACATAACGGGAAATGAAGTTCCAATATCTCAGATTCAGAGATTGCCACGTGCCATCTGTTCCCTTTCGATCGCTTCAAACAAAGCCTTGAAGTTTCCTGCTCCAAAGCCAGAAAAGTTGTTCCGCTGGATGATCTCGACAAAGACTGTTGGCCTGTCCATCAAGTGCTTCGTGAAGAGCTGCAAAAGATAACCGCCTTCGTCAAAATCGATCAGGATCCCGAGCTCTTTGAGCGTGGCAAAATCCTCATTCAACTTCATACCTGCAGAGCTCAGCCGTTTGGACATGGCTTCATAGTAGGTGTCTGGCACGCTGATGAACTCGATACCTCGCTCTCTCATGTTGGTCACCGTCGAGATGATGTCGTCCGTCCTGAGGGCGATATGTTGGACCCCAGCACCATTATAAAAGTCGACGTACTCTTCGATCTGAGATTTCTTTTTGCCTTTGGCTGGCTCGTTGATCGGCATCTTGATTTTTTCGTCAGGGCTGGCCATGACTATTGACTTCAAAGCCGAGTATTCGGTACAAATGTCTTTGTCATCGACGGACCAGAATCGGTGGAAGCCGAGAGTTTTCTCGTAGTATTCACAAGCAGCCTCCATTTCATCCCAATCTTGGTTGCCTACGCAGTGGTCGACATGCATCAAATTCACCTCTGGTAAGTATTTGGATGCCCTGGAAACCTCACTGACCGCTCGGTAGCCGGGGAGGAATGCGCCATGGTACTGGTGGCGCTCAACCAAGGTGTGGATGGTGTCTCCATAGGTCCGGATTTGGGCGTATGTCACCGACCCGTTCTCATCACGGATGGTTTTAAGTGGTTGTACCGAATGTGCTCCCTTCGAAATGGCGGCATTATACACCGCGGCCACATCGTCTACCTCGAAAGCCACATCGCGTACCGCATCGCCGTGTGCTCTCATATGATCCTGCATCTCCTTGAGCGTCTGTCGTTCATCCTCAGACAGCGAGGCATTTGTGGCCTCTGGACTCTGTAAAGGCGACGTGAGGACGAATGTTACGTCTCCATTGCGCACCACATGTGAAGCGAGCACTCTGGAGCCGGTCTCAAGTCCACGGTAGGCGATCTTTTCGAACCCCATCTGGGAGATGTAATAGGCAGCCGCCTGCTTCGCATTTCCAACCCACCAGTGCACATGGTCATAGCCCTGGTAGCTGGCGACCTTTTTGGAGGTTTTCGGAAGTGTTTGTAGAGAATATTGGTCTTGGAAAGTGCTGGCAAGTTCATGACTTGGAGTAGGTGCAGGGGCTAACGCGATGGGTGCCATGGTGTCGATATGAGCTCCGGGCTATGGGTGCAATGGTCTAGGACAAGTTCGCTGACGGCAGCAGAGTCACAGACAGTGTCAGAGATGATATTTCCGTCTTATCAGGACTCCAAATTCCGCAATGGAACAACCCTGGGAATGAGGTATCTTTATCTGTTCGCCGTTGTGGGTGGGCACGGATACTTACTGTTTCTCTGTGACAACACGGACCGTCCTCGTCACCACCCACCCACCATGATGACCACCCCGTTTATCTCTCTCGGTCTATTCGGACCAGCAGCCACTTAGTCTTACTTTCGATTCGCTGACTTCGCTACGAACAACATTGGATCTCTTAGTTGACTCACCAGCGGTATATTCTACAAGGGTGTCTAAGAACTACGGGCGGCTCTGTTCTGGGACACAATGGAGGCACCGCGACTGAGCAAGAATGATTCGTCGGTGCTGGGAGCGTTGTTCGACCCTGAATCCTCCTTGTCAAGTACCGTTCAGATCGACAACTGTCTCTCCGAGGACTTCGACTCTTCGTCGATGCGACAGATCCAGGAACGCGAACGAAGCGTACTGCGACTGCTCGACCAAGAGAACCCAGCCGCACGGGACGTTCAGTCGGCGCTTTCCGAATTGACCGCCATCATTGAAGAGGAACCGTCGTACGCTTCGGCCTTCAACAACAGAGCTCAAGTCCGGCGACTGTTGACCAAGGATGCAGATCTGCCCGGCAATCCAGACCTTGTGGCCGACATCTTCAAGGACCTCGCTCGTGCCATCTCACTGGCCACACCAAACACGCTACGCGATACCGTCAGTCGGATGGACGCGAACGTGCTCGCGTCAGCCCACACGCACAGAGGCTACCTCCTCCTGATGGCCAGCAAGTCCGAGAGAAACCGGGGGATGTTGGGCGCCATCCCCAGCCTCAAGGACGAGACGACGGACTCTCTCGAGGAAGCAGCGAGTCGGGAACTTGGGACAGGGGGACGGTACGGGAACGAAACTGCCCGGCAGCTCGCAGTGAAGACGAACCCGTATGCAAAGCTGTGCGGTTCGATAGTGAGGGAAGCATTGATGAAGGAGGTTTCAGATTACTATAAGCCACACATCTCCATTGCACGGTGAAGACGACCGTGCCGATACCCCCTTTCATTGAGAATGAGAATGAGGATGAGACTGTGCTTTTTGGACCATACCAAACTACCTAACCGTCTTCTGGGTTGTTCTCCCTTCCATAGACACATATCGCATGGACTCAGCGGCACGAGCATAAACGGCTGTCAAAGCGTTCAGAGACTTGGGGCGGGGGAAAGTTCGTTCTGACATTGCCCATGGAGTCAGGTCCGTGTCGTGCTCACCCTTTCGTGCTTAGGTTCTTTGCGGCATCCGCCGGTTATTTGCGGGAAGATGCAGCTGACGATGTCTTCGATCACGTGAGCGGATGTAATCATGGCTCCTTGTCTTTCTCTCCGTTCCGTCCCCATCACGCTTGGTTCCGCGTTGTTTTGCGGTCACTGATCACTGATCGCTACAGCGAGACAAGACTGTTTCCGAACACCCCGCCATGGATCCCAGTATGTAGTAGTCATTGGGAGACAGGGCACCACGGAGACTTCGTTTTTCCCAGAGCGATCGTGTCGGCTACCAGATACGGTATACACGACACGATATAGACGATGGACATGACATGTGCCGCTGAAGAATAGCGTACCAGCACGACCGCCCTACTCGTCCTGAGGCTCCGGGCCAAAACTCCCTCCCGCAGGTATCCTCGTCAGCAATTCACGCGGCCCAATCGTCACGACAAGCCGGACAGAAACAGGACTCCCTGTAGTACGACTATGTGTGTGTGTGTTCTACTTGTACTCACCGAGTCAGTCGTCGTCTGTTCTACGGTTCTCTGTTCCGTGCCCCATATGGATCTCCTTTCACAATGACTTGAACGCATTAGGCCATGCACGAAAACCAGGTTACACTGGGCGAGGGCGAGGGCGAGGGCGAAGGCGTAGCACGGAAGAACTAGCTACTATTGTAGGTAGTTAGTCAATAGTCCCATCCAGCTTGTAAATACCTTCTGAAGAATGAAGACGTCTCAATACTTGGAAACAAACAAATATACTACCTTCCCCCCTCCAACATATCCTATATCGCCGCCTGTCCCTCAGATAAGCACGATGAGATATTAGTTAGGGACATGTTCTGCCCCTCGATCCGTCGTGCCTCATAGTCGTTCATAAAAGTAGCTCAGTCGCTGTCTCGGAGCGCCCGCTCAGTTCCTCAGCGCCCGTAATCTATCACCCAACCCTTCCTCAAGCTTCGCCCGTTCCGCACTCTCGGCCTGTTGCAGTTCGTGCTCGGGCACCTTTTGCTCCATTTCCTGCGACAACTCGACTCCAGCTTCGTCTGCAACTCTGTTCATCAGGGCGTCGACTTCTCCTTGGCCTTCGACGCCGACCTGCTGGCTCTCCACACCGCCAGCCACGCCCTCATAGTACCCGGCGACCACGTCAAGATCTTCGAACTGTGACTCGAACTTCTCCATAACGGCGCCTATCTTCTCAAGGTCCATGCTCTTCAGGGCAACGTCCATTCCCTTGACCGTCTGCGCCATGGATCCTGTCACTGTCCGCATGGTGATGGCCGTCTGTACTCTGGCAGCGACTGCGTCGATGCGGGCCGCAAGCGTCAGTAGCTGGATTCTCTGTTGTGAATTTCGGACCGAGTTTGTGGCGTATAGCCGGGCAATTTGGGGCTGTGGGGGGTTCTGGGTGAGAGCTTTCTTGAGTTTGGCTTGTTCGGCGCGGGCATCGCGGTCTGCTTTTGCCGCCTGGCGATTCAATTGTTTTGAAGTGAACTACACAGTGCGGAGGATGTCAGTGAGTGGTTTCGAGAACATCTAGGAAAGATGCGCAGGCATTCAAGGCAGGGTTGCAGGGTGCCCTGTGATATTCCAGATGGCAGAGGGACGGTCGGACAGAATAGTACCTTGAGATTGAATAGTGCCTTCTCGAGGCCTGACATGTTGTTTATGATCGCTCTCTTGGACGTATCGGTAGGTCAAGAGGGTGTACGCTGAAGGACCGTTGGTGAGCTGCAAAGGCAGCGATGAGTGGCTTATCTCTCGGAAATCCTGAGGGTTGGACGAACGGCGAGGGTCCTGACAGGAAACGCAAGGTGAGGACGGGGGTGTGATATTTCTGGGCGGCGATGTCGAGTCGAATTCAAACATGCATCATTGAGTACAGGGCAGGCGAGAAACAAGTCATTCCTGAAGCGTGCAGCCTGGAGGTTGCAATGACGATGCGGGACCGAGAGACCAAGTGAGCCTCTGTACTGCGCCCTACATTTACGGCGGAGTAAAAGGCGAAGGGCGCCTTTGTTGTTGGCAAGTACGTCGGAGGAGGCTCCCGCTGATTAACCACCGTCTCTCATACCGGATGGACATGAGATCGAGTTCGGAACCTGACACCACCACATGGATCTCGTCCCGCCATCTCGCAGTGCGATACTCCTGCGTCTTAGAATGCTCCGTCGATTCAGCGCACTTCTATTAAACAGTACTCATGGCGAGTAGCGGCGTCTGACACTTCGTCGGTGAGCCAAGCTTCAAGCCACGGATTTATTGGAACGTGGCATGTGCGATCAATGAAACTTTTTAGGAGTTCTACAGTGATGTATTATCATAGCAAATTAACCCAATCACTCATACGTCGGGACCCAATCCAACTCCTGAACGACCACCGTGTTCTGAGCCGGCATCGTCCCATTGATCAACCAGGCATCTATAGCGTCATGCAGAACCTGATCAGCAGAATAACTCGTGTGTCCGTCTCCGGTCCGAGCAAGGAAGACAGAATTGGGGATCTGTCTATGCAAGCCCATGGCCTCGGAGATACCCGTGGCGGGATCATGGTATGCGTTGACGATGAGGATCGGGGTCAAATCATCTCCCGCGGTCGAATTGAACACGTGAGGCGGGTTTCTAGGTTTGAAAGGCCACCCGATACAAGTGGTCGCAAACTGAAGCTGCATGCTGCTGCCTAGGGCGTGTGGGAACATGGCCGTGCCGAGGTTCTGCAGTGCAACGTGCTCGTCATACGTGGTCGACTCGGTCGGGTTGTCGAGACACCCGATGGCCAGGTTGGCGTAGGCAAGAGGGTTAAAGTCGACGGACAGAATGGTTGCGTTGCCATCAATGGCCTCTTGCATCGCTTCCGAAAGCCTTGGCCAATTCGAGTATAGCTGGAAAATATCCTCGAGCTTGAAAATGATGTCGTAGCCCGTGGCGTTCGTTTTGCAAGTTCCCGCAGCCTCTCCGGTAGCATTGGCTGCGCATCCAGGAGCTGGAATCGGTTTTTCGTTGGCACGAGCGATCAAGGTATCCCAGATGGCGGCAGTGGAGGAGTTGCTACTGTTGCTGTGAAGCGCACAGGAAGAGTTGTAGTCGCACCACTCGAAGAAGCGTTCAAGCTCATCGTTCATGGCCCAGTTACCGTGGATGTAGCTTTGATATTCGGAGAGAGAAGGGTCGACGCCACCGTCGAGAACCATACGGCCGATGTTGTCCGGAAAGAGCTCGGCGTAGCGAGCGCCCAGCTGCGTCCCGTAGGAAAACCCGAGATAGTTGAACTTGTCGTCGCCGACCGCGATGCGCAGTGCGTCAAGGTCCTTGGCGGCAGATTCGGTGTCTACGAACCCCATGTGCGGTCCGGTCAGATTAAGGCAGGATTCGGCCAGGGCCTTGTTGAACTCTAGCACTTGCTCCCAGGAGTTTTCGTCGTCGACAAAGTAGGAAGGCGTCGACGCCCAGAGATCAGCGTCACAAACAACCTTCGTGCTGGGCCCGACGCCGCGAGGGTCGGGGCAGACCATATCGTAGTGATCTAGCAGGTTGCTAAACTCGCCCGGTTCCTCAGACAGGCCAGCACATATATCACGAGCCGGTCCTCCTGGACCTCCGGGGTTAACAAAGATGCTACCAAGTTTGTTGGTGCCATTGGTCCTGAGGCGGGCTACGTCAAGCTTGATCTTGCTGCCTCCGGTATTGTCCCAGTCCATGGGTACTTCGAGGGTTCCGCAGTCAAGATTTGGATTGTCGCTATCGTCTGAACAAGGGCCCCATTTGATCTCATAAGTCCCTGTTCCATTGCTCTGCCTTCGGACTGGGGAGGCAACAGCAAGGGATGAAGCTCCGATTATCAGGAGAGCAGCGTTGTTGAGATAGGAACGCATGATGGCGGCGGCGGCTGTGGCGATGGCGAAGAATAGACGCTCTCGTCTAGTTGTGTGTATTTGATCGCTTGTCTATGAGCCAGGGCTTTGCGAGAGCTCGGGGACCGTGCAACGCTGTCATCTTGTCCTTTATATGCATTTTTCCCTCGTCGGCATTGAACCACTAGGTACTTGAATAGAAGTCTAGTGGCAATAGTTGACCGGCATATACAGTAGCATTCATTCGCATCAAGTTGTTGGATACTCTTGACCCACAAAGGCGGGATGGGCTGTGCACGATATTAAGGGCACGTCCCTCATGGCGCTGGTCTAGATGAATAAGTACAATAGTCTTCGGTAGGATCATAGTTTGGGGGAAGCCAAGGGAGCTTTGGCACAAAAATAGCAATGGGAACAGACTTTGACGAAGAGACGAAGCCTTGGTCGATCGAGGGAGACGCTGATGTTCCCTCTTGGCAGCTTTGAGGCTCCCCAAGACCACGTTTTTCGTAGTCACAGTCGCACTTCGCACGGTTGCTCGCGTGGAGAAACGGTTTTCGACTAACCATTTTCCGATGCATTGCCTACCTGGGTATCTTTTGCCGCAAAGTCTGGCCAGGCCATCGATACAAATGGTGCTGGATGCGATCACGTTGAGATCAGGGGTTGCATGAAAAGAATCGAAGCGGAGAACAAGCGGAGTCGCGGGAATATGAGCGTTGCATTGAGGGAAGTTCAAGCTATGGGATGCATCGCCGGTGAATCGAAAGGACGCAAATGAATGGTAGAGATATATACGGAGTATGGATCGCTCGAGGGAAGTGGCTGAGAAGGAGAAAGAAAAATACCTATGTACTCTGCACGTACCACTTGAGAAATGCGAGTGAAGGACTTGGGATTGAAGCAGCTTAGTGAGCCGGCGTACGGAACAATATTTCTCCGTACCCGGCGCCAAGTCTGCAGCCGCAGGTGGCTGATTCCTGGTCTTAAGCACCTCCAACTACGTGCAATGGTGAGATCTGCTTCAGGGCATTTATTATCTGTCCGATGCGTTTGACTTTGTATCTCAGGTACCTATCAAGCTCCTGAGATTTTAGAAGTCTTCAAGTTCGTACATGCACGACAACAGCGATAACGATGATGCAATTCCCGGATGCTCATGTTGAGAAACATCTACCACAGAGCTCAGCTGCCATGATGGCGCAATAACAATACAAAATCTTGTCAAGATTCGGATAGACACCAGTCTAGGAGGCGGTGAGGAGTCAGACTGCTCAACTAATCCCCTTGACTCGTCTGAACATACTTTTCCCCTTGTGACTGATTGACATCAAATGTCACCTTGGAGAGGTTCGCCTGAGATTGGATACTAATGCCCTGCACCACGAAAACATTGACTTTCTTGTACGGCACAGCACATACAGTGTCATACGTTCCTCCTGTACTAGTGCGGACAATAATATCTCATACAAACTTCTGGTCTGCAAGAGTACATTTTGGCACGAGTAATGATGCACCAGACGGTATCCGCTTATGGCCTGCTAATGATTCTTTTGTCTCCGGCCGTGTCTAGCGCTGGACCGTGTGGGAACTCTGCTCTGAAGCCGAGGTCTTGATGCCGCAGTATATAAGACTTTGGTGAGAGGACTGCTCAAGTAGGAGTTGTTGGGGGACATCTGCACCATTTCCCAGGATCTCATGAACCTCCAAGGTTTGGTGCCTTGACTCCTCGATCAAGTCCCTGCTTTTCAAGAATTCTGCCTTCTATCAGTGAACATCATGGCACCGGGGCCTTCGACCACTACTCCTGAAGCTATCATCGTCTGGGAACCTTCCGGGGCCAAAGCCGTGACCAAGGTCACGAAGACGACAGGTCATTTCTGAATGTTTCATGGTGACGGCAAAACAAGCTGATACCAGAGTAGCCACCCCTACGATTACCGGTCAAAATTCCACGATGGACCACATCACAGAGGCATATCGCCTTCGGTACGCATCTTACCTCGCGTCAACGTTCCATATCAGCCTAGATGCGGCCAAAGACGAGGCATCGTATCAGCTATTGCCTCGTCGTGCTTCTGAAACTTCAGAATCGGAGGTATACAGAAGCTAGTCTTGCAGACTTGTCTAGCATCGTGTTAGCGTGGATGGTATTGTAGGACAGCTTGAGAGAGGCCCATTCCACTGCATAAGGGAGTATAGCTAGCGCGAAGACAGTGGTTGCTGCCAGCCTGAATGAGCAATTTTTGGACTTCTACTGGAACTCTACACCCAGCAGGCGAAAGCGTTCGCACCCTCGCTTGAGGGATATATAGCATCTGGGAAATGATCAGCTTCTCCTGTGTAGCTATGTGGATGACAGCGCATCATAGCATGGGAGTGTTAACACGGGCCCTCCTCTATTGATTGGCAGCTGCAGTAGTGTGAAACTCCACACATACACATATCAACAAGACCCTTGACTGCCGCAGTCAGATGCCAGATGCAAGCCGTAGGGGATGTCGTGGGGATGGGCCAACTAGTGTCTATTGTACTTGCATGTCCATGTCCATCCCCTTCTCCATCTCCATTCTCACAGCTACTGCTGGAAGTGAGGAGGGCTTTAGCGAGGGAAAAATGGCTCATATAAAATCACCATTGGTGAGAATGTGGCTGTCGCCGTCATGCCGCCGGCAAGACGGGACGGTGAGACTGGCCTCTTCCTGTACTAGCTGGGCCTCTAGTCAGGGACAATAAGGTTCTGCTTTTCCAGCTACTCCAGACTCTGTGAATATCTGTCAAATCGGAGGCTCCAAGACACCAAGACCTGTTGACGAGTAAATCATCTTATCTGCCACATAATTTGGGCCTTTCTCAGCCCGAGTCTCAACAGCCGCTCGCAAGCACCTTTCCTAGCTTAGCCGAATATCTTTCTCAAAACCATGGACTTGTTTTTATTTCCCCCTTGTTGATCCCTCGTCGCACGAGGGTGTCGAGGTTCATGCGATGAGTCCAGGTAAGTCGTGCCCTTCCACACTGAAGCCTCCGTACTGACCATCCGCCAGAGCACGTGCCACGGCGACGCAAGATTTTCACGTAGGATATTCGCGCACTCTCTCTTACTTTGATCCTCGTCCGTGCTGACGAGATGTCGATGCCAGCGCGTTCTCAATACATCTATCTAGGCTCCTAGGTATGTTCAGGCTTTGACTCCGAGACAAGACGAGTGACTGAACGCGTGTTCACTAGGTCGTTCCAGCCTCTCCTCGAAGGTCTCCACCTCCACCAACACCGCAGCAACTGAGCGTTTTCCTTCGCCTCGATCACGGACAGGATTCTTTGCCGTTGTTTATGCCATAGCCACATCTTCGTGGTTGAATTATTTACTTGTCGTTGTTCCCATCGCCATTGCCAGCTACCTCATCCGCGCACATCCAGTCATAGTCTTCGTTACGAATGTCATCGCCGTTGTTCCGCTATCGTCTCTCCTAACGTATGCCACCGAGAATATCTCGCGGGAGTCGGGTGATGCCATTGGGGCTTTATTGAATGTTACTTTTGGCAATTTGGTCGAGATCATTCTCTTGTAAGCAAATCCTCGCTCTCAAGCATACCCCGATTACTGATAACGAACAGCATGTGAGCCTTGAATCCACACGTCGACTGTGGTCGAACTAACAGAAACAGAGCGGCACTCTACCATGACAAGTTCGAAGTCGTCCAGGCTTCAATCCTGGGCTCAATTCTCGTAAATCTGCTGCTCATCTTAGGCATTGCAATCCTCGCTGGAAGCTACTACAACCATGAGCAAAGGCACGACCAGGATGAAGCACAAGGTCTGGCATGTCTGCTTAGTGTGTCCGTGTTCAGTCTCCTTGTACCTGTGGGTAGGTCTTTCTTGCGCGCTTCCTGGATGCTGATCTCCTCAGAATGCATTCTACCACTCTTTCACCGACGATGTTAAGGCAGAAGCTGCCACCCTGATACTGAGCCGAGTATCCTCGCTGATGCTACTGGCTATCTATATCCTATACATCTTCTTTCAGATCAGAAGATCTGTCTCGACAGTCTCATATCACCCTCCCGGTTTCACAGCGAGCCGAAGAACAAGCGGCAGTCATAGCGACAGTCTCCGCGCCTCGTTTATGGCACCGAGATCGATACGCTTTCAAGATGAGGAGTCAGTGGATGGCCTGGAGCCTGGGGCCAATAGGAACAGGGACATTCTGGAGCTGAGTCCTATGGTGGAGTCAGACAGGTCCGAAGAGGGTCACGACGATGACCACCTCCAACACCACAGCGATGGAGATGAGGAGTCTCGAGGCCTCATGGACGACAGGACACCAACAACCGCGGAAGACAAGAAGATGGCACGTGCACATTCAATCTACCAACATCACACGCAGCACCGGTCACGCTCGCGAGAGTCTCGTCGACGCGGCCGCAGTCAAGGGGCGGATTCCAGAAGACTTTCTTTTGCCGCTTCCAGCTCCAATCTTTCTCGATTTCTACTGGGTAGCAACCCGGCAACAGATGTTGAAGATATTGACTCGACAAGCGACGTGGACGCAATATCCGAGACGATGGTTGTCATTGGACGGAAGACATCGATATTGATCCTTGTCATGTCATCCGCCCTTGTTGCTGTGTGCGCAGAGTTTCTTGTCAACACTCTCGACGACATGGTTTCCTCTGGTCCCTTCTCTCAAGCATTCATCGGCCTCATCATCCTTCCTGTGGCTGGCAACTGTGCCGAGTTGCTCACTGCTATCATTGTCGCTGCGAGAGGCAACTTTGATTTGGCAATCGGCGTCTCGGTTGGCTCGTCCGTTCAGATTTCACTGTTTGTAACGCCGCTTGTGGTTCTCTCCGGCTGGATAATGCAGAAGGAAATGACCATGTATTTTGGCCTGTTCGAGATTGTGGCATTGTTCGCCACCACGTTCCTTGTGAATTGTCTGATACTCTGTTCAAGAACGAACGCCTTGGAGGGAAGCATATTGTGTGCCTGCTATTTTATCATGGCAGCCGGAGCATTTCTATTTCCCAGATCTGACAGTTTATAATCTTAAGCCACGGGAGAGTTTCTATACATGGGCGTCAAAGAGAGCGGTCTAGCTTTGGGGTGAGGGGACCATTTTCGTCTCGCGCGGCTGAGACCAAGTTGATATTTAAACAGTTCAATTAAACATGCGCTCATCCTCTGCGAAAAACCTCTCACCTCTGTTGCTGTGGTTGACTTTTCCATTCCGGTCTCTATGTATGCGACCATTGACGGAGAAGATGTCGCAGTTTGAACGGCCCCGGGGGACGTCAAACCAGGTGTATAGAGTTCGAAAAGCGTGCTGGCGCGTACCGGGCCGAAGGATGGGAAAGTGGCCGGAGCTGTCAACGCCTACGCACTGGCGCGTTGATGAAGAACACATCGGGACCGGCCTACGTGCTCGGCATGGTCCATGCGAGTACCAGTGCTGCCGCCGTAGCAAGCTCCGTGCACACGTGTGAGCTTCCCCGACGTCAAACAGGCGTTGGTGGTTGGCATCTGTATCCGGGATGGCCCACGGTAAAGACAAAGCAAGAGATTGTGCTGGGTTGCGTTATCGTTAGGCTAGTCAAGCGAAGTGACATAAATACGACAATATCTCGACGACCCGGTGGTGTCTTAGTCCAGTTAGAAAGGAAGACCGGGTGTCCTGGATATCTGGTACTCTTTGGGATGGTTAAGATTCGAATGCCGACATCATAAAAAAAAAGCATCTGCGCCCCGACTGTCGCACCATTGGTATTCGGACCGGTACAAACCACCGCAATGATGGTCGGCTTAGGAGACAGATGCGAAGATCATCTTCCCGAGAGCGTCATGTAGCATGTCGATCCACAGAAAGGACTTGAGCGTCAGTCGGAGCCGTGGCCACGAGCAACGCTTGTTATTGTTATTCAACAAGCCAACGTGCTCTCTCAGCCTGGACGCGATCCATGCAGAGTCATCTGTCGTATCAGAGGCGTAGACGGCAATTTTACCAATCATGAGAACCCACAGCGCGAGGTGACAAGCGCCTCGCGCCGACCGACAGTGGGTGTCGAGGCTCTCAAAACAAGTCCGGTATTTATCACAGAGGTAGCCGTTCGGAAGGTGGATGCCCCGCCGTTCGAGGAAGACATGTGAACAGAATGCGAGCATCGCAAGACGAATCGCTTCGTTGACCGGGTCGGGTTTTGCAAGGTTCATTCTTAGAAGCGCGTACGTGACGGAGCTCATGGTGGTCAAGAGGATTCGGTCGCTGAGCTTGGTGCCGTCGTCCGCGGCTGAGTTTACCAGATGACAGAAGTGGCTCAGACTCGCCCATACCCCGGCTAGGTTCTCGTCTGATGTGATACCGTTTGTGCACCGATGGGTGGCAGTTACGTCGAGGTATTCACCGTCCGCCAGACAAGGAGTAGGTGGAAAATATGGCTTGGTCCGTGGTTGTTGATGTAGGAGAAAAGTAGATTGTACAGGTTCAAGTACAGGCTGAGTGAAGTCAAAGACTGGTGGTGTTCCCCTGTGAAGTGCAATGCTGATGTCACACCTGCATATGGTAGATTAGGATTAGCCTAGTGAGCCATACTCCAGAAATAGCTGGGATAAGTTCCCAAATGGATAGGTCAAGGACGAGTTCAGGGGATTGTCGCTAACCTTATTAACTCGGTGAGAAGTTTAGGGAAATCTTGGAATACAGCAATGCCTCCTCGCATCTCGATCATTTTGCAAAGACCTCCCAGGTGGTGCTCGGCGGTGTCGTGGTCGCCGGTCAAATGTGCAACGTGCGCCAGAGTTAAGACGATCAGTATTGTGGAATTCGAAACAGAGGATGACTGTTCGGTTGCGGCCGAAGTCGAAAGTCTCTCGCGAAGGAGCCGAATTGCCTTCACCATGTGTGCTGACGACTGGTGGCCGGAGCAACCCGACACCAAGTCCATGTATGCTTGAGCTCCAAACATTACGGCATTAAGATATGCCGGGTCGAACGTCAACGGATCGAACATCGATCGGTCCTGGACGTTGAAATCAAAGCATTGCTCCAAGGGGAAGAAAATCCGTTTCGAAGCCGAGATAACTTTCACAGGGTCAGTATCGTGGATGATCCTTTCTCCACAGCCTCTTGCATTATATCTATCTGCTAGACAGATATCGTAGGGCGAAGTCAACACTCACATTTCAAGACCTCCCATAGCGTAGACGGCTCTACTGAATCGGCAAATCGTAGCAAAGATAACTCTGAGCCAAGCGAATTGGGGACCGCCTCTGAGACTGGAGCGACCGTCTTGGGCTTTCGCCTACTATGCAGGATCCTTCCGCGATTTCTCCCCAGCATGCAATGCCTCCTGATCAGCTTACGCATTTCAGGATCCGCTTTGTTCACGCTGGTGGAGATGACGAATGGCATTCCAGCAGCTGATGAACGAGCGAAAAGGTCAAACTTGTCGCCCTGGAAATGAAAACAGACCGCAAACTTACCCGAACTATCCGCATTAGCCATGTCCATATCAGCCCGTTCGGAAAATTGTGAACACAGCGTTAGTGGCTGTACTCAACACCCTGGCGAGACGATCGTCGCGGAACCATCGCGGCTTTCAAAACGGACAGGCTCTGCTCATCGTAAGAGAACGAACGCATGACTCTCCCCGAGGATACATCAACATAGAAACGAAGTATGCAGAATTCTCGCAACGGATGGAGTTTCTCAGTCATTGAAAGCAGGTCCCGTAGAGAAATTTAGCGTGCTTGAGATTGTTGCCCGCTTTAGGTTTAGCCTGAGTGAAGGTCTCTCATCGCCCAATCACCTCTCGTCCAGCCTTGTTCTATGGATATGAATTCTGTCTGAGACATGCGAGAGTTGACCTTTATTTACAGAAGGGTGGAACCTGAGGCTGGGCGATGTGTACCTCGTTGACTACCGATGCACATCCGCACTGGAAAGAGGCATCAATGTCTCCTCTCCGCGACGCAATTGGAGGAGTAGTGTGCAGGTGACAGGTCTACCTCCCACGGCATGCTCCAGAGCCGGCGGAAGGGTGCTGATTGATTCATTGTTCCTAGCTCCGAGTAAGTACCTACACTGAAGCTATATAAGATGGGTTGGTGTTTGCTTCTCAATCTCTCTTTTCAACCTTCCTTCTTGACAGTGCTCTTTGGAAACTCTCCGGCCAGGCCCTCGAGCACAACACCGGACTCGGACTGCCCACCTTACGTTCAAAATGTCGACTCCAAAGGTTATAGTATTTGGACCGTCTGGAGCGGTTGGCTCGGCCACCGCACGCGCTGCTCACGAACTTGGAGCAAAGGTGGTACTGGCAATGCGGGACACGAAAAAGCCCATTCCAGGCCTGGATGAGGCACAGCTGAAAGACGGCAGCTTCGAGAAAGTACAAGCCGACCTACAAAGCCCTGATACTGTGCACGATGCGGTATCGAGCACCCAAGCTACCCGTGCTTTCATCTACATCGCCCACCGCTCACCCGACAACATGAAGTCTACCCTGCAGGCACTCAAGTCTGCCGGCATCGACCTGGTGGTATTGCTCAGCAGCTTCACCATCCGAGGCGAACCAGAAGACGTGCAACCTAGCGAGGTTATACCCTACCTCCATGCCCAAATCGAGATCAGTCTCAAAGAAGTATTTGGCCCAGGTGGGTACGTCGCTGTTAGACCGGGTTCATTCGCCAGCAACACAATCCAGTACAAGGCAGGCCTCGAGAGTGGGTTGGTCAAGATCTTCGCACCTGATGCTACAATCGATGCCATTGCACAAGAGGACATTGGGAGAGCCTGTGGTACGGTTCTCGTGAAAGGGCCGCAGGACGACAACGCGGCCATGTACCTGTATGGCCCACAATTTATTTCGCAGGCAGACTGTGTCAAGACCCTCGCAAAAGTCCTGGGCAAGAACCCTACCATTGAAGTGATTGACAAAGAGGAAGCATACAAGAAATTTACCGAAGAGCGTCACTGGCCTACTCCTCTCGCGGAATACATGATCAAGCATTCGGGGGCGGTAGATCCTGCACGCAGTCTGGTCTGTGGTTATCCAGTCGACCCTGAGCAGCTGGCGAGTGTCGAGAAATACACTGGCAAGAAAGCAATGACGTTTGAAGAATGGGCAGAACAGAACAAGCAGAGGTTTCTCTCTTGATGATCGAGATAGCTGTAGCACAGGTCGATGTACTTACTGTACGCTTTACCAAACTGACACTAGCACCAACGCGATGTCACATAATCGGGCTTCCTGTCATGGTCTAGCAAAAGATACAACCTTCTTATCAGTCCAACCTCAGAGCTTATCACCACAGCTTATTTGTTTATAGTCTACGAAGACCAGTCAAGCTTGCTCAGTGCAGGTTCGATCATGGCGCTACGACTGCTTAGCATAGTTTGGCACAAGGCGGCTATCGCTTGGTGAGCCGCACTGCAGATGTTCTCTCCATGAGACCAATCGCCAGTTTTCGAACACCGCTTCTCCCTGCTATCACTCCACGCCGGCACATCCGTACCTGGGCGGTTCTCAACATCTTCCTGATGCGGGGGGCCTGGGTGCCTGTTCCTCGGTGGCTCTGTGCTATGCTGATTCCGAAGAATCTTTCGCTGCCCGCATGTTCCCTCTGGCGACGTGCAGAGGTTCTCTGATTCAACAATGATCTGGCTGAAGCAGATCGCGGCTGTTAAATAAGTATGGACATCTACAGCACGCATAATACCTACATACTTTGCTCCGCAGTAGGAGCTCATGTGGATTACACTAGACTCTCCAGGTCATAAACTCGGTAGCACCGGACTCCCCCGGTTGGACGATACCTCGATTCAGGCGGCATTTATCGCATGGATCAGCTTACCTCTCCGATGCTACATCATGGCATTGAGCCACTTCCCAATCGGCAGGCGTTGCTCTTCTGCTCGCTAGACCACATAAGTAGCTCGAGGACCGCAACTTACTCCAACGCCAGGTCTTCTCCACGAAGCTCGACATCCATAGGCGAGGAGTAATCATGAAGCTTCAGTATTTGAATAGTCTCCTAGTGGCCTGCGGCTGTCTTTTCGGCCTGGGAGCGGCACGCCGTGATGTTGCATACCGAAGAGGCTTCACTCCTCAGGGAATGGAAGAGATGCGAGCTCGTGCTCTACTCGGGCGTGATGTTGCTGCTCCCGCCGAGCCCCTGTACTATACAAACAAAACCAAGAGTGAGACTCCCAACGAGCTACCCTCCTGAAGTGCAGTCAAGGTGGTGATCCTTTCTTCCAGAGACACTGACCATGAACGTATCAGAGTTCTTCGTGGAATCGCTCCCCGATGTCCCACAAAGCTTCATGACCGAGCTTTACAGCGGGATCATCCCACTCAACATGTCCGACGATAGTCGAGGCATGTTCTTTATTTTCCAACCTCGAGTTGGTCCACCAGTCAAGGAGATCACAATCTGGTTCAACGGAGGCCCGGGATGCAGCTCATTGGAAGGCTTCTTGCAAGAGAATGGGCGCATTCAGTGGAGCTGGGGTCAGTACTCCCCTACGATTAACCCGTACTCCTGGTAAGTTTCGATATCTTTCTTTCGCTTGAAGCTAGACGTCTCCTCAGAGGCAGGCATTTCAGCCTGTGAGCGTAATTGTACCAGTTTTGATTACGATGCAGGGTGAACCTGACCAACATGCTTTGGGTCGAGTATCCCATTGGTGTGGGCTTCTCTCCTGGAGAACCCACCGCTACAGACGAAGAAGAACCAGCGCTAGAATTTGTCGAGTTCTTCAAGAATTTCCAGGTAATATTTATTCCTCATGGTTGCCTTTTAACGTTGAACCGGGCTTCCTGACAACTATACTAGACGATCTTTGGTATCAGCAACTACTCAATCTATGTGACCGGAGAGTCCTACGCCGGAAGATACGTGCCATATGTCGCCAACGCGATGCTTGACCAGAACGACACAACACACTTCAATGTCTCAGGTAAGTTAACCCTAACCCTAACCCTGACGGGCCATGTCGTGTGTCCTTGGAGAATCGATGGATTTAGCATTTCAACGGCTTTCCCTAATTAACACACATCCGCACAAAAGGCGCCCTCGTTTATGATCCTTGTATCGGCTCCTGGCCAACAGGAAACGCGGTGTCCGTGTACCCCTGGATCGAAAAGTACAACAACATCATGGGCTTCAACGACTCGTATGTGTCTATGCTCGCCGACATGGATAAGAAATGCGGCTATGCGCAATATCGCCAAGACTACATGCACTTCCCACCCAACGGCACACAACCCATTACCTATCTAAACACGACGGCTGACCCGGACTGCGACCTGTGGGACAGTGTGTACTATACAGCGTACTCTGTAAACCCGTGCTTCAACGTGTACGAGCCAAATCTTCAATGCCCGCTATTATCGGACCCGCTCGGCTTCCCGACGGATCTGATCTATTCGTACCCGGGCTTGCCGCCTTACTTCAACCGCACCGACGTCAAGAAGGCCATGCACGCTCCCGTTGATGTAGACTGGGAACTTTGTACAGGCCCCGTGTTTGTCGCTGAAGACGGCGGTCCCGAGGACGAAAACGATCTGAGTGCCGATCCGATCCAGAAGGTCCTTCCTCGAGTCATTGAAGCGACTAACCGTGTGCTCGTGTATGTCATCTTTGTTCTTTTTCTCTCTTTTCTTTTTCATTATCCCTTGCCTTCACACCCCCGGGAGTTTTAAATTCTACCTCTCTTTCTCTCCGCCAAGCCAATTCCGTAACGAGAACTACCGAGGTGGAGTTCCCTGGTATTTTCTGGACTTTTGACTGACCGCGCGGGCATTTTGATGTCTATCCAGGTCAAACGGTGATCTCGACCTCGAAGTCTTGACCAACGGCACCCTCCTCGCGATCCAGAACATGACGTGGAACGGCAACCTCGGCTTCCAGGCCGAACCGTCCAAGCCCATCTCGATCCACATCCCGGACATCCAGTACCAGGAGGTCTTTGTCTCGAGCGGCTTCGAAGGTGTCGATGGCCCTTCTCAGGGCATCATGGGAATTCAGCACTACGAGCGAGGACTGATGTGGGCACAGACGTATCTCAGTGGGCACATGCAGCCTCAGTTCCAACCGCGCAGTACGTACCGTCACCTGCAGTGGGTGTTGGGAAGAATCGACGCGTTGTGACCGAGACTATGAGTGAGCCCACCATGTCACGAGGCACTGTCAGTAGGTCGGTGTGGATTTGGGTAATAGTAGATATCACGTTAGTGTCCGTACCAGTTATGATATACGATGATCACCCAGTATCTACTTCTGCTAGTTATTGGTTCGGGTGTGACTGACCATCTACCAAACTAGCCTTGAATGAGTCAATTGTAGGTTCGTCTGTCTATACAACGAGAGAAGAACAACGAACACTGAACTTATACCAACGAAGAAAAATCTGTCGTAGGGTTAGGGTTGGGGTTGGGGTTAGGGTTCCCCCTTAGGGTTAGTGTTCCTCTTGCGTGGTGAATGGATTAATTCTTTCTGCCTTTCATGAGAAGTATTCTGGTATTGTAATATCATCTTCACTCTAATCACATGATAACTCCACTTATCGCATATAGTTTTCGGTCGACTGACATGTATCGATGTTGAGTATGATTTTGTCGTCATTCGTATCCAGCGTGATGTGTCGTTTGTATATCGAGTGTCATCCGTCGTTTCCATCAAGTGTTATATATTGGTCCTATCAAGCGTGATGCGTGGTAGATGTGTCGACTCGTCTAGGTACGCTACATGTTCTCGGTTCATTCGGTAAGCACGCACCCAGGTGATGATGTTGCATTCTCTTTCTTCATTTAAATGTCATATTCGGTTCACTCCATAGTCCCCAAATCGTCAGCGACCGTGAACTTGGCCGCGGTTTTCTCCCTGATCATGTCAACGGTCACACCGTCAGCCGTCTCGGTGAGAAGCAACCCCCTTCCACCAGTCCGGTCGACCTGAAACACACCGAGCTCGGTGATGATGGTGCTCACGACGCGCTTTCCCGTGAGCGGCAAATCGCAGATGTCGACAATCTTGCTCCGGCCGTCCTTGTCGCAGTGGTAGGTGCAGACGACAATCTTTGTTCTGTCCGGGTTGCTCACGAGGTCCATGGCGCCGCCCATGCCGTTGAACGCCTTCCCGGGGATGATGTAGTTTGCCAGGTCGCCCTCCGCGCTGACCTGCAGCGCCCCGAGGAGCGACACGTCGACGTGCCCGCCGCGGATCATGCCGAAGCTCTCGGCGCTGTCGAACGTGCTGGCCCCCGGCACGAGCGTGACGGACTCCTTGCCCGCGTTGATCGTGTCCGGGTCGGCTTCGGCGCGCGTGCGCGGGTACGGGCCCATGCCGATGATGCCGTTCTCCGACTGGAGCCACACCTTGGTCGACGGGGGCAGGAAGCTCGGCGCGAGTGTCGGGATGCCGACCCCCAAGTTGACGTACATGCCGTCTTTGAACTCGCGGGCGGCGCGACGCGCGATGCGGTTGCGTGCGACGGTGTCACTGTCGTTGGTGCCGACGCCGGAGCCGGAAGAAGCAGAAGAAGTTGATGATTCTGACGGCGCGAGCACAAGCTTCTCGAAATGTTTGTCGCTTGTGGCTGGACAGATTCGGTCAATGTAGATGCTCGGAAGGTCGATATGGTCTGGGTCCAAAGAGCCGATGGGGACGATGTTTTCGGCCTCAACGATGGCCATGCGCGCCGCCTTGGGCATCAGCACGCCGTACGTCTTGGTCGTGCTGCGGAAGATGCAGTTGCCTGCCTCGTCCACCTTCCAGGCCCGGACGATGGCCACATCGCCTTTGAGTGCTGTCTCCATGAGGTAGCGTCGGCCGTCAAAGATGCGCGTCTCGCGAGGGCGGCCTGGCTCAAGGATGGAGTGTTTGCCCGTGGCAGGATCCTTGGGCCCGAGACGGATTGGGATCCCGCCTGTTTCGATAAGCGTGCTGGATCCCGTGCCTGTGAAAAAGGCTGGGATGCCGGCACCGGCGGCACGGAGACGCTCGGCGATAGTTCCTTGTGGGCATAGCTCGATGGCCACGCGACCGTCGTGGTACTGTTGGCCTAGAGATTTGTTGTTGCCGATGAATGAGACGATCATGCGCGAGATCTGTCCGGTCGATGTGAGTTTGGCAAGGCCGTATTCGCCTGCTCCGGCGTTGTTGGAGACGACAGTCAAATCGCGAATGCCCTTTTTGCGGATGGCATCGATCAAGGTTTCTAGTTGAAGAGAGAATCCGTGTCAGTGGGTGGTGTTAGTGTATCGCTGATCAGGGATTTGGTGGTAGATAGGTGAGCAGCATTTATGAGGCATACTACTCACCTGCAACACCACTAAGGCCGAATCCCGCACTGAGAATGGTTGCTCCATCTTTAATGTCAGCGACGGCATCGTCGGCGCTTTTGAATATTTTAGATGTGCTTCTTGGACTTAGTTGTTGTGTGCCGCTTTGAGACAGCTGTTGTCGTCCAAGGTGCTGCCTGGTATTAAATGACCGACGCCGGCTGGATGGGCCTGTATGTATATGTATGTTCCACAGTGCGACCTTCAGAGAGTGTGGACTGGCGAGTGTCGGAGCTGTCCTGGGAGCGCATAGCTCCAGCGCAACAGACATGGCTATAGAGAAGGAGTCTGCTAAGGTTGGCGCAACGAGAAAGACAGGATACAACAGGAGAGCTGTTTATCAGAAGCAAGCATGTTGTCTCGTCGACCCCATTCAGGGGAGTCCAATGCCAGTTACTTACCTCGGACTCATAGTGTATTGGTGGGGTCGCCGGTCACCGGCCATTCTCCGTGTGGTGGTAAAGACTCCATCGGTGATTGTAAAACAACCGAGTCTAGTTTAAGGTACCTTATAGTGTGTCGTACAACACCACCTGGTCTGCCACGAGTTGACAAAAAGCATTCCTCATACTCGGCGTACATGTCGTCTTATCGTAGGGAAGCCAACAATGACAAAAATGCCAAGACACGTAACGATACCTTCATCTAACGCTCTTCGAACAGACAACGCATATACACATGCATTTGCTTGACGATGCCACAAGGCGTCCATCCGTGCTAGCGATATTGCTACAGGGCGTACCCGTTCATGTTCATGATCCCTACCCGAACAACGTGATAGAGTGATATATACCCTTCCACTCGGCACTGCGCCGCCTCCTGAGGATCATCAAGGATAACAAGGTCGAGGGTCAGACAGTCAGCTACCTCGCCATCGAAGGCTCACTCACTTCCAGACAGCACACGATGGACACTTCCATCTCCACGCCACGTCTTCAATTGACAGTGATCACGGCGGCGGAAAGGGGAAGTCCTGAATTCGAATGGGTACATCAATTACGCAGCGACAAGCAGGCGACATGGTGGAGGTAAGAATCGTCGGGGCACGTTTTCATTTTCAACAACAGACATCGCCTACCGTCTTCTACTCCTTTGATCTCGGTTAGTGTTAGTCAGTCATACTGAGCCAACCCAAAAAGCATTCTTCCTCGATCCGAGACTCCAGAAGATACCGAAAAGGCGATCCAAAAGATTCTGCCAACGACGAATACTTCGCTGGAAGCCCACAAGGACGCTCTCAACATCGACGATGAACGAAGAAAGGCACATCGCGTCACCTTCGCCGTTCACGAAATCCGCAACGACGACGACGGCTGCAACAGTGGCCAGGACCACAACCAAGGCCGGGTCCAACGTCAGGCAGAGCACCCTCGTCCACACGAAACACGCTTCATCGGCCTCGTCGCCCTCGTCCACGTCGACGCCGACAATCTCGTCTTACCAGAGCACCTCAGCCCGTCGGCCTCGGAAACCTCACTGATCCTCGAACTGTCATACTCTTTCCTCCCGGACGCCTGGGGGAAGGGATACGCGACCGAATCCGTGAACGCCGTGCTCGCGGCGTGCGGCAGGTGCGTCTCGCTCTGGAGCCCGTACGCACAAGTCTACGTCCGCGCCATCGTCAACGGAGAAAACCGTCCGAGTCTGCGCGTCATGGAGAAGACGGCCATGGTGAAAAAGGGCGTGTACGAACTCAACGACCGTCCTGTTTTTCTTGCGGGCAAAATTCGTCAGCATCATGTCCTTCATATCTATGGGATGTACCTCGTCGATCAGACAATCACTCAGGGGACGATGTGATGCAATGTGTGACAACGCTTCCAAGTGAGTCGGTCACACACACACACACGATGCAATTACATCTTCTCCGCATATATATATACCTTTCGCGATCCTACCATCATACAGTAAACGACAAAGCACGACTCTCTCTACACTCCAATAACCAACGGAGATACATCGCTAGATCTGAAAAGGACCGGTGTCAGAGTCTCCCAGGAACAAACATTACACACTGTACCTACCTCCTACCTAATCAGGTCCATATAGATGTCCCCGTTCTGTCTGTACTTGATTCATTACCTCTCGCTCATTCCTCCCAAGGTCTAACCCAAAGCCTCTACGGCATTTGTCTCTTCACCACCCACTTGCAGTATCACCGCCACAGACAGACTCAGGATATATTTATATAGATACACATACGTATCATCATTACAACTGTTCATGCACAAATCGAGTCTAGCCGATCAATCATATTCTTCTTTTGTGATCTTACTCTACAGAAACAAAAACCACTAACGCTTAACCATGCGCAGCCTGGAATTCTGCCGGGACACTCACCTAGGCGTTTATTCAATCATGTCCACAGGCAGAGATCTTCTGACAGACGCAGACTCACAGTCACACAACTCAAGTTAGTGTTGTTTTGAACAAGAACATACGACATTTTCCTTACACTAACCCATTTCAGCCTCGCTGCACCCCCCAAAAATGCATATCTAAGGTACCCAACCTTTGATTATCGTGTAAGAGACAAAACCCACGCTCTAGAGCCCTCGTAAACTCCTCTCATGTACAACGCGTCATCATAAAGTACATTCATGAATCCCCGCTGGGCCAAGATCATTGTACTCGGTTCTGGTGAGGAAACCCTTGCTGTTTCCTTGATCTACTATGAAAACAACCTTTGCAGCAACCTGCGCACCCAAAAATGCCGCCTCTTCCATTCCACTGACATGAGGATCCTTCCATTCAGGAAAGTAGTCTGGCATCTTGACTGTCTTGACTGACGTAGGGGATTGACTGAAGCCGCGGTGATGATAACCCATTCCTTGATCCTGGCCTGGCGGTAATTGTCCTTGAACCTGCAGATGCTGATTAGGCTGCATCATGTTCTTCGTCGCTGCGACCAGTAGCGGATTGACGCCACCACCGGGGTGATGGAGTTGTTGGCCGACTTGTCCTGGTATTGGTGTATTAGTGCCTGGGGTGGCTACCGGTGTGGTGAAATTCGACGGTAACTCCGAAGTGAAGATGGTGGCAGTAGAAGGGGAAAGGACGTAGCGTGAGTTGAGTATCGAGACCAGACTAGATGTGAAACCTGGAGGAGTTAGTGAGAGCTCAAACGAGAGACGGAGCGACAAACCTCTGACGCGACTACCGTTTCCGACCACAATCAGATTGTCCCACAGTGCTGACCGCATGGCGATATCAGGGACACTCAGAGCGGCGTGGTGGATTGCCTCTGCGATTGTGTCGATCAACCCTTCAGCATTTCCAGCTAGAGGCGTGGCGGCCATAAACCTTTCCACCCCGACCTCGACTTCTCGCTTTTTACGCCGACTAACGCGCTCAGCATCATCGGACTCATCAGGTGGCAGGTATTCGACATAGGTGAATGTTGCACGCTCCCTCTCCGAATTTCTCAGACGGATCTGTTTTGGTGCTTCGGCAGCGGCCCCCTTCTTCGCCGCTGCGGCTTTCTCGGCCTTCTCCTTCTCGCGTTTTGCAAGAAGTTCCGCGGCATTATCGCGAGCCACAATCGCGGCGACATCAAGCACACCTTCATTTTCATCATCGTCGCCATTACCTGCCTCCTCACCAACCACAGTCCCGGTGCCAGGACCACGAGGGGCTTGGCCAGGCCTTAAGCCCTCCTCATCTTTGGCATTCAATCCCGAGTCCAAAGCTCCCGTAGAAGCTGCAGAGGCCGGGTTAGGAGCGAAGCCATTGTGCGCCACCGTCGGATAGGCTACTCCTGCAGGAAGAATCTCACAAATGGGGCTCTTTTTTAGCTGTTCCGCCATATCTTCCGTAAAGCCTTGTTTCTCCAGTACTTGTTGTAACCGTTTGGTCATGGTTTGTCCACCGCAACCACGAAGACCTGCTCCCCGGCCAATATCATTAACCTGAAATTCGGTCACTGCAGTAACATCGCACTTTTCATAACCAATGTCAACGACAAGTCCGGTCGGGATACCGTAAGCATATATCCCAGTAAGAGCGGCGTCCATTAGACAAAAGGCAGGGATTTTCCAGTTCTCAAAAACGAACTGAGTGATCATCTCGTTATCCCTTGCGGACCAGCAAGGTTGTGAGACGAATAATACCGGGCTGTGGAACGGGGGGGAGACCATGTTGTAGACATGCGAGAGGAGTGCGAAGAAGCAAGGCCAGTTCTCAATGCGACCTTCGACGATTGGATAGACGGCACCTTCTGTAGCATAGGGGTCGTCTTCGTGCTCGATTACCTCTTCCTCCACCTCTTGCGCTGCCTCTTTCATCTCCGTATCTGGTTCGGACTTTGCAGCTTCTATTGCTTCTTGCGCGGAAGCGGTTTCCTGTTTTGCTTCTTCCTGGGTTGGTGCATCAGCCATGTCAGTGTCTGGTTTTGGAGCCTCGGGTACTGGGTCTTTCGCCTCGGCTGGAGCTTCTGCCATTTCCACGTCGGCCAAAGGCACGGCTTCAGAAGTCTGTTCAGGTTTTGATGACTCGACGGGAAGAACAGCGTCGCTTTCACCCTCTTGAAGTTCAGCTTTCTCTGTGGCTGTTTGACTAGATATCTCATCGCTCTTAGTTTGTATCTGATCAACTTCTATTGACGATGCGACAGGCTGCTCAATCGTGGGCGGTAGGCCTTGCGCCGGCTCCGCGGTAGATTCGACTTTCGTCTCTCCATTCTGGGTAGCTTGTGGTTCTTGTGGAGCTTCTTTCCTCTTGGATGTGATTTTTGACCGAATTTTAGTAGGTTCCCATTCTCCAGGATTTGCGCCTGGGAACATGCGACTGGGAAATCGGTAGCGGGGAGGAGTGAACGACTCGGGCAGACCTAGTTGCGCCGAGGTGATGTACGAGCCCGGAGCAATAATCTGTGGTCAGAATCAGCCAAGTGCGTGTGCAGCGCGCAAAAGGTATACGTACGAGCACATGCTCATCCTTAAAGGGCGGCATCGCGGCGACGGCGTCAGTGGTTCACCTCGCTCGTTGTCGACGAGACGATGCGCTCTTCAGTCGCGCCTTCACCAGGGACTTTCACTTCTACCGCGACTTCTCCAAACGCGGGCATTGCCAAGAGAAAAGACAGGGTCACGTGAGCCTGTGAGACTACAGTATGTATGTAGTCGAACGCTCGGCCCCGAAAGCACACCAAGTTCTGAGCTTCGTACAGTACATAAAATCCTAGGAGGCGACGAACCACACTTTGAACAGTGCAGTGCGGAACGGAATAGAAGCAGTCTTGAACTCGCAGCGGGCAAATCGGTCACAGATCGCTGGTCAGAATCAGGTTTTGGAAACTGCTTTTGATTTCTCATGTATCTAGAAAACGGCCCCAATCTAATGGACCTCCTGAGTAGGCACCCAACCATCATTTCTCGTCGTAATAGTACAATCCGGACTAGCCGTCCCTCGCCATAACTGTGAATTCCTGGCTACTGCCCGGTAGTCAACTCCAGCCATAATCTTCAAACTTGAAAGACTGTCACTTTCATTCTGGTTTGCCCAGACCTGTCGTCGTATCTTGCGATGTTCTTTCTCCAACCTCACTATGGTCCACTTGATTGTCATCAGACTCGACCATGTCCACCGACGATCAGGGTCTTCGGCGAAACCATCCTCGCTAACCACTTGCTGCAAAGCCTGGTCTGTCGCTGCCAGTAATAGGCGCGCCATGTGTGGGCTGCATGCAAGGAGTCGGCTCAGAAGTTTCATGCGGAAAACTGCTGGTCTGGTCGGTGTCGAAGGCATCGAAATCAAACAATGAATCAGTGGGAAATTGTTCAGGATGGAGGAGAAATCCTGTTCCGTCGAGGTCATTGACAATTTCTGTGCCAAAATCTGGAAGAGATTGTAAATTGGCAAGAGCGTTGTCGTTGAGAAGGTTTGAAATATCGTCAAGGTCTGGAAGACTTGCAGGAGGTAACTCAGGCCAAAACTGTTGGTTTGACTGCATGGGAACGTCGGCAGCTTGAAAGCCCAGGTCTCCGGTTGACACTGCAGGTCACACAATACCACGGCAGGATATTGTGTCATACCGGAGATGGCTGGGAAGCTTTGGTACGTCGCCATCGATTCAGACCGATCAGCTTCAGCGTGTTCGTTGATGATGTTCAGTTGTGGGGCGAGCACGGGAGACTCGTGTTTGACTGGGGTGAGGGTGTCGGATTGAACTAGGGTGGGATGTTGCTGGACCTCACCATCATATGCTGGTGTGGCCGGGGTGGAGGATTTCAGGTCGAGGGGTGCAGGGGAGGCAAGGTGGTTCGAGGCGGACGAGTCGCAGTCAGACGGCATGGGTGTTGGGAAATCTGCTTGGACACCGAACCTCGACTGATAATGTGCTAGGAGTTCTCGAAGACTGGCGTTCTCCTGCTCGATGCGATGTTGTCTGGCCTCGAGCTCGGCAACAGCCGCTTTTTGGCGTTGTCGAGACTTGTCTGCCGCCCGTCGATTTCGAAGGATTCGTTCATTCTTTCTCTGTTCCTTCTCCTCTGCGGTCTTTGCTCGCTTTCGCGGGGGGAGGATTTGTTTGATCTCAGGGACTGGCTGACCCCATGCCTTCCGTTTCTTTTTGCTAGGTTGATCGGAAGGGGGCTGGCTTGACTCCTTGTAGTCTTCTGCGGTGGTGGCAGGCGAGGGATAAGACTCGCTGTAGCCGCAGACATCCAACATCGAAGGGTCGACGACGTTATCCATGGCACTCATTGTGGCGATAGTGTGAGGCGATCACGCTGGGCTGGAGTAGTGGCCAGCGTGTAGAGTAGGATGGGATTGTCGTTTATGTGGACGGCCGAAGAGACCAGGTGTCCTCAGTGTTTCTGCTTCATGGCAGGCAGCAGCATATGCTGGTTGGGTAGAGTGGAGGACAATCAATCACACAGTAGTCTGAAATTAGAGTCGGGGAAGATTGGCGATGCCTGTGAGTGAAGAAGAGTGATGGTGGTTCTTGGGCGGCGGGCAGGCTGATATAAGGACAGAGTGTCAAGAAGGGGATGAGGACGACACGACAACTTGCCCAGGGGGCGCAAGCCAAGCGGCCAATTATTCCTGTTGAACTCCTGAGTGTGTCTGACTTGCTGACCCGCAGCGTTCTATTTGCGTTGGCCATTCAGCGCAGCCTGTTGCGCCATCATCCTTCAGCCACCATGTGTCGAATCGGAGGCGACACATGCCATCCCTTGCTGTGTGCTTCGATCCCCTTCGCTTCGCTCCCTCCACACCGAAACTCAGCCTCAGACTCGTCAGCCGCACCGCTTCCTCCTGTCCCCTGTCCCACTTCGCCGTCTCGATCACGCCTCCTACAGCACTAGGTTTTGCCTATCAGGAGAGGGTTGTCTTGGACTCCGTGTCTCATACCGCATCCAGACTATCAGAATGCAGGGGATCTATCCACAGACTTCAATAGAGCCCTTCAGGCACCTGTCATCCAGGCTTTCCAGTGGCTCTTCTACGGTAATCGATTCCTCAGTCGACGAACCTCTAAAGGATAGAGAGGAACAGCATGTCTGCACATACCGTACCATAGTTCTGCACGGGGTATGATGCTGACTACGGCCCACCTCTCGGCCTCCGATTGAGCTCACATTCTATAGCCAGCTTTTATTAATGTTCAGCCTATCTCTTGCCAATGGCGAAAGTCCCACCTAGACCGGTCTGAGACTCAGATAACACCTGTTGCGGTCTTTGATTTGCGTCTAAGCTGCCCGGAGGCTTTTTATCACTTCTCCTGCAGAAGGGGGTATCTTGCTGTGTTCGAAACAACTTTTCCGGCCCGGGCTGCCCGCTATATTCCTTATGCAGATCCAGCCAGCCATCGAGGCAATAATCCGGTATCCCTTGTGCGCCCAGGCTCACAATACGGACCCCAACAGAAAGGCTATGTGCAAGCGGAGGAATGGTCTCCTCCACACCTCCGTTAGGCATGCGGCACATTGAGCGCCGCTGCATTCAATACTTTCTTCTTCATCCAGTCCGCATCATGATATAACTTTTCCTGATAGACCTCGTCCACCAAATCGTTGACCATGTCTTCAACAATTTGCTCCTGATATCGTTCGCCGATAGGTCGAGCATCCGGATGTTGGGGTCCGTCTTGTGCATAGCCGTACCACCACGGTCCGTCAAATTTACACTCAATTGCGCCACCAGTATAGTGACTGATGGCCGGGTAGTAGCCCAGTAACCCATCATCTACCTCTCCCTGGCCTGTGACAGCGCGACTGCCCTTCTCGATAGACGAGGCTGGCGGAAGAAATGCAAAGAGGTGCTCCCACACCACCCCATGGTATTTCCCATTGACCCAGAGCTCGATCTTGCTTCCGGGAAGAGTACGTAAATGCGGGAGCTCGGTGTTGGGATGAGGATCGGTGAGTAGGTCATACTTCTTACCGGTCTCGGGGTTGATGGATTTGTTTTTCGAGTTCAACGTTGGCCGGCTCAGATCATGGTTCGGTGTGTATTCGGGGCATTCGAAATATGTCATGCCTTTGTGAAGAAAAGGATTTCGGTCGCGGATAATGTCGTGATCTGAGGGGATTGTGAGTCCGTACAAAGGTTGTAAAGCAGCCCGTATGGAACTCCGTGAGGTGGATTTCTTGCTCGATTCATCTTTGCTCTTCACAACTTCACCATCTTTGGGCTTCGCCCCGCCCTTAGCAGATTTCTTGCCTGGACCTGACTTCTTCTTGGTGTTTGCAGGACCGCACTTTAGATCTGGGTGTTCGGCCGGGTTGTATGTGCCCTCAACAACCTTCTTGTGCACCTCCAGGGAAGGCAACGTGATCATAAGACCAACTACATCGCCGGGAGACAGGTCTTCGGGGTCCTTCCCACCTTCACCTTGCATGTGGTACATTAACGTGTTGAACCGAACGCTGCCATACTCTCGTGCTCGACCACTCCGTAGGACCACCGCATAACTGTACGCATTGCCACCGAGATTCTCGCTCCAGTGGTGTTCTCGTCGACAAAAGCCAACGCGCAGCCCTCCTCGGTTGGTCGCTGTTCTGTCAGAGTTCTGACTGTCGGCCAGAGCGCGGTCTGGTTCCTCCCTGCCTGGAGGAGCAATACTTAAGACCTTTGCTTCGAAGAAGAACTTTCCTTCTCTTGCAAACACGTTTGCTCTTGTTGTGTAACTCCCAAACTCCCCGCTCTTGCCTAGCATATCCTTGGTAAAGACGTTCTTGAGGCTTTCGACACCGCACTGTGGGTGGTTCTCGTCGCTGAGCCGGGCATATCTGGGAGGGGCTTCATCGGCGTGGAAATAAAAGGTATCTGGGTCTCTTTTCGCGCGGACATAGAATCGCTTTTCCTTACTCTCGACGCTGCCCGAATTAGCAAAGGTCCGTCGCGCAGGCTATGATCAGACACTTACTGGGTGCCTAGTGAGTAGAATTCAATTCTTTCGCCGTCGGTACCCCTTTTCGTGTGGTCGTATATCTTGGGGACCTCTTTCTGGTCTTGAAAGAACTTTGGGTCGTTCGGGGCAATGTAGGTGGGAAGTACGATTGCCCTTTCGTCGTCGTCAACTCTGTCGATCTTGCTAGACACCTGCTCTTTGACTTTTTCACTGGGCTTCTTCTCCCTATGCCCGCGCCCAGATGAGTCGTCCATCTTGGCACCCTTACAAGTGTTGAATCTGAAATTGATCAGGCGCTGTCGCGTGCAAACAATATCTTGACTTGCGGGCGGCCATGAAGAGCGGCCGGCTAATACTCGGCTAATCTCCGAGATATCAGGGCTCTATCAGGCTCCGAAAAACAATCGAGAACTGCCTTAATGGAGAGGAGAGCAGAGCGGAGCATTGTGGTGGCTGGGTTCAACCAAGCACCTTTTGCCAATACAGAGACATCTAGATGTCGCCGAAGCTGCTCTCACGACTGGGTAAAGGGGAAACGAAACCGCCTCGAACAGACATATTCCCCGACCCATCCTGTTGGAACTATGGATAGCCACGAAGCTCCCATTCTTTCGGCCATGTTCAGAATTCTCGTGTTTCAATCAAATATGACCATCCCCTGCAGATAACATCTGGTAAGCCGCGCAAAACGATGCTATTTCGAGAGAATGTTGCGTAGGCTTATCCCATAAGGCCCTCCGATGAGGCCCGAGGCTGGCCAATGACATCGCGTGTTCTCACAGTGCGCATTTATTTCCGCTGTGGAATCCCGATGGCTCTGAGAGAAGATGTTTTCTCAAGGGCGTGCATCAGATTGTCAGCGTCTTGTATGTTCTAGAATTCTTCTAGCCTTGGATTGATCAAGACGGCACATTTAGGTCGCTCGTTGTATGTGTGTTATATGCTTAGACGCTCCCTATTTAGCTGTTTACCTGGTCCGAAATCCTCGACCTCGGGATCCGTTCTACCAAGATATATTCACGGGGCACAGACACTGGCCATGAATTCAGACGAGTTCAGAAAGGCAGCGCATGCTGCCATTGAGGAGAGTATGGAGTTCCTTGACAGCTATTAGCCGCCCAAATCACTGATTCTCCCAGTCATTGCATACAATGAAAATGTGGCAGATTATCCGGTTCTCCCCTCCATCAAACCGGGATTCCTCGCACCACAATTGCCCAAATCGGCACCGGAACAGCCTCAAGCATGGTCCGATATCCAGCCTGATATTGCGTCGAAGATTGTTCCCGGACTCACGCATTGGCAATCACCAAAGTTCATGGCGTTCTTCCCAGCTGGAGTCACGTACCCATCTATGCTAGGGGAAATGTACTCGGCCGCATTCACAGCACCGGCGTTCAACTGGTTGTGCAGTCCTGCATGTACAGAACTCGAGACAGTTGTCATGGATTGGCTGGCTCAAGCTTTCGACCTGCCTGAAGAATTCCTAAGCACCTCACCGAATGCCGGGGGTGGCACGATACAGGGCTCTGCATCAGAGGCGGTAGTGACTTGTATGGTCGCCGCTAGGGAACGCTATTTACATGCCAAATGCGACGCCGAAGGTCTGAAACCGGACTCGGAGGAGAGAGCAGAGAGAATCGCATTCCTTCGAGGACGACTGATAGCTCTCTCTGCGGATCAGACGCACTCGTCGACACAGAAGGGCTCACTGATCGCGGGAACGAGATATCGCGCAATCCCGACGAAACTTGAGAATGGTCTGTCATTGACTGGCCCAGAATTGGAAGCTGCTTTGGAACAATGCAAGAAAGAAGGCCTCGAACCATATTATATCACGTTGACGATGGGTACGACTTCGACGTGCTCAACGGACGACTTTGAGAGCCTAGCTCCCGTGATAAAGTCCAACCCCGATCTCTGGGTCCACGTCGATGCTGCATACGCTGGTGCCGCTTTGGTATGCCCAGAGTATTCTTCGAAGTATTCACGGTGGATGAAGCTCGCCGACTCTTTCAACATGAACATGCACAAATGGTTGCTGGTAAATTTCGACGCTTCATGTCTCTTTGTGCAAAACCGAAATCATCTTACCCGCGCTCTATCAATCGAGGCGGCTTACTATGTGAACAAGCACACGGACAGTGGCCTGGTCACAGATTATCGTGACTGGCAAATCCCACTTGGTCGACGCTTTCGAGCGCTGAAGATCTGGTTCGTCATGCGCACGTACGGTCTTGAAGGCATGAGAGCGCATATCAGGAAGACTGTTGGCATAGGTGAAGTGTTTGCCGACCTTGTTCGTGGACGTTCGGATCTTTTTGAAATTATCGCAAAACCAGCATTTGGCCTTACCTGTTTTAGAGTCAAGCCTTCACTGGTCTCGCCCCAGGGATCGGCCGAAGCGAATGGCGACGTCGCTCCCCAGGTCTCAGCAGAGCAACGGCGAGAACAAGATGCGAATACTGTGACCAAACACATCGGTGAATTGATCAATGAGCGTGGAGAGGTGTTCCTCACCTGCAGTAGTGCTGCGGGAAAAGCATTTATACGGGTTGTTAGTGGGAATCCGAATGCTGAGGAGAAATACGTTAGGGCAGCGTTTGATACGATCGTCCAAACAACGGAAGAGGTACTTGCTGCTAGGGGTGGTAGAGCGAATTCCAAAGCATGAATGTTGAAGCTGTGATATTGACTCACCCCTGGCTTATGGTGGACGTTTTGGCCAAACCATAAACCGCATAAAGAATGGCTATAGATCTAGAACAGAACAATCAACTTAATCTTGCACTGCCAGTAACACATAAACCGCCACATAGCTGTTCAAAACTACTGTTACATGGCCAACAATTGCAGTGACGGTAGTATTTCTTGCCGGAGTCAGCTTGATGCCCACGGAATAACGCGTCTCTTTTCCGACGCGTAAAGTGGTCCAGATAATCCAGCAACCAGGCAGATCGACAAAGTCTCTACACAGCAACGCTCCTACTGCACAGCTGCAATGGCAGACATCGGTGATGCGTCCGGCTATGATGACTCTAATCGCGCCTTTTTACAAGCGTTCCTTGCGCGCAGCGTCCTGACGCTCACCACTGCGCAGCCGATTCTCGCAGCGCTCCTCACGTACCGCGATGGTCGCGAAGTCCAGCCCCAAGACGTCACTGTCGAAGACTTGAATTCTTACATCGCGGACTCGAATCAGCGACTGTCTCCGCTCGATCTAGAAATCCGAAGTACCTTCCACCAAAAAACCCGGGAGCGCATCTATGCTCTGGTCAACACAACCAGTGACCCATTGACACAGTTGGCCACGACATATTCAGCTGACGAAATCGTCTACTTGAAGAAGCTCCTCGATGCGATGTTTGATGGCCCCAATAATCGTGGAAAGAAAGAAGCCATGTGTTTGAGCGGTATCGAAGCTCTACAAGTCGGACGAAGCCAAGGCAACAGGAGGGCGACACAAGATGGGGACGGGGGTACGACACAGACAAATACGAGCGCGTTTGTCTTGAAAGACACCGAGGCTATGCTAGCGAAGCTGGTCGACGAAGGCTGGCTGGAAAAGAGCAGGAGTGGCTTCTACGGCTTGAGTGCGCGGGCGTTGATGGAGTTGAAGGGGTGGCTCGTCGACACATACAACGATGAAGACGAGGATGGCGAGAGGAAAGAGAAGATCAAGTTTTGCCATGCTTGCAAGGAAATCATTACCGTCGTACGTTTCTGTTGTTTGAGCGTCGAAGAAGCGAGAGCCGCAGCTAATGATTGTGCATCCAGGGTCAGCGATGTCCACGACGAGAATGCCGATGCCGGCTACACGACATTTGCACGCAGAATTTCTTCCGGATGCAGCGATCACAGACCTGTCCGATTTGCAAGACGGACTGGGATGGGCAGCATTATGTGGGGGAGAAGGCGATCACGATGTCTGAGAGTTACCAGATGAGCAGGCGAAAGAGCGGGCATAGACGACCAGCAGAAGCGGAAAGACAGAGAGATGCCGACGAGGACGACGAAGGCACATGACACCCTTTTCTGAATTGCTTACTTGTTTTGAATTGTGTCGCTTGTGGAGATCTCGACTACGCCCGTGTTAGATATCACGAAATTCGAGCACTGCCTTCAAGGATGGCCTCGGCGTTCCGACGAATCTGGGGCTGGCACGCCTTCAAATTATATCGTCAGCACTGGGCGAGGACAAGTACTCGCTCCTGAAAGAGTCTTGGAAGACAAAGCATGCTGACAAGCCGGGAAGGAAATGGTGACTGTGTATTCTTGATGCTGGAATGGCGGCCAGAGCCAGAGCTGTGTTGCAGAGGACGCGTTCGAGCAGCCATCGCATATAACCACTCCTTAAGGGACGGAGTGTCCTTGGTCTTGGACACCACCTGCAGTCACTCTTCGGGCAGGTCAACCCTTTTGGACATGATTGTCAGGTCAATCCAGGCTCATGCATCAACCGAGATCCGACACGTTGCAACGGTGGAAAAGCCCCGAGCCATGCGACTCGACTATTCCAGAAGAGAGGCTAAACGACAACGGCCTAAATGCCCGAACCGAAGACTCCCCTCGTGAAGCCGGTGCAGTCAACCTCGTACGAGTCCCGTACCTGGCCAAGTGCAGGCGGGGACTCCATGACATTTGTGGCGTTTTGCCTGGAGCGTGATGTGAAAAAAGCTTGTCATAGCTCATCCATAGCGCCACGGACGGCCTGGGATCAGCGCGAGCTACTCTGCCTGTGCAGCCTGTGCAGTGGGTGTTGTGGGCAATAATAGTCATGGCTGATGGCGCATCTGGCGTTCCTTCCCCGCAGCCACATCTACCGCTTTTCTGCCTCTCCGCATCTGGCACCCAATGACGTAGAACCTCCACCCATGCGAACGACGAGGATGCATTCGGTGATGCGATGCTGGCTCCTCTGGCTCCTCTGCCCGTACCATGGGCCCATGGCTAACGAAGGCACACGCTGACGATGTAACTCCATACTCTCCTCCGACTCTCTAGCGGTAATGGCTGTGATCCGCTCGTCGGTAGGTACATAGTCTTCGCGCAGGAGCTTCATTTTCTCTCCTTTTTTTCCGCAGTCTTGGATGCGGTACATGCTCTCAATTAGAAGAGCTTGGCTGACAAGTATATATATGCCCACTCAAGTGCCTGGACGGGTACCTGAGCAAACGCTTTGAGCAGCTGGCCCGCACGAGGACTGTAGTCTGTCGATGACGGAAGTGATCAAATCGGCAGCCACATACCCCAAGGTGAGAGAGTCTATATCATTCAAGTAGCAGCCACAGCCGCAGCTAACTCTACGGTTTAGATGACTATGATAAGCGAACGGCTGTCAAAAGTCCTCCTGATCGCAGGACTGTGGTACTCGACCGCATCAGCTCAGTCGAACAACTCGTCAACAGTCTACAAGACTCGCTTCGACGGGGTGACTTGGGATGCCGCAAACTGGGTCCTTACCACTACCGAACTCGATCAAGGCCACTACCAGTCTCGAGCCACAGTTGCCAATGGCTACCATGGCATCAACGTAGCTGCTCTTGGACCATTCTTCGAAGTCGATACCCCCGTGGCAGGCGACGACATCAACGGCTGGCCGCTTTTTGGTCGACGGCAGACATTCGCGACAGTCGGCGGCTTCTGGGATTCGCAACCAAAGCTTAACGGCACCAATTTCCCTTGGCTGGATCAATATGGCTGGGACACCGCAATCAGCGGCATTCCGCACTGGGGCGGCCTTGTCGTCGATCTTGGTGGCAGTAATTTCCTATCCGCCTCGACCAACAAGTCAACCATTAGCAATTTCAAGTCCAGTTTGGACATGAAGAATGGTCTGCTGAACTGGGCGTTTACCTGGACTCCTCGTGGTGACCATGGCTCGTTCAACGTCTCGTATCAGATGTTTGCACACAGACTCTATGTCAATCAGGGATTTGTCACCCTCAACATCACAGCCTCCAAGGCCACCAACGTCAGCATTGTCAACGTTCTCAACGGAGACTGTGCAGTTCGAACAACCCCCGGCCAAAACGGCGTCGACTCCTCGAACCCGGACCTCATATTTTCATCGGTCTCCCCCAATGGTATCAGCAACGTGACCGCCTGGGTATATGCAGCAGTGTCCCACAGTGGAGCTAGCGTCGACTCCAACCAGTCGAGTTCCGTGGACCGGCCATACGTTGGAAACAATGTTTCGTCTATTGCTCGCGCTTACCAGACCAGTCTCGAGGCTGGGAAGGTGGCAACCTTTACGAAATTTGTCGGTCTTGCATCATCTGACGGCTATGCCCGACCGCGTGCTGTTGCTAGAGACGCAGCACTAAAGGCAGCAAGTACTGGCTACAGCGAGTCGTTGCAGAGCCACACTGAGGAATGGAACACCAATTTCCCCACTAGTTCAGTCGATGATTTCTCCTACCCGGAGAACGGAACACTACCGGACGATCCGTACATCGTCGAAGCGGCTATCGCAGCAGTGGCCAATCCATACCAGCTGCTTCAGAACACCGTATCCGAGAATGCTATCCTCGCGTCCAACAATGCTTCGATCAACAGCCACAGTATTGCCGTGGGTGGGCTGGGATCAGACTCCTACGCAGGACAGATCTTCTGGGATGCCGAAATATGGATGCAACCTGGTCTTGTCGCATCTTTCCCAGCATCAGGACGAGGCATCGCGAACTACCGAGTTGAAAGATACCAGCAAGCCCTCGCAAACGTCAAAACGGCATACCAGTCGTCGCAAAACAACACCAATTTCTCCAGCAACGCAGCCATCTTCCCCTGGACGAGTGGCCGTTTTGGAAATTGCACCGCGACCGGCCCCTGCTTCGACTACGAGTACCACATTAATGGCGACATCGGTCTAGAGTTCACAAACTACTGGGTTTCGTCCGGAGACACGTCTTTTTTCCGCGACTCACTCTTCCCGATATTTGACTCGGTCGCAACCCTCTACTCCGAATTGCTTGTCAAGAACGGCACACGCTGGGCTCTCGAGAATATGACCGACCCCGATGAATATGCCAATCACGTCGACAACGGTGCCTTCACTAACGCCCTGATAAGCCAGCATCTCAGCTATGCCAACGACTTCCGTGCCATGTTCAATGGGACACCCAACTCGACGTGGGACTCACAAGCCGACAACGTCATCATCGCACGCGACGCTGAAGCCGAGATAACGCTCGAATACGTGGGCATGAACGGCAGTGTTGAGGTAAAGCAAGCCGACGTGATCTTGAACACCTTCCCCTTGGGCTTCACGGGTCAGAATTACACGGCCGATGACAGCCTGAGTGACTTGGACTACTACGCGGCAAAGACGTCCATAAGCGGCCCTGCGATGACATACGCCATTTTCAGCATCATCGCGAACTCGGTGTCCCCGTCCGGCTGCTCATCGTACACGTACCAACAGGCGTCGACATATCCATACGTGCGAGGGCCGTGGTTCCAGTTCTCGGAACAACTTGTCGACAACTATCAGGAGAACGGCGGCACGCATCCGGCGTACCCGTTTCTGACGGGCCACGGCGGGAGCAATCAAGTCGTCCTATTCGGATACCTTGGTCTCCGCCTCGTTCCTGACTTTTATCTTCACGTCGACCCAAGTCTTCCTCCGCAGATCCCGCAGATAAAGTACCGCACGTTCCACTGGTACGGCTGGCCGATCAGTGCCTTTTCCAACCAGACGCACACTGTGCTTTCTCGAGGAGACGTCCAGCCCGCCGAGGGCGCCGTCCCGAACGCCACGTTCGCCGACAGCCCGATCCCCGTGCTCGTGGGCACCGTTGGCTCCGAGCCCAGAGCCCGACTCAGTCTCGCGCCCAACAGCAGTGTCACCATCGAAAACAGGCAGATTGGCCTCATCAAGACGACGCAGGACAATATCGCACAGTGTCTCCCTGCCACGTCTCCGGATGACTATCTGCCAGGCCAGTTCCCCATCGCGGCCGTCGACGGCGCAGCGAGCACAAAGTGGCAGCCCGCCTTGGCGAACAAGACGGCCAGCGTCACCGTCACATTGCCACTGGGATACCGTGTGCGCGCGGTGCAGTTTGACTGGGCACAAGCGCCGCCGTGGAACTACACTGTGCTCTTCCACAACGAAACGCTGGCGAATCCGAGTGCCATCGGCGCGAGCTCAGCGTCTCCCGGCGTGGTGACAGTCGCCAGCGACGACCACGTGAGGATCAACAACGCGTACAACGCGACCGAGATTGTGGACATCGGCCCGCTCGAGAGCAACATTACGACCTTCACCGTACCCAGTGGCCAGACGGTGTACACGGCGAGGTACGCCACGTTGCAGATCTGGGGAAGTCTGGCGAACGGCACATTGAACGCGAAGAATATGGCTGGCGAAGGCGCCACGGTCGCCGAGTGGAGCATCATCGTCGACGACACTGTTGGTGAGAGTGAGGGTCCGGCCGACAAGAAGAGGGATTTGGGCCCAACATCGGAGAAGGAGAAGAAGATGATCGAGACGAGGAAGGTTAAAAATAACAACGCGGATGTGTTGTTGAAGTTGGGCAGGGTGGCGAGGTACGAGTACATGGAACGACGGAAGAGGATGGAGAGGTCAACCAGATGAGCGAGAGATATGTACCTAATTGATCTCCACACCGACCCAGGGTAAGCAGGAAGTAACGAGTATACTGTTTTGCTTGACCTGGGTATTATCGCCACTGTTCTTGTACTCACGGAGATTGTAATGGGAGCAATGTTAGTAGTAGTATTCCGTCACGAGCCAGCCAGTCGCCCTGCCCCCTTTCCAGCTACCGTACCTACCTGACCTACCTTACCTTCCTGTACGTATAGTTTGCGCAGCAGTCAGCCCCCAAGGCAATCAATGGTTGACGCCACCAATCGTCGCCCGAAATACTCGTACTTTGTCTCGGGGAGAGAGAGAGAGGGATTTAAAAAAAAAGGGGGAAGGGGGGGGTGGTCGTCCAGTGCCTACATGATCTTCCCTCAACGACCGTGTACTGCATCTGCGGTGCACGCCTTGGCGTAGAACTAGAACAGGTACCTAGGTAGGGTGATAAGACGGCGAGTGGAGCAAGAAATCAGCACATCAAATACACCTACGTCTCTTGTATCTGTCTCTGTCTCCGGTCGATTCCCCCCCCGTTTAGTGCCAAGTAGAAGACGTGGAAGGGCACAAAGAGACAAGGCTGAATTAAAAGAAGTGATTCATACTCACTCAGAATACGAGCAGAGCTATTCATACCATCCTATCCTACCCCCTGCCCCGGTACTGCCTTGCGCTGGCGCGCTACCCGGCCACACCACACCGCGGGAGGCCTGCCTTATTATCGATATATCAACGGTCAAGTCATGGAATCCATGTTGTTGAATCTCTATCTTCGGATCATTCAACCCTGGCCATTAGAGTGGGTTGTAAATAAACCAAGGAAGCGCGACGCCATACGAGACCAGAGACGACGATCACTGACCATTGCCACCGTCTCTACCACTGCCGCTACCCTCTGTCATAACTGCCATCACGCATAGCTCTCTGCTTTCGACTCTCGACTCTCGACTCTCGACTTTCAAATCTGATATCCATCACGAGCGCAACCCTGGCTCAAACCATATCAAACCTCACCTCCAAAACTCTCACGACTTTCGCCTTGACCGCCCAGGAAAGAGCCATGGAGAATATCAAGAAACATCCGTACCTCGCAGGTTTCCAGGTCGCCAGCGTCGCTCTCACACCATTAATCGGAACAGGGTGGATCCTCAAGCTGATCATCCGGTGCTTTGGAATCGGACCACTAGGACCAATTGCAGGTACGAGATACACGAACACTTGACATTGACTGTTTCCATTTAGGCCGTGCTAACAGGTAGTGTGTCCATCTTGTTTCGTAACAGGCACGATTGCGGCATGGTACCAAGCGACTTTTCTGGCCGGGTATATCCCAGCGGGGAGTCTCTTTGCTTGGGCGCAGCACCTTGCCATGTCTTAGAATAACTTGACTTCAGAAGCCGTTGTTGACCTCCGGATAACATCACAGCCGGTTTGTGGTTTCAATCGAGCCTTTCGAGGGCGACGGATGAGTGGCAGGGAAGTTCAAGTTGACTTTGAGCTTTGAGACAGGGTATTCTGGATTGATCATGCTGCTGGTCATTGACTGCGCTTTGTCGATTGCAAGGCCAACTGAATGCTCTAGTTGGCCACGAAGATTCCATTCAGTCTTTCCAGGTTACGCGTTTTGTCAAGGCTGGAGCGGAAGAGAAGATGGTGATGATACTTCTAATTCTTGAACGCATGGGTTTCTGATACGTCTTTATTTCCGCGAGCATGTGTCCGCACCGAACGCCGATCGTGGAGATGGTCCCAGTTCTATCCTCGATAAAAGTCGCCATCGTCCTTCCAATGGTGGTATGCTTTCCCACCTTTGCTACCTGCATCAAGGCCAGTATCACCCTGACGTGGACATACCAGATTAAGTCATGGAAGGAGGCATGCTGCGGCGAACTCCAATCCTTCTTCGTCTGAGCATAACTCGGCGTGTTGCCATTGCGATGGAAATCGCCTAGACAAACAGGCCCTTCCTCGCCAATAAACTCAGGATGGCTATCCAAAGACAGCCTACTGTCGTGAAGAATGTTATACGAGGATCTGGCCGGATGATTCAGGTTGCTGATACATCCAACAATAGCTCCAAGTCCTGAAAGGGCGTGGCATCCATCAGGCATAACGTGTGTAGCTGATGTTTCGCCGCTGCATCGAGTATCGCATCGTAGTTCGAGAGTTGTCTTCCGTAACCAAATAACCTCGTCTCGCAAATTTCTTTTGAGCCTAAAGGTAGGAGTCCTAGTCATCATTCTTGGGCGTCACCTTGGCCTTCCATTCTTCCTCGTGCCTCGCCCAATAGAGCCTCTTGCATCTTTCGTAGTTCCTCTTCACCCATCTTGTCGAAGCCACCGAAATTCCTCATTTTCTCGCCTCTACCGACTCTCTTCTTTTGGACCTCTTGCCATTCGCCGACAACTCCACGGCATCCTTCAATGTAGCTGCCGAAACCGAGATCGGTCAGGGCCTGCTCAACGTGCTCGACGCTTATGGTCTTTTTGGATTCGCGCTCAGAGATATCGTTGGACTCCGAGGACAACATTCGCAGGAATTCAAGCGAACATGAAATCAAGAGATCCCGCGCCGGCCGCGTAAAGGTCATTTCGCCATCTTTGCCAGCGGCAGAGTTGTCATGGGGAAGTTGAGGGAGGATTTCGGAAATTATCTTCTGCACCGTCGCCTTGGGGAGCGACAGGTCGTCATTGCCTGAAGATGTGTTAGATTGCTGATCTGGATAGAGCGCAAATACTTGCGAGGGTAGGAGAGGCGTATGCGTACCACCAAATTCTTTGTCTGACATGGCGACTGTGCGTTTGGAGTAGCGTATTTGCGCACTTTACAGTAGGTATGATGGGTGTATTTGCGAAAGAAGTGCTATGAAGTGCCGCTCATGGCGCCAGACGGGCACTTCTTGCGAGTTAAATAGTTTGACATCCACTGCCTTGATCGCAGAGAGGGACGAGAGTGACTCCCCAAACGGGCTTAGTGGAAATGGGACTTGGCGTTTCAGTGATTGTTTGAAAACTGACGCTGTTTTTATGGACACTCACCTCATCCGTCTCCCAGATCACGCTGCTTTCACACCGTCACCTCACCTCCACTGACGCTTTCTCCCCTTTCGTAGTCTCTGTCGAGACACTCTTCTGTTTCTTGTCCTTGATGTTCACTGCTTTTGCTCCACAATTGTAGGCTCTTGATTCTCTTCTCTGTTTCCTGGGAGGGGGTATGAATGGATATCCTAGATGTTCTGTGGGCTCAATGGCATAGAGAAGTTGATGAGATCTGTGGAGGCACGAAGGATAGACAACGAGAGATTGTAATCGATCGAACTTTATAACGCTATATCTAGTACTCGAAGACTTGCGTCGTCATGACATTAACTACCGTCGGGGTCTTGGTCACTTTTACTAGAGAGCAGACGTGATACCTGGATTAGGGATGATTTGTGATGCCCGAAATCGGCTTCCTTGACGAATACTCGAATGGACCGAGGGCCGTACTGAATCCACAAGATACACATGATATTGGAGAGTAGATCTTCATTTAAAACCCCAACCAGAAGAGCAATGTAGCAAACTGTCTGTCGTTGGGACCAGTCTCCACGTTCTTGGCATAATGCGGGTGATAAGGGCAGTGTCTCCGCCGTCAAATACCAACATTGCTGGACACTTCAGGAGCGCTACCTCAGCCGCCATAATGAAACGAACAGAAGGATTCATTGATTTTCCCTGCACAGCTGCTGGCAAAGATTGTCAGATTTGGTATATGTGTGTCGGCGACATCCGATCTGGTCGACCACTAGTCGTCCTCCATGGTGGTCCCGGACTGAGCCATGACTATCTCCTAAGCCTGACCGACCTGGGTTCACCTAAACGGTCTCTGGTCTTCTTTGATCAAATTGGATGTGGCAAATCCACCCATCTGCCTGAAAAACTATGCGACTATGACTTCTGGACGGAGCAGGTTTTCCTCGATCAGGTGACGGCCGTGGTCAATCACTTGGGCATCCAAGATGACTACGACTTACTTGGTCAGTCGTGGGGTGGGATGCTGGCCGCGACGTTCGCTGCTACGCAACCTGCTGGGCTTCGACGACTAGTCCTGTCCAGTACTCCGTTCAGCTCCAAGATGTGGACAGATGCGTACAAGCGCTATCGGGATATGATGCCTGAAGAGCAACGCAAGCTGTTACTGTGCACCAGGGCCTTCGACACCACCACTACTGCCGAGTATCAGGAAGCGCTTGACGGATTCTACAAGAAACATTTCATGAATCTGGACCCACTACCGGCGGAAATCCAGAGCAGTTATGACGACTTGGGCAAGGATGATACGGTGTGGAAAAGCACGTAAGTAACTGGTTGATGTTGCACGACCTGACTACAGACTGACAGCAAATCTGGTAGCCTTGGCCCGGATGAATTTGAATGGGTTGGTACCATGGCGAATTGGACGATGGAAGGCCGAGCGCATTTGATCAAGGCGCGAACGCTACTGATGAACGGGGTTGAAGAGGGTGCCGATGATCTCTCTCAACTCGAATTCAGAAAGTTCATCGGGGCAGACTGGATCAAGTTCGACAAATCAACCCACATGTCGCACTGGGAAGAGAGAGATAAGTTCATGAAGACCGTCACCGAGTTTCTCGATGCATAACACCAAATAGCCTTGCAGAAATCGCAGTACTATTCTTATCGGAGGCTTTCTCGACGGAGAGATTCAACGTTTGGAGTTAAACTCAAAGTGCTTAATTCTTATCAGTTCCTGGCAGCTTCGACAGCGTGGTCCTCGAATGAGAAACCAATCCCCGCGCTTTTGACTTTCCGTCTTCAATCTAGGATCTAGATTGGGGGCAAGTGGATCCCGAGATCTACTTCCACGAGTTCGGGATCATATCACCTCTTCGTTGAATGTCTTCAGAGGGTATTGCATGGTCTGCACTTCAACTTGAAGCCTGGCTATGCGGTCCAATAGATGCTAGCATATATCATACAACGAATTTCCGCTGCTTTGACTCAATTCTTTGTTTCAAAGCTCTCTCTCCATCTACACCCGACACTCCGCGCCCACAATGGATGACAGCAAAATAAACACTTCCGACGTCAATGTCGCCGCCCAGGACAGCTCACTTCCAAAATTTGAGGCGCACACCGAAGGTGAAGTCCGAGAAACTGTATTGCTCCGAGACTTCAACCTCTGGAGCACGCTGGGAATTGGTTTCTCCTACATTGCAACACCATTATCCGTCGGAACCTATCTGGCTTTCAGCCTTTCGGCGGGTGGAAGCCCGTACTTTTTCTATGGATATGTTGTATGTTTCGTATTCCAGACCTTGGTCGTCTTGAGTTTGGCCGAGATTGCTGGATTTCTACCTCATACCTCAGGCAGGCAGCCCAAACCGACGTTCCACGGGAGCTGTACTGATTCTTCACCAGGTCAAATCTTCTGGACGTCACAGCTGGCGCCCCCGGCATATGCTCGCCCGCTGAGCTATTTCACCGGGGCATTCACCATGATGGCTTGGACCTTCTGGACAGCAGCGACGTTTCTGTTCACTGCGCAGCTCGTCTTGGCTTTTGTCCAAGTCTGTGGTGCGACGTGGGATCAAGAAGACTACCAAGTCTTCCTTTTGTACGTCGCCTGCAGTGTCTACGGATTTTTCATGAACACATGGGGCTTCAAAATCATGCCTTTCATGTCCAAGGTCATGATCGGCTACGTCAACCTTGGCGCTCTGTTTATCTTGATCGCCCTGCTGGCCAGGGCCACGCCCAAACCGTCCGCAAGACAAGTCTTTGTCGACATTGTCAACGAGACCGGATGGTCGTCAGATGGAATGGTGTTTTTCCTTGCTCTATTGCCAGGACTGACGGCTCTCAATGGATTTGACTCGGCCGCACACATGTCAGATGAAGTGCCCCATCCAGCAAAGCAAATTCCTCGAGTCATGGTGGGCCTAGTTCTCCTCTGCGGTTTCGCCGGCCTCCCGATGGTGATTGCTGTTTTGTTCTCCGTCACAAACCCCGACAACCTCCTGACTTCGGCCCAACCAATCTTTCAACTCTTCCACGACAGCATGAGATCTTTGCCTCTGGCGATTCTCTCATGTCTCATCTATCTGGGTCTGTTCTTTTTCGCCTGCGGCTCCATTGTAACGACACTGAGCCGCGTGTGGTGGTCCTTTTCTCGAATGGGGTCGCTCCCGTGGGCACAATGGCAGGGCCACCTCACTCCAGGATGGCTGCTTCCAGTTAACTCGATCATCGTCGTTTCCATCCTCGAAGTCTTCATCGGACTGCTCATCTTTGGCCCCACGACAGTATTGTACGGCATCACCGGAAGTGCAGCCGTCTGCTTCTTTTTTTCCTACATGATCCCGATCGTCTGCTTGCTGATCAAGGGCCGAAAGTCGCTCCCAAAGAGCAGATACTTCAACCTTGGACGACTTGGACCCGTCATCAACATTATCAGTCTGGCCTGGGCCGCCCTGGTGACTGTCTTTCTATGTTTCCCCACCTATTATCCGGTCACGACGACTTCCATGAACTACGCTTCAGCTGCGGTCGCAGTGGGTTTGTTTCTGTTCGCTCTGATGTGGATCTTCCATGCTCGGAAGCACTATGTCGTGCCTGGTGCGTTGTTGTCGTCTGAATATCACGAAGACCATCAGGGGGCTACCGTGGTTAGTTATTCTGAGATCCCAGACTAGTTTGTTGGTATTAGTGTCGAATAATTCAAAGGTTGGATGTATAGATCTTGTTTGTTGTGTCTAATAACTACATTCGTGGTCATAATATCTCAAGGAAAGTGCAGATGCAGATACTATCCGAGGGGTCCGTCACCAAACCAGAATCAACGCCAGCACGTGCCCGCTTCTTAACTTGCTTTGAAACCAAAAACTTCTGGGTCGATCTGCGCAGAATTTGCAACGTAGGGAGTAGTCACTGGTCATCCCTTCTCATTATGTGCCGGTCTGCGCGGACAAGGAAGTCGACAGCTCTAAGCAGTGGGATTCGAAACCTCCTACCCGAACTTTTCAGAAAGTGAAGTGCCTCAGCTGAGCACAAGCTGGTCGAGGATGTTGTCGCTCTGCAGGATCTTGGACCACGGCAGGTTTCGATTGTTGGATCGATCGCGGGCGTGCCATACCCTCTTGACCGCTGTCCCTGCGGTCGCAAACATGCGTATCCCGGTTCGAGCGGTCTCGTCGAGAAACCAGTGCGCGAACCTGTGCCGTATGTCCTGATCCAAGGCCTCACAGGCAGCGACGAAGCCGGGCCAGCAGATGCTCGAAGACTGATCGCTGGACCTTCGCTTGGCCTCTGTGTACAGCTGCAAATGCGAGAGGGTCTTCTCGACGTGAGGTTGCACCGCGTACGTGTCTATGCCCCGGACGCATTTGTAAAAGTATACCAGCAGGGCCGAGTGAATGGCGTTCTGGAAGTGATATCTGACATTGCCTCCCCCATTGGTACCATGCACGTCCCCCGCGTCGGCCGGGGCAATGTCGTTTCTCCAGCTACATATCGCGTTTTCGATTTCGGCGACCTTTTTGGGGTCGTTAAGCGAGCTATCGATCGTGCCGTCGTCGCGAGTCCCCTCAGCACAGGCAAACGATTTGACTCGCCCGATCAGCCGGAACAGGGGTTCGGAAACGGAGTAGACTTGTTCGAATACCGTCACCGTGCTTTGGCTGCCGCTGCTGCTGCTTCTGCTTCTGCTGTTGCTGTTGATCGGAGAGTTTTCTTCGTCGTCGTTTTGATCAGTTTCGTCCACCACTGGGATCAACTGCCTCCAGACATCGGACTGGGCGGTTGGGTCCCGACGGTTGAGATTTTGATTCTGGGCGACCAAGTCCTGCGGACGACCTGGATTACCAAATTCCCGCACTCCGGCCTGTAGAGTCCAGAGGTAGAGAAAGATACTGTGCAGCATCCGGGTACTGGTGTATTTGAGAAAGTGAGGGGAGCGACGAGACTCGATGAATTGTTCGACGTTGTGGATATAGGCGTGGGATTCGACCATATCACCACTCACAACCTATATTTGTTCCTGGTAAGCTGATTCGATCGACGACTATCACTGAATGAGTTTAACATACGCAGACTGTCACCATACTGAGAATTGCAAGTAGCATCTCCTCATAGGCGCTCCGGCTCCTTGCGAGAAGTGATGCACTCCTCAGTGACGCCAACAGTCGCGTTTTGGCTCGTTGTCGGAAAATACTCGCCATGTCTCTCCACGACTTCATGGTGTGGTGCGGTGGCCCGCCTCCAACAGCATCCAAGTGATAGGATGCTGCGCTAAGAACGGCAAATAGCAGTGCACACTTGACGTCTGTCGAGTTACCTTTGACCAGGATCTCGCCTAATGTCTCATTCACCTTGGGAATATGAACTCGCTCCCACGCCGACTTTCCTTGTGCCTGAACAGGTGCAAAGGTGGGAATCATTCTCTCCTCATAGCGGGCAAGCAGGAGCCGTATGGTGGGCACGTCGACATCCATTAGGTCAGGGGCGTAGTCCACCGACAAGTAGCGTTGGATCCGGGGCGTCGGGGTGCGGCGAAGGTCGAGGAGCTGCAGGTCTGCTTCGTTTGGAACGTACGACTGCATCGGACTCATGAAGAAGCTGACGGCACTATCTCCCAGGAGTGGCGAGAGGAATGACAGATCCCTGCCGGTGTCGTTGCCGTACATATCCTGCGCATCGTTGGGACTATCCAGAAACCCAACTTCGAGTCCCGATAAGGACTTGTCCACAGGGAAGTCTCCTAGCATAAAATCGTCCCATTCCGCGCTCGCAGAACCTTCCTTGCCGTCGTGTGTGGCTTGAGTGTTGTTGTGGTCCTGATAAGACACCACTCGCAAAACACCAAAGGGTCCGACACATAATGTCTCGTCACCGTGGCTGAGCTCGATGTCATCGTCTAGTTGGCTCAACAGCTCATCGAGCGACCTGTGACGCGTTGCAGCTAAGATGAGCGCTATTTGCTCGGTACGCTGCTCTTCTGTTGACGACAAAAAGGTAAGCACATCGTGGACGACGAAAGACAGGGCCAGACGGAGGTAAACTTGCCTGAGTAAAGATGTAATCTACGAGCCGAGGAATCTACACCACGCACATGATCACCCCCAGTGTGAGCAGAGGTATCCGAGGGCCAGGTGATCTCAGGGGTCCACGTTGGAGCAACACATTCCCGATCCAGCTTGACGCATGTCGAGCATCGTGGTAGAACATCAGTGACGCGGTCGCAACGCACTTTTCTGGCTCGGCACACCAGACACGCATGTGTCCGCAGCATATGCGCACCGGAACATGTAGCTGATCGCGCATAGAATGGTCACCTGGGTCACTTTTGTCTCGCCTCGCTCTGATCGGATGACGAACGATTTTTCACACATTAATGAAGGCCAGGCACGAGGACCGAGGAACACACCCTGACAAAGAGAGCCTTGAAGATAGAACAAAAAGGTAAGTGGATGCCGAGATCGAAATGCTCCCTGATAAGAAGCGACATGGCCCTGAGAACATTGAACTGGCAGGGCGGGGCACTGAACTTTATTGTAATCTAGACCTCATTCCATGGTTCCTAGAGAAAGTCGGGTCTTATCTGTGAAAGAGTGAGTTCTTGATATGCAGTCGATTCCGTGGGTATGTGGGGCCGTCATCTGCGGCGATGTCCATCCTTTTGAGATGGCAGCGGAATCCGCATAAGGCTTGACACCGAAGGACAGCATATAGAGACTGAGTGTATAGGACTCAATCATCACGTTGACGTTGACGTCGACAAAGACGCAGAATCCGGCCGATCATGGGTTCAATCTCTCCAACGCCCACGTACAAGGTGGAAAAGATCGATCGCTCCGACTTCCAGGGTATCATCGACGCCATTGCAAAGAATGGCTGCTGCATCGTCAAGAACTTCACCGATGCAGCCACGGTGGACATGGTGAATGAAGAGAGCAGGCCGTACCTGGACGCCGATGTGCCATGGGAGGGCGACTTGTTCCCACCTGAGACCCGGCGTTGCGCCAACCTGGCTGGACGCAGCAAGACGGTGCGAGAGAAATGGCTCGTCGACCCTCTGGTGCGCGCCTGCACAGCCGCGTTTGTCGACAAGACGACGGTCAATTACTACGGACAGACCAAGCACACGTACACGAGCGAGGCACAGTGTACCATTGCCGTGACGCTGGAGATTGGCCCCGGAGGCAAGGCGCAGCGACTACACCGGGACGACAAAAACTACCATGTAGACCATCCCGATCAAACCGAGACGGGCTACCGGTTCGGCACCGACGTCGAGATGGCCTTTATGGTGCCGGGAGTCTTGACGACAAAGGAAAACGGAGCCACTCTAGCGATTCCAGGCAGTCACCTGTGGCCGTCGGACCGGGAACCACCCCTGATTGAGGAGGAATCGATTGCCTACGCCGAAATGGACGTGGGCGATTGCTGGATCATGTTGGGCGGTTTATACCACGCAGGAGGCGCGAACAACACCACGAACGTGAAAAGAACCGTCCACGGACTGTTTTTTGTCAGGGGGTATCTGCGACAGGAGGAGAACATATACCTTGCAAACTCGCCCGAGCAGGTGCTCTCCTGGGCTCCAGAGGCTCAGAAGGTTCTTGGATATAACGTCTCGAGTCCCAATATTGGCTTTGTTGAATTTGTACCTCCAATGGATTATCTGGCAGGTGTTCGTCCTGCGGACGGAGTCCTGAAAGATTTTGATCCTTCTCAGGAGAAGAAGACATGATCCTAGCGATAAAAATCCTTTTGCGACCGCTACGGCGGAGCCGAGAGGAGATGAGGGCGTGATTTTGGCATCGGGGCCGGGTATACTTGTTTCCGACTGCTTCTACTCGTAACCATAGTACAATGGGCACTGACATGCACTTATGTACTATATAATTATATAGCGCAAGGTCGGTCCTTTACTTCTCGTTAGTCAATTAATTCTCCTCTTCGCGGCGACATCCACAAGCAGACAAGGTGGGGTGAAGAATATCGCTCTCGTCGTTAACTAGGGATTCATTCATCAGCTCGCCGCTATCGGATTCCGGGATATGGTATCCTACATTTACTGTGGTGATCGAGAACGCTCCCTACGAGACTCCCAACTGAGTTCAGATGAAACGACCGGCGAGGCAGCTGAGGTCTCTTCCCGCATTCTCTCAACGTACCATGCTGGCGAGCCCCTCTTCAGCAAAGAAATTATTCGGGACGTTGCCCGACAGCTTGCTAATACCGAGTGCCGCAAAGTCTCAGTCAGAGGACTCGACGGGCAGGTCGTTGAAATCGATGTAGAGACTGGAAACGTGCTCGATACTGGTAACCCAGAATGGGACTACGTTATGTAGCGTTACTTGATATCCACAGCAAAACAAACGGGTTCCTTTCATAAGAAGGAACAGCTAATCATATCTCCAGAGGAGCTCCATTTATCTACTATCTTTCTATCCAAGGTCTTATATCTCATGACTTCGGCTTCATCCCTCGCCTTTCGTTCTGCAGCCTATGGACCTGGCATCATTTACACAAGCGCAATTGAACGACGAAGGAACTCGCACGTACCACCCCTAATCGATCGCGAGACGAAGTCGAAGAATTTTTCCTTTCCAACACGCAAAAGTGGGAAGCTAGTAAGGAACGGAGACAGTTAGAGTCAGTTCTTTCGACGAAGACTCTACCAAATATTAGGAAGATCGTTGCCTTTGCATGTGGAGAAATGGCTCTCCATGACGAATTCCGTGGGCGAACGAGGTCAGCTTTCCAACACGCGTTAATTTTAACCCTGCGAGACATCTTGAGTAAACGACATGAATCGGTCAACGACATCAAATGTTATGCACAGGACCCATTCTATACCGACATCGACAGAGAGGTCTTAGAGCGATCTGGAATCACGGTCCTCAATAATCCCCAAGGCTTCCTAGAGGTCGACGATTCAACGGTAGTTCTTTCGTTCTGCCCCGATGTACCGGTGAGACAGGTCATAGCGGAAATTGCGCTACCAGCCATGATGATTTGGGATAAAATCAGGTTCTTTGAAAACGAGCTTGAAAAGTCATTGACGTGAGATCCTCTTAGTTTTTATTCGTATCAATTAACCATACTAATGAGCCATAGAACGGATCCTAACTCACCTCGTTTGTCTAAGATGATTCAAAGTCGGTACGAAGAGATCGAGTTTCCTGGCCACCTTGAGGCCTTTGAGCCTGTGAGTATCTATGTTAGACAGGAGGTGTAAGTTATAAAAGGTTGTCATACTCGACGTCGTGTTGGTCGTGTACATGAAATATAGGTCTGAGCGCGTCGGCACTTCGCCTGTAACAGCGGCCAGTCTTGTTGTTCACATGATTTGGGAAACCTTCTCTCTTCCATCGCTCAGGCTGTGGCCATCCTTTAATACATGCCTCTTCTCTCCGTTGTTTGCATAGGTATTGCAAGGTTTACAGGTGTGCATTTCCTCAAATGTCACCACCTCGTTTTTAAGTCGAAGGATACCACCACGCTACGGTCACTCGAGTTCGATCTCTGTCAGATTGTCCATATCAACTCCTCTGCCCTTCATCAACCCATGGATATAGGCCTCTTTCACTAGAATGTAGCGGTTGTTGGCGTTATTTTTTCGGATGATGAAGGGTGCCGCGCCACCGGCAAACGCTACTACAAGATCTTTTGGCTGGATTCCGGGGCTGCTCAGACCAATCAATCCAGAGCGCGTGGTGAAGAAGCGTTTCTCCGCCGTAGCTTGTGTGAAGATTTTATCGAAATGTTCGACGTCTTTAAGCTCTTCGTAGTCGAGGGTTGAGTCGCGTTGGAGATGGCGAGGGAGGATCGTCATCCATTTCTCAAATAGTCGGCAGAGTTTGGTGGAGTCAACCACACGAGGATCGAAAAGCGTTTTGTTACCGATCAATGTCTCACAGTAGGCATCATAGAGAGTTTGGTTTGTGGCGGGATATGGGACAGATTTCCAGGCGCCACGATCAGAGATGGTGGAGAGTGTCAGAAGGGCTCCTTGCGTGTCTTTGACCCACGGAAGGATTTGTTCTGCGTACAAGTGAATCTCGTCATCTTTCATGCTGCCGCTGAAGGCTGCGAACTGACTGACACGTGAAATGACATCAATGGAATCGACGACGATGCCGGAGAGTTTAATTGTTTTGGAGCCATTCTGATATGTTATCCGAGGGAGGGTGTATGTTCCAGTTCTATACTCCATATAGGCAGACGGGGTTCCGTATATTCCGAATCGGTAGACCGTGCTCCAGTCTGGGACCCATGACGGAAGAGTGGAAAGTGCTCTTGTATCGCCAATGCCGGCATGATGAAGCATATAAGTTGTATCTGCTCGTGAGAGCAGGTGGCCTGCAAATTGCAGGTAGACGTCTTCGACGGGAATACGGTAGTTCGGCCGAAGGGCTTCGTCATCGCCGTCCTCGGCAATCCCGAGTAAAGCAATGATTTTATCCCTCTTGTCGGTGGCATCACGGGTGCGGAACATAGGAAGGAGGAATTCAAGAGACGGTATCAGCTTCCCCTGCTTCAATCCCTTTTGCGTCAGCTCGCGAACAAACTCGACATAGGGAAAGTCAACGAAACCGGCTGGGCTGCGATGACCTTGATTCGGACGTGTATGCTCAGCTCCTACCAGCAAAAACAGAGCATTGCGAGTCAGGAGTTCTAGAACCGCCACCAGATCGCTGGACTTAACAGCGCGATTGGGGCCGATGAAGATCGGATCAGAGCCAACTGCATATTCCTGGACAACCCATATCCTGGTAAACCAGCGATGCTGCAGAAAGCGTCGCAGCGCCGTCCATTGGGCACTTGGATAATCAACACCAGTCTCGCTGACGACTCTTTCTAGGGACAACAATTGGCCCCGTTGTTGGATATTCTCCATGGCGGCGCGGAGAGGCACCATAAAATCCATGGCCGTGGCCGTTTCTTCAATGGGTTCTCCTAGCATGATGGCTACCTGTACGGCATTGCGATAGATGTCTCTCATAAGACCCACCTGACTTTCGCGCTCGGAAACGTTTTTTTGATCAATGCAGAGAGCGTCAATCCATAACAGAATCGTTTCGCCAGGTTCCAGCAGGTTTTGGAGGATATTCGAGACGGATTGTGTCAGATGCAAATGCTGAGAACTCCCACAAGGGATTGTTGATACCGGTTGTGGATCATCCCAAGTGTAGGAAATTGCCACATAGGCGTGTGAAGGTGTGTCCACGTTCACATGAACGAAATCGGATCGAAAATGGCGGTCATTGCCCTCGCATGTAACTTTGATGAGCCGGATTTCGCGCGGGTCGCTGATTGGGGTGTACTGAAACGAGGGCAAATTCAAATCGTCCCTCCACAATGGCGCGTAGGACAAGGAGGAGTCGAACCCAGTGCTCGCGAGAACTCGGGATTGCTTGAAGTTGTGAAATGCCTCTTTGGAAACGTTATACAGGGATGTTGGATCCCGTCGGTCATCGGACAGAAGCCAACCTAACAACCCTACCCCTACGGCAGCTATGAAATTCATGATCAGCTATGCAGAAGTTCTCGTTGAGGAAGGCTGAAACAGCCCCGTTGAGGCCAGGGGTCCTCTTACAAGTACTCGCCATCCAGGTCACAGATGAGTGTAGCTAAAAAGAAAAGAATAGGCTACCGTGCTCATCTGGAAGGTGAGCGGAAGAGAGCCAATGGCATTCCGCGCCGTTGCAGGGAGTCCCCGGAAGAAATGGTTCTAGCAGACTAAGTTAGACCCCACCCATGCCAGGCGAGAGTTTCAATCAACCTATGTCCACGTTTGCCCAGTCACCTAGTTAAAGCCACGTCCTGCATCTTCGCCTTCTGGTCGTGGGCGATTGCATTCTGACTTACGTGAGTGGAGGAACGCAGCTGATCAACTCCAGCTGAAAACTGTTCGTGACAGAGTGTCTCGTGCCACCGAAGGTTGGCAGGACAGTCATGGGGACGCCCAAATAATACTACCACTCGAAGGTAGGCATCGCACTCTCGCTCTTGCAGCTTGGATTCCATATTACCTCCCCTGTTCCGATATCGTCTGCTTTTACTCGGTGTTGATCAGAACCTTTGTGGAGCAAGATGGAAGCATGTATATAGGTATTGAGCCCCACGCAGCTCAGGGTCCGCAGAGTCTTTGGCGATAAACAACGTACTGGCCCTTTCGGGTGCCGTAAATAGTCCCCCATGTTTCGGGAGATGAACATGTTTCAGGGTAAAGCGTCTACTTACCTACTTACCGGCCGACGCTGTAGCTATCCATCTTGGTAAGCACCCGACTCAAGTACTGTCAGGGCTGAAATGTCTCATCGAAATATCTAACCTGCGGAAGCCAGTCGAAGAGGTCTGAATGTTTCTGAGACCTCCAAAGGAGGTTAAAGGGTTGAAATAACCCCAGGCGACAACTGTCCGGGAATCATATAAATATAAACATATACACGTGTATGTATTATAGATTGATGCTTGCCATCTCGAGGAAGATACACCAGAGTAATAATCAGGGACAAAAGGTCGCGCGAGCGACTTCTCGGTCCCCATCGCTGGCAAGTCACGTGAGCACAGGGCGGCATCGCCATTGTCCCGAAACGGGGCGAGTCGCGAGCCGTTTTAGCTAAGCTTGGCGCTGTTTTGTTTTGAGATTCAACAGATTCTTTTTTTCTGACCTTTGTTCGTCTTCATCTGAATCCCATCGACTTTCATCTTCTGAATCGTCCAGCACAAACGGCCGCTGCTCAGAACAATCAAAGTGGTGACCACTCCCATGATGATATTTTACTCCTGCTGCGGCATAGCAGTGGTGATGTGACAGCTCCTAAGAACTCATTTGGAGGTCTGCTGTCCGTCCCGAAGTTGGACTTCAAGTGATCTGTGCTTGTGCTGTGTTGAACAACTTACAGTTGGTCCCATAACACTTCTGTCTTTCATGTGAGTATTCCCTGTCCTCCTTCGCTCCCTCCTCAACATGATGAATATCTGTGTCGCCCCTATCTTACGATCTCTTTCGAGGTCTGTGGTGATTACCTGTCCAAACCCAAACTCTGGACTTTCTGATTTCAGTTCACTCAATCCTCCTTCAGCTGCACCTTTACCGTATGCAAGGATGAAGCTAATGTGTGTGCATCAGGACGTTCTTTGGTATGTCCACTAGTCACTCTTCCTCCCGGTATCCTGCAACATGATGAGCAAAACATCTCAAGTACTATCAAATTCGGATCTATAATGACGAATCAACTGGTTCGATTACCTGAACTCAGCTTCGCCTGTTCATATCTCAAGTGTCACAAATCTCAACATGTCTCTGACTGCTCCCTTGCGTAGATTCTTCATTGCTCCCAAGCTTCATGTTTTGGTTCTGTAAGTCTACTTCCTGCTGTCAGCTTCTTCTATGATGAACACATTCACTCTTCCATGCTAAGTATGAAGGTCTTTTGGATCTAATGCTTCAAGCTGTGTATTCATTTTTCATCTTTCGCCTGAGTTCTTGTCATTTGGCATTTCATTCCTGGACCAGCATTGAAGATCCTTTGCTGACTGGAACCGGAGCAGATATCGTTTCCTGCCTCCATTTTCACCTTGCCGTTCTCGCTTGTCGCCAGCCGTGGTATATAAAAATACATTATTTACTTCCCTCACCAAATGCTCGTCAGGCCGAAGGGCCTTGCTTTCCTGTAGAATCAATGCTCAGTCTACCCTGTAATCCGCCAACTTGGGATCATCCCAGCTTTACACATCGTCAGCCTTGAAATTTATCGTTCATGTTATACGCCAGTAATCCACAAACTCACCTCAAGAATTGTCCTGACAAGTCCTTCTCCGCTCGGACTGCCAGTTCCGCAATCACTCGCCCGGGTTTCTCAGGTGGCAACAGGATGCCATCTTTCTTCGCAGTACTAAATTTCTTCTGGTCCTTCTCGTCCATGTTCTTGAGAAACTTCTCCCGGATGTCAACCTGCATAGCAGTATCCACTACTCCAGGCCGTATCGATACCGTCGTGACTTCAGGCTCTTCGGTCCGGAGCGTCATGGTGAGATGGTTGATGGCCGCCTTAGACGCGCCGTAAGCACCCCAGGACGCATACGCATTTGAAGCGGCGCCCGAGGATGTAAAGACAACTCGACCCTTGGCAGGTCGGAGAAGGGGCAGTGCGTCTTTGATCTAGGCGTCGATTAATCAGTATCGCGTTCCCCAAGTACGTACGCTAACAGTTAGCTGTCCGACTGGCTGTCTCGTGTGCGTTCTGATGACCGACTGCATGACCGTGGGACCGTGTGCCAACCCAAAGAGAGACTACCGTGAGGGAGGGGGGGCCGCCAGGAAACTCACCAATTCCACGCAACTGGAAACGTTGATTCGAAAGGTACTCTCCCAGTCTTCGGCCGAGATATCCTTGATTCTCAAGGAAGAGCCGAACGTGCCGTGGTTCAGAATGAGGCCGTCTAGACGCCCGTCCAGGTCGATGCCGGCCAGGATGGACTTGACGTAGCCAAGGTCCGACATGTCTCCCGGGCTGGTGATGACACGGTCTGGATTCTTGCCTGCAAAGTCCTCGAGGACATCCTTCTTGCGTCCCGTCAGGATCAGCAGGTGCTGCGCGCTCAAGGAGAGCAGGTGACGCGTTATAGCTAAGCCGATGCCGGCCGTCGCTCCGGTCACCAAGATCGTGCGGCTGGCTGGGTTCGCAGACTTGGTTTTGGGTAAAGGGTCAGCGTTGTCGGTCACTTTCGTAAATCGACCTAACTTTTGGGCTTTGAGAACGGGGATGAGGTTGAGGGAGGGGTGCTAAGAGAAAAAAACGGCGTACTCGATGGTTTGATAAAAAGTCTGGAGATGGGCCGAAGTGGCTTTTGGGTGTAGACATTTTTGGACAAAGGGTTGCTCGTATGTCTGGTTTGCAAGCTGCGTTTTTGTTTCCCTGGTAGAGAAGCTGGATAGAGAAGTGGCAGACTCTTCGTGTAGCAGGGGCAAGATAGACAGATGGTGTGATATTGAACACACGTCTGGCGGGCGACGGTACTGGGAAAGGAAGATTGATTGGATCTTACATGACGATATCAAAACAAGTCTCGACTATGGAGTGTGGAATAATAAGTCATCGACGGACAAACTTCGGCAACAAAAAACACGCCTGATGCTCAGAGAATGGGACATTTTGGGGATCACTTCTGTACCTCAGGTAGAGATATGCAGTACCTCTCTCTGTCTAATTAGTTCACAGTGTGGCTCGTGCATAGATTCAGGTGCTCGTCGATGTGTATCGTGAAGTATCACATAACTACGACTTCTTTTTCAAGTATCCCGATTGGATCTGCTCCATGATCGTATCCGTGTCTTTTTCTGTCTCCAGCCAAGCCTGCTTCACCAGGTCTGCCCTTCTTGATTTCCTCACCTGAAAGCTCGCCTCGAACTTTTGGGGTCTCGAATTGAAGCCCTGAGTAAACGCGTACGGATCGACTTCGATCCTCTCCTTCTTTCCATTGACCTCCCTGTACCTATACGCGATATCAAACGTCCATAAGATCCTTGCAATGTTGATGAAGAGACTGTTCTTCGCAATATGCTGTCCCGTGCAGATCCTCCTTCCGAACCCGAATGGCGCCAGAGGCAGATCGGAATTCTCGATCCATCGATCCGGCTTGAACTCGAGGGGTTCCTCGTATACGTTCTCGTCGAGGTGGATGGCCCAATGATTTCCAATCACCGTAGCACCAGCGGGGATGCGGTAGCCCATGTATTCGTCATCCTGAGTGACGGCATGTGGAATACCCCCGGCAGACACAGGCCGCCAGCGCAGTGTCTCCTTCAGGATGGCGCCGATGTACGGTAGTTGGTCCTTGTCCTCGAAACAGGGCATGCGATCATCGCCACAGAGTGCGTCGACCTCGGCTTGTCCTTTCCTCATTGCCTCGGGGCACAGCAGCATAGCAAGCGTGAAGACTTCCAGGGCCATGGTGGTCGTGTCGCTGCCCGCTTCGTATATGATCCCGACATCATACGCGAGTTCTTTTGGCGACATGGCTTGTCCTTCTTTCATGCCCAAAACAAGTTTCGACCAATTCCAGGACCTAGCTTGCTGGCCTTGCTTCAAGTTGTCTACGTATAACTTCGCCTCGAATTCGTGTAGCTGATCGCCCAGTTTCTTCCAGGGGGCGAGGAATTTGGGCAGGTAATTGAGAACCGGGAGCGAATCGACGATCCAAGTCCCTACTCGTGCGGCATACAGGAAGTTCTCCATGACCAGGTCGATGGCTTTGATTTCGGGCTCATTGCCTCGCGTCAGTCGTCGGCCATACGCCAACGCGAAAATCAGACTCGACGAGTACCGGTGAAAGCGGTCCGAGAAGTCTGCGTCGGGATCGAGGAGTTCAAACATGAGTTGCTTGCTTTCAAGGTCTTGAAGGACGCGATAGCTCTGGGAAACTCGGATGTTCAGGAACGAGGCCTGTAGGCGCTGGTGGTTTCGCCAGCGTTGACCGTACGGCATGAGAAGTGTTCGGAGGCCTTTGCTGACGCAGTCGCCGCCCATCACACTATGAGGCCGGGAGCTGTAGATGTTGCTCCGTTTGTCGAGGAGATCATGAGCCGTTTCATGGTTACTCAACATGATGATGGTGCTCAAACCGTATTGCAGGCTGAAGATTGGGCCGTACTGCCTCCCCAATTCTTGGTAGGTGCGCCAGGGATATTCCAGTGGTGCTTGATGGAGATTTCCAATAATAGGCAAACGTGGTGGTCCAGGAGGAAGCCCGAGTTTCTTACGGTTTGCTAATTTGCTTGCCAGCCATACCAGGGCAAACCCAAATGCGACGATCGCAAGGACTGTGACGTTGGCCAACATTGTTGATTCGTGACTGAGTCGAAATTCCGTAGCTGAATTCGAATTATCGACTCCGAATACTTTCGAGTCTCCTCTTCGACGTGGTGGAGTTTGGGAGATGTCTATCTCGATCTTAAAAACCACCTTGGCCTTTTGCGTTCCCACTGACCATAGATCAGATACTGGCACCGAAGCCAAAATCGGAGTACAATAAGTGACCCTGCGATGAGAAACAACGAGATATCCATTGACACATATGACAAGCAACCATTTCATCCCACCCATCCATCTTGCCTGAGCACCGTGGACAAATTACTAATTCTCGTGGGACTAATAGTCACATGTCATAGTGCTAATGCTCCTTGTTTGTCTGGTTCTCATCGATATCTTCTGAGCCCTATTCTAGCGGAGAACTTTCCGGGTACCCCACAAAATGTCTCCAGGGACCTTCTGGGGCTGAACCCTCTCTAAAGCACTTCCAAGGACCGTCATTGGAGAAACGGTCGGCAGTGTCGTGGGACGGTTTTTGACCATGCGGACCTTTTGTGTTGATTAACCGTCGCGATAGGCGATTTGGTTAGTGCTAAAGATGGGCTTCACTACTTTGCGGGATGTGTTCACTGTTCAGCCTTCAAGTCCCACAATGAACTACCGACAGGCCACAACACTCGCTTATTCTGCGAAGGACCGATTCTGTCGCGTAGAATCATTATGACAGAACATGCATGCCTGCTGCTCCCCTTCCGTCCTGGGCATCAATCTGGTTGAAATATGTGACTGTGACATTCGCAACATGTTTTGGCAAAGGGTCTGCACCAGAAGCGGCTTCTCCGTTCTCAACAAGAGCATCAAATGCTTTGTCTCTCGTCACACGCAGGATGGTGGAGAAACTGTTCGCGTAAGAGAGTCGATTGACGTGTATGGCATGAACGCCCACCCCAAGACAGATTGCAGATAGGCCTATGGCGACGGCATATGATATGAAAAGAGCTCGAGGCGCATAGGTGAAAGTGTTGAGCGATTGTCTGAGCGTTGCTTGAGTAGCTACATGAGAGCTGTAGTTCTGCTCGAGATACCCGCTTGGACAGATGTCAGCAAATTTGAACCAAGTAGCAGGAGTACTCACAATTGCATATTGCTGTAGCGGTAACTTAGCGTGAAGTTTTGGAACAGACTTTCCAGTGCGCCGGTAAATTGGCTCCAGGTCGTGGTAAAAGCAGGGTCGGAATACATGGCCCCAGAGATAGCTGCACCCAAGACTGGGTTGACTTGAACAGAACTCCCCGGGGTAAAGTTGTTGCCGTTGATCTTGATTGTTGTGGTTCCGCTTGCATAGTATCCAAATGCTTGCATGAAAGCTTGGGCATTGAATCGTTCGGCTGCTTCGTCAACTGTGTACTTGGTCGGGAGATACTGCACACCCTCGATACCTTTGAGGACTTGCCGACTCGCAGTAATGACCTGTTGCCCATTGCTACTGAGCTCAAAATGTGAGTTATATGATGCATTGTGTAAGGTACATTCGGCCACGTCGTAGTGCCAATTTCCAGCTGGTATGGCAGTCATATTATCCGAGGAGTACATCATATGAAATGCCTTTGCTGGACCGTTGCTGGGTGCTTCCAGGCCAAGGTTTGGCGTCGAAAAATTGTATTGTCCCTTGCCATCGATGAGGGCCTCGAAAAATGTGGCATTGATTGTGCTCGGCCCGAAATCGCTTTGAGGCACGAATCCCGCCCAGTATATCATATTTCCTGTCTGGTTCATGTAATCATAAAGGCCATCGCGAAGGGTGGCGGTAGTAGTACTGTCAGGCTCAACACATTGAAGAGCAGGTCCGTAAAAGTCGAGAGTGTAGGAGAGGTTTTGTGACCCCAACTCTAATGATACTGGGAGGACGCCGCCTTGCTGGATGTTCAGATTCGCTACTTTGAGGAAGGTTGTTGACGTCCCAAAGTATATCCAGGACGAGCCATCATTAGTGGTCAGCATAGAGAGCTGTGAGTCATTGTTCTGCCGCTGGGGGACTTGTACAACTTCTGTGCTCTCGTGCATCAGAGGCCGCACTGTCAATGTGGAAGGTGTGAAGATGGCGGATAGCGGAATCAGCCTGGAAGGTCAATAAGCCGTCTGTCCACAAAAGTCCGCCCTGTCAAAGAGTAGCCCTCACCATGTTGTAGCCGCTGTAAGGGTCAGTAAAGGGTGCCGGACCCAGACCTTCACATACAAGAACTCAAAAGGATTGGTGAGAACGTCAAACATCGAATCTACCGCACGGATCTTCACACCGCTGGACCTCAATGAGCGCCACAGGCATTGTGTGAACGCAGTGGCTGATGAAGCCGCCAAGGATACTTTGACAATGAAAGCCAAAGCCAGCCCAGATGTTGATATGATTTGTTGTTCATGATCGAAGCTGACGATTCGGTTGTTGAAAGTGAAGTAGAGAACGTGATGAAGAATGGCGCCCAGCACCCCGATAGCAAATGAGACTATCATAACTGTGGGTGCTCTCCAATGGATAAATCGTCTTTTCTCTTGCGGGAGGAGCTGTTCTTGAGAATACAGGAGGGGTTTGTCTGTAGATAGGCTTGTCCAAGATGCACCTTCATAGCCACGAACTCCATAGTTATTCTGAAGAGACATGTTTCGGACCCAATTTTCAACAGCTTTTGCGAAGAACTGCACAGCGCAGGATGCCAGTCAGGGAGATATAGCAGTCGGCGCTCTGGTGCAAGGGCGACCTAGCAGCAGGGCAATTCAGCTCCACACAGGACTTACCATCAGGATTGCATTTTCTCTGCGGCTTCACGATAGCTGATGAATATTTGAATGAGGTGGTGTTGACGTTCTTTTGTTCTGAGACAGGCCATGTTTCGAAGCAGCATGTTAAGAGAACATCCAGACCACTGTGAATGGCTCAGCCTCATCACCCTCTTACCGCTTCTCGAAAGCAATTGGCTGGACGAATGCTGTACAACAGGCTGGCGCGTTCGAGCTGGTACGCCTGAATTGCACATTATGCCTGAGAAGTCGTGCAAGTGATGCTAGTTGGTGTCACGTTTCCGAGGGGGCCAATATCCTAGTCGAACTCAGCCCGACAGCGCTTACACTGGAGATCTGCAGTGGGTTGAAGCTTGCTCAAAGAGAGCAGAGATGGACACTGCCACAAGACACACAGAAGGCGCTTCACTACCATCCAATGAACGAAGAAAAGGCGACGTCTCTTAGCTCATCGAGATTGGCGTCGTTGCTGCTACCTAAATTGACCGAAGACACGTCAAAGCAACGCCAGAAATATTCGCCATAGTTTGAATGCTCTACCAAAATAGCTCCGGCGGCGCATACAGTCGCATATGCTGATTTCTGTCACAGCATATTCTGAGTGCGATTCACGATCTACGCGTTCATCGCATTTGAATGCTGAGAGATATGATCGACGTGTTTGATCTGTGTGAAGGTGTTTTTGTTGCATATACTAACCCAGTGTATTGTGTCGTACTTTCACAGTGGCCTTAATTTCACCGTGACGGTCTTTTCCGCAGAGGTTTCCGGGTGACGATTTCAAGCGGTGTCTGTTGCATGAGCTGACAGCAGATGTGTCACCGATGCCTGTATTTCCAGGAGTATCCGGCTTCTCTTCAGATGAATTCTCCCTCCCTCCACAGAAGGCTATCGCATTTGTTTGTGGCACCAAACTTGTTAGCTTTACGTCAATCCTGGTTTCCGCAACTCATATGGGCAGTTGACGGGTCTCTTGCTGCTACTTAACGGCTCCGGTCTGGATCAACGCAGTACTGTCTGGCATATGTGACGTTGGTCAAATTTTGGCTGTCATAGGCTAACCGACCGTGAAAGAAGGACTTTAGCGAGCTCTTTCGCGGTCGCTTTTGATGTTGCTTTGTCGACCGTCATGATCTTGCACGACGACCAGATCTTGCATACTCTCCACATTCATCTACTAAGCAGTATTCAGTATCAGTTTGGACGCAACCATTCTGACATCCAGGATGAAATTTCATCAAGAAGAGCCTCGACGACATGGCCAACGCGAGGTTCGACCAGCTTGAGTAAGTTGCGGGACCCTGCATCATGACATCCGCACTACTTCAGCATGGTTTTGGATTCGATGGGCAAGTATAGCTTCTGTTGGATTGATTAACACTCATGGAAAACTCATACCATTTGGATGACAGCAGCAGCTACGTACCACAACGAGGTGTGGCGAATGTCACCGAGTGCCTCGGATCGATGCAGCCTGAGTGGTCAACCGAGTGGTCAACCGACGTGAAGCAAGACTTTGTTTCTACTTGTGGATCTCAAAAACAGGCATGAAATGCAGATCGACTGCTCAAATCACTTTAGCCCATCACTTTTAACGACTGTGAAGCCTCTCTAGGTTGGTGGGCGCTCACTTTCAGGTAGGTTATACCGTCATGATTACATCTTCGTCCTCTGTCAATGATCTGTTGGGCGGAACTCACATCTTGGGGTTCCGCCATATGAGCATAAGAGCACTGGAACGTTTCAACTGACCTTTGCCAGGCTCACCTTCGACTCGAAATCGTTACCTTACTGGATCTGGTTTCGATCGCTACAAGCTGCGATTGCCAGATATGCCCCCTCCATCCAGACCAGCAGAATGGCCAGCCTCAAATTATATCAACCCGTCCACGAGAGGCTCGCCATCGCTATTCCTCGTGACCATGGGTATCTCAACACTTGTTGTCCTACTCCGAGTGTATTCTCGACGATTTTTGACGAAATGCTTTGGACTGGATGATGCTTTCCTTGTAGCAGGCTGGGTATGAACTTCGTGCTCCTTTCTCCTCCTGATAGCTAATTATTAGTTTTTATCCCTCGGCATGACCTTTGCTGAGATCAAAGCCATGACAACTTGGGGTTGGGACAGGCACATATGGGACATCAGACCCGAATCACTACCTAATCTCAGACTCGCTGCGTGGCTCATCGAGTTCTTCTTCCTCCTCGGCAACGCCTCCACAAAGATCTCGATTCTCCTTTTTTATAGGAGAATCACTTCAGGTTTACCGGGATTTTGGTTCTTGTATCTAGCTTGGGCCGCCATTGCCTTCACCGTACTCTATACACTTGGCTTGTTACTTGAACTCTTTTTCATTTGCCGGCCCCCCGAGTCCTACTGGAAATCATACAATCCATTATACACCAAGAAACACGCCTGCGGCAACGAGCATATCCCGTTCATTCTCAGCGCAGCTGCCTCGATCACGTCCGATATTTACTCGTCAGTTTTACCAATGATGCTCGCTCGAACCCTGCAGATGACGCGCAGACAACGCTTCAGCTTCTACGCCTTGTTTTCAGCTGGCCTCTTGACAGCAGGAATTGGAATAGCTCGACTTTTAGTCTTCATTCCCGTAACAAAGAATTACCAAATGGGTCTACATACTCATGATGTGTCCTGGCTAGGCTGGCCGCTTCTGGTGAGTGCATCGATCCTTGGTCTACGGTGTGGCTAACTATTCTTAGGCTCTCACTGATATCGAAGCACATCTCGCTATTATTATTGCATCATTACCAGCATTAAAGGTGTTGTTCCGACACCGACTGTCCGATCCATTCAGAAAGATCAGCGGTTCCCTACGAACGATGTCGACCTCCAGTCGAACGCCCTCTGGGATGTCGTCCTTCCGCTCTGGACCTTCTAGGGGGCAAACTCAGCACGTTCCTGTATCCTGGTCTAAGCAACATATACAGGATGAGGTGACTCTGTGTGTTACTCCTTCCCGGTGTTGCGGAGATGCACGTCCTGCTTATCCCAACGACAACGCAACAGCTCGGAGCCCATCCATCCCCCGATCTGTTGACGTGGTGGAGGCTGCAAAGATTCGACGACCTGCTGCTGCCCACAAATCTGGAAGGCGCTCATGATATTGTCATGCTAGGATACCCGAGACGAGGAACCCACGCTGCTCAGGGTTGTCAGACTGAACGCCTCTTTGAATGCAGATAAACTTATTGCCGTCGCCATGTGACCCGGTGGGTACAAGAGAACCCACGAATCATTGAATAGTGAGCGCAGACATGAGTCACCGCAGGCCATGTCTAGTCCATTCTCCTCAATAGCATTGATTCATCTATCCTATCCCTACCGACCCTTCCAACGCTAAAAGTGTCGATTGTGACGGCCATGTCATGAATATCTTCCCGTTGTAGAGAGTATTCCTGACGGGGAAGGCTAGCCGAGTTTACCGCTTTCCTGCAATGGCTTTGTAGGGGTCTGCAACACCACGCTTTATTTCTGCAAATCCAAGCGGTTTTAGTCCTCTGCACTAATTGATACAAACGATTCGACGCACCGGGGTGACACTGGAATCTCGGTCCTGCTCCTAGGCTGTCTATGCTGGCAGTCACCATGCCCGGAGGAAGCGATGTCGGAACCTCGATCCAATGTGGATGCGAACTCCAGCCAAAGAGTCCTAAATGCGTATGTATCAACCCAACTGAAAAATGGTAGACGCCAACAATCGCAGCTGCCGGAGGTGTAGACAGCGCAAGGTGAAATGCTCGGGTACTCAGCCTTGCGCCAACTGCAAGCGTCGCGGACAGTCCTGTATTTTTGACGAGCCGTCTCGGCGAGTGGTCATCTCTGAAAGGTCAACACCGATAGCCTGTCATAGAAAGCTATTGACAATTCTTTAAAGACACTTACAGGAGCTTCAAAGGCAGGCGTCACAAATCCACGACAGCCATCAGCGCTATGTGGTGCGCGAATCGCCTCAGCCCGCAACCAACGCCAGAGCGGAACAGCGCAGCGCGTCATGCCATGGTGACGCCAGTTTTCATCAGCGTTCCTGGTCTCATGCTTCTTCCCAGGCTGATCCTCCTCAAACGGCGGTTAATGCTTTACCGCTTGCCGCTGTTGACTTCCAGCACCCAGAACCAGATCTTTCACGAGGGGGTATGGGATTCCCACTCCTGCCATATTTCCTGTTGTTGACTTGACCGAGAGTTCAGGACAACCGTGTCTACGTGGGCATTCTGTCGCGCTGCGAGAGGCGCTTTGCTCCCTGGCGCTCATCAAGGAGTGCAATACGTCCAGGACTCACACGACAAGACCTACCAGGCCTCACGCCAGACCGCACCGGCTCCCCATTTTGAAACGGCCAGCCTCCCATCGAAGTCTTACATCAACCACCTGGCTCACGTGTGCGACTTTCGCCTCAATACCAGTCATTACTGTTTTAACCTTCTCGAATTTCAACAGCGACTCGACAGAACTGACCTGGCATTGTTAGGAACGACCTCAAGCGCGTTTCATGCAGAAATTCTAGCCATTCTAGCGTTAGGCAAGCTCTTCCTAGAGAAAGGGGCGAGTACCCTTGGCCCGCCAGGCATTCACCAGTTCCAAGGAGCTACCAGTGCGCTGCCGAACATTGCTACCGCCAGCGAGGACCCAATATCAATAATTGAAACACTTCTGCTTTTGTCTATCTACTCACAAGCAGCTGACATGCACCATGCAGCTTATCTTTATGTGAGTTTGCCTGAGAGTTCATGGGCTTTCTGACTGTCTTTAGATTGGTCAAGCAGCCAGTTTGGCCCGCTCAATTGGACTGTCGAAGGATGCTCGTACCGGCGTAGGAAGCAGTGCGCTCGGCCCCGCCACAGTTCGGAAAATCTGGTGGACTATCTGCCTGCTGGAACAGAAGCAGGCCCTCACGATAGGCGCCGAATCCGAGTTCCTTTACTCCGAACACACCAAGACCACCTCACTGGTAGGGGACGTCGATGACGACGCCGACGGATCTGTCTTACACAGACACGTCTGCATCGCCGAATTAATGACAAGGGTGACGAGCGGTAAGGACAAACTACAATCCCACAAGTACTTTTGGTTTGACACTACCCAGTTCTGAATACGGATTCGAAGGAAACATGTACAACTGATGCGCTTATGACCAAGACTTTGATACAATTGGAGGCAGCACAGAAACAGGGAGAGCTCCTGAGCAGTTCGCATCGTCTCTGCGAAGGGCAAGATTTCTCCACGATTTCACGACCGATAGCTACGTTACATCTTGCATACTACCGAGTATGGCTCTAATCAAATGTGATTGCTGAACAAGTTCTGATTTGCTAAGGCCATCCTCCATGCGACCAAACAATTCCTCCTCGACGTCGTCTCTACAACCTTTTCCACAGTATCCGGCCCTAGGATGACAGTTGGTTCAGGAACCAAGTTCAAAATATTAAAATCCTGCGTGAAAGCTGCGGCATACAGCCTTAACATCCTTCAAGCCCTGCACGAGCAAGGCCTTCTTGGTATGTCGGCCCTGATCGTCTTCAACCCTAACTGAGGATGGCAGAGACATACAATTTCGATGATCTCGAGGCGACTATTACATGCGGGCTAACACTCACCCTGGCCAACGGCGTATTTTCCAGCAGCGTTGATGACTCTTTCCTTGCCATCACAAAGAACACCCTTCAAGACATGAGTAACAGGGGAAATCTCCCTGCAGAGGCCCTTCTCCAAGAGTTTAACGCCATCAACGACATGGTAACCAAGGCTACATCCACCCGGCCCACAGGCTATCCGTTATCCTTACAGCTGTCTTTGCACTTAACTCATAATGGTCAAGCTCTGAACAACTGTATAATGGACGTGCTCGCGACTGAGAGCCCTGTGGCTGAAGTGTCTGACCCCAACCGGTCACAGACGCAAGATCACAGCTTTTCCAGCATGGCAGAGGCCCAACAGCCACTTGATGTTGCACCCCAGGATTTGACTTCGGCGCGGGACCTGGATCCTATGAATCATACGATGGTGGAAAGTGGGAGCACATACCCAGCTCCGGAGTTCTCTTTGGACGATTTTGACGATTTTCAAGTGCAATTTGATCTGGATGTGATGAGGCCGGGGTCAGATGGTTGGTTAGACTTTGTGTGACTGAGGTGCTTCTTCGCTTTCGCTCGAAGATTCGTTTCCCATAAAATCTAGCTTGGCGGCACATAAATTCCTTGAAAGATACAATACATCTATGATCTGCTCCCGATGGTTATAAGACAACTGCTTTGAGCACTACGGCTGTTCTTAGATGGTCACACCTGGATCTTTGCTTGGATTATTGCTCGACATCTAGATCAAGCAAGAGCCCCTGCAAGACACGTCTCACAGAGTACTCAACTATGGCAAATACTGCTTCTCCAGCTTTCTCATTGCTGCATCGCCCTGGAGAGCAAAAACATCAGACACAGAGGCAATCTGGCCCTCCACACCAGCAATACCACCATCCTCTACAATTTGCTTGAAGGTGCGCCGCATGGAGCTGACCGTCGCGCGAATGCTATGGTTGCCGCATATGAGCAGACGGACCTTGCCGTCGGTCAGTCTGGAAATCTCCTGAAAGGAAAGCTGAGGATAGCTTGTCGGCACCAAGACCAAGGGCACTCCATTCCGTGGCCATACGCGACAGAATGAAATGATTTCGTCCGGCGTCTTTTGTTTGCTGTGGATCAGCACTGCATCTGCTCCCGCGTCTGCATAAGCAAGACCGCGCTTCAGCGCTTCCTCCTGACCCAACCCGGCAATCAGCGCCTCCGTGCGAGCAATGACAAGCATGGGTCCCAAATCCTTCGCAGCCGCAATTTTGCCTTGAAACTCACGAATGGAAACCAAGGATTGTCGACCATCTACCCGAAGACTGCTGTCCTTAGGAAATGTCTTATCCTCGATGACGACGGCGGCCACCCCAGCAGCGTGGTATCGGGGGATCATGTACGCCAAATTGATGGCATTCCCAAACCCCGTATCCAAGTCGGCAATGATGGGGAGGTCTTGTACTTCAGCCATTGCCCTAGTGGTCTCCAGATGTATGCTTGGTGAGACTATGCTTGCGTCGGGAACGGCATACAACGCGGAGAGTTCAAAACCACTAGCCCAGATTGCATCAAAACCATCGGTCTCTGCAACGATCTTCGCCGAAAGGGGGCTGTGAGCAGCCATGGCAACAGCCGGTCGTTGAGTTCCTCCAATCAGTTTGGCGCGTAAGGCATCAATCCCTCTTTGTGCTGCCATGAAGGGCCAAGTTTTCCTGTAATGGTATTTTGTGAAAGAAGACTCCCGCCTCGAAAAAGATATGAATGAAATGGTCAAACACCATGAACTAGCACGTCAAAATGGCAGGCGGGAAGGACGGTTGTACCGTCAAGCAACGATCTACCAGACGGTCGAGACGCGTGGGGATAACAGAGCCACTGCACAATTCCCTCTAATCAACCATTCCAGATCGTTTGGCTCTCCTCGGGTTGAGTGTCCGAGGTCATTCCGCTGCCGCATCCGAGTCGTCTTCGCCACCGCCCTCCTATCACCTCACTCTTCCTCTTCGCAAAATATTGATTCTCCAAGTTTTGCGCCTGTCGAATCTTGTTCATTCGTCCATGCTCGAGTCCGCGGCGGTGGTGTCGATGTTACGCAACAACTCCACATTCTTTCTCATGGACATGGCCAACAGGCCTAGATCGACGTTGCCCAGAACATAGCGAGCACCCAGATCCCTTACCGCCATTCTGTATATGTCCGGTCTTGTGTAGAGGCCACAGATGCCGAAGATCTTCCCTGCACGCTGTGATGCTCCGGCGATCTTCGCGAGGGCTGACTGAAAGGTCGGGTGTTCCCATTCACCCAGGATGCCGAGTTCCAAAGACAGATCGTTGGCACCAACCAGTAAAACATCGACACCCTCTAACGCAGCAAGGGCGTCAATATTGTCGAGGGATACTCTCGTCTCGATTAAGAGGAACACCGTCGAGCCGAAATCGTTCAGCCGCTCAATGACGTCCTTCGCCGCTACCCGGTCGAACCCAAAGTGCGGTAATGCGGCCGTCAAAGATCTTCTGCCTTTGGGTGGGAACTTGGTGTAGGCCACCGCTTCTCTTGCTTGCTCTGGGCATGATTAGCCTTGTCTCGTCATAACACGGATAGAGAGAATACTTGCCCACGGTGCTGATATGGGGAAAGATGATGCCCATCGCCCCACCGTCGAGTATCCGTTGCACATAACCCTGGCCGCATTGATAGGGGACTCTCACAAAAGGAGTAATACCAGCAGAAAGGGCAGCCGAGCACAGCCGACTGGCGTCCCTTTCTGACAGAACCGAGTGTTCAAGGTCGATAAAGACGGTGTCGTAGCCGGCCGCTTTGGCGAGACACACGGCCTCAGTCTCCGCCACCAGTTTGATTCCGAGAGCCTAACAAGATTAGTACGTACGGAGAAATGGACTAGCTACGCCGTGATCTTGATCTTACAGTGCAGAGACGGTTCTCTGATACATTGGTGAGGAGATTATTGCGGAGCATGACAAGTCGGGTGTGACGCGTCGTCGACACTGGATCCTTTGAAGCTCTACAATACAGAACAAGTTTCAATTTCGAGTGCAGATAAGCTGCACGCGGCTCGAGCAGTGCAGGACTCTTCTGGCCTTGTCATCTTAGATCTATCTATCCAGGTAGCAAGTATCTGATCGGTTGATTCCCTTGTCCTCGGCAGACGCAACCGAGGCCTTGGCGAAGCAGTCGATATTCTTCGGATCCCCACCGCCGAACGAAGCGGCAGTTGACATGTTGAATACACAGCGTTATTCTACATCACCGCGTTTAGGGAAGACTGATTTCGTGTGCCCAGGGGAGAGACCGCATCCTCTCGACGAAGACCCGCTCCATCATCCTTGCATAATCCGTGACCCAACTGCCTGTACCATTAAACGTGATACAGTTAGATATGATAAGCTCAAAGTCGTCGATAAAGGCAGAAACTGTGTCGTATTGTTGGTTTGCTAACTTCCGAGCGATCTCTCCCAGGTCCATAGGCTTCTTGATTTCCTCCGAGTATGTCGGTACGGAGACGCTGTCCACGGGCTCTCTGAATGGATCCGAGAACGAGGCATTCTGAAGATGGCCAATGACCCATTTCATGGTGCGCAAGCGAGCAGGTGTGATTGTGTCGTCTTGACTTAAGCCCCCGAATTCATGACGCGGTATCAGTACCGCCTCGTTCTCGTCGCTATTCTTTCTGCGTCTCTTCCTCGTCGCGCGTGTAAGTCGATCGTCATCGGATTGCTGGGTAGTTAGAGAGTTAGCTACTCTTGTGGATCGACGCGGCGCTCTCGTGGTGCGGACAACTTCGATTGTACTAGAGTCGCTTTCGTAACCCGCCGTCGTGACGATGTTGTCAGTGGCCGTGCCTGGTTTCCGGTTGTGTGTGACTACCGTTCTGCGTCTGCGCCTGCGTCCTTGCGCTGTTCTCTGGACTTGACGCCGCTCCTCTTTCTTCAAGTTTGGCCGAGTAGACTGGACGCTGCCAGCGGACGGATGGAAGAGTTTCACGATATCTAGGACGTGGTCGGAATCGGACTCGCTTTCTGCGTGGTCATCTCTCTCTTTGCTGTAGGAAGCCGACCTATCGTGCTCCAAGGCGGCTCGGGGTTCTCTGGAGTCATTCGTCTGAGCAAGACCAGGAGGAGGTGCGTTGACAATGTTCCTTTGCGTTGGGTCTCGGGCTTTGATATCCGGAGGCGTAACAACTTGGGACTGGCCGATCCGCTGTGGTCCTGCTGGACGCGTAAAGAGTCTAGATCCACAGAAGCAGCAGTACGTCCCCTGAGCCTTGGGAATCCTGATGTTGCAGGTGCCACAGAAGCCTTCCATAGCCTCCATAGTGGTACTTTCTGGCATAGGACGAAGGTATGTTGGCCGAGGGACGTGACACCGGGAGGAGGCATAACAGAGACAATGGAATGAGGTGAGTTAAAGAGTGAAAACAAGACTCCAGACTCTGTGAATCTGTTGGCAGCGGCAAGAATTCACTGTCATCAAGGAAAAGCCATGAAATGAAATACCTGGGCGGGTTGAGCAATCATGTAATGGTCCTTGTTTCAAGTACAACGAGAGACATCGCACCTCTGTCTTACCGCCGTCGCGTATTTCATCTGCATGGATTTTAACGCCTCCAGAGTCTCTGTATGCTGGATAATCCCTGAACCAGCCCTCAGCACGACTCTCGAGTCCCTCATACAATTTATGTCTGCTCAACAACCACCCCCTTTTCGAGATTTGTAGAGCTTATAGCGCGCAAGGACACTGTCCTGATCAAAGCCGACTGCCCTTGTCTGGTGTGTTAGCCTGACATTGCCTACGACGGTGTAGGAAGAGACACATTCTGGGCCATACCAAAGCTAGAGAGGAACACTGAGTCCAAGGTGCGGTGCGAGGTACGGATACTCTCACTATTTCTTGCCTCTGATCGCGCGGACTTCGGCACCAACTTTCTCTGGCACTTTACGCGTTCAGCCATCAGCAACGCGTCCCTCCACCAGCATCATCCCAAACCTGTGATGCGGCCAGGACTGAGAGCTTTCAGAAGTCGGGATCTCCGTCTTTTTGAGAGTGCGTCTCGACATTATGCTCTTCACAGTCTACAGCGGCCATGTTTGAGACCTCCGAACTTGTGGCTCGCAAGCTGGCGTGTCTCAGACCGACAGCAGCGAGGTGCGAAGACCACCACACGAAGGAAAGTTAAAGACCTGCAACAAGGAGCCATCCAAGGCGAATCTCTGCCCGAACTACCCAGCGATGACGAACCGCAATACCCAGCCCTGCTCCAGGGAGTCAAGAACAACATGGCCAGGTTTGATAACTGCGTTCTCCTCACAAGAGTTGGAAACTTCTACGAAATGTACTTTGAACAAGCGGAAGAATTTGGGCCGCTGCTGGGCCTCAAAGTGGCTTACAGGCAGACCAAGCTCGGCCCTGTGGCTATGGCAGGATTCCCGTTCTTCCAGCTGGACCGCTTTTTGAAGACACTGGTTCAAGACTTGCACAAATATGTCGCCGTGTGCGAGGAGTTCCTCGTCAACGTATCTGGCAAGGTGAAATCAGGGGGCTTGAAGCATGATCGCCAAGTCACTCGAGTGGTCACCCCAGGTACATTGATTGATGAGAAGTTCCTTGACCCGTACGAGAACAACTACCTACTAGCGATACATCCTGAGTTCCACTCGTCGTCAAAATGCGACGGCGACGACAACGAACCAAAGGTTGGCCTTGCTTGGCTGGACCTGTCCACTGGTGACTTTTACACCCAGACCGTACTCCGGAGTGCACTCTCGTCTGCCTTGACCCGGATTTCGCCTCGCGAGATCATCCTTCCGTCTGATGTGTCTCAAGATGTACAGGAGGAAGTCCAAACAATCGTTGGCCACGACCACAGGCTGCTCACTCTCCATCAAACAAGAACTGGCTTTCTATCAATGAAGGAATGGAGTTCCATGTTGGTCACGGAAATGCAGGATGGTGCGGAAAATGCCTTTCAGGAGGTTGAGAAGCAAGCCGGGCACTGCCTGCTCGACTACGTGCAACTCCGACTACAGGGGTTGCAGCTACGGCTCCAACCTCCTCGGCACATTGAGCTCTACGAGATCATGGGCATTGACCGAAGTAGTTTGCGTGGTCTGGAGATCCTGGAGACGTCGAGAGATGGGCTCGGGAGAGGCAGCTTGTTTCATGCGGTGAAGAGGACTGTCACAAAGAGCGGCTCGCGGTTGCTTCGAGACCGGCTTACGTCTCCGTCTGCCTCTCTACCAGAGATCAACGATCGTTTAGATCTGGTATCTGCTTTCTTCGAGTTAGAGGAACTGACAGAGTCTTTGATTTTCAGGTTGCGCAGGACTTTTGATGTTCAACGCATTGTTCAAAAGTTCGCGCTCAACAAGGGCGATGCCGACGACATGTTATCGCTTGCAAGTGCCATCGCGGAGACAGTCTCAACACGCGATCTTCTGCTGTCCGCCTTTCCAGGTATTGACTCGGACCAGCCAGCTACAAACGTGCAGTTCATGCGGAGATTGCTCAAACGATTCGACCTAGAAGGCCCTGTCGAGCTTCAAGCGTCGATAAATTCCGCCATTGACGAGGAAGGGCTGCAACAAAAGCACCGCTTAGAAGAAGATGAAGCAGCAAGCGTGGCAGCCATGGCACACGAGGTTGTTCTTCAAAGCGCGCCTGAAGAGCTTGAATCACTGCCCAGGGCAGTTCGTTCCAAGGCAAAAGTCGAGGAGAACAAAGATGACATAGTCTTAGAGGAACCATGGATCATGCGTCGCAATGCCAGTGACATCTTATCTCGCTTGCACCAGGATCTAGATGACCTCCAAGGAGAAAAAGCTGCTCTTGCCGAACGACTACGTTCTGAACTCTCCGCGCGTACGCTTGTTCTCAAGTCGACGCCTGGATTGGGCTACATATGCCACATCAGGAGCGCAAACGGCTTCAACAGAGACAAATTGGAAGCGCTCCAAGCTAGGATGGTCTCATCTTCCAAGAGCACCCGCTCATTCTATCTGACTGACTGGACTCGACTTGGCAGACGCATCGACCAAGCCATAGCCAACATTCGCGACGAGGAGAAACGGATATTCACGACCTTGAGGGCAGGCGTCATCCATAACCTGGTCAAACTGCGCCGTAACGCAGCTGTCATGGACGAGCTTGACGTTGCAAGCGCTTTTGCGACACTCGCCAAGGAACAATCATGGACGCGGCCTATTTTGAATAACAGCACTTCACACAAAATCGTCGGGGGCCGGCATCCGACGGTCAAACTGGGCCTGGAAGAACAAGGCCGCTCGTTCATCAGTAACAATCTCGTCCTCGACCAGAACGAGCACATATGGCTCATCACCGGGCCCAACATGGGCGGCAAAAGCACTTTCTTGCGACAAAATGCTCTGCTGATCATCCTCGCACAATGCGGATCCTATGTGCCGGCAACGTACGCGGAAATTGGGCTCGTCGATCAGATCTTCAGCCGCATCGGAGCCGCAGATGACTTGTTCCGCGACCAAAGCACTTTCATGGTTGAGATGCTGGAGACAGCGGCGATCCTGAAGCATGCGACTCCTCGATCATTCGTCATAATGGACGAGGTCGGAAGAGGAACCACGCCTGAGGATGGCACGGCGGTGGGATACGCAAGTTTGCACCACTTGTACTTTGTGAACCGGTGTCGGACGTTATTCGCCACGCATTTCCATGAATTGACAGATATGACCAAGTCCTGGGACAGACTCGGGTGTTATTGTACGGACGTGCTCGAGGATGAAGACGGGAAGTTTACGTTCGTGCATAGGCTGAAGAGTGGTGTTAATAGGCAAAGCCATGCACTGAAGGTGGCCAGGTTGGCTGGGATGCCCGAGAGTGCTATCAAGGTGGCAGAGGAGGTGTTGAAGGCGAGGATCGGAAAAGGATACGTGCGTGGACATGAAGATGTGTTCGGAGCGGATCAAGGAAAAGAGAAAGATCACAACCGCAAAACCGAGGAAATTACTGACAGTATACGGGTGGCCCATGGAGGATGAAATGAGTTTACTCAGGATATCTCGGCGGCTGTTGTATTTCGCCCTCTGCCGGTCTCGATGTTGCGACCGTCCCGCAGTTCTTACATGTCCTGGCGTCCATGTCATTCTCGAACGCGAGAACACCCTCTTTGATCTGAGTGCCCAGGTCTGTGAGATGGAAACTCGCCTCGTGTACGATGCTGTTGCAGTTCTTGCAGTACCAGCGCAGCGTATCCACGGAGTCAGCTGGCCGTGGCTGTTCGAGCACAATGCCGACTGTATCAGCGAACCGCACTGGGTTATGAGGGGTATTGGCAGGAAGAAGGTACAAGGAATTCTCGTGTATGGGGATGTCGACGGGGGTATGAGGTGTCGTAGATGTGTCCATCGTCTTTAGAAGCATGGATCCTTTGTGCTGGTAGAAGAACTCCGGGGTGGTGTTGATGTGGTAGTCGGTCCGCGCATTGGGGCCACCGACAACCATGACGGTGAGTCCGCCGGTGGCGGGCGAGGAAGGGTGGTAGACACAATAGTTGTTGATCGGAGGCTGCAGGAGGTGAGAGTTCTCTTCCAGCCTGTACGCGCATTAGTCTCAGTGGAAGAGGGTGGATGAGTACAATATGGGTCATGCATGCCATTTGGGTAAATTTAACGCGGCCATGTTTGTGACTGTCCTGTCGGCGTTGAGATGCGTCTTGAGCAGGGTGCTTAAAAAACAGATACTCAGGGACAAATGGTGTTTGCAAGGGCCAGTGCCGTCTCAAATCAGCTCGTACTTGAACTGCTCCCACGAGTGAGTGTAATAGTGCATCGACTTACAAATGTAGCGAGCGAGGGGTCCGCAGGCGGAGTCGATACGGGATACTCGTATTCGTATCAGGAGAACGTCAGGTGTTTCGCTTTCCGGTGCTCGGGAAAGTTGCACTTCTTATCGCCGTGCGGAGAATTTTTTTCGAATGCGGAGAGCGAGACGAAAGATTGATTCTGCAGTCCAGCGACCGAAGGGCGAAGTCGAAAGAGACCAGACACACGACCTTCAACACGGCCAGAATAATTGGAACATGCGGTAGCAACAATATCAGGCACATCGCTCATCCATCATGTCGACATCTCAGCCCCCTCTACGTCTATCCTCTCACAACTCCTTGACCTCTCGCCTTGTCCTGTCCACCCTTCTCGGTCGCGCCATTCGCATCGACCAAATACGCCCCGACTCTCCTACCAACCCGGGTCTTGCTCCTCATGAAATATCGTTCCTTCGCCTCCTCGAAGCAGTGACAAATGGCTCCCACATGGAAATATCCTACACGGGCACAGTACTCCTCTATCGGCCCGGCCTCATTACCGGTTCTGCCAGTGGGAGTGGCGCGTCGAGCTCTGGAGTAATACGGCATGAGATTGCCGCGAACAACACTCGGGGACTCAGTTACTTTCTCATCCCTATATGTTTGCTGGCGCCGTTCAGTAAGACCAAATTCAACATACTGTTCACGGGGCAAGGCGTGATCACGAGCGCCACGGAGAAATGGGGCGACATGTCAGTGGACAGCGTGAGGACTGCGATTCTGCCCATCTACGAAAAATTCGGAATAGAACGGGATATCGAACTGCGAATACTGAAGAGAAGCAACCCTGGTCCACGAGGTGTTGGAGGCGTGGGCGAGGTGCAGTTGTTGTTTGGGCATCAGGTCCGCTTGCCGAAGACACTGCACTTCATGAACCCGGGACGCGTAAAGAGGATTCGGGGCGTGGCTTACAGTACCGGCGTGAGTGGGAACAACAATGCGCGAATGATCGAAACTGCCAGGGGAGTCCTGAATCAGTTTGTGCCCGATATTTACATCTTCAGCGATGTGGGCAGTGCGCAGCTGATCACTGTTCAAGAGCGTGGCAGCCAAGGAACCACGAAAAGGAAAGTCGGCCTTGGGTTCGGACTGAGTCTGGTCGCGGAGAGCACGACGGGGGCGCTTTATAGCGCAGATGCTGTTTGTCCGCCAGAGGGTGGTAAGCCGGCAGAAGACATTGGACGGATGGCGGCTTTTGAGTTGCTCGAGAGCATTGAGAAGGGTGGCTGCGTGAGCGGCGAGGCGGTCGAGACAGTGGTCACGTTGATGGCCATGGGAAGCGAAGACGTTGGACGAGTCTGTCTCGGGAGGGATGTATTGGCGAATGAGAGGACTGTTCAGTTGGCAAGGGATCTGAACGCGTTTGGAGCAGCAGGATGGGGAATCAAGGATGCAGACGGTGAAAAGGCAGAGGGGTTGTTGCAGGTCAGCATCGTGGGGAGAGGAGTCGGCAATGTGGGCAGGAAGATTGGTTGAAGCGACTCAGATCGACTACGACTCTACGAGAACATACCTAGGTCATCACCATTCGACGAATTCGAGACAACCAAAGTCTCGAGAAAGAGAGGCCATATCGATTGTACGATTCCCCCGGGTTTGGCGATGCTGACACGGCATTGAGACTTCTTACCTTGCCATACTCATACTATCTTGGTCTTCACCCCCATCGACATCGCATGCAAACGGCATCGAGATCGGTGAAGATCTTCGTCCCTCACTCACGGCAACCCAAATGAGGTTTGCGAGTGTAAGAATGACGCCAGACACCAGCGACGTCTGACTAACCGCCAACTCAAACAAGCCAGATACCCGGTATGTTACTAGGTGGGAGGTCCGACGGAGATAGCGCGAGCGCTGTCAGACTCTCGACCGAAAGACTATTCAACAGCATGTGTGTGGCCATGTTAGTCTTTGCACAAAAGCATCCGTGCGGCATAAAAGCGGCTTTCAGTATGCACAAACCAGCCATCCGGTAGTTGACAGCTGAAGGCACCCAATGATCTTCACAGGGAGGTGGAAAGTTCGGGACGCCGGATTCGCTCGGATGTCGATGATCTGTTAGTGCAATTGACCATTTTCTGCTCACACGACCACCTCGGCGCCCAAACAAGAGCCGGGAAGAGGCACTTGAGGAGCAACAGCCTTCGGGGCAACAAGACCAATATCGTATACAGATGCATAATGGCATCAGCAACGGACTAGAATACAATGCTCTCCAGAAGAAGTACCTCCAGTATACATATGTAAGACTTTGGTGGTGGGCAGAAGACTCACACTAACAGTCAGCCAGCCAGGCGGAGACAGCGGGACGGGATGCGATGGCCAAGAAGAGGCTTTTCTCACTAACTATTGCATGAGACCATCACACGCCTTTCTCTCTTTACTCTTCTCGTACAATGTTTGCCTCGCTTTGAAAGCAGCTCACTCGCTGTCTATTAGGCCAATTCGCTTCGGTTGACAAATCCACTGTCAAGATGCCTGGGTGGTTGGATCGATTCCCTCCTCCTCCGATCATGTCCCTCCGTCAACCTGTTCCGGCCATTCGCTCGTGCCACCGCCTTTGACCTCACGACTCCCTCATTGATCGAAGAGCCGCCAGCGCATGAGATCTTAAAGACTACGGTCTGGAGCCTGGCTCTAGACTGCCTGCTCTCCCGTCGATGAGCTCATCCTCTTGTTTTCGCCGTCTGACTCTTCCGCAAAGCCGTCACACCCCGCTGTGCCTTGCATCTCACTGCCTTACATACTGTACCTCTGATCCCAAACAGTCCACCCACCTACTCACGCTGATCTCTTGACTCTGCCCTCGCTTACCTGTCCATACGCTGTCTAGCGGCTTGTCCTCTCGCGCTGTACTGATTGTCTGCAAGACTTCTCACTACCTGTTACAGCGTATATCCAGCATGGGAGCTGGCGCATTCCTGGAGCCGCTGGTGGTGGTTGGGCTTCTGTTCGGTGGTGCGTGGATCAATCGAGCCACCGATTCCACCGTGTCTGCAAGAGACCAGTTCTGGAACGAATCTCTACCCGAAGCTCGTGGGATCGAAACCGACGAAGCTCTCGATATCGAAGATGCCCGTATCTCACGCTCAAAACGATCCCTGTCACCTTCTTTACTTCCTTCACAAGAGAACAGATGGCGAGAAAGAGAAGTCAGAGTCATGGGGTACCATACGGTTCTGCAGACGCCAAACACGGCAGTCTTTCGAAATCGACTGCTCAGCAGGCTTCTGCACAAGTTTCCATTCTTGGTCGAGGCCTGGTATTGGGCTCTGATATACTGGGTACGAGTTTGTGGGCATCAATGCGAACAGCAGGGGAAAACTAACAAGGACTCAGGTATACCAACTCGGTCGAGCGTTTACAGCCCTCACTGTCGTCGAGGGGACTGTTCATGTTGCGCGGCGACATGCCCTGCGGGTGATCGCTTGGGAACAACGTCTGAATATCTTCTGGGAGAAACCCATCCAAGACTTCTTCATGTCGTTCCCGCGCTTGATGATGTGTATCAACTGGCTGTACTCTTTCATCCATATCCCCGGGACCATTGCGTTCCTGGTTTGGTTGTACTACTATACCATAACGAGCAACCAAGGGGTTTACCGTCGTGGTGCTGGCGCTCAAGACATCATCACCCAAGGAAGACATGGCTCTGCAGCCGGGTCAGGTCTGTATGAGGCCCGTAGACGAACCATGGCCGCTTGCAATCTGCTCGCATTTGTCGTGTTCACGCTCTGGCCGTGCATGCCTCCGAGGCTGCTGAGCGATCCTGACTACAGTGGTCCAGACGCCGAACTCGCCAAGAGTTTCGGCTTCGTGGACACAGTGCATGGTAAAGACGGGGCAAGCAGTGTATGGACGCAGAACAAGTTCTGCAACCAATATGGTATGTTTCGCCGCTGTTTCGCAAACTTGTGGTTTCTTGAGTTGTGCTACAAGTCCCACGATCTAGGAAAGTGACTAACGACTTCTCCCGTCACAGCTGCGATGCCCTCTCTGCACTTTGGATACTCGCTGCTGGTCGGACTCACGATAATGACCATCCCACTCGCTCCTCAACACCGGCGATCGAGATCGATCCATCTGCCGTTGTTCAACAACTCGCACCCGGAACTCGCACCCCAGATTAGACTCCCCAGTACGCGACGCCTGGCCTGTCTCACCATTGGCTTCATGTACCCCTTTGCGATCCTCATCGCAATCGTCTCAACGGCAAACCATTTCATTCTCGACGCCGTGGCGGGCGCCACGATCTGCGGGCTCGGTTGGAACATGAACCGGGTGCTACTGAATTTGTTGCCGCTTGAAGATTGGTTCTTGTGGGCAGTGAGGATCCATAAGCCGGTACATGTCTCGCTTCAAGAATCCAGAGGCATTAAACCAGGGTTGTTGAAGAACAGCATGGGCGGCTGGGTGCCTGAACGACCGGTTGTGGTTGATTCCAGCTAAGCTCAGATCAGACCAGACCAGAGCAGCTCAGCTCAGCTCAGCTCAGCGCCTCCCACCAAGAGACTTCGGACCATCAACAGAAATCTTACAGCGTTCTACACCAGATTACGAAACTGGGATAAGAGATACTCTAGCTTTGTTTGACTGGGTTTTTTTCCCCCTTTGGTGTTTAGACCGAGACAAGTTGAGTGCTCAGGACGTCTCGCGACGATGTTCAGATGACTTTTACGACCGATCATGCCGCTCGCTATTATTGCACGCTTGAAGAGACTACGGCCAACTTGATGCCCACCATTAATAGTGATCCCGACGCCACTACGGAGTAGTCCCGCTCGACACCGGCAAGACGAGTATTATACCTAGGTAACGATAACGCACCCTACCTACAAATGGTACAGATGTGCAGGTTCACGTGTGGGTACAGGAAGGTGGTGGTCAAGTTTACTTGTTAGCTTGGTTAATCATTAATATAAATCAAAGTACGTATGTATCTTATACGATGTTACATACCTAATCACATGTATGAGATTGGACGGTGATAAATAGTGGTACTTTTTTGCTTTCGTGAATAGGTGGAGTAAAGTAAGTATCTTGACCGGGTAGTAGGTAGGAAGTAGTAAGTACTGTTGTACTGTGTTGAGTTGGTTTGATGGATTTCTTTTGCGCAATGGTACTCTTCTTTGAAATGCAAAGTGATGTTTTTTCAGTTCTTGTCGTGTGCAGGTATCTATCCATCATGTGTACATTACAGAGGGAGGTCCCAGTATCCGTTGTCAACTTGTTCATTTATCCCCTATCCACAATCCACTGTCCGCCGCCCCCTTGCTCCTTGCCAAGATATAAAGTTAGAAGTCACAAGTTACATGTTACAAGTTGTTCTCATTTCTCCTACTAACTACCTGTAGGTAAAGTAAGCTTTATCCAGGCAACTCCGCCGAGTGATGGTGATGATGATGATGTTGTTGTTGAGCCGGAAGTTCAGCAGCAACCTCGTTGAGCGGCGGTCGTGTGCTGGGGTACGTATATGCATATAGAGATGACGATGATGATGATGATGACGACGACAAGGCCAAGCGTGCTTTGATGTCATCTGAAGGACTAAAGGTGGGAAGAATACTGTAGGTGCTTCGATGATTACTCTTCGTGGTTGTGGCTTGGGCGTTTGAATCTGTAGGGTGGTGGGTCGTTTCACCAACATCATAACGACCGCCAACACCAACATCACTAGTAGCGGTGGGAGTATTGGGGGCATGAGGAAGATGGTGACGATGACGATGGCTTTGGCGTTGTTTGTGTCTGCGGATAACCATGTAGATCACCACTCCGAGGATGATGGCGGCACAGACGCCGCCCACACTAGCTGCGATACTGGTGGTTTTGGAAGATGGAGAGGCTGGTTGGGATGTGTCGTCTTTGGATTGAGGGTTACGGATGGATGTGGGAGATGCTTGGTCGGAGGAAGCTGCGTTGATTGAGGGCGAGAAGTCGCTGCTTGAGCCCGCAACTGACGTCTCTGAAGGTGAGGGAGGAGGAGAAAAAGAAGTTGACGTGGTGGTGGGCTCAAGTTCGTTGAATGTTGATGGAGTGAGTAGTGCACTCATACTAATAACCGTGCCCGTGCCCGTGATTGCTGTGATACTGGAGACAGAACCTTGTGCGGACATGGAAGAGGCGGGTTTGGTAGTTGATTTGGTTGTCGCAGAAGTACTCGATGCTGTGTCTTGGGAAACAATGGAGAAGTACATCGACGTCGCGACTGCGTAGTCGGTCTCGGCGTCTTCAATGATCAGGTAGAACCCAGAGCCGTACTTAGATGTGAAGCTCCCGTCCGGGTATGTTAGACCTTTGCTGTATTCGACGTCTAGAAACGTGGCTGTAACAGGCACGAGCAAGTCAGCAACTGTGGCCGCTTAATGTAGTCGAATAGTATGTACAGAAATGAAAAGCTCGCAGTCAAGTCAAGAGGACGTGGCTCTTGCGACCATCGGGATAGAATGAGGGTGGTTTGGTGTAAAACTTAACTCATCAGGGGATACGATCCTTGGTCATATATCGTACGAAGCACAAGGTTGATAGAGCTGAGGTTCGTCCTCCATGTGAAGTAAGGAATCTCGCCGTATTGTACGGTGTAGTTGACTACGTCGTCCGGATAGTCACCGTATTCAGGCGGGTTGGTGAAGTAGGTCCCAGTACGGTCCAATGCTGCAACTTCAGGATGGGTGATGGTCGCACACACCAGTATCAGACCGATCGATGCTCGTCTGGCCATTGTGCAGAGCATTGGAAGACTGGGTCGACGAGATCCTTGGAGGAGGTGTATGGCCGAGTCGTTCATACAGGGTCAAAGTTGTTCGTGAAAGAAGTCTCGCCAGGCTTTGTGAGCCCGTATGACTACAACGCGAGGAAGTGGGAGAACAGCACCAAATAGGACACACAGTCTGAATACATGATCATCTCGCATGACACAGCTGATAAATACCTTGCAGGAATCCACGCCTCGAAAGAGAGACATTGTGGCATATATGAGACAAACTCGGCGGACCTCTTGCCTTCTTATCAGCCCGAGTTCCGTGTCGGCTACACCAGTGCGGCTCTTCGCATTTCGGATCCATAGTGCCTTCGGGTGCCCATTTCCTCTGGTGACGAATTCCTATGCATTGCCTGGGAATCGTCAAGAATGGTAGTCGGAACCTTACGGTTTCGTGATGCAAGTGCTGATATTCAACTTGACTGAACACAAGTCAAAATTAGGAAATTAAGTATCAGAGAACTCGTAGGCCGCCCAGGGGATGTTTGCTCTGTGGAGATCGTGGAACATCAGGGGATTGCCTTCACCCATGAAAGAAACATGTAGTCATCCAGGAGACCGACCAACTCAGTTGCTTTTGATCAAGAGACATTTCGGGATCAGGTCAAGGCTGGTCTGAATGGACCACCGGACAAATACGGCGAAGCATGAACCTGTCGAAGGTAAAAGCACTTCGTGCTGAAAGCCCTCAGCATCGCAGGTACCTGGGCACTTTCAAGCAGCACGGATCTCTTTATGAACCTGCATTTGATGCCTCGTCAATTCGCCACTATTGAGAAGACGATTGTTCGTCAAGGAGGAATATGATTCTACTCCTACTGCGCAACAAGGTAGGTGAGAAACCAGCACAGAGTCGTGGAGTTACGCACTCTCCAGTTCCTTGGATTCGGCCAACCTTCCTCTTTTCCTTCATCCAGCGACGCGCCGCTTCAAGCCCCAGCAACATTCACGGCCATCATCATCGCCCACTGCACAGACTGCTCCCCAGCCATCTTCTTCTGCTTTGTTTGAACCCGTCGTCCTGATTTTCGCTTCTGCTCTCGAAGATCCTCCCCGGAAGCAGAGCGTATTGTGAGTCGCTGTCTATCCCACCTGCAGAATCACGACGTGCCCGCTCTGGCCAGCGAAGTCGTCGCTACTCCATCGAAACCAAGAAACTCATCAAGAGTCCATCGGAAGTAAGTGGGTGTGTTTTGCCTTCTCTCTCATCACAGCACAGGCAGCGACTTGGACATGCTGGACACGCCCAAGTGAAGGCGAGCACTCTCGATCTGCCCCCAGACAAGGCTTGGCACAGGTCAATTGGGAGGCAGGTCAATGGATGACGGTGATTGGCTGCTGCGGCTTTTCTCCTCCAAGGCCTTTCGCTAGTTGGCGTCGCTTTCTCAATTCTCCTCCCCCATCATCCATCCATTGCTGCCGTCACTCTGATCCCTCGGTCGCAATCTTCCCTACTCTCTCATCTGTCCGCTTTCAACACCATCACAGTCTTTGTCGCATCCAAAGCGGCAATCTCATTGTTCTCCTGGGCAGGCTCGTCTGGTTGGTGGTCCTTGTTTGTTGGCTCAGATTCAGCTGCGCCTTGCTACACCTGTCGCGCGCTCCTTCGAGCTGTACAGCATCTACCTCGCTGTCCGGTGACTTCAATCGCCTTGTTCATCTGATCATTATCTTTTGACGAGTCTCCTTGCTGACCACCTGCTTCGTACGACAGTCTCCATATCATCCACCGCGCTTTCATTGACGCGTCTCTGAATCTCGCCCACGTTACCACCACCATGGATACTGAGACGTCTGCCCAAACAGAAGTCCCTATCAAGGTGACCCAACCTGAGGATCACGCTCCTCCATCCCTGGCAGAACCAGCTTCTGGTGCTGTCGCCGAGATGTCTGGCGCCCTGTCGGCTGAAGACTCCGGGGAGCCGAAATCGGTCGAATCAGCAGGTAAAAGAAATACGTGTCGCATATCTTGGTCATTTGGCTAATTTAGTATTATTACGCAGTACCAGCGGAACCAGCCACAAATGGCGCACCTGAATCGGCCCCAGAGCCACCTAGTGAAGCTGAGCAGCCTACCCCAGCTCCAGAGGCCCCGGCATCAGCACCGGTTGATACGGAAACCAAAGAGACAGAGCAAACAGAAGCTCCCCCGACAGAAACAAACGGGACCCCTGCGGAGAAGAAACCTGCTTCCAAGAGAAAGTCTTCGATTGTTCCCGAGCACAAGGGCAAGAAGCTTAACAAGAAGAAGTCGATGTCCAAAATCACACACACGAACGCTCAGCCAGGCGAATACTACTTCGCTCGCCTGAAGAGCTATCCACCATGGCCGTCTATCATCTGCGACGAGGAGATGCTTCCAGAAATCCTCATCAACACCAGACCAGTCACAACGAAGAAAGCCGATGGCACCTACAACGAGGCTTACGCTGATGGTGGCAAGAAAGAGGGCGAGCGAACATTCCCAGTCATGTTCCTGTACACCAATGAGTTGTGAGTTGGACGGTACTCATATCAGACTCAAACTTTGCTGACAGTTTCTAGTGCGTGGATTCATAACACCGACTTGACCCCTTTGAACCCAGAAGACTGCAAGGATGTTCCTGAGAAGGGCAAATCAAAGACGCTCTTGGCTGCGTTCGAAGTCGCTGCCGAGGGCCATGATCTCGACTATTTTAAGAACATGTTGAATGAACACAATGCTGCTATGCAAGCTGAAATCGACGCAAAGGAAGCTCGTGAAGCAGAGAAAGCTGCGAAAGCCGACAAGAAGAAGCGCAAGAGCGAAGCTAAAATCGAAACCGATGTGGAGATGGAGGACGCCGAAGCCGCCCCGAAAAAGTCGTCAAAGAAGAGAAAGAAGGAAGCTGACAGCGACGATGAGACCTCTGAAAAGGTGAGAGTTCTAACGTTAGTCTGGTTACATGATCTGATTCTGATAACAGCCTGCAAAGACTCCCAAGATCAAGTTGACTACTAGCAAGACTCCCAAGACAGAAGAGAAGAAGCCTAAAGAGAAGGCACCCAAAGCCAAGTCCGAGAAGAGAAAGTCAAAAGCTGCAGTCGAAGACGAAGAAATGGTCGATGCCGAGCCCGAGGCCGAGGAGAAGCCTCTGGATCCAGCAGAGGCGCGAAAGGCTCGCGAGAAAGAAGGTACACCGCCCAAAACACAGTTTCCTGGAGATCTAGGCTGACCCGATCTAGTATTGTTCCTACGACATAGATTGCAGAAGGGCTTTCTCTCCCGTGATCAAGCGCCTCAGGAAGAGGAAATGCCACAAATGTCCAACTTTATCAAGAAGCTTGAAGGGTACACCGATCTGGAAGTCAGCATCATTCGCCAGACCAAAATCAACAAGGTGCTGAAGGCTCTGATCAAGCTCACCACAATCCCTCGTGACGAAGAGTTCAACTTCCGGAAGCGATCACTTGAGCTCCTAACTCAATGGAACAAAATCCTCGGTGCCGAGCCTCCTGAGGCGGAGGCTAAGGCATCGCCCGCAACGAATGGAGTTCATGATGAGAAGACTGAGGACAGCCCGGTCGAAAAGACGGAAGAAAGCAATGACAAAGGCGAGACTACTGAGGAAAAGCCTGCTGAAGACAAGTCTGAAGAGGCGCCTGCAGTAGCAGAGGCCAAGCCTGCTGAAGAACCCGCAGCCCCGAGTGCAGAGCCTCCTGCTTCATCTGAAGAGCCAAAGCCTGCTCCTACCGAGGAAAGCCCAAAGGTTGACGCCCCAGCCCCTGTTTCTGCGCCGGAAGTTGTGGAGAAGGTGCCCGAATCCGCACCGGCCGCTGCAGAGGCAAGCGAAGTTGTCAAGGCGACCGAATAATCGGGCGAGATCGAGCAGGTGAAGGTTCTTTTGGATTCATGATACATAGGTGATAAAAGTCTTGAAACGAGGTGCGACGGGGGATGAAGAATTCCGAGGACAGCTGCGAAGCTGCTATGTCTTGAGGGATGTGCGGTACTGAAAAACAAACGATGATTTCTCGACGGGGCACACTGTCTGCAGAGCGGCCGCGTCGACTTTTGCGGACGACGCGCTGTGCCACGGGAGGATACTTGCGAATTGCTGATTGCTTATTTTTGGGTCGATTGGAGGCAAAATGATTGATTGATGTTAGTAGTGGGTTTACTTCCCTCGCTTGCCTCACTTGCCTGGGGTAGTGGGAGACAGGAGGGCATGAGAGGATGGTTTTGCATTGAACGTCCTAGTGCCAGGGTCTCCCCGTGGGTCTTTCTTCTTACGAGGCTTTCATTTTTGTACATGGTGGTGCAGACAATCAGTCATACAGTTGGTTAGGACACAGTAGTATTCTAGGAGACAAAAGCGACATGGAATGAAAAATGTATAAGAACCGTTTTGTCTGGGTTTGCTTTATTTTGTCCTTTTCGCGGAGACCCTGTTTCCCAGGCGCGGCAGTCAATAACCGTCTCAGGAATGGAGGTGGACGTGAATACGAAGAGGAGGAAAGCACATCGCTCAATCTGAACTACAAAAGACCTTGATTTTTAGTTGTACACCCTGTTTGACGCCGACTGGTCCCTATAGGCAAAAGAATATATCCCCCATGTGACGACGACCCGGGTGAGGGGCCGCATTTATAAGTCGCCGTCCGAGGGACCAACACCTTCATCATCCTCAGGGAGCTCACTGAGGCACGTATCGATTAGCGTCATGAGTTCGTCGACGTCGGGCCTTTCTGACGGTTCCACCTGGAGACACCGTTGCACGACCTCCCTCGTAGCGGGATGGGGGTACAGCTTGGTCCCTGAGCTGGCGGTTTCGGAGTTGCCGTTCGCCAGGGACTGCTGCGTGTTCGATCGTGAAGGAGCCTTGCCCTTGTTTGCGCTGCCCTCGCCGGGCCATCGCCAGTCCCCGCTCAGCACGCATATGCTCAGACTGCCGCCGGTCTCGTCGCTGCGCGCCTCGAAAGGCGATTTGCCGATCAGGCATGCGTACATGGTGCAGCCGAGAGACCAGATGTCGACTTTGGTGTCGATGACGCTGCCGGTCTTGACGTCGAACAGTTCCGGGGCTCGGTAGGGCATGGTCGAGTGTTCGGCCGCGACGTCCTGGACAGCAATCGCCTGCGAGCGCGACGTGATGGCCGTGGGGCTCGGGGCCAGACTGCCAAGGTCCATCAGAATGGGTAGGCGGCCGTCGTCGGAGATCATGATGTTGCCGGGCTTGATGTCGCGGTGGGCGTAAGCACGTATGTCGCCGGGTTCTTTGCCCGCCTGTGCGCGCGTGATCTCGCCCTCGGGCATGAGCGGTTGTTCTTGCTCCGAGGCCAGGTCTTGTTGATGCGTCGCGTCTGCCGTCATGTTGCGCTTCTGGGCGCGGGTTTGGGCGTTGCGCCGTGCGGCGGCGTCGGCTGCTTCTTCGCGGATCGCTTGCGCAGCGGCCCTCGAGGGATTGTTGCGTACGTGGTACTGGTGCATGGCCTTGAGAGCCTTGCAGACACCCAGCATCAGCTGCATGAGGCGTCGCTCGCCGAAGCGGGTGTGGTTCACGAGGTTGGCGTTGATCATGTCTTGCAGGTTGCCGCGGCGGTAGTAGGGGAGGAGGATGTAGACGGTCTTGGAGGAGGTGGTGTCATTGCCAATACCCGAGACTTTGCTGCTCGAGTCGTTTTGTACGGCATGGTCGATGCTGTGGATGATGTTCGGGTGAGGTGCGAAGAGGGTGTATGCCTCGACCTCCTTCAGGGCTTGGGAGACGGATTCCTGCCCGAAGGGGCACCGGATCTTCTTGAGGGCATAGAGTGCCGAGTCTGATGTGTCTTGGACGAGGTATACATAGGAGAAGCCGCCCTAGGATGAATGTGTTAGTAGCGGTGTTGGTAGGTCAAAGGAGGCGCAGTTCGTGTACCTCGCCCAGCAGTCTCAACATGCGGAAGCTTCTGTGATTGATCTTCAACTGCGGTGTGCTCGGAAAGCAGTACACGCAGCTCCCAAGGGAGTAGAATATGTCCATCAGTGTCTGCGCCATGGCTGGCGGTGGAGCTGTGTATAGGGTGTAAGCGCCGCCGGCGTCCAAGGAGAGTGTATGTTGAGGGGGGCCCCTTCAGAATACGAGCGCGGAATAGCAATGCCGTATCGCAGATAGTTAGAAGAGATACATGAGCGGAGGATACTCGGGGTGAGTGCGTAGGCACCGCACGTATATCTCAGGGGGCTGCGGTTGCTGGTGATGGTCGTGGGCAAGGAAGACGTTGTCAGATGTTTGCAATGGACGGAACACTTTGGCCGTTGGTCTGGGTACGAGGAAGTTCCTCGTATCTCGTATCATGTACTCCGTGCTGTACCTCACTCAGGCTGCAGGTTGTATCTACAGTACGAGGTTCCTACAGTAGTATTTCTCCGCAAAGACGGGGCCACAAGCGGGTGCGAGTGCGTCAAGTGGTCGCCATCTCTCTTCACACTTCATCTTCCGCGTTTCAAGCAATCTGCAGAACCATTTCCTGATCCTGACAGACTTGTGGGACGTAGCCGGACTAACATCAAGCCTTGCCGTCTCATCGATCAAACCTCGCCAGCCAGTCATCGATGAAGAATGTCTTCGAAAGACCACATATACCGAGGCTTAGATTCCTAGAATCATATGCGCACAACTAACGGCAGACATATGAACAGAGACGTATCCTCTCAGGTTCTCCTCCTCCGAGGTCGTGCTTGATTGCATTGCAGGCGACCAGAATTGACCGATGCTTGCCCAATTTCACCATGCATCTTTCACTTTTTATATGCCTTCTCTTCGGCGAAGCGAACGCCGCAACTTTGGACTTTATTCGGCCACGAGATGATTCGGCCTCGTGGCGGCTGTACGTTCTGGGATTGATAGGGGTTTGTTCGCTGGCATGGGGCATCTATCGAATGTGGATATATCCCTTCTTCATAAGTCCACTTCGACACCTGCCAGAACCCAAGGTACGCAGGAGCCTGCATTTGGGTCGTTGTCCATCACCATGAGAACATTAACTTTTGTTACCAGGGAGCCCACCCATTTATCGGACACATGGTGGCGAGATTAAGCCAACCTCCTGGAGAACAACAAGCTCGATGGGTAAAGGAGGTACCGAATGACGGTCTGATTCGTGTCAGAGGCTTCTTGAACTCCGAAGCACTGTGTATAACCACCCCACAAGCTATCGCTGAAGTCCTGGTGACCAAAAACTACGACTTTATCAAGCCTCAGAGAGCAGCACAGTTTCTCGCAAGAATCTTAGGGGACGGATTGGTAGTGGTTGAAGGCGATGTGCACAAGTTTCAACGCAAACACATCCAGCCAAGCTTCAGCTTTCGTCACATCAAAGAGCTGTATCCTATTTTCTGGCAGAAATCAGTTGAAGTTGCGGACAGGATCAAAACTGACCTCATCAATGGGAGAAGCTCGGGTATTCTAGGCGTCAGCGATCTCGCCTTCTGGGCTCCGAAGGTAACCTTGGATATCATCGGGGCAGCCGCCATGGGACATGACTTTCACACGATCAACGACAATGATGAAGAGCTTGTTCACCTATACGAACGGATCCTAACCCCGTCTCGTGAACTACAGCTTTTTTTCGTACTGAATCTCATAGGACTTAAGTGGCTGTTGCGATTTATGCCTTGGGTTGACACCGACAGTTGGTTGACCCAGCAGACGGACAAGCTCAGGACTCTTTGTAGGCAGTTCGTCGCCGAGAAGAAGAGGTCCATGAAAGTCGACGGAGAAGGGTCCGCCGACTTGCTGTCGAAGCTGATCGAGTCCAATAATTTCTCTGATGAAGAGTTGGCTGATCAACTTCTCACGTTCCTTGCCGCTGGGTAAGCCTTGCCACATGTCCAGCTCCCAACAAACATTTTTGGAGTTCAAATTGCTGTGACTTGTCTGACACGTAGATAGGCATGAAACAACCTCATCGACGCTGGAGTGGGCAGCATACTTGCTCGCTCGCCATCCAGAGATACAAACCCAGCTACGGGAGGAAATACGCGCCAACATCCCTCGAGACTTTGTGATTGACACCCAGGCTTTTGACCTTGCAGGAACTTTGGAGTCGATGCCCATCTTGAATGGCGTCTGTAACGAGACCTTTCGTTTGTATTCAACTGTTCCTCAGACTTTGCGGGTCGCTGTCAGACCGACCACCATACTGGGATACCCGCTGAAAAAAGGAACTATGATCATCCTCAGTCCTCATGGGATCAACCGCTCGCCGCAACTTTGGGGTCCAGACGCGGAGGAGTTCAAGCCCTCTCGTTGGATTGACAAAGGCACTGGCAAGCCAAACAATTCGGGAGGCGCACAAAGTAACTACTCGATGATGACGTTCTTACACGGTCCGAGAAGCTGCATTGGACAGGGTTTCGCTAAGGCAGAGTTGCGTGCTTTGCTCGCTGTGCTGACCGGGACTTTTAATATGGAACTAAAAGATCCGAACTATCGTCCTCTCCGTGCCGGCGCGGTTACCACGAAGCCTTCTGAAGGCATGCCCTTAAAACTTACGACGATTTGAAAGTATGAGGAGCTCAAATGGTCGACCGGAGCCCACTGATGGTGGTTCTTCCAGTGTTGTGTCGTGCTGATTTTTCGAGGGATACGATCTGGATGCTACTATCTTCAGCAGTTTTCATAAGGGGTGGAGGATGCTTTTTCAGGACACTCGTTCACTATATCAAATTGGACCATGTACCTCAGTAACGTAATTTCCAACAATGCCATTCCTTATTACCTGATATCTATGTGTTCTGATACCCTAACGAGGTTACAGCTGTGAGCGCGTATGCGAGTCCCACTCCGTGGCGAAGCAACCTCGGGTTCAAGGATGGTAGATGAGGGAACGAGGTGACCACCATCTTGAGGAATTCTCTCGATCTTGAACAGTCCATGGTGCCTGAATAGCTTGTCATCAGAAGGCACATCTCCACAGCAAGCGTATTCACAGTGCCTGGTGAAATGAAGTTGTGTGAGACCTGCACTTTGCTTTCTCAGGACATTCTCAACGACAAAGAGCCAGACATCTAGTAAACATTCATTCTCAGCTGTGCAGACCCTTATTAAGGAACTACAGTAGGACCATGTTTGTCGTGTTTCCCCTTCTAAGTCACTCAGTGGACTTTGACTAAACGAGAAAGTTAAGCGAGGGTCGCCCCACTCAATGCGCGAGGCGAAATTTGGAGACATGGACTTTTCTTCAGCCTGCATAGCATTCAATACATAACACTCGCCGCCCTGATTGTTTCTCAGCACAAGGGAGTGAGATCTCAGAGAACTAGGACTCTCCGCTGCTGTCATCGTTGCGGAAAGCTCCTGGAAGCTATGACACAACATTGAAGAGTCCTCAAACACCCTCCTTTCGACACGAATCATAACCTCTCCGTTCGAAGTTCTGAATCTGCACGAAATCAAGCAAGATGGCGGACCAAAACATTTCCCAGTACAAGTACTCGGCGATGTCGAACCTGGTTCTCCAGGCCGACCGCCGGTTGTACTCGCGAAATAAAGACGAGAACACTGGAGACCCGGAGTCTCTTGCCGGACGCCTGAATATTCGGGACATGGGTTCGCGAGTTGCCAGAGAACAAGCTCCTAAGCCGAAGAAGATGGCACCCGGACTGGGAATGGAGAGAGGAACAATCCACGAAGGCGAAGACGTCCTGGAACGAGAACGGCGGAAACGAAAGCGGGGTGAGCCTGCACAGACTCGAGGTGCTGGCATTCTGTCTGCGGGAGATGCACTGATAGAAGGACTCAAATATCGTCCTAGGACTCCTGCCACCCGAGCCACCTACGACTTACTGCTCACCGTGACTGCCAATGCGCTGGGTGATGTCTCGCAAGAAATTGTCCGAAGCGCAGCGGATGCAATCCTCGAATTCCTCAAGGACGACAATATGAAGGACTTGGACAAAAAGAAAGAGGTGGACGAAATCGTTGGGACAACAATGACTCCGAAGGAATTCAACGAACTCGTCAATCTGGGAAAAAAGATCACAGACTATGATGCGCAGGACGAAGACGAAGACATGGCTGATGGGGACGAAGCCGAGCTTGACGATCGACAAGGTGTTGCAGTCGTATTCGACGAAGACGATGAAGACGAAGACGGCATCGCCAGAACATACGAGGTGCGAGATGAGGATGAAGACTCCGATGAGGAGGATGATATCCAGGATCAACCTGACGATGAAGCTGCGACGGCCGGTGGCGCGGGCGCGCCTGATATTGATCCAGATGATGAAGACACGGGAATGGTACTAGACAGCGGCATTGCGGATTCTTCGCGACGGAAAAGGGAGGACTCCGATCTTGTGCCTATACATGAAATCGACGCGTACTGGCTTCAGCGACAAATCGGGTCAATATATCCAGACGCTCATATCCAGCAACAGAAGACTCAAGATGCGCTGCAAATTTTGTCCGGAAAGTCACTCGAGGGTGAGGATATATCCCTTCGTGATATTGAGAACGACTTGATGGACTTGTTTGACTATGAGCATCCGGAAATGGTCGGGAAACTTGTGAGCAACCGTGACCGGATCGTATGGGCAACCAGATGGCGGAGGGTGGCTGAAGATACTGACGCCCGGAATCTACTCGAAGTTGAAATGGTTGAAGCTGGCCAACGTGCTATCCTCAATGAGTTACTGGGCGATCAAGAGGCTGGTGCTGAGGGCCCTCGACCTTCAAAGAAAATGAAGCTCGATCTTATGGACATTGACATCCCAAAAGCACAGACCGACTCTCAAGAAGAGAAGAAAGATGGTGCTCTATCTGGTGGCCTGCAACCTCAGCGATTGATTAATCTTGAAAATCTGGTCTTTGAGCAAGGAAACCATCTGATGACAAATCCAAAGGTCGTCCTACCTCAAGGCTCAACAAAGCGGACGTTCAAGGGCTACGAAGAGATCCATGTTCCTGCACCCAAGGCTAGGATAGATCCTGGTGAAAAGTTGGTGCCGACGACCGACCTGCCTGACTGGGCCAGGCAGGGTTTTGGCTCTGCAAAGAGTCTCAACAGAATCCAGTCAAAGTGCTACCCCTCGGCCTTTGGCGATGACGGTAATATGCTTGTCTGTGCGCCCACTGGATCAGGCAAAACGAACGTGGCCATGCTCACCATGCTTCGAGAGATCGGCAAGCACCGAAATCCAGAGACCGGAGAGATCATGTTAGACGACTTCAAAATCATCTATATTGCTCCACTCAAAGCATTGGTTCAAGAGCAAGTGGGTAATTTTGGTAAGCGACTAGAGTCATATGGCATCCGAGTGTCAGAGTTGACCGGAGACCGACAACTTACCAAGCAACAAATCGCGGATACTCAAGTCATCGTGACAACTCCCGAGAAATGGGATGTCATCACTCGAAAGGCCACGGACCTCAGCTATACCAGACTTGTTCGACTGATCATCATCGATGAAATCCACTTACTGCACGATGACCGTGGCCCTGTGCTAGAGAGCATTGTAAGCAGGACAATTAGGAAGATGGAACAGACTGGCGACCCTGTACGCATTGTCGGATTGAGTGCAACTTTACCAAACTATAGAGACGTGGCTACGTTCCTACGAGTTGACCCTGCGAAGGGTTTGTTCCACTTTGACGGATCATTCAGACCTTGCCCCCTTCGACAAGAGTTCATCGGTGTGACAGACAAGAAAGCCATCAAGATGCTCAAGACTATGAACGATGTCTGTTACGCGAAGGTCATGGAACATGTCGGCACAAACCAGCAGCAGATGTTGATATTCGTACACTCTCGAAAAGAAACTGCTAAAACGGCGAAGTACATTCGCGACAAAGCCGTGGAGGCGGAGACTATCGGCCAGATAATGCGAACAGATGCAGCTAGCAGACAAATTTTACAAGAGGAAGCTGATCAAGTCCATGATGCGAATCTAAAGGACCTTATGCCCTATGGCTTCGGTATTCACCACGCTGGTATGAGTGCTGCCGATCGTTCTTCGGTTGAGGATCTCTTCGCCGATGGATCTCTTCGTGTCCTCGTCTGTACCGCCACTCTGGCTTGGGGTGTCAATCTTCCAGCCCATACTGTCATCATCAAAGGCACTCAGGTCTATTCGCCTGAGAAGGGTAGTTGGGTTGAGCTCAGTCCTCAGGACGTGCTACAGATGCTTGGCCGTGCCGGTCGACCGCAGTATGATGTTTATGGTGAAGGTATCATTATAACATCTCAAGCAGAGATACAATACTACCTGTCTCTACTGAATCAGCAGCTGCCGATCGAGAGCCAGCTCATGAGCAAACTTGCGGACAACTTGAACGCCGAGATCGTCCTCGGCAATGTTCAAAGCCGAGATCAGGGAGTTGAATGGTTAGGCTATACCTACTTGTTCGTCAGGATGATTAGGTCCCCAGGTCTATACAGTGTTGGTGCGGACTACAGCAATGACGATGCTCTCGAGCAGAAGAGAGTCGACCTTATACACTCTGCCGCTGTGGTTCTCGAGAAGGCAGGTTTAGTCAAGTATGACAAGACCACTGGCAAACTACAAGCCACGGATCTTGGACGAATTGCTTCCCACTATTACATCACCCACCACTCCATGCTGACCTACAATATGCATCTCCAGCCGTCGATCAGCACAATTGAGCTCTTCCGCGTGTTTGCTCTGAGCGACGAGTTCAAGTACATTCCGGTGCGGCAGGACGAGAAACTCGAATTGGCGAAACTCTTGGGCAGAGTTCCGATTCCTGTCAAGGAAGGTATGGAGGAACCACAAGCCAAGATCAATGTTCTGCTCCAAGCATATATCTCTAGGCTCAAATTGGAAGGACTTGCACTTATGGCAGATCTCGTATATGTCACGCAGTCTGCTGGTCGTATCCTTAGAGCAATCTTCGAGATATGCCTAAGAAAGGGCTGGGCCTCAGTAGCCAAAGTTGCACTTGATCTCTGTAAGATGGCAGAGAAGCGGATGTGGCCAACTATGACCCCTCTGAGACAATTCCCAATGTGCCCCCGGGAGTACATTCAGAAGGCTGAACGAATGGAAGTTCCTTGGTCAAGCTACTTTGACCTTGACCCCCCTCGGATGGGAGAGTTGCTGGGATTACCAAAAGCCGGCCGCGTCGTTTGCGATCTTGTGTCGAAATTCCCGCGACTGGAGGTACAAGCCCAAGTTCAACCCATGACAAGATCAATGTTACATGTTGAGCTCACCATCACACCTAATTTCGTCTGGGACGATGCTTTGCATGGCACCGCGGAGTCGTTCTGGATTATTGTGGAGGATTGTGACGGCGAGGAGATCCTTTTCCACGATCAATTCATTCTCCGAAAAGAATTTGCACAAGGTGACATGACTGAGCATCTGGTTAACTTTACTGTCCCCATCAGCGAGCCCATCCCGCCGAATTACTTTATCACTCTAGTGTCGGACCGATGGATGCATTCAGAAACTCGAGTTCCAGTGTCATTTCAAAAACTCATTCTCCCAGAACGATTCCCACCACATACACAACTTTTGGATCTGCAACCCGTGCCAGTACAAGCACTCAAGGTCAAAGAATATGTCGACCTGTATCCTAACTGGGATCGATTCAACAAAATCCAAACTCAAGTCTTCAAGTCTTTGTACGACACCGACGATAGTGTGTTCGTTGGTGCGCCGACGGGCAGCGGCAAGACTGTCTGTGCCGAGTTTGCCTTGTTAAAACATTGGAAGAACCCTGAAGCTGGCAAAGCAGTTTATGTGGCACCTTTCCAGGAACTGGTTGACATTCGTGTCGCAGACTGGCAAGAGCGGCTCTCTAATATTGGCGGAGGAAAGACTATCTCTACACTCACAGGTGAGATCACCGCTGATCTGCGAATACTCGATCAGTCAGATCTTGTCCTGGCAACTCCGACTCAATGGGATGTCCTATCCCGACAGTGGCAACGTCGCAAGAACGTTCAGAATGTGGAACTGTTTATTGCCGATGAGCTGCACATGCTTGGAGGCGAGAACGGTGCCATTTACGAGGTCGTCGTCTCAAGAATGCAGTATATCCACATCCAGCTTGAGAACAAGATGCGAATCATTGGGCTCAGCGTTCCCTTGTCCAACGCCAGAGACGTTGGCGAATGGATCGGAGCGAACAAGCACACCATTTACAACTTTAGCCCTATGGCTCGACCTGTCGGGTTAGAGCTTCATATTCAGTCGTTCAACATCCCTCATTTCCCATCGCTGATGATGGCCATGGCCCGTCCTGCGTACCAAGCAGTTCTCCAACTGTCTCCCGACAAGCCTGCTATCATCTTCGTGCCTGGAAGGAAACAAGTTCGAGCTACAGCTGTGGACATCCTCTCGGCCTGCATTATCGACGATGATGATCAGCGGTTCCTGCATACCAACGTTGAGGAACTGGCACCTTTCCTGGAACGCATCCACGAGCGAGCCCTCGCTGAGTCTCTAAGCCATGGCATTGGCTATTATCACGAGGCTCTTTCAATCAGCGACAAACGCATCGTGTCTCATCTGTTCAAGATCGGCGCGATCCAGGTCATGCTCGCTTCTCGGGACGTCTGCTGGGAGATACCGTTCACTGCACACCTCGTCATCATCATGGGAACACAATACTTCCAGGGCCGCGAGCATCGGTATGTGGACTACCAGATCAGCGAGATCCTGCAGATGTTCGGCCGCGCGTCCCGACCTGGCCAGGACAGACTGGGCAAGGGTGTGCTCATGGTGCCTCAAGTCCGCCGCGAGTACTACAAGAAGTTCCTGAACGAGGCTCTACCCATCGAATCGCATCTCGCGCTGTCTCTTCATGATGCGTTTGTGACGGAGATCAGCACCAAGACCATAACATCCACGCAAGACGCCGTCGACTGGACGACATACACGTACTTCTACCGACGTCTCCTCGCAAACCCGTCATTCTACGGGCTCAACGACACGTCGCACGAAGGCCTGAGCGCGTTCTTGTCAGAACTGGTCGAGACGACGCTCAAAGAACTAAGCGAGGCCAAGATCATCGACCTCGACGATGAAGACGACTCGGTGTCGCCTCTCAACCCGGCCATGATCGCAGCCTACTACAACATCAGCTTTATCACGATGCAGACGTTCCTCCTCTCCCTGACGGCGCGGACAAAGCTCAAGGGCATGCTCGAAATCGTCACGTCGGCGACGGAATTCGAAGGGATCCAAATGCGCCGACACGAAGACCACATCCTGCGCCGCATCTACGACCGCGTGCCCGTCAAGATGTCCGAGCCCGCGTACGACAGCCCGCACTTCAAGGCCATGGTGCTGCTCCAGGCGCATTTCTCGCGCATGCAGCTCCCCATCGACCTGGCCAAGGACCAGGAAGTCATCGTGTCCAAGATGCTCGGCCTGCTCTCGGCCTGCGTCGACGTGCTCAGCAGCGAGGGCCACCTCAACGCCATGAGCGCCATGGAGATGTCCCAGATGGTCGTGCAGGCAATGTGGGACCGCGACAGCCCCTTGCTGCAGATCCCGCACTTCGACGCCCGCATCGTCGACGTCCTCGCCCGCCACGGCGTCAAGGACATCGACGAGTTCATGACCGCCATGGACCCCAGCGAGAACCCGGACCAGCCGAAGCTGGTCGCCGAAATGGGCCTGACGAACCGCCAGCTCGTCGACGCCGCAAACTTTACAAACTCCAAGTACCCCAGCCTGGAACTGGAGTTTGACGTGCTCGAGAAAGACGACGTCACCGCCGGAAGCCCGAGTTACCTCGCCGTCAAGATCAGCAGGGAGACCGAGGAAGAGGAAGAAGAAGACGACGACGACGACGACGAAGAAGGAGGAGGAGGAGGAGGGGCGGGGAAGGGTGGCAACGACGAGGTCGACTTGACCGTCCACGCGCCCTTCTATCCCGCCAAGAAGCTGGAGAACTGGTGGCTTGTCGTCGCGGAGGAAAAGACCCGGTCTCTGCTCGCCATCAAGCGGGTGACGATAGGCAAGAACCTCGCGACAAAGTTGGAGTACGTGGTGCCGACTCCCGGGAAGAAGGACCTCACCCTCTTCCTCATGTCGGACTCGTACGTGGGTGTCGACCAGAGCATGGCGTTTAGTGTCGACGTCGCCGAGGGGATGGACGAAGACGAAGACGAGGAGGACGAGGAAGAGGAGGAAGATGAATAGACCAGAGATAAAAATCGACCTCCTCGGGTTCAAGAGGGGTTTTGGGATAAGGCACCTAGGTACGCATGCATGATATAGTTAAACTGTTTTTGGTATTACGAAAAGCATCCAATGTTTGCATCAAAACTGGATCACGGGGAGATGTTTTCAATACAATGTTTTGATTATAATTTGATTCACCGCACACATCTTGAGAGCTATCGCAAACCTTCTCTAGAGCGTACGTGGAAGATGACACGGACGATTTGCTTCCATAATCCGAATCTGGTGATTGCCCTTCCTCACGGTGATTCTCCTTTATTGTCTTTCATACATTTTGATCGTGACCGAGCATGTCACTGCTGGGAGGCTTGACGTTCCACCTTGCGCCCCGGCGTGCTCAGTTGAGCCGCTTCACCGGAATGCCACACTTTCTCCGAACATATCTGTAGTCATAGTCGTTTCGGCATTCTGGAAGGTAGTCATCAGAGCTTAATTGCATCCAGTCCACTACAATGCCATAAGGTTGTGGCTCGTCCAGGTACTGTACCTCGTGCCAGAGAGCGCGTTCAAAGACCATCCTCACCATCTGCGCCACGCTACCTCCGCACTTGAAGAATTTGTCAGTGGCGACCGGATTTTTCCCTTCTTTGTCGTGTACGCGCATAACATTGACCACGGTCGGGAGCAATGCTTTCTCCAAGCAGTCGCTGATATGGTTGAGCAGGTTGACGCAACCTTGAGCAGCTGCCAAGCTGCGTGCGATCATCTTCCAGCAACACTCTCGTACAAAGCCATGTGCCGGAAGCTCCCCATAGGCAAAGTTGAAAGGACCAACGGCCACAGCGGTTTCGAAAGATTCATGGTCGACTTCAGCTTGTGAGGACAATTTGAGACGCATGCGAGGACTTAGGCAACCTTCGATGCAACGCCCACATGAGCATCCAGCCGCCAATTGCTTCCAGGCCTTGTCTTTGTACTCCAGATTGATACCATCCATTTTAGCAAGGCACCAAATGGCGTCATCCGGATATTCTGGAAAAGTCCTCATCACGACGATGTAGGACGGCAAAATAAGACGCCGAGATCGAATTTTTTCCAAGGTGAGCTGTATTGCTTGCCGAGGAGTGTCACGGTTCATGTTGCGGACGCGAGGGAGTCGACGGCCCTCGTGGTCGAGGATCCAACCGACACACTTTGGGAAATGTAATTGAGCGGCGAGGTGCAAGACCGTATTTCCCGCTTGATCTGTGGCAAGCCAGTGGTCCGAATCTGGTGCCAGATGCCCGTAGTGCTCTTCGAGAATTTGCAAGGATTGTATGTCGTCGAAGTTTGTAAACGCTCTCAAAACGGGCTCTGGTAATCTCTGGATCGGTCCGGTCCCAGGTAGAGGATCGAAATAGTAGTCAATGGTGCGAGTTCGATTGACATCTCCTTGGTCTTCGACAACCAGGCCAAACCATATGGAAGTTTCGATTCGCCGAAAACCAAGTTTCCGGAAGCGAGCCGTGGATTTCGGGTCTATGGGTTTGAGGACCTGAGAGACGCCAGGGTTGCCCACGAGAATTTCGAACGTCTCACAAAAGAGTGTCGCTTTGGCAGGCTCTGGCCAGGTGATAGCAAGCAAAGATGATCCCTTCACTTTTTCTCGAGTAGCCCTAAGGAGTGCTTTGAGCATCTGTGTATCAATTCCACGGCCTTGGTAGGGATGGTCAATCGTGACATCTTCAATGAGAAGTACGGTTCCTGCTTCAAGTTTTGTTTTCCAGTACCCCGAGACTTTGCGTCTGTAATCTTCTCGTAATCTTCCATGACAATCGAATAAGTCAAAGCCCAACATGGTCACTTCATTGCGGAGCCGTTTCACGAGATCGTGGAACCTACTGGCAATGTCCAGTTTTCTGATCAATTTGGCAGTGCAGTGTCCTATCGGGACCGACGTATGTTTGTCAATTGCAACCACGTCGATTGGCTCCAACCAGGTGAGACCAGCAAACTCGTCGAACTTTTCATACTTGGGATCTAAATACTCGATTGTGAAGGTGTCGTGTTCTACTCGCACCTGCTTTGTGCTAGGGATTTCCCAGTCCGTACGGTCCTCCCGCAGTGCGGTGTCATTGCAAGCAGCCTTGTAAAACGAGGCAAGTTTGATCTTGATCTGGACGTCGATCTTTTCAGCAGTTAGATGCGAGGCGCCCACAGGAGATGTCTGCCAAGGTCAGATTAGGTCAAACAACAAGCATGTCTGATGTTAGGTCACCTGCGGATCCTTTGTCTGTTGATTGCAGGGCAATTTGCATGGCCGCTCGTCGCCTGGCGAGCCCGAAGAACGTTTCATCGGCACCATGGTAGGAAGACACTTTCAGCATGAGATAGAGAATACAGGGGCAGATAACGCGTGCAAAGAGAGACAGAGGAACGATTTGTTTTCAAAGACATGTATGTGGCAACGGTAGAGGCAGTGAGAAGTTGCTAGACAGCCGTTTTCTTCACTGCGCAGGCACACTTACCTTATTCACCTTTGCCCTGGTATTCACTCGAGGCAGGAGAATGGGCATTGTCAAGGCATGCAACGGGCGGATGAGGTTCTCTGTGCGAGTGATTGTCGAGGCTGATAAATAATCTCGCGGTCGGGGAAAGAATGTCAACACCACTGCAATGCGGAGGCACAATATGGAACATGGAGAATCGAGGCCTCAAACGCCCACATCCGAAGCCCTCATCCGACGGAAATGTCAGCGACTCCTCGAACGAACAATGTCCTTACCCGAGGGCGATATTCTTCGCCGCCGACACACCTGCTGTGGCTCCCTTTAATATCCAGATCTTTGCCTTCTTACCCGGGGAGCCTTCTCTCGTTTCCTTCCACTCCTTCCACGACGAAACTGTTCACCTCAGACAACCCTCCTCACATCCGACTTTCCCTTTCTCTATCCTTGCCACTGTCGGGCTTCCACAAACATCTCTGACCATGGCGAACGCTCGAGGCCTGAAGCAGATTCTCTCCAAGAACCCGTCCGACGTTGTCATCCTCTCATCGCTGCGCACGCCGGTAACGAGAGCATACAAGGGCGGCTTCCGAGACGCATTCGACCATGAACTCCTCAGCCACGTTCTGAAGGCGACCCTCGCTGCGAACCCGAACCTAGACCCTGCCAGGATTGAGGAGGTTGCAGTTGGTGTGGTCCTTGCTGAGTTGGGCGGCTCCAAGGCCGCCAGAATGGCACAGCAGCACGCTGGGTACTCTGAAAAGACTCCGTTGTACACGGTCAATCGCGCTTGCAGTTCCGGCCTACAGGCCGTCACCAGCATAGCGCATAGCATAACAGTCGGACAGATCGATGTTGGTGTGGGCGCCGGCATGGAGAGCATGACCAAGAACTACGGCAGCAAGGCTATTCCTACAATGCTTTGGGACGAGCTGAGAAACAGCCCACATGATAATACAAAAGACTGCATTATGCCCATGGGCCTTACGAGTGAGAACGTGGCAAGGAGGTACGGCGTGAACAGAGAAGACCAAGACGCCTTTGCCGCGGCATCGCACCAGAAAGCCTCCAAGGCCCAGAAGACGGGCTTGTTCGACGCTGAAATTGTGCCGGTCAAGGTCAAGCAAGTAGACCCGGAAAACCCAGATGTCTCCAAGGAAGTCGTGGTGGACAAAGATGACGGAATCAGGCACGATATCAGTGCCGAGAAGATGGCCAAGCTGAAGCCTGCGTTCGCGCAAGACGGTACATCTACGGCCGGAAACTCGTCTCAAATCTCAGACGGAGCCGCTGCAACGTTGCTGATGCGCCGATCAACCGCGAACGAGTTGGGACTCACCAAGTCCATCATCGGCAAGTGGGCTGGCACCCAAGTGGCAGGTTGTCGACCTGATGAGATGGGTATTGGTCCGGCGATTGCGATCCCGAAACTTCTGGACCACACGGGCCTCAAGACCGAGGACGTGAATATCTGGGAGCTCAACGAAGCATTTGCCAGCCAAGCTCTGTATTGCATACGCAAACTAGGACTGGATATCGAGAAAGTCAACCCGAGAGGTGGTGCCATTGCCCTGGGCCATCCTCTTGGAATGACTGGTACCAGACAGCTTGCGACGTTGCTGCCTCAACTGAACGAAGGCGAGGTGGGTGTAGTAAGTATGTGTATTGGAACAGGTATGGGTATGGCTGGCCTCTTTGTGAGAGAATAGAGTGCTTGTCGTCTCTCCCCTACAGGCTCAACCCTCTCTTTTCTCGAGGTATCTGTTGTGTGAGAATGATGGCGAGGATATATATACATATATTTATACAGCGCTGCATCTTGTTAGGATCCGGCAAAAGTGTGTACAGAGTTACTTGAAAATGGCCACCTTATGACAGACTAAAATGGCACATTACACTTTTTCTTCCACCCGTGCCTGCATATCATGTTTTTGGTACGAGAACTTCTCCTGCATTGTCGTCATGTCCCCGGGCGGAACTCACATGCATCTGCCGATCTTCTCAACCAGCAAAGAGTTTATACAACGGCCTACTCAGTTCGTATTGACTGTGGCCTGGTTCCATTCCTGACCTTGAGGTGCCAGGTTCTTGTGACCAAGCACCGGGAGTCCCTTGGCCTGTAGCTCTCGCGCAATCACCTTCCACCGTCCAATCTCCTTCTCTTTATCCACGGGCGTTTCTCGTCTCGAGAGAACCATCACGTTCGGGCCTAGCGGCTGGGGCACCTTCCTCTTGGGTGCGCAGTTTTCAACTGAGCTCTCAGCCGTAGACTCGGCGTTCGCAGCGAAGTTTAGTGCTTTGGTTTGCTTCGCGATCAAAACTTCGGCTGTCTTCTGTGGCTTGGGTTTCGTGTTGTCGAGCAAGCTGACAAACTCGGCCAGGGATTTATTGCCGCGGACGACCGTGTTCAGCACGGGATCGGGAACAGGCATCGAGATCAGACGGGAGAAGCGTTTGAGAATCTAGAAAAGAGTCGAGATGTCAGTAGTGAATCACCGAATAATAATGTCACAGATGAAAATTAAACCTACGGCGAAGGTAGTCTTGCTGGTGAAATCAAACTTGGCTGCGCCCAACTGTTCTCTGATCTCCGAGATGGACAGATTCACGGCCTCGGCGTCGTCGGTGTATACCTTCAACAAATCGTCCATGGACTGTCCAAGGACACCCTCGGGGTCTTCGAGGTGCGAGATGGCTCCTGACGGCGAAAGTACAAGCTTGACTTTATTGTAGGCGTGGCTGAGTTGCAGGTCTTCCAGCTTGAGATCCTTCTCGTGGGTCCTAAGTTTTTCGTAGGTGAGGACATCGACGACAGCGACGTAGAGCATGGCCAGGAGTTCTGTGCGGTCGGGAAACGTCGTGTTTCGGATGAGCCAGCTGGGTAATAGTATCATTGTCAGTTCTATTACATCCATACATCCACACAGACGACAATGTCATATGATCAGAGAGCACATCAGAGACTTACGGCTCGAAGTCGTCCTCGGGCTTTGCAGGGATATCTTTCCAGTGTCCTTGGTGTCCGACGTGCTCTAGACCGTCCCATGTCTCTGCCTCAACGTAAGACTTGTCCTCGGGCAAAGATCCCAGCCCTTTCGACGACGACGACAGTCTTGAATCGTCGTAGCATCGCGAAGACGTGGTGCCGAAAGAAGCCGAGCGCGGTGCTCCCACATTCGCCTGCCACGGCTTACGACGTAGAGTATGGGAGGAAGTCGAGTTCGAAACGGCCCGGTGTTGCTGCGCATTCAACTGAATGTGATTTCTGCACGAGCGACAAATGTAGCGTGGTGCTGCGGCTTTCGATACGCTGTCATACAGCGCCTGGGTCGTTCGACGTGAAGTAGCCATGGTACGGGGCGAGTTGGCTTCAGCACAATGTCGCAGACCCTTATTACCTAGGTAGAATGTAGGCGAAATCGAGAGTAGAGACGAGGCCCTTGCACTCACTCGTCTTGGACCGAAATCTCATCGGGAGCTCGACTTCGCGACGCCAAGATGTCACGTGCTTGGGCTGTCCCTGAGAAGTTGGAACCACGAAGAGGTTGTCTTGAGGAGTTTCGCTTTCTTCTCCTTGAACACGTCAACGTACAAGTGAAATAGTGCGACCACTACGATATGTGCAATTACGAGTCCAGATGCATATCGAACAAGAAGTGCAACAAGAAGTGCCGTGTTGTATTACAAACTCTGTCGAGCTGACTGAAACATCCTTTGAACACATTCTTCGCCAGGTCCCGCCCAGTCAAGGACACCAAAAGCCACCGAAGCTTCCATCTTCCTTTGATGCGAGCAGGAACTCTACGTGCCCCATCTCTCCATTTCTGTCTACTGCTCAGAAACATTGCAAAGGATCTTGAATCGCTAGACCATCAATAGTAATCAGCAAATTTTCTACATCACTTGCCTCTCTCTGATCAAAGCGATGCAGAAACAAGATGGAATGAAGTAGGGCTGTACATTGACTCGGGGCTCACCGGGCCTTTCCGGGGCTCCTCCTCCTGCAATTACACAACAAAGGTCAATTCTGCTCGGTGGCCATAAAGCAGAGACAGGCGAGCGATCGAACACGGCGGGTGCCAAATGAGTGCTGCCGCGGCACATGTCGATTGTATCTCGTTCCCAAGCACATTGACGGTAGTTGACATTGTTGTGACGACCAGACACCCAGGCAGCGACATGTTGCCGCCCCGAAGGCCCGAAGGGTTTTGTGCCAGGGGTGTGTCAAGAGCATCCATCGCTGGCACGGCGAGAAATGAGATCAATTCCTCGAAAACTGGCAAGTTCCCCAGGCAGACAGTCTTTGTTCCCGTTCCAAATCAGCTTTGCCAATTCAAAGCTTTGATTCGCTCCCGAAGAATACCAGCAAAGGAACCGCTGTCGCTACCATGATGACTCCCAAATTCTCCCGCGAGTGGGAAGTCACAAAGCTTCGCGCTCGGCTTTGAACCTTCCTCTCATTGTGTATGAGTATTGGAGAAAGCGGTGGCCCGGAGAGGATCAATCTCCACTTGATTGAACTCAAGTCATTTCCGGCGGAATCGATGTTCGTGTTCCAAGAGGGAGATCCCTTGATCTGGCTTAGGTCTCAAACAGGTATGCAGCGTACGCTAGTCGCTGCAGAAACAGAACGAGGACTTTCACCTGACTGACACCTGCCCTGGCACTCGTTGACTAGCTCATCATATGCAGACGAGAGTACGGATAGGACTGACCGTAGACAGCAACAAGGGCTGTAGACCAATTCAGAGCACATTAGTGAGCTGAAAGTTACCGAGACAGGCGTCACTTCAGCAATCATTGGTGTCGCGCATTTGCTGGAATCGTAAATCCCCGGGTCATGAACTCGCCGTCTCGTCTCGCTTTACCGTCGTTATTTTTCGTGTACAAAGAACTTATGTTCTCGTTTTCGCGACGTCTCTTCTTTCTTGCCTCCTCCTCCTCCAGCACGCGTGCGGTAAGGCTCGCTGTCGCCGCATTGCGAATTCCGCTTGAAGGCTTCGGGGTTGACGTCCCAGATTGTGGCGTCGCAGAGCGAGAAACTGTTGCGGCTCCAGCCTCGGTGTTCCCGTTTGTTTCGACTTCCTTCGTACCGACATTACTGGTGACGTTTGAATCGACCTTACTCTCCCCATTCGCCTTCCTTTTCTTGCTTCCACTGGCTTTCTTCAAGGAATGAGTCAGTCCTAGCGACTGCAAAGTCTTCATACGCTCAATCACGAAGGTCTTGTCTTTTTCGGTACTGGGCAAAATTGGTATGATGTCGCGTTCTTCGTACGGAGTGGCACATTGGACGCATTTACCATCGCTCTTCATGGCCTGCATGGCTTCTTGCGAAAAGGCGTGGCCACATGGTACTAAGTAGACGGCCTTGACATTGGGACCCAGCTCCTTCGATGTCACCGGACAAATCCATCTGTCTTCCTTCGTCTTGTCGTCGTGCTCGACTTCAAATTGCACTTCCACAACGTCCTTCAGGGCTTTGATGCGTCCTTGGATGAACTTTTCGTACTCGATTTTGTCCACTGAACTCGCTTCGGCGGGCAGGAGGAACTGAATGATTGCATCTTTATTGTACAGCTCGCCTGTGTAGTCTGAGACCACTGGTTTGGATAGGGGCTTGTGAGACACTGGACATGTCGACCACCGATGTGCCAGATGTTCCTTCTGCTTGTCCTTGAGTTCGGTTGCGGTTGGATTGCGCGCAGCCTCTTTCACGAGCTCGCGGCGGGTGGGAATGCTGTGCAAAGTCAGCGATGGAAGGATGTACAGGCTGGTAGACTGAGGACTTACCTGCCGCCGTCATTGCCCATGGTTGGCTGCTTAATTCGTATTAGGATGCCGATGGTCTGTTCTGGGGAGAAACTACATGTATAATAAGTGTACGGCGCGAGTTGAGGGGTCTGGATGAAATTGTTCCTAGGCAGCCTAAGCTGGTTAGCAGGTCAGTTAGCGCGCCTAGTAGGAGACACTATGGGCGCTAAGTGGCGCGATCAGCCCGCAATAAGTCGTCCAGCAAGCCTATAACACTTCGCCTAAGCTACCTAAACCGATTTTCTGGAGTTGGAGAGGACGAGTACTTCGTTTCGGACTCCTCGAATCCTCTCTCAAACTCCGAAATCAAAACATCTTCTCACGAGTATCAGGTGCTCATCGACCTGTTCCTCCTGGCGCCTAAGTGTAGCCAGCGTATTTACGAAGCGCAATCCCACTAAGTCCGCCATTAGTCATATCGACTGTGCTCAACCTCGGATAGACGACAGGTCGAGGGATGTCGTCAGAATAGGTTGGTTGGTAACGTCTCTTTACTTCATGCTGATACTCTGACACCACGAGTTCGTGCGGTGTGAAGATCATGTCTCGTCTCGGAGCCCCACGACTACAGAGGGAGCGTTGTGGGTTATGTCCGACCTCAACCCTCGACCTCTTGTATTCGGTACTGCTATTTGTAAGCCAAGAAGCCGGGTGAAGACGGTGTATCCACCGACGTTATCAGTTTCCCCCGATATATAAAAAGCTTGATATGCTTCCACCAGGCCATCGACCGTCCTCAATCACTCGTCCCTCAACTACCCAGTACTCCCACACCAGTCTTCAGCAGGCGCTCTTGGAATTCCTCTCCAAACATGAAGGTTCTTCTGAGCGGAGGTTCAGGCTTCATCGCCGCCCACTGTGTGGACATTCTACTCCAGCACGGCCATGACGTAGTCTTCACTGTCCGTTCAGACGAAAAGGGCCAGAAGATCCTCAACAACCATCCAGGGACACCTGCCAGCAAGCTCAGCTATGTGATCGTCAAAGACATTGCCCAAGAGACAGCGTTCGATGAGGCTGTCAAGTCAGACCCCCCTTTCGAGGCTGTCCTTCACACAGCTTCGCCTTTCCACTTCAACGTCACGGACGTGAAGAAGGACCTACTCGATCCAGCCGTCATCGGAACGACTGGTATCCTGAAGGCCGTGAAGAAATCGGCTCCATCAGTCAAGCGTGTGGTCATCACCTCGTCATTCGCCGCCATCCTCAACGCGGCCAACCATGCCAAGACGTACTCGGAGAAGAATTGGAACCCCATCACCGAGGAAGAGGCGGTGCAGAATCCCTCAAATGGCTACCGAGCGAGTAAGACATTCGCCGAAAAGGCTGCGTGGGATTTTGTAGCCAACGAGAAGCCCAATTTCGACGTTGCGACAATCAATCCGCCATTGGTGTTTGGTCCCGTTGTTCACTACCTCAACTCTTTGGATACTATCAACACCTCGAACGAGCGTGTCCGAAACATGATCCAAGGCAAGTTCAAGGATGGCCTGCCGCCGTCAGGGGTGTTCCTGTGGGTTGATGTCAGAGATGTGGCTCTGGCACATGTCAAGGCGATGGAAGTGCCCGAAGCTGGAGGACAACGATTCTTTTGCACCGCTGGACATATGTCCAATGGGGAGGTTGCCAGCATAATCAAGAAGAATTTCCCAGCTTTCGCCGACAAACTTCCGGCAGATCTCTCGAGCGATGCGCCTGCGGATGTCTATGGCTTCGACAACTCGCAAAGCAAGAAGGTGCTGGGCATCGAGTATCGAAGTCTTGAAGACAGTATAGTAGACACTGTCAACTCCTTACTTGCTGTTGGGTTGTGAGTAGTGTAGACGATGACGAGATATATCGGCCCATAGATCCTATGAATAGATCTTCAAGGACACTATTGATAAGTACATGCCTTACGCACTGCAGTGGCTATATTCAATTGTTCGATCGGGAGCCCTGCATTCCAGATGGCCATAGGCCTATTCGAATGAGGGCTCACCTTGACTGGGGTTTATTACCACAGCCCATGTCCATCACCTTGATCCGGCATTGACGATAACTGACCGCCTCTGGGCCAGCTGTGAATCTCTCCCTCTGCAAATCTGCAAACCTGCAAACTCATTCTGGTTTCCAGAATCGAGATCTCAGCATTTCGCTTCACCCTTCTTGACATGAGCTGTGGCTGCGCAATCCCGAGGACCCCCTGGCGAGAGATTTGAGGACTCCCCTGAGCAGCTTGCGCCTGGACCGGAGTGCATGAAAAGGTGCCACAAGTTGCCCCCCCAGGACTCCCGGATGTCTCTCTTGCAAAGCTCGATTGCGTTCACAGATACTCCTGCTCAGTCATGTACTGTGACGCGCTCCAAGACATCGTTTCGGGTCAGGCTGTTGCGGACGACAAAGCTTTTGTATGCATCCTGCCAGTGGGGACATGTTACTACCAAATAGCTTCTACTTCTTAGTTCGACTCCGCAGCTCCGGAGTACCGGACCGTAAATTTCACTCCGTCCTCCGGATTGTCAACCTCCGTTCACGCCGCACGTATTAATGGCTCACGGCCAGGAGGCAGAAGCTGGCCTGATCAACTTCAGCCCATTTTGAGTCTTGAATGTGAACAACCATACGGAAATGGCGGCTGCCTCTCCCCCTCCGTGTCCCCCTGACACTGTCGGGCTGCGGGCGAACCGAGCATGCAGGAATTGTGTACAAATCAAGGCCAAATGCGTTCCTCTCCAAGGATCCGACATCTCCATATGCCAGAGGTAAGCGCTGTATGGGCCAACATCGAGTCCAGAGGCTTACCCAACCCTATCAGATGTCATCGCCTGGGTCGTCAGTGCACAACGCCTGCAGCCTTGCCTCGCAAGCGTGGGCCGAACAAGTCAACGTACGAGTTGGTCCCATGGAAGCGCTGCACTTCGATTGCCATTGTCTGACAGCACATTCCAGTATGAGCACGTTTTATCTAATGATTTAACAGCCTGCTGATGCTATATCGTGCCTCTTACATGCTGTTGTCAGGCAATGTCAATATGGGTGGCAATTCCTACCGCCTGTTTCAGTGGCTAATGGATACTAGGCGGGTGGCAGAGCTTGAAGAGAAAATCGACAAGCTGACGAATCTCTTGACTGCCGACCAATCTCCCCAAGAGCAACCAAACCGACCAGATGTTACCATCAACCATCACTCGCTACCAACTCCACCCTTGTCAGTTGGTCTTGACTCAAGGCCACTGACTACCGCCACGGGTGGGAGCTGCGCATCTGCCGGAAACATCAATCAAAAGGGTAAGCCTTGCATTGATGAAGATGCCGTTTGGCAGACGGATATCAAATCTATCTTCCGCACGACGGTACCGCCGGTAGTAGAGGAAAGGCTCTTTAGTGATTTTCGCACCACTTTCAACCGGTATTTCCCTTATGTCGTTATCCCACCTCATGAAACCACTGCCTCGATTCGCAAAGAGAAACCGTTCCTCTTCCGGACTTGCGTCTCTGTAGCTTGTCACGCGGATCCTGTGACACAGTCGCAGTTAGCTGAAGAGCTCCTACGCTACATCGGCGAACGAATGTTGATCAAGTCAGAGAAGTCGCTTGATATCCTTCAGGGTCTGCTGGTGTTCATTTCTTGGTGAGTCAATAGATTCCCCGAAGAGTCTCCTCCAAAATTAGCTCGGGGCGGAGCAAAAGGCCTAGCTCTTCCTAGTTGATTCGATCAGTAAATCGAGTACATCGCTCATTTCTCATCAGGTATCAACACTACAATCATTACAACCAGCAAATGATGAATTTGCTCCACCTTGCATCAGCCATGACCATCGACCTGGGTCTCAATCGACCGACTTACTCAGGACCATGGCCTCCCATTGGTATGGTGGTTGACACCCATCAGCTGATCCATGGAAAACCGCTTTGCCCGGGGGTGCAAACTTCTGATGAGCGACGGGCGCTTCTTGGACTTTACTTTTTCCATGCGAGGCTCTCCGCATGCTTCTCCAGGATTGATTTTATGCAGTGGACACAGCACATCGAAGATTGTTGTACCTCGCTGCTTACCTCCTGTGAATACCCTTCCGACGTCGAAGCTGTTCAAGGCGTCCGACTAACCCGACTTCTGGAACGATATTCACCTTACACTGGCGCTATCTCTTTGAAGAATGTACCCATCAAAACTTTCGTAGACTGTTTCCAGGAAGATCTACATCGCGTTAAGCGGGAGTTTCCTGCCAATCTTGCCCATGATCGTAAGTAAAGCACTCCTGTATCCTTTGGCCCACAGCACACGCTCCAATGCTTTGATTTGCCCGAGGGTTTGGGCATGCACTAATCAAGCCTATAGCCATCTTCCAGATGCAGATTTACGATGCCGAATTGACAATATATGAAACTGTTGCAGCGTCGGAACGAGATGCGCCACTGGAACGAGCTGAAGCTCTGCACGCCGCACTTGGAACTATTGACAACCTCATTGGCACCTTCGCAAAGGTGTCAGCAGGCTCAATACCTCAACTGCCGTTCCTATCGTGGATCTATGTCCTCCACTGTTACATTGTCCTCGCAAAACTCTCGTTCCTTGTTGTAGACGGCTGGGATCTACAATACGTTAGAACAGGAAGAATTAACTTCCCGGAAATGATCTCTCGCATTGTGGAAGTACTCGAGGCTGCAGTACGACATAGTATGGGCGAAAAGCTGAGGCCAAATGCTATCTCTGCACGTTATACTAAGTATGCAGAGAAGATGCGCGCATGTTCTAAGTGGTACAACAGTAAGCTCAAAGCAGAGACCGAGTCGTCTGTTGATGATCTGGGCTCCGCCCTGCCAGCCTTGGACTCTACATTCGAAGGCTTCTTCGAAGGATTCAATGATGGTTTCTGGACCGATATCAGTATGGACTGGGCAGGCACAGGAATGCAACTGTGACGACCTTTAGTACCTGACCGTACTAGGATGCATCTAGCTTTGCTTGGAGTCAATCCTAGAAGGGCGGAAGCTCTTCATGGGATACACGTCGTGGAACTCATCTATGCTCAGCGCCTCAGCACTCCCTCATGTGTTTATCTATCTATGTATGAGTTGTCACGAACCCTGTGCGTCGGACATATCGGGTGGTCCCTTGGCGCACTCGCTGCCTCAGCCGCTCACACGTTGGAAGGATCATTATCTGCTACCAACCAGCAAACAAGACGTCGATCCTCAAAGCTCATAAAATGACCTTCATCTTTTCCCGGATGTGACCTAGAGTTCATTCTTCTAGGGGGCATAATATGACCCACTCTCGAGTGGGACGAGGGTCTTTGTAACCCTGAGCCGGCCGGACCCTCGAAAAGACCGGCTCCGTACCAGGCTACATCAACTTGCCGTCAGATAATGCACCGGCTATAAGCAGACAATGCACTCCTGTTCTTGTTGTGTCTTCGCCAGACTCAAATCAAATCAATTGATGCCTGGACTCTTTTCAATCAGCAAACATGGAAGAGAAGGAGACTCCCTCTAGGGACGAGACGACGTCGATCCAACCACCACCTACGAATTTTCCTACCCCTATTCCCGAAACCAATTCATCGACGGGCGTGCAAGACGTACAAGAGGGAGAGAGTCCAGCAAAAAACGACGATGAGCCACAATATCTCGGCCCACGCGCGTTGACTTTCTTTATGAGCGCAATCCTGCTCGTTGTCATCATCCTCACCCTCGACCAATCTATACTCGCTACTGCCACACCCAAGATAACGGATCAATTCCACACAATTGCCGACATAGGATGGTATGCTGCCGCCTACATGATATGCAACGCCTCATTGCAACCTTTGACCGGAAAGGTCTATACATACTTTCCACTACGTTATGCCTTCCTCGGTTTCGTCTTTGTGTTCGAGTTAGGCTCTCTCGTGTGTGGTGTCGCTCAGTCAAGCACTATGCTAATCGTCGGACGAGCTGTGGCAGGCATGGGCGCCTCTGGTCTACAAAACGGCGCGCTTACAATGATAGCCGTGGCGGCACCACCTTCCCAACGGCCAACGCTGATGGGCGTAGTCATGGCCATGGCCGGGGCCGGGCAACTCTTAGGTCCTCTCATTGGTGGCGCCCTTACACAACACGCAACGTGGCGTTGGTGCTTCTACTTGAACTTGCCTATTGGCGGTATAGTGCTGGTAGTGATGGCATGCATTGAACTGCCGGAATACAAAAACCGGAAAGCAAGTTGGACGTTTCGCGATGTCATCCGTGACTTTGATATCACAGGCTTCACGATTTTCGCTCCAGCCTGTATCATGCTTTTGCTCGCCCTCGAATGGGGCGGTTCAACCTACCCATGGTCTTCGGCAAGGATCATCGGTCTTTTTGTCGGGTCGGCTGGAGCCTTTGTCGCTTTCTTCATCTGGGAATACTGGCACGGCGAAAACGCCATGATTCCACTGCCGCTCATGTCCATGCGCGTGGTGTACAGCAGCATGTTGGCCTCCTTCTTTCAGTTTGGCGGCCTCCTCATCTTCTCTTACTACTTGCCTTTATGGTTCCAAGTTATCAAACATGCCAGCCCAACTATGAGCGCAGTCTACATCCTCCCGACGTTCATTTCACAGATTATATCGGCTATATTGACCGGGGTACTGATTTCGCGTATCGGCTATGTGGCACCGCCGGCAGTGGTGGGATCCGGTCTTGCAGCACTATCATCAGGGTTAATGAGCACGTTCAACCTCAACACTGGCACCGGGGTCTGGATAGGGTACCAGATCATCAACGGCGCGGGTCGAGGAATGGCCATAACACAACCTATTCAAGCCGTGCAGAGTGTGGTGAAGCCAGACATGGTCCCAACCATCACGGCGTTGATAGCTTGGGCGCAGACTTTTGGCGGTGCAATCTTCATTGGCCTTGCACAGACGGCCTTCATCAATCTTCTGAAGAGCTCACTTAACAACCACGCCCCGGGTGTGGAAGCGAGCGCGGTCATTGCAACTGGGGCAACGGACTATCTTGCCCACCTGGCCGCACAAGGGGACATGAAAACGAGGCATGGAGTTCTCCTGGCCTACAATGAAGCTATCACGGAAACATTCTACCTGGCATTAGGATGTACACTTGCTGCAGCCGTAGCCTGCGTGGGTATTTGGAAGACGAGAGTGGAACGGAAGAAGAAACCGGTCAAGAACGACGTTGAGAGACAGGGTGAAGTGTCGAAGACCGAGAATGGCGGTGACCTGACCAAGGAGGAGAACTCACGCTGTGGATCTAACAGCAGCCACAAGTCAGCACGGCCCAGCAACGAGTTGGACGAAGGGGTTGACGCTGACGTTTCCAAGGGAACAGAGCGCTGACTGAAAAATAGTGAAGATTATAAAACGCGGACTGGATAATGGACGTTCTCGAAGGACATGGGAGTTAGGGGAATCGCACAATTCATCCGTCAGGGCGACGTGATTAATTCCTGGTAAAGGCGCATCAAGGTCTGTCTGGACATCTTTTACAAATGTTGTTTGGGTATCAACTATCGAACCATCGATACCTCTCGAGTGGTCGAGATTTCATTTACAATATACTAAGATATAACGGGTAGATAGTATTGTGGTTCATGCATTTTATATGTCAAGGTCCTCCCCTTCGACCCATCGCTTACACTGCCAGTACAACAGGTCATGCTTGTCGCCGCACGCCTTGCTGCCTCCTGGGACACCGTTTTCGCGTCTATGTCCGGGCATGTCGAGCAACACTTTGACGCCCATCGTCTTCTCCTGGCAGTATGCGAGGTACCTGTAGCCGGACGGGAATTTCTGTAACTCCTGCTCGTTCAGAGGCGGGATCTTGTTGGGGTTGACGGGGATGAGTTTGTCCTGCAGCCACATCACAACGACGACCCCGGTTAGCTTAACCTTGACGGCGAAATACTTTTTGAAGAAGAACAGAACGAGAGAACAAAAACAAGAAAGATGGTTGATTACCTTTTCGTACCAGTGTCTCACGTACCGAGCGCGCCATTCTCCCTGCTCGGTTTTGACCCAAAAGAAGCAGAAACGGCAATCACTCTCGGCGTCGGCTTCGCAGCCGTCGAGATTGAAGCGCTGCGTGATGGTGGCTTTCATCTTGGTCACGGCGCGCGTCGCCTCGAGATTGATGTCCGTCGTGATGCCGTGGCAGCGGTGCATGATGAATGCGCCATTGTCCATGCCCTTTTGCGAGGCGGCGATGAAGTCGAGATGGTGCGTGCGGCCTGTCCATGTCGTGTAGATGTATGCGTCTGGGTGGAAGATGGACTTCAGATTCTCCCATTCGCACGCGTCTCTGGAACCCGCCGCCAACATTGCAGTTAGACAACCGTCTCGTTGCCCCGAAACAAGAGACCTCGCGACATGCTTACCTGTAGGCTGGCCAACCCTCGGCGAGCTCTCTCAACTTGTATCGTTCGAGCACCAGGTTCTCTGGCCCGTTGTTGCGCACCGCATTGTCCGGCCGGGATCCTGATGGCAGGGAGTGCAGGTCTGGCATGGTTTCTTTGTTGCGTGGTGCAAGTATTACTTTCCCTTGAACTTCAATGCTGGATCACAGGCGAAGACGACAAGGACTGAGATTTTCCTACCTGCGTAGACCTGCGCAGACCTGCGCTCTCGGAACTCCGAGCGGCCTTGTTGCTCTGGAAGTATTCCTTCCCGCAACGAGACGTTGGCCGGAAGAATTCTTTTCCGGGGTTTCTCCTTTCCGCAAGGCTGTACGGGAAAAAGGGTCGCTCTTATTAAACGATCCACTGTCCCCAGCTTAAAAGCTCTCACGGCATCAAAGCACGGTCTCCTCAGTGCGGATGGATACCTTTCCTTAGGGCTCCCGGAAGGCTACCCGGAAACCTAGAGCTCGGCTCATCGCTCGGCACATGAGCACTAAGAGGACATAAAACGACCATCGTGAGACGCGACGCGAGGCGACGCGACTCCCATGGTTTCCACACCTTGTAGACAGCATCGAATAACCAGTCATGATGCCAACCATTCTTCCGCTCCCAGTCATTGTTGGATATTGGTATGTTGACCTGCGCTAGCGTTGCTCAGCGTGCATATGCTACTCACGCCTGCAGACGGCTGTGGGCGGCCTCAACGCCGAGGAACATACGGTGAGTAGGGCATCCGCGGGAAAAGCGGAAAACAGCATTTGTACGTCTTCAAGTTCAATTGCCCAGGAGACCAGCATCATCTCGATGTGATCAGAGGACAATCAGAGGACGATCTTAGCTGCTTTACACCGTGTCAGGGTCTTTCAAAGGCGTATCAAATTTGACCTCACACTTGCAGCTCCGCCTCACTTTGACTCGCTAGAATAACGGCATAACTTGGGCGTAAAAACCCTGTTCTCATCCAATAGTCCAGCAGGAACTCTAGCGCGATATCACATTGACCTCTCGGCTACTCCATGCGCCGTCGGATTGGTCGTACTTCAACGGTCTCGGTTTGACCAGGCTTTGAAAGGAGAGCCTTGAATAGTCCTGAAGGGATGATCTCATATCGGACTGACTCACATCGCCTATGACTGTTTCATTGCAGTATTCTCTCTCAGTGTTATATCTGAGAGACTCCCCGACCACTGCTAGCTTTTGCGACTGCAGTTTTAACCTCAAGGTTAGGAAGATCTGTCTGTCAGCCACCGCTGTTACAGTCAGCGATTCGTAGCTTGAACAGCCTTGACGAACCTTTCTTCCACTCTGAACAACGACGGCACAAAACAGGAGACCAGGTGCTGTTTAGGCTGGATGGATGGATACTGCGACTTGCCAACCTCTTCGTCTACCCCCGAAGGCTTCTTGAGCTGGTTCCAGCATCACTCTCGACTTGAATACATCCAGCAAATCCATGTTCGTTTGGCATTGCGACAGGATGCGGACACCGCACAAGGCTTAGACAGACCATGATTGGATCAATTGGCCGTGGATGCGCAAGTTCCTGGAATGGCTCTCTCACTCAGCCTATCCTTCGGGAGGAGATGCATAACTTTTCAACTCGACACACCACGTTTTGGACCTTGCATGCAGCCTCCAGTGTTTTGACAACCACAAGCAGCTTCCACCAATCTCTCGGTCACAATCGGCGGGAAAAACAGGCTTGCCTATTGCTGCTGCGAACGATCGCTGTCGTGGCGCCATACGCCGTGGCACGGATGAGACCAACGACAAAACAAGCGCCACCACAAGAAAAACTGACGTATTCCTGGGCCCAAAATCGATATGATGGAGTTTGCAGGTTTCCCATCAGGAAAAGGTCAAGGTTGGTGCTTAGATTCTCACGTCGATAAGGGTTTCAAAGGGAGCACGTCAATGCATGCAAGAGGTGGATGACAGCACCGTTTGACCTGGGACACTCTTGTCACCGGGCATGGTATATTCCGACCAGACCTGCACCCTGTCCAGAAAATCATCCACAGTGCCGGAATGCTGCGAACGAAGTGGCCGCGAGTGGCGCAGGGAGGTTGAAAAGGACGCGCATTGGTGCCTCACAATGAAATCAGCCTCAATCACCCGCTCGATAGGATGAGAATCGGTGTATTGGCTCCATTTTATTCAATCTACCAGCCTGGGCAAATTACGAGCACACGAAGCGGCGAAGCCTAATTCGCGAGACCTCCCCCCACTTGTTGGTAAGCACTTCGATCAGGACATTCCGCATCAAGTAGAACTGATCCTTGCTTGGGCCCATGATCCTTCTGGAGGGTCTCAAGCATTCGGGACCGGTGTGCCACTTGGTGCTGCAAGCTACCACAACTCACCAGCCCTGGCAGCAAAGACATGGCAGCTTAATGGGGCATTCATCCATCCGTCAACACTCAGCAATTGAATCTGAAGCTCCGCAGGCGAAGCTCCGCACCGCCACGCTTCAAGTACGAACGTTGTTGGTCCCCTGAGCATAAGAGCCTGGCGGCCACCTTTGTTCGATCTCTCATACAGCTGCAGCAGTTCCGGCTGTTTATCTCCAAGAAACGGTGCTTTTGATTACATGAGAAACAAGCCAGAGGGCGCTGATCATTGAGAGTGAAGCTGACACAATTCCACCCGATGCCTAAACATACTGCGCTGTTGCCTGGGGCACCTACAAACTCTATTCGTCCTTCACCATCCGATGTCGAGCGGAAAAGGGATCTTTGGGCCGTTGGTTCGGGTGGCTTCATTGAATCAGGAGGGACTACCTCTTCGCCATGCACTTTCATGCCTTAGACCTTGCGAGTTGCCCGGTACAAGTTGCACCTTGCACCTTCAGAACTCACATTTGGAGACTTCGCTCCCAAGGCACTCTTCGAGGCAAACGAAGTGAGGCTCCAGATGGAACTGGCGGTCAGCGCATTCGAGCTCTATATGATTATGCTGCTCAGCCACGGGCTAACTGCAAACTTTGTGCCCTCAATATGCCTTTTAGCCATATCTTGAACCTCTTATGTCGAGCGAGTCCAACTTATATCAGTTGCCTACCCTCGCGCGCGCACACCTTGGTTTCCTAGTTCCTGGCTCTGCGAAACAAAGCCGTTCTGATTTCTTTTCCCCGTCCGTATTTCATCGAAGCACCATGGATTCTTCTGCCTGCCCGCCTCAAACGTGGCTTGAGCTAGAAGGCAAGCTTGAGCTCATCATTCGAGCCGACGCACGATTCATGCTCGGCTTTTTATGCTCCATTCTCTGCTGCTTGCCTCGCATGATTTTTGGTTGGGTTCTTCGCCTTTTAAGTCTGTTGATCTGGAATATTTATTTGGTTCTTGGGTGCTTCTCCTCCGGGCATCAATCGAGCGTGTCCGTTTTGCTTCACCAGGGAAGTGCCCCGTCTGGGACTGCACGTAGAGAATCACAACTGGCAAAATACACGAGGAATCACTGGCCATGCAGACATCGCAACCACATTTTTGGAACCCAAGATCATGCTGTGAAACCTGAAGCAGGGAACCTCGACTGGGGCATCTGCACACCCATTTCGCTCCAACATGCGATCAGCAGCATCAAGAGTCGACCAAAGACTTCAGACTTCTTCAAGTGGGGCAGATACAGGCTCGACAAGGGATCAAGCAAATCCTCGTTATCGATCGCTGGCCCCGTGTCCAAAAATGATGAAGATGCAACCTTTGACAAAGAGGCCGATACGACGGTGAGGCTCAAGAGGAGTCGGCGCTTCTCGAAGCGAGGAAGCGATGGTACGCTGCAGCCCTCTGCCTCTCCTCCCCGTGGGCCGGGCTTGTGCAACCATCACGAAGCGCCGTGCGATAACAATCGGGCTACAGGACCACCTGAAGCGCCACTCTCGTCCTACGCGACGCCACCCCCGCTTGCGTTACCAGTAGGTCGAGTTGCGAGAGACGCCAACTTCGAAGCTGCAATTCCACACTCAACAAGAGCCCGACTCCTGACAGTCGACGGTGGCGTCAAGACATCAAGCAAAGATTGCAAATGCCTGCAAGGGCAGCGCAATGAAGCCCTCAGCAGAGCCGTACTGGTTCATCCAGATCAACGTGAGGCTCCCTCATCATTGCCATGGGCAGTTCCCAAGCCCGTAGGCAAGAAGTACACCACCGCCATCCACTTCAGCAAAGCGCTCAATGATAGCTCGCCGACGTGGCGATCTATTCCAGGGGCGAGGCAAGTAGCTGGGGGAAGCTCGAGCAACGGCAAAGGCAAAGCTAAAGCGTGGTCTAATACCACTGGTGCGAGAGGAAGCTCTGCCCAGAACACGGCAAATTCGCACACGTGGGATCGAAGCACGGCCAATGGCGAAGACGGCGAGGGCGAGGGCGACGACGATGACAACGACGATGAGGACGATGACCAGTCGGAACCAGATCTGCCTACGGACCAAGAGGCGTCAAATCCCTCAACGTCGGGAAAAGTCTTTCGATGTCCCATATATGCGGCCGACCCTTCCCTCTGCGACAATCCGAGGTGTTCGCGATGGTACGCACCAAAGATTCAAGCGGTGACACGGCACATCAAAAAGAGCCATCCTCGAATAGAGGAGGACAAGAAGAAGACGATCGAGACTTGGCAGAAACGCAGGCTCAAGCCGGAAGAAAGATGGAGGGAATACTATCGATTGTTTGGAGGGGACGATCCCTCGTCGGTGTGTCCGTACACGGTCGAAACGAACGCTCCGAACCCCGTCGCAACCGCGTTGGCCCAAGCCGTGAACGACATCAAGCAGTACTTGTCACCGCCGATGCCGACTTCTTCTCACGAGACTCTTCGTTCGTTCTTGAGACTATACGCCGAAAAGGCGGACCGAGATTCCCAAGCAAGGATCGGCTTTCACTCACAGGAGGCGAAAATCCATCGCCGGTTTGAACAGCGTCTGAGACAATCGAGGGAGGTGTTCGCCGACGCCGTAGAGACGCTGCTGACATCGCCGGCCGTGTCTTCGAGTCGATGGGGCGCAACGGGGCATGCTTCACCAGAAGGCGCCACCATGGCGAACGCAAGTCAGGACGAGGTTCTCTTAGAGATCACGGGAAATTCAGGACGACGACAGTCTACCTACGCCACGGACATTGGGAACGATGAGTCGGGACTTGCAGCTCCGACTTCAACCTCAACAAACATGCCGCAGCAGGACCCGGCGTACCTGATGGTACCTACAGGTATGATGAGAACGCCATCATCATCCCAGCAGCAGCACCACCACCGCCGCCGCCGCCAACACCAACACCAGCACCCGCACCAGCACCAGCACGAGTTCGGCAGAGGAGGAATCCCTCCGCCCCAGATGGGGACCAATATGTCCGTACTTGGTACGGGCATCTACCAGCGCCAGGAGTCGATCAACGAAGTCTTGTCCGAGACCGACAGAGTACTTCATGCTCAAACTGCAGCTGCAGCTGCAGCATCATCATCGTCGTCGTCATCGCCGCCGCCGACAAAGCGTGCGAGATTCCACGTGCATCAGCAGCAGCATCAGCAGCAGCAGCATCAGCAGCAGCAGGTCGAGCTTCAACAGGCGTCTTGGGATGATCCAGCGGCGTTTGCATTCGGATTCACTTCCACACCTTATCAAAGTTTCCCGGGATCCAACTTCCAAGGGCCCTCGTCGCCCTCACCGTCACTAAACAGCGGCTGCCAGTGTTGGATGCCTAGCGCTTCAATGAGACTGTATTGCTCGAGGTGCCAAAGTGACAGTCCGCATGGTACCTGTTATTGCCAGCAGCAACAGGGGATGAACGTGCTGAGGTGTATGATATGTAGATTGAAAGCTAGCTAGCTGATTCATGGTGGTCGTCTGTTTTTCCTTTTACTGTTTACAGAAAGTGGTGACCCCCAGGAAGCCAGGTAAGGGAGCTTTCTTCGAGACTGGAGATCAGCACAGTCCAGTGCAGGACAGTATAGTGTAATATATAATATTACCTACTCGTACCTTGATACCTTGACAGTCTTCTGGACGTTGCGGAATGAGGCTGATTTTAACTCTTCAACCCCATACGTTTCAAGCTCACGGGCCGCTCACTCGTCAAAGCCCCCGAGAGACAGCCTTTGCCGCCCTGGGTTTTTTATTAGACGGGACAGGCCTCGTTATCGATCTGCAACTGGTATGCGACCCGGCCATGAGTCACCTTTATTCCAAGAACTGTGCGATACCTCACTCCCAGTTATCAGGCAATAAACGCTCACTTCCACAGGCGACACACACACACACACACACACACACACACTTCTCTCTCTCTCTCTCTCTCACTCTCTCTCTCAGTTCAGGATCTTGTGTTTCTTTTCTACAACAAACAGAGAGAAAAAAAAACAGTGATCCGATCTTGAGGGCTCAAGATTCTAGATGAAGGCGACGGCGACGGCGATGGCGAAGGCCACCCCTCCTTCCCCTCGCAATTTCCAATTCAGGCGTCTCCTCGATAACCTCGAGTACAAATTCCACCGTCAGACCGGACTGGCCAAGGACAGCGTCTATGTACGATCGGACATGGCCGTGAGGGTGATCTACGACCTCGACTTTGGCTGGTCGATATGGGCTGACGGCGGCGACGGCGACAACCACCACCACGCAGACGGTGCAGACGACAACTGCCTCTCAAACCCAAACCCCCCACCACGACCGAGTCGTCGGAGAGGGAGCCTCGTCGGTCGCGTGTGGGATGTTCCAGTCAAGGATCAAGGGGACCATCCGCCCATCGGAGTCTGGGTCAGTCGCAAGGGTGACAAGTCGTACGTCTACTTGCTTGAATATCTGGATTAGATTCACAGCGATCAAAGCCAAACAGTGTAAGTTCCACCACAAAGAATAGGCTTTTTTCTTTTTAATCGAGGGTATCTAACTAATACACACACAGAGTCGTCAGAAAGGAAAAGAGGTGCCGAAAAGCCCGAAAAGCCCAATCTAACTACGACTGCTGACCGCCGGCCGCCAACCCATTCTGCTGAGGCGGCGCCTGCTGCTGCTGCGTGACGGCCAAATACTTTTCGTGCGCCTTTCTCTGAGCGTCCCATTCCTTCTTCAACCTCTTGACTCGGCTGGCAGATAGAGCACTTCCATCCTTGGCCGCGGTCGGCACGCCATCAGGGTCCCAAGCCGAAAATTCTTCCGAATGTGGCGGCTTGAACATCTCTGACGGCGCGAGTTTTCCTTTCTGCAATTTCTCCAAAGCCTCTTGTTCCCGTTTCTTCTTGGCCTCTTCTTTGGCTCGGGCTTTTTCTTCCCGCTCCCGTCGCGCGGCCTTTAATCCCTCGGTGACTGGTCGGACCAGTGAGGGTGCATTCTCGCGGTCTTCGAGGTAAATGTCGAGTTGCCAGAGATCGACGTCTCGGACGCGATCACACAAAGCCAGAATCTGTTTGTTCAAATCCTTACTTTCAGCAGGCGATGCCACTTCAAGCGCGCTTCTGCTAAACTCGCTTAACGCCCGCGCGTACGACGGCCGCGGTCTCCCGCTAGGAGGTGGCTCTTCAAGTCCGGGCGACGTTGAAACAATCTCTTGCACCTTTTCTGCCGTGATGGCCTTGGCTATGGCGGCTTGTCGTAGTTCATCTCTCATCTTGGCCAGTGGGTAGACATACTCCTTGGCGACGTCGGGAATGTCAATGCCTCTCCAGCCAATCGTCTCCGTCTCCGCAGGCTCGTTGCCGTTCAGACCAAATATGTTGACCATTTTCGTGACGAAAAGGCCTGTATTTCGGTGGTCTTCCGCCGTCAGGTCCGACTTTTTGGCGCTATTGTAGGCATTGATCAGGGTAGAAATCGTGCTCATCGCCAAGGGGGTATTGAAGGAGTCGAGTAGTGCGGCGCGAACTTTCTCTTCTGCGTCAAGTAGTGGAATTGTCATGATGCCCTTGTAGTCATTGCTGGCCTTAGCATTCTTGATATTTTCGATGGCATTCAGAAAGAAATTGTCAACTCGATCTTCCCAATTACGACCTTCCACAACCATGTCATCGGTGATCTCTATCCCGTCTTTCCAGTTCCCGAGCAAGAAGATGATACGCAAACTTCTGGGGGTCCATTCTTTGCGCACGTGAAGGGCTTCCCGAATGGTGGTAAAATTCTTGAGCGACTTGGACATCTTGGAGCCCTGTATTGACAGGTGGCCCATGTGCAGGAAATAGTTGACCCATTGCCGATGACTTCCATCGGACCAGAATGCTTCACTCTGGGCGAGTTCATTATCGTGGTGAGGGAATGCCAGGTCAATACCTCCAGAATGGATATCCATTTGCTGGCCCAATTTCCCAGAAGCCATCGCTGAGCATTCAATGTGCCATCCAGGTCGACCAGGACCCCATTCGCTCTCCCAACTCGGCTCTCCAGGTTTCGAGGCTTTCCAAAGGGCAAAGTCCGCCTCAGACCGTTTCGACGTGCCGTCTTTTTGTGACAGGGCGCCTTCACCGTCAGCCTGTAGCTCTTTGTCGTTCCTGTTCCAAGGCTCGAGCCTTGCGTAGGGATATCCCGCAGACTCGAAAGCCTTGATGTCAAAATAAACAGAGCCGTCCGTTGTTCGGTATGCCATTTTGTTGTCCGCAATCTTCTTGACGAAGTCGGCAATTTCTTTGCCATGCTCTGTCACTCGCACTAGATCGTCGGGGTCCAAGACATTCAGGTCATGCATGTCCTGGAAAAAACGATTCTCATATTCCTTGGTCAATTTCGTAAACACGGCGTAATCATCTCCTCGTATGCTCTTCCCGAATTGGTCATCTAGTACCAGGCACATCGGGTCATTGACTCGGGCGTAGAATTCGTGTGGCGTCAGCATCTTCGGGTCCGACAGCAAGGCTTTGGCGGTGGATCGGGCTGTATTGATATGCATCTTGACTTTGGCCTCCTTGTCTCCCGGTTTCGTGCCAGGCTCCAAACTGCCTCCAGCGAGTATGTCTCCATAAAAGTGCTCAACGACGCCATCAAAGGTCTCGGGTGTGAGAAGGGTTTTGGGACCGATCCGTTTCAGGTTCTTCTGCACGTAGTAATGCCACGCCTGTCGCACATCCTGCCGAACTTTATCGTCGATGTATCTAGTCTCTTGATCAGAGCCAGTCTCGTCTCTGTTTGAGTCTTCGTCATACCTATGGTTTTTCTTGTATGCGTCGTAGAGGTGTTTCTGTCTCCCTCTTAATATGATCTTGTCGTCGACGTCTGTGATGTTCATAACAAATCGAACTTTGAAATGGAAATAGTCTCGCAAGATGCGTCTAATGATATCGGTGGTGACATAGTTACGGGCATGGCCCAGATGGGAGTCATCGTAAACGGTAGGACCGCAGGCATACCAGGTGATGTGCTCAGGCTGAAGAGGGACAAAGGGAACTTTTGATCGGGTCAACGAGTTGTAGATTTTCAATTGCGGTTGGTGAGTCGGGCCCGTGGGCTGGTTCCAGGGCGGCTGCGACATTTTGAGAGCTTGGTGGCACTTGGAAGCGGTGGTGCAAAACGCACGTCTCAAATGGTTCATGAGACTACAGTTGTTGTTGAGTCATGCATGCTTGGGCGTTGGCAGTCAGCGGGCGGTTGCAGGGGACAATTCAATGCCAAGTATCCGCACCAGAGGGCAAAGGCACGACGAGGCTGCGCTAGACCCAAACGGTGCCTGACGAGGCTCGCAAATGACGCCATCTTCGCCCTCGTTGTCCACAAGGAACAAACTATTCTCCCTGCACAGCACTCTTACACGGCTCCAGGATTACTAAAGCTTATTACCACCTCAGGTAGGCAGCTAGGGCTCACTAGAATGCTTGGGCTCTCTTTCAAGTCTTGGAAAGTCATCATTATTGTCGCTCGAGGCTGATCCAGGCTATCCTGCTGCTCTTTCGCCGAGCAAGCCATTTAAAGCAATGCCATCCAACCATTGCTATCATCACCCAAGCTAAAACGGCCACTCCAAACATCCACCAGTCCCAGTCAGGCTCATAGACCACTATCTCAGACTGGCCGAGGACCTGGCCGTCCTGGGCCAGAGCTACCACTCGAAAGTGGGAGTATTCAAACAAGTCTCCCAGCTCGAAAGTCTCTTCGAAAGTCTCCTTATCCAGCATATCCAGGTCCTTGAATGCGTCTTCATCATCGGCACTTTGGGCACCTTGCAGTAACCAGGAAGACACTTCTGTCGCTCCGTTCCAACTCACATAGAGCGTATCGTCCTCGATCTCCACTGCAGGAGGATATGTTGGTCGACCGACCCAGTCATTCCTCTTCGACGCCCGGTACGAAACCGCTCGGTTCCACGGATGGAAGATCGGTGATCCAAAGTGGTGCTCGCATAGCAGGCTGCCATTGACAGAGAACTCACTGTATATCGGAGAATGGCCAAACCCAACAAAGACATGACCACTGCCAGGAAGCACCTGCATTGACCCTTGCGAAGGGGCCCGTGTTCGGTGAAGTGACTCGTACGTGTGTAAGAGCTCCACAGTACGGTTGGAGATGTCGAGTTGAAGCATCATGCCACGACTACTGGGACCATCGACATGTAGAGGACCGGCCTCTTTGTTGTCGAACAGACTGAGGGTCCCCTCCTCCTCAGAGACCCATCTCGCATCATGCTGCCATTTGAAATCCAGGGCGTCACCTCCGGACAAATCAGTGAACTGATTACGGCGGCCGCCCAGAACCCAGAGGATAACCCCTTCGGGACTGATGCAAGTGACGGTATGCGTGTGGCGGGAAGAGACCAGGTAATTTCCTTGCGAGTCCTTGTCGACACTGTTGATGTGGAAGAAGTCGAAAGGCTTACTTTCGATATAGCCGCCAAAGGGATCCGTCATGTAGGTATCGGTGACATTAAAATGCTCGGAAGCCCTCCATTCAAACAACAGCTCTCCCGTTGCGATGTCGACCTCTTGGAAGAGGCTGTCTAGGAGCCACCCATGTGAAAACTTGCCCAAGGACGATAAATCGGCCTCCGTGGTCGCATAGATGGTCAGCAGAGCAGTGTTATCCCTTGTTATTTTAAATTCATGGAGATCGCCTTGCATCCCGTCACCAACAGCCGTAACGCGATGTGCTTCGTTGTAAGAAGAATCTAGCTGGATTTCAATCAGTTCCGTGTCGTTCAACTGAGAGCCAAGTACTCACCATGTAATATGTGCCTACCCCCTTGGTGCCCACTTTCTTCCCAGCCCAGAACGTCAAATAGTTCTGGCCTCTGTATGACTGGACCTGTAGGTTTGTCGCGCTTGAATAGCCCTGCGATTTCCAAACGAGTTCGTTGTGCGCATCGAAAATAGCCGGTCCTTTTGGCCCAGCAGAATCCCCATTGATCGTCAACAACACCAGTCCAGACTCACAATCTGGATGGGTTTGCCTTGTGCTGACACGGGGCACAACCAAGCCAGTGGTTACAAAGGACTGCAGTGGACAAGCACCGTAGGCTCCCCAGTCGTATAACGTCGGGTTCAACGAGGGAGAGAGCCATACCAAGAGAGGGCTAATGACATATGAAATCGAAAAGAAGACAGCAAAGACGCTAGCCACTACAACGACTGCGATGCATAGCGCTCGAACAAACAGGGGCTTCATGTCAGCAAGATAACTTCCCTCATGTTGTCACAGTGACAAAGGAACTGTGTGTCGTGCAAAGAAGGGATGCCATGGCCTTTTTGACAGCTACTTGGGGATGGCGTAACATGGGAGAGCAGCAGCGAAGCACAGCCCACTGGGGTCCATATCCAGGAGCTTCGCAACAGAGCCAAGAGTTCGTCGAGACGACGAGGCAATTTGTCGCAAGAACAAGTGAAGCCCAGAATGCCACGAATGCTCCTCGAGTGTTCGGCACTGGGCCGAGCATCCAGGAGGCGGGGCGCAGATTCGAGACTGGCGGTTCCTGCGTAGAACAAATGGAACCACAGCCCGCCAAATGGTGTCGCGCATCTCTTCTTCGACATACTGTAGCTTGACCGGTGCTTGACCGGTGCCGTTGAGCTAGTGAGTGGAAATACCAGATGAAACGATTGGACTTACCGTTGAGGCAATCGATGCGATAAATGACACGGAAAGCAACAATCGGCACGCCAAGGGTGAAGGAGATGGCCGAATCGATTGGCCTCGTGTACACATCTCTTGGCTGGCAGGGGTGTTGAGAGCACATGGATATGCCATCTCCATCGTACTAGGTAACAAACGGTCAAGATCGGAAGGGTGGCTGAATGGCTGAGGTGTTGGTTTCGGAAACTCGAAAACGATGGGTGGCCTTCGAATGCGCTATCCTGACCAGGCGTCTCCTGCATTCCGGCGACTCTATCCAACTTTGATGTCGATAAGAAGCCATTGAAGAGTCTGGTCCCTTTGCTTTCCACAAGGAATTTCACTCTCAAACTTCCCATCTTACTTGTTATTGTCTGGTGTGAAGCGGTAGAAGGAAAGGTTTTGATGGCCATGCAGCCTCGCCTCTTCACTGGAGGCTAGCAGCCCAATATTCAGCTGAGCATTATCGTCAACACTATCAGCAACTCGCTGGGAATGGTACTGTAAAGAAACCACATGCAAAATGAATGCTATTAATGTGTATTCAGGCGCAATCGGGACGACCAACTGGAGAGTCGTATGACTGGACGCATTAGAGGCACTTTGGTTGATATGCATGGCTAGTTGCGGCCCAATCGTCCAAAGATCCCGCATCTCTGCAACTCAGCCTCAATCTCACACTGCTCTGAATTGACTTGAATAAACATATCCAACTCGCCGCACAATTCACAGTACTTTTCGGTAGTATGTGGACAGATGCTCTGATGTGGTGTCGGAAATGCCGCTTTGGCGTTTAGGCCTTCCCATCCGATGGCCGACAGTAACTACACCGGGACCGTCCAGACACCGAACTAGCCGGCGTGGAAGTATCAACGAGAAGGATTCTTATTTGGACTCAGACGAGGATGAGAGAGTCGTAACTACACCGGGACCGTCTAGACACAGGATCAACTGGCGTCGGAGAACCCGCGAGAATGCTCCTTCGTTGAACTCGGACGAGGATGAGCGGGGCCCGAGATTGTCCAGACACAAGACTAACCGATATCGGTGCATCAACACGATCATTCCTCGCGAGAATGATCCTCATTTGGACTCGAATGAGTATGAGAGGATTGTAACTATATCTAGACGGCATAGGCGCAGGCTCAGGGCAAACCACCGTCTGAGTACCCGGGAGAATGATGCTTGTTTGATCCCAGATGAGTATTATGAGATCGCACCTACACCGAGGCATTCCCGGCACAGGAATGACCGGCGTCGGAGCATTAACACAATCGTTACTTGCGACAATGATCCTTTTTCGGGCTCGGAGGAGGGCCTTACATCTGATTTACCAGCGGCTGAAAATGACAAATCGTCACTGCCCAAGTGGCAAAGCTTCTTCTCTTTTTTGCGCAGGTTAGGACATCGACGAGAAGAAAACAGCGACGAGAATGCACGCTTGCTTGATGATGAGGATGCGGACACTTCCGCACAAGTACCAACCCATGACGAATCACTCTACCGCGCCCTGGATCGCAAAACTAAGGAGATCCGACTGCTCGAGATACACCCAGCTCAGGATCCAGGAACAATTATCTCTTGCAACCTCAGGACCGTCTCGCTCACCAATGATCGAACCAGCTATGACGCGCTTTCATATGCCTGGGGAGACCGCTCAGCACAACGTCTCATTCGAATCAACGGAGAGCTAATGTCTGTCAAGGAAACCCTGTACACTGCATTGAGGTGCCTACGAGAGTCCCAGCGGGTACGCACTTTATGGATCGATGCTCTTTGTATAAATCAGGATGACTTGGATGAACGCGGCCATCAGGTGCGTACCATGAAGGAGATATATGAGCACGCAGCCACGACCAGGGTTTGGTTAGGAACCGAAACAATCGAGAACGACCTCGCATTCGATACCCTTGCCTACCTTGGGAGCGCCGGATCTGGTGTCAATCATCTGCCGGACCACATCATCCATGGCCTTCAACACTTGATCATCTTCAAAGAGTTGTTGCAGAGGGAGTGGTGGTCGCGCGTGTGGGTGTTGCAGGAGGTGGTCCTTGCGAAAGAAGTGGTTTTCCATTGTGGGAACCGACTGCTACCCATGGATATCCTGATCAGAACTTATCACGTCTTGCAAAATTCTCGAAACAACGGCCTGCTCCACGCGCTGGACAACTTCGAGTCAGAGGAAGGCCTTGCCGACTTCGTGGCCACAATGTCCCGAGGACTAGATCCAATCAGGAACCTCACTCGCTTCTACCAAAGGCCAAGTCATATGAGCTCTGAGTTTGATTTCATCCTGCTGCTTGCGAAGTGTCGCGAAAACAATGCAACAGATCCTCGGGACAAGATATATGGCCTCCTTGGCCTTGCGCCTCCCTGGGTCACTGAACTCATTGAACCAAGCTACGACCGGTCTCATAAACATCTATATACTCGGACGGCCCTGCAGCTGATGTCGAAATTGAACTCATCCATACTATTCAACCAAGCAGGGCTATCTTCCCGGACAGCAACCAACGAGGTCATACCATCATGGGTACCTGATTGGTCACAGCAAGGCAACCAATGGGTCGACATTGAATTACGTCTCCAGCAAGAGAAACTGTTCGATGCTTCCGGATACCAGCTAGTTCTCCTCCCTATACATGACGATGGAGTCTTGATGCGAGGGCTTCCTGTCGACATTGTCATTGCAACATCGGACAAGATGCCATCACACTGCAGACACCCTGAGGCTCGTGCTTGCTTTGCTCGCTGGGAAAGCTTCTCATGCACTGGGTTGAGTTCGCGCAACTTCAGAGATCAGGCGGATGGCATGTACACCGAATCATATTGGCAGACTGTCCTGAACGGAGCTTTGCCGAGCAACGAGCAAGCAAAGTTAAGACGACTTCGTTTCCGGGATCATGAGATTTTTGCCGAATGGCGGCGCCGGTCTCAATGGAGAGCCACGCAGCTCGAGTCGAGTCAAACCCTGCAATCCACCGATCTCTTGGATGAATACATCTCTTCCACAACCCGCAATCGCAGGCTTTTCATGACCGCAGGAGGTAAGTTGGGCATCGGACCCGCCGGGACAAAACGCGGAGATTATTTATATCTTTTGGCTGGTGCGACACATCCGTGCCTGCTCCGACAAGTCAAGTACCGGCTTGATCTATATCAGCTCGTCGGCGAATGCTACGTCCACGGCATCATGAACGGCGAAGCAACAAAAATGGCAATGACATCGACAGCTCCTGTATCCATTGCCGGTCTAAAGAAGATCACAAATGTGCGCCGCCGCCCCACAAAAACACACGGAGACGAGTGTTTCGAGAGATGGATATGGAATCATTACTTCGCCGTCTTCGAAAGACGTCGGAGCCGGGTTAGGAGGATCACTCTCACGCGATCGAGCTATGAGATCGGAGGGGGACGTTACCCCGATCTGTCTGTTCTCCTTGCTCGTGATCTAGAGGTTTACGAGCAAGAGTGGTGTGAATGTCCGCCCGTGGCTGACGACACGGAGCAGTCGTGGAGATCAGTTGTACTCTATTGAAATCGGGACTTGGAGCCTTTCAATTTCTGTACACAGCCTCACTCCGTACCGTGCTTCCTCATCCGTCCACCCAGCTCGATCGTATTTCACGCAGCCCCCTCGTAGTCTTGAAACATTTGACCCTCGTACCACGGTCCTCGTCGCCTTAGCAGACTACCGAGACCTTGTTAACTGGGCAATTGATCTTCAGACATTTTGCCAAAAGTATCCAGGGCCAACATAACGGCAACAATAACCGAGCATGTAGACCTGGAAATGGAGCCCTTCCGAACATGTGAAACACCAAAATCCGGGAACCCACGAGCCAAGCTATTGAACTCTTTACCGACTTCTTATCATGCCCACCACGCCCGCTCTGGGTACGCCTCAGGGACTCGCGACAGTTGCGGGCAATACCAACACACGCTACAGTTTATATTGTAGCTGGTGCAACGTGCCGATATCGGGCCAACTTCAAAATGCCCAAGCTGTCAAATGCGGGTTGGCCAAACTGTCCCACATGACTGGGACAGACCTCTGTCGAGCACAAGGTTCCTTCTCTCTCCTCCCCTTTCCTCCCCGGCTCCCTATCCGCAGGCATTTCGCGGACTGAAGCCTGGCTCGGTGACGGAGAAATGCTTCGACAAGAGGTGCCGCCACAGAAAGCCAGCAACTGGATGGTGATTTGCGTCAGTGGTCGTTTGGTTGTGCCGCTGCGCTGCATATCGTGAGCTCAAAAGCGAAGAAAAATACTTCCGCGTACGGATGCGCCAGTCCCAGATGATGCTACCGTTCGAGACTCCTACGCCGGTTAGATGTTTGCTCTCGTCGGTGGGAAGTTTGGTGTTTTTTTAAAGGCCTACGGGGCGCCACATCCGTACGACGGTGTGGTTTAGGAACTTTGGGCCTCTTTTCGTACTGTACACCGTTCGCCAATCGCGAAGAGAACCGATGGCGAGTCCAACTTGTCGCGTGGCGTGGGTCCTTTGTTGCGCTGATCCACCAATCGCACAGCCAAAAGGGGAAGGAAGGGCACGCTGCATCCACCCACACGAGGAGATTGAAGCGCGTGCGGTTGTCCGCAATTCGGCCCCCGGGCGCTGCTGCCAATCTACTGTACATACATATTGTACATTACGCACGACTTAACGGCAGTAGAGCTAACAGTAATGTGCAGAACCTGGCGTCACCTCTAATAACACAAAGTTCGGCCTGGTTCCGAGAAAGGTGTGTATGTCACTTGAGAGGTCTGTATAGCTTGTTCGAACAACCTATCCCAACCCAGAAGGACAACGAATCCAAAGAGGCCAATTTGGAACTCCTGCATCCCAATCGTGACCGAGCACGTACCTACATGAGGGGGTCATCATAGTGGGCTCTTTTCCTGTTTGGCAGACCCGGGGCTCTCTGTGAAACTTCTCTCCTTTGTTTTCCTCACTTCTGTGACTTCCAGGTCGTTCTTGTGTCCGGCCTTGGCAGGTCAAAGTAAAGACCAACGTCCGCAAGACTCAAGCCGGTGCGAAAAAAAATATTCTTACCAAGGATAGACTCCATCACCGCTCACAAGTCTCCCTACGTCCTCGTCTCTTTCGCCCCTTAGCATGCTTAACAGCGTCGCTCCCGCGACAAGCGGGTCGCCGGCCAATCCCCATCCCGTGCGCTCCTCCTCGCTTGTCCCGCGCAGGTTGCTGATGACGAAACCGGGCGTCATGGCAAACACCTTGATCTCGTCACGGTACTTCATGTGCTCCTTCAGCGCGAGCATGTTGAGGGCTGCCTTGGAAACGTGATAGGGGCTTGTATCACTGGGGGGCTCGGGCCCACGCTGACGGGTCACGTCGGCCGTGCGCGCAAAAGAACCCGCGCCGGAAGATACAAATACACTGTACGGCTTTGTCCGTGCCTGGAGAAGCAGGGGACGGAACGTGTCTTCGACGACGGCCGGTCCGGTGACATTCGTTTGCAAGCACGTCGTGAAACGGGTATATATGTCGTCGTCAAGGGATAGAGCGCCTATAGCAGCGTTGTTAATCAGCGCGTCAACGTGGCCCCATTTCTTGGAAACGGTATCGGCAGCGGTGCGGACTGACGATGGGTCGGTGACGTCGAGTTGTAGGGCCGAGAGCCGCAACGCAAGGTCTGGGATTTTCGCCGAGGCGATGATCTCTGTTCTGGAGGCTTCAACTTTCTCGATAGAGCGCCCGGTCATGACGACGTGGAACTCGTACTCGGGAGTCGTTGCGAGGACTCGACAGGCCGCGTAGCCCACGCCGCTGTTGGCGCCTGTGATCAAGACAATTCGGGGGGCCATGATGAGACCAGTCTGGCGGCCGGGACCTTGTAGAAGATATGTTCAACACCTCGTTTGATCTATGTCCATCCACTTGAAAGCTCGCCGCCGAACTGCGAATGGTCGCCGGCCACCCTACATTGTCCACCTTTATATGTAACCCCTGCACTCGGGTTACCCTTTATGCGTGCCAGCCTCCCTGAGGGTTAACTCCGGGGACGTACAGTATATCCGAGTCTGTTCGGGGTTAGTAAATTGATCCCCATGGATGGCTCGGCGCAGCATCTTTCGAGCATTGGTCAAGGAAGCAGAAGCAGAAGCAGAAGCAGAAGCATTGGCATTCAGAGGTGTCGGTCAAAGACGGCCGTCTCTTTTTCGAAGGACGACGTCCGCGGCGGTGGAGGTTCTCCCGGACCGACACAGCCTCGTCTCAGATCTGACCCTTGGGTGGTCCGCGGGGGCCCCTGATCAAGCGCGCCTGGACCAGTTTCAAAGTGGGCAGAAGGAGTCGACTTTTCGTGGAGTCGTTGGCCTCGTCCTGCACGCGGAGTAAACGTTGAACGCAGTGTCAATCCTGGACCATTGATTCCGTCCAGTGGCGAAATCGCGCTCCGAAAAAAAAAGTCCACCGGCGCGCGTTCACGCGCAAAACAATCCGTCGTACCTTGTAGTAGCAGGACTTATTGATAGGTAGGGAAGGGCAGGATCGCATAGTAAAAAAAGAAAGAAAGACGTGATTTTCCCCGTGGAGTGTGCCGTCACCATCACCGACGAACCCGAGAAATTGTGCGATTCTAACTCTCTAGTGTTACCGACATCAAAGTCGGTACACGCCTGGGGCGTTTTTGTTTGAATGCGATCGCCGAGCCGGGGTGGAAGACCGGGGGACACTCCACGAAGAAATCTGCATTCCCATCGTGGTGCGGTGCCTGGACTCGTTGATAATGACTGAGACCAGCCGCCCGTCGGATCCATCCGCAAAAATGCGCAGGCCAACGGTGTTGTAGCTCCTGTAAATGAGACAGCTCCATGCTGGAGGGGTGCTGCCGTTTACTACATCGATACTCATTTCCACTCCAAACTATTTCTGGTAAAGCTCATGATGCTACTGAAGGCTAGATCCACCTATCGATTTCATTATTTACATACTCCGTGTGTACGTGAGTGACGGCGATTCTGCACATTACTGTAAAGCGGCGTGGCGTGATTTTCTTCAATACCTTTGTATCCAGACTATCTAATGCCGATCCAGTCTTTTGAAACTCCCTTGGGAAAGAACAGTCCTTTGTGCTGCCTCGTCTGCACCACCCGCAGGAGGAGGGGGGACATTTCCATTCATCAAACCCGCCCGTATCATTGGTTTGACACTTTCGAAAGCGTGTGCACTGTACCCGCTCTTCAAACCCCGGTGCCGAGCCGGCCGCGCCCTCAAACGGCGTCGTGCATCGTTTTGCCCCTAGCCAGCACGCTGAGGGGGCCACTGTCCGCGTTCTTGGAGAACTTCTGCTCCCTCCGTTTGATACCCAGGTAGGGCAGGTAGTATCCAGGGTGGAAGACGAGGAACAGGGCGGCCACCAGGAACATCAAGGCCGAGTCGAAGCAGTAAAAGAACCACTCGTGGTTGGTGAGGTAGTTGTAGGTGCCGATGGCGTATTCGATGAACCGCAACAGCGTACGGATCAGGATGATGACGTTGGCCACGTTGACGACGGTCAGGAAAAGCCGCCAGTTGCGTTCTTTCGGCAACGGCGCGTCCCGAAGCTGAGTCCTCAACATGAAGTACAGCCGGAGACTCGCAAAGACGAAGAAGCCAAAGGTCACCAGCTGCAGTGCCAGCCCTACCAGCACCACGTCTCTGCCCCGGTTGGCCGAGTCTTTGGTACTTGCCGCGGCGACCATCGAGCCACCGACGACCTGCACGAAGAAACTGAGGACGTCGAAGCCCACAAACACCAGCGTGACTCGACGTGGCGGCACCCAGAGGTGCCTGACGGTCTGGTATTCTTTCGGGACCACCCATAGCGTGACGCGGCCAAAGGACATGTAGAGGGCTGCGGCCATGACGGCTGGCGCCACGAGGATCATGACAGTCTGGACGATGAAATCGGACTTGTTGAACAGGTGCTTGATGGAGATGGTTCGAAAAATGTAACCGACCAGTTCCACTAAATCAATCGACCCGCGTCAGCGTATGAGCGAAGAAGAACAGGAAGAGGCAGGCTGGTCCCAGCCCAGGAGTACGCCGGGGTCCGTCGCATGTCGGTTCGGAGCTGACGAAAGATAGGTACTTACTGAGTACGGCGAAGTTCATCACCCACCAGAACCAAGCTCGGTGGCGGAAGAACTGGAAGATGTTGATGGCGGCAGCGATGGCGAAGAGAACCAAGAAGATCACAGACGCCGCAAACGACGGATCGTAGTTGAACCTGCCTTGGGTCTCATATTCCTGCAGAGTCTTGCCTCCTGGCAAGCCTGTGTCGCTCACATCGCGGGTTACCAGTGTGGACAGGTGCGCGAGGGCGCCTTCGATGTTCCCGACGAGAGTCGCCATGCTCAAACACAAGTCGGCGTTGTTAAAGGGGAGGGGCGGGACGACCGTGCGTAAGAAACAACAAATGAGTCTGGGTTTCGAAACACGATTCTTCCAGCGTACGGATGCTCGAGAGAGAGGGGGGGGGGGGGAAGAAAAAAGGGTTGCCTAGAAGCAGATGGCCCCCAAAGGCAGCGAGCGCTCCTTATATCCTTTCAGATGGTCCGTATGTCTCGCTCGTGGCGCAAGGTGACGGACACTGTTGGGTTCGGATCCTCGATGCGCGAGAGTCGGGCCCCCAGGCGAAATTGCAACCTCTCAGAGTCGTCAATTTGTCGGTTTCATATCAGAAGTGAGGTCCAGGCAGACTTGACGAGGCCCGGGTGGGTGCATGCTGGAGACCGCGACGGCCAAATCAGTCAATAATCACAGACTGATCCCCAGGCGCTTCGCAACAGCTTCCGAAAACGGACTAGTGCGGTACTTCGTCTCACAAACAGAGACCCATCGTCGACGCATCCCGCTCGATCGCCTGGCTTGCGGTCCCCCGACGACGGATTTGTTTGCTTTTCATTGCTTCCATACGGTGCAGACTGCAATGCGTGCGGCGTACAGCACGGGTGGATTCGCCGGGAACTGTGGTCTCTACTATACAGTAGTAGAGACCTGATACCGATGCTCACCCCACTGGACGACGTTCGGCGTCACGTGTCAGGCTGATGATCGCCGTGGCCGGGGTGGTGGTGAGCACCTTTCACACAGTGGCTTGAGCTCAAAGTTCGTGTCAAGGATCCTAACTTTTAGTCCTTTTGGTGTTGCATTTGCACATGTTACATTACCCTAGAGAACACCCTGCAGTGCATACGTCTCATTTGGCCATTTCGACATCCTTCTCAACACCCGCCTCTGCACTTCCAGTCTCCGCATCACCCTTGGCGCCATTCAACCCATTCACCCCTTTCGCCCTCAGCTTCGCCTCCTTCTTCAGCTGTCGCTGGCTCTTGGGCACGTTTGACTTGACCGTGACGTGCTTCGACCATTTAGCCCTCGCCGCAGCCTCATCTTCCTCGGTCCACCTACGCGGCAGAACCGCGAAGACTAGATATGACGTATGCGTCTTCAACTCTGGTTCGGTGCGATGGACTAGTCTGCCCCCGTCGAAGGGAAGTTTGTTGTTGTTATTGTTGTTGATGTTACTATCGTCTTGCCTCTGCTTGGTCTTGGCAGGCTTGTCCCCCTCTAGGCTTCCAGCATGAAAATCCTGAGCGCGTCGTTCGACGTGGCGCAGCTTCGCGAGTGCTTCGTCAACATCGCCGGCAAAGACATTCACCCCTCGCATCCCCTCGTATTGCATGCCGGTGTATTCCCGTTTGACCTCGATGCGTTTGTGTTCCACCTCGACCATTTCAATGTCCAACCAGTCGTACCGCCGTAATGCGGACACCGTGCGCTGGACCTGTTCTATGCACGGGCTGAATGTGCAGATGTGGACGGCAGACTGGGGATCAAGAGCAGAGATTGCACCGCTCTCAGGATCCCGAGTCAGATGCGGAAGCGCTTCCCAGGGCGCAGGAAGATCCAAGAAGATCGCGTTAGCTCTCGGGGAGATTTTTTCGGCGGCACCAGTTTCGTCTTCTAGGAGAAATCCGTCGCGGTAGACATCTCTATGCGTTGCTTGCACGATCGAGTCTAAGCCATGCGCGACCATTTCGTCCTTGACTTTCCGATGTCGTTCTGCGTGGAACTCGTACGAAAATACCTTGCCTGTCGGGATGGGTGCCTTCTTAACAGGAGGAGGAGAACCCCCATCGTCTTTCTTCTCAATGTCGTCGTCCTTCGGATAGCCATCAAAACAAGCACGGGCGGCTGCGTGTGTAAAACTGCCACTGCCACTGCCTGCCTCTATCAGTCTTGACCCCGGTCGTGCTCTGATCCGGTGCAAGATGTAGCTGTAGTCCGGAGTGTACACCACCTGCGTACGATGAGGTAGACTGGTCGTCCAATTCTCAGGCGTAGGCGGCATGACGTGGACAAACCCAGAAGTCGCAGCGACAGCGTCCTTCGTGACGGGCCCATTCTCGTTGTCTCCTGCTTGGCCCATCGCCTCGGCCTTTCGCTTTTTGGAGTTCTGTGCCTTTCTGCCCCGAGAGCCAGTGTCGACCATGCTTGCTCGAATCTGGCTGCCCCATGGCGCCCCAATTATGGTGGAATGGGGATATGACCCGAACCGAGTGTTGGTGACGACGCCTTCGGCGTAGCCTTCGTCGTCGGCATTGGTGGCTTGGGTGGAAAGTATCACCGGGAGAGACTGGTCCCGTCTCAGGTGTAGAGAGGCCAAGTCGTGCTCGCTGGCCACCAGGCCGGGAGAAAGAAAGGCGGACACCATCGCCAAAGCCTTTGAAAACTGCGACTGTCGGTGCTCGATCTGCTTTGCCCACACCTCTCCTGCGGACCTCACCTTTGGGCGACCTAGTCCAATAAGTGGTTGGCGCGAAGTTGCTGCCACTGGTATCTCTGCTCGAGTGTCAAAATCAAAAAAAGTTCTGGAATGTCTAATGGGACGTTGGATGACTAAGCAGCAACTTGCGTGTTTCGAGCCTCACAACTGGAGCTTCTTGGCACGATGATGACTAACGCTCAAGAGGTTTGAAGGAAGCCAGCGTCTGCACAGACTTGCCAGAATGCTTCGCTCCTTGCCAAAAGACAATTCATTACCTCATTTTCGAGAGAATAGACTTAACAATGTACTGATATGTCCTTGCAATGCATCTCCAAATCGCCTGCGTGAAGGAAGCTGCCGATGCGTTCCCCTATCTTGGATTTCATGTGCGGCACTACCCTAAATGTGCCTTAAGGCCGTTCAAAGACAATGTTGAGCCTGAAATGAGATGACTGTCCTCCTTGTCACGGCTATCTTCATACCCACTGTCTTCATAGTCACCATACCAGCCCTCAGAATCACTTGCTGGGGAGTATGCCGGCACAGGGATGTGGGAAGGCATAGCTGCGGTAGCTCTTGGTGGTGTCGAGGATAGTGCCGCCTTCTCTGCCTCGATTGTCTCCTGCTCTTGTTGCCTCCCTTTACGCACATCCTCTTGATACTTTCTGGTCGGGACAACCTTCAAGTTGTGTTTTGGTTTCCATAATTTGTGGCACTCACACGGTTTGCGACGTTCAAGCAGGATCATGTATCGACATCGCTGAGATGAAACCTGGTGCAAGGATCCTGCCCCCTTCTCCCTATCCATCGGTCTTCCGCCTTTGATGATCCACGGGTCGTTAAACCACGGCCGACGCTTGTACAGATATTTCTGGAGGTAGTGCATCATCTCGTAAGAAAATTTGTCCGGGGAGCATAACTTCTTCAGGATGTTTGGGAAGGTTGTTCTGCCATCGAATGGGTATATGTGGCCTTCGACATTGTAGTATATGGGACCATCGGTTACGCGTCGGAAAGGATACACAATGAGGATCTTCTGCTCGACCAGAATTTCGGTACATTGTGCACGCTCGAGGCAAGTATCGTACGGAAATAAGTCGCGTGGGGTAAAACCCATGAGTAAGCGGAGCGATGGAAGCGGCATGGAGAAGCCTGTAACAGTTGGTTGTGCTGTGATGATAATAGTAGTTCACGAGAGACGAGAGATATCGGCACGGAATAAAAGAGATTTCGTGACAAGAGCAAAGAGACGATGGAATTTTGCAACAGGCCCAAACCTTTGTGCGATTCGCAGCTTCCGCCTGACCCAGGACCATGGTAGAACATATCCTGACTCTGAAAAGTATGACGAGGAGATGGAGCAGGCGCTCCGAAAAAACCAATCTGAGTAGAAGCGGCATCGGTCAGAGGCAAAATGGCAAGCCTTGACCTACAGACACCAATATTGAAGAGCAGACAGGTTGTGAGAACCTTTCGTAGCAGGAGTGATAGATTGAAAAGGACGTGGTCGACCATGCTCGGGTGCACATGGCGTTGAGAGCCTTTCAGGGACGAGTCGATGCTTCTCTCGACTGGACACCGTGCCTCTACAACTTCGACTCTTATCCTGACAAATGGAAAGCAAGTTAAGTGTAGGCGTCTCCTCGAGGTTGTTATGTCGCGCAGTTGTGCAGAGTTATGATAGATCGAAGACATGATGCTGGTCGTCCATCCTCACCACCTCCGCCCGATCAGGTTAGTGTCGCTTTGGCCTCACGTAATGCGGGGAAATTTTCAGGGCTGATGTTGTTTGGAGAAAGAGTGAGAATGAGAATGAGAATATCGAGAGTTGAGCTTGTGTCTGTTCGGCGTACGAGTACATGCGTCTTTGAATACGGCTGGTTCCCAGCCTCTAGAAACATACCTGTCTGCTGGGAGAGGCATAGCTCACCATGCCACAAGGTGATGATCTCCACGCCATCAGCGTAGCCTACCTAGGGCCCGAAGCTTCGTTTTCGCACCAAGCAGCCCTCGCCGTCTTCCCGCCGCAGTCGACGACGTCCTCCAGCAGCACGAGCAGCCCAGTCACACTGAATCCCCTTCCAACCTTCCCCTCCATATTCTCCGCCATCCAGGCCTCTTCCACAGACCGAAGACAGTACGATTACGCCGTTGTGCCCATCGAGAACAGCACGAATGGCTCCGTGGTCGGAGTTCTCGACCTCCTCGCTCAATGCGGCCTCGACCCAAGCGCCCCATACCCAGACATTGAAGTCTGCGCTGAATACTACCTGCCTGTACATCACTGCCTCTTCGTATCGGCCAACTCCACCACGTCAGAATCCACAATCCGCACCCTCTACACCCACCCGCAGGTCTGGGGCCAGTGTGCGCGCTTCCTATCGTCACGGTTCCCTCCCGCGAAAGTTGAAAGGATAGACGTCGGAAGCACCTCTGCAGCCGCCCAGCTTGTCGCCCAAGAATCAAACGGCGGTCTCAGCGCAGCCATCGGGTCAAAGTTGGCGGGAGAAAAGCATAACCTGATCTGCCTGGCTGAGAACATTGAGGACGAGCCTGGCACTAACACGACGAGGTTTTTTGTCGTGAGGAATAGAAAACGGCAGGTACCGTCGGATGCACTGCTGTCTTACCTGTCAAGTCGCTCCGAGGCAAAGGATGCGGTAAGAAATAAATCTCTACTGGCTTTTACGATATCGCACACGAAGCCCGGCGCACTCGCAGATGCTCTGGCAGTGTTCAAGACGTATTCTTTCAATTTAACGAGTATAGACACCAGACCGAGCCGGAAAAGGAATTGGCAGTACGTCTTTTTTGTGGAATGCGAGCAGGCGGCCGATGTTAGCAGTAGCAATCTTGCTGCTTCGGATGAAGCCGGCTTAAATATGATGTTGGCTGATTTGGAGAAGTATACCGAAAGCCTTAGGTATCTGGGAACATTCGAAGATCAATTAGTCAGGGAAGGGGACAATGCCCCTTGAGGTTTGCGGAGAATAGAGTCGACAACAATAATGATTGACTACCTAAGTTGGTATTGGCTAGCTGTCCTGAGTCCTGGAACACCAGAATGAATTGTGGCTGAGCACGTGGTTCAAGGAACACTATTGCCAGGCGTTGCAGGACTGCGCAGGGCGCTTTGGCCCAACATGAAAGAAGTGAGCTCGAATGAAAAGGAGTGACCAGCTCATGAGAGAGTACATTTCGGCCTACGAGGGAAACGCTTCAGCAGCACCGAAGTCAAGTCTTCCAATCGGACCTTCGTTTCGCCGTTCATGTGATGGCCACAGTTGATGCATCTGTACCGCAGTGCATCCAGTGGTATGTCGGACTTACATCAGGTACACTAGAATTCTTAGCCGATTCCCCTGCGAACACCCATGGGCACTGTAGGGTCACCGAGGGGCTGCACCTGATCGCCGTCGTATTCTCAGACCATGACCATATGGCGTAAGTTTGATCGACCTGGATTAAGCGTTAGTCTGGCGAAGCGTTGCTAATAGTTGCCAATGACCTTACCATGGACTAAGCCTCGATCTTGCCTGGCCGGCGGAGCAGTAGCTCGCTCAGCACCCCAAAGAGTATTTCTCTTGATTTTTGGGTTCTCAAGTTGACTGACCTGTGGCTTTCCAACCACAGTCTGGTCCCTCCCCGCCAAAGATAGGGAATCGGGCGCGTCGCTGGGACGCCCAGAGCGAGAAGATGCTGTCGGTGTGACGTCGTGGACCAGTGGTCGACTTTCTACAAGCGGCTTCTCGTGTTTCGTGTCAATTTCGTTGAATTGTCAATCATCATAGAATTCGTCTTCGTCGTCAGCGTCAGCCAACTGTTCAAAGTTGACCTTGTAGCGCAAGATAGCACCGATACCACCAAAGCCTTTCACAAATTGGTTGCCTTCGCTGGATCGGTCAGAGACAAACTCCAATGCGGCACCAAAATCCTTGTATTTCTCGGCGAGCCACTCGAGGAAAGAACTCTGATCGATTACTTCCATTTCCTGGCCAGTTTCTTTGTCCATGAATTGCTCACGATTAGCCTCTTGGGCCTTGGTAGTGTGGAAAATCTTTTCAGAGCCATCCGAAGCCTTCAGAACCCATCGGGTGACATCCAAGTTTTCGTAAACAATCAGGGTTTCGCAAGCACCCAGTTCCAAGGCTTTCAAAGTATCTTCAACACCGTAGCAGACACGGCCACTGTCTTGACTGATCTCCTCGAAATATTTGCCGATCAGCTTCTTCTCCTGGATAAATTTAACATTACTCAAGGTTTCGGAAGCGAGATCGATGGCCTGATTGAAACCGTTCTCGCCACCATAAGAGACATCGACGACTTTGATCACTTTAGCTTGAAGACGACCGTCGAACATGTCCGACTGGTTCAAGTCGTTCTTGAAATCGGCCGAACCAGCTAGGACCAACCCGGCAACATTGACTTTGTCGTTGGTGATGAAGTTCTGAACTGCCAGTTCTGCAACTTTACGCACGTAATTGTGACGCTTTTCTTCTCTGAGACGAGCAAAACGAAGGGCAGATTGACCACCACGGCCGTGCTTCTTGGGCAGATCGACCGAGAACTTCTGGAGAACTTCTCTTGTATTTCCGCTAAGTGTGCCAAAGAGTGCTCCGTTACCATCCATGATGATGAAACCAAATTTCTGATCCGACTCGAGAAGTTCGCTGAGAGCCTCGGTATGGAATTTGTTGTCACAAAGGTAGAGCGAGGTGTTGATAGGCTTGAACGGCTCAAAGTCTATGTTGATCTTTCTTTCCTTTCCTTCGGAGGTGATGATTTCTCCACAGTAGACGACCAGGCCGTTCGGGGGGACTTTGTTGTACAGCTTTAGACGTTGCTGAGTGGAGGTAATGGCTGACAGGACAGATAGACGGTTGACTCGAGATTTGATGTTCGAGGCAGTACCGAATTCTTCAGCCAACATCTTTGCCGCACGCGAGACCTGATCTTTGGGTGGAATGATGAGAGAAATCATGGAGGTACCGTTACCCCGGGCCGCCTCGAGGCGTTTGATCAGTTTTTTAACCTTCCATATTTCGATGTTTTTTTCCGCCTCGTTTTGCTGTTGAGGGGCACTCATGTTTGCTTAGATCTGGCCTCGCAGAGGGGGCCCGCTCGGAGGAAGAGGTTACTCAGAAGTCGGAGGGAGGATGTAGTGAGTCAATGAGTGTGAAGGGAGAGGCGAGAAGTTCCAGGAGAGTTGAGGTGAGAAGTGAAGTGACGTTGGCAACTCAAGTGGATAGGTAGAAACAGTTGGGTGCGGGCTGCGCTGGCAAATGTGCAAATACTGGTGGCGTCGGAGGCTGTGGTCGTGTGTGGCCAGAAAAATCCTAGTTACAGGTACGGAGATTCATACTGACACATAGGCGCAGGATATGTACGGAAGAGTATTGAGGCAGAATTGCGCAGGAAGACCGTCGATCCACAACAGCGAAACAACGCTTATCATCGGCCCGCCACTATCTGTGCGAAATCTCTAGGCCCTGTGGAGGCGCCTAAGAACTCGGCCAGGGATCAACAAACAGAGCCTATCGCATACTTTTTCTCCCCTCATCGGCTAACAGCGATGCTAATGTCTGTATCGTGCGGTGACGCTGTGCCGTTCACTTTCCTCAGGGATTGTTTCTCAAGACTCCTCCGGTTCGAAAATTCTGGTGGCTATTTGTGCTTTGTTGTCCTCTTCTTGCACTGCATTTCTCAATATTCGTCGATTTGTAGCATGTGTTGAACCTCCCAGTCTCCCCCTCTCTTGCCTTATCTTCGCACCGTTGTCTGCCGGTAGCTCCGATTGTCCCAGACCGTTGACGCCCGGCGACACCGTATAAAACAGGACGAGCTCGCCGGTGCCTCGCTTGCGAATATGAGCCAGCGACCTAAACAAGCTCCAACAAGCTGGGCAGCCTACGAACGTGGAAGAGCATCTTCCTTCGACTCCCTCAACTCTGTTCCCGAGAACGAACCACAGACTAGCTTCTCCCCCAGCACTCCCCCTCGATATGAATACGGCAGAGGTTCTAGCCAGGATGACGATGAGGATGGTCCACGGCTGAGGAGAAAGTCCTCCTTGGGGAAGAAGTTTGATAGCCTGCGCCAGATGGGCGGACCGAACAGTATTGACAACTTTGCAAAATCCTTCCAAAGAGCTGCAGGGTTTCGCGAGATAACACCTATAAGGAGGAACTCGGTCACGATCCAGGATGGACAGGATGAAGAAACAGGTGCTCCAAGCCAGAGCACTTCTAAGGCGCCAGATAGATCTCTGTTGAGACGACAACTCCAGGACTATGATCTCTCGTCTCAAAACGAGACCGCTGTACAAGAAGGCACAGACGCACCGACAGAGCAATCGAGACTTCTGCCTGTGACGAGTCAGCGGTCTTTGAAATCCACTTCGGATTCGATTGCCACAGACTTGAGGTTACCAAGTGTGTTGGGAACCAGTTACGGGAGTATTTCCTCGCGGCTCACCGTCACAGCGCGGCAGCGAGCTTCCATTCTGATCCAAGCGCAGGAGGAAGCAAGCAAAAGGGCACTTCAACATCCTGAAGAGTTTCAAGATGAGCCACAGCGATTCCTGGAGCGAGAAGTACTTCCCGACGGTGAAGTTATTGAGCGCACGGTTGGGGAGTCTACTGTACCCATGACCATCTTCAACTCGATCAATGTTCTCATTGGTGTCGGCATACTCGCACTGCCACTTGGTATCAGATATGCTGGTTGGGTTCTTGGGTTGATATTCCTCACGCTAGCTGCCCTCTCAACGTGCTACACAGCCAAGCTACTGGCAAAATGCCTGGACACGAATTCCGCGTCGACCACGTACGGAGACATTGCATTTCTGGCTCTGGGGTCTTGGGGTAGGAACTTCGTGGAGGCATTGTTCATCCTCGAGTTGACAGCCGCCAACGTAGCACTGGTCATCCTGTTTGGGGACAGCATGAACTCGTTGTTCCCGGCCATTGGCGTCACCGACTGGAAGATCATCATCTCACTGGGTCTGATACCGCTCAATTTTGTCCCCTTCAAGATGTTGAGCATCAGCAGTGTCATTGGTATCTTCTGCTGCTTTGGCATTATCGCCATTGTGTTCGCAGATGGGTTGATCAAGCCCCACGCTCCTGGCTCCCTACGGGAGGTCGCCAAAACCTACGCCTTTCCCGAGAACTGGCGGACAATACCACTGAGTCTAGGTCTATTCATGGCACCGTGGGGTGGACACAGCGTTTTTCCCGCCGTGTACAAAGACATGCGTCATCCGCATAAATACGGCCGTGCTTTGCGATATACCTACTTTTTCACCTACGGGCTTGATCTGTCGATGGCTGTGCTGGGTTATCTGATGTTTGGCGACGGGGTGCGAGACGAAGTCACCTCCAACATTTTGCGTTCGACAGCGTACCCTCACGCGCTATCAGCCATCATCGTTGTCCTAATTGGCATCATCCCCATCACAAAGATTCCGCTTTCGAATCGTCCGATGATGGACACTTTGAACAAGAAGTTCTATATCGATTTGAGGCAAATGGACCCCAAAGCACGAATGCACAGCGAGAAGAGCTTGAAGCATCGTGCTGCACGTGGCGTTATCGGAATCCTTACCAACCTGTTGCAGCTTGGGATCGCCATCGGATTCCCCGACTTTGACAGCATCATGGCCTTGATGGGTTCGGGGTTATGTTTCACCATCTGCATCATTCTCCCCGTCAGCTTCTATTTGAAAATCTTCAATGCTGAGTCCGCCGTCGATACAATCGAGAGGGTCCTGGGTTGGATTCTAGTCGCAGTCTGCGTTGTCCTAGCGGTGCTGGGGACAGTCTTTGCCATTTTGCCAAAAGAAAAGATTGGGATCTCCAGTTGATGCGGCCCGGTGACTCACCAACCCGCCTCAATCAATCCGGACATGTGCATTTGCATTGCATTGCGTTTCAAATGTTTTTGAAATGTCACCAGAGCACTGTAAGCAAGTATTGGCGCGGCTTGAGCTTAGTACAACCAGCTTTTGAAACGTGTTGTTTATGGAGTCATGTGGGCATGAGGGAGAGAATGTGTTGATTTAGCTTGTGTCAATCTTGCAGCGCAATTAATCTGACTTGAGACTGCTCTTCTACTCCTGTCTCTGATCTAGTATACGATGTCTACACACTTCTATATTTACCTAATATTACATCTTTGTACATGAAGCATTTTGGGCTTGGTGACGTAGGTAGTAAATAGCATTCTATGAATGCTCCGAGATGACCGTGAAGCGATACTTCCCAACCCCGTGGGCCCGACCCAGTAGAACTAATCCAGAAGGATACCCCTCGAGAATGCACAGTCCTCGTCTGTACCGCGCTTCCCGGGGACTTTGTTTTACACATCGAAAGCGGCCGAAGTTGCACGAAGCGAGGTGTGGCACAGTACGAACTAGTAACCACATACGGTATCCGTATTGTCCACTCGTATCCCTTGTGGTTGTAGCTGACTACACATAGGTACCTAGTGACCCCCGGTAGCGTCGACGCCGGGGAGTAAGTTTGGAGAGCTTCCAAGCCAGGGGGATGCCAAAGTGAGCGAGCGCTCAAGTGAGCCATCCATCTCCTTGTTCTTTGGAGCGAGCACGCCTAGTAAGTGCGACCACGGCGCCTCACTCGTCTCCCTCGCGTGCAAACACATTAGGCGCATGGGTGAAAAGGCGCATGGGTGAAAAGGCGCATGGGTGAAAAGGCGCATGGGTGAAAAGGCGCATGGGTGAAAAGGCACACGGCATCATCAGAAAGAACGTCTTTTCAACCTGGAACACCCGCGAGCTCAAAAGCCCGCTTTCTAGATTTTTTTTTTGTCGGTGCAAGAAGAACGTCAAATATGGATATCTCAACGAACAACTCGCAGCTACCGTGAGGTTCATCTTGCCTTTCGCGCACACAGTGCCAGCCACCAGCTCAGGCTTCCGTAACAAACGCCAGAACAACAAAATGACAATCCTTCCTCTTCGAGGGCTCATCCGTGTGACGTACACTTGGAACGCCCCCGATGTTTCTTGTTTACAAATTGATATCATGTAACCAGACCTCTTGTGTGACACGATGTGAGAACCTGCTGGCCGCGAGGATCTCTACCATTTGTCCCTCACTAACCAACAACTCTTGCTTGGGGACGAACCACCTCAACCCCTCGCTGCATGGGGGCGTGGTCAGGCTGCCCTTGTACGTCCAGTACTCTTCGAGCCCGCCGACTTCATCGATGGCCAAACGCACGTTGACTTGGAGACCCTCGATCTGAGAAGTGTCGTTGAAGTGGATCAGAGGGCCGAGCTGCTTGAAGAATGCCGATTCCGTGGGTGCCTCAGGGGGTGCGACGCCGACGCGGATGCCAATGACAGCCGCCTCCTCGTCTTCTTCATTGACGTGGACCATGTGGATCTCGGCACGGCTTCGAACGCCGTCGATGAGGTGTTCCGAAGGGGCGTGTATGTGCCAGCCTATCAGGAAGACCTCTTGGTCGTCAAACTTGAAGTTGGGCAGGCCTGTGATCTCGCCTTCTGGGTGATGTAGCGTGAAGGACGGGGCGAATTGCCAGTTGGCGAAGTTCCCGGGTAGAGGTTCATTCTTGTAGCCCTCGAACTCGGGTTTGTGCAGGGTTGCCAACTCTTGTCCGACGATGTTGATGGGGGACTGGTGCGTTCCAGATTGACAGAGGGAATATTCTGCAAGTTATATGAGCGATTTGAGGTAGGCAGGGAACAAAGGATAGAAACCACTTACCGGGTTTTATCGTCGCCCAATCAGCAGAGACATCGTAATTCCAGTCCTTGGGCTCTCTCCCGACGTCGATACGGACCTGCCGCCGACCCAGGTGTGGATGGGATTGGTAGTTGTCATGCTTTGGACAGCTCCAGGCCGTCGAGACGATAGCAGAAAGGAAGAGAATGGAAGTCAACATGGCCCAAGATGCAGTACAAGATGATCAAATGCGGAATAGTGGCTCAGACAATGTACAAGAACGGATAGAAGGAATGAAATGTACTCAAAACGGCAACGGACGGCAATGCAAGAGCGACAGACAGGCTTTGAAGACAAATGAAAGAAATGAAGTGGTCTGATGGCCTCCATCGCCAAAGGTCTCCTGGTACTCTTATATGGCGGATCTCGGGACCATGGCTGGCAGTTCGCGTAAGACCATGGGACTCAGGATGGGATTGGGCTAGGGGTGTGTATGGGAAAAGCTCCTTGCCTGTTCCAACGGTGGTATACCCTAACCTTGAAACGCCCAGCGCAGTCCGGAGCGAATTGGGTCTGTATACCTCGTATAGGCACTGCCTATCAAGCGCAAGGCTGAACGTGAATGGCTGCATTGTGCTAATTGTGAATGCGTATTTGTGAGGATCGAGGCTGACCACACTTCAGCTGGCAGTACATTTCTTGTCGAGTTTTTTTTTAACATCTCAACGATGCCCTCGACGGCGGATGACAAGCTTCGCCCACAAAGGCAAGACGACCAAGCATTCCAAAAGCTCCGAGAGAGAGGCACAGCAACGTGGTGGACGCAAGGCGGAGTACGCATCCAGCATTGGCGCCAAGTGTGTTCTGACGGCCAAGATCAGGGGGCGCAACTCCGCTGTTACCAAAGACAGCGAGGCGCCGGCACAGTACGGGACTTTGTCGCCCAGTGAATCCGGCCGACCGTTAGTAGCGCAGAGTCTGACTGTTCTTGGTAGAAAACACTCTTCATAGGCGAAGAGACACGTTTTCCAAGACTTTTCAAGGAGGCAGCCAAGTGACTTGGCAGTAGGAAGCGGTTGAAGGGTCTAGACTCACCGAGAGACCATTGTCCAGATCTGAGACCTAGAATTTCAGTTAAGCCGCCACTGTTCTGTTTCTAACAAAGGTGAGGCACTCTTCAAGGAAGGAGTATCTCGGCGGCAATTTTGTGTGCTCTTGAGAGGTCCTGAGGGCTTCATCCAGATCCCCAGGCCAGTGATATGCCTATAGTCATATTCATTTCCACCAGTTAATTTCCACCAGTTAGCTAGAAAGGGCCGGTAACTTCTTTGCTGGGCTTATGCATGACAAAAGATCCATGTTGGACTCGACATAGCTCGCTGGTGCTCAAAAATATCGTGGGGTCGATCTGACATTTTCCGTTGGCATTTTCTTGGGCGATGAGCCTCGCGGGCCTGGACTGGGATGGGCCATTTGAAGTCCAATTTCGTGAAAGTGTTCCAACTTTGCCTTGGCGGGATCTGTACGGAGCATCTGCTTTGAAGCGAGGGCTTCGTCAGCGTGTGGTGCAAGATCCATATGGATGATGGTCAAGACCAAGTCTTGACAAGCAACTCCGAGCAGTTGTTGTAGCAAACCATGACTCTGTCAACTCTGTCCACAAATACTTGGTGCACATGTCTGATTCAGGAAATTGCTTCCATCACTTCTCGTGCACGGAACCCGGCAGTCCCTCGAGGATGAAGCATGAAGCCGAGGCATTGTAAATTAGAAGGATGATACTGGCCAACGTCGGCAGAGCAGGGAGAGTCAGAATATTGTTTGCAGTTCGGCCAATGACAGACCCACGGCTGTGAATAAAGAGTGTATTCCACCATATTCTGATTCTGACATATCAAGCGCAGGTACGGAGTACAATAGGTCATTAAGCAGTGCTTGGTGCGGGTATTGAAGAGGGGGGGGGGGGGGGTGTCAGGCATGATATGGTGCATGGGAAATCTTCCTAGGTACGAACTTTAGTAGGTCTCTGGAGCACTAATAATTTAACACCTTATAAGTGTCCATAGAGGCGGCGGTCTAAGTGATCATCTTCTAGTAGGTAGTTAACATAGTTAACTAACTAGAGGCAGCTACTAGGTACCTTAGGCGGTTAGTTGTCCTCAACCCTGAAGACATGGAAAGAAGGCCGAGGATATGGTGGTGGCTTTCTCCCTCCATCGCAGTCTCATCCCCTCCAGTAACGACCCCCATAAGTCAGGATTCAAATATCCCTCCTCCAACCCCCACGAAAAAGCCACTCTCGCCCCTACTGCCTCGGGTGACATGTCAACGCGCTGAAATCAACCCGCTCTCGTTGGCTCACAGACATCCCCAGGTCCCGTCAATGCTTCGTGTTCCACCACGGGGATATGCCGACTCGGTGCCGTGTCACCTTTGCATACTCCATTGAGAAACGTTGCCGTGACCCGGCGTACGGTTCTTCACAGAGCAGTCCGTTGATCAATTTATGTCACCCATCCTAGGGCGTGGGCGACTTTCTGACCTGTGCTGTATCTTTGCTATGCGAGTCGTGACTGAACTAATACTATATATAAAAGTCCACCAGTTCTCCGTACTTCGGATACGAATCCACTGTCGCTAGAATTCAGACTGGCGCACACTTCGTTCCTCCAACATGGCCTGCCAAAAAGACACTTCAGCCTGTGGCTCCTGTCCAAGTGACGGCCACCACAATGGCTCCGTAGGCGACATTGAAGACTACAAAGTCGAGCTTGACTCCTTACGAAGACGAACCCTTGAACTCGAGCAAAAGCTCTCCCAGCTAGGATTTGCCGAGACGGCGAAGGCGCCTTCAAGGTTCCGCTCGGCAAACTGGTTCAGCGTCGATGCTGCGAACCCTGAGATGTCGGCGCTCTACACTGAGCGATATCTCAACTATGGCTTGACAAAGGAGGAACTCATGTCTGGGAAGCCGATCATCGGTATCGCTCAGTCTGGATCAGATCTGGCACCGTGCAACAGACATCATCTGGAGCTTGCAAAGCGCGTGCGAGAAGGAGTTCGTACCGCTGGTGGTATCGCCTTTGAGTTTCCCACACATCCTATCCAGGAAAGCTCACGAAGGCCAACCGCGACGCTGGATCGAAACTTTGCGTACCTGGGCCTCGTCGAATTGCTCCATGCTTATCCGCTCGACGGAGTGGTTCTACTTACAGGCTGTGACAAGACGACACCTGCCTTCCTGATGGCTGCGGCCACTATTGTGAGTCCTCCACGACGTTGAGTGTCAGTTTACATATGCTAATATCGAGTAGAACATTCCAGCCATTTGTCTCAATGTCGGACCTATGCTTAACGGCCGTCTCTTTGGTTCAAGTGATAAGATTGGGTCTGGAACGATCTTGTGGAAAGCCAGAGACATGCACGCGGCAGGTGAAATTGATGACGATAGGCTGGTTGAGATGATAGCTGCTGGGTATGTCTAAGTCTGGAAACCCTTCCCAGTTTGACTTGGCTCACCCACGAGAAATAGCTCTCCCTCCGTCGGCCACTGCAACACCATGGGTACTGCTAGTACCATGAACGCTCTGGCAGAAGCACTAGGTATGGCTCTGCCTGGGTCTGCTGCCATACCAGCTCCATACCGCGAGAGAACACAATGCGCCTACAAGACCGGTCGGCAGATTGTGGAAATGGTTCACGCGGACCGCAAACCCAGCGACATCATGACAAGAGAGGCTTTTGAGAACGCCATTGTCGTCAACTCTGCAATTGGAGGAAGCACAAATGCGCCGATACATCTCAACGCCATCGCCAAACATATCGGTGTTCCGCTCCACCTCGACGATTGGGACCGCATCGGCTTTGATATCCCTCTGCTTGTAAACGTGCAGCCTGCCGGTGAGATGTTGTGTGAAGAATACTACAGGGCCGGAGGTCTCCCTGCCGTCATGGCCGAGCTGCTGGACCAAGGAAAACTCCACGGGAAGGCTCTGACGTGTAATGGCAAAACAGTGACAGACAACGTCAGCGGCAGGCACTCATGGGACCGTCGTACCATCAAGGCATATTCGGAGCCGATGAAGAAGGAGGCAGGATTTTTGCACATGACGGGCAACCTGTTCGACTCGGCCATCATGAAGACGTCGGTCATCTCAGACGAATTCCGAAAAGGGTTCTTGGAAGACCCGAAAGATCCCAACGCGTTTACGTGCAAAGTTGCAGTCTTTGACGGGAGAGAAGACTACGTCCATCGGATCAAGGACCCAGATGTGCCGGTTGACACGAGAACGATCCTGGTCATGCGAGGTGCGGGACCAGTTGGATACCCTGGCGCAGCAGAGGTGAGTTACTTCTAACATATCTGATACGCATCCCACGATCCAAACCATGTGGAACTCGTCGGCTATTGCTACAGCATACAGGGACATGATATTTGCTAATCACTATCTAAACATGACGCAGATTGTCAACATGCACGCTCCAGGGAAGGTGCTGAGGCAAGGCGTCCATTCTCTTCCGTGTATCGGCGACGGTCGACAGAGTGGCACGTCCGGCTCACCCTCGATATTGAACGCGAGCCCCGAAGCCGCAGCAGGTGGCAACTTGGCCCTCCTGCGCGACGGGGACATGGTGAGAGTTGACCTCAACAAGAGAAAGGTCGAGCTGCTTGTATCAGAAGCGGATCTCAAGAAGCGCCGTGACGATCTAGAAGCAAAGGGCGGATACTCTTTTCCTGAAAGCCATACGCCGTGGGAGGACATTTTCAGGAGAGAGACGGGACAATTGAACGAGGGCATGGTTTTGAAGGAGGCCGTCAAGTTTCAGAGAGTGGCTCAGAAGTGGCCTGCCCCACGACACAATCACTAGGGACAGAAAGAAAGGGCTCGCTAGCATTGTTTAGTTGTGGGCAAGTATACAATTGAATGACCAGGACAAGTCTATGGTACCAATCTGGTCTATGGCACTGTATTCAGTGTCTGTGCCTCAGAAGCTCGTAGCTTCGTGGCTTAGTTAGTACAGGTAGGCAGGTACCTTGGACATTGTGCCCTTGGCTATCGTGGACGGTGATACCTGAATGTCTGTAAGAGAGGAGATGGAGCACAGTAAAGCGAAGCAAAGCACAAGCCCCTTGATCGACATCGATTGATTTTTTGACTTGATCATGAATCTATTATTCAACATGTCAGAAATTGCCTTTTACTTTTGCCCCCAATCTACACCAAGTTCTATAAGCTACAAACCGAGACTCTCTCAGAAGTACAGGACATGGGTGGCGGCGGTGGTGGTGGTGGTGGTGGGACTGTAAGAGACAGACGGGACAACTGGTGTCTACCACATCTCCCACACCACATCAGGAAGGACGGTCCTCATGACCCTCCAGTGTCCAATGGCACTCTGGGCCTGGTACTTTTCGAGCAGTTTCGTGTTACCGCTCTGCAGGACGTCGACATCGACGGTCCCCGAGTTGTTGAACGCACTCGCGGCTATTTCGTGGCGGGGCATCATGTACTCTCTCCGCGCGCCGCTGCCTAGGAAGTCGGCCTCGACGGGCTTGCGGAACGTGATGGGCATGCCGGGTTGTTTCTGGCAGAAGAAGACCATGTTCGTAAAGTCGACTTTGTGCGTGTCTCCACCTCCCCCTTCTGCTGGCGCTTCGTCTTCCCTGAAGACGCGACACGACGGAAACACCGACGTAATGGTCCGGTGGATAACCGACGAGGCGGGCATGGCAATGTCGCCCGCGTAATTGATCGCGATGACGCCGTCGGGTTTGAGAAGCGTCCGCAGGCCCGAGAGGAACTGCGTCGTGAACAACTCGACCGGTTCGGCGCCGCCCGTGAACACGTCGTGGATGATGTAGTCGTACGCGTCGGCCTCGTAGGTGGTCCTGTTCGCGACGGCGGCCACGGCGTCGACAATGTCGCAGGTGTGATTGTGCGGGAGACCAAAGTACTTGATCGCAAACTCGTGCACGACGGGGTCGATCTCGATGATGGTCGTGTCGACGCCGTGAGCGATCATGGCCGAGGGCGCGGTGCCGACACCCAGACCTATATTGAGTGCTTTTTTCTTCTTCGATGCGGCGGCATCTTCCTCCTCCTCCTTTGTGCCATTATCTCTCACCTTCGACCCCTTCCCCTTCGTCTTAGCCTTCACCTTGGTATCTTTCGACGATGACGATGGCGGAGTCTCAACGAGTCGTACAGCTTCAAGCATGGTAAAGATGGCGTATATAGGTTCTCCCACTCTTCTTGTCGAAGCGACATTCCCAGGTGGCGAAGACATCTTCCACTCCCCGCCGAGAAGACTGTGATCACACCGCATCACCCGGAACCCACGACCATGGTCCTCCAAGACGGAAATGTAACCCGTCACCGACTCCTTGCGTTCCAACAGCGTGTAGTCGTAGAGCGCCAGGGTATTGTTGAGGACCTCTGTAGTTCTGGACAATGAGCAATGTGGGTTCGCGACCATGGTAAACGCCACCGCGGGAAGGGAAGGCCAGATGATATTACTTGGCAACACCGCCCCGTACAATGACGCTATCAGCAATTGCATGCCGATGCGCGACTTGAGAAACCCGGGCCCTGTGAGAGACGCAACGAACGCCTTGGACGCCCTCTGGAGCACGGTCATGAGCGCAAATAGGCCCATGGCGGGGAACGCATCAGCACCACCAACACTTGTCGAGGAAGAGGAGGCGTTGATCTCGTCCAGATACTGCAGGGACATGTACACTGACAATGCCACCAGGGGGTAACACGTCAAGCATTCCGTAAGCACCGGACCCAGGGGGTTGCCGAGGTACCAACTGAACCGGAAAGCGACGAATTGTACAGCTGGGACCGAGAAACAAAACGGCGTGATGGCCCGTCCGACCCATGGAGGCAGATAGCCTCGTAGCAAGAAGGCGACGAGAAAGGACACAGTCAGCCCATATCGATGGTACAGCGCGGCTGGGACTGCGCCGTATACTGGAGATAGGTTGAGTTGAGATACCGCTGCTTGTAGCGAGGCGAGGAGGATCAGTTGGAGCGATCGTTGTGTACGGATGTCGCCGAGACTCCTGAGGAGGGACTTCCTGGATGGTGGTGGTTGAGCTTCTTCTAACGATGGATGTGACGCTGTAGTCGACACAGGTACCTGAAATTCGGGAGGTTGCTTGTTGGTAGCTTTGATCTGCTTGGACGCGTTGTGAGACTGCTGTTTGTTCGCTCGTCTGGCCATGTTGTGTTCCTTCGATTTGATATTGTCACAGGTAAATATACATATGTACGGGTGCGTGCTTTCGTGGGCATCAGGAGCTTAATCTGTCCTCCGGTCCCCAGCTTCACGAATGCGGGCCGGCCCAGGATTCAACAGAGATTTAACAGGCGTGGTCGGTTGTCAAAAATTCCAAGATGACTGCAATGTAAATATGTCTCGAGGTCGGACGGCCTACTTCAGTCAACACATGGACAGGAACGGTACAACTGGGTTTCAGGGAGCATGAGAAACGGTTCTCTCGTTTGGGGCTAGTTAGTGAGGCTCACGTGTCACCACTAAGTAGTTAGTGGCTGCTAATAAGTGCTTGGGTACGGAGTACGGAGTACTATTGTAGGTCCTTAACTAAATCCCCCGAAAGGGTTTAGGGGCGCGAGGCTGCCAAGAGGTAGAGCCTTGCGCACTAACTCTACCTGTACCTTTAACTGAGTATCGCTGAGCTCTCACTGAGCGTTCCCCTGTGTACGGTTATTCCTTCAGCAAACACACCACGGCCTAATCTGGGCCCTTGCGATCGGCTATCGTTGCCTCTCTACATCAAAATACTGTGCAAGGTAAAGAACAATGATTTGTCTAGGACGGCCTTCGACAAGTTCAGCCGGAAATCCGCCTAGCCGGCACCTCAACTTGGATTTACGCCATTTGCATCTGGCCTGAACAATCTAGCATCAGAAGCGACAGAAACTTGAGGTTCGCACTTCAGCTTTATGAGGGTTTTGGTGATTCTGAGCCTGGCAATCCAAGCTACTGCACTGCTGACTAAAACTCTGCATCATCTACACCATGACCCGAAACGCCCTTCGCACTTTCGCAAGGCGTCGCTCAGGCGCACTCAGCCGTACGGAGGAATATTCTCTTTGATTCGCGCACGAATTGGATAGTCAGTCTCGTCTCCACATATTTGGCTTTGCCTGTTGTTCGAACAGCGTGTTGGCATCGTCCAAGGTTCGAGGAATGCACCAGTTACGTTTGTCCAAGTGGCTAAGGCGTCAAGAAATTGTCGACATTACCCAAGAAACATATAGTAGTCTGCCGACTTTCAGCCCCTTGCAGCAGCCCAGATGATCGTGCCCTGGTGGGTTGGAAGCTATACATTTGTGCTTGAGCATTTTCAGCCCCAGACGTCTGTTTTGGCAAGTTTGCCATCGATGAGGAAGGCTCAACCCGTTGATACCGGCTGCTCATCATCTTGCCAATCTCCGAGCCGCTTGTTTTGTCCACTCTTAAATATTGAGGACTGGAGTAGTGGCCTCTATAAGACGGGGCAATTTTGACCCATGGATCCCATCAGTGCGTTTGGAGTTGCTGCTGGAACTCTGCAAGTTGTCGACTTCGCAGCCAAAGCCCTGCTGGGAACTATTGGAATTCTAAAGGAGGCCAGCAATACGCCAAAACGGATGACACTTCTTTTGCAAGATGTGGAAAAATCTGTAGAGCACATCCGCCTTCTGCGCGAACTCTTTGGTGGTCTCGAATCCCTGTCGGGCAAGCTCAACGGATCTCATCTTGACCATGTAAATGACAACATCACCGACATATGTGAAGCCATCGGCGACTTGAAGAACACCTTGGAACCTGTTGTCCGCAACTGCAATGCGTCATCTCCCCACAAACACCAGCAAATTCTTGCTGCCATGAAATCTGTGACAGCAAGATCTCAAGTTGAACAAAAAGCTTCTAGGCTTATACTTCTCGGACAGATTCTCTCAGCATCACTACAAGGAGTGATTCTGGAATCACAGGAGATCTTAACGTAAGGGTTTCGGTTCGAATTTATGAACTCCTCTCACCAGAAATACAGGAAACAAATTGGGCAGACTTCTCTAATGTCTCAATTCCAACATGACGAGCTGACCGCTCAAATTAACAGTCTGAAGTTGATGTCGCAGAGTATTCAAGGGAACATCCAAGATCACCAACTGGTTGTCGATAGGCTTCAGCAAAAGGTTGCATCCAGTGAGACTCAGATCGATCGTATACATGACCACGTTGCAGGCCTCTCACAGTCATTGGACTCTATTGATAGCCGGAGTCAAAGGATTGAAGCGAATCTGGAAGTCAGTCAGGCAGATCTACGCCTGAATCAGATGCGGTTTCAGCACACACTCCAATCCGCAATCAAAGAGTATGACGCTACTCGAAAAGAAATTTTCCAGCTACGAGACGATTTTATGCAATGGATTGCAGGAAACCACGGTAGCTTATCATCTCCACCTGAGTCTTTCAATCGTCTGGATGATACAATGAAATCCAATGTGAGGCTCAGCCTTATCAGCAAACTCGCAGAAGCTCCTAGCGCCTTGAAGAGCGCGTGTGAGCATGTGTCATACGGTATACGTACAGTGAGGAAGTCAACGAGAGCTGACTCGCAGTCAACACAGGGATGCGTTTGTGTGCCAACGCCAGATCGACGCATCACTAGGAAAGGGTGTGTAAGCTTCGAATATGAATCGATATCCGAGCACCTGCCAAAATGTAGGATCTATCAAAATCGGAAGAGATTTCGGAATTATACCGTGGCAGTCCAACCTCTACCTCTAATACGAAGTACGCTCGCTCTAATCATTAAGAACAAGTCTGGAGCTGGAGGCTGCTCTATGGGGATAAGTCTATCTTATCACCGGACAGTCAAAAGATCTGAATCGGAGCTATTCAAACTGTTTGACTCCTTTCCTAGGAAATTGTCTAAGAAAGCCTATAGCCACAGCTCTCTCAGTGAGGAGATGTCCTTTCTGCAAGACTACGAAGGCGGTGAGCCTCCCAGTACCATTACGTTCAGCTGCATGCCGATGGAGATTGAAAAAGAAACAAGCGAATGGGTGCAAAGTTTCAATAAGTTGCTGGAACGGGGTTGTGTTTGGGACAAAGACGAACACGGAAACACTTGCCTTCATGTAAGTCGTCCTGAGGAGTTTCTCGCCGCCGCTAAGCGTTGATCAAGGAACTTGTCTACTTGGCTGCCTACATTGAGTCGACCTGTAGCCACGCAGTCGAAAAACTGCAGCATCTGGTAGAAATGGCAATTGCACCTTATATCGATGCTCTGGAACGGTCGTGGCCGGGCTTATACCCTCCCTACATTGCCTCTAACATCTGGTAAGAAGGTCCAACACGTTTAAACCCCTCCAGGCTCTATACCTCGCATTTTCAACCCTGACTATACTCCAGGCAATGTGAGACGTGGACCGCTGTAGATACAGCCGTGGCACTGACAGTCGAGTTCCCACGAGTGTTTCCGAACATTCTTTTTCATGAAGCGATAGGGGAGCACAGTTTCAACGTACGTGGCAATGTAGCAAAGGACTTTTATGACAAAAATATGCATTGGGTTCTGTGGTCCACCTTCACTGTGCCAGCCGGGAGAGATCTACAGCGACAAGGAAATATTCTGGGATTACTGCGGCGCTATACAGATTTACTAGAATGGGAGTAACATATTCGCTCCTTCTTATTCAAAAGCTTCAAGCTGACTATGTGAAGATTTTGGCTACGGCGCACTAGAGAGGACGCTATTGACGCGGTCTGACGATCAGTTGCAGAAGATCGTCCACTGTGACGAAATCATGCACGAGGATTCCAAACGAAAGGGCGGTCTTTGTCCCTTAGATTTCGCCCTTGGATGGCCTGCTGGTCTAAAAACACTTCTGAGATTTGGGCATGACCCGAGGTCTGCTCTTGAGCTCTCGATCTATTTCGGCGATTTGGAGTCGACTAGAATCCTTCTCGGGGCCGATGGCTTCGCTCTGGCAATTAATCCTTTAATTGTGCACGGTGCATCTGTGCAAGAGATCCAGGAGATCCAGGAGTGTGTCATTGACGCACTGAAGGCTAAGAGAGAGCAGCTCAGAACTATAGGGCTGGAGAATTCGGCGGCAGGAGAACTGCAACTGTCAGATTTTCTTGGCCAAGAGACTGTCCCAAACCCAAAAGGAGTCGTTATGTGGAATGATTTGCGAAGGAAAGGTGTTGAAGTTAGGAGAGAGCTGTTCCCTGGAAGGGCCACAACAGTGTTTGCATATCTGGACTCAGAGAGTCGACTCGACTTTGCCGAAAGGCTCTACAATGCTGGATTCGAATCAGTCGACGGTGCAGAGAAGACTGTCGGAACACCGCTCCTCAACCTCGTGAGTCAGACAAGCCTTGGAACTGGGAGCAGTTACGACCTTGTAGCATGGCTGCTTAAGAAGCAAGCGAGTCCATATTTCGGCGCAGACGGCTCATTCCCCTCGATGCTCTTCTATTTCGCCATCCTGTACGACTCGCTGCGGAGTGACCAAAGATTCTCGACAGAGATCCTACCTCTGACGTCCTCCCTCTGCAACCCAATGTGTACCGACGATTGTTCCTGCTATTGCTCCTCCCTTGGTGGGTGTCTACCGGCACATAAGCTCTGGACTTGCGACCCTTGCAGAAGTTCCCACGGACGCTGCCAGTCAACAAATCGAGCTGTTTTGAGTTTGCGGCTCCAAGAGTGGCTCATCTTTTCGCAACTTGACGAATTAGTCACTTCGATGTATCTCGACGAGATATGCCGGCTTGAGATATTCGATCGGCTAGGCCTTGCACACACCTGCTGTACTGCTTTTGGTGGTCTCTACGTTAAGAGAAAGACTGTAGACGAAGAGAAACGAATGGAGCTTCATGATGAAGACGCGGTGCTAATTGAGCAGCTAGAACTCATCATGCAAGAATACAAGCGACTCAAGGGCGGTTGTACGGAGACGCTGTTAGAATTTTGGGGCAAATGGTGGGCGAGAATCGATATGATTTTACCAGAGCTCAGTCCAAAGGAGCGTTGCCGGCGCAAATCATTAGAGAGAGATTTCTGCCACTTTAATGATGACCTGTCCATCGCAGAGTTTCAGAAGGAAGCCCATAAATTGTCAGAACTGAGAGCCGCAACTGAAGAAAACGCACTGAGAAATCTGGGATACTACGGATGGGATTTTTCAGACGTCATCCGCACGCATTTACGATGTTTGTAGGAGTGTCTGCGAATTGCTGAAAGATCGCTGGCAACTGATTGAAGACGGCAAGATCCATAGGGAGTACGGCGCAAGTACGTTTCAATAAGTGGGTAAAATGGTCTTTTAGGGTGAGCGAGGCTGTCAAGGACTGGAGCAGAGCCTTGTGGCCTACCTAGGTACCTAGATATAATGGGGGGTACACTGACTAGTAAGGTACTTACCAGGGCAAATACTTATTACCGGAGAGAATTCTCGCATAAGCAAGGAGGACTATCCCTGAATATATACAGTCTCACGCAGCATTAAGAGAGACTCACAAGCTAGGTATGCCTTGACCAACTATTTAGTTACTCTGTGCCCTGCTTACTTAGTTGTCATCGTAGCTCGTGTCTCGACACACATCCCTGGCTTACTTCAACATAGTATTAACTGCAGTTAAATATCCCCATGTCAAAAACCTCGAGGAACATTCTTGCCTGCGCGTATATGTCGGCTTCGTGATGACAGAACAATACTCGTACAATCCGCAGATCAAATAAATCGATTGCCAAAAACAGAAATTCTCATAATTCGACCGCATCATCATAACCACAACACGCTGGATCATTCGCGCCGGTGTTGATTCAAAAACTACACAGGGAGTAGGAACAGTTACAGTAGTTAGTCGAGCTGCGCGATCCTCCTCAGTTGGCGGTCGAGACCATTGTACGCCGCGATCGATTTGATTGGACAGCACTTATACACATGACCCACCTTGTGTCCACAAACCGTTTGACGATACCACCCACCGTTTGTATTCACCGTCCAGCCACCGTCCACGCCGTCCTCGACCCTACTGAAGAGGCCTCCGATGAACGGAACGCTTCGACGTGGCGAGGCGAGGCGAGGAAGTTGCGCAGGTCGGAGGTGACAGACAGAAGTCAGGGTACACTGACTGTATTTTGTCGACCTTTCACGGAGGAACTGATGCAATGCGACGACAAATGTAATCTGTTATATATGGGACCGATGGTCCCCGAACGGGCAGAAATCTTTTGATCGAGATGAGCCCATTTCTACATGCCAATTCACCCTCGGTCATCACCGTACCACCCGAGTAATTCAGACCGGCCCCAAATAAATAAATGCAAGTGACAATGCTGCTGACATCTGAGGACACCACCGACACTGGAAAGTGCCAGGATGTCGAGAAGTCTGCCGCTGCCGTGCAAGCTGGAAGCGAACAGGAAACCACATCTCCGGTACAGAATATCCATCCATCAAGCTGCCTCTCCATCTCGCTCATAATCACGGCACACAGTTAACGTTGACCGAGAGAGAACTCCAGATTCCACCCAACCCTCCTGGTCCCTACGATGATGACCCTCGGGACTGGTCGGCCCTCCGCAAAGCTTTTACAGCAGTCCTTGTCTCCCTCGGTCAGCTCGTCGCTTTGATGAGTGCGAGCGTCGTCTCCCCGGCTCTGCCAGTCATTGCCCGCGATCTTGGCTTGGGCGAATCCACCATGCAGATTACCTTTTCAATATACATGCTCGGCCTCGGATTGGGGCCATTTTTCATAGCTGCATGTTCCGAGACGTTTGGCAGGAGACCCATCTGGTTTTGTTCACATGTGTTTTATATCTTTTGGAACACACTCTGCCCCGCGGGCAATTCCCCCCCGTTGATGATCGCAGGACGTTTCTTGTCGGGGATCGGGGCAAGCGTGGGTGTCGCAGTAAGCATCTTCTTTGGACGACGTCGTCTGCCCATGGCTAACAGACAAATTAGCTCTCTGGCCCAATCGTAGCAGATATGTATCCCCCTGAAGAACGTGGTCGGTCGCTGGCCATTGCAACATTCGCTCCATATCTGGGTCCTGCCCTTGGGCCTGTGTTAGGGGGGGTCATGACCCAGCATACAAAATGGCAGTGGCTGTTTTGGGTGCTTTCAATTTTTGATGCATTCGTGGTGCTTGTGGCGTTCTTCACACTGCACGAGACTTATGAGCCGATCCTGAGACGAAAGCAGGACAAAAAGGAGGTCGGCGATCAAGGATTTGTAAACAAAAGTTTGGATGCAGTACGTCGATTGAAGAACAATATTGGCACACCGGTCTCTTTGCTTTGTCGGCGACCCATTGTGCAAGTCTTCTCACTGCTGATGGGTCTTAGCTTTGGTGTGTACTGCATCACTCTCTCAACGTTCGCCGTGCTTTGGGTCGATCAATACCACCAATCAGTCTTCATCAGCAGTCTACATTACATTGCCATAGCTGTCGGTGCAACGCTAGGCTCGCAAACAGGAGGATATTTGACCGACTTCATCTGGCGGCGACTTCGAGAAAAGGCAGGTGGTAATGTCACACCAGAATATCGTGTGCCTATGATGGTGCCGGGGGTTCTCCTCATGCCGATTGGGCTTCTTTTGTATGGCTGGGCAGCTGAGAGCAAAACACATTGGACCGTCGTCGATCTGGGTGTGGTAGTTTTCGTCATGAGAAGTCTCGTGTGGGTGCAGGCGACGATGGCCTATCTGCTTGACGAGTTTGTGAAGCATGCAGCTTCTGCGAATGCAGCATCGAGAGGGATGTCATATCTCCTGGGGTTTGTCTTTCCAATCTTCGCGCCGCAGTTGTACCAGAAGCTGGGCTATGGTTGGGGGAATAGCTTACTTGCGCTGCTTGTTGTGACCCTGGGTTGGCCTATGCCCATGATCCTGTGGAAGTTCGGCGCTCGGTTGAGAGCAATCAGTTGGGGCTCAGAACATGTCAGACGGTGAATGTGACTTGAGAGGAGTTGGAGCTCCCAAAGTGATATCAATCAAGCACCCCGAACGCTTTTTCGATTGCGCTCCGTCAGGAAGCCAACGGCTCTCATTATAGATGGACGTCGGCATGAAGCCACTCCGATATTGGCACACGTGTTCCAAGTAGAAATCACGTTTCCTGCGCTCGAGTTCGGCGGCTTCGTAGTTCGATAGAAGCGCAAAGGATGTCTCCGGTTTGGGCTCCTCACACTTGCTCAAATGGTCGTCTATGCAGCAATGCGGCATGTTGTACTCATACCAGAACGTGCCTGCGGTCATCTTTGGTTCGACTTCAGCCGCCTGGACGAGGTAATTCTCCACTAAGCGTTTGAGATGTTGCCTTTGATGCATTGAAAGACCCAAAGGGCCATCTGATGTCGTCAGAAAGTACCGCAGCTCGCGAATCATTCTCCGAAATTGCGTATTGAGCTCATCGATGGAGAGCACAGCCATGTCCGCTTGTAAGTGACCAATGATTTGCGCGACTGGCACGACAGGATCATTGGCAAAAGAGACAATGTCAGGGTGCAGAACTGAGCTGAATGCCTGAGTAAGCGTGCTCCAGGCTATACTCAGGAGAGAATTCGTTGCAGAATCTGCTCTCTCCCAAATGTCCGCAGAAAGGGAGTGCAGTAGTCGTCCGTACTCCATACGGATGGTTTTGAGGACGTGGAAAGCCTCGTATTTCTCTGGAGCAATCCTTGTCGAAAAGCCGGAGTCGTCGATCGCGTATGTAGAAAGCGCCATTACAGTTGGAGCCATCAGACGTATAATGTCAGAAGATCGGGATTTAAGCGCCCGAGCTCCCTCTTGCAGCATCTTCTGGCCGTAGTTCATGTGCATGGTCGCAGTGCGATAATCCCCATTGCACTGAGCGATTGACGAGAGGAGCCGGCACAGAATCAAGGCCAGATCAGTAGAAGTTTGGGAGGCCGTGAAGGCACGAATGGCTTGGTTACTCCGACTCAATATCAGTTCAGTCCGATCGATGCCAGATTTCCGGGATTCGTAAGTAGCTGCGACGGCGACCATTGCGTGGTTAATGGAGGAGTCTAGCCAGGCTGCCTGAGGCACTGTCGATCGCCAGAAGTAGTCCCATTGCTTTGTCGTGGTGAGCAAAGGTGCAAGTTGCAAGAGGAAGTACTGGCAGAAATTTCGGTCCGTTTCCGAGGTCCAAGGACTTGATGGTACTGAGACGGACAGAGCATCGGCGACCGGGCAAGTGTCGACGACTTCATGATCTGAGAACGGGGCATAGACGTCGGCTGGGCACTGGCTGCTGGACGACGCCTCTGAGGCTTCACCGTTCTTCTCGGACGCCGGCGTGAACTTGACATCCTCTTCTTCAGGACGAGTGAACAACCATGCCCGTGGAGCATCGTAGCCGTCGCACGTGAATTTGTCTTTGATGCATCGATTACATATCGGTTTCGCTTCGTCGCATTTCTTCTTCCGGATCTTGCATGTTTTGCAGCCTGTCCGTGTCTTCGGATGCCACTTGCGTTGCCGCTGCGCCATGGCTACTTGGGCATCTAGACGTATGAGCTTTCGAAGTCTTGAAATCAGATAAGATCGTTACGCGCTGATGCGTAGCCGAAGGAACGAGATGGATCAGGGGAGACATCGGGAGGTGAAGGGGGCAGTAATAATTAATAAGTACAGTATAGGGGACCTACAACTAGTGGCGACTGGTGCCTGGAGGGCTCGGGAAGGGCAACTAGCTTGATCCATCTTCAGGGTCTCACTGGCCTAACTCAATCCTGTATAGGCGCAAGTGCGGGTGCCGATGTCGGCTCATATAGGCGCCCAACGCAGGCAAGCCAGTGCCTTCACCCTACGTCCTTTGGGGCTCCGGAAGCAAACCACAGATCGTCGCGACATACTTCTATTATATGATGTATCGTACTTCAAGCATCAAACGTTTTTAGTCCTGCGGCCAATTCATACCAGGAAGACCACACACACCGTGCATCACTGGAAGAACCTCTGCTGTCAACTCAAGAGAATCGCACATCCAAGTAAACTCTTCCAACATACACGCATCCAGCAACAGCAGACAGAGAAGAGAAATAGCCGCAACTTGCACAAAAATGAGCTGGTCGAGAATGCGTCGATGATCATAACACCTCTCGAAAAATGTGGTTCTCGAGCCTCCCTCGAACTGGGTATCACTGATGTCCATAAACCAGACAGACCCCCGTCACGCTCAAGAGAGCTTTCCCCCATACACATGGTCAATTAAGAATAGAAATTAATAAAAAGGAACTCTAGCCAGAATTCAAAAAGCACTCGCTCATCGCAAATCTGACGATCACCATTTGACCTTGGTCCGTCATCTCATCGTGTAGGTCGTCGAAAATCGTTCGTACTTGTCCACTCGACATGTTCGTCACAGTGTGATTCGAACACTTACCGGTAGCGAGGTACCGGCCCAGGCTTGAGCCATCATAGTTTTGCCATCAATTACACTATGACTCCCAGCCCTACAGGCGGGTCCGCTGGGTCGCTGCTGAGGAGCCAGTCTCTCTTGTTGAATTTTCGTGCTTCTTTCTCGGCTTCGACATCGATATCCAGTCCAAGATCGATCCCGCTATCGTCAAGGGTATGGTTACCATTTGGTCGTTTGACTGGACTGCTGAGGCCGGTATGAAAGCTAGGCAGATCTAAAGGGCCACCTTGTCGCAACTCATCAAGATCCGCATCTGTCGCGTCGTCATCGACGTCCTGAGGAGCTTGCTCAACAGATTGAACCGGTGGCAGGGTTGGAGGAGTCGGTGGCGTCTGCGCGAATTTCTTCACAGCCCGCGAGGCATTCTCAGAGCGTGCCTTCTCTCCATCGGCATCATCTTCGCTCCTCTTTCGTTTGATGCCACGAGACAGAGTCGACTGAGAGTCAATCTCCTTGCTCTTTTCTCTTTCCCTTGCATCCGCAAGCTTCTGGCTCTCTTCGTCTAGGAGCAAACCTTCCATTTGGGTCATCCAGCCAAGCATTTGCGTCGCAAAGGATTCCACAAACCACCACGACTGGTAGCTGTGGGCACCGTTTTGTCCCATCTGCATCATAAGACTACTCCACAGCCTAGAATGCCAGTCAACCATACATTGTGGGTGGTGTCCGTGGAAGAGTTGTGGCAACTGCTCCAACCAGCTGATCCATCTCTCCAGTAGAGGTGTGGGTTCTCCATCATTGTCAGAGGCTAGAATTCCGAAGCCAAAATCCGAACTGTCATTGAGGAAGTTCACATACGCACTCGTTGGGTCGTCTTCCGCGGCACGTGTGAGTTCACCATCAAGAGGTGATATCAATGGTCTCATGTCGTGTTTCAAAATATCCTGCAGTTTGTCGAAGCTCTCCGGGGGGGGCATACTCTCTTCAAGCAGACGCTCTGGATCTACCATGGCCATCAGATCGAGCCACATCTGTGTGCGTTGCTGGGGATCCTCAAGCATGCGGCTTAATTGTAGCGTAGCCGCGTTCGCACCTTTGAGCTTCTTCAAAAGATTGGCAAATCTTGCAGCTGGGACGGTCTTTGCCACGACAACATGTAGTGGACATTTTTCTTCAAACGCTGAAATAAGGTGGCCAACAAGCTTGGAGCCTATCCGATCGAACACGTTCCAGACGACGTCAGGCACGTTTTGTACGGCCAAGGGCGCAATGAAGCGTACAATTTGTTTGTACATGCGCATGTCGCACTCTTGTATCCAAGGTGCCAGGCACTCCATTGAGAAGAGCTTGGACACGGGCACAGTCATTTTGCCATTGAACGCCGAGTGGTGGTTGAAAAATGGTTTTTCTTTGCACTTTCTGAAGGCGTCGATGACATCGATACAATACGATCGATAGAGGTGGAACAGGGCCTTTGCTATTGAGGCATCATAGGTGGTACCTTCTAGGTAAGGATGAATGTCGGGGAATTCGATAGGTGGCTCCTGAGCTGCCGTTGATATTTGAGAAAGCGAGTTCGGTGTTGGCATACCCAGGTATGTCGCCATGCTAGCAGGTAGATTCGGGCGGACAGATGGCAAAACAGCAACAAGATTTGCGGGCATCATTTTGACCGGTAATCGTATAATTGGTGTGTTGATATGTTTACAATCCAGCTTTGGGGTATGCGGCTTCTCAATCTCAGGGAGATCGTCTTCAGCAACAACGACATCGTCGGGACGGGATATAAAGGAAACGTTTGGAGCTGGGAACTCGGCTGTCTCCATGGCGGCTCGAGAAGCAGGGCGTTCGAGAGGTGGAGTAATATGGCTTTTGAACGTTCTGGTCACATCGACATGAGAGCCCTGTCGTTCATGCCGAACTCCGTTTGCCGTGCTGGGTCGCTCCAGTATAGAACCATAAGGTCGCTCGTCATCATCGACAACCAACGAAAGGTCAACATAATGATATTTGGATTCACCACGTACGCCTAATCTCCTCGTTTGGACGTTGGGGAAAATGATACGAACGAGTTTACCAAATGATGCTGGATTCAGCGTCGGTACTCGCTCATTACCACAACGCTCGGTATATCGCGTAAACACACGGTCTCGACGAACCGAGTTGGAGGACCGCTGGCAGTTTTCTTGGAGCCTACGCGTGTCAGCGATGACTGATATCGAGCGAGATGCACCTACCATAACATGGCAAAGACTTGCTTGGCCTTTTCTGACTTGCCCCCAGAGCCTTCATTTTTCTGAACCTCGGCGGCTACTTCTTTAAGGCTCTTTCCCTGGTACTGCGCAAGCAATCGTCGTAGTTCCTGATCGTTTGCAACGCTGGAAGCGGTGCCCTTTCTTCGCTTCGCCCCACCGTTTTCTGCGTTTGAATCTTCCGGCGCAGGTGAGCCTTCGAATTGTTCGGAATGATGTCGCATGTGATGCATGTGTTGTGGAGGCACGGCATATGGAGGATGAGGGTATTGCATAGGGAAGGGTGGCATCTCTTGGAATGCTTGTTGCGACATCGGTCTCATCTCGTGTGGAGGAATGCCTTCTATCGTGTTTTGTCGATACTGCGCGGCCATGTTCTGTTGATAATGCATGAGCATTTCCTCCGGATTGTGAGGGTACATCGCAGTTGCCAGTGGGTGGCCATGCTGCACCATAAAGCCGTTGTGGTTGTGGTTGTGGTCCAACGGCATTGTCGAGTCGTCTTGTCGCGGCGCTGGCTGAAAAGCGCTTCCAACACCTACAGACTGCAAACTGGCGGTAGAGCCTCGAGATTTGGGACGACGGTGTTTTTCTCTATTTGAGGTTGTATTGTTTGTATGGGTAGGACCTTGGGGTTCGGGAGCTTGTTCCTCCATATTGTGGATTGGCGGCAGCGCCATGAGCACTGTGCGTCGAATTAGCCCGGCTGTCAACAAACAACCTCATCAAAACTGGACTCAGTCCAAGCGCTTCAATTTTGCGGAAATGAGCAGCTTTCGTTAGGATGATACGACAGCTCTATATCCGACAATTTTCTGGATTCTGGCGGTTGACTTCCAAGTGATCACCAAGGGCCATTCGGAGGTAGAGCATGTGGCGGAGCCGAGTGTTGGTCGTGACGGCGGTAGGAACGTGCCGCAGTATACTTGAAGGCTTTAGAACGAAGGACACAGAGACCAGAGCAGGGATAACAGTGCTTTGGATCGGCGTCCGCTGCGACAGGTGCAGTTTGAAAGCGATCTCTGTGGTCTGTCGACGCGAAGGCCGTGTTGACTAACAAGTCGAGGATGTTTTCGTGCGAGTTGATGGGCCAACGCCGCTAGTCCGCATTTAGACGCCGGCTCATAACTTTGCTGGGCCGTGCTGCGATAGGTGAGGTCACCCACTGGCTACGGTACGTGCTACTGTATGCAATTACTACTGTAGGCGTAGAGCGGACCATGTATCGTCTGCTATTCGGGAGCTTCCTGATGCAGCCGTACCTCTATACGATAAACCGATCTCTCCACGGTGCTATGTTTGACGGCCATGATAATCCGTCGACGGGCTTCGCTGCAGATGACAGGGCGGAACGAGACTTCATGGCTCGTGTCTGCGGCAAGTTGACAGTGCTCGCAAAAGCGACCTACCCAACCCTGGAAGTCACCATGCTGCTTTTACCGCATCGGTGAAGCTAGCCCGATAGGCTACAGAACCCCTTGCTGCTGTTTGAGTCTGCGAGTCTGTGACCTTCGAAACCGGGTGCAGCGTCAGGAGCTGCCTGCAGGTGACAACAGCAGCGGCACACGCACATCATCACCGCCCAATTCAAGGAACGACGTCAGCTCCTCCTCCTCCATCCATCCTTAAGGCCACTCCCGACGTTCCCCATCGCACATTTGCTTCCTCCATTCATCCCATCGCCTTTTATCTAGCTTTCAGCATCCTTCTCATCATACACTCCCCTATTGTTTCAAGAACAATACCCAGCAGTCGCCAAAATGTCCTTCCAAGATAAGACTCAGCACCAAATCTCACAGCTCGACAAGGAGCTGTCCAAGTATCCTCTTCTCAACAACTTTGAGAAGCAGACCAATGTCCCCAAGGTCTATGCTTTCCTCGGACTTGTTGGCCTCTACTTCTTCCTGGTCTTTTTCAACATTGGAGGCGAGTTCCTAGTCAATTTCGCCGGTTTCGTTATTCCGGGATACTACTCTCTTGAGGCGCTGTTCAGTGCAACCAAGGTTGATGATACCCAATGGTTGACAGTACGTATTGTAGTCCTGCATCCCCCTTGACAACGCTAACGCTGTCACCAGTACTGGGTTGTCTATGCCTTCCTTACCGTCTTTGAGAGCCTGATCAACGCTGTCTACTGGTTCCGTAAGTCATTGAGGATCCCTTCGAAGATAACAACGCTGACCCATCCTAGCATTCTACTACGTCTTCAAATTCGTCCTGATCCTTTGGATGTCCCTTCCTGTCACTAATGGTGCCCAAATCGTCTTCCGATCCTTCATCCAACCTGTCTTCTCTCGATTCTTCAGCCAAACCGGTAGCGCGGCGGCAGATGTTCGAGGCAAAGCTGACGCTGCTTTGAAAAGCCAGTAAACGGTTCAAGGGATCATACCAGAACTTTCTGCAAGAATTGAAAGATATCGCTGCCGCTTGATGCAATATCTATGAACTCTCTGGAGATGGAGACCGACGGATGTTCTACATCTGACGTTTGGACGATGAAACGAAAAGATGCTTACTCATTCTGAGCTATAAGCATGTACGGTGCAAGCTGTATGAGCCGGAGATCTTATGGGGACGGACTGACTTTGCTGTATTTGCACAATAGACGTTATCGATGTTGCACCTTGATGATTACGGTGGCTGCGACGCAATGAGATTATGGCACTCCCCAAGTAGACAGGAATGTTAATTTATTTTGCTTATAAGAATTTGGTTTGTTGTTGTATTTGAATATCACTTGTTACAGATCGTTGCAAGATCCAGCTGTCCTTCAGTTCCAGGCCCCAAAGCCTCTTTCGGCGCTTTCCTGCTGCTTTGGATTCACAAAGATCCTGTAGGGAAACGGATTCTGATCGCTTGTGGTAATGGGAGGTATATGATCCTTATCCCGGTTGACAATGGCGACTATCTTCATCGCTGTCTTTTGCAATGACGATTCCATTGCGCGGCGGACCTTGATACGATCTGTTCTTGTTAGTGAAAAGGAAACCCTATCTTGCAAGGCAATGCTCAGGAACTACTCACCGGCCTCACTACGTGGTCTGGCTACAACCACCTGTACACACCATTCCTCCCAACATACTTCCTCTTCGGTTTGACCGCCCCCGCCACCCAACCGGCCAAGCCAGCCTGCAGTTATGCCCGTCTTCCTCCTCTTTCTGTCAAAGAACCGCACAACAATCTCTCCACGGGAGCCACCTGCTGCTGCTCCCGCTGTAGGCTGGGGTGTGATTTGCGAAACGAGTAAAGCGGTATGAGAGTCGATCGCTGCCGAAATCTCGGGAGGATCGAGTATCGATGGAAGCGGAATGGGTAGTGACTGGACCGAATGTGACGAAGAGTGTGAAGACGACGCGGTGGGCGTGTAGAGTGCCGGACGCACAGGAGGAAAGTATCGGTGAAAGAAGATCGTATGCAAGACTCCTGTATCCCAAGGGATACGTCAGTACGCAATTCAACGTCCTGTCTCCCGCCCAGTGCGACGTTGGAGGCCTGGACTCGTACCTTTCACAATGTCCTTTACGTAGGCCTGGTCCGCGAAAACCTCGATTATATATTCATGGTGGCGCAAATCCATGGTCGGTCCCTTTCTGAGGTGTGCAAGGGATTCAACGGGGTATAGTGGGGGACAGTTCAGCGGAAGAAAGGAGAGCGTAGTGGCAGCCAGCACGGTGGCGCCCGGTGTGAAGGAGTAGCTCAAGACATGGTCATCATACTCATTGTTCAATGGTGCCTCGGGCAGTAGAAAGAGTCGTGCGGTGAGTTGCAAGTCTCAGGCAATCAAGCAGTGAATCAGAGACACCTTGAGACTATAACCATATAATCGAGGGGCACAGGGCAGGTTCTCGGCAGGTTGTTTTGCCGGTTCCAGCGTCCCCCAACAGCCCCGGTGGCCACTGGACCGGATCATGCTCTTCTACTCCGTGCAAATGGGCCAGTGACCACAGCCAGCCTCGGCACTCACTAGCCACGTCCCATGTATGATGTTCTAACCGGAGGATTCTGTGAATTGTGATCAATAGGCCAAGGCAATCAATCGTCCTCTTTGGTCACACTCCTCCTTACAAGGTTCCTCTTGCTGAGATTCCCGGACCACCACCCGCGGTCATGTCCCTGCTCGCAATCATCTCGTATCCAAGATAGAGGCGTCCTATACCAATCCATCACGATGATATCAGCCACGCGTCGCTGGATCAGGCGAAATCGCAATGGCATCGCAATTGGTGCTGGTGTCGTTGGTGCAACATATCTAGCGGGACAGTATGTGCTGGGAAAGATCCAGGAGGCGCGAGAGCGCATGCAGATGGACAGGATAGCAAAAGAGAAGTCTGTCATTTCAGCCCGGAGTTGAGCACCCGCTGACTGCCCATTGTAGCATTCAACGGCGATTCGAGCAGAACCAAACGGACTGTACCTTCACCGTCCTTGCTCTTCTACCTACCTTGACCGACAATATCCTCAAAGAACTACCCGTGGAGCAATTGACTTATGAGTTACAACAAAAGAAAGCCGAAAGGCTGGCTCGTGCCTCGAGCGAAGGAAAATCAGAAGCTTCAAGTATGCACGACGGCGATACTGTCAGCATGTCTAGTTTTCAGACTGGTAGTTTTATTCACGCCAGCCAGATACAAGGAGAGGGTTCCACACTTCTTCCTCGCAAGACAAAAGCACAGCTCTGGAATGAATTGAAGATCACATCAATCACTAGAGCGTTCACGCTGATATACAGCCTGTCGCTGCTAGTGATATTGACCAGAATACAACTGAATCTGCTCGGCAGGCTCACCTATCTGTCATCAGTCATTTCCCTTGCGAGGCCTCCGCCGCCCGGGAGAGCCAACTCGATCTCGCTCGAGGATCACGATGACGGAGGCGCAGGAGCCGGGTTTGGAAATGATTTCCAGACAAACAGAAGGTACCTGACTTTCTCATGGTATCTACTGCACAGGGGCTACGCACAGATCATGACAAAGGTCAGGACGGCTGTTGAAGAGGTGTTTGGAAACATTTCGCCGAGGGAAGGGGTTTCGGCGTCGCGAATCAGCGATTTGGTACTTGCAGTACGGCGGAAAGTTGAGGGGAGTTCGGAACAAGAAAGATATGCTACGAGGTGGCTACCATACATGCTGCCTCCCCGCGAGGAGGAGGAAGCGGTGTTGATCGAGTCGGGCGTGATCACACCCACGCCTTCGTCTCCAGCCCAAACTCATGACGAGCGACGACTTGGCGAAGACAGCTCTTCCATCCATATTGATACCTCGTCAGGGCCTCTGCGTCAACTTCTCGACGAAACCGCTGATCTTATTGACTCCCCGATTTTCACGAGGATTCATACTCTGCTTTTGGGGTCAATGTTCTCAAACTTGGTGGACGCCCATGTTATTGCAGAGGCTTTTCCACCGCACCCAACACACTCGCCCTCGCCGTCGCCGTCGCTCTTCGGCACAACACAACCTCGCATTCAAGAGCTAGACTCGGCAGTGACCGTTGTGCCTGGAGAGCCAAGAGTGATACTTGTAAAAATTTTGGCCATCATCACCCGCCAGGCTCACGCCATTGGCAACGACAACAACACATATAATGAATACATCTCCACTGCCGAGGCGGAAGTAAAAGAACTCGAAGCGTTTGCGGCTCTGATCTACGCCAGCAACCTAGATCAGAATCTTGAAGAGAAGCAACAAGCTTCTTCGGACGAAGGTATCAAAGTGTCGGCCGGAACAGGCGTCAGCGAGGTCGGCACAGAGCGTGTTGACGAAATGATTGAGAGCAAGCTTGAAAGCGCCTGGACGAAGGTCACCGGATCGACCTTCCAACCCAAATGATAAATGTACGAGGACCGGGAAAGAAGGCTATTTCAAAGGAGGAACAAGGGCAGATTCGCTCCATAGCATGACTGAATGAATGACAAGCTGCCTACTGTAGGTACCTAGGTACTACAATACCGGTGCCGCTGGTCGTTGGCATGTAAAGGGTATCTCGTAACACATCATCCCTAGGTAGCTATGTATTGTATGAGATGATGGACGGTAAACTGGAACTCATACCGGTCGTTTCTTGTTCTCATTTATTAATCAGTACGGCGAAATGGATTCAAAGAACCACCACAACACATCTCCCGTTTTTCGGTTTTCGCTTGTATACGGGACACCAAGGCTACCTGTCCTGAGCATGCAGATTTCCTCCGGCACTTCTGCTCTTCTGTCTTTTTCTCTCCGACGTACTGTAACAATTAGAGTGTTCCGGAAAGCTTTGGAGCCTTCTTGTGTAGCACAGACACCGTCACCTTGTCATTTCATGGGGGCCCTGGTAGTTGTCTCTTCCCGGCATTGGCACAGCCAACGCGCCCGCCCCCAACCTATAATTTTTATATTCGCGACGTGTGAGTGCAAGCACAGCACCATTTCTTCTGCGCTGGCGACCACAGACGACAAACACAAAAACCCAAAACCCCAATTTCTTGGTCGCTCCCGTTCTATGCGCTTTTTTGTGGTTTGAGGTACGTAGGCAGCCCGTCAGACCGTATAATGCAAGGCGCAGCCTCCTGCCTACATGGGCATAGGTACCTGTAGGTATCTATACAAAACATCCTGCAATGCATCACTTTTTTATTTTATTGGCTTTTTAACATTCACTCTCCTTTTCTATAGATCCCTGTTCCCCAGCAGAGTCGTAATAGGGCCAGACCCCATGCCATGCCAATACTGTCCCGTACGACGTTCAATTTGCTCCCCATGACCTCGCGCCAGCCGATGGGGACCTCGACGACGGGGATGCCGCTGAACTCGGCCAGCATGAGCATTTCGACGTCGAAGATCCAGCCTTCCATGTGCATGTGCGGCACGATGTGCGGCAGGCTGGCGCGGGAGAAGAGCTTGAAGCCGCACTGGGTATCTGCTATGCGCGCCGTGGCGGGCGGGGTCATGAACTTGAGCAAGAGGTGGAACGAGTGCATGAGGAAATTGCGCAGCTTGGAGCGCTTGACCACGGCGTCGGACCCGACGAGGTGTGCGCGGCTCCCGACCGCGACGCCGCGGCCCGACTCGTCCTCGATGGACCGGAGAGACGATACGAGCTTGCTGAGGTCGGAGAATTTCGACGCCCCGTCGGCGTCGGCGAAGAGCACGTACTGCCCTCGCGCATGGCGCATGCCGTGCACCACCGCACCGCCTTTGCCCCGGTTGGAGAGCAGGGACACCATGCGGATCGACCCAGGCGGGATGCTCACGCCTTTCGGGCTGCGGTGTGTCCAGGGCCCTGAGTCGCGGCGCGGCTGCGCAGGGAGAATGTGTTTCCGGGAAAACGTCTGCGCCGTCAGGAGCGTGTGGTCTGTAGACCCGTCGTCTACAAGGATGATTTCCCACCCTCGGAGCGGAGCTGCTGGTGTTGGCGTACCGTTCGCTTTGGCCGACTTGGTCTTGCGTTTCCGCGGTGTTTGGGATGTGTCTGTTGTTGTTGTTGCTGTGGCCGTTTCTGCAAGTGTGTCCAAGCCTGTATTTTCGTCTGATTTCGACGTTCCATATTCTGTCTCGAGGAAATTCACGGCCTCCTCGAGCATCCCTGATAGTCTGTCCTCCTCGTTGAACGCTGGCACGACCAGCGTCATGAACACTTCGGCCGGCTCGATTCCGATGTCCCTTTCAACCTCGATCTCCCGCTCTGGGTCTTCTCGCCGAGCCTGGCCATAGCGGCGTATCATGTCCTCGTACCAGCAAGGTAATGGCTCCGGATCAGTCACGTCGCCCGTCTTATCGACCGTAGTGAATTGTTTTTCCTGGGGAAAGGGTGGCCGAGGGTTCGGGACAAAGAGAGTAATGAAGAGCCATATCTGTCGATGTCAGTGTGTACCCAAGAAGCGGGAGATGTCCGACGCACCAGGAATACGATTGCGAAAATGGCCCAGATCAGTATGAAGGGTAGCATGCGTAGATTGAACCATTCGTCTCTCGTCCCGAACATGCCAACAAAGTGACCTCCCATGATACCCATACTAGCGGCGACCGCATGTGCTAGGCGAGAATGGTCAAGTGTAGGAGGAAGTCCGGGAGACCTACTGACTTGACGAGTCAAAAATCTGTCAGAATCATGGCTGTTGAAACGTGGGGGAGCAAGCGACTGCGTGAGAAGTGAGATCTGTTAACAGGGCAATTTGGACGTCGGACGAATCGGGGTGGACGAGGCTGAGCAAGGCTGACGAGGCTGAGCAAGGGGCATCTGCTAGTTCCGGAAGAACCGTCGTGGAGTATTCGTACGGAGGACTTCGTCTTGTTACACAATCCTACCTACCTTGTGAGGAAGGGCAGATACTGAGTATCCCGAGTCTGTAGCTACCTTAGGTCTGGGAACTGTTATTCAACAAACGGCGCCGCGCTGTCTTCTACGATGGAGACCTGTTCAACACCTCCTTCCACTTCCTCGCCATCTCCATTCCCTGCGCAAGAGTGCCGACACGAGCATCGATCGCGTAGCCCTGCTTCTCCAGCTCGCCCAACTCATTCCACATATTGTCCAGAGGTAGCGAGAATGTCTCGATGTACTCTCCTTCCTCCAAGTCGGGTTCTAAGTTGCCCTCCTGGTTTCGAGGATCAGACATATCCACTTCAACAACGATCATCTTGGTGTTGGTGTTGCAGAAACCGGGATCATTAAACATCAAAAAACCCTCAGCGGCTTTTGCGTCTTGTGGAATTGTGCCAATGTATCCCGTCTCTTCCTTAAGCTCGCGGACGGCAGTGGTTTTAGGGTCTTCTCCTTCGTCAATGAGGCCAGACGGAACTTCGATCGCGACTTTGTTGACGGCCGGTCGGAATTGCTTCTGGAGCAGTAAAGAAGGACCTTTGGAGGACTTCGGGTCGTTGAGAATGGCTACTACACCAACCGCATCGACTTCGCTGTTCTTGGGTCTGGTCTGGCCGGGAATCTGTCAGTGACGACTTGCTGCACCTGAAGAGACACACGTACCAGTCTCTCTGCCGATTCCCATAGCCTTTGTTTTCCCGCCGGGTCGCGATATGTAATCTTTTTCAAGGTGATCCATTTTGATTCACCTTCCGGCTAACAAGCTTCAGTAATCAGACATGCATTTTGGTCTCACGCATTGCCAAGGGACGCACCATCGCTTCTACTGAGGTCACCTTTGCTGCCTGCGGTGAGTACGTAGACATTTTCTCCACCATCGTCAACAGCCTGGGTGAGGGAAGTGACAATTGATTCCTTCTAAGGAGTCGCAGCAAGGCGGTCGTCATATGCAATCACAAGTCCGTCTCCGGTAAAGAGAAAACGGCCAAAACTACCTTATGCGACGCGATCACTTAAAGCTGGGTTTGTATCATGACGTCGATCGCTGCGACGAGGCTGAGCTAGTCCTGATCAAGACGAGGGAGGAATCCGCCATCTGCCTCGTACTCGTACCAGTACAACTTGCCCCGGTCGCAAACCGGTGAAGTGCACTCGCACCCATTGGTCAGGAGCAGCATCAACATGAATTCCAGCGCAGGTAAGACCAGGTCGGAAAGTTTTTAGGTGAGTCGATTTTTGTTGGGTTAACCTTGGGCTAATGCTGATCCTCCCCGATCTTGAAACACGCGCCCCGCCGCTGGTCAGATTACTGTAGGAGCACAAAGACACACCTTCGGATTTATATAGAAGAAAGAAGCTTCTCTGACAGCCTCGGTTTCATTATAGCAGCCAAAGGTGTGCATGCCCCTCATTGCAGCGGCGGTGAGAGTTCGGGTACAGAAGGGTTCGCTCTGCATAGCACTAGTGTTCAACTAGGCATTTCACCAACACCAACACCACCGCGAAATCGGCTCCCAGCCCCCACATTATCCTTTGCTGGTGTCAAGGTGGTATTCGTCGGTTTTTTCACGTTACTACTGCATGACGATGGTCCCCAAATAATGAGCGGGCGCAGCTGGCTTCCTCATGTGGACTGACTGGTCCTTACTGATACTCTGGTCTGTGCTCCTGAGCCTCATTCTAGTGCCTCTATTTTCAGTGCTTGGAGGGCCGTGCTTGCCGACTAGCGTACTGTAGGGCCACATTGACTTGCAGTTCTTCTCTTCGGGTTTGCTGGGATCTGTTTGCGCCTGGAGAGTTTCGAGGCCATCTCACAGCGACAGCTTGCGACCGTCGGAGCCCCAAATGGTGAAAGAAACCATCGCAAGCCCTCGCTTATACAGTAACTCGTATCGACCCGTCTCCCACGCACCGCTCGCACTATCAGGCCGCGGCCGTGAGAATAAGATACGATAATGGTGCACGTGCATCGCCGGCAATTGGGTGCCTCTGGGTCTTCTCCCGGCAATGTCTAACATTTATCGACACCCGGCCGAGTCCTATTGGCCAGATACGGGTCTCACACCTCCCGTCATGCTTTTCAATACGTTGCATGCAGTCAACTAGCCAGTTCTGGGCACCAAGTCATGAAAAAAGCCGATGCTGGACCCTCGCATGGCCCCAGGTGGGCTCGGGATTACGGAGGCGACGCTGACAGACTGGCTGTGATGGCATGAGATCGTGGAGGGTCTGGCCGCTGGCATCCCGATGCGACAGCTGAAGGCAAACCCCGCTTCCAGCATAGGGCTACCACCTATTGTCGAGGACAAGGGAAGCCTCCGAGAGGCGCTCGTGCAGGTACACTTCGCACGTACTGGTCCCATCCTCCTCAATGGCCCCGGCTGCTACCACTGACGAGCACTAGCATACACGTTGAATTCTTTTTTAGACTCCAGTATGCCGCCATCCATCTCACAACTGCTTTTTTCTGCCCTTTTCTCAGCCTGGTCGTTGCGGCAAGCGTTTTCCTGTTCTTTGCGCAGTGTCCTGTGCGGCGCATTCGCCAGCGTTCACAGCCATGGCGAGGCTCCTACAGTCATCGCTATTGTTGTTGCTCACATGCGCTGGTCTGTCGCTGGCTCAAGATAATACAACCTCGGATACGACGACCTCACTATTTACCACTACCACGTCACTAAGCTCGACGACAACGACATCTGACTTCACGACGACGACGACGACGACGACACCATTCACAACTACCACAACTACCCCTCTGACAACGACTACCACTACCACCTCCCTTTTAACCACCACAACGACACCATTGCCAACAACCACCACCAGTAAGTCTGATTTCCCAGCCTTTCCTCGTCTCGAGTCTGCTCTCTTTCGCATCTGGTTTTGCGTTGCTTTTGCCTTTACCTTTGCCTCTGCTCTTTATAATGTTCGTTTCGTGGCAGCAACCACAAGCTACACGACGACTTCTGATACCACGTCCTCCTCATCCTCGTCGTCGTCTACATCCTCCAGCACTTTGTCGACCTCTGAGACGTCCACTTATACTTCCCCTTCTTCCACCGTAGTTCCCACCACGACCACTACCACGGATAGTACTACCACTACCACGCCTCCCCCTTCTCCAACTACCACCACAACAAGCACTACCAGTGAGTATTCGTTTCGATATTCATCTTTTGTTTATGTGTGGCTGGAATTACTGCTGTTTGACCGCGCCATACTAACGCAGAATCCTATTCCCAGCCCCGATCACTACTTCATCAACTACAACGACAACAACAACAACGTCCGAAACGCCCTCATCCACCACAACCACAGAAAGTACAACCAGCAGCGAAACCCCAGTCGTCATAACCACCACCAGCTCATCGATCTCGTACTCTACCCACACAGAGACAGTCACCTCCGTCATTCCCACCACTTCAGATGGTGTTCCAGCATTTACGACCTTAACGTCGGTTGTCGTTGCAACGTCGCCAGCTACTACAGTAGTAAACGTCGGCACACTTACAAGCACACCGGGGGCGAGTCCGTCCATAGCAGCAGAAAATAGTGGGTCTGGTGGCAGTTCCGGTCTGTCTACTGGAGCTAAAGCTGGCATTGGAGCTGGCGTTGGTATTGCCGTAGTGGGCGCAGCTATTGTAAGTTTTCTTTCCTCTGAGGCCGTATCTGCAAAGTACCATATGCAAGGTCAGAAGCGCTAACCCTCGCCCAGTTTGGTGGCTGGTATTCGTGGTACATGCGACGACGTCGCAAGCGTAACTCCCTCGATCACGACAATTATGATGCCAATGGGCCGATCCCAGGCATGAGCGAGTATGGCGGTTCGGCAACCGGAGGGCGTTCAGGCATGGGCGCCATGGCTGCAGTGGCTGGGTACTCCTCCAACCGATCTGATACGCGATCATCCGAACTCGCTACTTCTCCTCCTCTACAGCCTCCCCCTAGATCTCCTGATCGACTCCTTCCAGCTGCGGCGGCGATCCGCTCCTGGGGATCGGTTTCGCCTCCACTTCCGCAAGGATCGTCAGGCATGTCAGTCTCTGACGCGAGCGAGTACTCTCAAGGCCAGACAACATCCCATCTACCCCAACAACAGCAGGGCCCTATGAGCCCAGCTGCTGCAGCTTACGTCAACGAACTGCCTGAAGACCAACGAAACATCCACCAATTGCCCGATAGCCAAGCACAGGGACGTCCTGAGCAGTCGCATCAGCGTCACCTCTCAGGCGACTCGGGGCCAATTTCGGCGCCGAGCGGCACGTACTCCCAAGATGATGGCTACTACCCTCATCCCTCGGACGGGCAGAACCCTTACGAGCTACCTGGTGGGCAGGACGCGGGCCAAGGTAACTACCGAGGTGTAGATCCAGAGGTGCCATTACATCAGAGATATGATAGGGTTCCTATAAGGCCGGGACACCTAGGTCCTTCGCATAATTTTTGATGGTGTTATGAAGGATCTAGCAAAAGTCGGGATATATATACATGACAAGTACGACTAATGTGAAAAATGTTAATATTGATACTGCCTGTTTCTTTCGCGCCTGTTAGGATGAATGGGTTCTGATTATCCTAGCGCGACAACTGGATATGAGCTGGTCGAATAGTCGGTCCTAGTGGACGGTGGATGGTAGATTTGTATACCACAGAAAGAAGGCATGGCACAAGGTCTCATTGCTTAGTCCGCGTGTGCATGTATAGCGGCCAATATCAGTGGACCTGAATGTGAGACTCTTAGCATGTACGTAGCATAGACAGGTGTCTCTCTCGGTGTGAGTCATATATGTGGCACGAATGGAGACTGGTAGGTGTGTTGTTGCTCAACGATGTACGAGTACGACGTCCACGATCGATCCCATATACAGGTGGTGTTTCCCACGTCATGTCAACCTCACACGCCCGGACACTGCAGACCAGTATCCGAATGTCGAGCTGCCACGTTGGATTTCATCTGGTCCTGGTTGCTTCCCACTGTCTTGTACAATCTTTGGTGTGAATCAGGGGGTTACTACAATATACACATTCATTGGTTCGAGCCACGCACGACACACCGAAAGACTTTCGAGTCCTGGTTTCCCAGGCTCCCAGCGTCACCGAAAGTGTCCGCGAGAGAATTATTATTGTTTACTTGTTTTATTCGACGGAGTACGCGAACTAGAAACTTCAGAATCCTGACCGGGCCAGACGTCGACTCGACGACGATTTACACGCTGGGAAACAGTCACATATTGATTGATCTATTGATCAACCTCACTCACTCCTCAGGCAGTTCGGTCACCAAAGAGAAAAAAAACACCGCCACCTCCCTAGATCTAGACAGTGGTACCGACTTGACCATATACCTACCTAATCGCAATCCACAAACATGTCTTCCACGCAAGTGCCTCAGGGGCCAGAGTCCGAGGGCAAGAAGCCCGTCGTGTGTGTCTTGTAAGTTGATACCCCTGTACCCTGCCGCATGATCCTATCGAAATTTCTTTTTTTTTTTCCTACTTCGTCTCCTCCGAACCCCTGTGCGACGGCGGGATGATGGACGAGAGTGAAGATGACGACGACGACGACGACAATGGTATTTAGTCACTACTGACTGACGGATCTTCTACAACAGCTGTGCTTCGTCTCCAGGCAAGAATCCAATCCACCTAGAATCGGCGCGGACACTGGGCAAGGCGCTGCACGAGGCGGGCTACAACCTCGTCTACGGCGGGGGCACGATGGGCATCATGGGCGAGCTGGCGAGCACGCTGGTGTCCCTGAGCGGGCCCAGGTCGGTGCAGGGCATCATCCCGCGGGCGCTGATCAAGTCGGAGCTGGTGGTGGACCCGTCGGGGACGAAGACCGCGAGGAAGACGGAGCGGACGATGACGGCGCAGCAGCTCCGGCGCATCGACAGCAACGACGACCCGGATAGCCAGATCGTGCCCGAGTCCGAGTTTGGCGCCACGCGCATCGTGCCGGACATGCACACGCGCAAGAGCATGATGGCCCGCGCCGTCGAGGCCGGGGCGGCCGGGTCCGGCTTCGTCGCGCTCGCCGGCGGCTACGGCACCATCGAGGAGGTCATGGAGATGGTGACGTGGAACCAGCTGGGCATTCACAAGATCCCCATCGTGCTGGTCAACATCGACGGGTACTGGAACGGCCTTCTGGACTGGGTGAGGAACTCGATCAGGGAAGGCTTCGTGGCCGAGGGGGCCGCCAACATCCTCGTCGAGGTGAAGGGCACCGACGAGGTTGTCCAGGCCTTGCGCGACTATCAGCTTGCCCCTGGTAGATACAAGCTGGATTGGAGTTTAGAATAGATTTCGCCCACACACGAACACCCTGGAAAAGCATCGGCATAGATAAGAGACACGGTCAAACAATACTGGGAAAGGCAAACAACCAACAAGAGAAGAGAAAAGGACTCGACGGATTCAAATCACCGACTTGCTCTCGTTCCATTTACCCCTGCCTGATACATGGTAGAGTTGGTATTGTGACAAGCCCTTTCTTCGCGCTCCAATAACGCCGTGCCGAATGCATTTGCACACCATGTCGGTATTTTCTCTTTTCCTATCTTTTTTGGGTGTCTCATGTCAAATGTCACTACGAGTCCGTCTCCATCGCATCTCCCTCTCCACCTTCTGCACCCGTCGATTCGACATTCGCTTCCAACAGAGGCCCAATTTCTTGTCCATCGTAGAGTTTGAATTTCTCAAGCTTCTTTCGGCCGTCCTTCTCGCCCACGCCTATCACTGCCAAACTCGTGTTGTCCACCGTCAGCTCCTTGTCCTGGGCCAGACTCTCCTTCAGCGCCAGCAACGCGTGCTTGATCAACTCGTCCCTACTGCAGTCGGCAAACTCGTCTAGATGTCTCTCGAGGTATGTTCGCGCCATCTGGCTGCGGGCTCCGATGGCGCAAGCCAGCATCTCTTGCGTCAGACCCGAGGGAGAGAATTCAAACAGGTGAGGTCCCAGCTCGTCGACGCCAGCCACTAGCAGTCCGACACCGTAGGGTCTCTTGCCGTAGTGTTGTGTGTTGGTTTGGGCTCGGTCGCCGATCATGTTGACGATGCGCTCGACCGGGATGGGTCGGCCGTATGTCATCTTGGAGGATAGGGACTGCTGCTTCATAAAGTTCGAGAGGACGCGGGCATCAGAGGCAAGGCCGGCGAGGGCGACTCCCAGATGGTCATCCACACCGACGATCTTTTTCTGGTACGACGAGAGTTCTTCTGCGTTTCTCTGTCGCATATACCATGAGTGATTGATTGTGCAACGGCATTTCTGAGCCAAGGGAAGGGGAATACAAACCTTCAGTGCCGTCAGGACGACATGTTTCTTGCTGGTGATTCCCACAACTACGGAACCTTGCTTGACAGCCTCTTGAGCATATTCGACCTGAAATATTCGACCTTGAGGTGAACTGCGGATGGGGTCAGTTATACAGGTCCCGAGTGCGGCCGTCGAGGGAGGTGAACTGCCTTACAATGTGACAGAGTCGTTGTCGTAGTTGTTTCTGAACATCTTGATGAGAAGCTTGAGGAGTCGAATCGAAAGGTGGGAGAGAAAAGGAATCTAATCGCAGGTTGTAAGGAAGTACTCTGTAGTTGTATGTAGAGAGGCCAGACAATTAGGCAATTGAGACGCGCAAATCGATCGTTCTCCGCGAATCAGTCGGAGCTTCTTGCAGCGACCCCGAGTCACCACTGACCAGCATCAACCCAGCCACACACACACCCACCTTCACACCACCTTACTTAGTATTACTGTGTGGCCTACGGCTGCTTCATTGATACGATTTATTCTTTGCACGCCTCTCTCGCCCTCTCCAGACGTTCATTACACCAACCGTTGCATTCGACTGAGAGTCCCCAGCCGCCAGCAAGCGCCAACCCGTACGGATATACGACACACTCCATTCCACGATGACGGCAGGGTTAAAAACAATCATCGCTCTCTCCTTTGTACGTTCGCATCCGGTCCACAAGTTCTCCGGAGACAGAGAGAGGAGAGTGTGTGGTAACTGACAGTTCCAAAAGGTCCTCGCCATCGGCTTTCTCCTCGTCATCCTTTCCGCTGCGCTCTTCCACAACTTCCTCACCCTCCTCGTGGTAGCGACATATGTGTTAGCGCCGGTCCCGAACTGGATCGCTTCGAGATGCGCGAACCCCGATGACTTTATCGAGAGCAATGCGAGTGCATGGATCGATCTGGGACGGTTCTCGACTGGGTTTTTGGTTGTCATGGGCATTGGTAGGTTTCTGTCCCGGCGAAAATGCTGAAGCCTAGAAAAAACAAAAGAAGGCCGAGATGCGCTGACACAAGAGACTTGCACGTACAACAGCCCTACCCGTTCTCCTGGCTCATTGCGCCCTCATCAAGATCCCGGCCATGGTCATGTCGATCGTCGGCGGTCTTTTAATTTACGGAACCATCATCAGTTTCACCCAGTTCTTTAAGGAGGAGCAAGACTTTTGAAGTCGGTAGGAAGATTACTGTGTAAGGATAATAATGGTTTGCGACGCTCGTGGCGGGGGATATACTGGGTGACTACAAGGATAACGTGGCATTTCCTTGGACGAAATCATGCGGTTGTGAAAACTGAAAACATTACTGGACGTTCCTACCTGTTGGTAACGGCACGTGAGGTTGAGCTCCAGATCATATATTCATTTGATAGCAGGCAATTTTGAAGCGGCACATGGAAACAGTGATCTACAGACCAGGCAACTCGAGAAGAGGGGCCAACACGTATTGATCAAGGGGAGTGAGAGTGCAGGCTGCCATTTCTTTTAGTCGCCCAAGATATATGTAGCCTCGCATGCACGGCACCATGAGGCCGTGTTCCCTCGTACATCGGCGGGCCAGCTCGTTACAAACGTTCGCCTGGGATGTACTAGAGGTGTAGTTCTGAAAATCTACGGTTAGAATAGCACCTGTAGGTTATAGCATCGTCGGGAGTGATCATAGCATCGACGAACAAGTCAGATACGTTTAGAAACTACCAGGTATTGGCCTGATCGATGTACACTGGAAGGCATATAGACTGACGGCGCCCCGACATGTAGTAGTCCGGAAGTAGTCAAATGTACATCTTGTAGCTAATCTTGCCCATAGATTTCGTGCCAGAAAGCGTCAGGGACGCTCCGCCTCCTGAAAGCGTCCGAGGTCCGCAAGTATGGACGGCGGCAGCATACGAAGCAGAAAATTCATACAACATGCAAAGCCTGCCAGGTTTGACAGACTCGTCACCAAAATCATATTTTCACAGTCTCCTCGTCGACAACTCCAAATATCGCCTCCATAGGGTCCTTGTACTTGACAAACCCGCAGAACGGAGGGCTGATCGCATAGCCCAGCAGACGCCGCGCTTTGGGAGAGAGCCGCTCAGCCTTCTCGGGCGGCACCATGAAATACTGGTTCTCGACCTGGCGATACATGCCCTTGCACAAGAATATGCCGACGGTTTCGCGAGCTTCGTCACTTTGTGGTGCGGCCGGCGTGTCAGTCAGTGTTCCAGGAACGACAATCATCAAAGGGGGGGGGGCTCTAAGAATAAAGACAAAAAAAAAACCGCGCGCCCCTGAGATTCAAAGCATCCGAGGGGCTCCTACTTACGTGGTAGTGTTGGCGCCTCCAGCGTGATACGTGCCTCCCAAGAACAGCATCGTGTCTCCCGGGTTCAGCTCTGCCGGGAATGCTTCCTGGTCGAGCGGCATCCGGTCGTCTCCCCACTTGTGAGACCCGGGGATCACGATCGTGGCGCCGTTGGCCTTTGTCGTTCTGACGAGGGCGGTCACGGCACCGAGCATCATGGCCTTGTCTCCCGGCCGGGTGTGGTAGTCGATTTCGTCGCGGTGGAGGCCCTGCTGCTCGCCGCCCGGGTTCACCTGGAACCCGACCGTGCTCGAGATCTGCGGCTTGGAAACGGCGGTCTGGCGCTCCTGGCCGATCCAGTACTCGTATCTGGACGTCAGAAGCCGCGACGCGACCTCGGTGAGAAGGGGATGCAGCGCCAAATCGACGCATCCGTCCGAGATCCCCAGCAGCCCGATGGCCCGGCGCGTGGTCTTTGGGAAGAACCCGGACACATCTCCTCCGTCTGCCTCGAAGTAGGGTTTGAGGTCTGCCCGAATCTGAGCCGCTGTGTCGGGGCTGATGAAATTCTCAATGATGATGCCGCCGTCACGTTCGAGAATGTCCAAAAGAAAGTCTACACTTGCCTCGGCCGCGTTGACGCGGACGATACTTGGTGTTGCAGTTTCTGAGATGGCCATGTTAGCCACAAAAAGTCGGGGAGAATCGAAAAGATTACAATGATCAGGGTGATGCAATTGTGGTAAGCTGAACCAGACTTAGCCGTGAATCTTCAAGACCATATATCAACGTGTGGCCGGCATATATAATGCGTCGAAAAGGGGTCTCCGCGGCTTCAGGGAAAGCATGTCTCTTTTCAATGCTGCCATAGTTAGGCTTTGCTAATCAAGTGAATGGGAAAACCATCCTGATTGCATCGACAGATATGGCTCGAACACGAGGTGGTGGGTGGAGCACCGGCTGCTGGTCGACCAATCGAACGAAACTTCCATCTTCGGTTTAAGATGTCGGCCGGCTGGGCCAATAGGTGCCACCACTCGGTCCCGGGATGCAATGCTAAGGTTCTCGCATCGCTACACTCGCTGTATTGCCGTGACTACTTGAGCTGACGGCCGATAAGAAATAGAATCGGAGTATCGAAGACCCTACATAGAGGTCTAAATGACTCGGCAGGGTGTCGGGGTTTCTTGATCTTTTGTATTTCCGTCACTTGGTCTTCCCTGCAACAGCTTCGTCTCGTTGTATGGGTTGCGCTGTTTTAATCAAATCCAAATGCTGGACATGCTTAGAGGAAAAACTGCAGACCCATGTCTTCCATGACATCTACCCAGTGGAGGCCTTCTGCAGACTGAGGGTGATCATTTGGCTGGGCTAGGGCGTCGCCTCGTGTCCATACTTGACTGAGAAGAAGTCTTATTGTTCGATGCCCGTCAAGGTTGACCATCTTCTCAAGGGTCAAGATTCTCTCGACGACGAATCGGCGCCAAAAAGGTGTTGAACCACTGCTTGCGTCGTCCATGACATCACTGCATTCGAGATTCGAGAGCGGTGGAGGCGTCGAGGGCGAATTTCCCATTATCTGTGGTAAAAGGACGCTGCCTGCAATCAAGAGAGGGAGATGATGCAGTGACCGCGTCCTGGAGTCTGTCGGGATACTTGACAAAAGTCGTAATATCTGCAACGCGAGCATTTGCAGAACACCAGTATATGTGAGATCCAGACATTCCAGCTCGGCGAAATGACTGGTTGAAGGATCCTGCAAAATGTTCGCGGCCAGATCTAAGGCCTCTCGCCATTCCAAGCCACTATCAAGAGATCTAGCACACTCTAGCATCGCTGCCAGCTGGCAACAACGTGCTAAATTCCTCAGATCCGATTTTGAAGTATGCTTGTCGAACGTGTCCGCGATTTGGGAGTCATCTGGAATGTCGTAGCGTAGTAGCTCTTCGAGTAGGCGATGTGACGCCTGGGAGAGTTCGAGGTGGGAGCGGAGTCGGGCGCTCTCGGTGGCAGTGCAACTCTCACCGAGGACACCGCCGTGCAATAGCCTCCTCTTCCACCGCACAATGCATCCTGCTTTTGCCAAGCACAGCCAGGGAATGGCACTTAACCCCGTCCAGGGATGAACACACACGGCTTGCGCTCGGGGAACGGTAAAGGCAACATCCAAGTAATCCAGCTGATGAATATCCTGATCTATCAGGAAGGCAGCCATGGATTCCCAGTATGCCTGCAGGCCCAGATAGAAATCTAAGCGGGACCATTCACCATCGGATACTTGTCCGTGCCTGAATTTGTGGTCGATCCAACATCGGAATAAGGCGCGAGCGCCGGAGATGTGTTCAAGTCCAAGACCAGAAGAAACATGCCACGAGGTCGTCACGCCCAGCATGATGACTCCAAGCAGAGCATTTTCAAACCTCTGGTTCGGGACGATGGACGAAGAAAGGTGCGGGAGGATAGTTTGTATTTCTTTCGTCAGTTCGGATACTGTAGCGGTAAGATATTCCAAGCTGTCGAGCGACAAATGCGGGAACGCGTTGCGAAGATGACCGGCCGACATGCTCAAAATGCATGACTGGACAAGGGGCGACGAGGTCATCAGAGCCGGGATCTCGCTTCGAAGCGGATTCGCAGGGGAATCGAAGCAAGAATTGATGACGCAAACCTTGCGAAAGTAGTGAGCCAGGAGGAGTACCATCTTGTCGTTTGATGGCTGCACGTCTCGGGGCAGGGGAACCATGGCGGATGATGCGCCTTCTCGATCCCCCAATCCATCATGCATCAGGATAGACGACCCGCATCGCTGTGAACGATGAATGGACCATGCGTCCTTCTCCAAGGTTGAGGACTGAAGGAATTGATGCTTCTTTTTCCACGTGAGCGATCTGGCATAACCGGGGCAAGCAAAGCTTCGCCTCGAACAGTTCAGACAGCTGGGAACCCCGCCATCACATTTGATGCGGCGTTCTTTGCAAGTGGCGCAACCGGCTAGACGATGCGGTCAGGGCTACCGTCGAGGTAATGGCGCATAATCTCAACGTACCTCGGGAGTTTTGCCGTTGCACAGGACGAAATTGAGCTGTTGTTGAGAGGGAGGTCCCAAAAGCAGCCATCAAGCACTGGGAACTGAACGGAGATATGGAGTACGAGCAGTGAGGAAACCAGAGGTTGGCAAGGGTTAGGCCCGTCAACGGCGACCAGGGTCGACAATCCTGGGGAGACCTGAGTCTCTTGTGGACAATCGAGCGAACGTTGGGAGGAAGAATAGATAAGACACTGTACGGGTAGCGGCCTGACACGCACTGATATTGCGTCTACCGGATCGGGCGTAGCGCCATCCTCCGCGCTGCCCGCGTCGGTTCTGTACCTCGTTCTGGCTCTTAGACTCGTGGTTATTCTCATCCAACTATTTTGTTTCTAGATCTTCGTCGGCAACGAGCCAGAATGGGTACCGTGAGCCACTTACACCGCAACTGGGTAACCGGGCCACTCTTTCATCCTGAGGCTGAGCTTGAGGAAGAAGTACCTGAAGACTTCGTTGACTCGGCCGTGAGGCTCTTGTTATAGACTTATGCCTCACCAGAGGCCAATGGCTCTTCCTTTATGTTCTTCTCCTTTACCGAATGCCCAATCTGTGCTGCAATACGGTTCGTCATATACTTCTCAGTATTGCCAATGAACAAGCAGGCTATGATGGCGCAAATGCCAAAGGGGATGCTGGTGTACCAAACATATTTGAGCGCGTATGCATAACCCCAGCGTGAACCGATGGCAGCCGCCTCCAAGACCGCGGGTGTTACGCCAGGCACTGTCCCGATAGCAGCGGGGTTCAGAAGGAACGTTTCGACGAACTGCTTTGCCGATGTGATGGGGAGGCCGGCTTTAATAGCTGCCTCAGCAACTGCTAATGGTAGGTGATGCACGAGTTTCTGATAGAAGATGTTATAGTAGATACTATAACCGATGGAACCGCCCACGACACGGATCGACAGTGATAGAGCCACACAAGTGGCAATCAATTCATCAGGCCTGACCAAAGTTTAGCATATGTGGCGTCTCAGCCGAAACAAAACGCTCAAGCTCGACTTACGCAACGGTGATAGCGATCGTGGCTGCTGGCACCAAGACGCCTCCGATACCAATTCCGGAGAGGACGACGAAGACGTAAAGTTTGGCCGTCGAGTCTGGGTTAAGATCTGCCAAAGCTCCGCCAAATGCGGTCATCAGTATACATGAACCCACTAGCAGCTCCCGATTGTATCCTCTCAACCAGGACAGAGCCGAGTTCACCACAGTTGCCCCCAGGGTAACACCGAGGGCAGCCGCCAAACCCTTCAGCCCAACTTGAACTGGATTGGGATCGAAGACTGTGGAAGATTCCAGTGGGAAAAAGTTCAGTGACGAGTAGAAGTTCACTCCCCCAACGAACGCAACCAGGAATGAGACAGCGACAGTCCTCCGTCCCTTGAAAAGCTCGGGTGGAACAATTGCGTTTGTGGCAAATTTCCATTCCCAGACCACGAACCCCAGGATGAGCGCGATGCCGATCAGCAGGTTACACAAAACGTAAGCCGATGACCAGGGGTGGCTATAACCACCAGCCTGCAGGGAGACGAGGCTGCCCAGGCATTAGCGAAAACGTCTGTCTACAAGACGGGAGGCTTACAAGAGTGTCAAGCCAATTATGGACAGGAGGCCGCCAACGTAGTCAATGCTTTTCAAGATTTGCATCTTGCTCGCCCCATCTCCTCTTCTGGCAGCTTGAGGGAAGTACGTCAGGGCAATACCGACGAAGGCGATACCGTTGTAAATCCTGATTGAACAGTCAGCGGTGAACCTTGAACGATTCCAGCTTCAACCAACAATGAGATCCACATGCCCCATCTCCATGTGTGGTAGGTGCTAAGGAGCTGTCCATACATCACATAGGGGACGAAGGGAATCACGAAGAAAGTGACGAGACCCAGGTAAAGTCCTCGCAGTTTGACAGGAACAAGTTCCGCGGTACTGAAACGCATGTCAGTCGTGTCGTGGTCGTCGGGAATCCAGACACCCTACCCTGCTAGAGCAGTAAGCTCGCCAACAGCACCACCAGCGCCGGCAAAAGCCATTCCAGTGACAGCTTGACCGAAGCTATGAGATGTCCCGACGATGATGATGCCAACTATGATGCTAACACCCCCAGCCATCGACATGTACCGACGTCCGAATATGTCTTGCAAATATCCGACGAAAGGGGCGACCGCAGCAATGGCCAAGGTATTGGCCACAGGAAGCCAGGCAGATTTTTCTGGTGATCCAATGTCCTTGACGATGAACGAGAGCGAGGCTCCGACGAAATACAGCGGGATTTGGGCGCCTGTTGTTAAGTCAGTCACGTCTGCCTTTCATGGTCGAGTTCAAATTGAACATACCGACATAAAGGCCAGCAAGCGATAAATAAGCAATGAACCGAGTCAATGTCCATTCAATAGCACCATCGGAATTGTCACCCTGCACGGCATGGCTATCATCGTTGGTGTCGATGCGAAGGCGGGTAACACCATGTCTGGATATCTCTATCCTCTCCGAGGACGGGCCTTCTTTGGTCCGTGAGGCAGCGTCTTCTCCCATTGATGATCAGTTATCGAAGTTCTTGACCAAGTGAGGAGAGTCCAAATATTGCAGAAGAAATTTGATTCAGCTGGGCTACCAAAGCTATTTGTTTCTCAACTCAAGGCTCGTGCGAGGCTCCTTAATATAGCGCTAAACATGAATAATGCTTGACACCATGGTCTCCAGTCAGAGCTTGTTCATTGCTTACCACGATGTCAACACACAGCTATACAGTCCGAAACATGAGACTCGTGACGCGGCTGCACAGCATGTGCGGGCGGTGCGAGGCACGGCTGTTCATACAGGAGGAGCGTGTCAATGGTTCCTGGTCAAAAGGCCCGTCCTGCCGTCTTCCCATTGGCCCACAGGCAATAGTGGGCGAGAGAAGTGAAGTATCGCCCGTTGTCATACTCTGTAGGGTGGACAGGGATGGCGTCGAGGCCCCCACGACCTTCCCCTGACTCCATTTCAACCCCCGCTTATCCACTCCTGCGCGGGAAATACGGGGAAGGCTGGCCTGGGTTGTCGCTCGAATTCTTGACTCCATAATGCTGACTCCGCGACTCGTCATGTCTACGATGATTGACACGGATTTTCTGACATCGCGAGCAGGAACAGCACGCTCGCAAGTCCCATAGGATGGCATCCCTACTCTGTGGCTGGATTCAGATTCCCGCTCGGTCCGGAATTATTTGCAGGGTTGACGGAGTCTGATTCAAGTTGGCTGCTGCGTATTCCATGGTTTGGCTAAACCGGCCCAGGGAAATCAGAATGGCCTTCCAATGCACTACAGTGTCAGTATTCCTGGTTCCGAGTCAGCAGATCGAACGGTATGCATACGCCGTGAACTCGGATGGTGTCTGAGCCGGAACTACTACAGTTGCTTTTTTCCCCTCAAAAAGGCTTGCCATTGTAGGCAAGGCAATGGAACAGTTTCTCGTGCATGCACACCGAAACCCCTTTTAACATTCCCTATCACGGAAGCATCTGTTGGCTAGCCCAAACAAAACAAGTCTACCCAGAGCAATGATGGGACCTTCAAAGGTATCCTCACCGACTCCTGGGAAACTCGCAAAAGCCTGGAATTACCCATTCGTCTGGACAGAACATCATCAAACCCCGGAACAATACGATCATTTGAAATATACCTGTGACACTCTGGCAGAAGAGTGCCTTGATTTCTTGAACGGGCTGCAACCGAGCGAAGGCCAACTTCTGAACGGTCAAGCGGATGCCAAAGATGGAAGCGGTGGTGCAAGGGCTTCGCCGCAGAAGAAGAAGAAGGACCTCTACGCTCTGTTTCGAGACCATCATGCCGAGAACGAGAAGACCCAGAAGCTCTGGGAACAAGTCACCACGATCCCTGAATGGGTGGATTGGGATCAAATCGCTCGGGGCCAAGACGTGTTCTTCAGATACGGCGAACCCATCCTTATAGGTTTGACATATCAATCTCTTGTGGGAGGCACGGCCAGCGCCAGGGCGACGGAAGTCCTCTCGAGGACGGGAGGGTTTGGGATCAAGAACGTCTGGCGCCGCATGCTCGAAACAACGCAGTTCATCCTCGAGTGCACGAACGACCTCGACTCTATCAAACCAGGCGGCGCTGGATTCGCAAGCTGCCTCCGAGTCAGGTTCCTCCACGCCACAGTCCGTCACCGCATCCTGCAAATCGCGGAGCGCCACCCTTCGTACTATTCAACGGAGAAGTGGTGTATCCCGATCAACGACCTGGACTGCATCGGCACGATAGCTGTCTTTGGGGCCACGGTCGTCTGGCAATCCCTGCCGCGACAGGGGATCCACCTCCGTCCGCAAGAGATCGAAGACTTCATCGCGCTCTGGCGCCTCGTGGGATTCTACATGGGCACTCCCACGGACCATTTCTCCACCCCGGAGAAGGCGCGGGCCATCATGGAATCGCTGTACATGTACGAGTACACTCCGTCGGAGACGTCGAAGCTGCACGCCAACAACATCATCCTGGCCGTTTCGGAGAACGCCCCGACCCCGACGAGCCGCTCGTACCTGGAAGCCAACGCCCGCTGGCTCAACGGCGACGGACTGTCGGATGCCCTCGGCATCGGCCGACCGGGGCTTTACTACCGCACGCTCATCGCGGGACAGTGCCTCCTGCTGAAGATGACGTGCTACACGGCTCGCGCGGTTCCGTTCCTGGACAGGAGCCGGCTCAGGAGCGTCCGAAAGATGGTGTGGACCAGCATCACCTCTCCCGGCAGCGGCTTGCAGGAGCTGACCACTTTCGACTTCAAACACGTGCCCAACGTCGGCGACCATTCGAAGAACCAGGGCTCCGAGCTGTCGTGGGCCGAGAAGAAGTCGAAGCCGTTCTGGACCACCGACCGCAAAACCCTCGCCACGTTGCTGTTCCTGGGCGTCACCACCGTCGCCGTGACCTGGGGGCTCGCAAAGGCAGCACTGGTGACCTATCGCGCCGCTGACCCACAGATTGAGAAATGGTCGGCTTTTCTCGGTTCCCGAATCGCAGCGGCGTACGTACATAAGTGAGATAGATGACTACTGCCTCTTTTTGGTGTGAGCATATCATTTTAAGACATGGGTAGAGTGAGTAGTAGGGCGCATATGCGAGTATTAGGTAGTACCTACACTGAACACTTGATTGAGAATACGAGTATTGGAAGTAGAGTGAGTGCCATGCAAGGTTTAGTTAGTATCTGGCTACATTGAAACAATTCTTGGAAGTAATGTGTGACAGGTTGATTAGTTTTGAGAATCTACCTACCTAGTACATGTACTCTTTAGACCGAAAGACGCCTGTCGATTCGAGTTTTTTGACTTGAACCTTTTAGAAGTTAGCAAGGAGCTACCACTACTTGTTTCAATTCTGTACACCGGATGAACCCATGGTTCGTTTACATGGCAGGAACTCAGAGATTCAGCATCAGATAGGACAGTCCATCTCATTAGCTTTATCAAGCTCCAGCTCCTTTTAGTTCTCCTCCTCCTCCTCCTTCTCCACTTTCGATTTCGATTTCGGTTTCGGATTTAATGAGCACCATGTCACGGATTCTCATCGGCTCAAAGCTTGATGGCCGAGAAAATCCTTTATAAACTCATGACTGGGTCTTGAATTGTTCCCATAACGCGGTGCCACTGGACGTGACTCCGTTGACGGTTCCCTCAATGGTGCCGATCCACCTGGTGTAGAGTCCGACGTCGATCTGAGTGGCCAACTCGGTCACGGTGGCGTTCAGAATGCTGCCGTCGTTGAGCGTCATGGTGATGGTGAGCTGGGTGGGATTGGCGCCGGTCAAGGTCGGTGGATAAGGAGCATCGACTGGTCGAACTTGAAGTCCGGTGGTGCAAGTCGAGCCTACGACCTGACCGTCCTTCAAGACGTAGCCGCCAACCTTCTCGTTGTTGGAGGGATCGATCATGTCGAAGAAGACAACGTTGTAGTCGCCGAATGTGCCGTGGCCCCAGTACCAGCTGTTAAGCGCAGTGATGAATGGGACGTCACCCCAGTTCTGTGGATGAGAGGACGCACGTCAACACGTCAATTTTCACAGAGCAATGAGAGAATAAAAAAAATCACAGGAGTCAGTTTGTGGTTTCTTTTTCGCTTACCTTGTCATGATAGCCGTTACCAGAGAACTGCATCTGCGTGCCCAGGATAGTTACGTCGACACTGGCAGAAGCAGCTGGCATGACGTTAACCCATCCGACATGGGGGAGTACTTCTTCGGGCTGACCGCCTTCCAATGGCCCACAAACGTAGTGTCCGGGTCCGCGCTGGAAATCAACAACATCAGATTAGAGGACGACGGGCATCAGGACGCGAAAGAGGAGTCGGCAGTATAGACTTACAGTAGTCAAAGTGAAAGTCCCAGAGATTCCGGTGTTCAGCAGCGTGTGTTCGAAAGTGACGGTGTATGTGCTCAAGTCAGAGGCTCCTTCGAACTTGATACCACTGCCAACCCAGTTGCCCGAGGCACCATTGCCAACGGTGTCAACCGTTACCGACGTAGCAGCGACCGGGAACGAAACTGGTTGATTTCCAGAGCCGGTGTTGGCAAAAACATAGACGTTCAGCGGGTCGACGGTGTTCAAGAGATCGAAGCTGAAACCCAGGGCCGACGAGGTGAAGAAGATCACAGTGAGCGCCTGCTCGCCGTCATCCGAGACGGCGTCGAAATACCACCAGTCAAAGGTGGTCGCGTTGATGGGGAAGACGCGTGGACTGTCTGCTCCGCTCGCGCAAGAGGTAAATTGAACTTGGCTTGCTCCTGCATAGAGGATGGGGGAGAACGTCATGGACTCTGCTGGACATTGGGCCGTGGTCATGCCAGCCAGTGCGAGGATCGCACTTGCGACTCTGAAAAAGAGGCTTCTCATGGTGGAGTAGGTGAAGCTTGTTGATAGAGTGACAAACTTGGGTGTAGTGGTGTGAAGAGGTGAGGAAGGGGATGTTACCGTGTAAGGGTCCGACCGTACGAGATTCAGTATTCGATCTTGGAAAGCCACGAACCAGAGCAATATATACCTCCTCGCTCACCATATGTACAGTTGCGCTCACTCGCTAGAGCAAGGACGATGGCGCAGGTTCTGTTGTAGGCACTCTCTACTAGTCCGGTGGTCCCTCCCAACGACATCGGTGGCGTTGAGAACCCATGCCGGCCGGGGAACAATGGCGCACAGGAGACACAATAATGCGCTAGATCTTGGATCTCCTGGTGGAGCAACATCAACTTGCAATGTCTGACTCGGATATATGGACAAAGTAGAGAGTCATTAGCCACTGTTGTCGATCACATGGTGGAATTGTAATTACTCCAACGTTCGAAGGCATGAAGCTTCGCCAAAGAGGGTTGTGGCGTTTCCACCGTTTCTCCCCTGCATCTCCTTTCAGGAACCGGAGTGTGGGGACACGAGCAAACGAATCCTGAGGGTGAGCTTGTCCTCTCTTCGTCCAATGCCGATCGCCGAGTCAGCTCGAACCTGTGAGTCGCCTGTGGAGCTCCCCATGAGGAGCGGGAGCACAACAGTCCAACCCGGAGCCTGCGTGCGCGTTCGGACTGACCATCACTGATCATGTGGTGAATATTCCAACTCTTAAACTTCGGTCACCATGAAACTTTTGCCCAGAGTATTTTGGCAGCTACTGAAAGAGCTAGAACACTTCGTTAGGGCCAATTCAGAGGTCCGCGGTGAGACAAATTTTAAACCCTAGAAGCGTCTTTCGAAGCAGGGCCGACTTCTTTTTAGAGCTTTGACTTGAATTGACCTGGTAAGTCTGACACTGCCGTATGTCCCTTGGGGCCTCATGCACGGGAAAGGTGCACGAGTTTGGTATATCACTTCTGCCTGAGAGGATACCATCAATCTACCTTCAATGTCCGACCTTGAGGATCACTGGGGCGGCTGCAACGTTGACAAACACAGTATTAAACTTGATACAACACGTTGGTAGTGGTGGATGAGATAGTCTCACTATCGTCCCAGAAATCGGTGCAGCGAAGGCAGCAGGGTAGTCCGTCGGCTGCGGGAACTGAACTTGACAGAAAATGAAATATGAACATCCACAACAGGCAACACCGCGCAGGTATCATGAGAACAGGGAGGTCTCAGGGAAGTCTTTGAGCGGCATGTTCCACTGCTCGCATAGAGGTTCGCACCAGTCCTCCTCAGAGCCTGTGGTAAATTTGTCTGGGGAAATCGGCAAATGACTTGGTATGGAGGGCGACTTCATATACCATGATTCCAAGTCATCACACACGGCAGTGAACTCGTGGGAAAACGTGTACCTCCCAGTTGAGGGTCGATATGTACAAGTGTCTCGCAGGGTGTATGGCCACTTGAGGCCAATATCTGCGGCAAACTGTGCGGCCAAACTCTCCGGCGCGTATGTGATACCACTGATGATCAGGTAATCACGAACTTCAGGCCTGTCAATGGATCAGCAAGCAGTCTCGCACACCAGCGATACATGCGAAGCGTACCAGGTAAAGTAATCGATCAATCTTACATGACTAACTTGAAGTTGCAAGTGACTATACTTCATTAGCAATAAAAATTGGGATGGCCTGCGATATGCTAACCTTGGATTCATATAAGCAGGCGGTCTCCGTTCAGGTGTGAGTCGAGGATTGATTTTTGTCTGTGATCATGTTCAGCCTGTCTGATTTATCGTGCGCACGTAAATCAATTGAAACGTACCATAAGCATAGCTCTCATAACCCTCAGAATGGCCATTCGCTCCACCGACCCACTTCTACAGAAGAGACCTTCATCCAGCAACTCTAGCAATTGCCAACCGACATCAAAGGGGTTTCTGCTCCTGGCCGCATCCCACCCGTGTAGTATCGCTCGAATACAAGTGTCATCGTCAACTTCGGGTCCGGAAAACAGGTGGCGGGCGTGGTTATTCTCGATGGTCTCCAATGCTTGATTGAGAATGCTGAAGTAGTCGCGGTCTTGATTTCCGCAAAGAAGATCTGGCAGGGAATACATTTGCAGTAGGGATTCTTGTTGCGCGAAAGCATTTGCGGGCGCTAATGTGTCCGAGGGAAAGCAGCCACACTTGGAGTCCACCACAGAAGCTTCGGTACTCGGTAGGATCGTCTCACACCGGTTTGAAAGGATAGTATCTCGTAGCGAACGGCTCTCTACTTCGGCCCTGAGAAAGGACTCAGAGTCGTTCGCATTACAGCCATTATTGGCGGCATTGGCGACCATGGCAATCCGCGCCAGCGCCTTCTTCAAAGTCTCAATCTGGTCATGCTGTTCCGACAATCGCTTGGAGAGTGCGGCGGTCCCTTCACCCGCCAGTGCTTCTGTCAGCCTTTGGGTGGTGCTTTCAAGGTGTGCAATGTACGCCTTCGTCCTCGCTCTCGTTGCTTGCTGTGACATTCGATCACTGGCCCGTTTCCTTTCACGACGAGAGAGATTCGAATCTCCGCGTCGGCTCCCTGTCCCATGGCGAGAATCGCACTCTGGGGCTGGGGTACCATCATCGCAAGCCATAGATGACACTGAAGATGATGATGATGATGGAGCGTGCAGTGGTCCTCATCAAGAGAATGTGAAACTCAAGTAGAGTCAAGGTAATAAGTATCCTAGAACTCAGTGGATCATCGTGTAACCCAGGAACGTCTTCGAATTACCATCAGCCGAGGCTCCGAGAGAAGACGAAAAGAGAGAAGACGACAAAGGCGGAGATCCGTTGAAGTTCAGTCTTTAGAGACCCCTAGAAAGCAAACGCTAGCACTCCGGGGCACGGGGTCCCCAACTTTAGCTGGAAAGCTTATCGACCGAAGGAGACTGGACAAAGTACCTAGGCAGCTGGTGATGGTTTAGAGACGGGCTAGAAACGTGGCTCGCGCAGGGCGATCAAGGACATGGTGGTGTGGTCCATTGGGCGTGCAGAGTGCTCTGTGGAATACATCTTGACCCGACTGTAAAGATGCGACAACGCATACGCCTAATAAATCAGGACATCGAGTGTCTAGCCAGTTTACCAACCTACCTAGGGTACTCAAGCACCAAGGTCAGGGACACGAGGGTGTCTACCGACCATCGCCGGAGCATCGCACCACCACACCGGACTGCCTGAAGCGCCCACAGTATATAACTCACTCGGCTCCTGACACTCTGAGCCGAGGTGCATAAAGGCGGCATCATCCTCTTACCGGATCGGGGCGGAAGCGCGAGCGGTAAACACCAGGCACGACACCGTTTTTCCCTGATAGCAAGTGCCCGATGCCTCAGCGGCCGAATTAGTCCCATGAGAAGACTTCTGTGGACTATTCAAAGAAACCAGAGTTGAGTTTACAGCTGTCGTATGAGAAAAAGACGAATATGGCTACATCTCACAACGCCTTCGCCGCCGACGCGCCTCACTCAAGCGAATTCGAGACCCGACGCGCTGCACTGGTCAATGATATCGGAGAGGTAAGTCTTGCGTTGCTTGTTGCCCGCAACACTCCTTCGACTTGGGTTGGAAGAAGAAGTGGACAAAAATCAATTATTCTTGCACGCTCTGACGCGTTACGATCGACCAATAGTCTCTGGAACAAGTTCTAACACATATCAACGCTCTAAACCGGAGTCTGGAAGGGATCATTGAGGTGCGTCAACTATCTTTCCAACCCACTGTCGCGTGTGGCGTAGTGTAAATGCTAAGAGACCTCAATGTTAGATTGGAAACGAGTTTGCCTCTGTCGAGGCTCTCTGGAGCCAGTTTGAGACCGTGATGGGTAGGGAGGAGGAGGTCGCCCAGAACCCATCGACTCAGGACGACACTGAGGAAAGTCGGGTCGAACATGATCGGGCATCAAGAGGGTGAAGGGAGGCAATACAAATCTTGAGTACGAACTTACTCGGGGACCGACTGTCCATCCCTAATGCCCTCGACGACCGCAAACGACGAAAGAAACGACGACACCGACAACGTCTTACAGCACACAGAGCCAATGGGTTGCATCTATGTGCTAATTGCAGTAATTTGCCCTTAGTCCTAATCATATACCTACACAGTCAGCCCCATTGTTTATGTCGAGGCCAAATGGGACCAATCAATGTGCCACTCCCAATACAACGCCAGTCATGCACTCATGCAGGAACGCCATCTTGTTATGTGCGTACGTCAAACCAATCCAACCTGTGGTCAGTCGAAGGGAATACATGGACAAATTTCGGTAGTCAAGAAAGGATTCGATGAAGTTGCACTGGACTCCGAGCGCCTATCAGAGGAAAGCACATTTCCTCTTCTTCGCCTTCTTGACCTTGACGCCTTTGCTGTTTGGCTGGGACTCGTAGCTGGCTTCTTCGACTTGGATGGCCGTATTGATGGCCAAATCGAACACCTCTTGAATGCCCTTGTTTTCCTTGGCGCTGCATTCGATGTATGCTGCCCCCATTCTCTTTGCTACTGCTTGGCCTTGTTCTGGTGTCACGGGTGTCAGACCCTGAGTGCGGAGGAGTTCGATGCAGGTTCGCTTGTTTCGTAAATCCGACTTCAGGCCCACGAGGACGAGAGGAGTTGTAGGACAGAAGTGTAGAACTTCAGGGTACCACTAGTTCGGAGAGCGTAAGTAGAGTACTCTCAAACCTAAGCAAGAGAACCAACTGACCTTGTCCATGACGTTTTCTAAAGAGTTGGGACAGTCGATCGCGAAGCAGACGAACAACAGATCTGTTTCGGGATACGATAATGGCCTCAGACGGTCGTACTCTTCTTGTCCGGCCGTGTCCCACAACGCGAGTTCGACTGTCTTTCCTGTTGGCTTGTGCGTAGTCTGCGTGATGTAGTTTTCGAAGACGGTAGGGACATATTTCTGCAACGGGTCAACTTTCTGTTCGACACGCTCACATCTTGTTGCCTGTGTACCTCTGGAAAGTATCCTTGTGCGTAGCTGATCAAGAGACACGTCTTGCCACATCCACCATCTCCAACTACCACAAACTTCTTGGAGTAGGATGCTGGCTGCGTAATGTTTGTGGCTTCTGACACTCGTCCGCTGCTGTTGTAACTCATTCTTGTGCTGACTGTACCATCGCTGGTTCTCGTGCTTTGCATGCGAGTAGGCCGTTTGTTCGGAGATGGAGCGTTGATGTATGAGCTTGACCGACGCTTTTCCGACAGGACTGTGGATGACCGTGAAGGGTAATATTGATCTGTCTCGGTGACCATCGTCAAGGTGGTGAATACAGGGTTTGCGTTCAAAGGGGGCAGAAGAGACGACAACTTTGTTGATGATGGGCGGTAGCAGTATTATATGCTTCAGTATTTACTGCAGTGGTACGAGACTTCAACCATCCGGTAAGCCAGTCAACGAGGAATAAATACAGTTGAGCGTTTGGAGACCACTTCTGCTCAAGATTTTCCAAGTTCCATATATTGCCGCCGTTTCGTGCATGACGCAGGAAGAAAAGGCGCAGGCTGCTATTTACACGGCCCGTTACCGGGCAACAAGCCCCAGAACAGCCTCATCCCCTCACGCGTGAAACAGGGTTAAAGACGCTTCGAAACATCACAATCACGCAAAACAATCCGATGACTTGCATGAGTGACGCGAGGCGAGGAGCTGTTTGCCGAAGCAGATGAACGTTTCCACAAATCTGTCTTCCTCGCCAATGCAAGATACGATGCCTCTGCGCTCCAGACCACGCTTATGCCAGCGCCGCGATGCATTCAACCTCGACATCTGCGCCCATGGGCAGTGCTACTACATTGACACAAGTTCGAGACTGTTCCCAGGCATATCAGCTTCACGGGGATTTCTGGTGTTAGAGACCTGGCTTACTGGGAATGGCTGTTCAAAGCCTTGCACATAGCCCTGGTTCATCGCGGCAAAATTGTCCATTGTGGTAAGGTACACGTTGACCTTGATCACATGCTTCAGCGAGGATCCTGCAGCCTCGAGGACCGAGGACAGATTTCGAATGGCCTGTATCTATACCACCGGGTCAGGACAAGCATATCTATATATAGAGAGAAGAGGAGCCGAGCCGTACTGTCCGATCTGTTGTCGTGCCCTCCACCAGTTGACCGCTTTTCGGATCGAGTCCTATATCGCCTGAACAAAACACCATGCCATTCCAAATCCGTGCTTGGGAAAAGTTCGATACGGGTGCCGGGGCATTGGCGGTGGAGACAACTTGTATGGTGGACATCTTGATATGAGTGTAACGGCGGGCCTTTGCTGAGATTGTTACCCCAAACGCTCTGAGGGTCAACCGACCTTAGAGATAGATAAGCGTTATATGTCCGTGCAGGTAGCCAGGGTACGCCAGTATACGCGACAAGTGCGTATTTCAACAAAGAGATTTATACCCCCCGTGTCATCTTCGACATGCGCCCTACGACGCTTTTATAATCATCTCATTTACAAGAGGTGAGTCATAAACCATTCTTTCGGACAATCGATAAAAGGTTTGTCGCGAACCGGTTCCGCGGTGTCCTCTCGTCCGCGCGGGTATCACCGAGAGAATATGCCGCGAAGCCCGTGAAGTAGGCTCGGACATTCACTATGAGTGCTATCGAGGAGCCAGCTACTGCCGCCGGTGCGCAAAAATTCGGCAAGGCATTCGGCGAGGAATATTTCATGTTCGAGCCTGGATACAGACATCTGAATCAAGGCATGTCTATGCGACGGGGTTGTGGCTACGCTTCTGAAGACCTGACTGTGCATAGGTGCTTTTGGGGGATACCCTCGCCCAGTACGGGATTCGTTAAGAACGTTCCAAGACGAGGTCCAGGCGCATCCCGATCTCTTCATTCGCTATCTGTACCCCGAGCGTCTGACACAATCGCGACGCGCTGTGGCTCAGTTTCTTCATGCAAATGAGGATGAAGTGGTGCTGGTTCCCAATGCCACCACTGGGCTCAATGCGGTGCTGCGGAACATCGTCTACAAACCTGGAGACAAGATCGTTTACATTGAAGGCATATATGGTGCCATCGAGAAAACCGTCCACTACCTGGTAGAAACGACACCCGTTGAGAGTATACGTGTCGATTTCGATGCCACTGTCAACGACCACGCAAAACTCCTTCAGTCCTTCCAATCCACGCTGCAGGCCCATCGGGGCCAGGTAAAGCTCGCCATCTTCGATGCGGTCATGAGCATGCCGGGCGTGAGAATGCCGTTCGAGGAACTCGTCCGAATATGCAAAAGCAACAGGGTCTTGAGTGCTGTTGATGCTGCCCATGGCATAGGACTCATTGACCTGGACTTGAATGCCTTGGACCCCGATTTCCTCGTCAGCAATTGTCACAAGTAAGTTGTACCAACCCGCACCGGCAATGCTTCACTGCACAAATATCTGAGACTGGCTGGAATAGATGGCTTCTGACTCCCCACGTCTGCGCGGTCCTGTACGTCCCTGTTCGCAACCAGAAGCTCATGCGCTCTACACTACCTACCTCGCATGGCTTTGTGCCACTGCCGGAGCTCCTCAAAGGGAGAGCATTTGTGAGGCCGCATACAGAAGTTACGAACGAGTTTGTTTCACTCTTCCAGTACTATGGCACCATCGACTTCGGCCCACCAGTATGTATTCCTGCTGCAATGGCTTTCCGAGAGAATATTTGTGGCGGAGAAGAGAACATTCGCAAGTACTGCCGGGAACTGGCTAGCGAGGGCGAGGCTCGAGCTGCGAAGATTCTCGGCACGAAGCCAATTCCGATCTCTGAAGATGAAAGAATCTTCTTCGCAAATCTTCGACTGCCCATCAACGTCACATCATCCGAATCCCAGGATACGGAAGCAGTCCCTCTAGGTGATGTGCCACTCGTGCTGGACTGGATCATGAGACGCTTATGCCAGGACTACAAAGCTTTCGTCGGTATTTCGTACATCTCTGGCGCTTTGTGGGCGAGGTTTTCGGCCATGGTCTACTTGGAGGTAGATGACTTTGAGTACTGTGCGAGAGCGTTGAAAGAACTCAGCGAACGGGTGCTCAAAGGAGGGTATAAGACCGGCTAGTGTAGTTGCATTGGCTCGGTATTCTGATCCAACTTTTGATGAATCTCTGCCTGTCGATACAGCTCTAGTCGAGTCAGTCCGTATGACACACCAGGGGCGATAGTACGAGAGATGGGCCGTTACCGGAGTGGAACGCTCCGCAGCGTCTTTCGAAGGGAGCTTTGTCTGAAGCCGATGGACTTTCTCTCGACGGGGTTCCAAAACTCATGCAAACCATAACAGATTGGTACCACAGTCGTGTCATAGCACCGCATTGCCTGATACTTAGAGTGGGGGGTTTCAACCCTGTTACTATGAATCGAGTTGGACCTGAAGAAGTTGGACCTTCGCTTGCCTCGAGGTTGGTCTGGCAGTTCCCGTTCAATTCTCATTGAACAGGCCATTATTCTATATCGGTCCAATGAACTAGGTCTATGGGATATTGAGAGGTTGCCCCGTGGTGGATGCGGTCGTTGCATGAAGCTGCCTAGAGTTTGGTCATTAATCAGAACTACAAGAGGTATGACCATTTTGCAATCTCTGTAGTCTTTCCTCAACTTCGTAACGCTGATAGATGTGTAAAGAACACGAAAACTTACAGCTCTTTGTTGCTTGTATACTTGAGGCTTGCTAATGTTGGGGCCAACTATGATGCCAAAACCCTGTTTCGGTCATTTCTGCCCTTATCGAGGAGCTTCCCGTCTCCCGCGGTTGGTCGGAGTTCTCCTTCCTTCGAGACACCTTCGAGCCAACAATGTTCAAAGTCTATGGCAGAGTCATATGCTATAAGGCGGAAGCCGTCGCTGATGTACGATGACTGCTCTCGTCGTGTAGAGACTGTGTTGTTCTTGATGCTTACCAAGGTCATCACTTGAATCGCTGGCTTTCCCCAGATGTCCTCGTCACACCCTGTATGGGGCCACGGGTTGGGGCTTAGCTCTGGTCAGAGAGAACCCATATATGAACTGTTGACACCCTTTCAGGACCTGCCTAGCGAGATAGTAGGCCGCACAGTGTGGAAGAAAGAAGACCTCCAGAAGAATCCAGAGCGATGGATTCGACGCTTTTCGAGTTTCGAAGTGAAGCAGATCGAACAAGCTATCCAAGAAGTCGAGAATGGAAAGCTTCTTCTTGCAGAAGTAAACCGCTCAACCTTCAAGCTACCCGATGACCTCCAAGCAATCCTGGCTCAAGTCCGAGATGAGCTTATCAATGGTATAGGCTTCACGGTGTTACGCGGCCTTCCTGTGGCGTCATGGACCACCCGTCAAGCTTCCATTGCTTACCTTGGAATCGGCTCATATATCGGACGTCGGGTGAGCCAGAACCGCCTAGGACATATGCTCGGGCATGTCAAGGATCTGGCAGAAGGAAAAGAAGTCAATGGCGAAGGACGTATATACCGCACACATAAAGCCCAGACGTACCACACCGATGAAAGCGATATCGTTGGACTCCTCTGTCTGCATCAAGCCATGTCTGGTGGAGAGTCTCAGGTGGTCTCAACTCACCACATATACAATGTTCTGCGCCAGGAACGACCCGAAGTTCTTGAACAATTATGCATCCCGCATTGGTTCTATGATCGCAAGGGTGAAACTAGTGAAGGAGAAAGCGAGTGGATGAGAACTCCTGGATACTACTACTATAAGGGCAAATTGAGTATGAAGTGGGATTCGTACTATGTCGGGGCCCTGCAACGCTTCTGGGAAGCGGGTCTACTGCCGGAATATACAGATGCTCAACGTGAAGCTATCAAGGTCATGGAGGAGACCTGCCACCGCCTTTGCTTGGAGATGACATTAGAGCAAGGAGACATACAGTTTGTCACCAACACCCACAATCTGCACGCCCGGTCAGCCTACCAAGACGCAGCCGATCCGGCGAAGAAGAGGTGGCTGCAGAGATTATGGTTGGCCACTTCGGAGGAAGAAGGAGGCTGGCCTTTGCCATTTGCTGATTCGGAATATGCAAAGAGAGGAGGAGTGCAGGTAAACAAGACTCCGGAGTCGTACCCATTAGAAGCAGAGTAAGAACATGTCCCAATCGGATAGTTCAAGATGTGTTTTGATGAACGGCGCTGAGTGTCCCCAGTCATTACATAAGGCGCTTTGGATTCATAACCGGCGTTTAAATCCTCCGAACTCCGTTGGTGCTTTTGTACTCGTACTGCTTGCTGTACATCCTCCCTGCGGCTCCTGCTTCGTCGCACCGCCACATTAATTTCACTTCCCGCTGTTGAGATACGACAATACGGCGATACGATTTCGAGCGTATAGCTCGCCGTCGCACCAGACCATGTCCTGAATCCTGCATTTGTACACAACTGATCCGTGGCTGACGAGCTACCACCGCAAGCTTCCTGTCTGCCAGATCCCATGGAAGCCAGTCTTTCCAGAACCACCTCGAAATGGACAAGGAGAAAGATAGGCCAGATGCCGGGCTAAGGGATCTCGATCATTGTACGTCGCATCCGTGAACCACTCCGACCGTCTCAGCCCGGCCCAACTGACATAAGAGGCAGACAAGATCAAGTTACCGAAATGGCGATACTCCCTACGAGAGCAATTGCTCCCGATCGTGCGGTGGGAGACCCCTTACGTAGCATGGCTGCAAGAGAGTCTAAGGACGCCGGCATTGGACACATACTTTGCATTTTCTGCGAACCTGGGAACACATACCGCGTTTATGGTGTTGTTGCCAATTCTATTCTGGTGCGGACATACAAGCGTTGGTAGAGGGTAATTTCGCGCCGTGAACAAAGAGAGGACCAAGTATCTGACTTGCTACAGAATGGTGCATGTCCTGGCTGCTGGCGTCTTTTTCACCGGTTTCATCAAGGATATGCTATGTCTGCCCAGGCCATTATCACCACCCTTACAGCGGATCACCATGTCGGGTTCTGCGGCCCTCGAGTACGGCTTTCCCTCGACCCATTCGACAAACTCCGTCTCGGTCGCGATATACTCGCTTTATCTACTTCATGGCAACGACCAGATGAATCCGAACACCAAACTTGGATTGCAGATCCTGTTTTATCTATACGCGTTTTCTATAGTGCTGGGCCGGCTCTACTGTGGGATGCATGGCTTTTTCGACGTTGTCTGGGGTACTTTTATCGGCGCAGTGCTAGCCTGGGTACAATGCCGTTGGGGTGAGAGCTTTGACGAGTGGCTGCACACAGGCGATATCCAGCGGCTTTTTTTCGTCATTCTCGTTGTGCTGGTCTTGGTACGAATCCATCCCGAACCTGCCGATGACTGTCCTTGCTTTGACGACAGTGTCTCGTTTGCCGGTGTATTCATCGGCTGCCAATATGGTGTGTGGCACTTTGCGCAAACCTCCTACGCATGGGCAGAGCCAAGTCCCGGTACGGTACCGTTTGATCTAACCAAGATGGGCTGGGGAGTGGTCGTGATGCGCATCGGACTGGGCGTCCTGACCATCTTTGCGTGGAGAGGAATCATGAAACCAACACTCCTGAGGATCTTTCCTCCTATTTTCCGTGTCATCGAGCACTTGGGTCTTACCCTACCAAGAAGGTTCTTCAAGCCCGCTTCGGAATATGAAAAGGTGCCCAAGCAACGGAATGACGACAACGTTATTCCTCCCGCCAGGGATATTCCTCATCTGTTGTCTTCATTTAGAAGGAGGAGGGCAATTTCAGTCGGTCCCCAATCAGAAGCCGACGCATATGAGGCATTGGCGTACCGGAACAAAAGGAGGAGAGACAGTCGCATTCTCGAAGGCCCGCCTAGTCCGGCTACACAGGCGTCGCCCGAGCCGAACTCCTTCCAGGATGATAATCCAGCGCAGAAAAGTTCTCCTGCATCCGGCAGGCAGCGGTCGAGTAGTCTCGAGACATTTCGAGCCCAGATGGGTGCTGGTGTGGATCAGCTGTCTCCCATGTTATTGACAACGCCCGGTGGTCACGGGTCACCTAGCCCCCAGGAGGTGCAAGCTATGGATCTCCTGCAAGAGAGGCGGCTCTTCGCAAGTATCCAGAGGCCAAGAGTACGATATGATGTTGAGGTGGTAACGAAGCTGATTGTTTATTCGGGGATTGCCTGGTTGTCCGTTGAAGGCAACCCTATCTTATTCAAGCATTTGGGTCTGGCGGTTGACTAGGCGGATAGAACACATGATGAAAAGATTTTACCAACGCCTCTGACGGACTCTTCGGACTCAAAAACAGTTCGATGTCCTTCATCATTTGAGCCGACGGAGGCTTCCATGATAGGGACGTGATTCATTGGTATGGGTACCCCACTAGACCTAAGCATTGTACGTGAATCTATCAATTGATGTCTTCACCAAGCCGCAGTTCGACCTCCTCTGGAAAGGGCATCACCGTCGCGGAAGACGCCAGTACAAATGTAGACGGTGGATGAGGCTTCCTCCTCGGAGTCATGTCGATGATCCTGCTGATATAATGACCGGCTGATCCTCGGCATATAATGGTCTTGGCGCAAGTGACGCATTGGGATATTCTGGTCGCGTTCGCATCTGCATTCGACGTTCTCAATCGCTTTGTAGAAACAAACAACAACTTCCTCTTCTCATGCCTTGACCGATCTCGAACAGCAGTGTCAGCAATGGCTGACCACTCTTCTTTCATGGACTGGAGTCCTGCAACTCCTGAACCTCGATTCAATCCATATCCGGACAGTTACATCCCTGGCGGGTGGCCAGAATCCGCTCCTCCACCTCCTCCTCCCACCTCCGGCGTGTTCGCACGTCGGCCACCAGCCTCTCTCTTGGCCCAGGCGGCGAAGCGAGTCTGCCGAAGACTGGGCGCTGTCCTCAGCGGTAGCTTTCACTTTATCGTCCAAGAACCAACCTACGCCATTGTGCGGAGGGTTCGAGAGCGCCAACGAAGGCCACCACGAGCGCAGCTTCAGAGAAACGTGCGCGCCGCGACTCCAGCTCGACAGAACCCTCCTCTTCTTCAATCCAGACTTCCAGAGTCGCCCTGGAATCGCGCCGTAGCGCTTGAATCAACTCGGCAGCTAGCACTGCCACGTCTCGACCCTGCCGACCACCAGGAGCGTCGAAAAAGGATCCCTACACCATTACCAGAAAAACCGGCGCCTTCGCTTCGTCCCTCGCCGAAAGACAGAGTCTACCACATTCCGAAATTTATGCCTGCTGGTGTGACCAGACACAGGCGCAAGTTTCGCGTTGTCGCTACCGCAACAGCAGAAGAAAAATCTATCTCAGTTCCCTCGATCTTCGCAGACATGCCTCATTTCCCGGCTCCTGCTCCTCACATTCCTACACGTCCTATCCCTCGCAAGCAAGAACGCAACGTCCCAGTCGAGCATCTCAAGCTATCCTCTGCTCCTCACTTAGAAGGATTGACCTCTGCGAATCGGCCACCGTCACCCGAGTCATATGAATGGGAAAGGGGAAATTTGGCAATGGAGCTACCTTCAGACTCAGACAAAGACAATTTTTCAGACACCTCGACGCGCTCCTACCAACTACGCCCACAAAAGCTGAGGATTCGGAAGATCAGATCGGGAAGAGATTCCAACACCAGAAACGGTGCAACGACTGAGCGCACTGACCCTGCTGGTCCGTGCTTGCGCGTGTCTAAAGCACCTACACCGCCGACCCCAGTAATCGTTGTCCAAGAGACGGCTCCTGTCACCACAAAATCCCCAGTTTCTGTTGACGAAGACTTGTTATCACCACCACGTGTCAGAAACCGCCGGGTGAGCACACCGAAACAAAAACAAGTCTTACTCAAAGACGAGACTCCAGGCTCTGAGATATCGTCGACCTGCCACTGTTCGCCAGGAAATTTGACTCTACAGCCACTGAAAGGTACGACGCCCGTCAAGAACGATAGCTCAGCGACGCCCGATCGCTCGCCAGGTAATTCAACGCTACGTCCACAAGTAGAATCACCGCAAGAAAGTGATATCTCGTCAATGTTTATTGGTTCGCCACCCGATCTCGAAGCAGACGCGAGACTCTTCAAAATGATAATGGCTGCAGGTGGTGGATCACCTACTCCAAAAGAAAGAAAAGTCACCCTGTATGAAAAAGCCCTAGAAAATAAGCCGGTCACGAGCGATCCGGCAATATTGGAACACAAGAAAGTCGCCACAAATGAAACACGAGAGCCGACCACGAGCGACGCGGCACTAAGATCCACAAGCATCGACACCACTCACGAGAACCCTACCACGCCAACCGCTAAGACAGAGACGAGTGGAGAGATAGCACCGTCAGAACGACAACTTGGCATCGTAGCAGACGGCAAGAAGGACGATATTGTACCTATTGAGATTGAAGATGACGAAATCCCGACAACAACAGTAAATGACCCTCCAGCAGGCTCCTTTTCAGCATCTACGACCCAGGGTCAGAACCCCCCACAAGTAAAGGTTGAGCATGCCACCAGCGAGACTGGCCAGCAAACTGTGCCTTCTACACCTGAACAAAACCCTGTTAAGAACTTTGCCAGACTCACCATTGAGGACCCCTTTACTCCAGATGCGCCGACTCCAAAAGCATCACCACATTCCGCAGAGAGAACGCAAAGAATCACTAGAGCAGAAGCCAAGAGACTAGCCTCGTTACAAGAACATCGTCAATACGAGATTGTAGCTCTCACTGAGGCATGGGAAAAGAAAATCCAACAAGCACTACGAAACGGGCATGGCGAATACAAGCCTACAGATCTCATTCGCGTCGTACCACTCTTGCCTGGCCGTGGTACTGACAGCTGGCTCAACGACGAAGTCATTAATGGCTATCTCAAACTCGTCGTTGAACATGGCAAGAAGAACGATCGGCCGACACAGGTGCCCACACACCATGCATTTGTCTCCTTCTTTTACAACAACCTCGCCGAAAAGGGCTATGATAGTGTCAAGCGATGGGCGAACCGAGCCAAGATTGGAGGCAAGAGACTCCTCGAGACGGAGCACGTTTTCATCCCCATCAACCGCGGAATGCATTGGACTCTGTGTGTGGTGTCTGGAAAGAACAAGACCATTACCCATTACAACAGCTTGGGAGGCAACGGACGGAGTTATGTCGAGACGATCAAGAAATGGGTCAAGGAGGAATTGGGCGGTGCGTACCACGAGGAGGAATGGGTATTTGATTACTTCGGAGAAACACCACATCAAACCAACATGGATGATTGTGGCGTTTTCACCATCACCAGCGCCCGGCAAATCATGCTCGGATTGACACCCATGTCATACAATGCCGACCAGATTCAGCTTCAGAGGCGCCGGATTGTGGCTGAACTTATGAATGGAGCGCTCTTGAAGAGCAGCGAATGAAGTGTATTAGTATGACGACTTGACGATGTAATGAATACGAAGGGGGTGACTTTGTTTGGCTACACGAAGCATTTGAGTGCCAGGATGGTCCGCACCAGCACTACTTTATTACCTTGGGAGTGAGATGCTCCATTGAGATACCCATGGGGAAGAACAGTACCCTACTTGTACGAGTACCAACCATAGAACTAATTTAGTTCACTTTGGAGAGAAGAGATGTCATCCACTAGTCCGGAATGCAAGTGTGCTTTATCTATTTCTTCCGTTGTGCGTGGTGTGAGTGAGGCTTCTGTAGCTGATCACGTGTTGGTCCATTTTCCCTCCTCGACGTATATGCCCGATCCTATTCCCCTCGCAACATCGAGCAGTGTCTTGTTCCCTCGTGCGAAGCTCAGCGCGACCCTCTAATTAAACATACTCATTTAGCCATGGTATCTTCTGGCGACGAGGATCAAGCAATTGGCTTGATCTGCAAGAATTGCTTCCATCAATCTCTATGGCTTCCGCAGACAGCCGAACATCCAAGGTTGAGGGTCACGTACTCTACCACGACGAACTTTGACAATGTCAGTCTCAGTCTCCCGGTGATTCTTTTTATTGGGCCAATGTTTGGTTCCCGATGGGATGCTTTGCACTTTAACAAGCTCGCCAATGATTCCGGCGTAAGGGCCATCTTCGTCGACAGGTACGTTCGGTCACCGTACTGTTTTGTTCCTGGCCACCACGAATCATGAATGGTTTGGAAGCTAAGGACTAGAATCATCAGACCAGGCTTTGGAGGCTCGACACCTGTGCAACTTGATGTTCGTGTGGCCATATGGCTGGAGACGGTGCCAGTTCTGCTGCACCGACTCGGAGTTGAACACGTCTCCCTTGTGACCCATTCAGCCGGGACGATATACACGCTCAACACGTTGCTCCGGTACCGATCCATCCTCGACCCAAAGGCGCCATATGTAGCCTTCTTGGGTAAGTGTCTCTCTTTTTAGCCACTGGCCCTGCGGGTTTTATCCTCTACTTAGATTGTTTCTGCAAAGCATCCCACTTACCACCCTGAAACTTGTCAGCCCCTTTCGTACCCAAGACTCACTCCGGCGCGGCCGTGCCCACGCTTGCCGCCAAACTTCCTGTCACTGCGCTCGACTCATGGGCCGGTCTCGTCAAGTTCGTCAACAGCAAGATCCTACCCGGTGTGGCTGCGTCCGGAGGACTCATCTCGCCGCTATCCACGATGTTCTCATCGCCCTCGCCAGCGGGTACGGACCTTCCAGGCGGCGAAGCTCCAAATAATTCTACCTCGCTGGTCGAGCAATATGGCTTCGACGACGCCACGGCCAAGCTCGTCCACAAATTGGCGACAAAATGGCAATTCGCAGAGAGTAACCAGGGAGGCAACGAAGAAGCGAAGCTATGTCTCGAGAAAAGCGACGGTACTGCCTCGTGGGGCGAAGCGGCCGATTACTCGGGCTGTGCTCGCAGGATAGCCGACAACGAAGCAGCGTTGTCATTGAACGAGGGTCACGCCCCGCCCAAGTTGAGTGTCTCTGCGTTCTTTGCAGGGTCGGACATCATGATCGCCAAACGTGGACAGGCCTTTTTTGAACAGTGCTGGCAGAGCGACGAGGTCACGGGGAAAGTTGACTTTACTACGTCGACGTATCCCGAAGCGAATCATGACTCTTTGCTCGTTGATCTCAAAAAGGGCGCTCTGAAAGCTGTGTTTGAGAAGGTTGCTCATTTGAACAAATAAATAACGGCGGCGAATGATGTATGGAAGGAATTGGTTGTGCTGGGGACAACAAAGTCACGAAGTTCTTTTTGTATGCCCTTGCTTTTATCCGTCGGACGTGCCGGTGCACGGAATGATGGCGCCGAAACACCACTTACAACTTCACCTTGGCTGGGCTGCGGTCTGCGGTACTCAGACGATGACGACTGAGTGTGTCGAACAGCGGTACCTTCTGTCGACTTTGGTCCTCTTCTAACGTCACTTTCTGAGTTCCAAGAAAAACATTATCTGAGTTCAAACCGCGGGAACTCAGACCATACATAAGCTCACATCTGGACCCAGAGGCGAGTGAACGGCTGGTGAGGTACTACTCGACTACTCGGAGACAGTGAGAGACCGCAGTCCCCATCCCTTGTTCTACCGCGGCATCTACAATATCTCGGGCAACGAACGTTACGGGATGCCTCCTTTTTCCACTAGAGGACCGGTGCAGAGGAGGCGGTGGTGCACGAGTAGCGCCGCGGGTTACCGAATTCGGAGCATTATTCGATTCGTTCACGGCGCGCACGAGGCTCCACACACTTGATTCTGTATCGAGTTAGGCGCGCGGTGAGCCTTACCCGCTCGCCTTTACAAACCTTTGGATATACTCCACCTGCATATCAGGATCAGGGACACAGACGATTCATCACCCACTCACTCAGCCTCTCTCTCTCTCTCTCTCTTGAACACTAAACCCTATAATAAGTATAAATACAGTTACAACCTGCAACTTCCTATTCTTCTCTCCCAGCTGGTGAGTCGTCGGTGTTCACTTTTCACATCCTCACATCTTGGGTTCTCCAATCCGGGCAATCCCAGTCCAGTCGTGGGTAATTGATCGAAATTCCAATTCTAAATATGATGAATATGTCTCAATACCAATATAGAGAATTTCCGGAAGGAAGTCAACGACAATTTTCTCACCAGGACTATCGAGATTGTCAATACCAACAACCGCGAGAGTACCAACAACAACAACCTCGAGAGTACCAACAACAACCTCGAGAGTATCAACAACAACCTCGAGAGTATCAACAACAACCTCGAGAGTATCAACAACAACCTCGAGAGTATCAACAACAACCTCGAGAGTATCAACAACGACCTCGAGAGTATCAACAACAGCCCCGACAAGAATATCAACAATATCCTCAACCACAATATCAACCCAACCACCACCATCATCAACAAGACCCTCCTCCTCCTGCATACACCGAGACACGAACAGAAGACGTCGACGATGCCATCTCAAAAGCCCTGGCATGGGTGCCTCAACCGCCTCCACCGTCACAACGACACCACTACCCTGCCCTCCCTCGGCCCGTGTGCATCCCGCAGATCCAACCGGACAACTTCATCACGGGACCTATGCCATTCTACCGTGCGTACTCGCCTTACCTGCAGCATCACTCCGTGCAGGTGGGAGACTTTATGCACTTTCTCGACAGCATCACCATTGCGCTCGCGCCAGCCCCGCCGTTCCAGGCGGCCCAACTCGTCAGCAACGGCGTCGGGATGGTGCCGCATCACTGGGCGCAGGCCACGAGCGCCGCCGTCGGGCTTGTCGCGGGGATAGGCAGCGCGGCCGTCAGCGCAGGCCGGTCGGCTGCCTTCTTGAAGAAGGTCAACGCGACCTACTTTGAGCCGAGGGGACTGAAGGCGTCGATCAAAAAGGACAAGGACCTGGCCGTCGTGCTGGGTGGCAGCGCCGGCAACCACCCGCTCTCCGACACGCGCACCACCACCACCGCTGCTGCCGTGTCGTCCGTGACCGCCGGCGCCGTCACGTTGTCGGAGCGCAGGTTGCTGGCGCTGCAGGGTCAGATCGCCCCTCTGTCGTTCGACGTGCCGCCGCGCGCCCAGCAGCAGAACATCATGGACAAGTTGGCTGCCAAGGGCGTGGACAAGAAGATCCTGAAGGCGAGGAAAAAGGGTCTCAAGCAGGCTCAGAAGCAAGGCGTGAAGCTGAGTCAAGCCGACATCGCGTTGTTGGGATCAGATGCCTCCTCGGCCAGTTCCGACTCCGACTCCGACTCCGACTCGTCGGAACCAAACCCGTCCGGCGGGAAGCCCAGCAAGAGAGTAGCGAAAAGGGAAGAAAAGCGCGCCAGGAAGCTGGCGAGGAAGGAAAAGAGGGCTGCAGAGAAAATGGCCAAGGAGAGCAGCAAGGACGCCAAACAGGCTTCCAAGTTGAAGTGGATTGTCATTGAGAATCTAACTTAGAGGTGCCACTTCCACCAGCCCCCTTTACCAGCTCCATTGAATCTGTCCGGCGTGGTAAGGAGTGTATGAATGTAGACGGCACATGCCATCATTCTGAGGGAGGAAGGAAGGGAGGGAGGGAGGGAGGAAATGATACGTACGAACCACAAGGACATTGTGACAGGTTTCGACCCAGGTAGAGATAGTCTCTTTTGAACAATTCGTTCTTCTTTTGTTTTCGTGAAGAGACGTCATGCAAGAGAGTCGCGACCGAGAGGATCAGCGCCTAGTCCAACAAGATATCATCGTTGATCGTTGATCGTTGATCGTCATAGCAAGAGAGAGCACAGCAGGCAGGCAGGAAGGAGGCCGGCGCTGTAGAAAAAACCAAAAGTGAAAATTCAGAGAGATATTACTTCGGGGCCAAACCCTCCATGTCTCGACAGACGATTGATTCACTTGCAGAGAGAGAGAGAGAGTGAGTTTGCCCCCAAATTTTGCTTAGAGCGCCCACCGACATGTTGTGAGACACGATCAGCAAACAAACCATGCAACGACGCCCCATCATGACTGGGAGAAAAATTCCATTTCACACAAGTTGTTCCTATTCCCTGAGGGCATAGGGCTCCAGGCTCCAGAGATCCGACGTCGTGTGTGGCACATGCTGTATTAAAGCCTAGGCGGTGCTGACCATGCAACTCTGGCTGTAACCCCGTGACGCAAGCCCGCCTGGTCTTTTTTAGTGATGACAACTGAGGTCAGCTGTCCGAGTCAGGAAATACAAAACCTGCCTCTTTCGCGTGGACGAGTCCAAGGTACTCGTGGCAACTCACATGCATGTTAAGTGTGTCCGTCGCACCGCAGTGTTGTTTTTGGCGAAGGGCGACAAAGAAATTGGGCCGAGAGGAATAATTCCGCCGTAACAGCTTGCACCAGAGTATCGACTTGTTGTTGGGTTGGTGTCCACTCGAACTAGGCGTCAACGGAGTTAGATCCCCCCGGCTTTTTTGTCGCCCGGGGCTCACTAGGCTTTTTAGTCCAATCCGGGGTTCTCAATACTTCTCTACCCCCCCAGTCTCCCAGCGTCTGATCGTCGCATTTGCCGTTCCTGTTCCGGGCGTCCGTCCCGTCTTACGAAGCTGACGGGTATTCCGCAGGCCTTTCGGGTGGCAGTCTGACCTTGTCCAGCGTGGAATTATTCCTTTGTCATGGGCCATTCCGAGGACAACCCCAGGCAGCTTTAGAATAGCCGATATCATGAATGACTGTCTCGACTTTCTCCTTCGTTTTCCCGCTCTGGTAGAAGCAAAAAGGCAGAGGACAGTGTGAATCATGTCTCCCGGACGACTGACAGAGAAAGATGAATACGATTTCATCGTCTGGTACGCCTTCTCTTTGAGTGGCCCATCCCGCCCACAGTAGACGTGATCCCTGACAATTCCCAGCGGGGCAGGTACCTCGGGGTGTGTTGTCGCAGGCCGCCTCGCAGAGGATGCCAATGCCAGTATCCTTCTAGTCGAGGCCGGCCCTCACAACAAAGACCTTGAAAATGTCCATATGACCGGAGGATGGTCCAAGAACTTCGACAGTGATACCGATTGGAATCTGATCACCCCTCCCATGCCTGGCGTGGGTGGTAGGCAGGTTAAGCTGAGCCGTGGGAAATTCCTAGGTGGCTCATCGGGCGTCAATGGCACTTTGTGCATTCGTGGAAGCAAGCAAGACTTCGATGACTGGAAGTAAGTTGGATGGATGAATGTGCTTAGTAGGTGGCCTGCTGAAACGCCCAAGTCTCCCAGGATGGTCCGGAGAAGACATGTTTGCATACATGAAAAAAGTATGTTGTGCCAATGCAATGGAGGTACACAGTCGCTGATGGGATGAACAGGCAGAGACTTTTCACAACAAGCCCTGGTTCCAGGCAGATGAGGGTGCACATGGATACAGCGGTCCACTACACACGGAGCCACATGACCTGGCACCGATCTCGAAATTGTTGTTGAAGTCTATGGAATCAATGGGACTACCGCTTGTCCCCGATATGTTTAGCACCGGCGAGACTGCTCATGGTTGTGGTCATGCACCTCGAACAGGTATGCCATTTCTCCTTGCCCGGGTAGAAGACACTGAGACCTCGACATAGTCCACCGAGGCATCAGGACGACGGGTGCAGACTTCGTCACCAACGACCAGCACAGAGACAACATCGACATTGTTGTGGACACTCTCGTCGACAAAATCAACTTTCAAGAGAGGGGTGGCCAACTTCAGGCTTCGAGCGTGACGCTTGTGGACAAGGCCGGGACGAAGAGAGAGGTGAAGGCCAGGAAGGAAATCGTCGTGTCTGGAGGTAAGCCTTGACTCGTAATTGACCAACGTCTGCTAATGACGTCTCGAGGTGCATATTGCTCGCCAGCCATCCTTCTTCGGTCCGGAATCGGCCCCAAAGACGAACTGGAACAACTGGGTGTAACGTGTCTGGTCGACTCGCCTGGCGTGGGCAAGAATCTACTTGATCATCTCGTCAGTCTCAACAGATGATGTGCGACTTGCATGCTGATGAGTGTCCAGATTGTCTTCGCATTTTATGAGACGGAAAAGGAAGGGTTGACCAATGACCATCTAGTGTAAAGAAGGACCATTTCCAATCACGACACAATTGTATTGACGTGTCACAGATACCATGGAGACGCTGCAATGGCATCATACATACTGTACAAAGAGAAGAAAGAAGGCGTTCTCTCCACGTTTCCCTTCGGTGCCTTTGGCTTTGCGAGGCTCGACGATCGATTGAAGGATGAACCATTGTGGAAGGAAGCAAAGAGAGAGCCCGGTCGTGATCCAATGGGTTTAACTTCAAAGCAGCCCAACGTCGAATTCTTCACCACAGAGGTATGGTTGCCCGGGTCGACTGAGCATGACGAGGTATTGGCTAACGTTGAAAAATAGCTTTACGGTGGCCCAAAGCAGTACGACCAGTATCCCATCGGTAAGTCTCATTCGACAACAGACCTGGCAAGACTAACCTAGACTCCAGACAAGAAGCACGCATTTGCCATGATAACCGAGCTGTTCTCGCCACGTTCAAAGGGAACGGTCACACTGAAATCCACCGACCCCCTGGAGAATCCCGTCGTAGATTGCAACTACTTGTCAGATCCTCTTGATGTGTTGGTTGTTTCGGAAGGTTGCCGACTGGGGAATGAAATCGTAATGAATGGAGCTGGAACGAAGGACATTGTCAAAGGGTCGTGGCCATCAAGTAAGTCCTTAGCCGCTGGCCTGCTGGCCTTGGAGCTGACCGGCATTTAGATCTGACACATCACGCCTATACCACGCGGGAGCAATGGGTGCCATACGTGAAAGAGCAAGGGACGACTTGCTATCACGCTGCGGGAACGTGCAAGATGGGATCGGGAGATGACAAGATGGCTGTCCTTGACGAGAAGCTTCAGGTCCGGGGTGTCAAAGGCTTGAGAGTCGCCGACTGCAGCGTGATGCCGTCGTTGCATGGAGGCCACACACAGATGCCAGCATACGGCATTGGAGAAAAGGCCGCCGACCTGGTGAAGGAGAGTTGGGCCAAAGGGTGAGAGAGGGTAGATGAAATGGATGCGCTCGAAGATGACAATACGCCTAGACCAGGTTTGCCTGCCAAGAGGATCCGCCGTTGATGGCAATGGCTGTGTTTCCAGCCCAAGGCGATTTCTTTCCACCTTTGTCCATCCAGATATGATTTTGAAGCTGGTTCTACACTCTGACATATTCAAAAAGCGGGTCATCTGAGCAACTCATGCACAGGCCCAATATACACAGTAGTCGTACACGATTCCTACAGGACCGTGCCTGGCCAGCCCTCCACAGGGAGGTGCTCGGGTACTGTTTCTTCGTCTTGCATTTGCAGTCGATACCATCCGGACAGTGTCTTCAGTATTCCACGTCGACCTCAGCCGGGCTCTCTTCACGGATCTTCAGCCTCAGCCGGAATGGACAACTCAGCCAATGTCTCCTCATCAGCAGCTTGCAGAACATGACTGCGACGATGGAACATCTTATCCATCCAGTTCCGTCATCTCACTCCTGTTGCACCGGATATGTACACGTCTTGCCCACAAGCCAACAATTGTGAGTGTTTGTCTTTTGCCTTAGAATGGATCTTGGGTGGTTCTAGATTTCTCTCGAATCTCACTCATTGGCACACCAACTTGTCGGTGCTTTTGTCTCTCCATAAGATTGAGGAGATCAGTCTTGTGAGCCGCCGACTTGTTGAAACCAAAGAGGCTCAATTTGTCGTCCAGATCCTTCTCAAGAGACTTGAATTGCTTGTCCATCTTGCCAGCAACATCTAAATCATCCTGTCAGTGGATTGTAACGGAAACAAGTTTCGAAGAAGCATACCCAGTTCCTCCCATTGCCAAACATTTGCCTTCAAACCTACACCATAAAACTGCCACTTCCGTATGAATGCAAGCCAAGTCTCCACGACACTGGACTCGCCATCGTAGATCGTTATCAGTCGCTTCATTGTAATTCTTTCAAAATTCTCTTGAGATTTCTTATGAACGAAATTGCTTCTCAGAACAGTCCAGCGCTCTCTCTTCCGCGGAAGCGGAGCTGGGCCTGAGCATGGAAGTCCTAGGTAGTACGCTGCTCGAACGCAGAAATCCGCGTAGAACTGCAGATTACGCACGGAGTATGAATGAAGCTGAAGCTGAGCGACGGGAATGCCGTATTTTGGCTTGTGGCGCAGAGGTGTGCGATAGGCGGCAAGAACGTTTGGAGGAACGAGAGGTCGTGTGGCCGTCGAAGGAGCTCCTTCGGGGGTAAGGGTGCTTTTTGCTTCCGCGTCTTGCGGGAATGGAGGCGGCGACGATGAGCTGCTGGTAGGGCCTGGCTGCTCTTGAGATTGAGCTTTTTCCTTGACAGTCTTCGGTGCATCTGGAACATTGGCTTTAGCCTCTTGCCGTCGCTTGGACTTGGTCTCGGTGGTCTCTGGTGCATCATCGACGTCAAGCTTATGCACGCCAAGTTTGGGCATAGGAAAGCCTGCCGTGATATCTTCCGGAAGGCATCGTGGGAGGTCGGAGGAGAAGTCTCGTCTTGTAGCGGGGAGAAATCGCGGGTGACTGCGAATAGCAAGGGACTGAATGGCAGATCAGCTGAAGTGTTCAAAAGGTAATCCGAGCCACAAGATGCTTCGACGGCAGATAGAAAGAGAATCAGATCTTTCAAATGGGCAAAAGACTGCAAACAGTGCACGTTAAATGGCATACCTTATGAGGCCGACATGCTTCAATGGCTGTTCTCAGGAAGCGCGGCGTCGACATCCTTGGTGGACGTCGCCAGATGCCGGAAGGGTGCGGTGCACCTTTTCTCAAACTCCTGGGCGAGAGCTCAAAGCTCAACAGAACTGAAATGGCACTTTTCAAGAGTGGTCTGAACAACGCAAAGCAACAGGTCGACGCCAGCCCATAAATGAGCCGAGAAACTTTTCCGTACCCGGGACGGTCACGTGATCCGGTTTTCGAGACGAGCATCAACCCCGTGATCGCACTTGACTGCCACAGGATCTGACCCCAAGATTCGGCACCAACGTAGAGTCCTGTAAAAGAAGCTCCATAAAATGAAAGGAGCACTTGATTGCATTGCTGCTCAACTACTCTAGCCTATCTGTCTAAGACATACATTCTGGGGGTATGCATCTCATGGTGATGGTCTTCTCCCTTCAAGTATTAACAGTCATCACAGCCCATATCGTCATCAGAAAGTAGAAGGCTCGAAAAGGCCTTGTATGAAATCTCGTTAGCTCTTGACATCGTCGTGCCCTGCTGCCACTCGCGGCATGGTTGCAGAGATAAAAAGTCGACGCAGACCTTTCCACCATCCATCCACGGCAAAAGCGATAAAAAGATCCAATTGGTCGCTAAACAAAAGAAAGGGGAAATAACTCTCCGCCGACAATCCTAGGAGAACATTATGTATCAAATCAATCATCGACACGTCAGAATCGTGAAGTAAAACTGCGACCACCAAGCGAGGGTCTTCGGATGTGATCAGCTGAAACCTGCACCGAGGGTCCACCGATCTTTTCAAATCCTTTCAAGATGTCGACACCATCCTCATTATCAGAGGCTTCATTCTCGAAAGAATTGAAATCAAAAAGATCATGATCGTCGAGGACGGGAATGTTCTCCGTCGTACCCTTCAATGGGGATCCAGAGAACGTAGCCCGTACTCCAGGTTTCAGGAGACTGCCGCGGGTTGGCGTCTTTGCATTGAGTCGGTAAGCGCTGCCGACCATTTCAGAAAGCACGTTGCTAGTTGTGGAAGCTCGTCCCAATGCAGGACGAGCGATCGACCCTTTCAACGGGGATGAGGTGAACCCAGGTGTGGCGGGAGTCATGCCAATTGCCGGGTCAGTGAAGATCTCGAAAGAATCTTCGGCTCCACTACAGGCAGTCAAGCTTGACCACTTGAGCGGACTGTAAGCGTCCAGTTCGAAATGTCCAAAGTTCTTGAGGGGTGAATTGGCAAAATCTCGCATAGCCTTGCGATGAAGGTGTAGTTGGGTGTTTGGGGAAACCGAGGGCGGTGGCCGAAGCGGCTTCTTGAAGACAACCGAGGGTGTTACAGGATTCCGTCTTCCACCCGGACTAACACGGACAGGAGATGATAACCGTGCAACATCTCCAGCAGCATTGCGGAAGCGGGTGTGGCTCGGGGTCACGTCATGAGAAGAGCTTCGAATCCGAACGATCTCCTCTTCGGCTCTTCCGGTTTTCTTTCTCATCGGCTCAATGTCAAGCTCTGAGGTAAGTACCACGGCATTCTTGTTCGGACGCAACACAGAAGACTCGATAGACGAGAAGTAGCCGCTGTCGTCCATCTTGGACAAAGAACGCTTCTGTCTGTGGACCGAGGTCGGCCGCTGCACGCGTGCAGTGGGCGATGAAATGTTGCGATGATGATTGGCCGTGCGTACCGGCGGAGAAGAGTTGATGGCATCGGGAGGTGAAGACTTTGGAGCAGCAGGCAGGACGTGTTCTTCGGCTTCTGGAGCATCTTGCTCGTCCAGAGCTAGATCCGACGCCGGAAGAGTTGCGTCCGAAGATAACTCTGGCAGAGCGGGCGCCGTCTGAGGTCGGACAGGGGGTGCCTCACTCGGCTGAACAATAAAAGGACTAGGCATCAGAGCCTCTGACAGTGACTGAGCCATCTTGGAAGGATCCGAACGGATGGTGTTGGATTGTATGTTGAGATGTGCCATATTATTGGCACGCCGGTTCTTGTCTTTGATAAACTGACCCTCCATTCCAGGCTCGATGACCCAGTAGCTCCCTTTACCAGCATCGCCTTTTGGCCTCTCTTGCTTCGTGAATGCCTTGTGCAAAGACAGGTTGTGTCTGATGCTGTTGTGCCAACTCTGCTTGGTGTCTTCGCGATAATAAGCAAATGTACTGGAGATCCACTCGTAGATTTGCGCAAGGGTGAGACGGCGGTTCGGCGCCCGTAAGATCGCCATGCCGATCATTTGAGCATAGCTGTAAGAAGGCTTATTGCCATCATCCTCAATGGCGGGCATCTCTTCTGGTTCAGGGATAGGTGTGATGATTTCCTCCTCTTGCTTTGCCTTCTTGAGTGGGCGGTCATGAACCAGCTGCGCGTCAGAGTATGATCTCTTCAGGGGCATTTTTCGAATATATGAGGGATCTGGAAATTCTCCATAGTTGTCCGGCATAGGGGGTTGTGGGTAGCTTTCTTGTTCATACGTTTCGAAATTGCTGTTGAATGTGGTAAAGAGCGGCTGTTGCATCATCTGAACGGGTGCGAATTGTTGATGTGGAGGCATATGATGTCTCTTCGCGGGGGAGTCGGTGTACATGTTGGCTGCCGAGGGCGGAGGAGGAATGGGGATGTAGTTGAGGTTTGAATAGTTCTGCTTGGGCGGTGACATTGGATGGCTCTTCAACGGCGACATCTGGTGACTTGCAACCATCGGGGCGTTGAGTATGACTTCAGGACGACCCGGCGGATTCCTCATGGGCTGTAAAGGCATTGCCGAAGGTTGTAAATGTGGTCGCGGTTTATGTGCAGGTGACATGTTGGACGGAAGCGGCATGGGATCTTGGTAGATCTGAACATACGGATGCGGACGCGTCGAAGCCATAGCGACAACGGTTGAAAAGTGTTCAGAGACGCCAGGAACGGCCAATTGGTAGCAGAAGTCGCGTACAATCGAGGGCTATACGACCCATTAACCGGAGGCGAAGTCGACTGGGACGCAGGTCCAGGTTTAAGGCTTGCACCAGAGCCCGAGTGGACGGGACACACGGGGCACCAGGCTTGTGAATACCAGAGCAGTCTGGAGCTGGAACAGGGCAGCGAGAAATTTGATGGACGTCAGAGTCGAGCGGCTTATCGAAAGAAGGAGGGAGAATGGACGTGTCTGTGCGTGAGAAATGGAGCAGCAAAATCGGAACTGTCTGCGGCGGATCGAGGGGTCAGCTGGTGTGGAATGAGATGGATCCTCGGTGCGGCGACGAGTCTGGTCGAGGCCACCGAAGGGCTACGAGGTTGTGGCGACGAAGAATCGAAGAGCTGTCCACGGGGAAAAGGTAGTGTTTATTGTTTACAAGCGATGTACAAGGTAAGAGGTACAAGTATGATGCGTGCGAGTGAAGGGTGGGAGGAGGACGTGGTACAGGACGTGGAGAGGAAGCTGGGTGGTGAATGGCCGTGGACTGTGGTCACTGGTCAGCGGCTAACGGTCTCGCTCCTGCACTCGACGCGCACTTTGGGCTTTTCACTGCGTCGCCTGAAGAGGTTTCCGGCGTCCCAGGTGTCTCAGCAGTCTCTTTTTCCAGGCCACGAACGGACTCGGCAAAAACTGGCCCAGCAAAGTCAGTCGAGGGCTGAACGAATCGACGTGCCGCGGCCGGTCGAATGACGCGTGGGTGTGGCACGGCCTTGCCTGAAGAGGTTTAGCGGCGCTGGCCCTCGACGCGGTCGTGTTCCCAGGTCACGGGAGGAAAAAGCTGGAATTCCTGGCGCTACGATGGCATCTCCGACCTCATCCAATCAAACTAATCTCGATCCATGGATGTCTAGGACGAGGAATGGCTGCAACCGGTGTCAGGATTGTGCAGCACGAAGAATCTCGATTGGCCTGGAATGGACCTCTCCTTGCATCGATCGGCCCCATCATTGTTCAGGAACAACTCCCCAGTCGGCCAGGTTCAATCCTTGCCCGCCGCTATCCTACCGTCCAATCTTGATGAGCCAGTATGTGACTCCGAGCACCAGAACGATCGTGCTACGAGCACTGCATACTGGCTGTGGTGCGATCCATGCCTCAGACTCTCTACCGTTCCGTTTGCCTCCGGTACCTGTGCTTTGCACTGCCCACCACCCGCAGGGCTAGGGCCATTCCGTCCGCCTTCACGTACAGTCCAGGCACTGTTCCCGGACACAGAGAAATTGGCGACATCTTCTCACCTGATTAAGCCGCTGTCAGTCCCCATAGATCAGCCATATGTCTCGGACGACAAACTTGTCATGCAGGTCCGAACGATGTGAAAAGAGGATGGAAGGTCTAATTTTCCGAATGACAGCTGTCACCCGTAAACGCCTATTGAATTCTATGCACTTCAAATCATTCCACCAGGCCAGGTGCGTAAGCCTTCGACATCATCTCATACACCATCGTGGAGCACCTCAAATCAATCATATTCACGATACTTTTTGCCCCCGTTAAAATTCCTGACAGCAGTCGATGCATGTTCTTTTGATGGAACTCCGGGCCATGATCATACCGTCCGTCAAGCAAACGCCTTTTTATATCCTGTATCTTGATGTCCAAAATGTCCGATATGCTATTTATGTCGCTGAAATCGCTCAGAAAATGCCGCCCTGGTCATGACTCTAGGAAAGTGAACAGATTGGTGTGCAGAATGTTCAACGCCCGGTCCGCATCGCGCTCTGCGATCACGCACGAGATGTTGATCTCGCTCGCACCTATTCGAGGGTTCAGTTAGCACGGTCGGTTTCATCTTGAGCCGGCTCATCGCACGTACCTTGTGATATCATCTCAATGTTCACATTGTTCTCCCCGAGCGTCGAGAACATCCTACCCGCGATACCCACCATGTTCTTCATCTGCTTCCCGACGAGACTGACAATGGCCATCTCGGGAATGATGTCAACGGTGCCATAGCGTTGCAGCTCCTCAATCGCTCCACGCAGATCTTGGTCCACGATCCGGTACTCGTCGTGACCTCCACCAGTATACAGAGGTGCTTCGGAGTGCAAGGCCATGGACATGTTGACCTCACTGGTGGATATCACATCAACTGACAATCGCCACTTGTCCAGTGTGGCAAAGATGCCAGCAAAGAAGCCGTGCGAGAGCGATCGTTTGTTGGAATGGATGTTCATCACCAGGATCTTGTGCTTCATGGTCACCGCCGTCGGACGCTTGGGCTTCCCTTGCTCCGAAAGAAGGGTCGAACTTCGTGAGCGAAATAGCGTGGGGTCGTGGCCCGCCAAACCAGATTCCAGCTCGGTCGGAGTATCAGGGTAGATGACCGTGCCACCTCCTCTTGGATTCATGACATTCTTGATGCGTATAGGTATTCGTGCGCGGATGACCTGGTCCATTGTGGAAGGGTGGATGACCTCAGATCCATAAAAGGTCAGTTCAGCCGCTTCTGCAGGGCTGATTTGAGGGATCAACTTGGCTGTAGGGACCTTGCGGGGGTCGGCGGTGAAAATGCCATCGACTTCCTTCCATATCTGCAGCTCCTTCGCCTTTATCCCGACAGCAACCAAAGCGGCGCAAAGGTCAGTATACCCCCTGCCTACAGTGGTAAGCAAGCCACGCGGAATGGCGCCAAAGTAGCCTGTGATGACAGGAACTTTGCCGGTCATATTGTGTAGTCTTCCACCAAGCCTCCTGGCCACATTGTCGTAGAAATGCTGATCCAGGCTATGTGGCACTGTGAAGTCGATAACATCTGCGAGGTCGAGATACTCGGCGTCGACGCCTTGGTCTTGTAACAACGCGGTCATGAACCGGCAACTCAATTTTTCACCTGTACTCATGACCTTGTCTCTTGACCTGGGGCTGGTCTCGCCCAGCGTTTGGGCAGCCTCCAGTATTCGTACCACCAAAGAACATTCTTCTTCGATCTCCGCTTTTAATCTGGAGCAGATTTTGTCTGAGTTGATGTAGAACTCGGCCGTCTCAATGTGGTCCTGCCGCACCTCCTCGATTAAATGTTTAAATTCTCTGTGATGTTCTGCTTCAGCCGCGGCTCGCAGTAAACGGTTCGTGGTGCCCGCGGCTTTGGTGTTGCTCGATCTCTGGAAAGTGGGTTAGTATTAAGCACGCGGTAGTGAGTCTGAGTCATACCGCGGAGCAGACAATCGCGACATTGTTGTCGACCGAGCTCGACTTGACCACATTCACTATGTCTAGTGGAAACTTGCCAACACTGGTTCCTGTGATACCGTTAGTCTTGGGCTTCTGGAGGCTGCATAGAATGCGACTGACCGCCAAACTTCAGGACATTGGTGGAACTTGGATTGGGTGAGGTTGCCCTGTCTGTGAGAGGAGTGGCGGCCGTGAGAGGAGTTGGGCAATCAACACCATTCGAGACGATATCGGATGTCATGATGTGGTGGGAGAAAAGGCTGGTGTGTCAGTGTCTAACATGCTTTCATTGAGAGAATGGATATATAGAGCGACGGGAAGGAAAACGGAGGACACCAGCAAAACGCAGATGACTCCCCTCTGTCAAGCTACCGCTAGTGAGGGACAAGAAGTTCGAGGATAAGCGTGCTTCGGGCGATAGGCCGCGTATGGTGATAGGACAGATTTTATGGCTGGATCATTTTCTCACTTCTCATCCCACCTGCGAAAGTGTCTGCCAAAAGTGCCACTTTGAGGTCTGGGCCGCTTCTCGACCCGGGAGGGAAAACTCGGCAAAATTTTTCTAATAAAAAAATCGACTGACTCGGGCGCCGCAGACGAGGCGGTGACGGGCCGATTGAGGCCGATTTCGGCGAATGATACGGCGTCGATTTTCATGGCGTCATCCCTTTTCATCTTCTTTGGTGGTTTCATATACGACTCAATTACAAGGACGAGCACCCGTGTCCTTCTGGCTAATGTGATGCTTTCTGGACGTCAAGAATTGCCTCAAGGGAGTGCTCTAACATCTGCTGACGTTCACATGATACTGTGGTTCCAGTATGGTCTATCAACTGCGTCTTACTGGCATTGAATCCTTGTACATCTGACTGTGACTGTACGAACGCGCGAAGGGAAGCACGAGGACTGGTCAAGTGGTATTACAGAGACCGACATTATGATTTGACTTCGTTCTAGCTTCCATCTATACGAGTATCTGGTTTTGGACCGATCCCTCTCTGCCTCTTCACCCAATAGTAAACAGCTGGTCCGCCGAACCGCTGCATGCAGCCTGGTCTAGTCTGCCCGACGCGTTAGGGACTAGACAGACATCTCCTGATCCGTTCTCTGGCTGCAGAGCCAAGCTGGCCTGTCCAGAGGTGAATGTGAACAGCTGGCTGTTGGTGACTGAACCTTCACCGTCGGCTCTCCCTCCACAACTGAACAAAATGACAGTATCCTCCGCGGCTCGTCTAGGATCAAAGTTCAGGCAACCTTGGGTGAGAGAACTGACTATCAGAGCCGAATTTGGCTGTTCGTTGTGCTTTCCCGCGGTTATGACATCCCACTGCTGGTTGGCGCTTTCGTCGCATGGCTGAAGAACAATCGGAATGAGGTTTTCACGAAAATCGCCGGCTGTCGGGTCGACGAACAGACATCGGCCATCAGAGGACTTGATTGCGACAGACGAAAAAGCTCGGGTGGCGGTATCGTCACGAGGATTTGCTTCGGCGGCTGCAGAAGGGTCAAGGACAATACCGGCACGGGAGACCGAAATGACGGAGGCGGAGGTGGCTGGTGCGACAGCGGTTGGCGAAGAGGTAGGTGCCAATGTAATCGTCGCTATCTCCGAGCCTGAGGTTGTGGTAGGGCTAGCCACCTCGACGGTAGTAGTCGCAGATGTGGTCGACGCAGAGGCGACCGCTGTTGAGGCACTGACGGTATCGCCGAATGTGAAGGATTGGTTTGCGTCTGAGGCGTCACAGGCAGTCTGGTCAAGAACTGCTCCGCTGACAGTCAAACAGGTACCAGGCGCATTCACGGGAGAGAATGACTGCGGACCTGCACTTCCGGCGAAAGGGAAGAGTTGAGAGTCTGTGACGCTACCACCACCATCGGCACGGCCGCCACAAGAGAACAGAATCACCTGGTTACCGGCTGCACGCCGTGGATCGAAATTGAAGCAAGCTTGAGTCAAGGTGCTTACGATCAGCATCGTTCCAGGTTGGTCATCATGCTTCCCTGCCGTGATCACATCCCAAAGCTGGCCCTCGCTACCATCACACTTTCCAACCTGGATCGGAGTCAAATTGGCACGGAAATCCCCTGACAGTTCATCCACGAAGAGACATTGTCCTGCGGAAGTCTGCCCGCATCAATTAGCAAGAGACCCCAGCCGATATTGAGAGTTCCACGTACCTTGATTGGAACGGACGAGAATGCCCTCGTCGCGGTGTCATCTCGTTGCTGAGCTTCCTCGAAGGCCGCCTGGTCTAGGACTGTGACAGCGCGCTTCTCGGCAACGGGGAGACCTGCAATCAACGATGCACTCCCAAGAAGTGCGGCATACAGAAGTGCTACCATGGTGCTTTCTATGAACAATATAATACAACCGAAAAGAATGTCTGCACCAGGCAAAAGAACGGTAACCTGGTCAACAGGTATTATGCGAGGGAACGAACGACCCAAAAAAGAGAAAAGAATGTAGCTTCGAGAAAGTGGTTGATGGACCTGCTCTTCCACCTAGCCCGTGCCTCATTATATACAGCATTTGTCCAATTTCCACCTCCGTCACCATGCTATACTTGATGTATCTATGGAGCCTTACATAGTAACTGTGTATAGCACTCTGGGGGTCGACGAGACACATAATGTTTCGTCCTAGTGTTTCAACAGCCCTTGGCGCTGGTCAGGTAACACCGACAGTCAACTTCACTTATCCTGAATTGATCTTCTCTCTAGGCAATACGACAATGGAGATTATGGCTGACAAAAGCAAGTGTCGTTGGATGGTGTACTCGAGCATCTGAGGTATGTAACTTTAAGAATGACCCTTGGCTTTGATTACGTGGTCCTTCGTTTAGCTGAGCGCGGACGCGGAAAATGAAGTTTGGCTGCATACGAAGATTCTGTCCGACAAAGCGATTATTCAATATTATAGGGGGCCTCATGAGTCTTTTGACCCGGAAAGTAGCCACTACAAGGATCTCTCTAGTGTCCAGCTTAGGCGGTAGGAGAGATCTGCCCTGTCAGACTGAATGCATTATTTTCTTTCCAACTCAATATTGGATACCGAGACATGTTTCTGCTTGTCCATGGTAGAGAACTTGCCCTGTCAAACACGCAGGGCCATCCTCGAATGCCTCGGACACAGACCTCTGAAGGCCTCCCCTGCAGCAATGGACTCTCAGTTCTCCGCGTCCAGCTATCTACCAAGGTATCGCTCGAAGTCCACATCAGTCTGGACAGGCTTTGCCTTGGTGAATATCGACGTAAACTTTTTCCACAAGTACGAGAGATTCATCGCTTGAGCCGCGACGAAGAAAAACACTCTCGACAGGAAACGAGTCGAGTCTAGCGGCTGTAAACAGGTCAGCCTGTTTCCCATTATTTTTGAAAACACGAAATCAACACACCATGATCGTGGTACCACCACTCTTCTCAACCCACTCAAAAGCCCGAGGAATCATCTCGGCTTCGTACTGAGCAAGCTTCTCGGCGATCACCGTTGAAGGCAGAGACTTGTGCTCCTCTGCGTATTCTGCAAGCTCTGTCACCAATGGCAGCATGGTTTCCGTATCTCGCATAGCGGTGTTGCCGCCCATGCCACTAAAAGAATCGATTAGCTCGGGGTATTCGGCCAAGACGAAGTGCATCACGAACCGAGCAGGTAGCATGGCATGCATGGCATCTCCCAACAACCAGACGCGAGGGTGCCCTTGTTCTACGGCTCCGCTTCTCTGCACCTTCTTGCGCCACGACATGGACGGTCTCTTGCTTGCTCGGGTCTTGTAAGCATATATCGAAGAGCCACGGAGGAGATCCACAATCTCATGGCTGCTTGTAAGTTAGCTGACTTCGGACAAAGAGTTTGTGGATTCTCCTACTATTCGGGCGCCCACGACCTGAGAGTTGCCGCGATGAAATCCCACTGCTCTTCGACGGGCAACTGAGAAAAGTCGGGCGGGCATTTGTCCACTGGGACGATCAAAGCAAACATACAAGACGAAAGCTTGTCATCAAAGCTCCTGGCTCCTTCATTCAGAGTTTCTTCATTCTCTTTGTCTGGGAGATAAGCTGCTCCGATAGTGAGTCTTCGATTGGAGGATCCCGGGGGGAGGGACCTTGCTTACCACAGTAGAACATGCTCATATTGTCCGCAAACGTCAAAAGAGGATAGTTTTGAAGTGGAGAACTCATTGTCCGGTATCGTTCCGTGGGAAGTTCACACTTCGAGATCATGAACAAGTGAGTACCAAGCTCTGATATGTTGTTTAGCCCGACCTGTCGATTGATCTGGGTCCGGTCAGCAAAGCAAAACGCAATTTATTCAGAACAGTCAGTGCAAACTGACCTTAGAGTGGCTTCCGTCCGCTCCGATGAGCAAATCACAGTCGTCCCAAGATCCATCTGAAAAATGGGCTCTGACTCTCTCTGAGGTTGTGCCTGGATTCAAGATGGAATATCTCTCAAACTGCTTGCCGCTCAATACGCAGCCGGCATCCTCGACCGGCTTGGCTAGGATATCCCGCAAGATGACTCTGTTGATCGGAGCGGATTTATTGTATGTTGGGAACTTTGTGGCGTCTAACAGCACATTGAAGTTCTTGTCGTACATCACAGGAGCACTTGACCGGGAGCCGTTGGATCTGCCACACTTTCCAAGAACTTCCCTGACCTGTCCATCGTCGAGACAGGCTTGGAACCCTCTCAATGAATCGGGCCCTATTCTGATCTGATACCCCTCCCTCTTGATACCTTTGGTCAATCGTTCATACACTGTGACTTCGACATTGTTTCGAATCAGACCGTTGGCGAGGAGAGTCCCTGACAAACCGGAGCCGATGATGATTACTTTGAATTGATCTCCCATCTTCGACCGTGTTGCGACTGATGCATTGAGGCCTGCAGATATTACGGAGGAATGGGATTCTTGACAGTCCAAAAGGACCGTCGACTCACCCCACGAACGCTCCACAATATGCTAGGGTGACATGGAGAGCCGGTCTTCACAAATGGCAATTGCGTGGAGTCGTGCGATGTGGTGGGGTTCCCCGACTTGTCGACTTTGGTCCCTGAAATAACAGTGAATCTCTGTTCGCGAACATTTGGGAGATATCCCTGACGCTATGCAAGTAGGCAAGATCATCTTGGCTATGCAATAAGTGTTGGAACCATTTTCAGGAACACTCAAGTGGTTCAATATGCTTTCTGTGCTAATCCAATAATACGCAACGACCTTTCAGTTCTGCCCCAGAGGTCTGACGGTCGCTTTAGATAGCTTGCCTGGAACAGACAGAATTGCCAAACCGACTGGAAGCAATCGTGTATACAAACTGCGAAGCCATCAATCTTCCGGGGGCCCCTTTCTCCCTTGTTGGGAGATCCTCGACCTGCTCTTCTCGAGCAGAACATCTACCCGACTCTACTGCAGAACGCTTTACGATTAACGGCGTCACGCCCTCACGGTCACCCGGACAGCACTATGGACGATTTCCGGCGCTCCCGTCCAGCCTGGACAACATCCCCACAATCTCAAGCATAATCCGGAGCCATTGTATCGGGCCTCTCCACACTAAGCTACAGTACACTCCATCCCCACAAGTTGACGAGGATCTGGAGGCTCCAGCCGATTTCATTATCGAGAGTCAGTCAATCATCGACCTCCGGCATTCTAAGAGCCTTGGGACAGTCCGTGCGATTAGCAACTCCCGCCCAGCACTACCGACATATTGATCGATGACTGCGGACTGCAGTCGATCCTTGCTGTCCATGGCCAGGTTGCCAGAGATGCCATCCACCGACAGTCAACTGTGGGGTGATTATGAAGTGAAAAGCATCCTCCCACCTCGCTTGCCTGAGGGTCTCAGGCCACAACTGCGCCTCTATGCAACAGCCTCGCCTTCAGCGCTCAAGAAATCTGGCGAGTAGTCAAGCAGCCAGCAGCCCATTGCATGCTGGGTTGAGCGCGCCCTGCCGTACAGTATGTAGCCGCACTTTCAACCGAGAAGAAAACCCCGAATAGACATATGTAACGATACGCTGGAGAGAAATCGTACACGGGCCGCGTTCGTACTCGGAGCTTCTCTAGAAGGTGCCTATCTTGGGATACTAAGGGAATTGTCCACTGACTTGGAGCTGTACCGAAGGGATGCAGTTTTCCAGCGATGCGCGTATGGCTATGCCTACGCACATGCCGTGATGGCCAATCTAATGCGCAATCCAAGACGATACTGTACTTGTCCCGCGTCATACACGACGCTTCGTACCTGTCAACAAGCTGATCAGATTTTATGTATGGATGGCCCTTGGAATTTCAGGTGTGGTGGTCTCTCAGTGCCGATGAACCTGCGTGGGTGGCAGTGATTCAACACCAGCAATAGAACATCGACGTGGACAGAAAGCGAAAAGAAGCAAGTGCTCCCAATGAGCTATCGGTCACAGACACGGAGAGTATCAGGATGATATTGTATTGAATCGCGTATGAAACTATGAATATTGTTCTTCAAGACCTAGATAATTTTGGCCTTGAGTCCGAAGATCCTGCAGCCTGTCCAGAAAACTGCGTCGATCCAATCATCATAGGTGTCAATGTTTTGCCTGATTTACGATCTAGATGTTCCGACTTGATGACAGGGCATTGTTCGCAGTGAGAAAGTTCAGGTCATGAAGGGTTAAACTGGCTCGTTGAAGCGGCAGTATTTTGTTTCCCAAACGGAGTGTCTTCGCGTACGCATACCAGACAGCGTCACTCAGCCTGACAATGGGGACGCAATCTGTCGACTTCACCGCCGTGGTGCATGTTTGCACATCGCCACTTCAAACACGTCTTCTCTTCTTCTCCTCAATAGTATAGACTCGCCCCCATGGAGGTTGGTCAGGGTGAAGAGATACTCTCCAGCATCTCCACGGTGACAGCGGCCCGAGTTTGTCGTATCCCTTGTTGAGGATCCTTTGAGCTTACCTAGGCACACACAACACGCAGCACACAATCTTGGACATGGCGCATGAAGACCAAGGGCAATATGCTCCTTGTCCACACTGTTCCTTTGGTAGCCATGATTCCAAGAAACTGGCCAGGCACCTGCGTCATTTTCATTCTGATGAGCAGAGTTCCGACGAAAGCATCCTACAGCCTGTTCCATCGAGCCCAGCAGATCGCCACTCCGATTTGACGGATTTTGAATTGGCTCAAATTCTCGCTTTCGAGGAAGCTGGACTTCCACGAGAACTTGCCTTGTCTGATCCGCCCAGTGCTCCTTCCAGCAAGTCACTCTCCGGAACGTCAGAAAATGAGAGTTTGTCTCGTCGACAATCTCATCCTGCCCGCGCCAATGATACAGTGCAATGGGTGGAATGTTTCTGCGGTGAGCAGATACACATCCTTGAGCTTGGTGCCCACTCCGAGATGCACGCTCAAGAGAAGATGTCCATCGAGGATAGCCACCTTGTGGTGGGAGATTCGTCAAACGCAACCTCTACCATGGAGCGACCCATATCGGATATCTCTAATGCCTTTACCACAACACTTCCAGACTCCTTGCGGAACTATGACCAGATGCAGGCGAAGACTCCTCAAAGCCGTAGCAAAAGACGGGGTCCATCCTTAAAGGAGATTTTCCTAGGTATGCCGGCGGGAACTAAGAAGAAAGCGGCCGTTGCCGCCGAGGAAGGAAAGACGAGACGTCTCGGGGTAAGTAAACCATAATTGATGCGCCCAGAATTTGACCCTAACCATGCACAGAAGGCTGAACTTGGACCATACGCGCACGAACGCCAAATGCCGAACTGGCTACGACGAATGCTTGAAGAAGGAGCCAAAGTCTCGGTTACAACCCAAATTGCACCCGATGGCAAGCTGGTTAGGGTCGAGCATGTAGCAAACGAGACTCCCAATCTTGTGCCTGTACTCGCACGCCTGTCACAGCTTGACCGAAATGTCGAGCGCGCCTTTTATTGCAGCCCGGCAGTACGACATGTTTGCAAGATGTCTAGGGAAGGGGGCTTCTGCGGGTATCGCAATATCCAGATGATGATATCCTACATCCAAAGTGCCAACCCCGAGGCTACCAAACACTTCCCTGGAAGACTGCCTAACATCCTGCGGCTGCAGGACTTTATCGAAGATGCATGGGACCAAGGCTTCAACCCAGGTGCACGCATCGAGACAGGAGGTATTCGGCTTACGCGAAAGTACATTGGTACACCCGAGGCTGAAGCGTTGTTTCTGAGTCTAGACATTCCCTGCGAGCCGTCGGCATACACGACCACAGGCAACGTTGAAGCAGTGGAGGCGATGCTTTGTGCAGTATGCGAGTACTTTGATGACGAGTCTTCCAGAGATAATCTTGACAAGGTCGTGGTCACGGAGAAGCCGCCAATCTACTTTCAGCATAGGGGCCATTCGATGACGATTGTTGGCGTTGAGAGCAACCTTGATGGAGACGTGAATTTGGTGGTCTTTGATCCCATGTTTAACCCGTCTCCGGCGTTGAAGAAGATTGCTCTTTCAAACAACACATCGTTTAGATGTGCTGTGCCAGCGAAACTGCTTAAAGGGCATCGACGTACCGCGAAGTATCTTGGAAGGTATCAAGCCTTCGAGTTACTCAGGCTGCTGTGAATGGATGTGGATCAATCGAAACGAATCACAACGATCGAATCAGCTCGTCTTGGATGGCGACTGCTCTTATGCTGCACAGAATTCAGGTATCTGGATACTGGAACGCAAGGCGGGTAAGTTTTGAGGTATCCTTATAGGCACTGCATAGAGAGGCGAGTCTACTATAGATTTTTTTGAGCATTACTAATTATCACCAGTGCGTTAGGCGCTGATAAACTGTGGTAGCAACCAGATCCTCGTTACTTATATGGTAGATAAGAGTTCACGTCTACCTTGCGATGGAAGATAGATATTGTCTGCGATGGAATTTCTGTATCAACTCTGTATCATCTCTGATTATCAAAGCTACACGAGTTTATATAGGTATCTAGTTGGAAGTACATCGTGCATGTCGGTGCTGCGTGACCCACTTATTTATCTCTCGATATCATTTTGCTTTTCGGTGCTCTCCGTGTCCACGCTAATAAGATATGGCACGAATTGAGAATTGAATATTTGTTCCATTTTTTGTTCCTGCTTTCCGGTGCTCTCAAGACCGAAAGAAAGGGTATATTTTGTTACTACTAGATATCGTCCAAAGAGGTGAAGAAAAAACAAACCGTGCAAAGAGCGCCGAGAAGAAAAATAAAGAAATCTCTCAACCTCCTCGGCGTTTCAAGGCCCGAATCCAGCAAAAACAAGAAGAAGAAAAAATAACAAAACATGTCCCAACAACGTCCGACGACGCTGAACTTCATCACCGGCAACGCGAACAAACTCGCAGAGGTCCAGGCCATCTTGGGCGCGGTGGACGGTCTGACGCTGCAGAGTCGCAACGTCGAAGGCGCAGAGATCCAAGGGTCGATAGAGGAGGTCGCGAGGGATAAGTGTTCCAGGGCTGCTGAGGCGGTGAGTCTTCTTCTCATATCTTCTCTTCTCCGCTTTGTCCGGTACCCAGTACCCAGCACCCAGCACACATCCATCCATGCTCCGACCACACCCAACCCCAGCGGTGGCGGTTCATCGCCATCGATCTTGTCGGGTACGGTTGCTTCTTTTCCATACTGGCAAAGAGAGATAGAGAGAGAGAGAGAGAGAACACGTACGATAGCGTCGCCGGGCAGGGCATGTGAGGGCGCGAACGCTGAACGCGATGATGGAGTGGTCAGTCGAGAGTCCGAGCTGGTCTCGACGAAAGGGCGGAAGAGTGGCCACGATGTGAAAGGTCTCCCTCATCTATAAGATTGCCCATGTTCCCTGCGATGATAATGAATGTCACTGCCTACCATGAACGACGGCGGTCGACCCTGTCCATGGCGGTGTCACCCTGGGCGATCTGCGCCGGTTGTAGAGAGACGAAGAGAAACAACGAGACGCGGATATCAGGCTAACACATTTGGCATGTTCTAGATTGGCGGACCCGTCTTGACGGAAGATACTGCCTTGGAGTTTCAGGCTTTGAAAGGCCTTCCGGGGCCATACATGTAAGTTATCGACTGGGGCAAAGCCAGCATGATGGTTGCACCTAGTCCGCGTTCCTGCTCTCAGGTTCAGAGCATACGAGAGTCCTCTGGTATAGCCGTGCATGCCCATCCCTTGATGCCACCAAAACTAGCCATCATCCTCAGCAATTGTCCCCTCTCTACCATTTATTGGTCGTCCGGACCTGTAATCGACACAGTCTCTTCAATGAGTGCTGACATGAACGTCTACCACATAGAAAACACTTCCTCGGTGCCCTGGGTCATGATGGCCTGAATAACATGCTTGCCGCATACGAAGATAAGACAGCCTTTGCTGTTTGCACGTTCGCATATTGTGCTGGTCCTGGACAAGAGCCGATTCTGTTTCAAGGGCGGACGAAGGGTAAGGTTGTACCCGCTAGAGGGCCTCCGGTTTTTGGTATGTCTCTTCTTCCTAATCCATGCGCCCTGAACATCGTGCCGACCGTTCGTGTAGGTTGGGATGCGGTTTTCGAGTACGAGGGCAAGACATATGCCGAGATGGACAAGGCTGAGAAGGTACGCGATGAAACCCACACCCCGGGTCCAGAACCTGAGACCGGCCATAATGTTCAGGATAACGCTGACCAGTGACAGAACGTGGTATCTCACAGAGGCAAAGCCCTGGAGAAGTTGAAAATCTGGCTTGCTGGTGGAGATTTGGAGCCTTGATTTCTTCTGTCCCGTGTGACGCAGCGGCTTGGGCAAGAACATCGACCGTGCTGGCGGTGGTTAGCTTCCTGGTACTCCCCATGTGGTGTGTCCGATTGTGATTTGAACAGGCTTGATGCCTCAATCACCAGTTGATCAGTGGCCCTGATCTTTTATCCAGTTCTTGACCCACGCCACTACTCGTTCTGCGTTCTCTTCAATGTCCTCGGGTGACACGCTTCTCAATTCAACCACTTGCCCGTCCTCATCCCAGGCCTCTTTTGCTTCCTCGCTGACAACACCAAATATCTCGGCATCCATGTTCTCTTGCACTTTCTCGTCCTTGTATCCTCTTGATGAGAGTCTGTCGAACAGCACGCTCGTCTCTTCGCACCTGAGCACAACCACCAGGTCAACCCAGCGTACGGCGAACCCTGCAGTCGAGTGCCAGTCAATGACCCAGCCTCCTTCACCCTCGCCGTCCGCGATCTCTTTCTCGACCTCGTCCATGAGCTTGTCTTCGTCGACAATCAGGGTTTGTAGTTCTTCGTCATACCCGCTGTGGCAGGATCGCTCCTTGACGATGTCGTTGATGGAGAGGTGCTTGAGGTTGAGTGGTGGTGTCGCTTGGGACGCCAGGCTAAGGATCTCGTTGCACGTCGTAGTCTTGCCGACGCCAGGGGTTCCTGCTATCAGAATATTTGGTAAAGAACGCATTATGGGCAACTTCTTCACTATGAATTGCCGGTCTTGCAGAATTACACATTCGTCTCATCCCATTACAAGCATCCATTGATTTTTTTTATTTTTCCGTCGCTGTTAGAGCGGCGGTTGGAGAAACTCCAGTGCGGGGAACATAAACTTTACTGACTTCGACGCACTGAACCGTGAGGGCTCGAACCATGTAACGCGTCTTGGACTCTAATCAACAAACCACGACATCAAGGCGTCCAGACGCAAAAGTTTTCTTTTAAACTCCCATCGCGATAGTGCTCGAGACAATGATCTTGGTGACTGCCTACCAGTCACTCAGCAAGGCTCTTCGGTGGGACAGTTCTTCGGCGGCGTCAGCTTGAAAGCAACACCTTCGTCCTTGAAGCCACACATACAAAATGTCTGCTTCACGCTCGTCTACGAAGCCACATTATCCTGGTCCGCCGGGCTTGTCGAAATCGTAGCGTCTCAAAGCGCAAAGCGACCTGTTGACCGCCGCATTTGGCGGGCTCGCAGAATGATTATCGAATGATATGCACTCTTCGCAGCCTTCAATCAGATCAGGTTTAGATCTTCTTGATACGGATGACCGGACCTCATGATGTCCAGGTTCCATCTTATACCGTGCACGTAATGGATGGAGAACACTGACTTAGCATACATTATCACGATACCGGTTCCTTGAGACTGGTTGTCTATACTAGAAACGGCACAGTTCGGTTAATCAAGCGTAATTAACTGGCCGTTTGAACCAGTCACTGACACGACGGTGGATATAGGAGACCGCTGGTATGAACGCCTGGCGAACATCCCTCGAAGGTTAAGTGTGATGTGCGCTACCACTCAACGACCTCTCCTCTCCAACAAAGCGTAAGTGTTGTTTTGGTCCAGGTGTTCAACTCGGGACTGAACCTGCATCTACAATGGCTGAGCGTGGGAAGGTTGTTGAGCGGGTTCTATTCCTTAATGTGAGTTCTCATGAGTGTCTCGATGCGATATCTTGGTTGTACTCGACGTTACTGACGCTCCACTGACTCGAACCACGGTCCAAGTCTTGCGCATATTCCTCCACGAACGACGCTCTTCTTCTCTACCGATCTGGGCTGATTTGTATCCCACTCCCTTGGAACACCGTTAGAAGCGGTAATGCTTGGCTGCGGACTTCTATAGCTCTTCCTATGACATCCGTTCACTTTGTGGATCTGGAGGTTTGAGGGCCATTTTTCGGATCCGCCGCTTCGCTACAAGCTAAGTCGACTATGGCTGCAGCCTGCAATCTTACAGTAAGTTTATTGGGCATCAAACCTCCTCTGACGACTCAGTTGAACCAGTACTATCTACCCAGTTCGGTCGCCAACTGGTTCCAAGTCCCGGAAGGGGAACTATAACCTAGGAAAAACGTACCTTCTGACCATCCAAGCGTAACTGAATGGGAATTTGCCGGTGACGGAGCTGACGATCACTGATTACGAAGAGATGAATTGAAATTGCAGCAGCAGCAGATCTTCTCCGCAAAACCCATTTGTCTTGTGTTGACACGACTACTGCAGTCAGATATCTGTCTTGACGACTTCCCAGTGTTTTGGGGACACCACGAGTTTCTGCCTGACAAGCTCCACGACAGTCTCCTTCGCCCGGAATCTGGGTTCCGCGCGGTGCCGAATTGTGTCTTCCTGAAAGTCGGTGCTCCAAGGTCCACACCATGGGATGTGTAGTATCCGTTCATGGAGCCACAGGAGGATCCCTCGCAGCTTGTTCGCTACAGTGCCGCACTGCAGTCGGCCCTGGTTGTCGTTTTCATACCGCTCCACTGACATTATGGCCGAGAGGTCCAGAGCTAACGAACGAGAAGAGTGTGCCTAGATATGGCCAGCTACTTGTGTTCGACACGATTGGTCTAGTGCGAATACAACTTTTCCGAAGAAATCTGCATGAACTACTTCATATATGAATGAAGATGTGGCTGCATTGTCCGGTCACATGAAAAATCACTGCTCAAGCTCCAACGAAGCTCGATGAATGGTGAACTGCGACGGTCACAACAACATCAACTTACAAGAAGTTGACGAAGACCTTCGGACATGTTGATGTCTTTCGGTCGTATGAAGGCTGGCTACGGTGCCTCCCTGTGTGGGAGGCGCCCAGCCAGGTTGGCCAAATATCTGGTAAGACCCTCGTCAACAATTCAAGCGGGTATTCGACACAATCCTTTGCCATCGCGCTTCGGGGAAGAATCCGCCTTCAAAGCATCGAATATATTGCCCATATTTTCTTCAACGAGCGGATGATCCTCGCTGTATGGCTACATACATCCGCCGATGACGTTGGTGAGTATGGCAGCATCAATCCACTCTCTTGGACCTTGATGCACAACGGTAGTACGACAGATCAGTTGTGAGCCAGATGTTGGGGCCCTTACGAGTATGGAATGGTAGACAATGAGATAGCCACGCACGAGGCTGCATCAATGATACAGAGTGAGCAGGGACCCTACTTGTCATTGGGGCAGTCCCTCTCGACCTCCTGTCCAACTCGAGGGATCCGCTAGCTGCATCTCCCATATCTAATCGACAGGCGAACTACTCCGGCCAAATGGAAGAAGCAATGCAAATACTATGGATTGACAAGGGAATGTCAGGCACAGAGGATGTATGGGTAGCCCACTACTGTTATGTCGTGCAAGCCCACTGCTGTCAAGAGGCTAGTTTTACTTTCACCGATTTGGAGGCCTCTTGCAGGACATATGCCCTTTCGTGTATGCTGAGTCTGAAGATGGACTGAAGAAGGGAAAAAGTTGTTGAATGATGGACAGTTTAGGTACTCCTGTTGCTGTGTTGTATGCCCTTCTACACTGTCCACATAGCGTTTCTATGTACCAGGACAATCATTGGAAACTACCTACATGACAGGCACAGAGTCAAAGAATGCATACAGTCGCTAAATACCATAGGATTCCTATGTTGAGAAAGACCTCTGCATAAAGACCCTGCGATTATGGATACTCGATGAGGGTCTCTTCTCCCGAGGTTGTGAATCAGATCCGGCTCTCCGCATTTATAATCCGACCGAGTTATGAAGTCGACCTCGACTCTCTCGGGGCAGCTTCACGTCACCATCTTGATTAGATATCGACCTATCTACGAGTATCAGTTTGTGAATCAAAAAGTCGTCATCGCACGTGTCTGTCTTCTCTTTCGGGACGAGCACTTGGTACCTCGCACGTTACAACTCTGTACTTCTTTATCATTTTCACCGCACCACCACCCCTCCCGCCCGCACTCGGTTTTGCAAAGCAGTGACAAATACTTCCGGGAGCCGTAATGTCCTGGTCGTCAGCTCACTTTCCTCCTCCGCAGCTCGGCGAGGTCGCGGAGGAAGTGGCCTCTCTGCTCCGCGAGCGCGGCGAGACCATCTCCGTCGCCGAAACCGCGGCTGGAGGACTCATTTCTGCGGCCTTGCTCGCCACGCCGGGAGCCTCACGCATATACAAGGGCGGCCTCACGCTGTACACGCTGCCTTCGCGCCTCGCGTACGCGGGCTGGACGCAGGACGACCTCGACAAGTACAAAGGCCCTACGCCGGAGGTGGTCGAGGGACTGGCGAGGCATGTTCGAGGGACTTTGGAGTCGGATTATTGCGTCGGAGAGGTATGTGGCGCTTTTTGATTGTCCGTTTTTGATTGTCCGTTTTTGATTGTCCGTTTTTGATTGTCCGTTTTTGATTGTCC